ACTCTGCCAGTTCTGCGAGCCTCGGCCCCTTTCCGAATTCGGAATTAGGGCTTAGGGCTCATAGTCACGTGACTAGAATAGTATATACATTATGACAGTTCCGGATAGTATAAGGAAGGGGAGAGAAAGACTTTAGAAGTACTTTAAAAAGGGAAGACGAAAACGACAAGACAAGACAGGCTTATTGAGTATGAGTACATATACTCCGTACTCGCAACTGTCGATTTGTTGCACTTTCACTTCACTGCAAAGACCAGCCAATCGCAACTTCTGCGCGCGCAAACTGCTGGAGTGGGCCCGAGATGGAGTTACCCACCAATCCCTCCGCATTTCGAGGGCATTGGTTACTGCCAACTACTTTACGGAGTACGATGGGTCATATTGTACTTACCCTTACCTACTAGTCGAACCGAACCACACTTGCAGACTCCATACATCTCCAATAGTACGGAGTACAGAATACAACGACATCCAGCTGATCTCCCAGCCACCCAGCCCCAGCTCCATCTCCGTCTCGGCCAGGAAAATCTCCGTACAAACAAGACTAGCCGAGCGGATCACGCCGCAGTGGGCCCATTGAATTATCTCCCGACACCAACTGCACGTCTGACCTGCCGATTCGTCCTGAACACTGCAAGGGGTCGATGTACTCTGACTTGCCGCGGGTAAGCTTGGAAATCGCAGGAACATCGACCTGCTGGCTGGATGAGACTCCCGCAGGAGTATCACCGAGCGGGGAAAGGGGGCGCAGTCACGCCGCTGTTGCTTGTGACTGGTGATGGAAGAGAGAGGCGTTAGCGCACGCGCGCGCCCTTAGGCTGCAGCCCTCTAAGGCTTAAGGCTGACCTCTGGGAGAACCGTCGGGGGAGTGGCGATGATGCTGACGAGGGGGGTTCCCTTTTTCTCCAGCCTTCATTGGCGACCTACACTATGCGCTGCGTATACTAAACGCTCCCTCAGTATACACACTCGAATCGACTGACACTTGGCTGATATGGATACGCCTCGCGGTTCGCCAATCCTTACTCGAAGCGAAGTGCAGAACTGCGCCCCCTTTGATGGAGCAAGAGATGCTTGGCTATCGCAAGGACCGGATTTGACTGTGACGATCGATAAGTGCGAAAGTCTATTGAGACTAGTTCCGGGTAGGGAGCGTCGCCGGCACCCGCCACATCCTGGACATTGGCATGGGCATTGGCATCACTAGGTTGTGAGATGATGGGACATGCCAAGATATTTGGAACCTGGGCCTGTACTCGTATGCACAGAGCGAGCAGGAGATTTGGGCTGGTATCCGATCTCCCTTGTACCACCGCCGAACGAGGATCATGTCTCAAACCTGAGCGATCCTCGTGATTGACCTTGCCTCTTAATAGTCTGTACTCCGTACTCCGTACTCCGGGTCTTCATTGATTATACTCGGTGTTATGTACATTTTCAGTGCCAGGTACGAAGTAACTACGAGTATACGAGGTACTACTAGTAGTATATAGTACTACTACATATTAGACATTCTGTCTGAATTAGTTTAGTGTCGAGGTTATTGGTGTCCCACGTGGGCAGTGGTCAGACTACCTACTACTAGACATCACCTCCTGACCACTCGATCGATCACTCCATCCCGTTAGTATGTAGCCCTAGTATGATATTCGATGGCGACTCCTCCTGACTGGTACTGTAATAATACTGTGGTTCTTTAGGGTTGACACCGAGCCTAGCGAGCAGAGAACCTTGGAAAGATTCGAGAAGAAGAAAGAAAAGAACCACAAAAAAATTCGAAGAAAAGAAGCCAAGAAACAAGAAACATCTGTTCGTGAAGCTGGTGTGGAGCATCTCGCATGACTCAGCAGCTTGTCAACGTCTTTGGTGCACTGACAGTCGAGGCTACTGCAACCTCCTCCGCATCCATCGGGGCACTTGTCGGAGAACTGGGACTGGACACATTCTCTCTGCTGCCTGTTGAACATGTCTTACTCTCCCAGGATGACAGCAATCGTCCGGAGCACTCCGTACTGAATAATGGACATTTCCCCCCTGCTCAATGTTAATTGACAGGCGGTCCAGGAGTGTGGCAGTGCATGCATGAATGGGGCCCAAGTGGATCACGCTAGGAAATCAGTGGACCCAAACTAGCGACTCAGCATTGTCCATTTAATGTGGAGGCAATAAAGAATGTTCTCTGCCTTTTGCAACGAGGAGACAATCGTGATACCAGGGGGAGTTGGAAAAAACAGCCAGAAGCCAACGCTTGGACAGACTATCCGAAGACTCCGATCAGATCGCGCGACAATTTCCTAGTGGAACGCATCCCTGCTGCACATACGAGTACAGTATGTACACACTGACTTTGTCTGTGTGACCGGGATCATGTACGGAGTACTTGGTACATGATTTCTCACAATCCCAGCAGATATAAGCCTACCGCCAAGCCCATTCCAAGACTGTCACCGGTGCATATTGTATTCCTTCCCTTGTCAATCTGAATTCGCCGCCCCATCCCCTCCCCTCCTTATGGGAGTCTATTCCGTGGTATTGGTCGCATCCACCCCCTTATCCGTATCTGCAATCCCATGTGTCCATCCCGCTAAACCATGGTTCCTTGAGCATGGAACGTGTTGTACCCTAGTCTAGCCCAATGTCGTTCCGAGCCGTTACCAACAGCCCTCGGTACCTTACTACCATAGGGCACAGGCGATGGCACTACATGCGACCCCCTGCCCCATGGAGTGACAATGCATCCAGCCATGTGCGGTGAATCTACGAAGTCCGAAGAAAGGAAGAGAGACAGAGAGGGGACTCAAAGGAGGGATTTAGATCATCGCGAGGCGTCCAATACGTACGAGACACTCCATTGACAGTCCACTCTCCACCCTGGCGTCAAGCACAGAGAGGGAAGAGGAGAGAGGGGGGGGGGGAGGTCCCATTTCATTCTATAGGGTGCTTTGGTTGGCGTTACGCGCCCATCATGGCCCCGGGATGGGGTAAAGTAGAGTGTTTGGCCGTGAACTAGACTGGATCTCATTTGTCGAGACTAGAGCGGCCCATGCCTGAGACTGCTGGAACCCCTCCATCTTCATTTCGTACTAGGCTTGATCGTCCCGGTTTCTGGAAGGCCGGATTCCCAAGTTTGAAGTGATTGAACCACGGGTGATCCTTTGGACAAGGCTATTCAGTGGGCTGAATCTACTCATTACAGTTAGCATGGTACCGGAGTACAGGAAGAGTAAGGAGTGCTCGGTATGTAGTAACAAGACTCTGCACTAGCAGCAACAGCAACGGCCACGGCAACAGTAACAGGGCAACAGGGCCTGGAAGTTTAATCTAAATGCCCCAGCCTTGTGCTGGACATCATTCCCAACGTGGCCACCCACGCGGGAGCTACAATTAAAATCTGAGATTTAGTAATGATGATCCTAGAAATGCCATTCCCTTTCGTTGGCCCCCCCCCTCTCCCTCTCCCGCTCCACTCCTTGGCTGATTTTGGCTTCCCGCAACTGTCCGTACTGGTATGTAAGTAGCTTACACTGGTACGAGATACCAACCTGGATTACATACAATTCATACAAATCCATACAAATGCGTCTGGGAGGGTTTTTCGCCTCTTTTACCACGTCAACCCTCTTAACCCACCCCGAACTGCAGGTTAGGTCCGAAGACCCATCCGTTTATTGAATTGTTTCAATTCCTTTTTTTATTATTTTCAATTATTTTTTTTTAGGGATTTTCGTTTGCCCCCCCTCCTCTACAGGCGCCTTGTTCCAGAATCTCCCCCTACAAACCCATCTTTCTTCCCCCCCCTCCTCCTTTCTTGGCTCAGCTCGGTGAGAATGAGATCATCGACATTGCCTCCTCTCCCTCGGTCCTAAATCACATTTGCACCTTTGGCTCGAGCCCTTAGATCCAATCATTTGGCTGCACCGCCTCTTGCCTGACTTTCTAACTGCCCGATTTTCCACTCTCTCTCTGGGGCGCAATCCTTTCCTTTCTCCCCTTCCTTTTTTTGCCCTCGAACCTGAACTAGTGCCTTCTCTCGACTTGTTCAGCTCTCTTTATTCTTTTCGGTCTTTCCGTGCCCCCCTGGGGAATTATTATTCAATTGTTCAGCCCGTGGTGGGGTGTTCCCCGACACAACTAGTTGGTTTGAAGCCATTGCCATTGCCATTGCCTCTCTTATACTTGTGACCAACAACGGGGATACCAATCGCATTGGGGTTCCTCTGCTAGCGAACATCTAGGGTTTGAATTTACCCTTTGCCTAAGACAGCGCGCATCACTTCATCTTCAATATCCAAAAATCCAAAAGCATGTCCAGTCCCGCTGTTCGCGATTGACTGGTTCTATGGGACACAGACGGCTTCCAGACAGGGCTGTGTGTCACTTATCAAACGTTTCATCCCATGAGGCGAATCGCCGAACAAGGGTACCGAGCAAGAGGTAGGTTCTTTTTTATCCTGTTTTATTGTTCATTTCATTTTTAATATTGCGCCCCTCCCCTGTCAGCCCTATCTCCTTGCGGATGTGACGGCGAACTACGAGTGTGACTTGCAATATCAGGTCACCTTTTGCCGCCTTTTCGGTTCCACACATCTAACTCTTAACTAGAAATTCCAGGCGCATGAAAACCTTCACCTGTTGCCACTCTCCAAGTTCCACCTCGCTTCGTCTGTACTTGCTTACCCATTAGAAGCTGGACCTTCTTGGTTCCCAAGCAATCGGAGGTGGGGGTTGAGGCTGGCAGTCCATTTAGGAATCCGAGCCTGGTTTCACCGACGTTCGCACTGCACTCAACTGGATTGAGTTGCTGTTGATCTGATTTTCTCAGCTTATTCCGATCAACGTTCTTTTCTTTCTTTTCATCATCTTTTTTATTATTCTCAGTTTTCTTTCTTGGAAGTGGATTTTCATTCGGACAAACGCCACCGGATTCAGCTCATGCTTAGTGCAGCTGGCCATCCACATCTTCCATTTCCACTTCTACGCCACTCCACACACCATCTAGAATGGACCGACTAGCCGCATCGCCAAATTTCTATGTTTCAAAGGATCACGAGTACGACCGTCATCGCCATCGCCCCGAAACATCCATGATGCCCGAATTGCCATTCCCATCTTACGGCCCTTTACCCATTCCATCTCGCCCCAATATGCATACCGCGCCTCCTCCGTTGCCTCCGCCGACGCGCATCCACGATTTAGAGAATGGCTATGATGCTGGGTGGTTGCATGCAAATTCTGATCGATCTGCATCTCTTCTTCCCCCGATTAACCCAGCCTCAAGCTTATTTGGTGGTGGCCGGAACCGTCCCGATTCTGCGCCCAAAAGTGATCGAATGGACCTTGATGAGCTTGAAGGCAGGCAAAGTGGCATGCCACTCTCCCGCAGCTCTGAGGCTCAAATTAAGATTGAACCGCCACCACCGACAGATGATGGATTCCCGAATTCCATGTCTGTCAATCCCAATGGTCCGATGTAAGATCAAAAGGGCTTGACTCTTATTTGTCTTCTCCTCTTCGGATTTTCCCATACTAAACGATCTCTAGACTGAAAGGCGAGCGTGACTTTTCTCTGCGAAGTGTGAAAGACTCGTCAAATGCGTACGATCAACATCTTTTGTCCAAGATTGGGAAGCCCATTTCTCCCCGAGGATCGATCAGTTCGGACCACCGAAATTCAATCTCCGCACTTACTGTTCCATCTCTTCCCTCACGCTCATCGAGCAATCTGCCATCACCCGGGCCATCAGAAGGTTCAACGCTTGATGTGAAATGGTACAGCAGTCCGAAGTCAGGAGGAGTGTCACCCAGATCGAAATCGGATTGGAGGGAGTATGTCGAGGGTCGCAGCCCAAGTGTCGAAAGCAATCTTCCATCGGTGGCCGATTTTGAATTTGGAAGACGTCGATATCGTGGAACGACTCCATCGCGCGAGGACAGCATCAGTTTACCCAGCCGATCGAATCGTGGCAGCTACGACCAGGGCGTGTTTTCTGATATTGAGGGTGATTTCTCGACAGACGAGCCAGTTCCCCGACAATTCATTCTCCGTGAACCGACACCACCTTACCCCGAAGGCTCAAGGCAGGGGATGAAGAGACGAGCATCATCTCCACCCCGAGAACCGATCAATACTGACGATCGCCACACTTTACACACTGTCACGAGTAACGGGGATTTGTCACAGCGAAGGACAAGTGGTCATCCATTCACCAACAATCTGACGGTAAACAGCAGCTACGCTCCAAGCCAACGAACGCTATCAGCAGCTTCTTCGCTCAGTATCCGAACCTCTGGTTCATATTCTTCCGCTCTTTCAATCGGCGGCAGCAGTATGACCAGCCTCTCGCCATATGATCGACCATCCCCCGGGGGCCTCTCCCCTTGTTCGGATCTCGATACATATCACGAAAAGTCGATTCTCAACGCAAGCTCCCCCCGGAGTACCACTTATTCCTGTGCCGAGGCCCTTACCAGGAGCCAGCACCCTCGAACCTCCCGCCACAGATTCCACTGGAAAGATGTCGATACCGATGCCGATGCCGATGCCGATTGCCCTGAGCGTCCCCAAACCCGCTTCGTCGAAGATGGCCGGGCTGTTTATTTGCGATTGTTGTCCGAAGAAGCCCAAGAAATTCGATAGCCCGGAGGATCTACGAGCCCACGAGATGGAGAAGCAATATTCGTGCCAGTACTGCAACAACCGCTTCAAGAACAAGAATGAGGCGGAACGGCACCAAAATTCGCTCCATCTGCGACGCCATTCGTGGTCATGCGCATCGCTAGTCTCGTTCCAGTCTGCATTCCATGGTTCGGGATCGCCAACCTGCCAAACAAATGCCGGTCCATCGCACGATACATGCGGTTATTGCGGTGAGGAGTTCCCAAACTATCCTCGGCCGGATTGGGATCGTCGGTTTGAACACTTGACGACCGTGCACAAGTTCGGCGAATGCAATAATGCGAAGAAGTTCTTCCGTGCCGATCACTTCCGTCAACACTTGAAACATAGCCATGCGGGGACGAGTGGGAAGTGGACCAATATCCTCGAAAATGCTTGCATGAAGGAAGAGCAGCCACCGGAGCGACGAGACAGAAGTGGTTCAGGGGCTAGTAATGGCCCACAAATAAATCCTGGATCTTTGACATCCAATACAATTGATGAGGTTCTGGAATGAGAAAACTCGACTCTTCTTTTTCGCTATACATACGCCATGCGACATTCTGACCCAATCTCCCATCGAAACTCTCAACACCTACATCTACATGGCTTTTCTCTCCAAGCCTCATTATCGAACTTGACTATTCGCGGGCCTTCCTCCGAATCTCTCAACCCTAACCCTGAATACAACAAAAAAGTGACTTTCGAAAAGCGCATGGAGGCACTGGACATAACGAAGTGAAACGATTTTATAACCATATCTTTTTTGACCCATTCTGCATCCTCCGTTCCCCTTCCCCGCAACATCTCAATATCTCAACAAACATATTTTGTTTCTTCTTTCTATTTTCTTGTTTCTGGGTTTCGAAAGGTGGCAGGGAGTTTCTGTTTGTTCCTGGGTTTTGGATACTACCATTTGCGCGTTGTACCTGGTGCATCATTACCTGGGTGGTTTGGCTGGGGTTACATCTCTTATCATTCTCCGTGATACCGGAGCAGGTCATTTCCATTTTCCATTTTCCTTTTCAATTGTCCCATTGGTTTGCTGGAGTCGGTGCATGGGTTGGGGGTCTGATTTCTGTTTTGTTTCTTATACTGGGCCCCTACTTTGCTCCGCTCTTGCTCTTCTCCATCATACATACTATATCCCCATTTGTATATAGGCCGAAATTTAGACCATATCAAGCGCATATTTTACTCTTCTGGTATTTGTTAATCTGGTAACTCGTTCTCTCAACCCCACTGATACGTAGTTGTTTGATTTACTGGTTGCCTATGAGTTCCACCAGGCTTCTTCCATTTTACTGAGGCTGAGTAAGCTGTCTATTGCGGCTTAAAAGCAGGCACCAAAACAACCCCGCAGAAGCATTTCCAACAACATACCAACGGCTACCGTGTTCGATCCAACTACTAGTTTCTTGAATCCACACTCGCTGCTTGAGCTGCCTTAGCCATGAGTCAACCCGAGATTCCTCCAGAGATCTGGCATCTCATTCTCAAAGCTGTATGTTTTCCTCTCGGTGCTGCCATATCACAGGTTCCAGAACCTAACCCCAGCAACGACACAAGCTACCCACTCGAGGGGATCTTGCCAATGTCTGCTCGGTCTCCAGATTATTCGATACCCTTGCCACTCCACTACTGTACCGATCAGTCATTTTACGCCGGGTGAGTGAGGACTGGTCGCTATTTCCGGATGATTTTGAAGCCACTGAACGGCCAAAATGTATTGGAGATCTTAATTTCGGTCTTTTTTATCGACTTCTGGACGATAGGAATGAGGTATTGCGAGAATTTGTGCGTGAAATGACCTTCAACCTTGACGGCACCGACAAGGATATATCTCGTGCCTGGGACAAATTGAAGCCACCCCAGGACCTCTTGGCTGGACTGGTCAGAAAGCTTCCAAATCTAGAGGCTGTCTAGTAAGAGAGATTTGGCCCACCTGGGCATTTATATAATGTGCGCCATTGATATACTCACGCTTATATTTAGCTTCCTAGGAGAGCTCCCCATATCCAACGCCCTTGTGAATGCATTTCTCGCCCATAATAAATCTCCAAAGCTTTATTTGAAACGCGAACAGGGGCTCATCAGGACGGAAGCTCGCATTCCGTTTGTGCGGGAAGTATGTATCTTTGTGGACTCCACCGCCACAGCCCCTACTAGAGAATTGCAGCCTGGGGAGAGAGAGTTCAGGCCCCAAAGACTAGCTCTGCATGAGACTTTCGCCGCATATCCGAATCTTGAAGACTTGTCAGTTTCGATCAATCTTTTACGAGGAGGGTGTGTGATGGATTACTCCCCTCCTTCAACAGAGATAGTACCGCTTTCGATACCGGATGAATTCATCTTCCCACCGCTGAAAAATCTCTCATTGAGCGGCTATCATATCACAGATGAAGAGAAACATCTCTGGAAACAGAGATTCCCTTGGGGAGGATTAGAATCTCTCACTCTGGGAGTTCAGACCCACAGTGGCGTACTGCAGTCGGCTACTGGGAACGTGCATAACTTGAAGAAGTTCCAGATTACAAGCTTTACCCGCTATACTGCTTCTAACTCAAGCCCTGAGCTTGACTCGTTCTTGTCCTCCTTCCATTCCCTAGAGAGCCTCACTGCTAAGGGACTTGTCCCTTCGATGAATTCTGTGATCAACCATTCCCATCTCAAACACCTTTGTCTCCATGCCATCGAAGAGACCGATCAGGAGAGGAAGACACTGACTTTGGAGGAGATAAAAGGCTTGGATCAGCATTGTCCAAATGTCACAAGCTTGGAGCTAGATATAAATCCAAATGGAACATGGGTAAGCCACGAGCTGTATCCCGTCAGAACTATTCACAGGTCTAACAAATGATTCTAGCCAAACGACACAATGGAGGCTATTGCAACCAGATTTGAAAATCTTCGCGAACTGACAATTCATGTCGGACTGGGAATATCAATTGCAATAAAGAATGCGCAAAACGGATTCCCACTGACGAAAGCCTTTAAATCGGTCTTGACCGAAGAAATCGCAAGAGCCTCTGCTAAAAGATTCCTCGAATGCAGAGGACTGTCAAACTTAAAGAAAATTACATTGAAAACCGGCGAAGATCTACGTTGGTTCCCACAATGGCATCCTGGATACGCTGATGCGGAAGAGGAATGTTCGAGGATATTCGAGATAGATGCGCGCCTGGGACAGGACGGTGAAATCATCCTCGAAGAGCTAGACAGTACACGGGCTAGCATTCTGAAGAGGTTGCGGAGTCCGAATGGGACATTTAACCGTGGATTCTTTGGACAAGCTCCTACACGAATCAGTACAGCGCCGCGGGTGTTTCAGGCGTCGTCCTTTAGTGCAAGCTCAACTTGACCTGTAATTAGTAAGTTTTGTTACAAATTGTTATTTTCTGATGAGGTCATATTATTGCTCGCATATACTAGTATAAATGCCCATGAATTGCAAGGTTGCTTTATTTATTTATACTGCCAGTGGGTAATAGAAACCCGGGAACTTGGATTATGGAGGAAATCAAAATAGAATATTTTTTTGGTACTACCGACCGGAATTGCTCTATGTACATTACCCAATTATGCAGAACAACATTATTTTCCCACAAATGCAAATTATCGAAACGACACGCCAAGTAAAATTTACTCGGTGACACTGTCCTGGATACTCCTTAGGGCACTCATCTTATGTGCAGGGTCGATAGCAGCAGCATTTAGAGCGCGACGTCTCGCATCAGTCCAAAGCATGAATTCTCCATAGCTCTTGGGCATGACGTTGATGTCCTTCTCCACCAAGAAAGTGTAGTTGAACATACCAGTCGACTTCTTGGTACCGTGCTCAACATCACGAACCTTGGTATCAACGCGCACCTGTACCTTTGTGTACTTGGAGTGGCCGTCCTCGCGTTCTTCGGGTTCGGTGAAAGCTACCGTTGCGCGCAGGTAGAGGACGCTTCCGACAGGAACGGGATTTTCAAAGGTACTTGGGTCAAGGGCAAGGAAGTTGGGGCGGGCGTGGGCGAAAGAGGCAGCGCAGCAGAAGGCTAACTCGAAGGATTGCTTGAGGAGAAAACCACCGAAGATCATGAAGTTGTGGCGATTGCGATCTTGGGGTTGCATAATCATAGCCGATTTAAGGACAGTGTCGCTCATGAAAACTTGGTTGTCCGGGCGAATGGCTGGGACTTGGGGGTCTGGGGGTTGTTTAGCTGAGATGAATGAGAAATAGATAGTACATAATGATACTCACTCAGGTATGACATCTCCTTGGTCCACATGGAGTGGATCAAGTTACTCTCCTCATCGTCAGGAGCCTTCTCGAGGAGACTGCGCGTGCGCAGAGCCTTCTTGGCTTGGTAGTTGGCCTCGCCCTTCTTGAAGAGTTTCTCTTCCTCTGCGTTCTCCAAAATCAGAGGTGCGACAGGGACAGGCCTGGGTAAATCCGATTAGCACATTTCAAATTCAGCTTCCAACGCAGAACATACTTCTTTGTAGCAGGATCAAGGGAAACCATCGTGAATGCACAGGTAATCAGCACATCCTCGGGCTGAGCAGGTTGACCCTCCGGGCGAAGCTTAGAAACCTGACACGATACCTCCATACTGGATCGACCAGTAGCGTAGGAAACCTGACCACTAAGTTCGAGATCACAAATTTCCATGAGCGGGTGCTCGATGGTGATTCTGTCCACGGCCGCAGTGACGGTACTGACGCCTTCGCCGGTATGACGGTAGGCAATGACACCAGCAAGGGCATCGAGATCCATAAGCAATGATCCCAAGCTATTTCAGCATTAGTTGTCGCACAAGCATGCACCTATGACAATAGCTAGGTCAATCTCACCGAATATGTCCAGAGGCATTGAGATAAGTATCAAGCAGCCACTTATCTTGCGCTAAAGGCAAAATCTGAAAAAAAAAACGCGAAGCCAGTTCGTCAGCTGTGCTGAAATATCACAGGATCAACGCCGTAAATCGATACATACAGCACTGTAGTAACTGTCCGACATCTTCTTCGGCGTCACATCGGGGTTAACAGCTGGGGGGTGAAGCACCCTCCTTAGCCCCCTTGGCCACCTCACGACTCTCATTCAGAGCATCTATCCAGGCTGTCTTCACCCGACCAGCCCAGACCCGGCGCTTATCCTGTTCATTGCAGGGTGTCGCGTGGAATGCACGCGAAGCGCTCGGCGATTGCGCGGCGGTGGCTGCGCGAGCAGGCAGAGTCCTTGATACAAGCGACTTAGACCCGGAGACGGCTATCCTTCTTCCTGCGAGACCAAACATGGCGGAATATGTATCTGTAGGGGAATTTGATGAGGCTGAGGGTCTGGAAAAGCGTTAGATTAGTATCAGCGATGACGCTGTTGGTTACCGAGGGACCGGCCCGGTCGGGTTAGCCCCCGGACATTCTCGGGTTGCCAATACCGAAAACGCGGCTTTTAGTGATTTGGGGCTGTATGGCGGGGAACTTTATTAATAATTTATTTTCTTGGGTTATATGGCGTGCCTCTAGCTGAGGCATATTTTGGAGTCTGTATTAGTAGTAGTAATGCTGTTCTGGAAGTCAATTTTGGAGAAAGGTATCTCCATGTGGAGGCCTGAGGCACGAACTTGAATCCGTCGATGCTAAGTCTGACCCAAAAAAATAGCTACAACAGCACCGGCTTGTGACTTAGATCAGTATAACATGGTATGTTCAGGTAGATTTAGAGGAAATCTACCATCAGTAAAGTAGACTAGGGACTGGAAGGGTTAGATTAAGATTTAGAACAGTTCTCTGGATTTCTGAAACATGACTTCGGGACCCGGAACCAGGGTCTACCCCTGCAAAGATCAAAGCTTGAGTAAGATGAAACATCAAAATCTATACGAGAGTCTACTTGGAGGAACTGAAGACATTTCTTAATGAGATAAATTATTACGGTTTCTTGGATTTCTGCCACAGTTATCGTATTCTATTTGTACAGTGATGGAGCCATTCCATGTTGGAGACCCAGGAGGCAATGGGCGGGAATAAAAGAGAAGAAAATGCGCAAATGAGACTGCACTCTAGATGCAATAAGCAAAGGGTATGAATCATGGTAGCGCGGAGCGAGTAGTATGTGCAAGTGGGTATCACTTGAAGGCAAAGAAAGTCGGGCATGTATGGTTGATGGCAAGTCGGTCTGCGATGATATGTATGCCAGTTTGACGGTATGAACAAGAACGCCTGGAGCGAAGGTTGACTTAGAAGCAAAAAAGGGTATTTTGGTGTGAGACGCGTGGTCGAGGTTAAGATATTGGTGATGGAAAAGTTTAGAGGATGAGAGCGGCAGCAAAAGTCATCACTAATGACAGAGCTAACCCGCCCGACATGCGAGAAGCGGAATTAATGGTAGGCGAATCGGTCTCTGTCGCTGAATCCGCAGATGAGTCTGATGTCGTGGTCGAGATCGTCGCAGAGGAGACTTCAGAGCTGCCATCAGTGGCCACGGCCGAAGGACCGGTCGCAGTCGCGCTGGGAGCGACATATGTCCCATTTCCGGAGGACGAATTCGACGCCTTTGCTCCAAAGCCAATCTGCCCATTATCGAAGTCAAAGACCGAATAGACGTTCTTCAAAAACACATCACCGAGAAGCCATGTGTTTGATCCGGAGGACTGGTGACTGACTATCGTCGACATGCAGCCCGGGTTCGAGTCGTCCTTTGAACTTGGACCAATGTAATCCTCTGGCTGGACGGTGTACTTGACTCCGGAAAATTCGAATTCGATAGTGGCCGTGGAGTTACATGGAATTGTGTAGTTCTCGCCAGAATGTTTGGAGTTCGGAATGAGGCCGAATAAAGTCACAGCGTCGGCTGGTGGAACGAAGACATATGTAGATCCGCTGTCGATGATTGCGGATCTTCCAGTGAAGTTGCCAGCCTCGCCATTCACGTAGACGTCATCCAGCGGGATAGTCCAGGTTTCGGCATTGGTGGTGGTGTAGGAAATTTCTCCGTCGAATTTTGTTGTGTCGACAGTTCCAAAATTCACCTCGCCATCCTTCTTGTTGTCAGAGGCGCGCGACAGGCTCAGTCCGACGATGTTAGAGCTGAGCCCTGCCTTCTCGGCGACAACATCCATGAAAGAGGGGATCTTCCAACCGCCGGTGTATGATCGGCCCATGCCGAGAATTCCATCAATAGGATAGCTGTCAAATGGCTTGGTTGCAGACTCGGCGAATCCAAACGTGAAACTTATATCCATTCCAGCGATGGACATGGTATCTTGGCCCAGATCACCCTTCACTTGACCGCTACCGTATCCGAGGCTGTAGGTCGAGTCATTCGAGTTGAAGCTGCTGGATTCGGATATATTGAATGTGTGGTGGTTTGTGCAAGTTTCGCTGGTACACTTAGAGCTGAATACCCAGCTACTCGGCGATCCGGTGTCGAGGGCTAACCACATCTCCTCTTGTTGTGAACCGACCTTGACGGTGACGAAGTAAGAAAAATCCACTCCATCTTGATTAACTGCCGCACTGTTCTGCAAAGTGGGGGTTTCCGACTCGACAATTTTGTAGGTATCGGCCCGGCGAGCTTTCGTGATGTCGAGCGTTATTCCTTGGCTGTCCGAGTCCGAGTCCGAGCTGTCTGGGACTAAAATCCATGGCATGAAACGCCGGAAACCATTTTGCCTCGAAGAAATTGTGGCGACTGTAGCCACTTTAAGCTCCCAGGGATAGAAGGCATGAACACTCGTCGAGAGGCCGGCAATGACCAAGTATGATGAAAGATGCATGATCCCACAGCGGATCTAGTAGCAGGGAAAATTAGGCCGCATTGAATTCCGTGACTTATTACGTAGGATCGGTCGTTCGACTGCTGTCCGTTTGATCAATTGGCGTTGTATTGGCGATAAATGGGTTGTTGAAAGACGGGGCGAAGGATTGGGGCGGATCAGCAGAATCCGGGGTTCGTCAATTAAAGAGGCGTATGTGAATGAAAGCGAAGAAGACAAAACCGAAAAACGAAAAACCAGCAAATATGAAGACACAAATAAGCGATGAACGAACAACCAAAGGAAGGACAATAAGCTGGGGAGGTTGGAAAGAAGCAGATGATGTGAGGGGGGAGAAGTGGCGGACGAGCAGACTGGGAGACTGGCAGGAGACTGGGGGGGGGAGGTCCCACTTGGTGGTGAACCTCTTGAGGAAAATCCTCCCCTGACAAGACACTTCTGCCCAGTTCTTGCCAAGTGCTAACCCAGTTTAGGTGATTGACTGGATATCTTGGGTTGCTTTGAGCTCCACTTCGCCTGGTTCCGGTTGCGATCGGCTTTCTGGTCGAGACTAGCTGCACGCTAGAGTCAGGTTACTTACTCCTTTTCTGTCAAGTTCACGGAATTCTTCTTCTTCGCTTCAAGGAAGACTGGGAAATAATAAAGAATTACAGTATCATGCAGATCTTACTATCTGATTCTGAGAAGTTTGGTTCGTTTATCGGCAAATGGAAGAGTTTGTGGCCGGAGAACCCTGCCATCGAACGCACAACTCAGGGGAACCGTTTTTTGGGGGAAGCACAAGCGCTGCTGCTTATCACTGGTCAGTTCTAATGCACGGTCCAGCTGGGTGCACATGCACGGAGAACATCAATACATAAGTCCACCATCCTTCAAGCCACGGCTGGTCTAGACTCCATCATTCCATCTTTAGATGCTAGAGTCTCGACCAGCATGGGTTCAGCGACCACCCAGCTGCTTAATTCTCCTCTTGTGTCAATCAATAAATCTCGAGTCTTTATTCTATTTGCACTTGAGCCCTGCCTCTCTCCGTTCCGCTCCCAACCTCGGCTTCCTCGGATACCTTGCATATTCATCAACATCGGGAGCTAACCAGGCAATGGACGCATTTTTCCTTGCAAGACTTGAAATGGTGGAAGACACCCCGTCTTGCCACGTCGAGTCTCGGCCCTGGGTCCACTTATGTGAAGCTGGTGATCGATCAGATCATACGAGTATGTACGGGTTTCGGGCTTGCAGCTCAACTAGCCTCCCGCGACCGATCACAACATTGTAGAACGATGTTCAAGACTCAGAATCCCGTAACATCAGAAATAGTTGATCGAGTTAATAAAGTTGCAGAAATGTCCAACCATTTATCTTCTGCACCACTAGACCTGTGCTCATCTTCTCACTGACCCGCTGAAGAAATTGGAAACTAGGCAGAAGCTAGTAGCTGAAGCCTGAGGTCCAGACATAAATGAACGTCCTGATCAAGCCACAGTCTAGGATCGTCAATCGCTTGGACTTGATTTTCAATGTCAAAAGGCAAACTGGAAAGGGCACGCCTGGTCTCGGAAACGAAGAAGCCGTGCCTATCTCACTTTTCAAATATTATAGCCTTTGAGATCGAAGTCCGCACTGGAGAATCAATCTGTGTCGTTCTGTAACACGTCCCTTTCCCTGAAACAATTTGGAAAGGTCAGCTCATCCACTCATACGACATTCGGAACACGCGACGTGCGTGCCTGCTCCGAAAATTTGCGGACGCTCCATTTTGGAAGTACTGATCTATGTCAGAGCTCAAATTTTGAATAATCCAAGGTCCCCCCCCCCCCCCCACGCAAATTATTCGCCGTTTGTAGAAGTGTGAGATTTCCTCCGGTCATGCACGGACCACTGGGAATACAGTCACGAAATCCTGACTATCATGTTTCCCCCACATTTTTCCTGGTTTATCCGGTGCGCCTTTGAACGCTAGGTTGACCAAAAATTCCGTGATTCGGTTCCGTATATCATCGAGTGCTTTGGGTCATTGCTGCATTATCTAGGAAGAGTATTATAGTCTATAGTAGATGGGCTTCGCCATAGAGGCTTTCAAATTCAATCAAATAATCATTTTGAAATTAATCAAGTTAGGTTAAAATGGCCTTCATCTACATATTTCTCTTAGCCTCATATTTCGAAATGCGTCCAGAGAGTTTCAAATTGAAAGCTATCTCGATGTTTTACTATTTTTTTATTTCCAATATAGAGAAAATCTAGCCACTCCAGATGCAAGCTCTTATCTAGCCGATACTAGTATTGAATCCAGTTATATTCTCAATGAGAGATCTAGGCAGCCAGGATTGAGTTTGTTGTGGGGTGGCAAAATCAAGCTATCTTCCGGGTTTTTCTTCGCGTTCCGATTACTTCGACCTGGGAGATTATATCACTCGCTATCCTGATGCAATCGAGGCACAGGCAACGTCCCTTCTACTAGGAGATCTACAGTCCATGATGATAATTGTTTATACTGCGTTGAAACCGAAATGTCCAAGGGTCGGGGTGAAATCATTGTATCTCCGTAGGGCGATTTGAGATGAACACCGCTAGCCATGATGTTATCGCGGTGATCATACATTTCAGGGTGAGTTTCAAAGAACGCAGGATCTAGACGAAATAGCGATGCCCCTCTGTCCATACCCAGCAGCTTGAAAGCTTGCAAGGCCATTGTGTGGGAGCCAAAAAGAGTATTGGTATCAGGGGCAGGAAGACGCATTCCGAATGATTCCTTATGTTGTTGAAATGGGAAACTTTCATCCGTGGGCACTCCGGAGCCAAGTAAACCGTTCCAAGCATTCAAGTTGATATTTTTACTTGCCTCAGTAGAACTAGTACCATTCTGTTTTGACGTTTCCGGGGGAGATTGCCTGAATGAGATCCCAGACGGACACATATCCTGGCGTTGGAGGAATGTTGGCGATAAGTTTGGAAAGGTCAATTTCCATGACGTAGGAATGTCCGATGGCGCCAATGACATTGTCAATCAGAGGATTAGCAGCATGACAGGTAATCAGTTTATCCCGAATCGATGGCCATGGAATCCAATCAATAATGGCGGGATGCTTCCGCGAAATCTGAGTCTTTGTTGGCCTCCAAGTCTGGCTCATGTTGTTATAGCTTTCAACTGATGGATCGATATGCCACGCAGTTATTTTCATAACTGGTATATGCGCCTTGGTATACGTATGCCAGGATGTCATTGATGGCCATGACAGGCAGATGAAGGCAGATGTCATGAAGTAGGCAGAAGTGATAAGACTGTTTCAATGTGAGTATACTGCATTTCAATAGAGGGGTGCTGAAGCGGGCGAAGTACCAGTCCATCCTTCCATTCAAGAAAGGCGCAGTGGCATCCCACTTCTGCTTCAGATACATTTCCCAGCTTGATATGTGATCAGAAAATACCGAATTCGTGGTCGGCAGACACAAATCGCCAGATGCACGTTGTTTTGATCTAGTGAGTTTTTCGTACTGTTCAAATCCCATCATCTTCTCAAAGGGTACTGTCTGGAGACAGTTGAAAAGCAGTTCCTGTGGAGCCGGTTGGCATTGTGCTGCTGTTCCGGTTTGAACCTTGGGGTTTGCTTGTAATTCATCGACTATTGATCCCAAGAGGTGAGGCTCTGGGTCCTCCTGGTTGAGGATAATGGGGTTTTGTGAAGGAATACTGCAGTCGTGAAACTGTAGAATGTTATCCATTTCCCACCCGGTCACATCTCCAGAGAGAGTGGTATCAAGTGGATCAACGCCTGGTGAGCTTGATCCATCACTCGAATTTCTATCCCCGGCAATTCATTATTGAACGGCTAATAACAGACACGGTTAGCAAAAGCTTGGCCTCCCAGACACAGCCAACTTCTCACTTCAATGGCAGTTGCTTCGGACAAAGATGCCGAGACTGTTTTCATCGAGACGATGAGGCTTTCTAATTTTTTGTGACAATTTAGAAGTTGAACACGCAGACTTTGGTTTTCCTCTTCCAGCTTAGTGATATTAAGATCAGGCTTTTCTGCTCGTTGAAGCTTTTCCTCGAGCTCCTTGATATACCCAGACTGTCGCGCTCGAAAAGCACGCTGGGAGATTCGATTGCGGAGCTTTCTAATTTTTGCTTCGTTAGCCCTGTTGAATCCTGAATTTCTCGTTGGTGGGAGAAATCACCTAGTATCTGTGACGGATTTCTGGTCGGCATGGGAACTTTGCGGCCTCGTAGTTTTGCTGGAAGGCGCCATGATGTGCGGTTTTTAAGGGGATAAATAGCGAGACGGCCGTTTCGTCAACAACAGATTCGGTCGTCTTTCCTTCACAGAGAAAATTCGAGTGTCTGGAGGTCAAAGATTTCTCTCGATCTTCAGCTATGACCTAAGATTGCGCGATTGCAAGCTCCTAGTGGTCAAATGGTCGATGAGCTCGGAGCCAACCTGGCCGATGGAAACCCCGCATTTTCCTAACTTGCGGGGAAGTGACGTTTGGTCTTTGCAAGTCCCTAAACAACCGGCTATCCAGCTGTTTGTCAGGCTTTTCTGACTGACCGAAGTAAGAGAAGCCAATCAGTTTGTGCCAAAAGACTATTAGCCTCGTTTCAGCGGTCCGAGCGCCGAGGATGAGGATTACAATCAACCTTGATAATGACAAGTCAGGTACCCCTACGAGGTAAGGTGTGAATCAGATGTCGCCAAAGCCATAAAGATAAAATCCAAGTCCTTGGGTCGGATATATGGTCTCAAGCACCAACAGCTGTCGGGATTTTGTCTATTCCTAACCAGCAGTTGAACAATCGTATTATTCTCGTAAACTCGAATGACAGTCGCAGAGAAGCACGACGGGAAGCACCTCAGTCCTACCGATGCCCGAATGCCTAAGGCATTGCATCAAGCGGTGGACTTGTAAGAGAGAAACAGAAGCTGACTGCCTGGTAGGGTCGCCTTTCTATCATATAAAGCGGTAAATAGTAGTGAATAGTACAAGGTGGAACGCAACTACCAGGACAAGGTTCACAAATAGCCAGTGAAATTTAAAGATGTTTTAAGTTAAACAATGCATTGATGAATTTTTAATTGCAATTGAAATTCATGATTCGACCTTCCAATAAAGCTCAGGCTGGAAGTGTTGCGACCTTGAGATTTGGTCCCGGAAATGAGAGGTTGTTCAAGTTCGGGGAAGATCGGAGCACGTCGGCCTACTTGCGAAATCTGCCATGTCATTGTCATTGTCGATTCATGGGTAAAGAGATGTATGCAAGAGTTGAATATGATCAATTGAACTATAGTAAATATTTAATTCGATCTAAAGCTATCTTAGACTCTCATTGTAATTGCATGGAACAAATCATGAAAGCAAAGTGGTGCGGCGCGGTGCTTAAGATATACTCCTATTACAAAAGGAATGCTGAACAACAAGGTATTAACGAAAGCTGTAAACGGCCGAAGCCAGTGTACTAGGTCTAGTCCAATAATAAAGCGCTGGTCCGAATACCCTCAACCTCGGGTGGATAAAACAAACCCCCTCCGAGTCCCCTCCTACCGCCAGGACAAAACAAAAAACAACCTTGAACCAACATCTATACCAACAAAAATGCCATCACACATCACGCGATCTAATCAGCCGGTATCCCCCGCCTCCAACAGCTTCAAACCGACCATAAACGAGGACCATTCGGGCACGGAATCGGACCCGGTCTCATGACCTCGGGATAGTCGGAGGGTAGAGCCGGAGAGTCGGGACAGAAGTACGGAGCACATAGCTCCTAACCACTAGTACTAGCGCAAGGGAAGCCAGGAATGGAGTCTGCGGAGAAGAATAGAAGAATCCATACGGAGTACAAATATGATCGGAAGAGATCATATCCTCCCCCGGGCTAGTGTCGATCGGGCTTTTTCGTCATGCAGATCAGGGCGGGAGGCGTCACTACGTAGTAGGGTGGGCTGGTGGTTGGACCTCGGCACAACGAAAAGAGGAAGAGTACCGGCATTGGGTGAGTCACAACTACGGAGTAAATCAGAATCATATGCAATGATGGGCAATTATAATTGAGAACGTTGAAATCATGACGTGTGATTTACTAGTATTGAAGATTGATTGGATTGGATTCACAGAATGTATTGGATCTGTCATCCCAGGTGCTGGCAATAGCGGTAGCACGGTGGATTCGATGGTAGAAAGAAGAGAAAGATATTACAGCGCAACGCTAGATCGGGGCAACAAAAACAACCCGATATAAGGAAATAAAAATAATAGAAAGGGAAAGGGAAAGGTGGTGCGAATGGCACCGCAAAGAAACAAGTTCGTCATGGAGAGGCCGTCACAAAAGCACACACACGCTTCACATCTTATTTCCTGGCCGGCTCCTTGGGACCAAAGGCATCATCCAGGAATCCGGCCCAAAGTTCTGAAACAACACCGGGTTTGGCGGGACCGCCATTGCGGGTGCGTTGGATTTCCTCACCGACGCGCGAGCGGCCGACAGCCTCGGTCAAGGAGAACGGGTCGAGGTCAACGGCGACGTTATCAACAACCTCAGACATGGCGCTGGCGGCGACGTCAGCGCCGGAACCGGAGACCGTGTAGATCTGGGGCTTCATGGGTGAAGAGGTGGGGATTGTGGATGGCTGTTGGATGGAGTGCATGTCGGGAAGGACCGGGATTTGGGGGGATGAGCGACGGATCGTCGTGGCGTCCATGTCGGACATTGTGGGCATGTAGACGAAGTCGACGGTGGAGGAGTCGCCGACGGCTGATGAGGAGCGGGAGGTGTTGAATTGGCGGGTTCTGTGGATTTGTTAGAATGGGTTCTTTTTGCGAGGCCTGATGGTGTTGGGATAGGACATACTCAGCGAAGGCATTGGGGTTAATGCGGCGCATGGCGATGCTGAAAGCACGGGTCTGGAGGATATCATGATTGGAGAGGCGTTCGACGAGCTAGGTATGTTAGATTAAATGGATATGGTGATATAGAGGATGTTCTGCTTACCTCGGACTTGCTGCCAGCAGCACGGATCGAACGACGTTGGCACTCGAGCTTCAGGTCAGGCAGGGTGCGAGCAGCGTAGAGAGAGGCCTTGTCGGCGGGATTGGCGGGTTGAGCGGACTGGACTCCGGTGATGTGCAGACAACGGCGGGCAGGGAGAGCAGAGTGTTGGCTGGAGAGCTGGCGCAAGGCACGCAGCGAGGATGAACGAGGAGCGGCCATGGTGAGTGATGTATGTATGTGTGAAGTGTGGAGGAGGTGGAGGTGATCTATGATAGATGTGGGTGGTAGTAGTGGTGGATGGTAGAGGGAAGTGGGAGGAGGGGGGAGAGAGTAGAAATGAACCGGATGGGGAGAAAGGACAATAGAGGGATTTATAGGATGGAGGGTACCGGGTACAAAGTAGAGAGTATCGTAAGTACAGAGAGTACTCTGTACTTCGGAGCACCTTGGGAACTTGGGAATGGTTGGGGAAAGCTATGGAGTTCCACTCTTGGCGGTCTAGCCTACGATCAAGTGGAGTCTTGACGTGGGCTATGTACATCCAGGGCTGTATCTACAGTGTGGGATTACTAGTATACCACTCTTGAGTCTGCTCAAGTATGATGTAGATGATACTAGAATGCTACTCTATAGATACTACCTACTATATCCTATACCAACTCAGTATACTAGGTTCTAGTATACTGGTATCTATACTGTAAGTACTCGTACCGGTACTTAGTACCCGCAGTGCGGGACACCATTTACCCCGTATCCGCCAGCACACTTCCGTACCGGTACTTCCCCTACGCCGTACACTACTTACTACAGTACTGTAAGTCCCTCTGTCGTGTCTGTCGCGGAGTCTTCCATTCCCTCCGAGATCGACCTTCCCCTCTCCACCTCCCCCCATTATTGGCTCATATCACTCCATCCTCCCACTTCCTGCACAATGCAGTCATGGGAATCTTTCCAGGGAATTCTCGTCCACCAACAAGCTGTCACCATCCATAATTCCCCGCCGCTGACTGGTTCCCGCCAAACAAGCATCCCGTCCCTTCTCCTCACGCTCCCTCACCGGTCTTATCCAAAGTGAATCCAGATGAGATGGATCACCTCAGCCTGGACTACAGTCCAGCCTACCACAAAAATAGGACACCCCCGTGTGGAGCGATCGCCCTCAACGTTCTGGACGGGGTGACGTGGATCTAGTTTGATCGGGTCCCATGACTCTTCCTTCCCCTTCCCCTTCTCCCCTTCTCCCTCCCCCTTTCCCGGCGGTAAGACTGAGACTGTTGGAAACCATCCTCCACGGAGAACAACGGCCACCACCCCGATTGGTTTGAGATTCGGTGAGTCTGCCCGATTTCTACGTACCACATAGTATAGGTGGTACAGGGTACTCCGTAGTACATGCCAGTGCTTAATTCTACCCGTACGAGTACCCCCTTCCCGCCAAACCCGCTGCGTTGGATACATGTTACCCGACCTATTCATGTACTACATGACGATCGCCCGTGGCGCAGCTCGTAAGGGATTCTGAATCTTCTGATCGTGTTTCTCATTATCGGCTTGGCTCCAGCTTGGCAGATTAGATTCTCCATCCCAATTCATACTATTTAGATTCAGATTCCTACCCCTGCATTGGGTTGAATTCCTTGGCACCCAGGGGCGGGTGGATCGCCCGGGCGATCTTCTGTTGGGATACTTTATTTCTTTCCTTCAAGTTCGTTATCTACGGAGTATTTACTTCGTTAAGGGAACTTCATGGCCAGGAGACTTGAAACTTTCAATCTAATTCGATGACTGGTAGATGTTTTTTTCTGTCATGATTGCTAGTGTATATCGCCATGAGCCAGATCTACTAGCATACTAACCAAGAATCGACTACACATCGCACTAAACAATTATTGACTGACCTATAGCTTGGCACCGCGTCGCCCCTTTGCAACCCCCCGAGCATACGGGTGCGAGGCCGTGGCAGGCACTAAGTGATCGACATCCCCCGTGTGCAACAGATCCGGCGACGCCTGGTCCAACGAGGTGATACCGATATTTCGCATCGCCGTCTCCAGTTCATCTTGCATGACTAGTAGAGTAGAACCAATTAGCATCCATCGTAATAGGAGATTGGGGTATTAAGGAAGACCTACTATCAACCAAGTGCTCAACACCCTCCGTCCCATAATTCGTCGCAAAAAGCATACTCCTCCCCATCCCCACAGCCGTCGCCCCAAGACAAACCGCCTTAAGAATATCCGTCCCGCGCCGAATCCCACTATCAACATAAACCTCCATCTTTTCAAAAACCTCCGGGCACCGCCGCTGAATCTCCAACAACGTAATAATCGACGGCGGACTCGTATCCAAATTCCGTCCACCGTGGTTACTCAGCAGAATCCCGTCCAATCCCGCCTCCATCGCCATCCGCGCATCATCCGCACTCATAACACCCTTCAAACAAACCGGTTTGTGCGTGTGCTGCCGCACCCATTTCAGATCTTCCCACGTTAGTCCTGGATCGATGAATCCGGCCATCACTCGGCCGAGCCCGCCGCCCTTTTTGTCGTTCTGCGCTTTCGACGGTGACATCGGGACTGAGAGGCTTTCGTCGGCTTTTACGCGCTCGTCTGCTTCGCGCTTGCCGGGCCAGGCCGCGTCTACAGTGACGAAGATCGCTTTGATGTTGGGGTTTGCGGAGCATTGGCGTAGGAGGGCGGCGGACTTTTCGCGGTCGCGGTTTACGTATAGTTGAAAGAAGAAATCTGCCGATGGGGCGGCGGTGCGTAGTTCGTCCATGGTGTAAGAGGAATTATTCGAGATCTGCGGAGATATCAGTTATAATATCCCGGGGTTCATTGGAGGAAGTGGGTAGGGTAGGTTGGGTATGGGAGGGTAAATCAGATAGACATACACCTTGCATGATGCCTTTACTCTCACAAGCTCGTGCAATCGCGCACTCTCCTTCCGGGTGAATCAGCTTTGCCATTGCCGCCGGACTAACGAAGAGGGGGAGCTTATAGTCGCCGCCTAGCATTTTGGTGCGAGTCTCAACTGCGCGAACATTGCGCAGAACCCGTGGTCGAAACCAGATCCGGTCGAAGCAGGATTTATTAGCGTCGCGTGTGATTAGATCCGTTGCGGCGCTGGAGTAGAAGGCCCAGGTTTTGCTGTTGGCGGTTTTGGATGCGACGACTTCGAAGTCGTGCGAGTTTATCAGTGTGCCTAGTGGGGGTTTCTCGTTGTCTGGGAGTGCCTTGGCTGTTACTGTTGGTGGCTTGGCCCATTCGGCGTCGATTGTGGACTCGTCGAGGACGCCTTTGAATTTGTCGGCTTGGAGGTTGGTTTTCATGACGCTGGGAGCGTGGACTTCGGAGTAGGCTTCTGTTGCGTCGTTGCCGGCGTACTTTAGGATGACTATTTGTAGTATGTGAGCTTGGGGTCGCTCGTCGGGGTTAGTCGGGTGAGTGTTCATACTGGTTGATCCGCCGGGGTGTTCTTCTAGGAAGTCTGTAACGTCCCACACTTGCTTGTCTACAACGACCCAGCAATCGTCTGGCGAGTTGTGCGTCGAGATCTGTTGGGTCGAGAGGAGTTTCTGATCGGCCATGGTGGAGAGGGTGGCCAGCTGGGACTGAGCAGAGAGTGACGAGGTGAGTAAATGAGGGAGACGTGTGATAATGGTCGAAAGGCAGAATTGACCGGCCAGATATGTCTAAATACTCAGCAAAGCCCTTATCGCGGTGGTTCTCCGCGTAGCGACAAGTTGTCTCCACCACGGCAATGTCCCCGGACTTACCCCGGACTGCTGGACTAGCACTGCTTCGGGTCAAATTGTACCGAATGATTTTGTTAGGGGTTGATACGATTGGCCAACATTGAAATGTTCACAGCCATGCTGTTTCTTCAGTGCTTCTGTGCAGCTTCCATATGGTACTAAACATCGCATGTTGATTAGATCTCAGCCCACCTTGGGGCACGAAAAGCATCACAGGCCTGCCAGAGGCAATTACTGGATATTAATTCTCCCTATCGCGCCCACTTTCCCTGCAGCGGACCAAGTCGATCATCGACGACATGGGCTGTAAAATGTGTGTGTCCATTGAACCCTCAGACCCTGAAGCGGTCCAAACGTCGGGGCAGCCCCGAACGCATCGCGGATTTCTCTCCGGTGGTTTACACCTGATTAGTCATCCTCACGGAACACCTGCGCCACAATGTTCCTGTGGCTGTGGCTGAAGATCACCTGAGTCAACAAAATCAGCCTTCGACATTGCCCGGCGCATCTCATTTCATAGATCAGCATAATCGGCCATCCTGATATTCAATTATCATCCCATGCACATTTTCCCTATTGGACGCAGTGCCTCGACAACTTTGGGCCACATCGGTACATCCATTGGACGAACAAAAGGATTTATTCACAACACTTCCGGTATGCCACAATGCGCCTGATAAGGCATAGCGGAGATGAACCACTTGGCTAACCATTATGCTATAGCTCCTTCTCTAAACGGGAAGATCATTTGGAAATCACAGACCCAAGCAATCCGATTCAGCGCTACTACTGCATTCTCTACGTTTGCGCCCAGACAGTCGCGGAGAAAAATGACTGAGTCCGAGACGAGCAAACCACTCCGTTATGTCGATGTACGTGCTCTCGACAACGCCATTGGATTTTTTCAAAGTACACTCGCTGACTCCAACAAACAGATCGGCATTAACCTAAGTGACCCGATGTTCCAGGGCCACTACCACGGCAAACAGGCGCACGAGGGCGATCTGGACGATGTCATCCAACGCGCCAAGGACGTCGGATGCGAAAAGTTTATGGTAACAGGCTCAGACCTGGAAGAGTCACAAACAGCCATTCAAATCGCCCGAGACCACCGTCAGTCTCCCCTTCCTTCTACCCTCCATCGGTAACCCACCCCTAATTAACCACTCTTACAGCCGGATTCTGCTACGCCACAGTCGGCGTTCACCCCTGTCAAGCAGACCTCTTCGACAAACACCCCGGCGGCCCAACAGCTATGATAACCGAGCTGCGAAAACTAGCCACCGAAGCTAAAGAAGCCGGACTGGCCGTTGCATTTGGAGAAATCGGCCTCGACTACGACAGGCTATTCCACAGCGCCAAGGAACCACAGCTGAAATACTTCGAAGCCCAGCTCGACCTCGCAGTTGAGATTCAAATGCCATTGTTCCTCCACTCCCGCGCCGCGAGCGAGGACTTCGAGCGACTTCTCGCGTCCCGATTGCCCCATTTGCCGAAGGGTGGTCTGGTGCATAGTTTTACCGGGACGATGGAGGAGATGCAGAGGCTTGTTGCGCTGGGTGTTGATATCGGTGTTAATGGGTGTAGTATGAAAACGGAGGAGAATTTAGAGGTTGTCAAGGCTGTTCCGTTGGAGAGGCTTCAGATTGAAACGGATGGTCCTTGGGTATGTGTGCTCCATCCCATCACACCCCCCACTTGCGTATCCACCTTTCCTTGCTTTTGATCATGGCTAACCAGTGACGCGTCGAATAGTGCGAGATCCGGCCCTCGCATGCCTCGGCTAAGTTCTTGTCTGGTGCCCCGGACCTGCCGAAGTCCTTCAAGAAGGAGAAGTGGCAGAAGGGGTTCATGGTTAAGGGGAGGAATGAGCCTGTTGCTATTGCTCGGGTTGCGCATGTTATTGCGCAGGTGAAGGGCATTTCGGTGGAGGAGGTCTGCGAAGCGTAAGATTTGCTCTTTGAATTTGATCTGTGGTGGAATTTGTGCTAATTTCGATTTCTTTTAGGGCTTGGAATAACTCTACGAGAATGTTTGGTCTTGGAATTCAATCATAAGGAGGGCGTTGAGCCTTGGTTTACCATTCGACAGTCATGCGTCTGGCCTATAATTCATGCAACTGTGTGGGGAGACGGAAAGTCGCTTGTGGCATTTACTAATGCAAAATAAATAGAATATTCATATACCTCATGAAGTGTCTGTCTGGTAGCTGGTCATCAAAGCGGTTTCCAGAATACTAGTACAATATTTAAACATCTAGAAATCAAAAAAGCAAATCGAATCCATCCTTGGCAGCATCATCGTCTTCGTCGGAAAGTAACATACCACTGGCAGAAGAACTATATGGGGGCTGTGAATTTTCGTAAGGCGAGAAGAGACTATCCACCATCGTCGGATCCGAGTCGGAAATATATTCGAAGTAGCTCGCTGCGTCGTTTATCTCATCATAATCTTCCTCCATCCAGTCATAGGGCCGAATGGCGGCTTCTTCTGAGTAATACGTTGATTGACTGAGGTATTTATAAATAGTAGAATCAAGTAATTCGTCATTGGAATAAGTGTCGTGTTCAAGAAGCATATTGAATCCCCCGTCGACAGTTGCATTCGGCGACGTCGATTCAGAACCATCAAAGAAAGAAGTCGCCTTCATGGTGTTTTTGATTCCCCGAAGCTTTGTTTGTGCAATGCACCACAGGGATGATTGAATGGCGTGGTTCAATCTTCTTTGACCGGGCAAGCTCGCTGTGTCATTTGAAACCGAATTATCGACGCTCTGTAGAAGGATCCTCGCCATGCGCTTCAATTCTGCATTATGACTGCCCTCCACCATCGAGGTTATCGCTTTTGATATTATTGGTATGGAAACTGCTCGCTGATCCATGGCCTAGTTGGGGTTAGCTGTCAATCACAGATCATACAGGTGAGGGGATGCTGACCTGACGGTAAAGTGGGTTGAATATGGCCGGCGCCAAACCCGACATCTTTTCCAGAGATTCTGATTGGGTGGAGTCTGTTTGATGGGCTCTCGATGGGCCTGCTAGAACCAATCTCCGAAGAGATTTGTCGAGTAGCTGGTACGAAGCTGAAAGATCATCTGTAGAGCCGTCATTCTCCTGTGACAGTGGGTGCTGGCTAGGGTCGAGAAGACTACTGGCATTCAAGTTCATGAATTGCCAATGGCCTGACACTTCCGAGTCAAATTCAACCTCAACATCTTCCGAGTCCCCGTCGTCTGAAATATATATCTCTGGTGGTATGGAGCAGTAATGCCAGAGTATACTAGGATCCGGTTCCAAAATCTGTAAAAAGTCGCCTGAATGGGCGATCTCATCCACCTCCATTTTTATTTCTGGATGCACTGCCAGTGGCAAGCTATACTCCAGATATATGTCAATTGCCGCGAGGAATATCACGGGATGGTTGGTTGGCGGGTGAGCCCCGGGCGGGTTTCTCAAAATTGACGGGACCCTTCGACTGATGATTTGGTTTTGTGAGTGCGTTCTTCTGCAGAGTCCAAATATCAGGCAACTTATGCGAGAGCCATTTGTGTCCTCCGAGGTTTCGCAGCTTTTGAAGACGATTGTGGAGCCAAGATCTGACCAAACCTAGACTCGGAGTCATTCATCAACAAGATGCTCTTTAATATAAATGTGGGTAAAAAGCTTACCTTTGAACTGCACATCCTTTCCTCCAAACTTGAGACCAGGCTTGATAGAGTCCACTCTAGACGTGGCTTGATGTCGAAGTGAAGTCGGAGTTCGAGTTCCGGTGCTTCTGTAACCCAGGCGGAGAGAAGATAAAGCAATTGAATGTCCTGGATTTGTGGGATCTGGTTTGAACAATTAATTGGAAGTTTGAAGTGACCCGTTGCGGTGAGTTGAAGCTTCAAAGGGGAGGCAGCTGTCTGGAAGCAAGCCTGACCCAAGTTGACACGGTGCGACATAGTGGAAACGGTTGCCGTCCCAGAAATGAATGTAAGTCGACAAGAGTTTGGATTATACAAAAAGGATCCTCAAAACGGTGGAATTGTCCTTGGACTGAGAGAGTGCAATGAGGTGACTCTGAGTCGGAGTTGTGCCAAGCTCCATCTGAGGCGGCGAAGGCACATGATTCTCCTAGTATACATTTTGTCTGCATTGAATGTCCATATACGTTTTGGAGTGTAATCACGGACTTTTTGCTATTAATTGATTTAATTCGCGGTTGCTTGTTGACATTGGGTCTTAATTGAATAATCGGATGTCCAGTGTATTTGTTTTGGACCCATATATTTTTAGAACATGCGATCTATACCTCCGAGCTCTAGCATGGGGGAGTCCCATATTGCTGAGCATCTCCATAGTGAGTCCACACGTCATCAATTTGGACCGGACAAAGCAGCCATAAATCCATATCCTTGTGTGTTATTTGAACAGCAGCTCATATCAGAGTCAAATAAGAAATACGGACGTACATTACTTCATTTCCTATTTCCATTCCCCATACATTCCAATCGTTATCAACAAAGACCTCTTATCGACAGTCACGTGCACCGGAGCAGGTGGCCTCAAAGGACCGCGCGACTTTCCTCGTAAACCTCACAGCCAACGATGCCCAGGGATGAGGGAGGCAATGACCTCTTATCTGGTCAAGATGAAGATCACTCACACGAATCGCAAAATCTCTTGTCCAGTCCACTCGAAGAACCCGATGATCTTATAGTTCACCCCGGACCAGCGAACTCACCCCCGGCCCCCGCGCAGAGCACAACGCATGGAAAGCGCCAATCGTCAATATCACACCCTCCACCCGATGGACAGCGTCGCGCACCGCGTACCCTCAACCGCGTTCGATTCGATCTAAACGAGGAGAGCGGCGAAGATGACCTTGTGTCCAATGGCGCTCCTCGCAGCCCGGAAGACGCGCGATGGCTTGATGAGGAGGACTACGAGCTTGGCGAACCCGGTACACAGGGTGGAAGAAGGAACACAGGGCAGAGTATCCCTTTGCTCACAGATATTGAAGCCCCAAGCGTGACGCTTGCGACATCGGACGATTTCTTTCCCGAAGATCACCTTGAACAGGCGCGACCGCGCAGTGGCATGAAAATGGCGTTTATGAATATGGCCAACAGCATCATCGGGGCGGGAATTATCGGCCAACCATATGCTTTGCGCCAAGCGGGGTTGGTAACTGGCATTCTGCTTTTGACAGCATTGACTGTTACGGTAGACTGGACTATCCGCCTGATCGTCATCAATTCAAAAATGAGTGGGGCCGATTCGTTCCAAGCTACCATGCAATATTGTTTTGGGAAAAGTGGACTTATCGCGATTTCTGTTGCCCAGTGGGCTTTTGCTTTCGGTGGCATGGTTGCGTTCTGTATTATTGTCGGTGATACGATTCCCCATGTTCTGAGCGCTCTCTTCCCGTCGCTTCGAGATATGGCGTTTCTTTGGCTGCTTACGGATCGGCGAGCGGTGATTGTGCTTTTTGTTCTGGCTATCTCGTACCCGCTATCCTTATATCGTGATATTGCGAAGGTGAATTCACCGGGAAAGATTTCTTACAACTACCCCTTGCAGCCGCTGACTTCGTTATAGTTGGCTAAAGCATCCGCACTTGCATTGGTCAGTATGATTGTTATTGTTGTCACGGTCCTCACGCAGGGTTTCCGTGTCCCGGCGGAGTCGCGAGGAGAAGTAAAGAGCCATCTCATCATCAACTCCGGATTCTTCCAGGCAGTCGGCGTGATATCTTTTGGTTAGTATGCCCCCGAAAAATCATGGTCTTTCGAATATCCTGCTAACCTTTCATAGCCTTTGTTTGCCGTATGTTACTTTTAATGCGCCTTACTTATAATGAGAGCTAATGCTTCTTAGATCATAACAGCCTTCTGATCTATGGATCCTTGAAGAGGCCCACTCTTGACCGCTTTTCAACTGTGACCCATTACTCTACCGGCGTGTCGCTGGTCATGTGCCTGGCGATGGGCATCGCGGGATTTCTATTCTTTGGCTCCAAGACACAGGGCAATGTCCTGAACAATTTTCCATCGGAAAATATCCTGGTCAACATTGCTCGATTGTACGCGGCTCATCCATCCCATCGTTTGTGACGACCATGCTAATTTGAATTATAGTTGCTTTGGCCTGAACATGCTCACAACCCTCCCGCTTGAGGCTTTTGTCTGCCGATCCGTGATGACTACCTACTACTTCCCCGACGAACCATTCAACCCGAATCGACACTTGATTTTCACGACCTCGTTGGTAGTTACTTCTATGACGCTGGCGCTGATTACCTGCGATTTGGGGATGGTGTTTGAGCTTATTGGCGCAACGAGTGCTGCGGCTCTGGCTTACATCTTCCCTCCACTATGTTATATTAAACTCAGCAGTGCCAGCCGCCGAGAAAAGATACCAGCCTATGTGTGCGTTGGATTTGGACTTGTCGTCATGGGGGTATCTGTCGTGCAAGCCGTTGCGAATGCCATTACGAGTAAGTATTCCGTCGTCGCTTTCTTGCTTTACCATTCGATCTTTCACATCTTTCATATTTTGTTGTCCCTGCCATGCCTCACTGTCTTTCGTTTTCCTTTTAGCTCCTCCTTCTGGGGTATTTCATCATCTATATCCTGACTAACGATTTTCTAGATGAAGGAGGGGGATCTACTTGTGGTGTCTCATAAATGGCATCTGTCCCCGCAATATTTGCATCCCATAGATATCGACCCTCAGCACGGGTCCCTGTACATAACTTTCCTAAGCAGCATATCGAAATGAATATACCAAATCACCAATCTGGATTGAATGCCTCGATCCGAGCTTAATTCTCTATTCGTGTCTATGTGGTGATCGCACCTCTCAATAGCCCATAGTCAGTTACACTATCCTCTACTATGGACCTCAACCACTACTCCTCCTTTCCCCCCATTCACTCTGTTAACCCACCCTGTCAATTCACTTTCTTCATCTCATCCCATCCCATTCCACCATCTGATGGTATGCTACTAGTACTGATAGTATTTGCTACCTGAGGTGGCCCGTGTTCCCCTACTACGGCTCCTTCCCTCACTTCCATCCACCTTCAAGTTTCTCTCCCTCATCCTCTTTTTCCCCTTTAACACCCACAACCCCCTCTCCCTCTTTTTTGTATTTTCGTCAACCTCCCTCTCTTTTTTCAATCACTCCAGTGCCGTGGAATTCGCAAAGAAATCGTCGTTCTGCGAATCACTTAGCGGAACCACCCCTTTGGATACTCCCTCCTCGCCCCTCACTCTCGTTTCAGTCTTTCCTGCGCAGCTTTATAGACTGACTCTTGCCCCACCGACCAGATCAGTATAATCTATCTCTTCTCTCTCAGCTCCGCACTCCCTCGATATTGTGAATCTCACATCAACGCCAACATGGCGTCCACCATGGACCGTGAGAAGGAAGAACTTATGAAACGGCTGCAGATGGTAAGGATGCTCTCAATGACGTGGCCTTCATCTCGGAATCGGTGAGCTGACAGCGTGAATAGTCAGACTTGGGATCTGATCGGCGTGAATATATCTCGACGCGTGAGGATAAACGTTACGGACAGCAATATTCATACGAAGAGATCGAGTCCTCTCGAGCATTTCACAAGGATACAACTGCCCCAGGACGCCAGGCCCTGGCTCATCAGCCTGCGCTAACCGCTTGGTCTAGTTCGTTCTGAATTGTTTCCCAGTTGCTCGACCAATCATATTTGCTGACTTTTCTTTCCTCCACAGCGCTCGCTCAGAAGGTGAATGATACCGGTAGTATCGAAAAGCTGGACCCTCTTATGCATGGCCAAAGCCACCGAGCTCGACTCATGGAGAGGATTAAAGAGAAAGGTGGCCAACAGTATGGTGAAGGGTACGGCAAAGGCTGCCAATCAAAGTCGGAAAACCACCATCCATTCTCCCCTGTCTCGTCTGGTCGTGGAGGCGGCGTTGTGGGAAGTCGCGGTCGTGGACGGTAAGCTTCGTTATTTCACCTGGATTGGCTGGACATTGTTGCTGACTAGAATCAGTGGCTTTGGGCCCCGTGGAGCTCCCGGGGCCATCGCGATGCGCTCGCACTCCGTGGCACTGCCAACTGGAGCTGCGTTGACTAGGCAGGACCCTGCGCTAGATTCGAACAATGGCGGACCCGTAATAGCTGGGAAAAATTATCGTGGTGGCCCCGGTCGAGGCCCAAGTAAGCTATCATCAATTTCGCTTGTATGGGATATTCGTTGACAACAACACAGGAGGCCAGCCTACGAGACCTATCCCACTACTCCGACGGCCGGCACCTATGTACGTATTCAGACGTGTCTCCAGACTCTTCTTCTCGTTATGTTGCTTACTTACGTGTATTTGAACAGGGAGGATTTCTCAAAAAATCTGGGATCGAGCGTTGACTTCATGCAAAAAGCCCAGGCCCAGGGATACACTAAGGCGGTTTCACAGGTGTCATCGGCCGCGCCATCTCGAGTTTCGCCATCCCCAACACGACGGACTTCTCCCTCGCGATTCGTGTCTCATCGACGTTCTGTGACTTTAGCAGGAACCGGTGCTCGACCAGTGCTTCCACCTCCCTCTCCAAAGGCTGTGAAGCAAGCACAGCCGAAAAAGCAACAGGTTCCGGCGACAACCCTCGAACCGTTTGCTCCAGCTTCGAAGCTGCCCGCCGCTGAGACAAAGGACGCTCCCAAACATAGGTCGCTGGAACAGCCATTATCGCAGGCCACAACCCTGAAGCTGTTCGCCCCAGTGCCGAAAGTATCTGTCACTGAGACAAAGCCCGCTCCCAAAGAGAGGTCGCTGGAACATTCATTATTCCAGGCCAAAACCCAAAAGATCCTTTCTTCAACCCCGAAGCCGTCTGTTCCTGTTCTTGAAACAAATCCTGCTCCCAATAATAGATCGCCAGAACCATCTGCGGACATTTCGCTCATTGACTTCTCATCAGAAGATGAAAACCCCGAGCCTCAGCCTGGACCTTCCACGAAAGTCCCACCAAAAGCTCCCACGGGTCCTCTCTTGGATCTTTTGGATTTCGAAGAGAAGAATGACCTTGTACTGTTGACTCCCAACAGATCCAGAATAAGCCAAGCGATCGAGAATCAGCTTTCAGGACTTGAATTCGAACAATCTGATCCTGAGCATGAGACGGTACCCCAGCAATTACGGACTGTGAATTCTCAGGCTACAATTATGATCGACGGTTTGAGTGAGTGCTTATCAATTCTCGAGAAAAAGATATCTAGTGCACTTCATGAATCAGAGACCTCTTCCTCTCCCAAACAGCCAGTGAGGATATCAACTCCCGTCAAGAATATTTCGAGTCAGGACGAAGGTACGGATTGCCCAAAACCTTTGCCACTCTTGTCTCTGAAGAACGAGCTTAACTGACATTCAATAGTTCTCACCCCTCCCGGTTCAAAGAAGAGCCAAGCCGGCAGCTTCATCGATCACCGTTCACCTCAGAACAGCTTGTCTTCTGGCGACTCAACACAGCGAGCGAAGGAAACTCTACCAGAAGAAAACCTCTCTCCTCGAAAGGCAGGGCCCGCTGTCTCAGAACCACCTCTCCAAGGTTTCGACAGACTGCAAATATCCGAGCCCCCAGGATTAGAGTTCGAGGCTAATGAACCCCAGACTGCTGCTGCGCGGACACAGCCGAGAGAACAGGACGTGCGCCCCGCTCCAAGACATGGCGGCATTGGCATGCTCGCGGATTCAATTCATGCCGTCGACGTGGAACACGCTCGAACCATTGGAGGTGCCCGTACGATCGGTGTCAAGCCTTCACACACAAACAAGATCAACAACCAGGTGACCATCGAAATCCAACGTGCTAGTCGCACTCAAAGTCGTATGCCATCTGGAATGTCGACTCCCATGAATCAGCCATCCGGACTCGGTGCTAGCATTAATGCCACCGATAAGAAGGTCGATGCCGCACCCACAGCGGAAGGTTCGGTGCCTAAGCCTCGACAAGCTTCTTTCAGGTCTCGTCATCGTTTGGCTTAGGAGTTCCGGAGTGATATGAAACCGTGCTTGTGACATCGACATGTATCTATGTCATCTCTCCCCCATCAGCTCTGATGTGATCGTTATCGATCTCGTATTGTTCCACTGTCGCAATTCATTTTGCGCCTTTGTCAAATTAGTTATTTCGCCACTCATTCCTTCGGGAATTTTACGGCATCAAAAATTCTTTCTTTCTTTTATTTCCTTTTTTAATTTTAAATCAGTAGAAACATTGGGTGTTGCTGATGGCAGTACAATCGCCTCTAGTCTCGACGATCTCTCAGTTTAATATTGCGATCAGTCGGAGGGGCGTGTCTAGATTGAGGGTACTTCAAAACCCACTTAGTGTTCTAGTAAGTTTTGTCGCCGCAATGTCGCTATCTTTCAAATGAGAAAGGGGACCCTCTCTCCATCGTTCAAGTAGATCATAGAGGGTCTTGCTGTAAGAAGTGGACCAGATCTATATCGCCAGAGAGCCCCATATTGCATTGCCGGATCTTCTTCACTCGATCTGTACTTATGTCCGCCACGTGTCACAAATCCAATGATTAGTGCAATGGTTCGCCGCCCCGACCAATGCCCGCGGAACCGGAACGTTCGTGGAAAATACGGTAGCAGTTGGTACTTTGTGAAGAGCTTAAGTTTACTTCATTTCCTTGTTTGACAAGGTCAACGGCTTTCTTGGGGCCACTATCATCTGCTCAATCTGCCCAATCTGCCCAATCTTCCCAATCTTCCCAATCTTCCCATTCTTCCCATTCTTCCTATTCTTCCTATTCTTCCTATTCTGCTCGAATCTTACAAGGATCGGCATTTAAAATTGCCTACCTTCATATGTGGTTAGAATTTTATTTTTATTTTTTATTTTTATTCGTTTATGACCTATTGGGAAGAAAAAAACAAAGAAAAAAACGTGATGAACGGGATGGCTAAGATGGGTCAAGTTCAAAGGATTGACAAAATGGGCAAATGATGATTTTTCAAAAATTCAAATCCAAATACTTGTTTACACCCATCCAGCAAAAGTACAGCCCTCATCCTTCCAGTGTTTCCCTCCAGTGTTTCCCTCCATCGCTTCCCTTCAGGTTTTCGTACCCGACCCACAAATCATCCAACGCCAGGGTGATCTATCACATTGAATCTGGTGGATCTAGACTTCTCACTCCACGCGATCTTAGCGTAGATGGCCTTCTTCGAAACAAAGTACACATTTCCAAGGGTACTTTTTACCGTACTTTCTACCGCACTATCTCTTTCTGGGACTGGCTCTATCGAAAGAAGAAAATGGTGGATTAAAAGTACGTTATTGTACCGATAGGGCACAGATACGATCCTTCCATAGCCCACAGGTGCAGGTACATCTCGAATCATGTGGGAACTCATATGGGTGTGACTCACGCAGACTGAGCCAACCCCTCGATATGCAATGGAAAAGGGGCTCACGGAGAGAGCCTGGAAGGCAGGTTGCCAAGGACGCTTTGGCAGCCCATTTGAACAGGGATGACTATTTTGGTTTAGCTAGGGTTCGTCCTGCCCCTAGAAATAATCAGCCGACTAATCACCTAGGGATGAATTGCTTGGACGCGGCTATCTTCGGAAATTAGATAGTGGCCTGCACTCCTAAGCTATTATATTATTCTGAATGGACGTTGCATTACTGTCAAGTCGTGTAGTCTATCGAAATCTACGGCTTCGAGAGGCTTTCGGATTCTAGGTGAGGATGCTTTGCACGTTTTCACACGATCTATCGGCAAGGCGCTAGTTTCACTGGATCTGAGAACAGCTGAAACAGCCATAGCTTAATCCGTAGTATTGGAATAACTGCCGGATCGAACCAGCGTCATTAGTGACACTCTATCTGCCTATTCCAGTAACAGTACTCTGCTTCTCACCTGGATGCCCCTTTTTCTGCATACTTTTCTCCGCCACGTCAGTCTGCTATTGGGGTGCTCAGACGACTACTAGGAGCTGCCTCTGCAGACCACAATGTTTCAAGTTTTCAGCATAAGCTTCCGGAATGTTCTCCCGGTCCAAGGCAATTAAATCACTAGGAACCGATTCACATCGCTACTCGAAAGCGGAAAGGATCGCCGTTTCGCCCGGGTGATGGGTGACGTGCGCTAGGTAGCGGAGATCACCCAATCGTCCTCTATACATCCCGAGGGAGGAATCTAAAAAGTTCGCCAAAGAGCGGTGAACTCGTAGCTGAAACTGAGCGGGAAGGATTTCAGACGCCAGTGTCTCGTGCATCACGTTCAATATTCGCCACCCTTCCTGTCGCTGCCAAATAGACTAGCGTTACAAAAGTACCAAACTGTGCGTGCACAACCTTTTAGCAGAGCCTTTTGTTTTAGCAAATTTCGCCCCATTCTCGAACGGTTCCCCCGGAAAGAGATCCGCCACGTCTTTCTTCGTACAAGCTGTCAGGATTCACATTTCTTGCTAGATACAGTTCGGCTAGTCTTTGGGTTATGATCTTCCTCTAGCTATCTATCCTGTCAATGGTTCTATTCAGAAGACTCATGGGTCTTACGCTGCAAAAGTCACGTTAATTCATACTGGCGACTGGAGAGACAAGGAGTTTTGTTGCATCTTCGGTTGAGGAGTGCTGGATCTGGCCCAGCGCTCATTTTGCCGGTCCGAATTTCCTCATTTTCCTTTTCTTCACTCCTTAAAATTTGATGACATCGGAATCCACAATTGGAGCCTTTTTTTTCAACTGCATGAGATGATCACCTGTCCCTACCCGATAGATTCAAGAGGTCTGTGAGCGGATCTGTGATGAGCCCTTCCGCGTAACTATTTCCCGCTAGCCTCCAAATCACAATGGGTTGCCTGGGTGAAGAATCCAACAGAAGAGGATACTCTTTGATTGGCCATTCGAGCGATTCGCATACACCAGGCGACAGCCACCAGCCCCAGTTCTCGATTGGCCCTTTTTCTTGATGGTCCGCTCGGAATGCCCACATTTGTCACAGATGATGCATCATTCGGAGGTTTTACTTGGTCTAAAACGTGCTCTAGAGGATTATTCAAGGCTTTACCATGCCTGGTACCCAAATCAAATTTCTGCGATAATGAAAGGCATTGTGCCGGAATATGATTTTGAAGTTTCAGGAAAAGAAAAATAGTAAAGAGGTTCTTCTCTTGCCGTCCATCAGTCTATTTTATTTTTCTATATACCGCGGCTATAGACAGCAGGATTACTGCACTGAAGTGCTTGATTTTACCAGTATACATTCATCTTTGCGAGTCTGGGAAATAAGGCTACCCAAATTATAGGCAATACCGTACCTTTCCTGTCCATCTTAAATTTTACCCCCGGTCACGGTCTAAAAATGTTTATCTATGTCCACAATATCATGAACACGGCCTCACTAGTCTGGCTGCTCCTTCGACCTTACTTTCACTCGTAGTTTCAGAGGCCTCGGTTTCTGAGGCAAGAAGATCCGTGTCTTCGAGCCGACCGATACAAAGTATCAACTCCGCCAACTCCACCGATGTCATCAAGTCACGGCATCCACAGGAGATTTCATGGAATTGCTTCCCTTTTCTGGGAATTCGAGCTGATAAAAAGAATCCCCTGCGGCGGACTTTTCTCACCCCAGTCTTTTCGAGTATCCAATGCCGCCTAATACCGCGCGGAGAAGCTGCTGGAGACTGCATTGGGAAACTTCGGAGATTCAATCTTGTACTGGGAGCGTCGGCGTAACGACGAGCTGGAAGTTGACCTCTCCTCGGGCGGAAAGGCGGGAATTGGAACGCTGTTGTCCTAGACACGCAATTTATTAGCCGTGATGGGTCTAGGAAAGTCACAAAAAGAATAATCACCTCTCCTGTATTTTCCAAAGCGATTTCAGTCCGACGGTCCTGAGCACGAGGAAGTAGCATCCAGATGGTGGTCGCAAGACAGATTGCAGTGGTATGTACTTCGGGAACATTCGCAGTATACCAGTGGAAAAGAAAGTCCATCATGTCTGTAGAAAGCACGTCACTGTTCAAGTAGACAGTTCCCAGCTTAAAGTCTGAAGTGAAGTCGGGGAAAGAGAAAGGAACTCTTCTTATATCAGATAGTAGGACATCTGGCCAGCTTTCCCAGCTCCCTTTTCGGTGGGTGAACGAGCAAGGTCATTGGTTAGGTGGACTTGTTTGCAACGCACAATCTAGTACGTAAAAATCAAGCCGACGAGCTCTGATTCTCTCTCTGCGGTGCATGGGTGGCTTGTGCGTACTCAACAGAAGACAAGTGTCCAAGGTAATTCCGGAACACTTCTACCCTAAATCCGCGTCTCTTGCCAGGTGGGCATCGCAATTATTCTCCTTCATAGTGCAGCTCTCGAAAGCTACATTATACCATAACCACTGCATTCTAATACAAATTTTATAATCCATGTTTTCTGCATGCAAAGATTATGACTAAGTGAATTTATTTTCATACGCATGAGGAAACTTATTTAGTAATCTGGACCACAAAATCTTTGAAAAGAAAATCAGAAATATAAATCCTATTCTATTCCCGGCTTTCATTTCAAAATATGGCTTACTTTGGGGATGACAAAAGAACTGGTACTATTGACTCGATGCTATGCATTTTTATTCAAGTTGATTCTGGAGCACCTGGGCAGTGGACTACCATGTCTGAGGGACTTGTTGAACTTCTAGTCTTTTTGACACCCTGAGGCTTAAAGCCCTCGAGAGTATCCATCCAATCGGAATTGTCACTGAATCTTAGCGAATCGACCACAATCGATAGACGATAAAAGACGAAAGGCTCGTGGGACGCCATCCCCGGCACCCCGGCAAGCCCATGGTGAGTCAGGGGTTGAACCAGTTGAAAATCAAATCAAGCTCTCGCGTGTGCTTCCTGTTGGACAACTCAATTCGAGCACCTGGAGCTCGCATCGCCCTACATAGTAGCCAAAGAACGCTTGGTCTAGGCCTAATAACACGGTAGAATAAATCCCACGGTAGATCCGGAAGTGATTATTGGCCATTCTTCCATCAGAATCTGCTCTTGCCTCCATGCCCGGCAGCCTGCACGATCTTCCGACTCGACTTGGCAGTGTCATCCACACCGTGTTAGCGCCTTGAAGATTATTGATCGACACCCCGTCGCCTCTCTCTGTTCCGGGGGTGATTGGTTTAGGGCAAGGCTGACTCGGGTGATCTTACCTTTCACCTTGTTTCGTAGATCCTTATTAGCGCGCGGAATCGGGGTTTCAAATCCATCGCAAAGTACTCCGTACCCCAAAGAACCACTTATTTCACAAATTCTTTCATCCAAGGCCATGCTTCATTATACTCACTTGTGTGGATAGAAACCGGCAGTAACAACGACTGTTGATCACAGCGTGCCACCCAAAAGCCTCGAGCTTAACGAGCGACCCAACACGTAGGGCTATTCGGTCTCTGCATTAGGGCTATCGGGAGGGATAAGACCTGTAAGTTTTAAGATTAAAAAAAGGGGAAGAAACGCCCACCTCCACCCGCTCATGTCGGTTATTTGCCAGCGGCCGGGGCACCAACGACCGTTTGAGGAAAGGGTCGGAGCGGGCCGCACCAGCGGAATCGAACAACAGAACCTTCAATATGGGTTGCCTGATGTGACTCGAGATCTGGAACAACTCGTCCCTGGCTGTTCATCGGGACTTCGAGCCGGGTGTCAGGTTACCCAGTCTTTATTCCTGGGTTAGCTTCTAAACATTCAAGGTATTTCGGGAGATAGGACATTGCTAGTATATTAAGTCTTACTACACACAGACATCCTCTGTGGTGAAAAGCAAGCTGACCAGGTGGAAAGCGAGTCGACCGGAGTGGGTCATGTTCGTCAAGACTCAAGACCATTCGGGAGGATGAGGCTCTATGATTTTCATATTACCCCGGGTCCCTCGCGTCGCCTAGCCAAGGATCGAGCGTCAACGCAAGCCCTGCCGGGCTAGCTCAATCGGTAGAGCGTGAGACTCTTAATCTCAAGGTTGGGGGTTCGACCCCCCCCCGTTCGGCTATTCCTACAGAAAAATGCTTTGAGATATCTTTTTGCTACATTGTCATATTTTTCTAGGCTTCTTTTTCCGGGATTACAAGGAAGGATGCCAATTATCCAACAGAAGCAGGGCTGCATACCTACAACATGGGGTATTCCTAACTCACATTCTATTTATTTGCCAGTCTCCTGGCGGGATTCGACTTAGCCATTGCGGAGGGATCTCTTCGCTGGGGTGGATGGAATATGGTCGCTGCCATATGTGACTCGGATGTCCCCCGATAACCGGAAAGGGCAATCAAATATTTTTTCAAATGAGTGTAGAATTTGGGCTAGTGCCAAGAGGCAGTTCATGCCGCACGCCAGAAGTTTCGGAATACAGCAGTCTGAACTGTATTTAAATCAACACGGTATTCCACAACAGTAAACATTTTGAATTAGCATTTAGTCAAACACAGTGGCTAGGTATATATAGTATGCTACTAACGCCTGCTCCTATCAATTGTTTTCACAAGGTACAGGCCTATAGACTAGCAAAACAATCTTGCATGAAGCCTCAAGAGGTTGTTCAAACTTGGAGATGCATGAAACGCATCCATGATGCCGCAATGCAACAACCAAGATATCTGCAAAAACCAGAGCTCTGGCATACTTTATGTTGTTGAAACTTTTGTTTATAAAGTCGATTGTCAAACTTAACCACAATTTTAATCATTTTAACTAACTCAGTAGGTCAATCAATTTGTATAAGTTCATTCTTTATATCCTCCTTAACACCGTATTCAAACAACCAGGTATAGGTAGGATCGTCATAGTCGACATATAAAAAGTCAGCCATTTTATTAGGGCTCGTTTAGGTCGTAAGAAGTAGGAAGTAAGAGACTTACCATCTCCCCCAGAGACCTCGATACCCCCCTACGAGACAAGTATTAGCTCCTGACGGTTCGGGTAACGCCTTAAAAGGGGTCGTACGGAATCCCAATAACCACCTACACCCGTGAGAAACGATTTATCAGTCAATTAGAACTCCCTCTTTGAAATATAATCCAGGAGCAACAGTGACGGACTTATCACTTCCAGGCGCATCAGGATTAATACCCAGAGCACAGAGTTCGTCTAGCTACTCTAGGTTGCAGTCCCTCAGGACTTTGTAGCGATAATAGTCCTCCTCAGACCCTTCAAGGTCCACGTCCACGTTGCTGGAGAACGGACCACCACATATTGCACAAAATATCGCCCATCCACCCATGGTGATGTTTTTCAAGGCCATATGACACAGGGTCGTTACGTGATCGTGGTCCTTGCCTTCCAGGTTAAGTTGGTTGGCCGTGGTTCTGTCATGGGATTTGGAAGCATACAGCAGCACCCAAGGCATTTGACGTCAGCGCCTCAGGCGTTTGACGTCGATCCGCACTCGAATTCCCTTCGAGCTACCTGCATATTGATACCCAGCCGAACCCTAGTGTATTTAAGATCCCACAGTCATTCAGGATCCTTGACCTCTTCAAGAATCAGTCTGTGTATCAAACTGTCCAATCTGATCTCCACCATCCGATACCCTTGCCTAGTCACAGGTCTCTTGCCTGACAACTTAGTAACCATGTACAGGTTCTTCTGTAATATCCACGCTAATTTCTGTAATCTACGGGGTTTGTTGTGTTCCATAATGTTACTCCCTCCTTTTAGCCCTTTGGTTCCCAAAGGTTCTTAAACCCGTAAATCCCCTTTCTGTCTTCTTGTTTTTTCTGTTGTTTTTCTTTCCCTTACCTCTCCTTCCGTTATGTCTTCAGCTAAGTTATCTTCTGTTCGTAAAGGTAATCTGTTAACTTGGATCGAGGAAGAAGGTTTTCGTGTAGTTATCCTCTGTAAATGTTGTGTTTAATTGAAATGAGTGTGTATCAAATCCGGGCCGAATAATAAGTGTAATCACTGTATTCGCGGTGGTGGTTCCGTAAAGTGTGTTATGTCTTGACTATCCTATTCTGATGCCAAATGACGTAAATTGGTAAAAATGTAGGCCAATATTGCCGAGTAATGTTACGCTGCCCTTAAGGTTAGTTAGGAGGTAATAGTGTATTTGATACGTCTGGATCGTTATGAAGCCTTACTCTGTGACTGTGTCGGTGACTTTAGTGTATGTGATTATAAAGAGATTACTAAGCTGGAAGAGCTTAATTATTATGAAGCTAAAGAGAAAGATTGTCTCGAAAAAGAGTATATCAAGAGTGAACAAAAAGAGTATAAGACTGGGTCTTTTCGCGCTGTATCTGAGAGTAACCAGTATATCTTTAATGTGAATTGTTAGATTTTTGTAGTGATATCTGATAATTCTAGATTGACACAGATGATTGCGTTAACTGATCTATTGTTGTTTATTTTCTGGGATAATCTGTCACGGGATTTGCAACACCCTAGGTATGCGACGTCGACCCGCGCTCGAACATACCTCGAGCCACCTGCATATTGGGGCCCACCCGAACCCTAGTGTATTTAGAATCCCATAATTATTTTAGGATTCTTAATCTTCAAGAATCAGTTTGTATATTAATTAACTGCTCAATCTGATCTCCACTATCTGATACTCTCGTCTAGTTACAGATCTCTAGTCTAACAACTTAGTAATCATTATAATTCTGATTCTTCTCTTTTAACTATCTAAAGATTGAAAATAGTGCTCTCTATTGTTACAGACCATGCGACATGAGGGGCTGCAGGGACCGCAACCTACAAATGGGCCACCAAGAGCCAACCGTTCCTAGGAGGGGGTCGAAGGACGGAGCCACGTGACCAACTCCCGAGGGACTAGGATATATAGGACGCTCGCTACGCACATGTATTTAGTTCTTCGCGATCAATCATTCTAAGTTACTACAGTATACCTTTGGACTATTCTTCATTCAGTTTCATCTCTTGTGACAAACATACTACAAGTAGGGGAGCTCTTCAGACTGACCTACTTGGCGCTCTATCTGGCACATCCTTCGAAGTTACTCAACAGGATCCGAGTCCGTGTAAGGCTTAGCACAGCAACGGTACGACTGCGAGTCGATACTTAAGGATTACCTAGTGGTGCTTGAACGACGCGGATTCCAGCCGTCTTTCAGCAATCCGCGATTCTACTCTTTGAGAACAAGGTAACGATCATCAACTGTCTAACCACTAACCGTGACCAGTTAGCAACGCGTAACAGTATAATACTAGATAAAGGGAAAGAATAGTTACAATTGGTGTATATTGTTTAGGAACTATCGTAGCTATCTAGATATGGTGATAGTATGGTTTGACTCAGCACCAGCAGTGGAGCCTAAGGCTCCAGTAGAAGCAAATAATATAATGCGGGTGAGCTAAGAGGAAAGCGGGTTTACGTAGCCGGGCGATCCCGCACGGTCCGTCCCTTGGCGGAGCACGGCGCTTAAGAACGATTGGATGATCTTCGGGTGTTTTGCGTCCTGCCACACCGCCACCAGTGAGGGAAAAGGTCTGGGAAGTTGGCTTCACTTAGCCGAAAAGCGCGGACTTGAATGCCTTCTTCCATCACACTCACCTTGCAATAGCTGTCAACCTTTCCCATATCAACATAAATACAGTACCCACTCCTTCCTGCGCCGAAGTCCCGTTGCTGGCGTTCACACGTCAACTGAGTTTGTCCCTTAAATTCAAGCAATGATGGAGAGATCATTTGAGCCTGTTCAGCATTCCGACCCAAAACAGCAAAAATATGCTCATGAGAGCAATGTGTCGGCACCACAGTATGATCAGTATACCATTGCCTGGATCTGTGCCTTATATATCGAGATGGCGGCAGCTCGGGCTCTTCTGGATGAAATTCACGAAGCTCGGCCCCTAGGCTTTGAGGATACTAATAGCTACGTGCTAGGGAGTATCAAAGGCCATAATATCGTTATTGCATGTTTACCCATTGGTCAGTACGGAACAAACAATGCGGCGACCGTTGCAACGAATTTGAAGCGGACATTTCCCAAAGTCCATCTGGGCTTGATGGTTGGAGTCGGAGGGGGTGTACCAAGCAGGGCAGATATACGGCTGGGGGATGTGGTGGTGGGAACAAATGTAGTGCAATTCGACCTTGGGAAAATTACGGGGGACGGAAAATTCGAGCGAACAGCTATTCCCAGATCTCCCGATCCTTTACTTGGAACAACTATTGCCAACCTTCGATCGAAACATGAAAATGAGCCAAGCCGAATTCATGATATCCTACAGAAGAACTTCAATACAAGTTCTGAGTATAATCAACCTGATACTCCAGATCGCCTCTTCCAAGCAACATATGAACATCAATCACAATACCCGAATTGTGATAAATGCGACCAGTCAAGTTTGGTATTACGCAGCGGACGAATGCCCAACGCTATAAAGATTCACTACGGTTCCATAGCTTCAGGAAACCAAGTTATAAAGCACGGCATCACTCGGGATAATATTGCTCGAGAACTCGATGTTATTTGCTTTGAAATGGAAGCTGCAGGTCTTATGAATGTTCTTTCCTTCCTCCCTATTCGGGGGATTTGTGACTACTCGGATTCTCACAAATCCAAAGAATGGCAGAAGTATGCCGGTGCAACCGCCGCTGCATATGCAAGGGAATTGATCGAGGAGCTTCCTATGAAAAAAGCGCAGACAAGAGCCTCCTCTAATTCATCTCCCTGTGAGTAAATTTCAAGGTCTGGAAAATAGCGTTAACTGACGACCGGGTGTGTTGGTAGGGATGTGTACAGCAAGACCGAAGGAAGAATCGTTTTATTCATTCCATAATTCCGGGGACGGTGTAATGAGCGTGAACATGGGCTCCGGGTTACAAAATAACAATCATGGTTCCGGGTACCAATTCAATGGCCCTATCAATAGCTTCCAGCTATCAAGGTGATATGTCGGGATAGAGATTTTTTATTGTTGCACGTGAATCTTATACTTCTAAGGTAACAAGCAATGGGAGATTTCCAAGGTTCTCATCCGATTAGGATTTCCCGTTCTTGATTAAAGATTTGCCAAGATTGGGGTTGCAAATGGCTTCTAGGTTGCGTCGTGAGGCTTAAACCCCCACAGGATTTTTCAGGGTACATCTAGTAAATCTATTTTACCACCTGGGCAGCTGTGTACATAGCGCCCTGGTTGGGTACCGAATTCAAACAACGCCAACCTGTAGGCTTCCGAATTGGGCACCAAGTGGTTTCACAAGTCAGCTGTGACGAGATTTTCAGCCGCAGGGGAACTTTGATCGAGCTGAAAAGGGTCTGAGACCACAGGATGAATCATGAAATCTGATACATCAAATCAGAACCGAGAGAAACTTTTGACTAATTACAGGGTATTGGGTTTGACTCCAAGGTTGCCTGCTTTTAGAAAAGCTCATGCTCAACGAATAATACGCAGTTTTGACTTGATCTGGAAGCAAAAGCTGAGTCTGGTATTCTCTGGCATGGTTGATTGATTTTATTTGTAGGGAGGATTGGTAAGAGCTAAAAGCCAGAATAATTTCGTTTGTGGCGTCCAGAGAAATGAAGCGGTGACCGAGTCGGAGTAGAATAGCCGATGCCCGGGTTGACAACAAATCACCATGCACGAACAGAATAAGATATGATCGGCGGGCACTCTGGTGGAATAAATATTAGCCAGTGACAGAAGTATTCAAAGAGCCCTTGCTATTACCTAGATCCTCAAGTTCTTCCTACTAGGGGTCGACTGGAATTTCTCGTCTCATCACGCTCTATTTTATAAGAACCTCACATACTTCCGTCATGAACACCACCGACTCTGAAATCAAGAGCCTTCTAGGCACCACAATATCTATTCTGGAAAAAAACCAGGACCTGGGCAAGGATATTTCTGATATTGAGAATCTGCCTGCAGTCTTCAGCAAAACGGCAAAATATGTTCCATCAATTCGAAAAGCTTTTGAGACGTGTAAGGAGAGCCTTGCTTCCACTCCTTTGGAGGAGAATTACTTTGAAAGCTTGAATTCCGCTTTGAAGGATTGCAAGACAAAAATTGCTCGGCTCCATGAAATCTTCAGCGAGGTGATCAAGCATTCCGATCCAAAAGCACAGTACCGGACAGTCGCAAAAGAAGATCGATTGGAATATCTGATGAAGGAAATCTTGAATCATACGATAAAAATTCTGAAGAACCCGCCTTTTGAAGCCGTGTTAGGTGAACAGGTTCAAGGCCTGGAGCAAGCTTTGGGTATATTCAACGCGATGGAACCCTGCCGAGTGGAAGGGAAATCGTGGCATTTCCACAACTTGGGAAATGGTTCGATGAATGTGAACAAAGGTTCTGGATCGCAGAACGTCAACGCCTCTTCCGGTAACATGTTCACTGGTTCAATCCAAAACGTCCACTTACCAAAATAATATTTGAAAATGACAATATGAAGAAAGGCTTTTGTATATATGTAGATGGTATTTCAGCCGAGTTTGTTGCAAACATAAAGAAATGAACAGAAAGAAATTTCATTTGATAATTCAGTTGTTTTATTGCGGCTTATTCTAACAGACCTTTGCAATTCGTGGAGTTTACCTCTTCCTGATTTGCAAAGGACACAGGCTACAATCTCCGCGGTCGATTCGCGGCTCCAACCTGAATAGCCTGGAATCGACTGATCATTAGGCAAGACGTTCTACGTACTAAGGCTAGTAGACTTTGGATATTACACATTCGGCACATTTTCGAAGATTCAGCCGCAAGCTAATGACATGTTATCACCATTTTTTTTCTAACTTTGCTTATGAACAGGAATAGTCTTCTAGAGATGATTTAGGTTTCCGGTTCTCGGTTAGAAATATTATGGATTCCGAAGGGTGACCTAAAATTGATTCCCTTCATGGGAGTCCTTCACCTTCGCAATTATGCTTGGCTACTTCCGAGTTGACAGTCTAAGGAGAAGAGCGTTGTGTGTTTTGCGAATCCTCAAGGCTATGTGATTGCTCTACAGACAGGGGCCAATGACATATTGGGCGGCGTGATCAGCCATGAAACCACGCAATCACACCACACTACGTGTTCCTACAGGGGTAAAGGGGGACAGTGCAAAGATCGACCGTGAATCCACTCTGTATTTCATCCAATAACATAACACTACGTGTTGACGGAGAAGACAGGCAGTGCGGAGGTCGTACAGAAATGAGATATTCTCTATGTATGTACCTCGCCCCCGCTTCCGACCGGCGCCAACCTTACGGAGCCTCAAAAAAGTGGATGTAAGACGCTCGTGTATTTGAGCATATAATTTACCGGCCCGTCCTGAGATCTCACTCTATTGTTATTGCCAGCCTGGATCGTGACTCAGAGCTGACCTGCACATCATCAAACCCGTCTCACTTGTGAATTCTTGTTCTTTTTTCGAGAAATTATAGAACGTGTTGTTCAATTGGCTGATAGAATCGCGCCATATCGGTAATCACGATGAGTCAACCTGTACCTTCGTCTAACCATATCAGTAACGAAAATGGTGGAGCCTTGAATTTCAATCAAGGCAGAGATCAAATTAGCAACCCGGGAGGGAATTATCTCAGCTTCAACAATGCGCACATAGGTAACAGAAGAGGATGATCAACCCTACACAAATTTCTCGCTAACTCATAGCAGTGGCATTTTATGAAAACACTTCGCCTCGAAAGGATGGTGAGTACATTACTTTGACGTCATGCTGTCTCCAGAATCTTTAATATAAGACATGATACTAAATTGCTCTAGAACAGAAGAGTATCGACGACGACGGTGCACATTACCCCGAACCCATGGCGGGAAGGCTATCGCTAATGGTTTAAACAGACATTCTCAAGTCACTCGCGTTCCCTAAAATGACGGCTCGACGGGACGATATTGAGGCATGTCACGAGAATACGTGTCGATGGATCCTGGTATCAGACAAGTACTTGTCCTGGAAGAGCTGTCCACGCGGAATCCTATGGATCAAGGGCAAACCTGGCGCAGGTAAATCAACAGTGATGGCGTTTCTCTATGGTGAGCCCAGGAAGATGCCAGGCGAGGGCTCTTGTGAGAGCACAGATCTTCGACTAGGGTTCTTCTTTACTGCTCTGGAAACAGAGCTACAACGCTCTCCGCTAGGGATGTTGAGATCATTGCTGAACCAGATCTTTTACCTTGATGCGTCGGTTCGCCCTCAAATACGCGATGCCTTTGAAAACCGAGTTAAACCCTTCGGAAGTGGCGAGCAGCAGTGGGAATGGCCACGAAGGCTTCTTGAGGAATTGCTTACAGAAGCTATCTTAGCTTCGGCCCGCAATCAACCTTTAACTATTTTTGTGGATGCCCTGGACGAGGTAGGGGAGAAATCGGCTCAGCAGCTAGCGGATTACTTTCACCGGCTTAATATTCGTGCGGAAAAGTGTAACCTCAAGATATGCATCTCATGCCGACACTATCCAATCGTGAATCATCGGGGCATAGAGATCACGGTCGAAAACCATAATCACGATGACATCACATGCTATGTCAAAGACCTAATCCACTCTGCCACGGGAATAGAGAATGATTCAGATCCAGAGTCGTGGTGGGATCTAACAGATGACCTGATCCAGCAAGCAAATGGTGTATTTCAATGGGTTCATATCATTCTACCCATTGTTCGGCAAAAGATCAATGAGGGAGATTCACCTCGGGATATCCGTGACTGGTTGCCTGAAGTCCCAATTAAATTGGAGGATGTATACAGGTACATCTTAACTCATATCATAAAACGTGAGAATCGAGAGCAATCTTTCTGGTTTCTCCAGTGGGTTTGTCTGGCTGAAAGACCCATGACCCTAAGAGAAATGCGGTACGCCATGGTTGCAAAAGATGTGGATACCACACTTGCTCAAACGCAATGGTCAAAGATCAAAGGTTTTGTTGAGAAAGATGATAACATGAAGCAGCGTGCCAAAGCGCTTTCTGGTGGACTTGCCGAAATTGTCCCGGATGGTTCTGGCGAATTGACTATAAGGGTAGTCCACCAGTCAGTCAAGGATTTTCTACGCACGAAAGGATTAGCATTCTTGAGAAACCCTCCCGACGACAAGCAATCTATCGATATGGAAGAGTGTCAGTCGGCCCTCTATAGGTCATGTTTGCTGTGTTTTGCCACAGCAGAGGTATCACACAAAAACTCGCGAAATACTGGAGATATCTTTGAAAAGTCTCTGATCAACAAGAATCCACTCCTGAACTATGCAACAATTAATCTTTTTGTGCATGCAGAAAAGGCTGGGAGTTCTCGCGTGGGCGTGATTTCAAATGAGATCCCGATTTTGAAAGAACGGATGAAATTGTGGGTTCTGGTTTACCAGCAGATAGAGGGGAATACCACCGCATGTCCAGCAATTGGCACAACTCTGTTACACATGGCGTCGGCAGCGAACATGGTGGACGTGATAAATACCATGTGTTCCAACGGTTCGATCATCAACAAAAAAAACGCAGAAGGACGAACCGCCATGCATTTTGCAGCTTCAAGAGGCCATATGACAGCGGCAAAAATGTTATGTGGCAATGGAGCAGACCTCGACACAGTCTCCAAGCAGGGGGAAACACCCCTAGTTGAGGCAGCAAGTCATGGCCATAGGAGCTTTGTTGAATGGCTATTAAATTTGGGAGTGGACATCAACAAATCAAACGAATTATCTGGAACTGCGCTACAATCAGCTGTATCAAAAGGACGAACCGATCTTGTCCACCTTTTAGTCGACGTTGGTGCCGATGTTGATGCCCAGGGAGGCGAAAACGGTAATGCTCTCCAAATTGCTGCAGCTTGCGGGAGTATTGAGATTGTTCAATTATTACTGGACTTTGATACGAATGTCCATGCCAAGGGAGGGTACTTCGGCAATGCTCTTCAGGCCGCTGCACATCATGGGAACACTGATATTGTTCAAAAACTGTTGGACGCCGGTGTCAATGTGAATGCCAAGGGAGGACACTTTGGCAATGCTCTCCAGGCTGCTGCATCTGATTGGACTTTTAACACTGTTGAAAAATTGCTGGAAGTTGGTGCTGATTTTAATGCCCAGGGAGGGTGCTTTGGCAACGCTCTCCAGGCTGCTGCATCCAATGGGAGTATTAAGACTGTTGAAAGATTGCTGAATGCTGGTGCTAATGTTCATGCCAAAGGAGGCCACTTTGGCCACGCTCTCCAGGCTGCTGCATATCATGGGAGTACTGATATTGTGAAAAGATTGCTATGTGAAAAACCTGATGTCAATGCTGAGGGAGGGTGCTATGGCAACGCTCTCCAGGCTGCTGCGTCTAGTGGGAGTATTCAGACTGTTGAAAAATTGCTGGAAGCCGGTGCTGATTTTAATGCCCAGGGAGGGTGCTTCGGCAACGCTCTCCAGGCTGCTGCATATTATGGGAGCACTGATATTGTTCAAATATTGCTCGATGCTGGTGCCATAGATAACCGTTAAATATGAGTGAAGGATTATTTGGGAGCCGAATATGGTGAGCTATCTAGGAGCTGACAGAAAAATATGGGCCGCATGCGACTCAAATTAAACCTAACCCAACTTAAAATATTATGGTAACTCAGAATAAATTCTATTGTTAGAGGTGTACCGTTACTACCATGAAAGGGTAAGGAACGCTTCTCGGTGCTTGTGCGCGTTGAACCGTCTGGACATTGACGTTACCTAGCAAAGTAAATATCTCACTAATACAGCTTATCAGTGAGTAGATTATTATTTAAGTTATACAAGGAAGAAAAACCAAAGTGAGAAAAGAATCAAAGGCGAGACCAATGATGACTGAGTGGCTCAAGCTGGTGGTGTTGGTGGAAAATTGGCCAGAAAATTAGGCATGCTAGCAGGATGTCGAATGGGACTGATCTAAATTATTCTAATATCTCGTGACAAGGGCCATTCCTCGCCCACAAATTAGACGAGATCTGGCGAAAGAATAGATAAAATATCAGGGCCCATAGGTGGTCCAAAGAAGAGAACTAGCATTATATACTGTAAAATAAAGTAAATGAGGTGAAGCCAAAATCGTTTCGGGGTAGTAAAAGCCATAATCACACGTAACGCCGATAAAATGATACAAAAAAAGAACTCGAAGTTACAAATTAATGAACTTCAGCCAGGAGCACTTACGGCCTAGAGCCTTCCATAAACTGAGTTTTTGGGCTGGATTGGGACCGGGCTGGGTTGGGAATTTGAGCTTTCGATCGGAATTTGATGCGGCAAACTTGAGGTAGAGCTCCTGGCAGTGAAGAGATGGGAGAACGTGTCGCTTAAATCAGAGCCAGCGTAATATAAAGATGGAGTGGACCTGTCGCCAGGGCTGACGCGAGTGTCTGGCGAGAAAAGTTCCGCAATATCAAGAGTTGCTCTAGGAATTGAACTAGAACCAGTAGTATTGAAAGAGCGGGTTGAGTGAGGCGCAGGTGGCGGCTCTCTGTTCGGGGGACTAGGTTGCTGAATTCGACTCGCGAGACTTTCATCATGTAGCGGAATCTCGGATCGATTATTTCGCGGAGTGAAAGATCGGAGGGAGGGAGCATTGTCTATATCTTGACTTGGGGGGGGAGGAATTGCACGCTTCATTCCCCATGGTTTGGTCAGTCGGTACGGTGCATGAAGCCGGTGGGCTATTTTGATGGGAGGCCAATTCAAATGAGTTTTCTTTGGGATGAGCCGTCTCTTCATCCTTGCTTGTCATCGGTTGTCCGCTTTGCGGGCCGGAACCTCGGAAGACACGCCATTTGCGCCTGAGTTGAGTGGGGATGCCTTTGATCGAATGATTGAATCCATCAAGGAGAGTCTTTATCGTTTGCCATACCCCGTGTGTATCGTGACTCTTCCCATTTTCGGCTTCAGGGGGGGAGGAAACGCCTCGTTGTTGAGAGACATTTGTGAATTCGCTCAGACAGCTTCCCGGCCAGAGCTAGCTCAACATCCAGTTGATCTCTGAGCTTCTTCCATTCCCTTGGATCGTCGCTTTCCCGGTGATGTAGCATGGGCCGCCTCCGAGTCTGTTTGTGAAGCTGTCTTTCCAAAGCGTCAAGGCCTTTTATCAGGTCGAGCTGCAAGACTTCGAGGGATTTCATGCGATCATAAATGACTTTCGTGTCATTCTGTCCAAGGTCCCTTTCCATTGCCTTTCTCAATGAATCTTTGTCCATTTTGAGAAGGTCAAGATCGATGATATCGGCCAAAATATACCGTCGCTCACGCAATGCGTTCACAATCTGCTCTGCAGCACGAAGCTTACAATCTGACCGGCGCAGTCGACTAGCGGTACTATGAGCTTTGTGGGTAGCTCCTTGCATCCAACGTGCTACCTGACTGGGCTTTGATGGCAAATCAAGCTCCCTTACCTCAGGCAGTTGTAGGCGGCCCAAAAGCTTTCTGGCACATATTGCTGCAACAAGTGATGCATAGGGTTTCCAGTCGACGATCTTGTGTCCATCTGCGTAATCAGAGATTCCACGAATTGTCAGACAGGGACATATATCCATCACTCCAGCTGTCCCTGTTTCAAAGCAGATGATTTTATCACGTTGGGATAACTCAATTCGCTTTGTTACGCTCCTCATAGGCTGATCGGCCGACCCAACGACTCCCTCGTGTATCATGATATGATTGATATGTCTGCGAAAATTGCGCTCCATCAATAAACGTGCGTCGTGTAACTGGGGCCTTCCGCAGTCACATTCCTCCCCTCGGCAAGGATAGTCGGGCAGGTAGAGGTTGTCTTGGCTAGGACGCTGAGCGGCATCGGTCGGTGACGAGAGATGATCCGTGACTTCTTCCAGTTGAATATTCGACCGATCCCCGGTTTTTAAGAGAGTTATTGCCCCTCGAAGCTCTTCGGGTGGTTGCTTTGCCACACCGGATCTAACGTAGGGTCCGTTCTCCGAGTCCGCGACTGCTCCCTGTTTGTAGGGAAGGACTTCGAGACCGAATACAACATCACCTAATCGGATATCATTCGTCATGCATGGTGCAGCACTACCGACTCCGACCAGAAGTATAAAACGAATCGACATAAATGTGCTCTTCATATCGGTGGCTATCTTGGTCGCTCGGTTCTCATCTCTGGTGACAGCAGAAGGGTAGTTCATAACCACGTAATGTTCGCCAATGCGCCCAAGCTCGTAGCGGTTCGTGTCATTCTCGCCACGTGTTATGTGATCCGAGCTGTACGTTTCATCGAACATCTTTCGAGACTCGTAGTATTCATAGCTCCTCATACATAGCCACCCGATGAAAAATTCACCCCCCTGCGGAGGTGAATTTCTTTTTGGTCCCATTGTAAATCTTCAATAGATCCTTGCAGACTAGTCGATCTTTGAAGCAGAAATGATAAAGAGTGAATTGATAAGAAACGAGAGTATTTCCACAAGCCGGCGTAGGGAGTGATCCAGGCGAGGGTTTGAACTGACCACAGTTTGGTCGTTTGGGGGGGGAAAGGGGATGGAGGTTGAGTCTGGGAATCTGAGAAAGAAAGGGGCTGAAGAAAGAACAACCGAATACGTAATTCCCCTGTGATTTCGGGTTTTAGGTGTGCAGTACGGAGTACTCCGTGGGTGATTTGCTCTGTCCCTTGCGTGTGATGTGTGCATATCATGCAGGGGGAGATGAACTATTCAGTCCAAAAAGTAAAGAAGTCTCAGCTCGGCTTCTTTTGCCACCAATCCAAAGCCTAGAGAGCTCAGAATCTGTAGATCGATGCTATCAATAGTACAACGATGCCCACTCGCTCTCAGCTTCTCCCCAAAAGAGCAGTTGATCAGCTCGAGGCGCTGCGCCTAGATATGGTACACGTATTTTTTGGGGGGGGGGGGGGCGCCATGCTCGACCAGTCTTTGCGATCTCATAATTACCTGTACGGAATATTCATACCCTGTAACTACTTGTAGTGGTGCTGGAAGCGATGAATTCAAGGTCATAGAAGAGAGGTGGAAATGCGTGAGGAAGGAAACTATGGGCTGCCTTGTACATATGAATCATGATTGCTTCGCCTCCGACTAGTTTCAGAACTTGCCCTTTTTCAGTTTTCCTACCTCTGAAAACTAGTGGAGTGATAACTCGAGTTCTACCAAATAGCAACTAATTCAAAATGCATCCTTACCTACCAAACCCGTCACGAACTATCCACCCACTCGACGAGTCATCCAGATTCCACCAGATAGCCGACGCTTTAGCATGCGCTAAATCAGGAACGCTGGCCCAACATGAAATGAGGTTTTTTGTCCCTTCGAGAAGAGAACCTTCTTCGCGCACTGCTTAGCGTGGTAGGTTCTCGTGATGTCCCAAATCCCCCTTTTTTTGATACTCGCCCAGTCACTTCCCGTTACCAATGTGTCGATGTTTTCATTAACCCAGTTCTTCATTATGCCTACCTCTTCGAGTCAAGTTGATTTCACAGGGCCGTTGGTGAGCAGGATAGCACCGCGGCTACCACTGCAATTATCCAGCATTGGCACTGGCAGGGGAACCTGGAGGCCTGATTCGCGCATTGAAGGTCATCCATCAGGGCGATATCCAAGCTAAGGAGTAATGCAAATTGATTTACAAAGCTTGGGCATCCAAATTGACCGCTGCTGCGACTATCTGATTTAAAGTCTTTGCATCCCAAAAGGTTCCGCCGCCGTCATCCACGATCTCGATGCCATCCAATGGATCAAGACTGAGATTATTGATGGCAGCGGGGTCGGTCAACTGCACCATTTTAACAAAGTTACCATATCCATCAACATACCCACAGCACCCTGGTTGAAGATATTTTGAATAGGCTTTCGGCCAAATGGCGTGCCCTTTTTGCGAGCGACGGAAGCTTTGCGTATAGATCTTATTCTCTGCTTCGGGACCAATCATATTGAAATAATAACAATAGCGGAGCTAACCTGATATCCCAGGAAAGTGGTCAGCCCAGGGCCCGGCTCTTCACTGTTTATGACTATGCACGTCGCCTGGACATCAGCTCTTGCTGATAAGACACTCGCCTCGTATTGGCCAGGTGATCCGTCGACTGATATGCAGCTAATGCAGTACATCACCTTACCCCGCTCGTTTCCCACCCTCACTCACACTTTTCATTCGGGGGCTGAATGGTGGCGAATAAACACGAAGAATGGTATTATTCCTGCAGAACCGCGGGGCTGAATCCAGCCGTACGCCTCACTTTTAAATAAGGGTTCTGGAACCCGACCAGACAATTGGTTGCGTCTAGTGAGTTTACACGCGACCAAAGCCTGGGATAATCGACAAGAGTCTGTCCTCGAAAGGGAGTGACTGTTTTTGTTCCACAAGTCCTACGCCAGCGGTACTCAAGATGCTTGAAAATGATGGCTCAGCTCCCGGTATCGCTGGCCCCGTCCACTCTACAAGACCATCAAAAGAACAGATTCAGACAGAGCTAGCCTTAAGTGGCGGGAAAGATGTCGACACAGAGCCAAAGCCGGTCTATGAATTGGACAATCATCTCACAGAGACGCTATTAACCATATTCGAGAATGGAGACTGATATAGCCAAGAACGTACAATATCGTTTCATATCGAGTTTCTCAAAAATATATCTGTCAACCCGGTCTACAGGACTGACTTCATCTCAACAACAATATTGACAATATGCAGAACCGTCGATTACCACTCACAAATACCCCGACTGTTGTTTGGTGATAAAATATCCCACGTATTCTGATACTTATAGGTGAAACTACATAAGGCAGCACGTGCCTACCTCTTGTCTAGCTTCTTTTGTATTTCTTTTAGGAGCATCTTCAGTTGAGTAGCTAGGTAAAAAAGAATTCAGGAAAGGCAGACTAGACTTGCGCCCTCGGGGTTTTATTATCTACCATCACGTATCACAGTAGGTATTCTCACCCCTCTCGCCCTGTTCTCACCTCTCTCACCCCAGTCTCCAGAAATTCTCACCTATATCACCCACACTCACCCCAATACAGAAAGTAACGCTAATTTAAGGTCCAGAGCTCTTTAGTTATTGACTGCGTTTAGTATATGGCTAAAACACAGCAGGTAGTGCGGTGGGTGCCGCCCGGGTGAGAATGGGGTGAGCGCCGCTTTAGCGTCGCGCGACTCGGGTGATTAAGGTGAGTGCGCAATAGACAAGTTGAGAATGGGGTGAGCCGGGGTGAGAACCACAATCTACAGAGCGACCACTGCACTGACCCCTTCCAGTTGAGCTGGCTTTAACTATCATTGGGTCAAAGCCTCCCCTTGAAATAATCTGTTTATTGGCATCTGCACATAGCCTCTGTATCTTTATGAATATAGTAAAGCGATTGCAGATCTATCTCATACAGCGACTCTGTCTCTAAGAGCCAGAAATTCGAAGGACCCATTTCCAGTTATCGCTCGAAAGCTCTTGCAAATTTTCTCTGTCACCGAAAATGGAGATGGTCAGCTGTATATGGTGATAGTCAGTCTCTACTGAATTTAGCGTACTGAAGAGGAGTTTAATCTCTAGTTGACAGACCAGCAACCGATCTAACCTTACCTGGTAAGCTACTAGTATCGTGACCATAACCGAATCCCTGCTGCTGTATGTTTTTGTTCCCCCGTTTTGTTTAATTTGTTGGGTTTAGTTCCCTTGCCGCTTTACCCTTCAGACTCTTCAGTCCTTCCCCTGAATCCCCCTTGAACGGATGACGTGGCTACTCGCTAAATCTGCCGTACTTCGAATGTCTTCCTTGTGACAACACTAGCCTCCAGCCCCCAGCCTTACCTTTGGGAGCCTCGGAGAAATCGATTCGCTGTCGCTGTGTGAAGATATGTTGTTACCATCACCACTGTCTGATCCGGTCTTGGTTACCTTCTCTCGAGGGACACAGTGAAGATTCGGTCAGCGATTCCGGCGCCAAAATGATAGGACGAGTTTAGAAAATAGCAATTCTTGGACAATTCCGTATGCAGTCTGGACCAGTGGCTACTACGAACGGCACGGACCGTGGTGATTGATCTTCTTTCACAGCCCCACTCGGGACAAGACACGTTCGTTGTAGAGCGCTGCGCCACATAGGAAGGGCGCTTAGGTCTTGAGGGATGGTCAGCATCTTCTCGGACGCGTGTTACATCAAACAACTCGACAACAAATCTACGCCTGAGTCTCATCTCAGACTCTCTCTCTCTCTCTCTCTCAACACTTCGTCGACAAGCAGGCTTCATGACCGACCCATTTTCCGTGGCTGGTAGCGCAGTGGGCGTGGTATCACTAGGCATCACTGTATGCCAAGGTCTGACGACGTTCTATGGACATTTCAAGTCATTTCGTGGGGAAGTCGACGATCTAACGTGTCGGGTTGTAAATTTGGACACCGTTCTAAAGTTACTTCTCAAGATGCTCGTCAACCCGCTTGCCTCGGGTACCCTTTCGAAATCCGAATGCACAGCAGTTGCGATCGACATCATTTTGCGTTGCCGGCAACGTCTACAAAAACTAGAGAAAACGCTTGAGCAGTGCAGCAACTCTCCGTCGGGAAATACACTTAAATCCAAATTTCAGATCAACCAAATTCTCTACCCGTTCCGGCGGGAAACAATGATGACCCTTGTGGAAACAATCAGTGGTCTTCAGGCCAATCTTGACACTGCGTTATATATGCTCAACCTGTAAATCAAAAAAATCTCCAGTGCTATGTAGATATCATTAGCTAAATGTAATTCAGTGATATGGGGATTGAAAATGAGAAGCAGATGAGTATTGTTGTCTCGAACTCTGCTTCGACAGTGGCGGATACCGGCCAGGTTTTGGACCTTGTCCGTGGTCTTGACCAGAAGCATGCCGATTTCGATGGAAAGCTAGTTATGCTCGAAAATCGAATGATACAAATGGTATGATCTAGCTTTCTTTCAATGAAGTTCTCCATGAACTAAAATTTAATCCAAGGAATCCAGCTTCATTCGTCACCGAAACCAGCCCATTCTGGAGCCTGCCTTGCTTCGGTCCCTCGTGGAAAACCAACAGAAAATCGACGAGCAAATGAGGAACTTAGCTACAATGGCCCCGAAGCACTGTGACGGGTGCCAAACCGGGTGCGCATGTTCTGCCTTCGGAACATCTTTCAATTCCACATGGGTGGCAAAGCAACCTACAATATTGCGTAGGCCTGGATGGCCGTTTCCAATGGGGGATTACTATTTTCCAAGTAAAAGGATATTTTCTATTTGTGCACGACGAGTGATCTATAACAAAATCCTGAAATTCTCTATCGTGGCATCTCTGAATATCACCAGAGGAGCTGGAGGTTTTGCTATCAGTCCCAACCTTGCTCTTTTCCCAGTTGTTCCAAAAGATTCACCGGTATTCAGCCTTCTCATGAATACCGAGAAGACCCTTGGGGAAGGGTACGATGATGTTGTTTTACAAGACACCCTGAAAGGACTCCTGAAGTTATTTCGGAACCACGAGTCATCACCTCTGGATACCCTGCCTAATGGAGATACAATCTTGCATGTAAGTGTTATCTTTCACTATCCAAACAAGACAGATCTTTTATCCCATAGCTACGCTCAATGTGAGAAAATAGAGCTGACGCCCTGCTTACCATCTGTGTTAGTTTGTGTATCGCTGGCACTTCTTCGCAGCCCGTTGGGACAACCCGTCTCTACTAGGATGGCGTGCATTTCTCAGCAATCTTCTCCGCATAGGTTTACCAACAAATACGATCAATGATCGCGGTGAAACCCCTGTGGACGCATTACTACAGTCTTTTATTGGATTTCGAGGCCAACCTGGAGAGGAAACCACTATCAGGATCTGCTCTGATCTGTTTCACAGAGGAGGCTACATGACGCCTAGGGGCTCCAGAAATATTATTAAACTAAACCAACCTGGCTCGTTTTCCATTGACTTTTGTGTGTACGAAAAGAGCCCCATTATCCCTATCATACAGCAAATAGCCTATCAACGCGATCTCGAAGGTACGTCCTACATCACAAAGAGCACTGGCGCGGCTAACTCTCTGTTCCTAGGAGGTGTCGACATTCCAGAGGAATTGGCACCCCTCACTTACAGGTCGGAGGATCTGCTTAATGATCTTCTGAGAAAGGGGATCAATCTTCGATGGACACTTAATTACTACACTCAATGGCCGAAAGGGCTCGCCTTATTGCTCCAAGCAGGTTACGTTCCAAACCGCATCACGTTCTTGGTCGCTGTAGATGCGAAATGCAGCGAAAGCGTCAAGCTCCTCACTCAAACGAAAGGCATATGGCTTGAAGAATCGAATTTGATTGACATAAGTGACAATCCCAATGAAGAGATCACAAAATTGGTTGTTCAAGAATTTGTCAATTGCAGGAAAAGATTGCAAGCTCTCGCGGAAATTTTCCTGTCCAGCACTGAGCTGACCCGACTGAAAGTCCAATCTGGTCGCCTTTTGGGCTTTCAAGCCGCTGAAGCCTATCGACTACTGAAGAAACAATCGATAGAGATTGATTATACCGAAACGCCGACTGGATGGTTGGTCTACAACTCGGTAGGCAGGGATCTTGAACTAGCGACACGGTTATGGGATGCTGGTTTTCGCGATGTAGATGAATTGAACGACAATGGCGAAACTTGCCTGATGCAACTCATGTGGGGGGGGTTCTTGGAGGACAGATTTCGTTCGGGCCTTGAAAAAGGCAGAGTGGCTGATTTCTAAAGGGGCCGATATCGATCGCAGGAAAGGAGACTCCTCAGCTTTACACTTTCTTGCTTATTTTATCGGGTCCGAGTTATATTTCGAGGCCCAGGAGACTGACATCATTTCAATTCTGAGAGAGCTGAGTGAAGGCAGCAAGGGCCTGTTGAGGAGTGCCCTCCTTGATGACACTCGAGATGCTTGCTGCTGCATTTACTCTGCTGGTGGATGCGTGGGGCTCATCAGGTTCCTCGACGGCTTCTTCCCAGATCCACGATATGATAATATGGGAGCCCCTAGTCAGGGATCCGCGAAATTTGCAAGGGTAATAGGCGAAATTGCCTGCATTTTAGAGCCAGATTTCCCAGAGCGGCTTTACTATGAATTGGCTCATGGTATTATTCGCTTCATTACCTGCCGATATCTAGATATCACGCACACCTGTGTTTGTAATAGGTACAGAAAAGTCAGGCTTGAAGATGTCGATGAGATCATGGATGAACAAAAAGACCAGGTTCTAGAACTTGAACTGATCATGGAAGAGTTACTCTTGAAATATGAGGAGCTGTCCATGCCATTGCCAGAGTTTTTGACGAGCTATTGGTGCACACGGATGGAGGAAGTCCTCTTGACCTGTGAGCCGCCCAGTAAGGAAAAGATGAGCCAACTTCGGGAGATAGGTGTCGTCATTGATGGGTAAGGCCTTCAAATCAGCGTCATCGTTCTAAATTGGAGTGGGGAACTGTATACTGTATCCTCACACAGCTTATGTGGATTACGAAGTGCGATGCACAGATCCACAACCTGGTAGGCAGAAGTGGATGTTGAGTCATATATTTTGAACCGCTCCCGAGGTCTTTTGTAGAATATTAATGCCCACATACAGCTGGACTCAAACAAGCAATGAGCCTCCATTGGAGCTGATGCAGCTTCTCGTGATGTTCGTGCCTTTCATAAGATGCATGTAAGCTTCCGCAATCTCCTCGGTCGAGCCAACTTTCCCTAGAATTGCTTTCTTAGCAGCCTCCTTCACCATAATTTCCCCATCCCTCCCCACAGCTCTGTATCAACAGGCCCTAGACTAACAAGATTAGCGAAGCACATGAGTTGCTCCACCGACTGCGAGCGACACCGTCTCGGCGCGTGTGACACGATCCTTTTGCCAGCGATGCGCTCGACTCTATGCGCGCGGCTGACTGTATCGTCCCCTTAATAATCGTGCAGGGAAGGACTGGAAGCCACCTGTACCTTGCGGGATTCAGTTCGTTCGACCAGTGTTGCCTGCACCCTATCACAACTGCTTCATGCCCGCGGATTACGATGCGCCTGATGTCTCCGTTGGTTCTTCGCCCTGGGCCCTTGCCATACATGTCAGCTTGAAGAGGCGCAGAAAGGCGAGACCCTATTCGCGGGACTCATGCTCTACGGGCATGGGGTGGGCCCTGATCAACAGAAGTTGTCGGAGCTGTTGAAGATCCCCGCCCCGGCGACCAAGGTCGACGCACAAAGCGCGCTCGGAGTCGTCTCATACCTGGGGGATTTCACCTCATTGGTTGGCCATCTCACAGTCATGCTGTACCCAGACAAGGGTGCGCCAAGCTTTGGCCCCCGCATTAGTGCGCCCCTCCAGGAACCAACAGACCCACATGTAGGGAGGTTCCAGGCAGCCAATCACAGGCGGGCAAATGCGCATTATCCGGTTTGGTGGGGCTCGGATGGCTACCCGCCCGTCTGGCCTGACCTTTGCGGCGCTGATGACTTTTGTGTTCCGGCTCTCGCCCAGATCCTTTCAAGTTCTTTTTTTAATCCCCTCTTCACGAAATAGTCTTCTCCTTCTCTCAGTCTCTGCATCTTCTCTCTTATTCAAGACCTGCTAGGAACCACAATGTCTGTGTCTCCGCTTTCCCCCCCCCTGGGTGGTTGAATTATACTCTTTTGTGAGATTTGTCGCATATTAACCCTTTTTCTCCTAGGAATTCTACCGTGCTGCCCCCCGGCACCTATTGGGGTCAATATCAGGATATCACCAAATCCAATACCCACCTTAGCGTGGCAGAGAGATTGTGGGTCGCATGGTATGCGTGGGTGCAGAATGATGTCCTGGCCACCGGCATCATGTCCTTCGCTATCCACGAGTTGTTCTACTTCGGCCGCTCTCTTCCGTGGGTCTTCATAGATAGCTTGGGTTTCTTCAAGAGATACAAGATTCAGAGTGTAAGTGGCAAGCTTAACACCTGGCACTAACCGAAATCAATCCAATTCCAGCCGCCATCGAAACTAACATTCTGCTTCAGAGCAAAGTACCTTCATTACGCGAGCAATGGGATTGCGCCAAGTTTGTGCTTCTGAGCCACTTCACCGTCGAACTTCCTCAAATCTGGTATGTTCCTGCCCTCGACGGAGTGGTATTCTACCTGATGTTTGCCTCTCGGGCCCGATGAAGTAGTAACGGCTCTTCTAGGCTTTTCCACCCAATGGCCCAGTTCTGCGGTCTATCAACATCGATTCCTTTTCCGTCTCCCTGGACTATGGCATATCAGATTGCAATATTTTTCGTGATGGAGGACACTTGGCACTATCTTTTCCACCGAGCTCTTCATTGGGGTCCACTCTACAAGGCTATTCACAAAATTCACCATCAGTATTCCGCACCATTTGGTTTGGCCGCCGAATATGCTTCTCCTATTGAAGTGATGATTCTCGGCTTCGGGACCGTCAGCTCCCCGATCCTCTGGTGTGCTATGACCGGTAACCTGCATATTCTCACTATGTATATCTGGATTGTGTTGCGCTTGTTCCAGGCTATCGATGCCCACAGTGGCTACGAATTTCCTTGGAGTCTTCACCATTTCTTGCCTTTCTGGGCTGGTGCTGATCATCACGACCTCCACCATGAGAAATTCATTGGGAACTACTCAAGCAGCTTCCGCTGGTGGGACTACCTCCTTGACACCGAATACACTCCGGATGCCCTGAAGCGCCGAAGAGGGAAAAAGGTGGAAGCAAAGAAGACACAATGATCTGAACGTTGGCAGTGACGGTCTGCCTATTTTCTCTTCAATTTGGGCGTTGGCTTTGTCTGGATCTATTTAAACTCTAGGGTTGTGACACTGGAAGCTTCCCTCTTAGCCTTGAAATTATTTTTGGTTCAAATTTCTGAAAGCTTTTTTCAACTTCCCCGCCGTTTTCGATTGATCTAGGACCGTTCTGAATCTATGGAGTCTCGAGAATTCTCATACAAGCAATGGAGGGCGCCCAATGGCGAGACGGGACATTTGTTACTTGACGTACACTGGCTGTCGGACTCTACTGCAAGTGCGTCCCTCACCAGCCATCCAATTGGTAAGTTCATCTAAGAACTGTAAGGCCTTCAATTCTCACAAGAAAAAGTGATCATCTTCCATGGGGGGTGTTTCGTTCAGGGATCAAAGGACATCATTCCTCGAATGCAAACTGAATCCCTGTGTAATATGGGATTTGTTGCAGTCTTTCCAAATTATAGACTCTGTCCTCAAATATCTTTGTATGATGGGCCGTTACGGATTAGTTAGACTGTCTTGAATGGACGGCTTCTTCGATGCCTGCGATTCTCCGCAAAGAGCCTGATTATGTTGAGGTGGATGCTGAAAGAATTGCTCTGATGGGCCATTCTTCGGGAGGTTCCCTTGCTCTATTGGCTGCGAGGTTGCCTTTCCCTCCTGATATGTCTTCGCTTTGAAAATAAGCTGACTGTGCCTTTATTTAGGCAAATTCTTCCATTCCCGTGCGGGCAGCCCTTGACTTTTATGGTGGCAAATATTATGCCGATTAAATATGGCACTCGCCAAGTCCCTTTTTTGCTTCTGCTCCAGACTATCCAGAATCTTTCGCGGAAAGGATTTTCGAAGGGCCACAAGTCTCGGCCGCAGTGCTGGCCGCAGGGCCAGACAAGGCCTCACCTCGTGATACCTGGCTCTCAAATGCTTTCAAGTCTGGAGAAGCATGTTTCTCTTGTTGCGGATGGAGCGGATTACAGACTCATAGAGGGATCAAGTGCCTTTTCTTCGAAATTGCCTACGATGTTCATCCATGGCACGAAGGACACGGTGACCCCATCCAGAATCAGTGAACTTGCTCAGGACGAATTATCGCGTCTCGGGGCCGAGAGTCGTATTATTCTGGTCAAAGGTGTTAACCACATGTTTGATATGTTCTTCACGGACCCAGAGGATGAGAGTTATAGGGACTATGTTCTTCGAGGCCATGGGGCTGTGTAAGCTTTGACTACGTATTGGCATACTCGCATTTATTTGGCTCCCAAGACTGTCGATCATCACAAGCAAAACATGGCGGCTTATCCGAAGATACCTTATAATTAGCAGGGGCTGAAACCGCCAAATCAGTGACGGCGATCGCTCCCATCCTGTTGAATTTCTGGCTCCACAATGATCTCTGTTCGCAAAATCGCATAGTTTAGGCCCAGCGTATATTTTAAGCTTAGAAGCCCGCGTCTAATTTGCTTCAATACTAACTACTCGCTATCAATTTGGACCTTTTTGACACTTATTCATGTTGACCGGGGCGTGGAGCTGCTTACTCTTAATTAGCTCTCGCAAAACCTAGCAAGCTAGGTTAGTCTCAGACCCGTAATCATGATGGGAAATTGATCATTTCGAGGGGGCATGCACTGGCGCATGGTTGTGTGAAATCTATTCCTTTAGCTCAGTTCGGATGTTCGCCGTCGATCAGCTCGTACCGAGAAGGTAATCAAAATTTAATTTAAAGGTCCTACATTTAAAGCTGAGTTTCTCTTCATTCGCATTTTCAGGTCTCACTCAATATCCTTATTTTCTTCTATCTAATCATGCGACAATCTGTATTTTTCCTCCTATTTGCTGCATTGCAGATACTCGTCACAGCGAATATACCACCTGCAATTTGTCAACAAGCGGCTCCGAATCAGACTGCTTTGCATCTCCCTTCTGTCAATGTATCCGTCCCAACGTCACCCTGGGGACTCGCCTACGCGAGCGACGACGTTGCCTTTGTCTCCCTGGGAGCATTCGTTGGCGTGCTGAATACGTCTACATGCGCTCCACGTCTTATTCGCACAATCGAGCTACCAAAATATAGCATTCATAGTGATGGCTCCACCGATGACAATGGTGCGGCTGAGCTCACTATTTCCAAGAATCGGAAAGAGGTGTGGGTGTCACTTGGGCCGGGGCAATTGTGATCGATGTCGAGAAAGCGTTAGCCGGGCACGAAGATGCAATCATTGGCGAGCTTATCACTCCTATGTTCTCCATTGCGACGCAGATTGTCCTATCCATTGATGAGAGCTATGATTTTATTAGTCAAGAGTATGGGAGTAATGCTACGCAAGGGCGTGGGGGAGTTCAAGTGTTCGAGGTGAATCGGGTGAAAAATGGTACCATTTGCGGCATTTATATTGGCTTTAGGGAGCTACAATATGCTGTGAACGGGATAGCTCTCTCCGCTGATGGGAAAACAATCTATGTCACCAGTGAAGGGCCCACACTAACGTCTCTAATGCACCACAAGGATCGCGGGACTCTGAGCGTCCTTGATAAGTGCTGGAATCGATTCTTGTACTCGTTATCGTCCAGCACTATGCGGAATGCTGCGACCCGCTGGGAGGCTAAGACTCGTTCGGGCATCTCCATCGTAGCCGTTTTGTCGAAATATAAGCCCTTAACTTTTTTGTATTTGATGACTGCGCTTCTAGTTGGTTAAAACCTACATTTTGCTGGTTACAGGTCACAATACTGGTGGCAACGCTGCCTCGAATTCCCAGATTATACAGAGACTTTACGTGTGCTTGATACCGACAAGCCTCTACGAGAATACGTTGGAGACAAAGTGAGGCAAGTTTAAAGGATTAGCTGGCGAGTTATGGCCCGCTACTGCCTTCATCTTTCCCGAGACCAATCGTTCAGGCCTTAACCCCGGCCTTGAGATAGTCTGGGGCGACCAAGGGTTGCGGGCGGCGGTTCTGAGCCAGACACCCACGTGATGCTACTGACGGCTGATTTCATTGGCTCGCCGGATAGGCTAGGGGTTTCGTAGTCTAAAATAGGCCACTAATTGTCATTTGGTACTGGTATGGAAATCGCAATAAGTCTGTCATTTCTGAAATACTGGATAAAAACTATTTAACATATAACTACCGTTTTTTAAGCAGTTTACCTAATAATGCCAAGAAATTTTGACGTGTATCCGACTAGTAATGGTATACATGTAGCGACAAGGGGTGGGTACCAACAGTGACCTTCGATTCGTTGGTGGTCTTGCACCTCAGCAATCTGCGATTGTCCTAGAGAGCCTCCTGGTCACATTTCCGACATTTGCAGCAGCCTCAGTGATGCGACCATAATCGAAATGACACGTAACGGCCTGGGCATCGTGCATCTGCTTGCCATATATCGCGTTATTGACGACCACACACTCACTAACACGTCACAAACTACCCTGCACTTGCATCTACCCTGCACTTGCATGCATGAACCGCATCACTGTTCCTTCCCCTCATCTGAGGCTCAGCTTGTTGGCCTCAGAGGTAGTGCTACAGAGCAAACGCTTTCGCGAGATGACAACGAATATATTAACCCTCTCCTCTGGCAGGAATGTGAGGCCACTCAGTTTCTCGACTCTTCTGAATCCCCTCGAGCAAAATTAAGCAATACCTTGTCATGCCTCCCATTAATTCCTCGTCCTTAAATTCAGGAAAGCACGATGCCATACCTGTGGCCAATACTGGTAGCCTAGAGGGCTTCATCAAATATATAGGTATACTGGCGTCAAGCTCTGAATCTCAGTTTGCAGCTACCGTGCTTAGCGAGATCACTCAACAGCGTGAGCAGATTCAGTCACAAGAGGAAGAGTTGAAGGAGAATCAAATTACCATCAATGGAATGTTTAAATTCAACCAGGATGAAAAAGCAAAACAGCAAGTCTCCGCTACGCAGATAGAAACGCTTCGCGCTACTGTCAACGAAAAGGAGAGTAAGATCGCCGAATACTCGAAGAAACTAAGGCTGCATCAGCAGGAAATAATAAATTTGAAATCGGCTTGCTCGCAGGAAGTAGCTAAAGTTTCACAGTCCGCCAAAGACATCAGTACGCTGCAAGCCAATCTGAAAGAGAGAGACAAGATGATAGACGAATTGAAGACAGCTGGATCAAAATCAAAATCCATGTTATCTTTCGAGCAGGGAAAAAATGAAGAGCTGGAGACTGCTAATGCCTCAATGAGGACGGAGCTGCAAGCAGTCAAGGCCTGTATCAAAAAGTTGGAGGACTTTGCTGTCCAATCCTCGGATGTTGGCGAAGACTTTGTGTAAGTCGTGTGAAATGGTTGCAATTATCCAAGAACTGACTATTTCCGTACCCTATCAAAGGACGACAAAATTCAAGAACCTTTGGACTTCTGCTACAAACGAGCTATCCCCATTGCTAGCACAAGATGTTCCGGAAAGTATCCTCAAGGTCAGTTGTTGGACACTTTTCTCCATGCTCATTACTGAAAGAGTGAAAAGGACAAGGCAGTATGGGAGAAGCTGAGGAAGGTAGACAACGTCATTCTACCATCAAACTTTCCTCTGATCCCCTCAAACTCCCCAGCTGTCAAAGCAATACGAGCTGCATTAATTCTGGCCGTTCTGTTCAGAGAGATCAATCAACGGATATTCCGGCCCAGCTATTTTCTTTCGGAGAGCAATAATCTTCGTGAAGCGCTCGAATATGTTGCTAATAGTAATGGCGAGAAAGAAGCGTATTGCCGCCGCTTACTTCTCTCCATTGATCCGGATGCTGAGCAAGACACTCTTATTGCTGAGATCCAAACTGTGGTCCAGAGAATGCTCTCTTATGTGGGCGGCCTCTTTGACGGAGAGCAGCACGATTTGTTCTGCACAAAAATTAAGACAATAGTTGAAAATGCGGCCGAATTGTGGCTTCCAATTCAGCGATCGCGACAGAAATTCGAAACAGACTTCGAACCCTTTGATCCTGAAGACAACGAATGGGATATATTCTCTTCTGCTGGTAAAAATACAAAGCTAGTGGCACAGGACAGTCTTGGTCTTTATGTTCTCAATGTCTTCCCGTGCATCTCAATGGTGGAAGACGGCGACCATGATCCGTTGACCAGTATCATTCAGCTCCGCAGCTCTCAAGAATTATACATAGCAGCGCAGCACGAAGCTTCCAAAATATCAACCTCTGCAATCACCAGAAGGTATTCTACCCGCCCCAGGAGACAATCGACGGCAGGCTCAAATGGAAAGCCTTTTTTAGGTGGAAATCCGGCCAAGGTCTGATCGTCGGACCGTGGAAAAGGATTTGGGCGCGCTGACAGCTCTGGGGGCTGAGGAGGCTTCATGAGGCAGATGAGAATGATATCTAAGGGCTATCGGCGATGGAACTCTGGAATATGTTTTTCGGTCATGTACCTCCGTAAGTTTGCGTTTTGTTGCACGATAGGATACATAAGTTGAAATCCAAACGTTTCTTTTCAAGAAAGCCGAAATAGCCTTGGCAGACATTATATTGAGAATAAACGCCGTGAGTCTTAGAACACCAACGGGCCGAGACGCGCCACGGTAGCCAGGTGATGCATGTGCTAGCAGGTGCATTCGGGGATCTGAAGCCCCACTCCAGAGTCAGGATAGCATCATTGGCCGGTTGTACCTCTAGGTTTGTTATTGTTACCCCAGTGGGCCCCGCAGTGGTTTCTTATTCGACCATACTAGCTCCATCGATGTAACTGTGGCTGCATCTTGATGACGACGGTCCTAATGTATTGTTTGGTAAATAAGAACCCAGCCGCGTCTCTTTATTGCCTCCTCACGAATTTGTGTTATAGCTTTTGCCAGTGACTGATTTTGAGCGAGAGAAAGAAGCGGAGCAGTCGATTACGGGAAAACCCTACGAGTTGTGCTCAAGGAGAAGCTGTTTTGGTGCTTTCAGCACAGAATTCCTGATAGTCGATTGTCAGTATCGTTTGTCTCATCCCACTCGTGGGGAATTGAATATAAGTGAAAGCACATGTGACATTGTTATTCTAAAACGGATCCATAATTTCTGCCAGTCCGATTTGAAGACATTCTAGAACATTTAGATATAGGGTGACCTTACAAACTGGACCATCTACCCAACTACTCAAGTAAAAATTTCAGAGAACAAGTCCTGCTGTCAAATTTCTTCCTATATTTGGCTCGTATGTATAGGTCTAGTCTTATGAGTCTGGCAGAATGAGACTGAAATTGCTGGTTCCTCCCTATGTTATATTATAAGAGATGACTGGAGTTGAAGGGTTCATCCATAATTCCCTTAAGATCACACATGGGCAAATTTTCCCTTGCTCGCATAGGACTAATTTTTCTCTTTTTTTCCTTAGGCCGCTAATTACCTCGATATCAAGGTGCTCCTCAATGTCGGCTATAAGGCCGTTGACAAGATAATCAAGGAAAGTCTCTTGAGGAGATTCGCAAGACCTTCAACATCCAATATAACTTCACCCCTGAGGAAGAAGACCAGATTCGCCACGAAAATAAGTAGGCTGAAGAGTGAGTTCCCGTTTGTCCTATTACATGAGTACTTGATCCCGCTAAAACTTTCCTCAGCCGCTGAGACCTCTTTTCGATAATTTGTGACTTATTTGCTACAACGGAACAAGGCGGGAGACTTGACTGAGTCTTATGCCTGTTCGTCTATTTTTCAGGTATATTAGTGACGGCCATAATTAGCCAGGTCCTATTGAAGGAAGAAAAGTAAATATAATAGGCGTTCATATCAAAAAGCTTGCTCAACAGATACCGTGATCCACTTATAAACAAGTTTATGAGATTTGAAAACGTCGTGAACAAAGGCTATCTCTAGAGCAATGGAAGCTTTAGATCAGACAGCTTAGCAGAGGTATTACAGGCCAATCACTACACCACACTCATCTTCGCACAGTGCAAGTGACTTGTTTGATTCGTCACTAGAGGCAATTAGAGATACACTTTCGATCGACGATCGCGCCTCTTTCCGCAAATTTGCCAACCACGCTGCCATGATTGGAGAAATAAGATTGATGATGGCGGGGCACGAGCACAGAAGCAGACTGACTGCTTGCTGCCGGAAAATTGCCACCTTTTCCAAAGCATTCGAGCCGTACTTCGAAGTTGTCGGTATTTTCGTTTCGACAAAACCAGAATGGGCTGCTTGGTTCTGGGGGCTGATTCGAATTGTATTCCTGGTTTGTCTTCCGGTCATTGTGCAACTTGGTACCTATACTAATTATCTTAATGGACAGCTGGGAAGCAACCTGATAAAATTCCTCGAGAATGTCAGTGATATGTTCGAAGAAATTGCATTTACCTTGCCGCAATATCAGAAATGGTTTGAACTGTGACGTGGGGGCATTGACGTGAAGGACAATGATCGGCTTGGGCAGGCAATGTCTTTTATATGCGCGGACGTTATTGAATTTTCACTTCATGTATATCGTATTTTCTCAAGAATACGGCGCGGTGGGAAACCCTAGCACAGTGTTAACAAATACTCAACTGACTTTGCACAGGATCAACATTCATTAAAAGAGCCGCAATGAGCGGAAGTCTGTTATGGAAGCCATTCCAGTCCCGCTTCATGGACGTACTTGAGAGGTTGAAAAAGCACGAAGCATGGTGTGAGACCGAGGCGATGATCCAACAGCATGACCACATTACTCGACATCATGAAACATTTATTCAGTATTTGAAAAAACAGAAGAAAGAGCCAATGCTGAAAGGCGCAGAGACTTTGCTGAGCAGGAAAAAGCACAGGGTAAGGGAGAAGAAGATAACCAATCAGCCACAAAATGCTAATAAAAGAGCACAAATCAGCAAAGCAAGTCGCCATCATAAGAGACCGGCTATCAACTCCACGTTATCGTATATTCCAGGTGGACGGTCAGGAGTAGAATCAAGTCGCTAGGAAGATCAAGAAAGCCCATTTTTGCTCAAGACAATCCGATTCGGGGGTTGTGTTGGCAGTATGCCCCCGTCAAATATCATTTATGTCGTGCCTGTTGTGGAGAAAGGTATCTGGGAAGGTGTATCTTTGAGCTTCGCGTGGCAAACTTGTTTAGGGCCCCGCAGGTTTGGCACCCAGGTTTGGCCCCCGATAGCTGACAGATGGTGTGGTCAAAAATAAGGTGGGGGTTTTTGAAGAATGCACATTTCTTTTTCACCGCGCTATCTTCGGTTTTCAAAAGCATCACAGTGCGAGTCCTAAAAGTAAACTTCCTGACGAAAGCTCGATAGTCGCGAGCCTCACGATAATTTTATCTTAATCGTTTTCACCGTCGATACCTGTAGATGAAACTCAAACAAAGTAAATATCTGGATGAAAGTCCAACGAATGAAATCAGAAGAAGATGATGGCACATAGAGCCGTAAACTCAGAGAAAGGAATCGTAAATTTCTAGATAAAAATAAAAATCTATGTAACAATCTCTTAACTAGTAAATAGTAGATACTAGATATATTAAAGGTCTACACTATTGTCAAAATATTCCTCCAAAAGGACGATCCACGAAATAGGCAAAGAGATAATACCCTAGCAAAAGAATATTACTAGTAGTCCACGGACAAGAAGGCATCAGCACCAAAGCCTCTATGACATCCCAAGGTCTCTCATAGACATCTCTATGTAGCTACTTCAAGTTCAGGCACAGAATATACCGGGAATCTATCGGAGCGCAAGTACTGTTGTTATTCCCTTGAATCGCGGGGGCAGGATGGTTCTCTTTTCCGTCGGCCTATATATTTCTGAACCCTCAGCCCTGGAGGTCTCAACAGGGTGCTTCCTCGAAAGCGATGTGATCATAAGTACTGTCATTGAAATGCGTTGAAATTCATTTAGTTATTTGTATTTAAAGTATCTACATTGGCCAATGAAGTGGGCTCTTACCTAGGTACAGCCTATAGCATTAGATAAAGCCAACTTTAACTTGCATAAGCATTCAATGTTTTAAAATAATAACCATAGTAGTCCGGTTGTCTGGCAAACTGCTAAGGTGGTGAGAGTTCTCACCGTAATCGAATGGAAAGATGTTCATACTGATCCACGTAAATTCAGCATATTTTACAAGTGTGTCTCCCGTGTCCTTCAGGAAACTGATTGGATAGAGAACAAAGGGAAGAAAAGTCCTCGTCATGTAAGGTCAGGGTTTTTATAGATCGACCCCCACAATAGCCGCCCAGGGCCGCCACTACCTTATCTTATCAGCAAAAATCTTTCCCCGACTTCCGAGCCATTGCCATCCCATTTCTCCCCTCTTCTTCCTTCCACTCCACCTGTGATCTTCCCATACCCCACCATGGCAGCTCAGGCGACAGACAAGCTCCAAGGTCTGGACCGTGGGTTTTTCCTTTTCTCTCTTCGTGCGACCTGAACTGACCAGACCCTAGTGAATGGTCAAAACGGTGCCAAGGCCGAGACCCCCGCGGCTAGCCAGGCCACCCCGGCCGAGGCGGAGGACGATTCTGATGACGACCAAGAGGAAGGCGAGGGTGCCGCAGATGCTGGCGCTTCTGGAGGTGAGTGGTCTCTTTCTTCGCCATTTTCCCTTCTGTGTTATCCTACCCTAGGCCTATCCCGCATTTCGATACACCAAAGTACAGTACAGTAGAACCAGGCAACTGACAGTCTCGCATTCCAGCCGCGAAAAAGAAGAAGAAGCGCAAGTCCAAGAAGAAGAAGAAGGGTGGCGCCAAGGTTCAGAGCGAGCCTCCTCGCGTCCCCGTCTCAAATCTCTTCCCCAATAACCAATACCCCGAGGGTGAGATCTGCGAGTACCTGAACGACAATGCCTACCGTACCACCAACGAAGAGAAGCGCTACCTCGACCGCATGAACAACGACTTCCTGAACGAGTACCGTCAAGGTGCCGAAATTCACCGTCAAGTCCGTCAATATGCGCAGAAGAACATCCGACCTGGTCAGACCCTCACCGAGATCGCGGAAGGAATTGAAGACTCTGTGCGTGCTTTGACTGGCCACCAAGGCCTGGAAGAAGGCGACAACCTCAAGGGTGGCATGGGTTTCCCTTGCGGTCTCAGCATCAATCACTGCGCCGCTCACTACACCCCCAACGCCGGTAACAAGATGGTTCTGAATGAGGGAGATGTGATGAAGGTCGATTTCGGTGCTCAGCTCAACGGTCGCATTGTGGACAGTGCCTTTACCATGACATTTGACCCGGTCTACGACCCGCTTCTGGCAGCTGTCAAGGACGCCACCAACACTGGTATTCGGGTAGGTTTTGTGCTGGGCAGAAGAGTATCATTAGAATCGAGCTAACAAAAACTTATTATAGGAAGCTGGAATCGATGTCCGCATGAGCGATATAGGTGCTGCCATTCAAGAGGCCATGGAGAGCTACGAAGTTGAGCTCAACGGTCAAATGCACCCCGTTAAGTGTATTCGCAATCTCAACGGTCATAACATTGAGCAGCACGTCATCCACGGTGGCAAGAGTGTGCCCATTGTCAAGAGCAGCAACGACCAGACCAAGATGGAGGAGGGTGAAACCTTCGCCATTGAGACTTTCGGTAGTACCGGAAAGGGTTACGTCCGGGAGGATATGGAGTGCTCCCACTACGCGCTTACTCCTGACGCACCCAACGTCCCTCTACGTCTCTCGTCCGCTAAGAATTTGTTGAGTGTCATTAACAAGAACTTCGGTACTTTGCCTTGGTGCCGTCGTTATCTTGACCGTCTTGGTCAGGATAAGTATCTCCTTGGGGTAAGTTCAACTTGAATTGGCGGATTGTACTTTATAGACACTAACTTTATGTAGTTGAACAACCTGGTGCAGGCTGGAATTGTCCAGGACTACCCGCCCCTTTGTGACGTTAAGGGCTCATACACCGCTCAATTTGAACATGTGAGATCTTTCCCCGTCTTCACTTCTATTCGTTGCGATTTGTTGATTAACCTTGAACTAGACTATCCTACTCCGTCCCAATGTGAAGGAGGTCATTAGCCGCGGTGACGACTACTAAAATCCATTAGCAATAAAAACAAGCAATTCCTTTGAAAATTTTCATGAATTAGCCGCAGAAGGCAACACAATTGACCCTGACGATCCCAGTAATCCACTCGCTCGGTTGTATTAATAAACATTGCATGTAACTAAATGTGGGGATGGGTTGATAGTAGTGGTAGTACATGGTTGTAACCACCGATCGTTGTTAGCAGGTAGCGTATTATAGTATGGGAAGGGATATTTAAGAGCAACAGACACAATCACAACTTTCTTCTAAATATTCTGTCAACTCGAGAGTACCATCATAACAACTAGGAAAGGCCTTACCAACCCATGTAATCCCGCCAAGCCCACTGGCATCAGACCACGCAAGTCGCCCGTGTCGCCCCACGTGGAAACTAGAAACTTGAACGACCGCCTTTTTTCCCGTCCAGGCCGACTTTCTTCAACTACCCCTAAACATCGCCATGACTATCGTTCAAACAGCCTCCCCTCACTTGAGGGTGTCGGCTGCCAAGTCATCTTCCTCGGAATCCAAAGAATCCCCTTCCACTCGGATCTCGCCCCCCGAAACCTCCGCCGTTGATGACCACTTCTTCTGGACCTACACCGAAGAGCCGCACCGGTCTCGACGACAAGCAATTATCAAGGCTCACCCCGAGGTGCGTTGTGCATTGAATCGATCATACACCCCATTTGCCATATACGAAGGAATTGACTCTTCCTACGGGCCATGGGCCTTGTTCCTGGCACTCCCCTTCCATGTTCCTGGATCATTGGCTAACCCTGGTTACCTCCCGCCATGTTTAGGTCACCAAGCTTTGCGGTCCTGAACCTCTCACCAAATATGTTGTTTTTGGCGTCGTAGCCACTCAAATCACCTGTGCATACCTCCTGCGCAACACCTCCATCCTCGACTGGCGGTTCCTGGCCACAGCATACTTCATCGGAGCCACCGCCAACCAAAACCTCTTCCTGGCAATCCACGAGATCTCCCACAATCTAGCCTTCCGCTCGCCGCTAGCAAATCGGTTGCTAGCAATCTTCGCAAACCTCCCCATCGGTTTGCCCTACAGTGCTGCGTTCAGGGTGAGTCTCCGCGTTTCCTCCCACGCTCGAAGAAGCCAACCGTGTCCACTCCGCCACACGTATATTGGCCAACAAAAGGCAATTGACCCCCTCAACTAACATCGTCTCTCACTGGCAGCCCTACCACCTCACCCACCACAAATCCCTCGGCGTGACAGGTCTAGACACCGACCTCCCCACCGCAGTGGAGGCCTTCTTCCTAGACTCCCTACTGGGCAAGACATTCTTCTGCACTTTCCAAATCCTCTTCTACGCCGTCCGACCCATGTTCATCTACAGCCCGCCATTCACCTCAATCCACCTCCTTAACCTCGCCGTCCAGCTTAGCTTCGACTACTTCCTAACCCAATTCGCCGGCTCCCTCCAACCATTCTACTACTTCATCGCAAGCTCCTTCCTCGCCGGGTCCCTCCACCCTTGCGCGGGCCACTTCATCGCCGAACACTACTTCTTCTCGAACGTCAAGACCGGCGGCACAGAGTCCCTGCTCGAACTCAAGTTCAAGCCGGCGGCCAAAACAGAAGGCCCCTCCGTTCTAGACGGTCTCGCTCCACCAGAGACGTACTCTTACTACGGCCCGCTGAATTTCTTCACCTACAACGTCGGTCTGCATAATGAGCATCATGATTTCCCTGCTATTCCCTGGACCCGATTGCACAAGTTGCATGATATTGCAAAGGAGTTCTACGAGCCGCTTCCTTGCCACCGGAGCTGGGTTTGGGTGATTTGGACGTTCATTCTGGATAGTGATGTTGGACCTTGGTGTCGGGTTAAGCGTGCGCAGGGCGGACGTGTTGTCGGCGGTGGTGGTGGGAATACTGGTAAGAATGCGCCTACTGGGCGTGGAGGGGAGGGTATCTCTGCTGCGTCGGCGGGTCCGGCCGGCGAGGAAGGTGATGGGTGGAAAGAGAGTGAGATTCAGTGTTAGACTAGACTAGGTATTCGTTTTCGTGTCTTCTTTTTTTTTCCCGCTGTCAGCGTTTTGGGAGGTTACTGCTTGTGTTATGACTACTTTCGATTGTATGGTGTCAGTATTTGATACTGAATGTCTGTGATCAATTGGGACAAAAAGAATATTTCTCTCTTTCGGCCTGCTAGTAGCAGTTTTTTCGACATTGTATTACTCCATTATTTCCAAGGGTGCATTTGCACTGGCTTCTACGGAAGAAAGGCGAGTTGCTTGGGGATATGGATAGATTTGGCAATAAAAACACAACGCTCAACTTTCAAAGACCCTCAGAGAAACAACCACCTGCAGCAACATCAAGGAGCACGTCATTTATTATCCGACAGGAAGCAAGCACATTGGTTATCTCGCGAGGGCTCGATCATCGTTTATCACACAAAAGAGTCGAAGACGCTGAGTCCGTTCATCGTAACATGATATTAGACAAGACAAGGAAAAGGGTGAGGAAGTAAGAGAAGAGAGAAAGAGAAAAAGAACGGGGGACAAAGCGCCACGAAAGCTGCAAGCCAAGAGCCAAGCACGGAGGTGGAATAAAAGGAAATATGGATACCGGGGAAGAAGGTTGTAAAAGAGACACAAGAAAAAGGCTGATGCTGGGAAACAAAGCGGCAGGCTCTTCAAGAGACACGCGCGGTTAGATGGGAGGAACGTCGAGACGTGATCAGAGGCATGATAGAACACCACGGATATCAAGGACATAATAGATCATAGGTCACACACAAGCGCGGTTAGAAGAAGAAGTAGGCGATCAGGAAACTGATTAGGCAAAGCCCAGCAACCATCTGCACTGGTACGCCGGACTCGGTTTGTTGGTGCGATTGTTGCATGGCCGCTGGAGCTGCCTTGGCATCGCCGCCAGTCTTGCGCTGTCGCAGACCCTGGTCCGCCAGTCGGTCCTTCAGCCGTTGGATCTGCGCGTTGGCCTCTGCAAGCTGCGCCTTCAATTCATCACTCGAAGGAAGTACGCTGGCCACGGCAGCCTTGGCGTTCGAAAATGCAGTGGCGGGTTCGGAGGGCTGGGGGGGACTCGGACTTGGGCTTCTCGGAGAAATCGGGGGCGGGGACGGGGGACAGTTGCTCGGTCTTTTTGGCGGCAGGAGCAGGCGTTTCGAAATTTCCACCGGGGGAGTTGTAAGAAGGAGGCTCTTCGTCCAGGACCTGTATAGAGGTAAGCTTTGTGCGTGATATGTCGGTAGGCCCGCAGCAAAACATACCGAGTCGTTACCCTTTGATTCCGGCAGAGTAGCATCCGCAGCGAGCCACATCACACGAATCTTGCGCTCCACCATGGCGGACTTGGGGGATCTTTCAAACTGTGGAAATGGGCGTTAGTATCAGGATCAGGGGAATATCTCGAGGCTGTTCAAACGACATACAATTGAGGTCACATTGGCGTGTTCCATGTCAGGCGAAACAGCCACGGACTGGACCAGGAACTTGTCCTTGCACTTCGCGTCTGTGGCGGGCTCATCCTTCAGAGCCTGCAACAGAACTATTCAACCCCATCAGTTTTGGTTCACAGATATCGGCAATTGGGAGGGGAACGAACCTTGGACCTCGACGGCCCGGCCAGGCTCGATACGGCCGGAATTAGGGCGCACACAGTAGCTAAAAGAAAGTTAGATATTGAAGACTGTACCAAAATCGCGCGGTCGATATAGGAAGGGTACGTACTGCTTGGGGGCAGTGGTTTTAACCTAGAGGGCGGGAAAGAGACGGAATCAGCTGTGTTCGTGCCTGACAAATGCCGAGGGGAAGGAAACGTGGGCGTACCTTGAAGACAACCGAGTCCTGACCGGCGTTGCGCAAACGCAGAATCTGGCATACTTCCTGGTTGAAGGGGCCTGTTTATCCTCGAGAATCAGTTTTCGAGGTCGTTCGAGGTCTGGACCGTGTGGCCGAGGTCGAGGCACTTACGTTTGAAACTCAGCTCGGGGGGGGTCAATTTCGACAGACATGGTAATCGTAAGCGCGAGTTAGGAGTAGGGCGAGGGGTATGTGTATTCGGCGGTGGCTTAGGATCCCGCGACAGAGATGCGATTGCGAAAGAGAGGTGTGAGGTGAGTAAAGGCGTGGTTATCGTGTCAAGGGAGTTCCAAGAGTGGACAATAATCAACTCCTGAGGCGCGGGTTGCTGGCTGACTCAGCGGATCAGGTGATGTCACGGTGCTGGTCACGACTTGGTAACTGCCAGTGGGTAACTGGTCTGGCACTCTGGGAAGATTTAATGGAGAAGTCTAGAGTGCCGGGTGGGCGAGAACTATTTCGGTAATCGTCTGAAGTTCTTCGGAGGCAGCCTCGGTGGTGAGTCTCTTATCACTGCATGTGAACCTCCACAGTGGGGTTTCACGCTCTCAACGAGAACATGTGTAGTATACTTGAGTGGGTATAATATACTCTTGATGGTGAATAGACTAGCCATACCTAGTAGGTTTAACCTACTAGGTTACAGTAGGTATACAATCGCATTCTAGCCAGGAACAGGAAATATGAGCAAATCCAACTTTGTTGTTTTACTCCTCCCTCCTCTCATTGGCAGCATGCGCAACGGTGTACTAACTAATAGTATCATTCTAGCCGGGGCCGCAGATACGAGTATGCCTCAGATTGGGTTTGAGATCTATACTATCTATCATCTAGTGCTTAAATAGGTGAGTTACTCAATGTAAGCTCACCCCGAAATACTACTACTGTGGCCTGTGGCTTACCTAGTTAGCTCACGTTCCTTGTCTTGTCCGTTGAAGGCCGTTTGTCTTCTAGTAGTTACATAGCCTTAGTTCTTGTTTATGCGATTTTCACTTTCCAACAACTGCTCCATCTCTGGCTTCGTCCAATCGTTCCCTTTAGCAGTTGTATCTCACTAGCTTTATATTAACTCAGTTGGCCTCTATCAGTATTACTAGTAGTAGTTAGTAGTAGTTAATTACTATTATATATCGACTCGGAGTTTATCATGCTCCAGGGCTACCCAGGTGTGAGGACTATGGATCAGCAATCTGCCAGTGGGCCATTGTAGACTATTTTGAACTGGGTTTTCTGCGTATTAATGAAAGAACTTCAAAGAAGTTAAAAGATTCATTAAAATAAGCCCAGCCAGATATTTGAACCTATAGTTACCCTAAGTACTTAAGTATCTCAGGTTCCCGCGGGCCCGCACTTATCGCTCGCCGCCTTCGCAGCTCGACGATACGTCACCCGTAACTCTTAAGCTCCCACTCACCGACACCATCACAACATTTGCATCGCCCTTTGTCGATTGACGCACTATCACTCAGACTGACGCCCCATCCATCGATAGGATATTTCTTAATTATTATCGATTATCTCTCTGCCACACCCTCGTTCCCCGCAGTCGATCCGCCGTACCCCACCAAACATGGCCTCCGACCTTGATCAGCTCATTGAGATGGGCTTCGACCAGGAGCGAGCCCAACTAGCCGTTGCCAAAGCCGGAAACCGTGGGTCACTCTCTACCGATAATTCTCATCTTGGTTGCCTTTGTTAATAAATCGCTTAGTGCAAGGGGCATTGGAATGGCTCGAGGAAAACCAAGACAAACCGCTGGATGAGATCAAGGCCGCGCAAGAGGCAGAGGACGAGGAGGGCCCCGCTCTGAAGCCCGGCGAGGAAGCTCGCAGCCTAGTCTGCAATGATTGTGGCAAAAAGTTCCGGAGCCAGGCGCAGGCCGAGTTTCATGCATCCAAATCCCAACACGTCGATTTCTCAGAGTCTACAGAGGAGATCGCGGCCTTGACCGAGGACCAGAAGAAGCAGAAGCTAGAGGAACTGAGAGAGAGACTCGCTGCCAAGCGAGCCGTGCAATCAGTGCAGGACAAGGCTGACGACAAGAGAAACGAAGTAAGTGACACCTGAACCTAGATGTATGGCCTCGCTCACAAATTCCGCAGCAAATCCGAATGAAGGCCACAAAAGAAAGCCAAGACGCGAAGGAGGCCATGGAGAAGAAGGAAAGATTGAAGGAAGCGGCGCAGAAGAAGAAGGATAAGCAGGATGAGATCGATGCCAAGAAGCGTGTTCAGGCACAGATCCAGGCGGATAAAGAAGAGAGACGCCGGAAAGCCGAGCTGGCAAAGGCCGAACGAGAAGGCAAGGCTCTTCCTCAACAGCCCGCCTCAGTCCCTACCCCTGCCTCCGGTCCCGTCACCTCCAAGCCTGCATCCGAACACAACGAGACTCGCCTGCGTTTCCAAACTCCTCAAGGAAACATCATGAAAAGACTTCCTGTTACGACAACCCTTTTCGAGGTTGCTGCGGCTCTCAAGCAAGAGGATGGCGTCGAAGTCCAAAGCTTCACCCAGACCTTCCCTAGGAAGACCTGGAACTCTGAGTTCTTTGGCGAGACATTAAAGGAATTAGGTCTTGTGCCCAGCGCAAGCCTTATTGTTCAATGATTCAGGGTCTAGTCAGAATGTGGTAATGATGGACCCTTGAGGGATAGATATTGCTTATTCAAGGATGAGAAATGAACATCGCATATTCAGCTTCCAATATAAACACTTGTATTTTTCAAATTAGTAAACTCATAAATCCAGAATTCCTAGTACACCTTCAGTCCCAGATGGGATCCCGCGGCTGCCTGAAAGATAAGGCGCTTATCAACATGTGACATCGCGATGGCCCGCGTCTCTCACACGCGTTGAACACGCCCTCTCCACTTCCCCCAAATCAACACCACAACACACCAATATGCCAGCGTGAGAATCCCAAATTCCAAATCCCCAGTCTGAATTCCAAATTCGTACTCTTTGCGCTTCCAAATGGACTCGGCCTCTGATCGATTTGACCCTAGTGTTGGCGACCAACATCGCGGTGGACCCGCATCCGTCGGGATGCCAAACGCCCCTTCCACCACCGCGAACCCCTTCGACGAACCCCAGCGCCGCATGAGCGAGTACACAGCACAAGATATTGCTACCCTTCAAGCGCGACTGGACAAGAAGCTGGGCCCAGAATACATCTCCAATCGACCAGGTGCCGGTGGCCAGAAAGTACATTATCTTTCTGCCGACAAGTGTATCAACCTCGCCAATGAGGTTTTTGGATTCAATGGCTGGTCCAGTTCAATCCAGAAGATCGACATTGACTTTGTACGGCAGTATCTGCTGTATCAAGCACGGGAATTTTGAGGCTAACCGTTACAAATCAGATTGATGAGAACCAAAACAGTGGTCGGGTCACCATGGGGTTGTCGGTTGTTATGAGGGTCACACTTAAAGATGGAACGTATCACGAAGTGTGTACCTCTCTTATGATTCCCAAGATTCCGTTGCAATCATTTGCTGACCATCTCCAGGATATCGGTTATGGTCACATCGAGAATGCGAAAGGCAAAGCGGCAGCCTTCGAGAAATCAAAGAAAGAAGCAACAACAGACGCCTTGAAACGTTCACTTAGAAACTTCGGAAACGTGCTCGGTAACTGTGTTTATGACAAGGACTACCTTGCAAAGGTCACTAAAGTGAAGTCTGCACCGGTAAGAGCGGCTGAATTTATCATCTTGGTGGCCGTTCAGCTCATCTTCAATACAGGCCAGATTTGACATTGAGGACCTTCACCGACACCGGGATTTTGTACCCAAGCCCCAAGCGCCTCCCGCAAAACGAGTAGCAGAGGATGACCTTTTGCCCCCCCCCGCGGCCAGTTGAACCTGCTAAGAGTAGCAAAGCAGTGGCAAGCGCTAGCTTCGACGGGGATGGTGAATTTGGCAGTGAGTGTCAGAATACTGGTCGATTTCCTCTTTTTCTAACGACGATAGGTGATCTCTTTGATGAAGCTGATTTCGCTGTGGGAACGACGGGCAATCCCGACGAGATAATAATAGAAGCAGAAGCTCAACAGCAGCCGCCAACCCCTATGAATCGCCCGCAACCTCCGAGAGGACCTCCAGCAGGACGATTTGATAACACTGTTACGCCATCGAAGCCAGAGAGGTGGAATCCGGGGAACCAAGTCGCCAGACAACCCTTGCCCCCAAATGGCCGACCCAACCCCTCAGCTATACCTGCTCAAGGCCGACCTATGCCCCCGAATGGACTTCCTAACAATGTGCCAAATTCGAGACCCGGGGGCCCGCCTCAAGTACTCCCTACCCCTGGCACCGATGTTCAAAACCCTAACGGGCTGCCATCTGTAAAAACGGAACCTACGGCAGGATTAAACCAAGACCAACAGCCACCAACCGGGACTCAATCGGTGGGATTCTTTTCGGCCCGTGTAGCAGACATGCTGCGTGATAACCCCAATGCTGGCCCTGCCCCCGGAAGCCAATTCGATCCCCATGCCGAGAGTCCATCCATCCGGAAGACGGCTGGCGTGGATCATACCAAGAGCGTGCCTATCTCTAGGCCGATGCTGTCCAATGCCTCTCCTGCACCCAACAACTCCCGAGATTTCGTCAACCCTGCCACTGACTTTCAACGGCGAGTCGGTGCTCCTGGAGGTGTCGCGGGCGGAGTTGGCAGTCCCTTATCCAGAGGTCCATCGACCTCGACATTTCGACCATTGACCCGAGCCACCCCCAACGCCGCGGCCATGAACCGAGTGAATGTACCGCCACAAAATATGAACGGAAAGCGACCACCTCTGAGTGACGTTACCAACGCTTCACCCGGTGCCAATAATCCAACTGCCGCCCCTCAGGCTGCGAGTCCCACCGATTCTAAGCGACCTCGAGTGTCCGACGTTGGACAACAACAGCCGCCGCCGCCGCCTCCGGCCCCAAAGTGAATAATGTTTTGATTCAATAATTTCAAGGTACACATCGAGAGAATTAGCGAGTATTGTCATTCTTATAGAGATTTGCTTCCATCTTACGGCGTCCAATAATTTGCATGTTTATCATGTCGGGGAACGGGGAGAGGCGTTTAGGGCTTGGGTATGGAACACCCCCAGAATGGGGTTCCAATACATTTGTCTAGTCCAGGCAAAAATATTCTGAAGGAAATTCCGGTTTTGGATAACATTAGATACACAACTGTACGAAATCATAACACGGGCTTTTCTTATTCAAACTTGGTTCTAGTTGGGAGAGGTGATGAAATTCTGACCACCATTCGTCGGGGTATCTAAGGCAGATCCGATGCGGCTCTGTGTGAAGGCGGGCGCGATCTGGCCTGACCCACCACACATATATAACGCCTCTAAATTCAGCCTCCAACATAGCCTCATGCTCACATCTCCTGGGAAAATTACAAAAGGAAAGTAGGCCCGGATTGTTGCAGTTTTTGCCGTGAATTTCTCAGATTCTATCGTCTTCATCCGGAATGACTAGTCGGATACCTATACCACGATGGCTTATGATTGCCGGCATGCCCGTCTACCTCATCTACTACGTAGGGTGCTTTTTGCCTCTTAAAGGGGCAGATAAGGTGCGAGAATGGGCCGAGACAGAGCGTCCCTTCCCCCACCTGAGACGCAATCGAAGGCGAGCTTTGACATTACCCCTGCCTGAGGAAGCATCAAATTCTCTTGGCCGCAGAGCACAACAAACATTTGATCAGAAACAGTCGCCCTTCTTAGCCCGACTACCTCTTGAAATTCGATATATGATATACGGGTATGTTCTAGGACCGCCGGACCAAGTGCTTCATGTGGTACGCAAGCGTCGCGGTATATCTGGAATCCAATGTCATTATACGAGTCCAGTACGACCGTTTCGGGACCATGGATGCTGGAATTTAGTTGGTCGTGGTCCGAACTATGAACCCGGACCAAATGATGATTGGCATGCCAGATATCTGAATCTGCTGCGCTCGTGCCGTCAAATGTAAGTATAAAGATCTGGTTGTAGAGCATGGGAGATTCGGATATTCGTATCGCTGATAGTCATTAGATACTCCGAAGCCGTCAATACCCTTTACGCAGACAGAATACTGAGTATAGAACACCCCTGGGTGGTTCCAGAACTTCCAAAAGTCATGCTGCCCCATCGTCTTGCAATGATCAGAAAAATGGATGTCGGCTTTCGCATGCGGCGTAACACTATTTTGGGAAACCAAAGCGAAAAGTTCATTCAGATGTGGAAAAGTACTTGCCAAGGTCTATCCGAGATCGCAGCTGCGGGAAATCTTCAACGTCTCGTGATTACATTAGATCATGTCGAGGGTAAGCGTCCTCGACCCGAAGCTAGTTTTTGGATCACCGATGAAATTTTAGCTTTATGTTTGTGTCCACTCATGAATATTCGCGTTCCGGATTTCAATGTGGTATTGCACCTCTGGCCACAATCTCAAGACGATGTTACGCGAATTATTGGGGAGGATGTCCCCTTTTCTGTCAAAATCGTACCGATGATATATTCTTCAAGTTTGGAATGGGAGTGAGCTTTAAGGTTGGTGCTCGTCGGATATGCCACCATGTTCTGAATTTTACTGGTGGCAGTCTCACGCGAACTGATCTATCTCGGTACTTAGAATAATCATGTTCGAATCTGATATAGTATTGCTTTGAATTCATCTCGCAAAGCACTATGTGGGTCGCAAGGAATGAAGACCTTTCGTGGATGGAAGTGAGCTATATTATACCGATAGACAAATGATGGATTGCCGAATAAAAAATTGCTAAATGATACTCCTAGCCTCACATAAATTTAAACAACACTTGCCAGGGTGGTAGGCTAACTAGTCACATTTACTTTGTACCGTTTCTATCTTTTCTAAGTATCGTTCTATCAGAGTCAGTGAAGTTCGCACACAACTTGCTAAGAGTGGGTTTCCTACTTGCAGCCATCCATCGCGTTCCTAGTTGGCGTAGTATTATTTTGATAGGTTGGATGGACGATTCCGGTTCAATTCCCTCCGATAACCTGGTATCACTGAGATATGCCAGCACCGCCTTGAATAAAAAATGGGGAAGAAATACGGATAAGGTTACCGTATCAAGTGGGGGAGATATTTCTCCTCCACGTCCAAACTCGCAGATTGACGATTTAAGAATGTTCACTGCGGTTTTGACACAATCAGAGTTATCTGGTATATCCATACGAGAACCGACCTCCAATGCTTCTAGCATGGCACTGCATTGGATTTCGAATGAGCGGTTGATTCATGAAGCTTTTCTGGTAGGCTGGGTATAGTTACCTCCTAGATATTGCTAGTGCACTACCCAACAGAGGTTGTGAAGTCAATTGACCGTTTTGAAAAGTGGCCATGAAAGAGGTCAGAGATATGAGAATATCAAGACTGCTAATTTACCGTACTAGTATTGTGTCCAGGGGCCTGAATGGGAAGATGTGGCCTACAACGACACTTCCCTTACCTCTACAACAACCACTGGTGGTGCCCCAGGGCCTACACAGACAGGGATGGTTGCAGGCTGTGAAGAGTGATACGTCGTCAAGGCAAATGACACATGTCCAGTCATTGCAAAGCAGTATTCCATCTCTCAGGCTCAATTCTACGCCTGGAATCCAGCAATTGGAGGTATGTTCTATAATTTCACGAGGAAGGAACCCCAGGAAAATAGACTAATCCATGATATTCTCATCCAGCGGATTGCATTGATCTCGAAATTGATGATGCCTATTGTGTGAAGGCCCGGACGACCATCAGCACAACAACAACTTCTTCAGTCGCCAGCCAGACATCTACCGGGACAAGCATCAGACCACCAGGTCCTACGCAGGCAAATGTCCCATCAAACTGCAATGCATATGCCTTAGCCCAGACCGATGATGGTTGCCAGACTGATGATGGTTGCCAAACATTTGCCGACCGCAACAAAATCATACTTGCGGATCTATGTCAGCTCACGTCCGGGATACACAGTTTAGATAACCGCTAACCTCATTATTTGTTGCAGACAAGTGGAATCCGGTCCTCAACAATGCCTGTGAGAAGTAAGTCTTCCCTTTCCGCTAATCTTTGCTCCGCCTTTTCAAGTTGTCACTAACCATTTTCTTCCACAAAAGCTTTTGGGCAAAGGAGGCCTACTGCATTGGTGTCTCGTCTTAGTTTCTGGTCAAATGGGGTTCTATAATTTCATTCATAGGATCGCCTGGCTGCGATATGGCGAAAGTTCGACTAGGGGGAACTTTCAGTGAGGCCTAGAGCCTATATCATGGTAATCGATCATATATAGTACGCTTCAGGGAATGGCCCAAAGGAAGAGGCATCTTATAGTGTTCTATTTCCTGGAAAATTTAATTGGTGTCGAAACGAGAATCGCATGAACTCGTCGATTCATATCGCCGTTTGAAATTTATAAAACGAAAGCCTCAATGGTTACAGCTGAAATACAATATCATCAACCTTTAAACATCCCCAAAGGCAACCGGTGATATTCTGGTTCGTGCCCTCTTAATCATCGCACAATTTGACTGTGAGATCTTGACCGGTATGTTCAGAAGCCACTTGCTTCCACAGGTTCAGAACCCTTTCCTCAGGCTGGTATCCGAGACGGTCAGACTATGTTGCGCATATATCGCCTTCCGTAGAATATTTGAACCGATGATAGACTCTTCCCGACTCTGTTTCCATACGCAGGTCCACTAATTTAGGCATATACAATGCTGCCTGACCCACAGCCATATATAGCTCATTGAAGAGACCCGGCACACTGACTTCTCGGAAGGGCTTGCCGCTACGATCTTCGAGTACTGTTCTCACGTATTCCGGAAATTCATCATGTGGATCTGAATCCGTGGACTCATATTGATCGTCCTCATCGCGATCAGAACGGTCAACAAAGAGCCATTTCCCGGATGGTGTTGAGGAAATGTATTCAATGTCGATGCTTTTCAGATCAGGCCATGATGGATATTTATCATTTGATTCCAGTGGCCAGAAAAGTTCATTTCCAAATGTCATTCCGTAGATACTGAGTGTCTCTAATTGTTGAGAGAACTTATGTAGTTGCGAGCTGAGAGCATCCACCCCTTGGTCTGTGATATCATCTGGGGAGAAGTTGTGATTCCTAGGTGGTTCATGATTAAAATGAAAGTTGAAGGATTTTATGCTGGGCGGTAAAAGGTGAATATGAGCAGCGAATCCTAAATACACCATTAGTAAACCGTGGAAATGAACATGGTATGTAGTGAAAAATATTCAATTGGTCTGTAAATAGAGCATACCGTCGCGGTTGCGTTTTCTTAGATCTTTATCGCGTTTGCAGGTGTCATTCAACAGCAACTTGAGCGTATGGAGGTTAGGGAATTTCGAGGCAAGACGAGCGCACGAAGTCGCCTCGATTTGTCGTCTGTCAGCTAACGCCTCTATTTTGAGAGTATGCACAATGTTGACTGGTGCTACCTGGCTCTCAAATGCATCAAGTCGAAGGTAGTTTCTCTCAAATCTGCGGTTCAAAATATCTGCAGTCCGCTCGGCACGGGCGGCCTTTATTCGCCTAAGTCTATATGGACTAGCAACCAGATCACTAGGGGACTGAGCTTTGACGGAGAGCGAGATACCTTGCGATGATCTCCATTTCGCGACGATTTGAAGGATTGAGCGGATTGCATCGGAGAAGATCTGATTATTGCGCTCATTCTCAGATTCTGTCTCGAAATGAGCTCTGGCAGCTTCATCGTAAGGCTCAAGCTCCACGATCAATTCGATATCCCGAATATATGATTGGCGTCGTGAATCCTTTGTCAATCTTTCGAATTGGTCTAGATTCAATGGAGTTCCTGTCTTGACGCGGAGTTTCGCCCAGCTTCGCTCCTCGACAATGGGCTGCCAGTCGCGATTCACTGAAGCGTATTGAGCCAATCCGAGCTTGGTGTCTATATGAGTCAAAGGGTTTTCGAGGAGTGACACAATACGGCCAGTTATCTCTAGGGGAAGTGGCCACGCCATTTTCCGTGAGTTGCTAGGTCTCAGAAGATGAACCTTGGAAGTTGAGATGATGTGGGGTCGGACGGGGAAATGCGCGACCGAGTCGCACGCCTCTAATTGGATTATCCTGACTAGTGCCCCGGCCGCACCATCGGAATTAGTTCCCGAGGGATCTATACGAAGTATCAATTTGATTTCCAATTAACTTGATCATCTAAATGTATATATAGCCTCACGTTTTCCCTCTCGAATAGTAACTGAATTCATTCATCTGAACTACATCAGAAGCTAAGACGCTATTGGCAAAGAGACGCTAGGAGATGCTCAAAGGACATCATTAGCGCTTTGGAGGAAAATAGGGTTCTCCATACTCACTACGCTTACCTTGCTCACCCCTCTGCTCACGAAGTGGACGAAATAATTCTCAATTGATCGTTGGGGGACGCCAGGGTACTGGGCAAGATGGTTTCCGGGAAGGTGGTGGTTTCTTGGAGATCCGAAAACTGCGGGCAATGATCAGTGATCACAATGGCGAACCGCTGTCGTTAGAAATAAACATCGATCCCTGAAATCAGCACGCGAACTTTGGAAGGGTCATAGGATACTGTATTTTTGGAGTAGATTGTTCACTGGCGGATGTACAAATGGACTTATACCAAGTGTACAGTTGCGAGGAACTAAAATAAAACGGTATGTACACAAGACCGAGGAACATCGACCGTGATCAAAGAGGAGGGATAGGAGTTTGTTACGAGAATGCGACAAATATAGCACGACCTGATGAGCATGCGATCGCCAGTGTTGTGGCAGATATAGTAAACTGAGAGAAAGAGACCGGTCGACATTCTGGAGGCAGATATAAGATGTTGACTCCATTATAGGATATCCAGGAACGGTTGTCACTCAGGCCATACCCATACGGCATATATGATAGTGTTGAGCCATGGGGCGTAGGCGAGGTACAATCGAGCGAACTTACATCAAATGTACCATCCAGCGTATGCAGACGATTTTCATTCGATTGATCGAACTCGAGAGAGCCAATAAAGTAGGCTTAGGGGACCGACGCGCTCTGGCCAGTGAATAAAACCAGATCCAGACTGTGTTACTGTAAGATGATACATATGGCGCCTAATTTATAACGGCGCGTACATAGTCAGATTCATAGGCACCCGAACCGCCCCCTAAACTAGAGTGGAAGGTTATGCTGCAAGATCGTTTGGCACAGGAAGATCCTCAAGCTGTGCCTCAGAAGGGGAAAGCTACGGGTAATTCCCAACAGCGCGTACACATATAGCCAACTTAATCTAAAGCTTCGATTTTACGCTGGCCTCCAACCGTCAGGCATGCTCATCCCAGGGAGCTTTGCGAACTGTTCTTCTAAATCATCTAACTCCCTTTGAATTCTTTCCCGAGTGTTATTTCCACCTCCTTGTTCCAAGTCCTTCAAGACTTTCTTGAGCTGCCCGATATTGAAAGTAAAATAGTTCTAGAATAGAATAAGACTTTTCAGTTTTCATAATCATCCAATTGCAGAGACTTACCTGCTTCTTCTCCCTCCAAATAGGCTCCATCTCCATCCTCTCTATGTCCCTCTTCTCCTCTTCATCTGGCGTCCAACCTTGAGGCATGGTCATCATAGGGAACTTGGCCAATCTTGCTTCGGAATCCCTCAAGTTCCTTTTCATGATGTCCAGGTTGCGTGGATCATTTTCATAAAGCTTCACACTCTTCTTGCTCCGCTCGACGTCGCGGGCTAGAACATACTAACATAGATAAGGTGAGACTTGTGACTGACTATAATTCTGCAATTACAGACATACCTGTTTCCATTTTTTCCAAGTAAGCTCCATCTCCTTTCTTTCTGCCTCCTTCTTCGCCTTTTCCTCGTTTTCAGATAGTTGTTGAAGTTTCTTTGAACTCCAACTTTCCGGCATCGAAGGGACCGTTGTTGCTATCTCAGTTTGTATCGCCTTGATTCTGTCATCTATGAAGGGATCTTTGAACCCATCAGGTAGACGACGACGCATTTCCTCCAATGCCTTGATTTCCTTGTTTTGACGATCCTATCAGAAAGTAAGACCTCTGGCTTCATATTATCATTCAATTGCAGACTTACCAGCCACTCCTCCCTGAATAGAGGTTCTAGCGACTTTCTTGCTGCGTCCCGCTTTAAATCTTCCGCTTCTTTCTTCGCCTTATCCGCTTCTATCCAGGCCAGTCGAACTGCAAGTCCCTTTGGGCTCAACCCCGCGCCTACGTTTACATTAGATCAATGAATTCAGGTCAAGACAAGATCATAATTACCAGATGAGAAGACCACGCCATCCTCATTCATGAGGTCGTGGAGCGTTACGGTTCGCCAGATTGGGCCGTCAGGCCCCTGGCCATGCGCTGTCAGATCCAGTTTTCCATTCCTCATGGCAACCTTGGGGTGAGGGGATACGAGATTGGAAGACAAGGTATCCGATCGGTAGCTAGGGGTGACACGATAGTCCATGCCACCTAGTCGAAATTAACGTTGAGCTTATTCAAGAAATGATAGTGGATACTCACCTCTGGCGGCCTTGACATTTTCATCGAGATAAAACCTGCTTTTCTTCCAAGTGCCATTCAAGTCTTGAGCATCACACTCAAGGTAAGTTTTGCGCTCTGACCAGTCATTCCAATTTTCAGTGATGCAGCTAAAGTTTGCGCAACTGTCAGGCAGAGACTTCCAAGTGTGCCTAAAGGGAGCTGTAGCTTCACGAATTGACGCCATGATAGGGATACGTGCAGATATTGTATGAAGAATTCCTTCGAGGTGGAGTAGGACAGAGTGTCAAGAGGATGAATATGCAGGGACAGGATTTTCACGAAACATTTATACCCAGTCAGAAAGTTCAGGATCGCAGATTGACCCAGCATAAGTAAAGCTGAGAACAGATAGTTTTGTAGATCAGATGTGGATTTGCGGGGCGGTGCCCTTCGATTCGGTTAATACATATAGATATGACAGCGCCTTGTAAATTACTGAACCCATGAAAGCTTATTTTCTAGCTTAAGGTAGTCAAATATGTCACTTTATTCTATATCCAGTAAGATTCTATACAAAGAGAGGCATTTCAAAAGTGAGTGGGTGGCAAATGCAAGGATGTCTAGTGCTAAACTAAAAGGTGTGGCTGGCTGACCTGTTGAGCGATTTTCAGTGGACAGAACAATGATAGGCCAGACGATAATAAATGATATCATATTCCAGAGTATTCCAGAGTGTTGAAGTACATGATCCGTATATGCAGGAAAATAGCCCAGATATGCAGAATCACGATCTCGATGCTGGCATGTCGTGAAAGAAGAGAAAATTACCCAGTCAAAGTCTCGAAAGCGAACAGCCTCACGAAGCGCTAAGCGCGAAAATGGCATCCTCCAATATTGTCAGTTCTTATGTCAATGTTATTACTCTTTGACCGATTCTTACAGTAGAAGCTGGACGGGAACGGGCCTTCAATTTCACACGAACATGCGAACCCCACAAGTTGACCCATCGACCCAGAAGATCGGGATAGATGGTTTGGAATCGTGCTTGTTAGTGCCTGTTCATAGGTGGGGAACGGAAACATGAGCCTATAAGGATCTCGGAGACACAGGAAAAGATGCAAAGATGGCTAGAAATGCGTGGCCGATCTTTTCTTGGACCGAGGGCTTTGCTACATGCTAAAAGTCGGTGTGCCATAATTTCCCAAGGCCCCTGATCAAGTCCGATTACAACCAGATATCCGTCAGCCCTACTCCGTAGTTCTATCCGTTCAAGTTGATTTTGAACGCATGCCCCGGCCAGTGGAGAACTCATCTACGTGTGTTACTGAGGGAAACCTTCCGCTCAATCAAGTAATGTATTTAGACCGGTGGATCCTCATCATCTATGACCTTCTTCCCAACCACCAGATTGGAGTAACCTTAGTTCATGATTTTGCGAAGCAGCTTGTTGTGGAGAGGTATGATCGATGGGGGATGCCGAGTTGATGTTGGTACTGGTTATGTAGGGAGGCAGGTGAACGACGGAAGTTACCAGGTGTTGTTACATATTTGTCACGGGATTTGTGCCAAAGAGGGTGAGTCTCATTGAAGAGGTAATTACCCCACTTTGCGAATGAATCTCTTGACGATCGGGCTTCGTTCAGCTACGCCGCACTAGGGGGTCGTGCCCGATTCAACGTGATTACAGGGGGGGACGACTTTGGACGAATATCCCTTTGTTCCTGAAATTTCAAGAATCAGTCAGTCTCTGTTACTATTCATAGTATTGGATTGAAGCTATCTATCTATCGCTATCTCTTTAATTACCATTTGAAATCTTGCCTAGTCACAGTTCCCTGGCCTGGTCCTTAGTAAAGTCCATTACAAGATTGTGATGTATCATCCCTTGAGTCAAAAGTTTCACTTTGTTGAACGGCATAACGATCATAGTTAGCGAGGAATTGGGCTTCATGGCTCCTGGCATACTGTAAGGACAAACTTATGGTGAGTGATTATTAGTTAAGGCTACGCCATCGGTAAACTGAGAGGTTGTTGGTCACCCGCAAACAACAAAAACTTGTTCAAGACGCTGTTTATCGATCATTACTTCCGGTAAGATGTCCCGCAGACCAAAGGGATACCTCTCAAGATGTGATGACGGGCGTATGCCGTATGGGCAGTAAAAGAAAATGGAAGCCGCCCAGCGGATCGCCCAGGTGGCAGATCCAGGGCGGACCCTCTTCGGATGATGTGCAGCGACCCACTATAGTTTCCATAGCATTCAATGTAGTCGCGTACAATTGTGTAAAGTGATGTAGCAACATACGATACCATACGCTGCCCATTTTACGGCGCCCTCAATTTTACGAGGGCCGCTCACTAATAGATCTGCGCTAAGGTTTTGGCGGTGGGGCCAGGAAAGAATGATTGAGTGTGCACTGTTCAAGCCGATTTTGAGAACGACTGTATACCACACGCTGTGTCTGTGTTTACTTGCCTCTCCGTGTGGGATCTAGGTCCATTCAAGAAGCTGAAAGGTTTCGGCCAAAGGTGATCATTTAATACTATTAGTTCCGAATACCCCCTGTTTTAGACGCCATGACAATTATTTGATTGTTTCAAAAACACGCATAAGCCCGGTTTTGATATTTGTCTAGAATTGTGGGGTAGCGGCCTCAAACTTAAAGTCGTGCACGAGAGCTAGTGTGCGGTCCGTATTGCGAATTAGGCGCACCAGGGCCAAGGATATGACGGCGGCATATAGATTTATGCGTTGGTCCTTGTGTAAGATGTGCTGGTTTTCCCCACGAGAAGGAGATATACTTTTTTCAAACTAAACAGAGTGTGCAAACCACTGGAGGGAATGTCCTTCATGTACGGGCTCCAGGCTTGGTTGGACACCAGCTAGTAAGAGGATCTTGCCACAGATTATACTAGCAACGCTGGAATACTGTAGTATGACCTCGAGATTACCTATTTATTCAAGGTCGAAAGAATATCATAGTAAGCGAAAAGAATAGCACAAATCTATTGAATTTGAAATCTCCGCATTCACGATTACAGCGGGTGCCACATCCACATATTCGTCTCCGAGTAAATACCAACTTGACGCTTCGCATCCCATCGCAAAGGAGTAGTCTGATTCTCACCCTTTAACAACAACCCATTCAATTTTCCACCTAGAAGCCAGCGGCTGCCATCTTCATCGGTGAACACATCCAAAGCCACCTTATCTCCGAATCGTTGCTGCCATTCTGCGACAGAGGCGACCACGGTGAAACTTCTGATGGCTGGCTTCACGGCCTTTGCTCCCATTCGTATATGTTTTCGAATCTCCCTGTCAAAGGGAAGTGGCTGATCAGATTTATTCGAGCTTGGCCACGTAAACCCATGGCGAAATGGGCCCTCTTGGATCCAACTAAAGTATTGTTCGAATGGAGTGTGCGGATATTGAGACTTGTGCATCGGTCGGACCGGGATGACCAACGCCTTTAGATTGTTTTGGCGAGCCAAATATTTGAAATTTTGATAGAGAATTCCAGCCAGGCGTTGGCCTCGGTAGTTATCTGCCACAACAACCAGCAGCCCTGATATAGCATTTGGTCGGTTGGGTAGCCATGCCGTCGCCTCATCCTTTTTTTGATCCCCGGTGAGAGGCAAAGTCTCGTCGGATGGGAGCTCCCCTTGTCGTGCTCGTGCTTGGAGAACTCCTCTGGTCAAAATTGTCTCCCAGCCTCCATCTGGGAGAGTCGAGGCGCATTCAGGAGTATCATGTGAATAGAGCGAGGCAGTTGGAGCCTTAGCCAGCTCTGGCCAGAAGAAAGGCGTACATACTCCGGTAGCAACCACTCTCTCGTCCGAATTTCGTACAATCATTGTTTGGTAGCGGGCCAATTCTTCGATCTCTCCGAGCTGTCGATAATACCGTTTGAAAACAGCTCCCTGGCTCCATTGTGGAAAACTAAATAGACCGTGGCTTGGGTCCGAATGTGTCGGGTGCCAGAGGTCTGGGCGTTCTGCTGCTGTTACGAGCCGATGTCCCAATGGAATCGACGCTGAATTTCCCTTGAGGGAGTTTTTTCCGGAGGAAATTGTCTCAGGAAATGTCTCGTAGTGGATGATTCCTGGGCTTTCCTCGTCAAAAGTGGCAAAGGAGCTCTGCATAGCGGATCTTTTCAGCAGAGGCTCTCGTTCTTTGGCGATATCATTTTTGCAGAATAGTTTGATTCTTTGTCCTGAAAGCCAGAATCCCACGGCAGTAGCTGCAGTCACGGCGCCAAGGACTATGGTCATGACTCCCCAACCAAATCGGTGGTCAATGAGGCCTCCGAGTACTGGTCCCAATATTAAGCCAACGCATTGAGCCATATAATGAACACTGTGTATTCTTCCAATAGCCTCATTAGTGTCACAAGTCCCTGGGCTTCTTTCCTCGAGCTCAAAGAGAGTATTTTGCATATCAGCCGTGATAGCTGGATTCACAGCATTGAGAAAAGCACCTATCAGACACAAAAGCACGAAGAAAGCCAGCTGGTGCTTTATCGTGTTGCACTGAACAAAACGCAAGCAGATAAAACATGGCGTAGCGAGCCCAAAGCCGAGAGCTGCACGTGCACTTATGCTGAAACGATCAGAAAACGACCCTGTGAACCCTTACATTAGCAAAATATCACTATGGTGAATAAGGAAATGGCTTCAAGATACCAAGCAGGGGTCCGAGAATGACAGTGGTGGTGACTGGTAAAAGTGTACAGCCAGCTCCCAGTGAGCCCCATTGAAAGCGGTCTGCCACAAAGATCGGGAGTGACTATATTACGGTCAGCAAGTTCGCAAGCAGGTAACATGGCGACAACTAACATTGAGAAGGGCAGCGATAAGAAGAAAATAAGCAAGGATGGATGTCGCTGAGATCATAACCCGTGGTTCTCGGAACAGATGCCACATGTTGAGAGCCTCACCGGAGGCGTCTGTCTTTCCGTCAGAGCCATATGCAAGGGTATCTGAATCTTCAACATCAGAGTCGTGGCCGATTTCTGGCTCATTTGGCCACTTTGCTTCAGTGAGTCTGTCTATTATTGCCGAGCATAATATAAGGTTGATGGCAAGTAGTAAAAGAACCACCCCGAATGAAGCATAGTACCCGGCATAATGGTAGACAATTCCACCACAAAGAGGTCCCAAGATGAGTCCGGTCGCTACAAAGACATGCAGATAGCCAAAGATATAACCCATTCTCTCCTTCGGGGTGGAACCAACCATGATAGAGAGCCCAGTCACAAATACCATCGACATAGAAGCACCTTGAGGAACCACGGCAAAGATGTACAAGTGCAGGGAATCGGCAAAAGTGAACAATAGTGTGGAAGTGAGAAGCAAAATTAACCCAAGTAGATAAAATCGTTGGATATTTTCTGTTTGATTAACCAAGTGACCAAAGATGGGTGCACAAATGAAGGAGGTGACTGCTCCAATGATGAGTATCACACTGATCCAATATTCACCTATCTCTAAGTCAGCTCTATGCGGGCATTTTATAGGTTGGTCCTGGACTTACGGTTTTCAATAGCAACCTCTGCTCGTGTGACGAGCGCTTCCGGCATAATTGGGATTATCTTCAGAGATATTAGAACAAGGCTCAGCGATTTCTATAGCGCAGATCCACCCACCATCCCGTAGAGAAAAACGACCTATCGAGCCGAGGCTATTTAGTTGCGTGTATCCATAGGAAAGTCGGTTTTGACATTGGACTTACTGTAAATAACGAGAGCCCGACCGTTGCTAGAATGGATCTCTGAGAAGAACCAAGTTCCAAAAGCCAGACATGTTCATCGCGCCTCCGTAGGACGTATGATATTGGAGTTGACTCCATTATGTTCTCGTTGAATTGCGATGATATAGACAAATTGAAAAGAGAAATAAAGAGGTGTAGACTGAAACACCGTCGCCCATGAAATCATGTGCGAAGTGTCCCGTGTTAGGACGGGGGAAAACCAAAAGCACCAAGGCCGGTGAGGAAAGGACAGTGAGTGGTACTAGAATAAAACGAACTCTTTTAGAGGAGAAGAACGATCGATCTGCAATTAAAAGCGTTCGTTGAAGACTCGGATAAGTCGAGGGGGATTGCCCCCTTGTGTGATGCATGAATCAATCTGCAGAAGCCCTGGAACACAAATGAGACCCGCAGCTTTCGGCGACGCCGCAAGGGCAGCTAGCCACACGACATTCCACGGTTCCCACCAATCCTAGACTCTAGCCAACATGCAAATCATTTGTACTTTGCATTCGGCGTAAACATTTTTTCTTTTGTTGTTTTTTTTTGTTCATGAGGTCTTGAAATATCGACCAACCAGACGAACTAGCTTACAAGATCAGCGCTAGTGGTCTAATAGAGTGACACAGAGTGCTTGAGGGCCAATCAAATAGGAAAATGCCCCACGGGCTACTGTTACACGGCATACACCATTGAATGCACCTTTCTATGTATCGAATTCATCCATGAGAGGGGGAGGAGCTGAAAGGTGGGGTTACTGGTTATTTCTCCGCCCGCTAACTTCGTAAATAAAAGTACAGTACACTCGATGGCGTTGAGATACGAAAGGTATCAACACGGATCGGCAGCAGATCAAGACTCGGACTTATCATGCAAAGCAACTAACTATACCTCCACTCGCCTTCTTCCACATCTCTAGTAATCCAACATTTCCACCAAGATTCCACGGCCAGATGATTGAGACATTCAGACTAAACTCCCATGTCTTGTGAACGCATTTGGCCCATGGGTTACAAATTCACGGTGAGTGTTCTAGGTAGGTGGCGTCACTGATGACAATACTAAAATGAGTGGGGTTGGAGGCCGCAGTCGGAGTACTATGTACTACTCGTAGTATTGGAGATGAGCTAGCTGTATCTACCCTAGAAACCCTAAGCCACTTCCAGTGGGAGGGTACCTTCCTGGTAGGGCCACCTTTATCTAATCTGATCATCAGCGGGCAGGTGCCCGATGGAACTACCTTCAGGTACTAGCAATGCTCCAGTTCCAGGGAGAATTTCCCTAAGTCAAAATGCCTAATCAAAATAAAGTAAAATCTAGTAAAACAAAGATATTCTCCTCTATTTCTCCTGTCAATCCCTCAAAACACAGTACTGCGTGCTCTAACAAGGGCTGCACCTCCACCCGTCCACTGGCAGGCAATCCCGCAATGACGCCACCCGACTCCGCTCCACTTTCTGCCTCTCCTCTGCCTCTCTTCTCCAACTCTCACACGACCCCCTCAAATGTGGCCAACACTCTACCCTTGTACACAATACCGGGCAATGCCACCCCTCCGCTCTTCAATATCTATATTCCACCCTGTACATAAACCGCGCCTAGCACCATCCGGCCAAACCTGCCGACACCGCCATCTCCGCACCTATCATCATCACCACCACCACAGCGCAGCTATCCGCAAACGACCCCGACCAACAGCAACAACCTCCCAATCCTCTCACCCAAACTCAATAACACACCTCATCAAATTCACCGCATCATTCACAAGTACCGCCTCGCGCCCCGCGAAAGAACAAAACCACTATGAAACCCTCGGTCTACCTGTAACAGCCACCGCAGATGAAATAAAGAAGTACGTCCATCAAGCTCTCGCTAGCATCCACATCCTCCTCACACCAAACCAATAAAGAAAGAACTTGAACCCGAACCCGCCAACTAACCCATCCACATTGTGTCAGAAAATTCTACGCCCTCTCCCTGAAACACCACCCAGACCGCAACCGCACAGACCAAACCGCCAGCCAACGCTTCGCCCGAATAAGTGCCGCCTACAACGTCCTCGGCAACACCTCGAAGCGCCAATCCTACGATCGAGACCATGGCTTCCATCACACGCAGCACGCTCACCAACACCCCACCACCCCGGCCGGGAGTCACAGTAGTCACAGCGCCCATGCACATCACTCAGGTGGGGGCAGTTATGCCGGTTCAAGACCTGCCAGCGGTCTGAGTAAACGGCGGGGAACGTTTACGGGACCGCCGCCGAGTTTCTATGCGAATGGGGGGGTATGGGCGGACTGGGCGGACGGCGAGTGAAGGGGGGTTTAAGGGTGCGTTTGGATTCGGGGATGAGCATGGGCATGGGCATGGGCATGGGGGTGCTGCTGGTGCGGGTGCGGGGTTTGGAAGTGAGTGGGCTGAATTCACGGCTGAGCATAAACGGGGGAGGGGAGGTTGATCCTGAGGATCCGTTTGATTTTATTCGGAGAAATCCGTTACGGCATTTCAATGCTAGGGCTCATTATCGGACGCAGAGGGCGGAGGATTTGAGAAGGGGGGAGAGGAGGAGGAGTGAGGTTTATCGTACTATTATGAAAGAGCGGGAGGAGGCTGCTGCTGGTACTGCTGGGTCTGGGACTGCGCCGGCCAGTGGACCTGGATCGGGGTATGGGTTTGATATTGCTAGCTTGGTTGGGTTTACGGGGATTGTGTTTGGGGTTATCTGTTTGACGGAGTATGTTTGGGGTCACGGTCCTGCTGGTGGGGGACCGAGGAAGGATTCCGATTCGAAGGAGTGAGTGTTGCACAGTGTGGAGCTATAAAGCTTGGTGAACCTTTGTGTTGCTCTGAAGATGAATATCCATGGAGGGTGATGGTCTGAGGTCGGGAACCTCAGACAGGGTGCGATCAGCTTGTACATAATGCTATGTTGTGTGATACTAGAACAGATATCAGGGTGCCATATGTTTAACAGCTACACATTGAGCTGTGATCCATGAATGCATATCTACTACCACGATCACGTCCACATGGGAACTTGAAGATTCCACCAAACAAAGGAAATTTAGATTTGATATACAAAGTGTTATCGAGTCAAGACTACCATACACTCAAGGTTATCTGCGAAAGTCCATAAACCTCCGTTCTCCTCTTACCAGTCCAATGAGATCGGGAATCGATTGAACGAAGAATTAGATATTACCCGGGAAGCAATTGCTCTCTAGGCTGGATACCATAGTGATCATGGAAGGACATTTAAGCCTCGAAGGTGAAGCTGGCGCCAACCTTGTGGGCAGCCTGGTTCAGGTTCTGGGTATCGAAAGAGGCACCGAGGCCGAGGGTCACACCGGGGCGGAGGAGGACGTTGTAGGCGAGAGCGGCAACACCACGGTCGTTGATCTTGGCCTATACAGCGGGAAGGATTGTGAGTGCTTGGGTTTCAGGGAAATGTTAAGCAGGGTAGTAAATTACGCACCTTGGCGAAGGAAGAGGGGTCCAGGCGGTACTTGCTGGCGACCTCGAGGCCGACGGCGTTGCCGGAGTTGGAGTCCCAGGAGGCCTTGGCACCGGCCTCAACCTGAGCGTTGACGCGGTGGTAGTAGGAGGCGGAGAAGAGGGACAGGTTGTTGCTGGCGGTGATGGCAGCGGAGTACTGGGGAACGCTGTAGCCGACGGCGGCGGAGTACTTGGTGATGGCGGCCTTGTTGACGTCGTAGCCACCCTCAGCACCGACGAGGAAGCCCTCGTGGCCGAGAACAGCGTCGAGGTTGGCGGTGGGGCCGTTCAGCAGGTCGAAGAAGGCACGGGCGTGCAGGTTGGGCTGCTTGAAGTGCAGGTTGAGCTTAGCACCCTTGGACTGCTTAGCGGGCTGGTACTGGGTCAGGATCTCAGCCTTGAGGCCCTTGGCGATGTTGTTGTCGAGCTCAAGCTTGGTGTCGAGAGCGTTGGCGGTGGTCCAAGCCTGGGTCAGAGTGAGACCTGGGCGAGGGCGATACATTAGCTTGATTGTGTGCGTGGCGGAATTCGAAAAAACAAAGAAGTTCACCTGGCGCGACACGAGTGAGCCGCATAAGAAGGTGAATCTCATGGGCCGAATCTCGCGCGCGCTGGGATCGGGTGGTCTGCGCCGGGAGGGTCCCTTACCAGTAGGAGCATCGACGTACTTGGCCTCGAGCTATATGGAGGACATTGGATTAGCCATTTGTTTCCGATGCGAAACCGAGGGTGGGGCTGTAGTGGGAACAGCAGAAGAGAAGAGAAACGAAACTCACCTGGCCGGCAATGGAGCCCTCGTGGGCGGACTTGCCCTTGACGGTGAAGGTGACACCGTTGGGGGCCTTGGACTTGACCTCGAGGTTGGCTAGAGCTGGTCAGTCGAATGGCTTCGTCATCGGCGACGTTATGGTAGCGGGGACAAACCGGGGCTGGCGTGGTAGAAGTCCTTGTTAAGGAGCTATCGGGAGACGGAAATTAGCTGGTGATTCCGGAGAAGCATAGACGGGGGGTGGGGGAATATAAATTAGATGACATACATCGTTGGTCGCCTTGGCGATATCGGAGAAAGCAGCGGGAGCAGACATTGTGAATTGAGATGATGGGGATAGGTCTCGAAAGGTGTGAAAGAAGGAGGAAAGCGATGGGGAGAGAAGAGAAAGGTCGACTTGGTTGGGCAGGGGGCCACTCGGGTGGACTCCAGCCACGGGACGCTCGTCGGCAGTTGATTGGCTGCTTCTACTCCCGGGTTAGCCCGTATTATGTAATCCTCATATACCCGGTAAACATCATTCAATAGTGTGATACTAGTAGTATAGTTGGTACTACAGATATCTACATAGTGACTTGAACTATATCTGGTTGACTCTAGACCTCAAATTTGGTGAAATTTGACCAGTTGAAAGTGAAACCTATTCAATATACTGATTCCCGTTGCTTCAAGCTACATTCTGTCCGAATCGGAAAGCCCTTGGGATACTGTCTATCATAAATGAGATGCACACAACAATAATGGCAATGGGCAATGAAGTAGCCCAATATATCCAAAATTGATCACTACCTGGGCCATACTGATCCGCCATGCTGAAAATTCCAGTGACATAGGACAGAGGAATGAACACCAAAGCGATGAAGCTTAAGCGCTTGACGTCTTCAGCCTGGGAAATGGATTTACGCGAGTCTATCAATTGCGCCAGTGAAAGTGTTCATGGGGTTCAAGGCCTCGATGGAGCGTGCATCCATGCTGGTTGATTTGCTACGGCCCTACGAGGAATTCTTCAAAAGAACAGGTTGGATGAACAGAATTGAAGGGCCCTCCAGGGCTGCCTTCAAGCTATGTCGGCTACTAGTACCTTCAAGTTTGAAGAAAAATGGGGTATATATATACACCTCGATTCTATGTAGAACTAATCTAAGGAAAAAAAAAGCGATTTTGTATCAAAAACAGACAATTTTTACTCGGCGCTATCGTACTTGGCGTTGTGGGTGGAGATGGCACTAGAAGTTACAAGTCAGTTTCACCGGCAATCAAAATTTCAAAATTTAAGAGACGAAGAAGGGTTACGTACCGGCCACTGGGATCAGTCTGCTTAGACCAGGTAGGGGTCCAGCGCTCAACGGTACCAGCGCAGTAAGGGGGGAAGTGCTCGTCGAACATCGTGCGGTACCAGTAAGCCTCCTTGGTATCGGGAATATCAGAGCCCCACTCAGGCTTAGGGTTCTTCATCATCTCATCAGTAACGTGGGCCTCAGCGGCGTCCTTGAGACCGTCGATCCAGCTGTAGCCGACACCGTCGGAGAACTGCTCCTTCTGGCGGTATAGGATCTTCTCGGGCAGGTAGGGCTCGACGTCGGGCTCGTCGGTGGTGTCGAAGGCACGGCGGATGATATACTTCTCAATGCGTCCCTTGGTGATCATCTTGTCGGCGGGGTCGACGCCCATGGAAGTCTCGAGGAACTCCTTGTCCAGGAAGGGGACACGAGCCTCCAGACCCCAGGCGGAGGTGGACTTGTTGGCGCGCAGGCAGTCGGCCAAGTGCAGGTTCTTCACGCGGCGGACGGTCTCCTTGTGGAACTCGTCGCGGTTGGGCGCGGCGTGGAAGTACAGGTATCCACCGAAGATTTCGTCGCTACCCTCGCCGGAGAGAACCATCTTGACGCCCATGGCCTTGATCTTACGGCTGAGCAGGTACATAGGGGTCGAGGCGCGGATGGTGGTCACGTCGTAGGTCTCCAGGTGGTAGATCACATCGGAGAGGGCGTTCAGGCCGTCCTCGACGGTGAAGGTGAAGGCGTGGTGCTTGGTGCCCAGGAATTTGGCCACTTCCATAGCGGCGGCGGTGTCGGGGGCTCCGGGCAGACCGATGGAGAAGGAGTGCAGTTGCTGGAATGTGGTGACGGTGGAAAGCTCGTTCTCGTCGTCGATACCGACAAGCTCGGCGGCGGCGGCGAGCTCGGCCTTGCTGGCCTTGCGGGAGGCCTCCTGCATGCGGAGGGTCTCACGTTGGGCAATGGAGGCGACCAGACTGGAGTCCAGACCACCGGACAGCAGGACACCGTAGGGAACCTCGGCCATCAGACGCTTGCGAACGGCCTTCTCCAGGCTGTGACGGAGCACCTTGTAGTCGACGGGGGTGGTGGGGACGTTGGTGGGATCCCACCACTTAGGCTCGAAGTAGCGAGTCAATTTGTCGGTCTTCGAATCGTAGACATGGCCGGGAGGGAAGGCAATGATGTCGTCGCAGACCGGGTGCAGAGACTTGAGCTCGGAAGCGAAGTAGACGGCGCCGGGGGTGGTGGAGGAGCGGCCGAGGTAGAAGCTGGTGATACCAATGGGGTCACGGGCAGCAACAACACGGTCCTGCTTCTTGTCCCAGAGGACCCAGGAGAACATGCCATCGAGGTGCTTGGGGGCATCAATGCCGTACTCCATGTACTGGTGGGGGAGAAGTGTGAGCCAAACCAATTTTTGATATGATGTATAACATCAAACCGTATCCATTGAGACATACCAGAGGGATGACGACTTCGCAGTCGGAGTGAGTCTTGAAGTTATACTTGGTCTTCAGGTTTTTCCGCAGGATGCGGTGGTTGTAGATCTCGCCGTTAACGGCGAGAGCGAGGGAGGAGTCATCGTTGACAAGGGGCTGGGCACCGGAGTCTGGCGAAGAGACAATCAGCAAGAAAATTCGGAGAATTGAAAGAGAGCTAAGAGCTCTTGGATAATTCTACTCACCAACACCGACGATAGACAGACGCTCGTGGGTCAGAACTGCGAGTATCGGTTAGTCCAAAATGTACCCCACGGCGATCGCCGATCTTGCTCAACTCACTTGTGTTATCGCCAATGAAGCTACCGCCTGTTATAGAGAATGATTGTTAATCTGTGATTCCTTCCTTGACCTCCAAGTGGAGGCCTATCGCATTGCGATTCCAGTTATAAACTTGTGACTCACTCCAATCGGGACCACGGTGGCGCACGCTGTGAATCGAGGGGTAGGTTAGCGATGAAGGCTCAATTGGTGGCATCAATGGGAGCTCGAAAGGAGGTACTCACGCCTTGGCCATGCGCAAAGCCGTGGGCTTAAATTTTTGCACATCGGGGTGACTGTCATGGAGTTAGTGGGATCCCACATTTCGAGCGCGTAGTGGGGGACCGGGGAAAAGGACCACCGCACCGCGGGGGTGGATTGATTGGATTGAGAAATGGGACATTGGAGGGAGGGGAATTGGAGGAGTATTGAGGGAACATACTGGTGACACGCGAAGATTCCACACATGTTGGGCGATGAGCAACGAAACAATTGACAAGAGAAGATGGATGAAAAGAAAGAATGTAAAGCCAAGGTTTTTTGGTGTTCCTCGGCGGGGGGCGATGTCGGCAGTCTTTGAGTCACCGATAAGATAAGTGGATACCATTGATTATATGGTAGTAGGTACTCTACGGTATAGGGTAGGGTAGTACGGAGTACTCGAGTACTCGAGTACTAGAGTACTATTACTAGAGTAGCAGAGTACTATTACTAGAATACTAGAGTAGTACTACTATAGTAGTGTGGAGTATCACCATTGCGCCGCGCTTCAGTGCTAAGAGAGATGCTAGAATTCATGCAGTGACCATCCCCCCCCAAATCCCAATCCAATCCCGGAATAAGAAATACCCAACCCAGAACCCAGTGTAAAAACACTCCAGTCACCTACATGGGCGGGTTCTCACGGACAACCTGACGCACCTTGCGCTCATAACCCGGACGATCCTTCTTGAACATGTTGTATGCTTCGGCCTGCGCGGGGGATTCGGGGTTGGGATCGTTGAGAAGATCCTGAATCCCGAGGAGGATCTGCTTAATCGTAATGGCAGGTCGCCAGGCCTCCTCCTCATTGAGAATGGACAAACAGACGGTGCCGGATGGGTAGACATTCGGGTGGAACAGTGGAGGAGTAAATTTGCCTGCGACAAGACAAGGTAAGGTCAGCAGCCATAGAGAGACATCCCTTCGCGGTTCAACTGCTCTGGTCTGTGCGCGATCACAGATCGACAACTCGTCGTGCTGAAGAACCCAGATCTCAATACGTACATTTTGGTGGCTTGGTCGGGTATTCTGGAAGGAAGCGCGAAGATCGCCTGCGTCAGTATGTCGGATCGTCGGAAGGAATGCGATGCGCGGATGCGCGGCGAAACTCACCGTCCGGAAAGATTACATCCAGCTTGAACACACCTCCATCCCACAGAGTGTCCTTTTTTCCAGGGACGGCGCATGACCAGAGCTTGAGATCCAGTGTGCCCTGCTCGGTGCGCTTGGGCTTGGCTACAAAGCCGAAGGGGTGGTCGCGGCGCCACTGCTTTCTATATGAACCGGGTCTATCAGCCTCTGTCGTATTCGTCTCCGCCCCCGAGTGGGTGGCTCCATTGGCATTGCGCTAGCTCTGGGGTGATCACTTACCGCTCCTCTTGGAGGCGATTCAGGCAAAGAGACATGTTGAGTGGCTGGGTGGGTCGAAAACGGGAAAAGACTGGTGCTTCACCAGAGTGAAAGCAATGAAGCTGAAAGGTCGCCGGAGGTCGGGACGATGAGTAATTTCAGATGTGGATTAATAAGTTCGAGAGAGAGGGAGGTAGGGGGGAGGTGAGTGAGGTGAAGTGAAGTGTCAAACGCATTTCTGCGTCTCTGATGGCAACACGCCGGCCCCGCGGCTTAGTAAGCGGTAACTATGAGGCTGATGGGAACATCCTGGGGAAAGAAAAAAGGGCAGATGAACACATACGAATATTTGTGTGATGGTATGTGTATCGAATTGCTCAGTTTCTCTACTGGTATCTTCCACTTATCAAACTTGAACCATTCAAAAATCACCCGTAGGACTGGCTCAATCTCCCGGCTCTCGACCCAAGCTGATCCTTGCAAATCTTATAATAGACCATTGTCAAGGACAATGTCGAGTGGCATTTCTCAAAGAATGTTCTAAAACAGTCTATTGAAATAAAGAAAGCTATCCAGTTATTTACCCCTAGTAATTCAATCAAAGACGGGCCTTCAAGCCGCACCTTTGAAGATATAAGTAGCCTGCCGTGCCCTAGGCTAGATCGCAAGTTCCTCCAAACTTGAAATACAATCACCCTTGGAACTTGAACTTGAACGTCTTTGTCAACTTGAAAACCTTCATCGCAGGTAATACACCTGGGCAAAGGTTTACCTACCTGGCAGGTGCCGGAGCTCTGGTGGGCAAACCCAGGCCCCGGTCTGCTTGGTATTCGAATACTCTCCTCAGGTCGTGGATTCGGGGCTTCAATCCTTGCTAGTACAGTATTTCCGGAACCGGTGTCACCCCCCGCACTCTTTCATTGTTCCCCAGACCCTAAATACCAAGATACTCTAGACCTAAGTAAGCAACAGATAAAGATAACAATTTTCCGATTTTTTACAAATACAGGTACTTACTGAGTTAAGTTACATACCATCTGCTTTTGTGTGTATAACATAGCAGATACGAGTATTGCTGGAACCTTCCGAAGCAATGCTAATAATTCAAACAACTCTTCGCAACGCTAGATCTTGCGAACCTGAGTAGAAAGCACAGGCCATGCCTAACGATTAAAAACTATGGCGGACCTGAGCTTAATTTGGCTTTTGGCAAAAGCAGTATTTCAAAAGCGGTTTTTTTCATGTGATATGTGACAGATTCCATTCCAAGAAATATGTCTTGGATATTCTTCGATCTTGAGATGTCTGTCATATGTCTATTTGGTACCAGAAGTTTTTGACGCCCCGAGAACGCCTTGTGCTTCTTAGCCAACAAAGATTCTGAGGAATACTTCGTGGGGGGGGGGGGACATTTTCTTCAGACAGTATTCACAAGCTCTGGACCCAGACTATTGAAGAAACTTAATGCTAGATATTTGGCTGAATTTATATTGCCTTTACAGCCCTACATTTAAATATGTCTTGTATGTTCTGACTAGAGCCAGGTTTGGGAATCTTAATTATACCCCACGCCCTGGATATTGAACAAAAACTCCTCCAATTGCTAATGATCGCAGGCACGATGCCCTCCCCGCAGGTTGATACCGAGTCCCGAAACTTATCTAGCAATTTTGTGAAGTTTGATAACAATACTTAACAGCGTAAACTGAACATTTAATAGATGTAAGGTCACTGCATTTGCACTATAGATACAGGGAAACCTGACAAAACAGGGCAAAACCTATACCGAAACACAAGTGAAAATAATCAAGCCACGCCCATACTGAATTGGAAGCCCCACAACCAGATATTCCAGAATCAGGAGTATTGCTGACAGAGGCAGATTAGTAAATAGCGAGCGTGGAATGCCGTGATGATTATGCATCCTGTTAATATTCAACCCTATATTAGCCCTGTATCTCTGATAGTATACTATACATATCAGACATTATCACTCACACTACCAAGAAGTCCTTCTACCTGTTAAATTTTAACCCTATATTAGCCCTATACCTCTGATGGTATACTGTGCGTCTCAGAGATGTTGACTCACTTGATCAACAATCATTTTAACAAGAATAACAATAGCATCAACAATCATATCAAGAAGATCACCAAGAGGACCAAGAAGAGTAGTAAGAAGATTATAAAGAGCATCAAGAAGTTCACTACCAGTAGCACTTTCAAAGCTTCGTTCAGTAATCTTCCCGGTACTTGAGCAAATCCTCATTATTAAACTCTTATCCAAAATACCCTTTATGTCGTTAAGGCGCTGATATGTCGCGCCAATCTCATGGAAACTAGCGTCGAAATCCACTTCCTGTACCTGGCTCCCTTCAAGTCTGGTGATCACTTCCTGTAACCGGCTCCGACCCATCTTTAGGTCCGGCAACTTCTTCTCGGTGTCTAGGGCAAAGGTATCGTTGACTGTGTTATGAAATTGACGTAGACAGCCGACCAAATTCGACAGTGGCAGCATCGTAGGTGTGGTGTGGGAGGTATCCACACTATGTAGATTGGCCTTTAGGTCATGGAAGCAAGAGTAGGTATCGTTCAGATCGTGACTAAGTTTGACAACTCCTTTGCAGATAGAGTTCACAGTAGCTCTCTCGGAAAGAGCGCCCACTGCGCAGGTAATTAAAATGGCGAGGTAAAACTTCATGATTTGCAGTTATGGTGGGAAAACGTCTTGCTCTGATTAGAGATTTATTGCATGAGAACATCGCTCTTCTTATAGGTAGCCCTCGTATGCGCTCAGGCATATTCAATGGAGCCACACTATTAGATCTGAATTAAAGCTAGACTGGAGTGGACCATTCAAAGTTGAGGCAAGTTAGGGGAGTTAGTACGGAGTACAGCTGAGATCAGTGGCTCTCAATGCCTCCCATTGTGTGGAGCAATTGAAATTGGGCTATTGCCGCCGATCATGGAGATCAATAAGCAGCTGAACTCTTGCCGAACGGCGTAGTCACGTAGTGGGGATATCAAACTGGTCAGGGAATCCTTAACATAAGTTGTGTGAAATATAATCTCGAGTTATTCCGAATGCTATTGGTGTAACGAACTGGTGTTGTTACCACTCGTTGATGCCTTATGCCTACGGCACCACTCTAGGCATCCACGCCATACACCTGTGTATCTAGCCTTCCATCCTAGCTTCCTTCTTATTCTCCTCAAGCTATTACTTTCGTCGAACGCTACTATTTCCTTTGCTTGCTACGCTACGTCGTATCCTGATCTCTGTGAGTGTCTGAGCTCCCCACAATTGGTGGGTCACTGGGACTATTCGATCTGGATTAAAGCTAGTCTGGAGTGGACCATTCAAAGTTGAGGCAAATTCGGAGAGTTAGTACAAGGTGCGGGTACAGCTGAGATCAGTGGCTCTCAATGCCTCTCATTGTATGGAGCAATTGAAATTGGGCTATTGCCGCCGATCATGGAGATCAATAAGCAGCTGAACTCTTGCCGATCGGCGTAGTTACGTAGTGGGGATATCAACCTACTCATGGAATCTATCACGTGAGTTGTGTGGCATATAATCTCGAGCTATTCCTAATGCTCTTGGGGGGGGGGCCACAGGTTGCAGCTTCTCGCGTTACAGGTAATAAACATCTGCCCTGCTAATACAATAGTCCGGTAATTTACGGTACATCCTGTGAACAAGATGAGGCTGACATAGCTTAGTGTATCTTGGCATTTAGGGTTCGGGAAACAATGAAAGAGTAGAGGAGGTGACACCGATTTCCGAAAATACTGTAATACCCCTCATATCATCAACAGGAACTGTTGGAGGCCCCGAGAATTCTCGAACTTCTATTATTACCTAGTTTTCTCCAGAATCAGCACTAACCATCTCGAAATGTGCAAAAACATCTACTGGCAATGCATCTTCTGCAACACAGCAATTCGCAATTCGCAACTCCAGCATCCTAGACCTTTGCCATTACGCCGGGGTAAGCGGCTTTGAATGTCTTCCACACGAGCAAGAACAGTGGCCGATCCCATTATATTCGACATGTCTTATCTGTAAGGGAAAAAGAAGACCCTACTGCCGCCGTCGCCGTCGCCGGTATCCAGCACCAGCAACTTCGCCAGCGGTTGTAGAACTTGAAGAAGGAAACTCAAACACACAAGCAGACGGATATGACTGGGATCATATGAAAGAAAGCTATATCTGGGACTGGATACCCATGCCCATAGCATCCAGTTTCGCTGCCCAGTCTATAACTGGGAGTGACGATTGGCATTTTCCAGACTGCGAGATGTATGATGATGAGTGGTCTCAAGTATCAGATAGCATGCCTGAGAGTATTATTAGTAGGGAGCCGAGGGGTTTAGAGGAGGAGGAGGATGTCTGGGTCTCGAATTTCGATTCCCTTCAAGAGTATCGACCGGCTAGTACTAACCATCGATCATTTATCCCGGTCCCGGTCCGTAGGGCTCGTGAGCTAGCTAGAGAGGGTAGCAGGGGCATGCGCTCGAATATTCCTGTCGCTAGCAGCAGTTTCCGAAGAGATCAGAGGCGAGTCTCGGCTGGCATTGATTGGGAATGTGGAAGTAGAATAGTCGGGCTCGATGATTTTGATTGGCAGCATTTTGATAGTATTACTTTCTAGCGAGTTGGACTTATTCTCGGCTCCAGCTGGAGTGGCTTAGCTCGGCAGGTCCAAGTTTTCCAATAATTACTTGCGAAAGTGAAAAATAGAACTAGCGGAATGATGCATGTCCTATACTTTTACACATAGAATATGAGGACCTGTGAAATAGACGCCGAAAATGACAGCCCCTAGCGCCAGAAACGGCTCCCTTTCCACCCGTCTAAGCTATTACTAGTAGTTGTACTGGAGGCTATGCTTTAAAGTTCTGATTGTGTTGTCTAGAATGTAGCTCTGCGGACCGTGACTCGAATGTCTCCTTGATTAGCTACACTATTTTTATTCCAATGAACGCCAAATAGGAGAGCACTGGCAGTTGTAAATCTTAAAAAACATAGCACAAGCAGATCACTCTACATAAATACCCTGCGCAAATTTCTCAGGGTCAAAGTATCGCGCGGTGATCGCGTTTCCGTTGAAGATCCGTCCTTCGAGAGCATTGACAGCCTAGAAAGGTAGGTAGATCTTGTTAGCAAAAGACTTGAACAATCCATTTGGCATGATGGATTTCCAATGCATATCACTTACCCGTAGAGCAGATAATGGGCTGGTGAATTTGACAAATACTGGTACCGGGGTGCCGACATCTCTGGCGACGTAGACACGTTCTACACTTCCATACTGTGGGTTGATTTAGTACCAAGATCCAAAAAAGGCCAAAAAGGAACTTGAAACCAACCTTCTCAGAACATTCCTCCCCAATCTCCTGCATCAACCCACCACCTTCCCCACTCAACTCCGTATCCAAATCCATCCCATCAAGCATCCCCCTCAAAATAACAACCTCACTCATAGATCCAAATTTCCCCGGATCCTCACCCCCCCTTCCTCTTCCCCCCCAATAATCGTACCCCGTCCAGAAGGCGTAACAAATCCCCCGCCCTCAGAATCAGGCCTTTTCTTCCGCTTCTCAACCTTGACTTGCAAAGGTTTCGCAATACCTGATCCATCCGCGCCCAGACCGGAACCTTTCGTCCAGCCGTACTTCGAGAGAAGGCGCTCTGCAAAGCCCTTCTGGCCTGGACGCAGGGAGCGGGGCGCGGTGCCCTCGTTGCTTGAGTTTTCAGCTTCGATTTCGTTCTCGTTCTCGGGAGCCTCTTCTGATGCGATGACTTCTTCAAGTTCCGCTTCTGAGGCTGGTATATCGGCGGGTGCGGGGGAAGTGTGTAGCGGACTGGTGCTCGGGATATAGTTGCGGAGGGAGGTTGGAAAGTATCTGTCGAGCTTGAAGGTGGGAGTGATGGAGGTGGGGGTGGAGGTGGAGGCTGGGTCTGTTGTTGTTGGCGCATGTATGCGTTCTCGCCGGTAGGGTCATTTGGAGGTGGAGGAGCAGGAGGTTCTTCTGGTGGAGGCGGGGGGGTGGAAGTGATAATTATCGGGCATAGGGGCATCATTGCTGGAAGGTTGACCCATACGCGCACGGCGTACGAAAGCATCGTCGCCAGAGGCATCGTCGGGGATTGACGCGGGTGGTGGAGGGGGAGGAGGGATATCAATGAGGTTTGGCGGTGGCGCAAAGCTGCTAGGCGGCGCAAAGTTGCCTGTAAATGTTTGTCAGTATGACAATACTCTCTGCATTGAAAAGAGAGCATGGAGTGCATACGGTTGACTGGACGTTCATAATCGCTGTCCGAGTCCATGCTCGGCGACCGCCTCATGCGATGGGCATATAGGCGATCCTTCCACTCTCGAACTTCAAGGATCTTCTCATCACTATGGCGGTATGCTTCGTAGTTGTTTGGTCGTGAGGGGTCGTAGATATCATCCCAGTTTTGCGGGATGGATCGTTCCTCGCGGTTGTTGTTGTTCTTTTTGCGCTTCTTTCGACCGCCTCGTTGCCGTTTCTCGCCCACATAATACCCGAAGTCGTCATCTTCCGTAGCAGCCCAGTCGGCAAGTGTGGTTTTTCCAGTAGGTGCAGGTGCAGGTGCAGTTATAGATGTAGCAGTAGGGGTGGGATCTTGAACGGCTGGTGGTGCAGTCGCTTTGGGGAGGGTGGGTTTAGCTTTGGGTTTCTGGTTGGCGGGTTGGGGTCGTTTTATAGTTGGTTGGAATCGAAGCGAGGCTGTGCGGCGGAGAAAGTGAGCAATGACTGCTTGTCGTGCGATGATGGAACAAACTCAAAAGTACCAGGATTGAGCTGCTGCTTCTTTGCAGCGGACTCGTCGGGTTGCGCGTCGTCGGACTGCTTGAAGACAACGGGAGCGCGGGATATGGTGCCTGGGGCGGACTCGGCGGAGGGATCAAGGAGATTGGCGTATAGAGACATCATGCCTCCACCCTTGGATGGGGCGGATTCGGGTGGCATGGTGGATGAAGGTTGGTGGTAATGAAGGAGATGGAAATGAGATGGCCGGGGGAGATGGCATCGCCGATAAGCTGTCTACCGCCCCACTCTCGTCCAATCACGAATATCACGAATACAAATACAAATACAAAGGTAGTTTACTGAGTAGTTTACCCACTAGTTTACCCAATAGTTTACCCAATTACTGCAGTGGGTCAGAAACACTGGTATTTCATTCAAGTATGCCAGATCTCATCCTCGCTATAAATGCAAAGCAATGCAATGCAAAGCACTAGCGTCCATACAGATATCCATGACGAGCTTACAACTGCTGACGCACAGCAGACTTGAACTAAACCCCATATCCCCATTAGCCAGATGAAGGGTGAAAAGAGAACTGAGAGAGAGAAATAAACGCATATACCACTTACAGGAATAATCTGCGCCTTCTCCATATCCCACACACCGGAACGGACATAAATGTCATTCTCGAGGATCTTGCGGACCTCCTCCTCGTTCTCGGCCAGTGCCAGCATCATACTACCCTTGAACGAAGGAGTCTCACCCTCGGCGGGGTGAGCATTCAGCATGGCGCCTAGATAGATCGGATTCGAGTGAGTATGATATGAGAAGTAGAGAGAGGGAGACACATACCACCAGCAACAATCGAACCCCCCCGCAACAAGAGGCTTGACACCCTCCAGATGCAATCTTCAATCGAGCAGAAACCCCGTTAGTTACCCGTACAGTGGTACTACTCGTCAAAGCACCATCGTATCTCATGGGACTGCTGCTAGTACTTGTTACTCACGGGCGAACCTCCAGACGCTTAGCCTGGGCACCGGGCTTATCCGGCAGAATGCAGAGGAATTCCTTCTTGGGTGCGGTCGACATGGTGCGTAGATGTGATTGAAGGGGGAAACGAGTAAAACGCGTAGCAGTAGAAGAAGAAGAGAGTGAGATGGAGGGGGGGGAAATCTGGCGAGGAAAAGTTGGGGGTGTCGGCAGTGGGGGGAGTGGAAGGGGAAGGGGAAAGCGGGGAGGCGTGCGAGTGGAAGCATTGCGGGGGACAAATGGATTGTGGGATCTAAGCTGCCTTTAGCTGTGGTTGTACGGGAACTGGAACTTTCCAAGGTTGGATCTGGTACTCGGATTGACCAATGGGTTGGTTGGGTGAAGGTATCAATTATTACGAGGGTTGGAATGCGTTGGATTGGATTCGGGATTCTGCCCGGGCCGCGTTTCACGGTTACTGGCGGGATGATTTGTTGTAGTTCTAATAACTATATCTATACAATGTAGTAGTTCGTGGGAGGTTCCAAGGTTTAGGATGAAAAGAAAGTTGATACTCTCTTCTCATAGCGTAGAGATTTGCGCTCTTACCACCCTTCAATCTGGAATATTCCATATTCCCCTCCTCGCTCAACTCGGGCAAATGCCGAGTCGGCGAATGGGTGAATAGGAGAACAGGAACCGAGGAACAAATTGGACAACGGGCGAGAAATTCAAATGACATGACAATAATGGTCCGGTTCTCGATCCCTGAAGGAGTTGACAAGAAAAAGAAGGGAAAAACAAGAGGACGACGGGGTACAATATCCAACCCCTTCAACAGGATGATCACTAGAACAGTACTCTCAGTACTCTCCACCCCAGAGGTCAATCTGGAGTCTGAGGAGAAGTGGAAATGAATGATGGCAAACGGCACAAATTTAGTATATCAAGGCCTCGAGAATCGGCGAACTCTATAGACCTGCAATCCTGCCAAACAGCATTTTCCCCCATAGCGCCATGGATAAACACAACAATACACACAGACACACTGTCCCCTAGAAGCACGACACAAAGAATAGTAGATTATGGAACATCATTAGGCTTCCGTCGTGAAAGCATCCATTCCCCCAAGAAGGAAGATGACAATCACAAGTGGAAAATTGAGAAGAAAAAGAAAAAGAAAAGTGGGTTGCTTCGAATACCGTGGGGGATGCCACTTGCTCGATCTCTCTAATCGTGGCAACCCCCTTATAGTCAGGCTCGAAATGAAACGGGAGGGATGAATGATGGGCGGCGGTTAGATGGGAGGGCAGTTCAAAGATCAACTTTTAGCCCTGGAGCGCGCCGGCCTTTCTTCCCGTGGGTTCGTAAGGGGATGGACGGGCGGACGAGCATACAGAGCATCAAGCCAGCTTAGTACGCCTTGCGATTGCCCAGGTTGCCCGGCTTCTCATCCGTGTCGATGTGCCACACAACGTAGTTGGGCAGTCCGATCACTTGGTAGCCGGCACGCTTAGCCATCTTGGCGAATCCCTCTGTCTCGGCCTGGTTCTCGAAGGCGTACGAGGGGAAGTTGATGCCAGATCGGTGAACGTCGGCCTTGACGAGGATGTTGACGCCACCAATGCCGTCAAGTTCGACCTCCTCGTCCTTGTTCTTGCGCCAGTCACCCATGCTGACCAGGTATGTGCGGCCGGTATCGTACTCCTTGTAACCTTCGGCGAGGACGACGTTGGGGTCGAGAGTTGTACGGAGGCGTTGGGCCTTCTCGGAGTCGATCCAGGAGTTGTAGTCAACTAATATAACAAGTTAGAAAGTGGAAATGGCGTGGGAAAAGATCATCCGGGGTGGGGGATAACATACAGCGACCCTCGACGTCACGGCCATCACGGTAGCGGTGGAACCAGATATCTGTGAAAATCTAATTAGCTTCATTTTCCCATGACCTTACTCTCGGGAAACTACTTACTCGGCACAAGAATATCCTTGTCGTGAGCCATGAAGTCTTCAAGGATCCGCTCAGGGCAGTCCGTGATATCAACATCACGCCAGTAGACCCAAGAGTGATCGGCCTTCAGGGCCGAGTAGAGGAGATAGTTGCGAGCACGGCCGATAGCCTTGCGGCGAGGGCCCTGGGCTGCAAACGAGTGTCGCTCCTCGACACTCATCTCCACATCGGCACCGAAGTCCTTCTTGACAACGGTCGCACTGCGGAAAGGAATCTTCTCATCGGTGTGGTGCTGAATGCGATCCAGTTCCGAAGCGAGGACAGCCAGGGTATCATCTTTGCAGTCACCGACGAGGAAGGCCAGATCGATCAGCTCGTGGGGGTAGGTCAGCTGGTAGAGGAGTTCGAAGTACTTGGTGAGGTAGGGGGCGGCGTCGCGGAGAGGGGTCAGGATGAGAACACGTTCACGGTTGTTGACGGCCTTGATGGAGGATTTGATGGGGTTCAGGTCGACCTCGCTGATGGAGGAACTGTTGACTTCGTAGACTTCGTGGTGGTTGAAGAGGACAGGGGTTTGGGAATGGGCGTTCCACTCAACCATCTCGTTGAGGGACATCTCCATAGGGGATTTCGAGGAGCCATAGCAGTAGAAACTAGATGCGAGAAGAGATGAGTATATTGGACGATAGACCAGGGCCAGATTTGGTCGGTCAGGGATAAGGAGGAGGGGGTTCTGCATACTTTTGCATCTCAGATGCAGATTTGCTGACACCGCGCCACAACAGGATGATGAGACCGGTGACAGCCAACGAGACGAGGAAGCGAGTCCTTGTAAGGAGGACCAAGACTGCGCGCCATGGCGGGAGACGCGACCTGGCGGATTTCCAGTTGACTCCACCCTTTGGTAGCAACATGATGGATGTGAGAGGAGGAGAGACGGAGGGTGGTCGATTTCGGGGGGGGGGGAGGAATTCTCAGGAGCCTCGACGGCGTCGGCGTCGATGCCGGGGGGTCGGTTGTCGCTGGGCACACCGAATGATAATAAACCCCTGACCGAACGAATGAGGCCTCAAAGGGAGGGTAACCGCGAAAGAGGTGGTGGAGTTGTGAACCTTGTGATGATAAGGACTTGAAGAGAGAAATAGGAAGAGGAGGTGCCAGTGGACTTTGGAGGCGGACGGGATCGCCGGAGCCGCCAAGCCTGACAGGAGGTACCAGTGCTGCAATAACAACTAGATATTTAGTATACTAGTTAACTAGTATAGATATCTAGGAGCAGTAACCAGTTATTATAATTGTAGATGTAGATTGAATTGGCCTCGCATAATACCTAGGTATCTCCTCTACTATACTCCTACACAGTGGTAGTAAAGCCCTGGCCAGACCCAAAAAGGGCCTAGAGTTATTTATAGCCGAGTACTCCTGGGTAGTATTATATAGTAGTATACTACTACTTCAACTACCCTGGTACCATCATTCTCCTATCCTATGAGTATCAGTACCAAACTAATACTCGTAGTCACCATCCCTGGATTCTAGTAAATAACACATATACCCTAACTAACTTGGTCTGGTGGAGTCCCCTAACCATCGCCAAGTTTCAAACTCAAGCTGCACGCGATAGTTACTCGATATCTATCTCGTGTCGAGGAGTCTACCAGCTACCAGCTACCAGTCAAGGATTACATAGCACAGATACAAATGATCGACCTCTAATTACTCAGTGAATATGGGGAATCAATGGGGAAATCCCCCATCCAACTAAGACACGCGGAGACGGGTGAAACAGTCTCGACCCGCCGGTGGACGCCTGCTGCGTGAGGTGTCTATTATCATGTATCTAGTAGACAAAAAAAATTAGTAGACGGGGATTGGATCCGAATAGTTGTATACTAGCTGCAGGTACAATGTACAATGCAGTAACACAGTGGTTTTGCCAAGCCGTGAAACACTGAGATCCCCGGTGAAAATTTCTTCACGTTTTACTGTCTGCCTGCATCGTCTCCACGGGCCATCGAGATTGCTCCACAGCGCAACGGGTATCATCGTTCTATCCACCTGGAAACACAATTGTCTACCCACGCGCAGATGAATGGCTGAAGTGAGAAAAAAGGATGGTTAAGAGGCTGATTGATAAAAAAAGACTAGTCGGAGAACTATTTTAGAGGCGAAAAAAGGAAAAGGGGTAATGGAAGGGAATGGCATTGCGGCTTAGATCTATAGCAGCTTTAGGAGGAAGACATCATTAGTAACAGGTAGTAACCACCTCATAAAACTACTGCTGTGGTCGAGTACAAGAGAAGCAGTTGGTGTGATAGAATGTATAATTCAATAATCGTAACTATTAACATGATTCCCAAACATAAGAAAAGTTTCAAGGAAACAACCCCACCAGATCGTATATGTCCATATCATAAGAGCGCCGATAGACAGAGAGGCAACATAGGGAAGAGATCGAACAAGAAGAGAAAAACAAGAAAAGATAACAAGCCCACCCATTTTGGAGATGACAGAAGGAAAACAAGAAACCGAACAAACGAAACAAAAGAAGAAAAAATCCCGAACAGAAGAAGCTAAAAACGAAATGAGATGACAGACGACTTGAAAGAGGACCAAAGCATCGCGTCTCCCACGGGTCAAGTCCAAATAATGTTACAATGCAGACGCTAAGGGGCAACGCAGCCGGGGAAGACGGAGGATTCGCGAGCACGCTATTCGTCAGGAAGACGCAGGGGTAAGAGAGCAAAAAGTATATCGACACGGCCGTCTGCAAGGGATGGTCGCCCTGGTGCGGGGAAAACGAGAGCGAGAGAAAGGAAGGGATGGGAAGGGATGAGTGGGAAGTGGAGAAGAAGATGAAGCAGAAGAGGCTATGAGGGTCGTGAAGGCGTCAGAGTTTCAATGGTCGGCGTGCATCATTTGCTGCGGAGCTACTGGTAGCTCATGGCGACGCAAGCAAGGACTGACGACGCGAGGCAGGGAAGGCGAACGATGATGATTGCGAGGGGAAGAAAGCAGGAGACGATGGCCCAGTCGTTGGTGGTGTCGAGTTGAGGTATGAGCTGCTGAAGGTCTGCGAGGTGGCGCTAGGGAGACCGTCGTGATGACCGAAGTGGCTTTGGGCTGGGGTGTGTACAGCCTCGGGGACATTTGCGGCGGCGATCTCATCACAGAAGACTCGCAGTCCGGGGAGGGCCTTCTTCTGGCGCTTGTGCTCGGGGACGTCGACGAGGGACGTGGGAGATGTGTTTTCGGCCTTGGGAGAGCGGAACATCTGCTCGTAGGACTTGAGTTGGAACTCGAGGGCTCGGTTACGGTCTGCGAGAAGCTCGTTCTCGGCCTTAGCAGCGCGTAGCTGTTGTTGTGTCGTTTGGTTCTGTTGTTGGAGGTTGGAAACCAGTTGCTGCAGTTGCATGCAACGGACCTGGGGCTGCAGTTTCTCCGAAAGTTGGGGGGGAGACTTGCTCTTGGCGGATGAGGTGCACGATGATAGCCAGCATGAAATCAATCAGGTAGACAGCACCCTGTACAATGTGTTCCTTGGACTGGGGCAGGCTCTTCGAAGGGTTCCAACCCGCACGCTCCAGGAAGAAGTCGTGGATGCGGCTATCAAGCTCGCGGTGCAGTTGGCTCAGGTTCTTGCGGCGGTTACCTTCAGCGATGCGGTGCTTTTCACGCTGGTCTTCGGGGTCGGGGGAGATAGTGCTACCCTTGCGCTTCCGGCCACAGAGCTGCTGCAGGGGTGCCTTGCGGTTGTTGTTCTGAGGGGCAATCAAAGTCATGATCTCGTTTTCAGAGAGATCATTGGGCCATTCGGTGGATACACCCTTTTGGGCCGCGAAGGACTCTTGCCAGGAGCTCTCGGCAGAGTTGGCTGGGGAGGGAGGAGCTGCAATTTGCTCGCCATTAGACCATGAGGACTTGAATTGAAAGGATTCCTGGGCACCGGGGGTGCTGGGAGCAAATGCTTCCTTGGCCTGGAAGGGGTTGAAAGGCCCACGAGGCAATGGCTCCATGCGAGGCAGAGGAGGCAGGCGGCGGTCCTCGCCGAGGGCGGGGTTGGACATGGTAGAGTTGGTAGATTTCAAAGAACTAGTTCCAAGTTAGGGGCGAAGTGAACCAGCGTGGTATAGATATAGTGATACTCACGGAAGAGAGCAGCGGCGGTGAATTTCATCAGTCATGGAACCCATTTCTTCATACATCATGGGAAGTCGTCAAGATGAAAGGCGTGATATGTTGATATGTTGATATGTGCAAGGAAGCGAGGGAGTCGAGTCAAAAGCCAGCGAAATCTATATACGAGAACCAAAAACAACCGATTGAAGGGATTCCCTGACGTATTCACACACGCGGTCGATTATCAACAGAGAGGCCGACGTAAAACACGATGACAATGAATATGCACAAGATAAAACGTGTGAACAAGGGTGTTATTGACAGAAAAGGCGAAGGGATTCGGAATCCACGAGGCGAAAGCAATGAGTGAGACAATGAACCCAGGGATACGGGGCTGGGGATGATGTTTATATGTTGATGATGGAGAGGGGCGAGTACTTTTGGCCAGTGCATCTATCAAACAGCAAGTGCTCGGATCTCTTCCCTGCTCCGGACCCAGGAGAGGGGAACGATGAACGACCAGGGCCGATCATGGTAGAAGCGGATGACATACAGAGTGACCACGGCCAGAACGCAGGACGGGGAAGCGAGTCTGGTCTCCCGGGGTTGTGGGCTCACAGATCGCTGTGTGGAGATGGAGATGGGAAATAGAAATTAGATTAATTAGGTTTGAATTCGAGAAGGGTTTTTTCTAAAATCAATTCTTTTTTTTTTTTTAAAAAAAAAAAACAAAAAAAAAGAGATCCAAAAAGGAACTCTGGTATCTGTCACATCTACCACGGACGAACTTCGTCGTCACAAACGAGGCGATCGGCGAATCACGCCGCCACGATCGTGCCCAAGAGGCAGGTTCAAGACGAGGATCCAAGAGAATCCATGGTCCCTGATTTGTCACCAGAGTGCTGGTATTGCCGATCGACACGGGGAACTTTGACATTGTGTGTTAGTGGTACTTAGGGCCAGCGCCGAGTGGCCCTTGCATCAATAGTCGCCAATTAATGGCATCGTCCATTTTCTCCGTGCATAGAGAACGGGTAGAATCCTCCGGGTTCTCCATGTGGATGTGACTGTTTACAATCCTCTACGGGAGGTATCTATTCCTAGAGAATTTTGTATGTACATAGGTATCGAGCGATGGTACCTGCTTCTAGACTGTTGGAAAAAGGAACCACCGAATCAACAATCAAACTGCCCAACGAATTCACGTTGCATGCATATTCCAGATCGGATCTCCCCTTTCTAATGCGCTCTGGATACATCTTGAAACGCTCGCTGCTACATCTCAAGCTCCTTCGCTTACGAAACGCTCGATTTCCTGCATCGATATTCAGGAGAACCTGCCATGGTCGTGCGGAGAGTGTCAAGGGGGAAGGGGCTCCCTGCCTGCGCATCATCCCTCAAGGAGGTCCTTAGATAATTAAAAGGTTCATGGTAAAGCTAATAGAATAAAGCAAGGACCACCAGGAGTGCCATCGTGGGACATGCGAGGAGGTCTTCTCATTCGAGCGGCGGGGAAAAGCTCACTAGATACAACCTAATAAGAGCAATCTCGTACTTCAGCGCTCGCTTATTGTTAGGCGATAATTTGAAATATGACATCGGCCTCGCCGGGGATAATGATCGACCGGGGAAACTATGGCGTATTTATTCAATAATCAATGAGCGTTAGTAGAAAAGGATGTGCCGCCGTCAATTGTTTAATCTCGTTATATCTCCAGGGAGACAGGGCAAGAAGGAAAGAAAAAACAAAAACAAAATGATCGCTCGAGGAAACCCAGCTTGCTGGGATGGCGCGAAACCCAGCGACCAGGATACGTACGTTTTCTGTCAGTCATCGAATCATGACGATCAGTGGTATTTGGAATAAGATCAAACTAGCACACGGACGTTGGCGTGTTAAAGGGTCTGGACGAGTCAAAGCGAGAAACAATAGTCGCAATGCGGTCGAGCCCTATCCGTCATGAGTTGCACGTTCCTCACATCCTCCCTTAAGGCAAGACCCACTATTTCGATAAATTCGACCTTTCGTCAAAGGCACATCCCTGCCATAGCACTGCCATAGGTCCATATATGCTGGCCATCCCGTGCTGCGTCTTCGCTAAACTCTCGCGGTGGGTCATTGCAAGGACCGGGACACTTGGGATCGGAGCTGTCATATTTTGACCGTGTCGTGGACCCAGAGCTCCATTTAGCGGCACACTAGTCCCCACGTTCTCCTGAACTCACAAAAAGAAAGTCATTTTGGACTTTTGATGGAAGGTTGGGGTGAAACAAACATCGAGTCGGACAAGAACGCTCTGCTTTAGGGCTGATGTTTCATTGTTTCTCGTATACCAACTAGGTAGTTTATACATGGGCTTCGTCGAATCTAGGTAGGATTATGACACCCCTCCCCTTTTCTCTTCCTCTCTCACTTTTCCTCCTCTCTTCGCCACCACCATCTCTGTGTTTCATCTAGTGCAAACCCACCTGAGCCAATTTGCAATACCTGCATAAGACCGGTACCTTCGTAAGGGACCTGCGGCTGCGCCTAAGACCAGTTTGCAGCCAGCACGCAGGACTGGCTGCAGGCTCACTCGGGGGAGCAGGCCCAGGTCCGAACCACTATGGAATTGGGAGGAAATGTAAATTTAGAGGGGAAAAAGAAAAGGAAAATCCCAAACTCAGAGGAAGCCTTCCGGGTCTTCCCCGTGCCCGTCTATTCGATGTAAAAGAGAGATCTGCCAGTTCTTGCGTCTCCCTGCTTGCCATTTCCAGTGACGTGCAGTCAATCCCTCCACCAGGATATGCACTCCGGACAATCCGACAGGCAAGTCGCTGGCCAAATGGCTGTGTTTGAGTTTCCAGATCAAAGATCACAGTCCGAACCTGATCTCTGGGTCCGATTTTGAGTTCTTGCCTCTTCCCATGGTTTCCTGTTCCTGCTCCAGCATCGTGAGATCGATCGTGCTGGGGATGAACCTATTCCCCTCTCTATTTTGATAGGATTGTCCGATTAACAGACTCAATTGGCACATCATCGGGCCGTGCGGCTCTAAGTTGCAAGGGCCAGTGCTATTTGGGCTTTGCATTCTCTTTTTCGCCTCCACAGTGTCAATGTCAAGCCCCGGGCCAATGGCTAGCCTCAGCTGGCCTCCTCACGCCAGTTATTCCCAATAGTATCCAGTAGTTGACTCAGCCGCTGCCCCACTGGACCTGTCAAGTCTCAACCTTCGCAAAGCAGAGTGGGGGATATGTAGAGATAGGGGGACTTCCCTACCCGCCCATACAAAGAGGCATAGGTTCACTATGGAGGAACATTGAAAGGAAGAAACATCTTCCCTATCTCAGAGCTATCTCAATAGGAATATCTACTCAGGAGGAAAATATATCTGCAATGCAGCTTCCGATCTCCACCCCGCGATGGGGTCTAGATCTGCCAAGAACAAAGCGTTACAAAAGTACCAGTTCATGCAAATGCAAACTCCATCCAGGTCCTTTCGCACGCAGGCCTCTGAGAAGCAGACTTTGACTACGCAGATACGTATGTAGCTCTCTCCACTACTGTACGCTTCCCCTCCTTCCGATTCCTATTGTAGATTCGTACATTGCCACACTAGAGTACCGGATGCACTCATTACGTGTGGATATTTCGATCGGGATCTTCGGTCGAAGATCCGATCTCTCTCGTTCTGTTTCCTTTTCTATGATCTGGGCCCCGCTTGCCTCTTCTCTGGAACCTGCAACCATGGGTACATACAGTAGAATTATGTGCGTGCTTTTGACCCCGGGAATCCTGTTCCGCATCCACGTACTACATCCGGTGGTAAGCACGAATGTGAACTCGTGCTAGGTCCAATGTAGACGTACCATTCATGATCAGTGATTTTAAAAAGTTGTTCTCATTAGCTTGTAGTAACATGGGAGTACCTCATCCTCAGCTACAATGCCACAACCGCAGCATCAATGAGAGTATAACTTAGCATACTACGGATACTAGCCAACACAATAACAATGATGGGCCCAAATAATTGCTAGCTCGACAAATTATCGATTAGGAAGACCGCAGCAAGGGTAAGGGGAAATGACAATTGCTCATCTATGAATCAATCCCTTGTGGATCGTAGATACTCGTCATGACATACAACGCGGGCCACACACAAACAAAGTACGTTCGTTAGCTCCTAAATCAAAGATAGAGAGGAAAAAAACAAAAACGAGCAATCCCACCAGCACCTGCAAGTGGTCCGGACACGGGAAGGGGATAGAACCCTGAATCAAATCCCCGACTGGTCAACGCCGGGACCGGCAAGTGGTCCCTGGATGCGCTGGCCATCAGCACCAGGGGACGGGGAATGGTGAAAAGCTGCAAGGACTACAGGTACCATACAGCTCTAGCGACGTCCGGGCGCATATGAGAGGCGAGAAGGTACTATTCTGGTCCACGTCTGCTTCGGAACTCAAATTCGCCGCATCTGACACATCTAGCTCTTATACTTCCCCGAGATACTTGCAGTCCCGTGGAGTTCGCCATCGATCGTATAGGTACGGATATATGCACAGACACAGGGGCAACAGATTACGTTCGCATGCTTTGCTTAGATTTCCTATCGTTGCGCGTTCCTACAGGATGCGTAGTGATCGGTGCTCGAGCTCAGGCACCAGAATTCCCCATTACCAGGATCCCAAGTTGCCTTCTATGCAAGGCGAATGTATATCGCAGTGGGTCGAGCTGTGCGTCGGCTTCACTCAGGCACCCTTTGTCAATCCGATCGGAGATCTAAGAAGATGTGTGCAAGAGGAGAGATTTAGGGGAGAAAAAAGTACGCGGAGTACACGGAAACCTGTCTTGCCACCTGTTTGAAGTCGTTCCTTGGTCTCCTCGAGGCTGTAGGTATACTTGCATTTCCACGAGAAGCCAGCCCACCTAGTTGTCCCCTCTCTTTCTCCACGGCTATGCTCCATGATTCATCTGTGCAGTGCCGGACGGGCGTTTCCGAGAATGGAGACGATGTGGACGACTGCAAGACAGATTGCTTCAGATTCCTTTCTCCCATTATTATTGTGGCACCCGCTGCACTGGCCATTATCCACATTCTATCCACCAAGTGCGAGTGCAAATCCCGCAAGAGATGTGTGGGAGCGTCATCACCAAACCCCGACCAAGCTTCCCTATGACCGATGGCACTCGGACAGATACGAGCTCGAGCTTATGATCCGGATCTCTGAGCCAATCGACCCAGCCATGTTACTAGGATCATGATGGCTTCTTAAAGTTCAAACTGATCTCCCCGGTGGCTGACCGGGTCCAAGAAGTCCTCGATTACTTTGCCAAGAAGCTATTCCCACAGGCTCAGCCTCAAATCGTCGGCGAATTTTAGTAAATCATTTCTTCCAAGAGAAAAGATCGCAGGCTAAGTCCCAAAAGCAGAGCACCAGACCGAACTCATCCCGATGGAAAGGATCGCGGCTAAGAAAGTTAGATCCGGCCAGTTCAACACGAAGACCCCACCGTCTGGGAAGGATTTTCTTCTCTTGGATCTGTCACCGCGGCACTTTGTACAAACTTAGTCGTGCAGGCACGGGCCAGCAGGTGGGGAGAACGCAAAAAAGGGTACTCCATAAGGATATGGACCTGCGAACCCGATCCGCCTGCTCCTCGTTTCCCTCCTTTGTTCCTGTTCCTGTTCCTGCTTCGGTTCATGCACGGTATGATCATGGCTTTTGTTATGCACTTTAGCCTGCGCGATCTAGATCGCAATTTCAAGCATCCTGCAAAGCTCTGGCCCGCCTCACTTCCATATGTACGTAGTACTTACGGAGGACAGATTGTGATCTCCTTTCTCACCCCTTCCAGCCACCCACGTCTATTCCATATAAATGGACGATCGCCGCTATTTACCATTTGAACCATTTACCCTAGGGCAGAGCCCGGTCCCCGCCCAGCCCCATCGTTGAGAAAAAAGCAAAATCAATCACCGCGCGTTTATCCAAACCTTGAGCCCCATCTTTCTTTCCCTTCCCCTCTCTCTCCTCTCCTCTCCTCTTCTTCCTTCTCGCTATCCCCATCCTCTCCTCTTGGCGGGATGCCTGAGACGCCTCTCGCCGATCAAATAGCCAAAAGTAAATATTTCAAGGTTAGCAAAAGCTGGAACCCCCGGCGTGCGTTGCTCCCACAGGCTGGAATTTCATTCTGACCCTCCTATCGGAAGAGGACGCGGATACTAATCTCGCACTAAGTGTGCACTAACTCCATGGCCCGCGTAGAGACCCAGCGGGGCGGATTCGACACATCCACAGCGCCCCGACGGGCTGGTTGGTCTCGATCTCGTCCTGCTGCATGACACCAACACTTGAGACGCACATGGACGGAAGCGAAACAAGCGGGGAAGAGAGGGATTCTTTTTCCGTCATGGACAGCTTTTTCTTCTTCTACCACCTAGGTAATATGCATTTTTTTATTGCAGTAAACTATAGTAATTGTTCAATTCTTGTGCTTGTGGGACTAACATCAAAAATGACGGTCGTAGCTATGTACTAGATGACAGTAATCACTGCCCAGGTGGCAGCGTCAATGGAGTTTGAAACCCTCGTGGTATATTGTCACTGTATGTGGTAATATCAAGCCGTGGATTCTACTAGTACTACTCCGGACGAAGTAGTATCCAGCTATCCCAGCCACCTCATACTACTACTAGTGTACCTTAAAATCCAAGATACATTTCCAACATGAACCCACCTATGGCCGGCAGAAATTTCCAGGGTTTTTGATGTTCGCCGGGTCTTCGATTTCGATTCCGATCCGGCTGCTAGTTACTTCAAGTGACTCCGCAATAGCTGCTTAGACTCACGAACTAGAAACGTAGTCACCTTCTCCATGGTTCCAGCTCCACTCCCACCCGTTCCTGTCTTGTCCCAGCCACCCTGGAGATCCATTCCACCCAGTACTATGGAGTACGGAGTATATCGGTCGGAACTTAATCCTCTCATCCGCGGAACGGCTCATCGGCTGCACAGCAGTAAAGTGGATGCTGGTGCATTGGAATCGTTCTCGCACTACTCCGTACCTAGCCACACCAAAGCTGGATCTTGCCAGGAAAGGCAATGGTAGAATTTCCGAGTCCCAAAATGACAGACCAGATCCAATTCCAAGATTCAAATCGAACAGACCGGGTGGGGTAGTCCTCTTGTACTACTCCGTACCTGAGACACTGAGTGGGACTCGGTCAATCGACGATTGTCTTTGGAGCGTGCAGTGGGCAAAGTCGGTACCGGCTGGCCTGGCTGCTGCAGCGCAGCGCATCGCATGGCATCACTTCGCTCCGAAGCGTTGCGCTGTCATTGCCTCCCACTTAAATGAAACCCACATAAAAAGCCCAGGTCGGAGGGGTCGAAAAAAGCAATTTTTCTTGCAACGAAACAAGATTGGTGCGTAGTTTCCCCTCTCTCCTACTTTGCTCTGACGGAGCATTTTCTACTCTGAAACAAAAGTCTCGAAGATTTCTGACTTTGGATCTGCGCTTTGCTATCTCTGGTCTCTCACTTCCGGTCGTGCATGCGGAGATGACCGGGAAACCTGGTTTCTGGGACATACCTCATGATGTTGAGTTTAGATCTGTCATGGGTGGACAAAGTACCGTACGTGAAGTAGTAGTTTCATGGGGAATTCTTTCTCTTTCCTCTTTCTCTCTCAAATCCCAGTCATCAAGAGTACGTCGTTCGTCTTGTCTCTTCTCTTCTCTATATGGAATTCATCTCCCCGAGCTAGCTTGATTCTACTGTCAGAATTGGATTTCTTTTGCACTCTAAATAGTTGTTGCTTCAAGTTTAAGGAAAGATAAAAGAATCTCGATTCCAATAGACTTGCTTTGGTTTAAATAAAAAGGGTCTCGTGATTATACCATATGTGGAACAGAAATAGTAGAAAAACTTGAAGTCCTACGATCTCCTATTTGTCAAATGTCTGGCTTGAAGGTCTCCGACCTCTTAGAATCACAGTATATAACATTCTCATCGATGATCAAGCAATGATACTGTCTAGATTTTAGCATTCCAATAAATTAAAAGAAGTAACAGAAATCCCGAGTCCATATTTTCCGGGGGTTCGCATTTCGGTAAATTACATTTTGCAATAACTGCCACTGACAGCCCTGGAGTATTACTTCAAGCTGGGAGATGAAGTACCTCTTCCATAGTACTAGTATCGCTCGTTTGAAATTACATAGTACTTGACTAAGGTAGTATCCAGTGGGGTTGTTGTGATCGAGAGCATAAAGCCCTTGATCGACCTTGAAATGAATGGATCTGAATATTCATTATTGCATCGCATCATGGGAGTACTAGCCCTTACTATATATATTGAACCCCAATGGAGGTACGATGGATCTTTGCCCTGGTCAACTGCAGTGCGGGATCATTCATTCAATGCCATGCTTGGATCGTTCAAGTTCCAAGGTTGATCCCATTCTTCCGATATATATGTCTCGATACTCGTGACATTGGTAGGCAGATATTCATTTTCTATGGGCTGCTAGTTCAAGTGAGGGGATTGCGACGGGGGTATTATGTAGTACTAGAGAAGTGCCCGTATTTTCATTACTAGTAAATTGGACTAGACTTGATTATCCTCTAGCTTTGATCAGCTGGTGTTCAAGTTGTGCCATCTGTATAGGAACTCGAAGTATTCAAGTACTACCCGTACGAGAGCACGGTAGATAATCACTCCTCATAAGAGGTTGCTCGATTTGAACAGGAGATTTAGCGTTGAGGTGGTTCTTGAATGCCAGTCTACCTGCTTGGGTATACCAGTGGTGTCAAGTTCTGATCTAGTAGTTGGAATAGTAACTCGAAATTCCCGCCTGCTTATCCCGAGCGCCAGGAAGTGATGTGACGGTGATATCTGCAATCCAGGATAGAAGGTACTTGAGGCAGGGCGCTTGCTCAATATGCATTCGACACAATCAACAGGTATATGGAACAACCAGGTGGAATTGAGCGTTATAGAAGGGATATCAGTCGGCGTCAAGGAACCTGCGGGTTGCGAAGAGTTACAGACTCAAACTACAAGAGAATCGCCAAGGAATGAACATGTTACACATTGCAACCGAATACATTAGAGGGGGAAACCGCTCTGGGAAACACATATGGAGATAAGGAACAAGGGGGGGTAATAAAAAAGGGTAAAAACTCCTTTCCGATGGGAGGTAGGTCTCGCTGGGACAGAAAGATCCTGGGCGAATATTCCTCTCAGAAACGAAGACTGGAAATTATTATCATAAGAACAGCAAGTGTGGTAAGACAAAAACAATGAAACTGTTGCTTGGTGGAACTTTGCATCTACAATCTTTGCCAAAAAACAACTTTCACTCAACACCTCCTCTTTCTTTTTCTATCGAAGGAAAACCATGATCAGGGACTCATCGTTTAGACGAGCTGAGCGATGGCGTAGAAGAAGGCGGCAACACCGGCAGCGCCGACGGAGGCACCATTGGCGACAGCAGCACCACTGGAGGTGCTGGAGCTGGAAGAGCCGGAAGAGCTGGAGCTAGTGCCAGACTTGCCGCTGGAGGTGGTGGGGTTGTCCTCCTTGGCGACACACTTGTAGGTACCACGGATGACATCGCCACGCATCTTGTCAAAGGTGTCACAGTTGAACTTGCCGTCGGTGGACTGCAGGTTGAAGCCACCAGCGACCTCCTCGAGGGAACCGAACTCGACACTGGGAATTGTTAGCGTGGGCGGAAAAATGGAAGGGGACTCCGAGAGGGAGCCAAAAGGGAGGGAAGGGGGAACTCACGTGTTGAAGGTACCGCTGAAGTCAATAGCTCCAGTAACCTTCTTGAGCTTGGGGAGGTCAATCTCCTGCAGCTTGTCATTGCGGGAGATCTGGAAACCACCGTTGACCTTGGTCAGAGCAGCCATGCTGATGTTGGAGAGCTTCTTGTTGTTCATAAAGACAAGGTCACCGGTGCTGGTCAAGTTGGGGGCGATGAAAGACTTGAAGTCAGTGCCGTAAAAGCCGAGAGTACCGGAGAGGGTCTTCAGGGAAGGAATGGAGATGCTGCTGATGTTGCGGCAGGTCAGGTTCTTGCCGACGCCGAGGTTGGGCAGCTCAATCTGGAGAGAATCGTAGTTGGCAGCGAAGGTGATATCGCCGGTGGCGTTCTTCAGGTTGTTGACGTTGACGGTCTTCAGGTAGCGGTTGTTCTCGATGTCGAAAGCCTGAACGGTCTCGAGGGTGATACCGTCGAGGGAGCCGAGCTTGGTGTCAAGGATGTGAACATCGCCGGCCTTGGTGATACCGGTGTCGAAGGAGAGGGACTCCAGAGCGGGGAGGACGGAGAACTCCAGGGAGCCGACAGAAGCGAGCTTGGCGAAGTTCAGGTTGGAGAGAGTGGTCAGGCTGACCAGCTTGAAGTTACCGGTGATCTCGGAGATCGAATCGGCAGTCAAGGAGGTCAGCTGGGTGACGTTGTTGACAGTCAGGTCACCCTCAATCTTCTCGATGCTGGCGAGGCTCAGTTCACCGGAGAAGTCGGAGGAGACCGTGATATCACCCTTGACGGTGGTGCAAGAGGCGATTTCCTCGGCATCGCTCTGCGAGGAGATCTTGGTGTCACCGCCTGTGAGAATCAAGTCGAGTCAGTCTCAGTCTCGGTCGCAAAGGGTGGGATGGGTAGAGGGAGGGATCATGGGATACTCACACTTAGCAGCGAAAGCAACCTGAGTGGCGGCCAGAGCAGGCAGCAGATACTTGACGAAAACCATTGTGATGTACTCTGAAAGGAGGTTAGAATTGAGTGGATGGAATAATGGGGGATAATGAAGATGGGAGAATCTGGTGCAGAGAGAGCGAGGGAGAGGGAGAAAGCAGATAGTGGAATTCAGGGGGGGAAGTTGAGATAACTCACGATAATAAACAAGTGAGAACGAGTGGATGGAAAGAAGAAAGTTGCAACTGGAAAGAAGCGGTAGTTGCAGATGACCCAGAGGAAAGAACGAATGGACGGGGATGAGGAGGAGGAAAGAGAAGATTAGAAGAAGAAGTGGAAAGGAGGCGTGGAAGTGGAGTTTGGGTTTGTTGTGTCTCTCTGTTCTCTGCGTATCAGACAGTGTTTACTAGTGAAAAGTGGGAAAGTACCACGGGTTCCACTGGGGAAGGGCCCGTTAAATACACAAATTACAAGGGGCATACCAACACAATACCGCATCCGGTCAATTTTCATTTCACTGCCGTTTTCGTCCAGAAAGTACCCAAATTGCCTATAACAGTTAACTGTAAACAACTATTACGTTTTACATATGTGGTAGAATTAGTATATTCTGAGTGATAATCAGTATGCATTGAGATGGTATTTGCCACTGGAGTGTACAGAGTAGAGTACAGAGGAGATACTCTGTACTCTGCATACTCCTGTGGACGTGCATAGAGCTGTGCAACCCACCCACTAGCGAGACTCCATTTTATTATCTGCGATGGATATATTATTGCCGATTGCTATTTCCTGCTGCTTGCTACATGCAATCAATTCTGTACATACGGAGTACTGCATCCATCAATGGCAGAGTATCTATCATACAAGTAGTAGAATACTACTCGTAGTTTGCACATACTCTAGTATACACTGTTCTGTATGTACATTTACGCTGTCGTCATCCATGTCCTTAATCTCATCAATAGGTACGGAGTACTCTGGACTCTGAACTCATACTAGTAATCCTACTAGTGCCCCTGATCAGCATCAATTCCACCAGACAAACTTTCTCTTCTGCAGCGATCAGGAACCACCCTGTCAGCCACTGCCCCTTTAAACTAAGCTCTACGGATACCAAGCATGACCTAAGGATGGAGCAACAGAGGCACTATACTCGTGACTCTCTTGGTACTTCTCGACTCCGTACGGAGTATACTGGACCAATCTGTGTCCCGAGTACAATGCAGGAATTCAAGCCTTAACCGGACCCGCCGCCCCTTTGCCGCTATCGTCCACCGGCATGCGCGTCTCTGATTGGCACGCAGGTATGGTCTCGCCCTGGATTAGTCCAATCCAATCCTGCTTCCACGATCATACAGCCTCAGGATAGCATACTGTACACAAAGTATCGTACAGACAATACCCAGCTGTCTATCTGTATGTACGGGATATCTTGCCAGTGCCTGATACTGAACACGATCGCCCTCGCCCCTCGCGCTGGCCCTAAAAACAATTCCCATCCATCCCCTGAGCAACACATGCGAAACCAGTACGGAGTAATTTATTGCATACTGTACATACTGTATGTACGGAGCACGGAGCTAGGAGCACGAAGCTAAGCAACTAATAATAATGATACACTACGTACTCGGGGCCATCGCCGGCACAAAAAATAGCCCTCCAGTGGCAAAATGCGATCGCTGCCCCTGCCCGAGCCTTTGACCACCTGGGCAAGCTCTGCGGGCCTGTCAGGGGCTATTTAATATATGGCGTGGATATTCTAATTTCGATCGGCCAGGCACAGCATGCTTACTGGGTACTTGTGACTATTTATACTCGGATCAAGTGCGGTATTGGAGGAGTACGGAGTACCTATGAATATACAGAGTACAGAGAATCTTTTAAACTACGAGTAGGTATCCGTACCCGGTCATTCCATTCAATTGATCCGCCGAGCTATCGGCTGTCACTTGAAAGGAGAGCGGCCGATCGACGAGAGCTTCATGGATCGGCGTGCCACCCTCCGTATGCAGTTGTTCTGCTCTCTTGCTCGACCCATCTGAAGGATCTGAAGGAAGGTTTCCCGGTCGGCTTGTTGATGATCGACTCTACGAGTACGGAGTAGTCGAGATCGCCTTGCTTGGCTTTGCCTTGCCTTGCTGCTCTACTCTGCTCTGGTTGTCTTTCCTGCTCTGATCTGATCTGATCTGCTCTACATCATCCCATCCCAGACTAAACACCAGCTAACTGCACAGCCTGCCCATGGTCACATCGCGCAATTTCAATTTTACTGTTTGGAAGTGGTATTACGACTGTTTCAGATCGAAGACCAAACTTGCTTGGGCCTCGGGGTTACTCACTCCACTCGGCTCCACAGACCCGACCCATCGACCCATCGACCCATCGCTTAGATACAGGATAACCTGCAGAGAAGATGAAAATTTCCCAGTCGGAGCCACGAAGTACATACTGCTCGCACTTGACCTTGATTTTTGGCATTGTCGGGCAAAAATTTGGCCCCGATCGCAAATTTTAGTAACTACAGTATGCAGTACTTATGCAAATACTCCGTACGTATAATTGTCTTGGATTTTTACCTAGTGTATACCTAGGTACTCCGTACAAGTAGCATTTTCCTTGTTTTGTGGCTGTGGCTGTGGTAACCACGGAGTGAACCGCGCGGCCAGATAAAACTTTTGCATATGACATGGCAATTAACTACGAGTACTCCGTATCAGAGCACTTGATATCCATCTACATACGAGTACCCCGTACATAACGTAGAGGCACTGGCATATTCCGTATGGTCCTTAATACTTAATACTTAATACTTATCCTGAGCCCCAAGCTTCGACTGTAACTCGGTTCTCCAGTACATACATACAAACATGAACAACTGACTCACATTCCTGGAGGGCGCGTTTCTCGGCTCTTCTGGAATGCGTGGGAACGTGGGTATGGGGCGAATCAAGGAGTTTACCCATCGCGAACGGTAAATAGGGGGAGGCTGGCAACATTCTCCAGACCACAAGACCTTTCTATCGTACGCAAAACGGAGTTGCTCATACGGAGTCTATGCATACATACTCAAGTCAGTTCACCACTAACTGTCATAGACTTCGGGGAGTATGGGGGAAGGGAGGGGCGCGGGTTGGAAGATGCGCCGTTTCGGGCTAGATAGTCGGCGCGAAGCTTTTCTTTTGTCTTTTTTGGCGTCGTCGGTTTTTTTCAAGTTGATGTTCTGGTTCTTTCAAAGATGTCTGCTGAATCTGCATGTCCGTACTCCGTACGGAGTATGGATACCCGAGATACATACTGGACATAGTTTCGAACTAAAAGGCGCATATCCAAGGGCCGACTGGTTAATCTTGATCTTGACAGGATAGTGGCGGGAATGGCTGTTTTGACTGGTCGGACCAAATTGCACGACGTGGTCGATCAGTGTCGGACCCCACCGTCTGCGATTTATTTATTTATTCTGTCTTTTTTTTGGGCTCCTGCTCACTTAACCTGGAGAATCCTGAGCAAGCTAGCCGGCTGGTCTAGACGGGCTGACGCAAGCCTCCCAGGTCGGGGGCCAACATTGGCGTATCGAAATTCGCGCTAGTCGTTGAAGTGTCGTGGCCAATTGGTCTTACCATATGCCCAGGTCGGTGTTGTGCCCCAATCTTGACTTATCGCGTGGTGAATCTTGAAATAGAACCCGCAGTGAGCGAAACCTTGGAAGTGCGAATTGAATTGTGCCTGTTAGAAACCTGAAATAGAACGCCATGTTCGGGTGATCCGTGGATCTCCTTGGATCGCGACCGTTTACGACGTTGAACCTTGGAACTGGGCGCTGGCGGAGTAGATTCGGCCCAATTGAACGGCTTTACACATACAACTGTATTGGTCTATCCATGGGTTATTGATACAGTCGAACCCTTGGGCCAATTGATTTTCGTTTCTCGCTTGTTGCGAACGAACACATAGAGCGGCATGTTGGTCTGGTCGGTAAGCCTTCCGGTCTAAGGTAAGCTGGAAAGAAGAAATTGTACTGAACTGGCTTGGCTCACGCTTGGCTTGGATTTGTGGCGTTTTTCATTGGTCGGATATAGTTTGCAGAGAACAAGCCAATTGTCGTGGGTCCCTTCGAGTGGAAATGGGGGTAGAAATGGAATATAGAAGGCTTTTTTAGGTTGTAAATAGCCGGTTGAGCTGATTGGATTTGAAGCTCCGGCTGATTAAATTGAACTATTTAATTGAAATTCATTCCTATATTTCGCATGATCTGGTAGTAAACCTTGGAAGTACCTACTAGTAGTCACAAGCTGGTCACTGGGCAATTTTCCATGCGACTATCTACTAGTACTAGTAACGCTTCGCTATCTGGGCAGATTGGACATCAATTCAAGGCTTCATTTAAAGACAATTATCAATTGATAACTACTAGTAAGTACTGTATTACCAGGGTAATAAAATGCCCAAAAGATTTTGGTTTGCTATTGTAACATTGAAGTCTGATCACGATTACATATATTCCTCGGCCGTTCTTCTACCGCAAAACACAGGAGATTCCAACGTTGTCCAGGTGAAAAGCAAAGTACTAGTAGGTAGTTGTAAGTGACCTTGGCTGACCACACATTTTCACGTAAGCAAGACATCTCAGACATAAAGCACCCGTTCATATTACAATATGATTTGAACCGTGCGAGTACCAGCGCTGGGGTTCACCGCGATACGAAGCTTGGCATGCGTCAGCCGGAATCCGGGGACTCGGAGACTCAACCTCCCCTCAACCTCCACCCTCAACTTCGACTCCTCCGCATCAGCTATATTACCCCAGTATACTAGGAACACCCGCAGGAACTTGAAATCAGCATGTCGCTCCGACGATCTGCCCGACTGGGCGCTATTCCATCACTTACAGCTCCGATGTCAAGCTCAGCACCAGCACCAGCACCGGCACTCAAAGTGACAAGAGTACAGCACAACAACAGTATCACCAAGCCACGCAAACCCACAATTAAAAAGGCAACCACAAAAGCACCAAAGAGCAAACACACAACACCTCCACCTCCCACAACAAACTCATCATACTGGGACCCAACACCCACCACCACCGCCAGACCCTCCACACCACCTCCATTAAACCGCCCGGTCGACCCGCACCGAACAAACGCAACCCTCCTTACCCCCCACGGCTCCTCAATAAACGCCTACCCAACAACCCTCGCCGAAGCCTCGCCCTCGAAAACCGGCCTGCCCCGCCCAACCGCAACAACAGGAACCCTCCCAGACCAAGGCCTCGCCCACCTCATCGCAACAGACCCGCGCCTAAAACCCGTCATCGAAGCACACCCATGCCCGCTCTTCTCCCCCGCCGGCCTGGCAGAACAAATAGACCCCTTCAATAGTCTTACCAGCAGCATCATCGGTCAACAAGTCTCCGGCGCAGCGGCCAAGTCCATTCGGAATAAATTCGTGGCATTGTTTAACCTGCCGGGAACCGCTGCTGCTGCGAGCGCAGGGGCGGGTGCGGATGCAGGCGTAGCAGAAGGAGGACTTGCACATTCACGATTTCCTACACCTGATATCGTCGCGCGGTGTGACCTCCCAACCTTACGGACAGCGGGACTAAGTCAGCGCAAAGCAGAGTATATACAGGGATTGGCGGAGAAGTTTGCGAGCGGGGAGCTTAGTGCGAGGGTTTTGGCGACGGCGTCAGATGAGGAGCTTGTTGAGAGGCTGACGGCTGTTCGAGGGTTGGGGAAGTGGTCTGTTGAGATGTTTGCTTGTTTTGCGTTGAAAAGGATTGATGTTTTTTCGACTGGGGATTTGGGAGTCCAGTGAGTTTGACCCTGATGGTTGTGGGTGGATGATTGTGTTTGCTGATGCGATGCGATGCGATTTAGACGAGGATGTGCTGCTTTTGTTGGGAGGGATGTTGGTAAGTTGAAGGGTAAGGGTGGTGGTAAGTTTAAGTATATGTCGGAGAAAGATATGCTAGAGTTGGCTGCCAAGTTTGCGCCGTACAGGTAGGATTGACACCGTCCGGGATGGACTTGATCTTTGGGTTGTGTGTTGCTGACTGCATACTGTCGATAGGAGTCTTTTCATGTGGTATATGTGGCGGATTGAAAATGTTGATGTTGCTGTTCTTACTGGTTGAATTGTCGCAGCCCGGGACGCTTGAGATATCGTGCGTGTTGGATGCTCGGTTAGTAGCTGTGATTATATACCGACTTAGAAAGAAAGTAATGATTCGGACGAACAATGAACTGTGAATGCAGGTGGACGGTGTGTTTGTGGATAGGTAGATATATAACCTGTTGACCCTTTTTAGAGGGGGTGGGTTGATCTCAGGCCGAGGCAGTCTTCGAGTCACCGGGGGCTGCCAGCTGATGACAGTTGCGCGCGTAAGAAGACTCATTATTTTAATATTAGGGAAATATCATTCAACATGGACGGTTAGGACATGGTGTGTAAACGGAACGAAGAAAATCGATTTGTACAATATCAGTACACAAGTGGATTAAGACAGCTGGTCCATATCCTCGCCTAAAAATAAATCCATCTATGTCATGCAACAACCCATCACGCTCGCACCCTATCGGCTTTTCATATCAATCGCAACGGAAGAAGATCCACCCAGGGAAGTCTACTTGCGGACGGTGAGGGTCTCCAGCTCGGCGCGCTCCTTGGCCTCCTGCTCGACCGCACGGATGATAGGGCTGAGGTACTCGACGTCCTAGTTGAGAGAGTGGATTAGTATAAAGTTGATGGAGGCATGTGGGTGGGTGTTGAGGTTGAAGGTTCATAAGTGACAAATCCTCGCAACTGGATTGGCCAATACGGGGATATGCGGGGAGAGCGAATTTTGGGTGAAAGCGACATCGCGAAAACTCACCTCCTCGGGCTTGATCTGCTCGTTGGCGGGAAGGAGAGTGTGGGAGATAGAGCACTGCAATTGAGGGTGTTATGTTAGACAATTTCTCGACCGGAGGGTGTTTCTCGGGGAAGGGGGTTTCGGGCGAACCTGGAAAGCGCGGCGGATACGGAAGACACGGTCGTAGGCCTCCTTGGCGGGAAGACGCTTGATGGCCTTCTGGACGTTCTCGCTCTCCTCGGGGATCAGGTCGTCGAACCTAGATAGTTCGCGGTTAGCCTCTGGTGTGGAAGGGGAACATGTTCACTGTCGCGGGTATCGGAACGACGGGTCGGGTTCATGCGGATGCGAATGCGAATTGCGACCACATTGGCCATGACGAAAGATGAGGATTGTCTCTATGGTCGCACGCATGATCGAAACCCAGCTGGTCGAGTCGAATATCCGCGGTGGACAGGAATTGACGGAGGGGGACGATAATTACTTCAGTCCGAGCTTCCTGTAGCCGGCGGCATCGGTGTACCAGTTGGCCAGGGGAGTCATCCAGCGCTTGAGCCAGGGGCGCTTGACAATGTAGTTGGCAATCGAAGGAGCAGACATGGTGGAGGGTATCGAGTTGGATTGGAGGAAGGGGAAAAGACCGGCTTGAATAGAACACGAGATGACCCGACGTTGCGAGTGTGCAAAACGGAGCTTGCGGCACTAGTCCGCATTGGGTAATAGTCTTGGCAGGTCAGAGTCCCCCAGGCACATGACCGCTCACGTGATAACCCGAAACTTGCCTGACTTGCCTGAGGCCCGCGGGGAGTTCTGCGAATGCCTCGCACCACCTCCACCTTTCCCCAGTTCCAGAATCCGCTCTCAACTACCTCCTTTACCTTCTTTTGCTCAGATCATGGGGTCTAATATCTCCTGAAGTGCTTTTGAATCCCTATTGCGGCGAGCTTGCTTTGCTAGGGTCCTCCCCCACCCACTTCCCCCCCCCCAAAGTCCGTGCTGCATAGGGTACATCGCATCACCATTCTCGCTCGGTAATCATCGGACAATACCCTCTTCGCTCGAGCCCCCCGTTTCCTCCCCGCACGTCTTGCCAACATATCGGTCTCAACAGCAAGCGGTTTCTTGCTTCCATCTACCCTCTGATCGTCCCAAGTCGCGCCTTTTCGGTTTCGGAGTAACGATATGCTTGGGTCCGGGAACCCTCGGTGATCAAGACGGACAAGCGTGAGCGCCTGCCAACTCCACAACAATGCGCTCCGACGGTAGAGGCAACACTGAAGCTGCCAACAGCTCTCTCGACCCGCTACAGAGCTCCAATATACCAAATGTCACCTCGCCCACCCCCGCCGTGCCCGTCGCATCGACGTCAAGCTCCGACTTCACCACCCGCTTAGAGATTTTCTCAACCAAGATTCCCAACTTCTGGATTGCACCCTTCTGCGGAGCTAGTGCAGGCGTGGCTTCTGGGATCGTGACCTGCCCTCTCGATGTGATCAAAACGAAGCTGCAAGCCCAAGGTGGCTTTGCCCGGCGGGGAGGACAGTCACTCGAGACCAAGACCCTCTACCGGGGGATGCTAGGCACTGGAAAAGTGATATTCAGGGAGGACGGTCTACGCGGCCTATACCAAGGACTTGGCCCAATGCTGCTAGGTTATCTGCCCACATGGGCCGTCTACCTGGCTGTGTACGACCGATCCCGCGAGTACTTCTTCGAGCAAACAGGTTGGTTCCCATATTGACTCCTCTGCGCATCACATCGCAGCCTGCTAACCCGACCTTAGATAGCTGGTGGCTTTCCCGTGGATATGCATCTATTACTGCAGGTGCATGCTCTACTGTTGTGACGAACCCCATCTGGGTCATCAAAACTAGGCTTATGTCACAGAGCCTCAAACAAAATAACGAGGGAGTGCGAGCTCCATGGCAATACTCAGGTACATGGGATGCCGCTCGCAAGATGTACAAAATAGAGGGTCTTCGCTCTTTCTACTCCGGTCTCACGCCCGCCCTCCTGGGTCTGACTCATGTCGCCATACAATTCCCTCTTTACGAGTACCTGAAAATGGCTCTCACAGGATATGGAATTGGAGAGCATCCTGACACTGGAAGGTCCCACTGGATTGGCATTTCCGTCGCCACATTCTTGAGCAAGATCTGTGCCAGCACAGTTACCTACCCCCACGAGGTTCTGCGAACCCGCCTGCAGACACAACAGCGTACAGCACCGGCACCATCGCACGAAGAAATCTCCTTCCGCGGAGGACTACACCATCCCCATGACCGCGGCCGGCCACCAAGCGTTTCATCATCCGACGGCATGCCCAACCGCCCTCGCTATGACGGAATGCTGCGCACATGTCAAACGATCCTCAGAGAAGAGGGCTGGCGCGCGTTCTACTCCGGGATTGGCACTAATTTGTTCCGGGCCGTCCCGGCAGCCATGACGACCATGCTTACCTATGAGTACCTGCGAAAGTTGATCCACAACTTCCAGCTCGAAGGTGAAATGAAGCTGCGCATGGCCGAGGATCAAAACGGCATGATATGACGACCAGCCGACACGAATTAGAAAGATCCCTCTCCTCCAACCTCCGCCCACTACCAACACCTTAATCTCTCACTTATTCTCATCCTTCTACTACCACTTTCATCTCAACTTGTATAGACCTGGCAGCATGATAGCTCCAGTTGGCGGCTCTCTCAGCGAGCAGGCTTCGCATTTCTAAAACACCCACCGGGGCTTGGACTCTCGGCAATAGATGGCAATAACATTTACGGCGGCGGCTCTTAGCATGTGATGATGCTGATCCGCAACTACGATATTTCAATCACATGCTAGGGATTATTCTCGGCGCCAATGTACTTCCCAGCTTACCCTACCCTAGTCCTAGCTCTAGGGCAGGAGGACTTACTGGAGAAAGCGTCAAAGATCTCTTGTGATTTCGAAGCGTTCTTTTCTTTTCTCCCTATTCTTCTTGGACTTCATTTACCGGCTTTTTGTTCAGCATGGCTGTTGCATGCCCTGTCTTTTTGTACATACATATCCGTGTCTGTTTGGTTATTGTGGCCGTTCCTTTTTGATAAATCAATGCTTGGCGATCAAGTACTTTCTCCTCTATTTTCGATGTGCAAGTTTTCTTAAGAAAATGGAGGTAGATTTAAGCAAATTTACCACAGGGAGTCTGGATACAACAATCCTCATTCAACTATGCAAACTTGGAAGGCGTCCCAACACTTGAATCAACCTCCCTAGAACTTTTCTCGCCCGGGCGTTTCTACTATGAGCCAACCTCTAAGGTTGAATGTAAACGCGAACATTGACAGAAAGGGCATGGAATTGAACACACGCGCCCACTTCTAGGAATCCACCTTCTCCTGGTGCAGGTCTTCTTGGCCGCGATCCCATACAAGGTACCATTTTCTGCTCTTGATCAATAATTTTCGAAACTAATTATACACAGTAGGCGCCCAAGATGTGAATTACCGCGCGCAATATGTGACGAGCCGAGAGCTTGGGCCGAAACATGATATTATTGGCAGTGTCATCCTCGGCGCTAACTCGCATAACTGAAAACTTCCGATGTTCGGTGACACCCTCATTCAATCTGCTACATAAGCTCCAAGCTAATCTGCCAGTAGCGACAAGAAGCACATTCTAAATATGGCCGGCACCTCGTACTCTTCGTTTGGTAACGAGGAATATACAGTAGGATGGATTTGCGCCCTACCCCTCGAGTTAACCGCCGCAAGGGGAATGCTCGACGAGGAGCATGGTTTGCCCCGAGAAGCACCGGATTTGGCAGACAAGAACACATATGTATTGGGGTCAATTGGTCAATTCAAGATCGTCATTGCTTGCCTACCGCTGATTAGGGATGGCTCTATCTCCATGGGTGTAATCGCAAACAGGATGCTTTTCACCTTCCCAAATATCCGCGTGGGTTTGCTCGTCGGCATTGGTGAGGGTATCCCCGATCACGAAAAAAATCGAGACATTCGTCTTGGGGATGTGGTCATTGGAAGTGACGATGAGACTGGCGGAGTCGTCACGCATGATTTCGGGAAGGAAATCGACAGAGGACTATTTTATGCTATCCCCGCATTAAATCGACCTCCGGAAGCTCTGAGCTCAGCCCTGATGAAAATGAAATCCGCCCATGATATGCAGGAAAACAAGGTCGCGGAGTATATCGAAGAAATGCTCGACAAGTACCCCAGGCTTCGGAAGAACGGATACTGTTACCCTGGACCCTCATTTGATCGTCTTTTTCAGTCCGACTACCCACATCAAGGCAATTCATGCAAGCAATGTGATCCAGATAAGCTGGTTGGCCGTCAAGACCGCCTAGGAGAGCTGTTCAGCGTTCATTACGGGATTATTGCATCTGGCAGTATGGTCGTGAAGGACTCCATTATGCGCGAGAAGATTCGAGCCAAGTACCAGGCAATCTGTCTGGAGAGGGGAGCGGCTGAGCTGGTGCATGGATTCCCTTGTATGGTGATCCGAGGAATATGGGACTATGCGGACTCTCATAACAATGACCGCTGGAAGCCATGTGCTGCGGCCGCGGCTGCTGCGTGTGCAAAGGAGTTACTGAGCCACTTGCAGCCCAGAGTAGTTGACGGAGAACCAACTATGAAGGATCTCCTTTCCCGAGGTTAGTACTCTCAGCTTAGACATGAATGCGTTAGCTCATGGATTGAAAATGTGATACGCTATATCGTATAGATTCGTTTACTAAAATCTGCAAACAGTACACAATGGGGTCAAGGACATAAGTGAAGCCGTAACAGCCCAACGGATGCAGAAGATTCTCCATTGGATTACCCCATTACATTATGAGCAGCAGCAAAATGAAATTATCAAGCAGGCGCAAACTGGAACGGGTTCCTGGTTTTTGAAATCAGAAGAGTTTACTGGTTGGCTGAATCAGTCGCAGGGGACATTGTTTTGTCCAGGAATTCTCGGGTCCGGCAAGACAGTGATGTCCTCTATCGTGATTGAACATCTCAAAGAGACCTTCCGAGACGACATTGAAGTACAAATTGCTTATGTATTCTGCAAGTACAAACCGGAGTTTCCACAGTCTTATCTTGATATCTTGCTTAGTATTCTCAAGCAGTTATCTGTGACGAACCGCTCTCTTCTCTCAACGACCGAGGAATTCTACAAGATGCATTCGCAGAACCTTGTCCGCCCAAATAGGGATGAGATCCGTGCTCAAATTTTAAAGACAGCTCTTACGTATAAGAAGGTCTTCATTTTGGTCGATGCGCTTGATGAATACATCTCTTACAACCCAGAAGAACTCAAGGCTTTACTAACTGTGATTTTCGAGCTCCAGAGAGGAAGCACCGATCAATTTCTTTGCAACATCTAGATTTATCTCCGAGATAACAGACTGCTTCAGAGGTTGTACTCTCAAGGAGATACGAGCAGACGAGGAAGATATTTCGAGATATGTCAGCCAGAGAATACAATCTTTAGTTCGCTCGACAATCTCAAGCTATCCTGATACACAGGAAAATGTTCGTTGTCATCTGGCCAAAACTGCAGATGGGATGTAAGTCATGGGCAATAATACTCTTTCAAGCCGGTTCGCTAAATGCTATAGATTTCTACTGGTCCGCCTGCATATGGATCAATTGATGGGTTATCCTAGTATTGGAGAGTTAGAGGATGCACTCCTAGAACTTCCACAGGGAAGAAATGCCTTGAAATACGTCTACGACCAGGCTATTCAAAGGATTGAATCGCTACCAGATCCTTGCGCGCGGATGGCCATCAAAACTCTATCTTGGTTAGCATATAGCAAACGGGATCTTACACCTGAAGAGCTTCAGCATGCCCTGGGAACACGACCGGGAATGAAAAGGTTCAACCACAAATTCGTACCCGCTTTGCAAACCATCGACTCCCTGTGTGCTGGATTGGTCATATATGACCGAGAAAAAGGCACAATACGTTTGATCCACCACACAGCGCAAGAGTACTTAATGCAACACCGAGTGTTAAGTAACGCAGGGCTGGAGATCCTAACGACCATGACCACGTATCTTTCCTTCGAGGACTTTTCCGGTGGACGATGCAAAAATGGCGAGGAATTTCTAAAACGAAGGAAAGAATATCCCCTCCATCAATATTGCTCGATGAATTGGGTGACATGGGCTTATCCAGTGAACGATTTTTCAAGGGAGCTTCTTGAACTGATAACACAGTTCCTTGAGAAAGAAGGAAATATCCACGCGGCCAGTGAAGCCATAATGATTGATGATGGAAATCCTTGTGAGACAAAGAATCCGGATTCTCTTTCGCGAAGAATGGCAGGATTGCGTTTGTCGGGATCCTATGGACTGAATGATTTGCTTGGACGTCACTGGTCTGGGGACTCAAATGATGATACCAGGCCCAAATACTACACTGAAGGGAATAAATCATTTAATGATGCGACTGAAACTGACTGTCTTGACACACTGAGACTCTGGCTTAAATACCGGAGGATGGATGCGAATGGCCTTCCCTGATTGCAGCGACCGAGACTGAGAAAATCAACTTACATAGTTGGTAACAGGTCTGGAGCCATCGTGATCGAAGTGTTGTCGCGCGATATACGACCATCGCCAAGCCAAGCCATGATACCATCGAAGTTGCACTCCACTACGCAATTCAATAAACTTACGAAGAGTTTCATCAATTGGCTCCAGGTGGAATTTACGAGGCTGAGTGAGTTACAGTTTTACCTAATTTGGTAGGTCCAAACGCTGGGCAGCACCGCAAGATATATTCTCGCAAGCCAAAATATCCCTCAATCACCAATCCCTGTTCAGTTAGCGTTTGAACTAGCGTTTTCTCCGGGTCTGTGTTTGTGCTTTGGAGTTAACGGAAAACCTGCCGGGGTGTGGCTAGTCTCACCGAAATGCCGATCACATCCTGGAGAAAAAAGCCATGGACACGCGGTAGAGCATTGGTAAACATGGCTTGACTCGGACCGGGAGAAAAAGTGTGGGTGAAATTCCGCAGAGTTGCATTGATTGGGGGACCCCGTGGAGTCGCGGAGTGCCGGATATGACGATGGGCAGAGGGCCGTGTGGGGAATGGGGGGGGGGATTCAGCCGAAGTTGATCCGACATTCCCAAACCCCCCGGGACTTTTGCATTTGTACCACCCACGGTCAATTGGTAGGGAAGTAGGGAACTGAAGACGGGGGCTTGTTTAGCTGCACAATGTCGATTTATGCTTTTTTTTGCATGCTGCCCCATGAAAACACTGAGTGATGCCTCTGAATCCTCCCGAGAGTCGGGAATATCGCTCGGCATCCCGACCCAATCCGGTTATTCGCTGCTTGTCTCTGAGAAGTCGGCAATCCTCCGTGGTCAAGCAATGCCAACTTCCGCCAAATGACGGTATGGGCTCCACTTACATACCCCTCGATGCGAGTCCCCGACTCCCCAGTTACCCCCACGAGTGGAGTCCCCAGCCCATCTGGGGTGCCTGTACGGAGTATTGTGGGATGGGATAGCCGGGGCATTATGGCCCAACCTCGAATATTTAAAGCAAGGGATCTTCCACTCGAGGTTGTGGTGCCGTCTTCTGATCCATTGAGATATCTCGATACATCGTCACCATGTTGCCAACACAGGCTTTGTTAGCGGTATCGCTGCTTCTCGCCGGCCCTTCGGTGGCAGCAGATACTTGCAAGGCCCCAATTAATCACCCAGGAGAACCTTTCAGCAATGTCCAACCAAAAAACACTACAATCCTGAGTCCCTATGGCCACTCTCCACTCATCCTCCCCTCGCGTAAGTCAAAATTTCCACCCGATCTACAGCGGAGGTCTCTTTCCTAACACTATTAGCCAACACAACCGGAAATGGAGGATGGGAGCATGCCCTTCTGAAAGCTAAGAAGTTCGTGAACAAGCTTACACTGGAAGAGAAATCCTGGATGGCAACGGGCCAACCTGGTCCCTGCGTCGGAAACGTCCTTCCCATTCCACGTCTCAATTTCACCGGTCTCTGTCTCCAAAATGGACCCCAATGCGTGCAGCAGGGTGATTACTCCAGTGTCTTCATTAGCAGTGTTTCTGCTGCCGCCAGTTGGGACCGCGAACTTCTATATAACCGCGCACATGCCATGGCCAAGGAACACAAGGCCAAGGGTTCCCATGTTATCCTGGGACCCATCGGAGGACCTCTGGGCCGCAGTCCCTACGATGGTCGAACCTGGGAAGGCTTCGCTGCCGACCCCTACCTCACTGGTGTCTGCATGGAGGAAACTATCAACGGAATGCAGGATGCGGGTGTCCAGGCAAACGCGAAGCACTTCATTGCCAATGAGCAAGAAACCCAGCGTAACCCGACCTACGCCCCAGACGCCAACGAGACAACGTATATCCAGGATTCGGTGTCAGCGAACATCGATGACCGCACCCTCCACGAAATATACATGTGGCCGTTCGCCAACGCTGTTCGGGCGAAGGTTGCTAGTGCCATGTGCTCGTATAACCGTGTGAATGGTTCCCACGCTTGCCAGAACTCTTACCTGCTTAACCACCTGCTTAAGGGCGAGCTTGGCTTCCAGGGCTATGTTATGTCCGACTGGGGTGCTACGCACAGCGGTGTGTCGTCTGTTGAGAGTGGAATGGATATGACCATGCCTGGAGGTTTCACTGTTTACGGAGAACTCTGGACCGAGGGATCTTATCTGGGCAAGAATCTCACTCAGGCTGTGCAGAACGGTACTGTTGAGATGACTCGTCTGGATGACATGATTGTCCGCATCATGACTCCCTATTTCTGGCTTGGTCAGGAAAAGAACTACCCCAGCGTTGATTCGTCGGTTGGCCCACTGAATGTTGACTCGCCCCCTGATACTTGGCTGTATGACTGGAAGTTCACAGGCGAAAGTAGCCGGGACGTTCGCGCAAACCACAGCGCCATGATTCGTGAGCATGGATCTGCCTCAACTGTCCTGCTGAAAAACGAGAAAAATGCCCTGCCTCTCAAGAAACCCCGCAACATCGTGATCGCCGGTAACGACGCTGGCCCTCTCACCCAAGGCCCTGATCTAATGGGCGACTTTGAGTACGGTCATCTCGCAGGATCTGCCAGCTCTGGCTCCTGCAGATTCTCATTCCTGTCCACCCCACTCGACGCAATCAGTGCCCGCGCTCGCAAGGACGGATCCATCGTCCAGTCCTTCCTGAACAACACCCTCCTCACCACCACGGCACTTACATCACCACTCTGGATCCCACAGACACCCGATGTGTGCCTCGTTTTCCTAAAATCCTATTCCGCAGAAGGCGAGGACCGAACTTCGCTCGACCTAGACTGGAATGGAAATGCGGTTGTGGAAGCCGTCGCTAACAACTGCAACAACACCATTGTCATCACCAACTCTGGCGGCGTGAACGTCATGCCTTTCGCAGACCACCCGAACGTAACCGCCATTCTGGCTCAGCACTACGCCGGTGAAGAATCCGGTAACGCAATCGCAGATGTTCTTTACGGAGACGTCAACCCATCGGCCAAGCTCCCCTACGTAATCGCATACAATGAGACCGACTACAACGCCCCCGTGACCACCGCCGTGGAAACAAACGGTACATACGACTGGCAGAGCTGGTTCGACGAAGAGCTCGAAGTGGGATATCGCTACTTTGATGCTAAGAATATCTCCGTCCGGTACGAGTTCGGCTTTGGTCTGAGCTACACTACTTTCGGCCTGAAGGGTCTCAAGCTGAAGGGCTCTGCCCCACAAAACAACCTTAGTGCTCTACCAGAGAAGCGGCCTACCCAGCCTGGCGGTAATCCGGCTCTTTGGGATACGGTGTTCACCCTTCAAGCAGAGGTTTCTAACACCGGTGACATTGATGGATTCGCTGTGCCGCAGCTATACGTTGAATTCCCCAGCTCGGCGCCAGCAGGTACGCCCCCGAGCCAGCTTCGCGGCTTTGATAAGGTCTGGCTTCCGGCTGGTGAGAAGAAGACAGTTTCCTTTGACTTGATGCGCCGTGATGTTAGTTACTGGGACGTTACTGCTCAAGACTGGCGAATTCCTGCTGGGCAGTTTACGTTCAAGGCTGGATTCAGCAGTCGTGATTTCCAGGCGAAGAAGGCCGCGACGTTGATCAAGTCATGATATGACTAGCTGTGTTGAAAACGGTATTCTTCCCTGACCGATTGGCCTTTTTTTCTTTCCAATGATGTGTATAAATGTATAAATGACATAATAGTTATATTATGCCTGATAGTCTTGGGGTCTCGATCTCGTGAGGTTATCATACATAGATGGACGTAGGTAGTATTCGCTTGATAATCATTTGATACAGTAAATCAAGTCGATAAACAATCACACCTAAACCACATGCGTCTTTGGCGGTGTAGAAGGTGACGAAGAAGGACCAAAGGCGACCCTGATTGATTTCCAACAAAGCCGGAGAACATAGAGCGTGAGTGTACAGCATGAAAACCACAAAAGAGCAAAGCAGCATAGCAATATGCGCAGCGGAATCCAGCCAAGAGCTTGAACAGGATCAAAGTCCGCTTCCATCTTCATCTGCTCAATCGCGTCGAAATACTCCTGCTTGTTGTACCTTGCGCTGCGATATCTCGCGTTCTGCACCTCAATACCGGAACCAGGGCTCTCTGAATCTGGCAGTGAAAGCTCATCCAGTTGATCAAAGAGGTCCGGGTAAAGATGGGCAGACAACATCATTATGCAAAAACCGTTGACTAGAAACAGCGTCAAGATTTTGAAGAATAGCCCGTAGATCCAGGAACAAGCGCACACGAGGACTGCCAGGGCGCCTCGGCGTGAGCGGCGGTGGGCAGTTGTGAGGCGGTAGACAATTGAATCGAGTTTGGTGTTTGTGCATGCCACGATCATTCGGAAGATAAGATATGTAAAGAGACTGATTGATAAGAAGGTTTCGAAGAGGTTCCAGTCTGAGCCTTCGACGTCGATGTAGATGAATCCTATGGTAGCGAGAATCCAGATTGTTAGAAATCCGATTGTGACTATTGAGCCGAGGCGATTGAAAAAGGCATCCACGGTGGGGGAAGACATTTTGTATGATGGCTTTGGTTCTTCTTTCCCTCTTTCTTCCTTCCCTCTTTTTTGAGGTTGCAGGAAAAGGGAAAAAGGAATGATGCGGTCACCGGCGAGGCTGAAGTTGTTTGTAGGCTAAAATAATTGGGGGCCGAGTTTTTCGGCCCCAATCCACTCGGTTGCCCGGCTTTGTGATTTGATTCGAATTGTTTCAGATGGAGCTTGCCGGGTAACATCAAAGTGTGGCTCATCTAATAACTCAGCCTTATACTAACTTGATGAAGTTTAGGAGATACGAGTAGCTGGCTTGCCACCGATTCCGACCGAGTAGGGTTAGTTCAAGTTTGTCTTGACGGGTAATTGCTAGGCTCATAGCGTTGGTAAGTTATCTTTTCCTGGATATTTACTGCCTTACTCTCGTTAGCAGCATCCAATCCCGCCTAATTGCAATCACGCATGCAGGGAGGAGTATTGTATTGTCCAGAGTAGAGGCAGATGCGATGCGATTGGTGGAGCAAGCTGTATATCACGTGACATCCCGCATATGATTTTTCTCGCTTCGCTTTTTTCGGGTTTCTCCTTCTTCCACTCTGCAACTGTAGCTGCGAACGCGACTACAACTTCAATGCCTACACACTGCCTGCACACTGCCTGCCGATTTTGATGTATAATCACAGGTAGTGTGGAAATTGGCATATGTGTATTAATGGAATCTCGCCTGCGATGGACCAGAAGGATTGAAGATAATTGCACCATGCTTGGGTCACTCTCAGCTAGTTCCAATATTTTCTCGAGATCAGCTACTAGCACTAGTATGTGCAGGAAGATGACCTTCTGAGGCTTGCCCCATTGTCTACTAGCACATTCTCGGCCACACGCACCCCGATCGCCCATTCTTTTCTTCACGATTTATATGATGATCTTTCTATGAATATTGACCCGGGTTGTTCTACACTTAAACGCCCGGGGTATGATCATTCAATACACTGAAAATTCTGATCGATCACGAAGATGAAGACTGGTCTTTGGGCGACGCCCAAGTTTCAACTTCGATCAATAGTTGAAGCCCGGACTGGACTCTAGTCTAGTGTAAAATATTACTCCTAATCGCTTAATGCAAATAAATTGAATTTCATGATCTGAGCCGAGTATAGTAAATATCCACAAGATTTAATATTCAAGTTCCCTGCTGTACGCCGGTAAATGCAACGCAAATAAATGTAAACAATCAGAAGCAGCCACCTGGGCATGCAGAAACCATCTTCTGCTAGTACTAGTATTACTAGTAAAACTTGCCAGCTCTCTCCAGCTCAGGCCTTTCCTCCCTTGCCCGTTTGACTTTCCTCCAGCGCCTGCTGAACCCACGAGTCCTTCCCACCCGATGTCCGTCGCGTGGGCGCGTCCGGTGTCGCGACCGATTGACCCTGTGCCTCGCGTCGTGCAGAGCGAATAGATGAAATGCAATAAGAGCCCAGGATCAGGGCCATGGCGAATGCCGCGATGGGAGCATTTAGAGACTGTAGATATCATTAGCTATGTCCGCCGGGCCCATGCATTCTCTTGAGAGTTTTGCGAGTGCTGGCTGGATGAGACATGGTTTTACGTACCCCTGAGGATCGACCGAGGGCTTTGGGGTTTGGAGTATTCTTGGAGGACATGATAATGCGACCCGGTGGTTGATGTAGCTACAACCCTTGGGTACTGCCCAGGTGTATACTGTAACTCTGGAGAAGAGGTTGATACGAGGGGGAGTGCCAAGCATTCAAGTTGCTGGCAGGCTGTTTGTCATCTTACGAGTATGTCTACAAGTATTCCTATCAACGATGGTTACGGTTAATTTGGTGCAGTGGTTGGCAGTAGATAAATGGAATAGAAATATCAAACCTGAGATACAAGACTAGACTGAATTGAACTACTCATTACTCGTACTCTCCCTGTGAAAGGCAATCCGTTCCAGTCACATGATAGCTCTTTAGTGACCGAACCCAAGAATACCCCGAAGTATTGACCGAGTCCGAGCAGGCGTCAGCACCTTAACTCCGACTGTTCGGACTGGCTCGGACCGCACAGACCAGGTTCTTAGCTAGCTTCAGCATTCAGCATTCTGGGGTCAAAGAGAAAGATCGAAGGCATTCGAATAGTATTGGGAATTGTTGGCTTCCATTTCCAAAGCAAGAGCGGCCCGCTGATCCATTAGATCATCGAGCTTGTATGTTGAATATCACTACCTGGAAGGTAAGCAGGGCATCTCCACCATTTGATATCATCGATGCACAATTGGCCCGCGGAGTCCCCAGCGGGAAACCCAGACGTTGGTTGCATCCACCGCGGAGAAAGTGAGTGGCCTCCGAGAATTGCCACTGCCCCTCTGTCTGATATCATGGGGGTAGTGAAGGATAGAGAAAGAAGAGGGGCTTTCATAGAGGTCCAAATTGACCCAAATGAGGCCCCTGAGAACCTCATACTCGTAGTATCGAAATTAAATGGAGTAATGATATACTGAAAGAAGACAGAAAACCGGTTGAACGTGGATGAGTCAGCTCCGATGGCCGGCGCTTCCGGGGGGATTTGGACCCCCGATTAGGCTTAGCGGCAGCTGAGATAAGCAATCAGATTATTTAGCAATGAATTCATCGCCCTCTCTTCTTCCCTATCAGATCGGTTTCATTTTCGCCTCTTTCAACTACCCCCCAATACATCTACCACCTCCATCGAAAGAATCTACCAAATCAATCTCAACACTCACACATCCAATATGTTCAAGCGTATCGTCACCGCCGCCCCTCGCGTCGGCTCTGTCGCGCCTCGTGCTTTCGCTCCCCTCGCCGGCCTTCAGTCCGTCCAGGCCCAACCTGCTGTCCAGCGTGTTGCCCCAGCTATCGCCACCCCCGTCCAGCGCCGCGGATACCACGAGAAGGTCCTGGATCACTACAACAATCCCCGTAACGTCGGATCCTTCAAGAAGGGCGACCAGGACGTCGGCACCGGTCTCGTCGGTGCCCCCGCCTGTGGCGATGTCATGAAGCTTCAGATCCGTGTCAACAAGGACAGCGGTAAGATCGATGACGTCGTCTTCAAGACTTTCGGCTGTGGAAGCGCCATCGCTTCATCCAGTTACCTGACCGAACTGGTCCGCGGCATGACCCTCGAGGAGGCTGGAAAGATCAAGAACACTGATGTGGCCAAGGAGCTCTGCCTGCCCCCTGTCAAGCGTACGTCTTTCTTTCCTTTCTTTTTCTCCGCAAATGCCCCACAAGGTTGAGGATACGTGGAATGAATCACTTGTGCTAACTTGAATTTCTCCAGTGCACTGCTCCATGCTCGCCGAGGACGCTATCAAGTCCGCCATCTCCGACTACCACAAGAAGAACCCCAACGCTCGCTCAACCGACCTGTCTGGGACAGGCGCTTCCATTCCCGACGTCAAGGTCGAGATGGGTGGCAGCCCCGCCGCCGCTATCTAAATTGATGGACTTGCTCCTTATTAGTGGCAGGCTTTGTTCGGGTCGGACTCCGAGCCGAAGCCAAAAAAAATGCCTCACTTTTTTTCCCTTTTGCTTTTTTTTTTATAACGCAGTGATACTCCCGCGAATCGCTTTTGTCATTTGAGAACAGTCGTTTGATCGAGGACTGAATTATTACCCCCGGGAATGCAGAGATGATTATTGGGGAACCTGGTATTACCGGTCGACTGTGGCTGCGAGATATGATGTGTGCGTCAGGTCGCAGTAGCGGTTGGTCGGTCGGAGAGTTTCCAAACAAATACTGCATATTTGTTTGCTGTACAGACATTTCCTATTGTTTTTTAAGTTTCGTGCATGTTGTTTTCCACACCACCTTTTTCTTTTTCTTTTTTTTCTGTCACGGCGCCTCGGTATCTGGAATCCTCGATTGATACTCTCTATTCTTAAAAGCGTGGTGCCTTGGATAGTTTCTAATGAAACGATGAAACCAGAATATTCTATTTTAAAGTAGACAGTAGCCTTGAAATAGACAGGTTATACTAATACAAGTGCATTCAGACACACTCCAACTGGCTGCGTATTTTGTCGAGTCTATGTCTTTTGTGTCTATTGGCGAATCTATCTGTACAAACTGCCAAAGACGGGCAGCGGCCATAAAAACAGAAAAAAAGAAGGGGGAACCAAGCACAGAAAGTCCTTTCATGTGCGGACTCGAGGAGACAGGAGAAACGGTACAAAACGCCATCGCTGATGCACAGATATACGGGCAGACAATCCGTGCCAAACCAAACTAACCGAAAGGGATAAAAACCGGGGAATAATGTACAAAACGCAACAGAGGAAAGGGGAAACCACGAGCGTAGCACGCTAAAGGCTAAATCAACCAGTTCGCAGTCCGAACCGGCTCTTCATCGAGAGAACGGTCTCGTAAACAGAGAGCTTGACTTCGACTCGCAAGAAGCCGGCCCAGGCAGAGAGGAAGCGGAAGAAGTTCAAGAACACGCCGCCAGATGCGCGGATAGTCTCCATTTGTTCTTCGAAGACGGTGCGGGTGGCGTACCGGGCTAGAATGAGAAATGTGCGCACTGGCCCGGAGCGGGTGTGCAGGTTCTCGTCTAGACTGCGAGCTGGGGAGATAGTTAGCAATGAAGTTCTAAAGAGGGAATGGGGGAGAGTGAAGCAAAGGAAGGGGGTAGTAGCATACTCAAATCATTCGTCTTCAGAATAAGCAGGATAATCCGAGGAACCTGGCCCAGCAACACTACCAACTGCTGCAACATGCCCTCACCAAGAGCGCCGGAGATTTCCTTCTTCTCATCAGCTGTACGGATAGAAGCAACATTCTTCTTCGTCAAGACGCTATAGTCACGTCCCGTGATTGCGCTAGCGAAGAGTGGGAACTGCTCGTCCGTGACGCCGGCGACCTTATACGCAAACTCGCGCATGCGGGGCACATCGGCGTCGATGACTGCCAGCCAGAGCTTGGCATAGTTGCGTCGCAGGTCCCGGTCAATGGTACGGTAGAGACCGTGGTCATAGAGGATGATTTCGAAGTTCGGGTGGCGGCTGTTAGGGTTGGGGCGAATGGCGATATTGCCGCCGTGAGGGTCGCAGTGCAGCGGGGCATCATCGCCGAAGATCATCTCATTGAAAATGTGAGCGAAAGCGGCGGAGACTTCGTCGCGGTCAATGTTGTTCGCATCGAGGAATTCGAGGTCGTCGGGGCGTCGGCCGGAGATGAATTCCATAACTAGGATGCGCTCTTGGGACCACATGACTAGACTTGGTTAATATGGGGGTCACATTCGAGGAGGGTATATGTGTAGCTGCTCCAAGACATACCTTCGGGGATAACCAATGGGACATCGGAGTGCTTCTTGAAGTAATCGCTGGCAATAGTAGCGTTCTGAGCTTCCATTCGGAAGTCCAGCTCAACAGGCAAGGACAAGTCCATCTCCCGGGAAAGCCATTCCAGGTCATATTCCGGGAAAAAGCGCTTCAGCATAGAAAATGTAAATCTGGTCAATGCCAGATCCAGCGGTACCCACTCAGCTAGAGCAGGGTGCTGCACCTTGACTGCAACCTTTTGACCGGTTCCCTTCAGCGTGGCGACGTGAACCTGGGCCAAGGAAGCGGCACCAGTAGGCTCGGGATCAAAATAGCTGAACAGCTCATCAATGGTCTGGCCGGTATCCTGAACGAACATCTGCTCGATCGACTCAATCGATGACACGGGGCATTTGTCCTGGAGCGGGACGAAAGTTGTAGTCCATTCGATGGGGAGCAAGTAGCCCATGCTACTGAGATGTTGACCCAGTTTGATGAAGATCGAGCCATTCTTTTCTAGAACTCGCAAGGTACGCTCCGCGCAGCGCTTGTGGCAAGCGCGGATCAACTCGTCTCGTTCGTCGGAGGTTGAGGTTTCTTTGTTGAGAGTTACGCGATAGCTATAGAAGGCGATTCATGTTAGCCAACTTCCTTGGAAATGCGCCAAATCCAGACACTCTCAGGATCTTCGGTGCACTTACTCATTAATGCAAACGGCCAGTGTACCAACCACGCGACCACTTCTCCGCGCCGCGCCATATCCATGCTTGAGTTCTTCAGAGTATACAGCCGCGCCAACACCCAGCAGACCCAAGACAACCAGAAACGTAATCGGTTTCTTGCTCTGCGACGAGCCAGGCTTTGATTTCGCCCCCTCGTCACTAGTCACATTTTCCTCCGCGGACCTGAGAGGCGAGGTTCTCGTCGAAAAACACCGGCTGAACGATGTAGCTTGCGGGCGTACTTCAGAGGACTGGCGACTCCATAGCTTGGATGCAATTGATCCCAAGGGCGAAGAGGACGAGCGTACCGCGCCGAGAGAGAGCGCCGGGCTCGCGATCGAGGTTGTTGATGTTTGTCGAATGGCCGTGGCGGGATTGGCGAAGGCCCGCAGCGGCACACGAAGTGCAGCGCTCATTCCGAACGAGAAGCCGTTCCGGCAGAGATAAGCTCGAGCGCAGATTTCAAAAAGGTGAATGAGAGGTACCGTTCAGTCCATGGGGAATCACACGATCGTAAGGCAATTTTTTGGGGATTCTCGGTTTTCGGTTTTCGCCGCCAATCGCTTCTCGCCCGATCTCGGGCCGCACGTGCACGTGATTCCGAGATGACGAAGTATAAAAGTACCGTGACTAGGCATAAACATACTACATTCAGTATAGATGGATAGTAGATACATAATAGTATTACTAGTAGCTACAGATAAGAGGGCTGTTATGAATTTTGGGAACCCTAGTAGTTAACCTTGGAGTCACAACTTACTACGCCTTGTCATTGAGAACTTGAAGATCCATATTCAACTTGAAGTTACTACTAGTACTACTAGGAATGATGCAGCAAGATTCGGAAAATATATCGAAAGCAAAAAAGGTCGAGCTAAGCTCGATTAAAATAGAATTGCAATGTATTAAGATCCAGCAGGTTACTACTACTAATGTCACGGCAGGCCAGGTGCGGTGGGTGGGGAGGTCGTGGTCGCAGGATCTTTAGGGAGTGGACCTGCTGTAGGTTTTATCAGACTTGATACCAAAATACGTACTTCAACATGACCATCCATGGAGGCAGAATGATATAGATTATGTCTCATTCAGAAGTTTATGCAGTTTCTATGTGCAGCAACCAGTGCCCAGCACAGCAAGTTAGGAAACAAAGGAAAGACAGACATGTTTTGGAGAGCAGAACCATAGTGACCAACAACCTCGTAGCCCAGAGCCCACCCTCGGAAAACGCCGTGGTCTTATCACAAATAGAGAAGAAAAAAGAGCAGTGAAGGAAGGAAGAAGCATGAACAAAGAAAATAGGAATGTGTATGTAGAAAGAGGCCGCAGAGCAATCGAAACAGGCTACTAAGGTACAGCAACCAATGGGAGGCTAGGTCATCAAGTCCATTCAGAGTCGGCCACAGTCGTTCTCCTCCGCCTAGGAATAATGGACGGTCTGCGACCAAGGGAACTCGGAGCCTTGCTCTCCTCATCCTGGAGCATTTCAAGTTGCGAAAGACGGTTATTACTAGATATTCCACGCGAAAGTCGGGAACGCGGGTTAATGGCGCTGCCGTTAACGGCTGGATTCAAGGCCGAACCACTGCCGTCCCGACTTCCAGGTCGGAGGGCGAGCGAGGAGCCACCTAGGGCATTACGAGGGTGACGGGGAGTTTCGCGACCATCGAAGTAGGAGGCTCGGGACTGACTGGTGCGATTTGAGGATGGGGTGGATGGGGTTGAGGCGGCAAAGGGATTGGGCGGAGTCGTTGATGTGCTTTTTCTTCGACTTGTTGGTCGGCGCTTGGGGACGCCGAAGGCTTCGCTCCTTTCGCTGGACTGGATCAATTTGCCTGCCATGTCTCTGACCAGGATGGCCGGGTCGTTCTCGAGCTCGCGGATCGCGTCTAGCAATCCGTATGAGACGAGTAGTTCGCCTTGTTGTTCGCTTGAATCGCAGATGCTTGAGATGATACGCAGAATGTTCAGTCGGACAGCGGCTTTATTATGGTGCAGCTTCTGCCCTAATCGTGTGAACAGATCGGGCCGAGCTAAGGTAGAGGCGACAGGGGGGCTCAGTCGAAGAAGCTTTTGTAGGGGCTCAAGAAGATTCTCAAAGGCATTTGCTTTCGCCTCGGCCAGACAAGCCACAATGGAATCGGCGAATGAGTTTTTATCATGGCGATTATCCAGCAGACTCTCCTCAACCTTGGCGGTCTCCTCTTGGAGCCACGTAAAGATAGCATCCAAAGCGGTGACCTGCCAATAGGGATCTTCAAGTAGAGAGATATAGAAAGGGAGACCCTTGTTGCGCCATAATTCACGGCGGCCAACCTTTCCAGATTGCGCCATATCGCAAAGAATTGGAAGGGCAAACTCCTTCAGAGGCCCCATGGTGTGGACGATCCTCTGGAGCAGGGGAACAATGCCATTCAGAGCGGCGTCTTCTTGCCGAGACTTATTCAATCGGCACATGTTGTAGATGGTGTTGAGAATTTGGTTTGAAACTTCGCGGAAGTGGCGTTGGCTGAGTTTCATAGCAGATCGGAGGAGATCGGTCAGGACATCGATGGCGTTGGAGTTCTGCAGGGCATCGAGGGTTGTGGAAAGCATAGACAAGTTCTTGATGAATTTCAACATCGTGACCTGGTGCATGGGCGACATTCGCTTCAGATCTTTCAAAACCCCTACAAGAGATTGTCAGCGAAAATTGAGAAAACAGATATAATACCGAAAGATCAATCATACTGTGCAAAACCGTTCGCTCCGCTACCATTTCCTTGACATGATTCTCAGCCTGCGAGAAAATGAAGAAGATGCTTGCAATGCGAGCCTCTACAAGATCTGCCAGGTCTCCCTCTTCATCTAAAACTCGACTTAGTACCAGGAAAGAGGATCAAGGACGGAATTCCGCGACAAAATTCGACAGAAATCGTTTTTCGGCGTCGATCCCTGAAAGGTTATAGTTAGTATTAAGATCATGGAGCTGAGCATGGACCCATGGGGTACCTACCTGCAGATCAAAGACACTCCAGATTCCATTTACGCCAATCAGCACCAGTTCACGTTCGTCTTCATAGTCATCTTCCAAAAATTCTACCAGGACATTTAAGCCACCGGCACTGACGAACATTTGAAGGGTGAGTGTCGAAGTTTGGTACATCTGCTGGACAAAGGCGGCGGCCTCAAGTCGAATCTCGCGGGGGTACTTCTTCGACGCGAACTCATTGATGATAGGGATTCCACCAACGAAGCACAAGTTCTCCTGGACCTCATAATCGTTGTAGATGATAGCGTTCACAATCCTCAACAGATAGAATATAACATCCCGACGACGACAGGTGTCGAGGATTTCCAGGATCGGAAGCATTCCATGGGCGCCAATGATGATATTTTTGGTATCGGGCAGGTCAAAGAAATCAGCAAGAAGCTGTTCGGAAATTTCCGCAAGAACATCCTCGTCCTGGGAAGTCTTCAAAGAGTCCACCAAGCCCTCCACCTGACTGCGGAGGCGAGCATTCTTGTCACGCTGGATGTTTGCTTCCAAATCCATCTCATCGAAGCCTTCTTCCAATTGCGCAAAGGGATCATCTTCGTCGTCTTGGTCGCCCAACCATGAATTGGTTGATAGTTTGGTGTTCAACTTCAAGCTGTTCTGTTCAGACCCGTCATCGCTCTCAGACGTATTTAGAGCGACCTGATCGTTGCCAAGAATATCCGAGAAATCCTCATCATCTTCGTTTTCAGTAAACTTCTGGATCTCAATGGTGGAACGATCGCGCTTAACGGAGAGCTGTTTTCGAAGCTGAGGCTGCTGGCCACCCCGATCTTCATCGAAATCGTAGACTGACTTGTCACGTATAGGCGATGCGGGGTCACCATCCGTCTCCTGGGACTGGTTAGCAACTTGGAACAAAGCCTTTCCTTTTTAATCCCTCGAGGTTAAACTCACTTTATACGCTGCAACCTTCCCATCAACATCCTCATTAGCCATTATGAAGTCAGTATAATCCTCCACTGGATTCTCTTTGAAGAGATGGGCTGGTCGTTCTCTCCTCATGTGTGGCACGGGGTTTTGTGAAAGAATGGGAACTTTTTGAAAGGCGGATGACGAAGCTTTGCTAGGCTGACGTCGAGTCGGACTATGAGGTTTGGAGGGCTCGATGGCTGTAGGCCTGGCTGGTAAAGGACGAATCGTTTGTAAAGGATCATTTTCCGCGATTTGGAATGAGTCAGATGTCTCCTCAAATTCGTCGAAGCTGTCGTCTGGTCTCAACATGGTACCGTCAAGTGAAGCAAATGCCTTCAATCTTTCAGACGAAAGCATACCCCCAAAGTTGTCGTGTGGACGTAGATGAGGTAATTGAAGTGCGCTTGGAGAAATTGCCGTGGCAAAGTCATCGTCCCAATTATCATCTTGGGCAGATTCGGGAGATCTATAGCGATCTGTTGTCTTCATGGAAGTTGGAGAGGGTAATGTATCCATCAACGGTGTGTTGCGGACGGGATGCGAGGCAGTATTGTCAAATTTGTTGCTTTTCCGTGATGTTCCCGCTTCCGGAGAACGGAGAGCCTCATTCCACTCTTGCACACTTCGAACTGCTTCTTCGTATTCTGTGGATTTCTTAGGTATAACGGAATCAGAGCGGCGAGCGTTGACTATCCACGGGTGTTTCAATAACTTCCTCGCAGACACTCGCAAATTGGGATCTTTTTGAAAGCATTGCATGAGGAAATCTTTCACGGCCTATTCAAAAGTTAGTCATGCCGATACGGTACTGGAGTATGTCCGATAGGGAGAACAATGGCATACTGGGGATGCACCCTGGGGGAGTGGTGGATGGTCGTCATTGACAATGCGGAATAATGCCGGCATAGGAGCCAGACTGTGATAGGGTGGCTTTCCCTCGAGTAGTTCAATGACTGTACACCCCAAGCTCCAGATATCTGAGGCGGTCGTCGCACCGGAGAGCTCAATAACCTCTGGTGCCATCCAGTATGGTGTGCCAACGACGCTGGACTCGCTCAAACCAGTGGTCCGACTGGCCACACCAAAGTCAGCAAGCTTGACAAGGCCTTCCTTGGTAGTAAGAATATTGGCGCCCTTTATATCACGATGAATGACACCTTGCTCGTGTAGGTATAGCAATCCATGAAGAACTTGCGACATGTACAACCCCACAAGATTCTCCGGGAATCGTCCAAAGTTCTTAGCGATGGAGTGGAGTGATCCGTTTTCACAATACCTGTGAGCTGGTTTAGTATTTGTCGATATCGAGAAGAATTAGCCAGGGTTCCAAACACATACTCCAGGATGATGTTTAGAGTTTCTACAGATTTCACAAATCCATGGTACTTGACAATGTTTGGATGCTGTTGTTTGGGTCAGTCCGCGTCGAGTTGATTGGGAGAGAGAACGACTGACATCCAAGTTTTTAAGAAGATCAATTTCAAGCTGTGAGGTCTCATATTAGAAGAGTGCTCGAGGTAACAAGACAGTCCAAATTTGCGGGGTCATACCATTATAACACGCAGTTCGCTCTTAGGGAGATCCACCAGTTTGATTTGCTTGACCGCAACAGTTTCGCCAGTGTTCCAATTCAGGGCGCGATAAACTGATCCAAAAGCGCCTCTTCCCAGGCAGTCACCCAATTGCTATACAGCCCCAAACGCCAGTGTTAGCATGCCTAGTGCCCCGTTGTGCGGCCATGCCAAAAGAAGAGGGGGAAGGGGGAATGCCATCGTACATAGTCCTTGAGCTCCGCAACATCCATGGCCGATGACTTCAATGGTTGATCCTCCTTTGGCTTTTGTTCTCGCTTTGTCGGACTCGTCTGGACTCGTGCCAATCGCGGTTTCATCGGCGTACCGGGGGTTCTAGATGGGGTGAGGGGGCGCTGCCCCTCACTCACCTCGGAGCGAGAAACCATCACAGACAAGGCCGAGGGGGGCCAGATGATGATCCGATAGGCGTTTGATCCGATCGTCAGGACGTGGTTTCAGGTTGACTGGGGGTGGTGGGGGGGTGGGAGGCCCTGAAGAGAGCTAAGGAAGAAGGCAGGAGCCGAGGGCAGCGAGCTCAGAGTTCATGTCCGCCTGTTCTATAGATTCGGTTGATTAGTTCGATTTGATTCCAATCGGATCGCAAACGATAGATGGAGGTATCATTCGATTGCAGGGTTGAGGAGGGGGGTTCACAGGGTCTCACCAAGCGATCATCACAGGACTTCAGCTCTCGCGCCCTGGTGTTCACGGGATTTACCGATACCCGGTGCGCATTCAACGGATATCGAGAGAATTCGAATGAATGGGAGGCCCTTCAAATTCGAGCGAGCACCGGGTTTCGTGGGGATGGGGGTTCAAGGGGGTAGTGTTGGGGTAGCGGTGGTTGTTTTGAACTTGAACTTTCCTTCTCCACAAGCCGCATGATGCAGCGGGCTGTGCTAGATGCCGATCAGCCCTACCAAGTTTAAGTTGGGTACCTACTAGGTATACACTGCCAGTTTCTCCCCCTTGCCCCGGTTTTAGGTACCAAATTGATTGTTTTAGAGTACTAGTATACTTCATCTTGAAGTTGGTAACATTATTTTCACATTTTGGTGAGGCATTTCCCCACATCACAGGGTGGAGTGCTATTTACATTGGCGGTCTAGTTCTATATATACATCAAGTTCAGGTTTCCTCCGATCAGAGGTCAAACACACTTCTGGAAATACATGGTATCATTTTTGCGCGTCACGAAGCAAGCGGTGCACATCGGAAACCAGATACAAGCTACCAGCAATGACAAGGGGCCGACCGTCAGCCACTTCGCCAGCCCACTGAATTGCAGGAAGAAGATCGCCTTCGAACTCTTGTACTCGACCGATCTCGGGTATAGATCGAATGGCTCCGGCAAGTTCAGACGCATTAGTCGGTGTCACCCATGGCATGCCTTCCACAGGTCCGAACTCGGCCGTAGCAACGTTATCCCCAGGCCGGATGATAGCCTGAAAGACACCGGCTAGGTCTTTTCCACTTGAGGCGGCAATAACCCAAGTCACGCTTCCAGAATCGGGTCGAAGTTTGCGATTCACGTATTTCCCGAGAACCTCTGCGGACTGTGGATTATGAGCACCATCCAGAAGGATGGGATCTGTGCGGGAAATCAATGATTGTAGGGAGATGGTCTCCAATCGCCCGGGCCACTTGACATCGGCCAGACGGGGAAGCAGAGAGAAAGCGTCCGTTTCAGGGCGAATCTTAGATAGAGCAAGGCGTAGTGCGGAAACTGCGCAGCACATGTTTTCTTGTTGATGAGGTTCGAGATCGAGTTTGCGGAACAATTGGGCCAATGGTGGCAGTTGTTCTTCCACTTTACTTGGAGAGACGAAGCTGGCATCGATCTTTAGATTTTGGGCTCGTTTGGTGATGGTGTCGATCACCGCGGCTTCATTGGTGGCGTCGACCACGCAGGGTACTCCTGATCTCAGGATCCCAGCTTTCTCGGCGGCAATTTCTTCAATGGTAGAGCCCAAAAAAGCCTGGTGGTCCATGCCAATTTTGGCGATTACTGAAACCAACACATTGTTCAAGATATTGGTGGCATCCAGGCGACCTCCCATGCCCACCTCAACCACACCGACCTCAACTTGTTCATGGTTGAAGATCTCAAAGGCCGTCGCAGTCAATAGCTCAAACTCGGATGCGCCGATACCCAAAGTCTGGTCTCGGCGTTTGACCTCGTCTTCGATCTGTCGAAAGAGCGATTCCTTGACTACCCGTTCGCCTATCGTAATGCAATCCCACCGATCAATCAAGTGCGGAGATGTGAAGCGGCCACACCTGATTCCCTCAGAGGATAGAATATGAGAGAGATATGCACTGATCGAGCCCTTTCCATTCGTCCCCGCAATATGAATTGCTTTCCATGTCAGCGGACTCTGCTGAACAAGCCGTGAGACACGGCTGAGACCAAGTTCAATCATCCCTCCTAGAAAAGTAGGGGATCAATTGGCATGATTTGGAGGCTGGAAAGAAGGTAATGGCGAGCTCAAGAACTCTTAAGAACGCATCACGGGAAACCCGAAAGTGACTCCGCTTGATTTCCGCTCCGCCGCGGGGATCGTCATGATCCACGTGACACGACACTAATTCTGCCGTCTGATCAGATGACTAATACAAAGCGGCCAACTCCAGGCCATCAGGCCACAATCTCCGCCCCAAAAGACCAACTGGTGAGGTTTTTCAGTCTTCCCGATCGGCTCCATCGCATCTCCAACCACCCCTCCCATCCCCACTACGTCTGGGGTCGCGTCAAATTCGTGTTTTATAAGCAAACCACTCCTCTTTAATCTTTGCTTTTCGTTCTCTTACTTCACTCTTTACATTTCATAATGGGCATTCCGTAAGTCTACTCCCTTCTGTCTCCGCATTGCCTTGTCGCATGCGCCACCTCATCGCCGTGACGACTAACTTGGGTATAGGATGTGGCGCGAGCCTTCCGAGGTCGGTAACAAAAGGTCCGCCCTTGAGAAAGATTCCTCTGCTGCTGCGCGTTCCTCAATCCGCCGCCAACCTACGATCAGGCGCGCATCACGCCATTCCTCCCGCGCGCGCGGCGGCGGCGTCTTAACCACCCTTCAATCACAACTTCTTGATGAAATCCATCGCGATTACGGCATCGGTCACCGACAATCGGCAGTGCGATCTCCCGTATTGAACCTCGGTGTCAGCGAAGATGGATTAGATCTAGATACGACCCGGCGCGAGGCCTTGAACCGGAGTTCGGCACGTCCGAATCCGCCACGTCGGGATCACTCTCACTCGAGTCGACGCTCTCGCATTACTCGCGATGAAGCCCTAGCCAATATTCTCGCAAGCCCGGATTCTCCTCCACATGGGCGAACTGGGAGCCCCTTCTTGACCCCGAATTTCCCACCCGCAATCTACCATTCATCCCACCCATCTATCGATGGCATCCGCCTGCCTCCTCTCATCCGCAGCGATGGCCGAAGCCGTGAACCCGCCGCCCACATTCCATCTGTTCTGCTGCGAGACTACCGGACCGGAAATGGACCTGCTCGACCCCGGGAATCAGCTATCGATGGTCTTGGCGATCGCCAACGTAGCCTGAGCCCCGATGGCGATCGCGACGCATGGGAGACCCTGCTTTCTACCATCACTCCTGATGCCAACTTACCTTCCACCGACACCTCCTTCTCCTCAAATTCCGCCTCTGCGACAGACGCGCCGCGCACTGGGACATCCCGAAACTCTGCGAATTCCTCCCAAACACAACCATCCTCCCGGAACTCCAGCCATCCTATGGCATCCCTTGACCCATACCCCGATCATCTCAACCCCTGTGACTTTTCTTCGGACGATGAGGATACTCCTGTAAATTACCATCGGGTCTTGACTCCCTCGGGCCTTCAAATGCCCCTTCGCCGTTCTGCTGGTCTCCACTCGACAATCAGCGGACACCCTCCAATTCCTACCATCTCCTTTTCCTTCTCCGACAATTCGAACGAGTCCGATATCCATCAGATGCAGGCTATCCTAGACCGACTCGCTCGCCGGGAGGACATCCCCGATGAATGGTGGGTAGGAGCTGGCCTTTCACGCAACATGGGCCGCGGCCTCAGTGCCAGTGCCGAACCTAATGAAAATGACCGTACCCATTGATCGACCTGTCCTCATTTCTCATTATTATTAGCCTGATCTATACCGGTCTTTTCTGGTCCTTTGTTTTCATGTTGGAACCACGACTTAGCCTGCAGCTTGTTTATCCCTTCTTCTTCTTCTCTACCTTGCCCATTTCTTGTTTTCAATTTGCATGGCGTTCGGATATCTTATGGGTGTTTCAAGGGGCTTCCTGGAGCTGGGTTGTCATTTTGAAGGTGTTATTTGTTATTTGTTATTGTTGTTTGTTTCTGGGTTCTCGTCTCGAACCAGCATTGATTCCTTCTTGCACAGGATGCGGGAGTGTTTCTTATTTTTACCAGTTGCACTGGACGGCTGATTTTGAATACCCAAAACTCTTCATTTTGTGTATTCATACTTCTGATGCGCTTGTGTTTATTTTCTGTCCAATAAAAGCGCCCAGCCTTAGACTGGATAATCGAATGATGTCATCATAGTGATCGGCCTTCGTGCAGAATCCTAAATCAAGTCTAGATGAGTGTATTCGGGGAGTATAAAATAAAGATCCTGCAGTATATCAGCAGCAGTAGTACGAGTACTAGTACTATTAGTACTTGTATACTCTACCCCAAGTGACGTAGCACTTGCACTTCCCTTCGGAGCACTGCAGTCCCCGTCCCCGCCGGAGTCAATCGCAGCTGCCCCGCCAATTCGTTATCGCATCGGTTTGGGTGAACTCCGAGTCTCCAATTCTTTTCTCTTCTCTCTCTTCTCTTCTCCCAACCTACTTACCCCTGCCATTCCCGCCAATTGCATTCGCCAGCTTTAGAGCCTTGCATTGCCAACCCAACATCACGCGACACCAGTCATTGGAATCCCGCCGAGTCTAAGTCTAACACTCGCAATTCTGCAAGCCCACCACCACCACCACCTCCTCCTTTTACTCCTCCTCGGCCACCGGCCTCACATACAAAATCACGTCTACAATCATGAACAGCCAGGTGGACCACCTGATCAAGAAGACATGGGGTATGTCCAGACAGAACACTCCACATGATCTACACCCAGCAGCCCGCGAAAAGACCTATCAAACAGGCACATCTCCCAATACCCTTCTTTCATATGACACACACGCATACACATACACATACACATACACATACACACACAATCACCTATCTTGAAAGCTCAAGCTAACCACCGGCAACCCCAGCGAAATTCACAACCCTCCCCCCCCAGACACCCGCCTAATGATAGCCGTAAGCGGAATCCCAGGCTCAGGCAAAACAGCCCTAGCAATAATGATGACGAACCGCATAAACGAAATCTACGCCTCCGAAAATCCCTCCTCCAACCACATGCAACCCATCGCAACATCCCTCCCAATGGACGGCTATCACCTCACGCGCGCACAGCTATCAGCCATGCCCGACCCAACACACGCCTTCGCTCGGCGCGGCGCAGCATTTACATTTGATGGCGAGAAATTCCTCACTCTGGTTCAAGACCTGCGGAAGCCACTTACGGCGGACTCGAAGAGTATCTACGCGCCTAGTTTCGACCACGCGGTTAAGGATCCCGTTGATGATGATATTGAGATTCCGGCTAGTTGCCGGGTGGTCTTTTTCGAGGGCAATTATTTGAGTCTTGATAAGGTGCCTTGGAGTACGGCTGCGGGGTTGATGGATGAGCTTTGGTTTGTTGATGTTGATTTTGAGATTGCGAGGGGGAGGTTGGTTAGGAGGCATGTTAAGGCGGGGATTGCGAAGGATAAGGCCGAGGCGGAGAAGAGGGTTGCGGAGAATGATTTGATTAATGGGGCAGAGATTTTGGAATATAGGTTACCTGTTCAGGAGATTGTTTCTAGCATTTATGATCCCAATTGGGAGAAGTCATAGTGACGGATTCTTGGAGATAAATGAATTTGGGTGGTGTTGCATTTTCTAGCGCTTTATTGTTTAGACTTATTTCAGGGGGTCTCGAATAAGATGATTAAAAATCAAGCTACGCTTGCTGAAATCTATATTAGTTCGAAGTTACATTACACGCAGGACCTCGGAATTCAAGGGTACTAGGTACTGGTACGAGTATGCATTCATTTGATGTCCGCGTTGCCACCTGCCACCAGAGTGAACTCTAGAGTTTGATGTAACTATTTCCAATGTTGGAATTTGAATCCTACCTCGAGAATGTAGATTTTTCTTGCCTCATCATGGATACGTCTTCAAGTTCCAAGGTTTTTTTCACCAAATAGCACTGACACGGTCTTTCAAAGCATTCTTCTCTTTGACATATCATAGACTTTTTAAACTGCCCCTGCATCACGCAAAATCTTCACAACGGTCTCGTGATTGGAAACTTTGCAAAGTCACTAATTGGCTACTGAATGGAGTTGTCTTGAGGGACTCCAGTCTCCAAGAGCTTTCACGATATCACTAAAAGCGATCGATCCCATCAGGGCCCTTATCTATTAATTGTTTTGGCTACCTAGTACCATGGTAACCTTGGTGTACGAGATATTTCAATCAAATTTTCCCTAGATATGGATATATTCTGACAGACCACTTTCATTATATTCAAGGTTAAAATCGACCAAAGAAATTATTTTCCCGACGCTAAACCGAGACATTGTTTACAACTCGGTTCCTTGGTTCTGCCCATGATAACCTTGGAATAGACCTCGGGAACAATTATTCCTATTCCAACATCAGTAAGTAGGTCTATTAGCAAGCTCAGGTTATTGTCGACCATTTCGCATGCTCTTGTATCATCTCAATGCAACCTACCAGTGGTAGTACTAAGTTCGTCTGGCTTAGGGGTCCCTGACGCTAAACCCTTTATAGGGGCAAGTGAGACCCAGCGTGGGGTTACAGAATACGTTGTATCTGTATTACAGAAGCTTACTATGTCCCGATGCGCCCTCAAGCAGAAGATGTCAATTACCATACAGCCCCATACCGGTGGCTCCCGCTGGGGCTGTCTTTGGTCCCTGGTTTGCTTTCCGACCCTGAGATCTGACTTCGACTTCGACTTCACTTGCTCCCCTTCGTCACTCTTTGTCCTCTTCGTTACGCGCGCACTCCTTTTCGCCGTACCTTGTCGCTCTTTTGCACCCCACGATCTTTACTCTAACCAATACTACTCTCAAGACTCCCCGATTCGCTGTGCGATCTCGTCTTAATCAATCCAACTCTCGTCAATTCGTTTGTTTCCATCAATTCCGTCAACATGTTCTTCAAGAAGTCTACTCTCGCCCTGGCCTTTGTTGCCCTCGCCAGCTTCGTCTCCGCCGATCAGACCCCCGCCTGCCTTCTGTCCGTCATTGGGTGAGTCGTTCTCTGATGTCCCTGAATTGGCCGACCGCGAAACTAACCACCCCCTTCCAGCGACACTGCCGACCCAGCCGACCTGTCCAGCATCTGCGGCGATGACTCCAAGAAGATCCAGTCCAGCATCTCCGATTCCTGCGGCGACAAGTCTGACAAGGCCCTGAAGTTCTACGCCAGCACCTGCAAGGCCAACGGCCACACAGTTGGTAAGGATCGACCCGAATCTTGGAATTCCTCACCCCACGAGGTCCTCTGATTGGCGCATTCTTTGGCTAATGTTATCCGTCTACTTTGTACAGAACTCTCTTCTTCCAAGTCTGACTCCACCACCACCGGCTCCAGCACCGCCACTGCTACCAGCTCTGGTTTCGTCACCGCTACCTCCTCCGGTTCTGAGGCCACCGGCACCGGCTCGTCCACCAGCGGATCCTCCCAGTCTACCACTGGTACGGGTACAGCTTCTGCTTCTGCTTCGACCTACACCGGTGCTGCTGCTCCCAGCGTCCAGCTCTCGATCACTGCGGTCGGTGCGGCCGTCTTTATGGGCGCTGCTGCATTGCTGTAAGGATCCGCGATGTAGTCCTCAGATGTATTGATTGATTAATCTGGCCTTGATATTCTTGCTTCTCGGTTGTTCTCTTTCACCACTTCCACTACGCTGCACTGCACTGCACTGCACCTTGGAGAGGTGATATAGAATAGTTCGGCTGCATTGTTTGCACATGATATACTCCACACCGCTTGTCATATTAGAAAGGCAAAGACCCAATTGCTTTGGTGTTGAAATGATATCCCTTGATACTCGTACTTCTTTTGAAGATCTCCAGTGACCAGCGTCGTGTAGGCAACATAGGTAACTGGGTCATATCTGCAGGCAGCAAGGAGGATGGTGAGTCAGTGATAGGGGGGGTAGCCTGGATTTCTATGACAACGGAAGATCAATTGGCCCCATAGATGTAGTCCGAGCCACTCGGCTTACCCGATCGTCTGAGCCCGGAATGTGTATCCCCGCCCGGTTCCAGCTCAGCCGAAGCATGGCCATAGTCATTGCTTAGTCTATCTTTTGTCTTTGTTGACCTCCGATGGACGGAGAGGCGCGTGTTCACGTGACTCGCGCGGAAAGTGGGTGATTAATTACTCAGCGCGGCAAGAGCGAACCAGCCAAACACGAAAAATCGCCAGCAGAAAACGCGTCGCTCCTTCCAAATAATTCTCCGCCCCTCCCATGTTCTTCTCTCTCATCTGCTTTACTCTTATCCCTTCTCTCCTTTCCTCATCTCACCTCCCCCTCTACTTCTCAATACTCTAATACACAAACTTCTCTCCTCTTCTCTGATACCCCCCCTCATTCTATCCTAGTCTTCTTTCCCCCTCATACCCCTTGCTCTTCTTTCAAGATGTTCGTTTACAAGCGAGGTAAGTGACCCCCTCCTCGAGCTGCAGTGCGAGGTAGTGAACGCGTTTCCCGCGTCTCTATCTGGCCCAGCTGCCTCGAGTGAGCAACAACTGGCATTGCCACCACCTTCCGAATCAGTACTGACGTGTGATGTCACAGACGGACGCAAAGAGCGGGTGCAGTTCGACAAGATCACTGCCCGTGTCTCCAGGCTGTGTTATGGCCTCGACCCAGAGCATGTTGATGCTGCTGCTATCACCCAGAAGGTTATCTCTGGTGTCTACCAGGGTGTTGGAACCATTGAGCTAGACAACCTGGTATGCGGAACCATCAACCCCATTTTGACCCGACTGAAATCTTCTCGAGACCAAGTGCTAACCTACCAACTGGTATAGGCCGCCGAGACTGCCGCCTACATGACCGTTACACACCCCGACTACGCCATCCTGGCCGCTCGTATTGCTGTATCCAACCTCCACAAGCAGACCAAGAAGCAATTCTCTATGGTCATTTCCGACCTCTTTCACTATGTCAACCCCAAGAACAAAAAGCCCGCTCCCATGATTTCCAAATATATCTATGAGATCGTTACAAAGCACGCTGATGAGCTGAACTCCGCCATTGTGTACGACCGTGACTTCAACTACAACTTCTTCGGCTTCAAGACCCTGGAGCGCTCATATCTGCTCCGCATTGACGGCAAGGTTGCCGAGCGTCCTCAGCACCTGCTGATGCGTGTTGCTGTTGGTATTCACGGCGAAGATATTGAGAAGGCTATTGAGACCTACCACCTCATGTCCCAAAAGTACTTCACTCACGCTTCCCCTACCCTGTTCAACGCTGGTACCCCCCAGCCCCAGCTGGCTTCTTGCTTCCTAGTTGATATGAAGGAGGACAGCATTGAGGGTATCTATGACACTCTCAAGACTTGTGCCATGATCTCCAAGACTGCTGGTGGTATTGGTCTGAACGTTCACCGCATTCGTGCCACCGGTTCATACATTGGCGGTACTAACGGTTCTTCCAACGGTATTGTCCCCATGCTCCGCGTGTACAACAACACTGCCCGCTACGTCGACCAGGGTGGTAACAAGCGCCCTGGTGCCTTTGCCATCTACCTTGAGCCGTGGCACGCCGATGTCTTCGAGTTCCTCGACCTCCGCAAGAACCACGGTAAGGAGGAAGTCCGTGCCCGTGATCTGTTCTATGCTCTGTGGACTCCCGATCTGTTTATGAAGCGTGTTGAGGCCAACGGTGACTGGACTCTGTTCTGCCCTAGCGAGGCCCCGGGCATGTCTGATGTCTACGGTGACGAGTTCGAGGCTCTCTATGAGCGGTACGAGAAGGAGGGCCGTGGCCGTGTCACCATCAAGGCTCAGAAGCTGTGGTATGCCATCCTTGAGGCTCAGACCGAGACTGGTAACCCCTTCATGCTGTACAAGGATGCTTGCAACAAGAAGAGCAACCAGAAGAATCTGGGAACCATCCGCAGCTCCAACCTGTGCACTGAGATCATCGAGTACAGTGCTCCCGACGAGGTCGCTGTCTGCAACTTGGCCTCTCTTGCTCTCCCCACCTTCGTTGATGCTGCTCGTGGCGAGTATGACTTCGGCAAGCTGCACGAGGTCGTCCAGGTCCTGGTTCGCAACCTGAACAAGATCATTGACATCAACTACTACCCCGTTCCCGAGGCCAAGAAGAGCAACTTCCGTCACCGTCCCATCGCTCTTGGTGTCAACGGTCTGGCCGATGCCTTCCTGGCTCTGCGTCTGCCCTTCGACTCCCCCGAGGCTAAGCAGCTGAACATTCAGATCTTTGAGACCATCTACCACGGTGCTCTGACTGCCTCCGCTGCCATTGCTAAGGAGCTCGGTACTTACGAGACCTACCCTGGCTCCCCCGTCTCGCAGGGTATCCTGCAGTACGACATGTGGGACCGTACCCCTACTGACCTTTGGGACTGGGCTTCCCTGAAGGCGACCATCGCCGAGCATGGTGTTCGCAACAGTCTGCTGGTCGCTCCCATGCCCACTGCCTCCACCAGTCAAATTCTGGGCTTCAACGAGTGCTTCGAGCCCTACACCTCCAACATCTACTCTCGCCGTGTCCTTGCTGGTGAATTCCAGATTGTCAACCCCTGGCTGCTGAAGGACCTGGTCGACCTTGGCCTTTGGTCCGACAACATGAAGAACCGCATCATTGCTGATGGCGGTTCGGTGCAGAACATCCCCAACATCCCCGCCGACATCAAGGCCCTGTACAAGACCGTCTGGGAGATTTCTCAGCGTAGCATCCTGCAGATGGCCGCCGACCGTGGTGCCTACATCGATCAGTCCCAGTCGTTGAACATTCACCTGAAGGAGCCCACCATGGGTAAGCTCACCTCCATGCACTTCGCTGGCTGGAAGATGGGCCTGAAGACCGGCATGTACTACCTCCGTACCATGGCCGCCTCCGCCCCCATCCAGTTCACCGTCGACCAGGAGCAGCTGAAGGTTGAGGATACCAACGTTGCCCGTGCCAACCCTACGTACAAGAAGCGTGGCGCCGCCTCCTCCGGCTACTCCGCTGTTCCCCGTGCTGAGCCCGCTGCCGCCGCCGCCGCCCCTCAAGAGAGCCCTCGCACTCTGGTTGCGGACCCTGTTGTCCCTGTCGTTACCCCCACTGCCACTGAGACTAGCGGCGAGGCCGCCGAGGAAACTGAGGAGACTGAGAAGACCGAGGGTGACATCTACTCCGATGCCGTTCTGCAGTGCAGCATCGAGAACAAGGATGCTTGCATCATGTGCCAGGGCTAAAGAGCTCTGGTCCCAAAAATTTATACGATTTCCCATGTACTTCCTCAATTCCCATTCCCCTTTTTCCCCCAACCCCTTTGGCACACCTCTACAATTTGCCCAATGTGTGATTGATGTACCTATATGATGAGCTTTATGGTTTTCTTGTCCTTTTTTTTCTGCTCTGGATCTGGCGCGGTTTCATTTGTTTTGCATTTCCTTTGTTAGTTTCTAGTCAATGATGTTCATGCTGAGAGTGTTCTGTGTAGAAGTGTAGTATAGTTCTTCGCGAAATAGATCTTCCAGATATCGAGGGATATAATGAGGAACTTAATGATTCGATCAATGTCCTACCTAATACAATATATAGTATCTGTAACCTCACAAGTCCCCTGCAGATTGTGCTGGGCATCGATTGCGAGGGTTTCCGCCCTTAGAAGATGAAATTCGACTCCGTTCCAAAGTTGATTCAAGCTACGACAATATTTCTATATTCCTATGATGACTGGAACTTTCTTGATTCCCACGGAAATTAAGATTGGATGAGGATTATCTCCTACTACTAGATGTCGAACTCGAATATCATATGAATAATGCCATCTGACCGGTAGCTATCGGCAGTCACTGGCCATCTCCTGCTGAGTTGTCGGATGGTAGATCTGTAGCCTTTGATCCACTATATCTGACTTTTGATCGTATGTTCCAGATCCTTGAACGTATATTCCAGACCATCGATCTTGTTTTCTAGATCCTCGAACTTTTCCATCTCGGCGATCACTTCCCCTTCGTCTTCTTCATCAGAAGCATCGAAGCTCTTCTTCTCGACAACTCGGCAAAGGAAATCTGCCGATAGCCTCCCAAGCCTCATCCTTTTATCGACGAAGGGTCGCCATTCCCTGTCAAGCATTTGAGCAATGGCATCCACTATCAGCGTCTCGATGGCAGGATAGAGGCCAGAATATCCATGTCCTTCCCAGATCTCATCCACGACGCGCGCCCAGGTTTTGTGCCCATCTCGGTGGCAGCCCAGGCTTTGAACTCATTTCTCGCGCTCACGGCGAGTGAGGGGATCAAGTATTTGTCGGCAACGGCATAGACTTCCAAACTCAATCGGGCACGACAATCGTCACAGTTATCTTTTATAGTCGTTTTGCAGGTTTTGAGGCGTTTTCCGTAAACATGCTGCACCATGATTTTGATTGCATCAGGGTCGTCGTCGGGTAGGTTGATCACTCCTGTTTCCCCTTCCTGACCTATGCATATCTTGTTAGCCATTTCTCACATAGTGACTTGGAGGATGTATGAGTAGATGTGGGATTTCTCTCAAAATGAAACTGATCTATTGGATTACTGTCCCGGCTTAGCGACAATCGTTCGCGCCACGGATAAAGAGTTACACCTTGCCCACTTTTCTGTCAAAGAGTACCTTCTCAGTGACAAAGATTTTAAAATCATGAATGCCAGCATTTCCATCACGAAGACGTGCTTGACTTATCTTACAGACATCAAAGGTAGCCATGAAGAGATTAAGAGGCATTTTCCGATGGCAAGATATGCGGCAGAACTCTGGGCAGGCTATGCTGTTTTGGCTCAAGACTCTGAAGATATCGTTCAAATGACTGTTAAGTTCCTTGAAGAGGAAGTAACCTTCCAACGATGGAGTCATTTGTATCAGCTTCTTGATCACGGGTTTAAAAGTATACTTGAGCTTCGGAGTAGGTCTCCCCGAAGTTGGTGGGATGAATTGTATCTGCTCCCTTGCCCAACTCACACTGTACCCCCGGAAGACTCACTGGTTGGACGCGGTTATTTGGAGATTCGAAATTGCGCTAAGACGAGCCTCCGATTGCTTCGGCTTTTCTGGCGTCAACGCTTGTTGCCACTTAGCCAGCAAAATGTAATGCAACGGGCGTAAGTACAGTATCTAGAAAAATGAACGACCTCTAGTATGAGGTCTCAAATCAATACTGCATGCTCTTTCCTGCAATAACTAAAATTCTGAGTTTGACTATCGTACATTGATCATGGTCACTAAGCTTCTTTGCCTGCCATCATCTTCCTCATCCGTATTCGTCGCCATCCTGGCTACCTCAACTTCTTCCTCAGTTGGCAGGTTAACAACCATGAGATAAAGAACATTCCTCAAGATTTTTCTAGGCATAATTTCCGTTGCTTTTATTTGAGCTTGTAGCTGGTCTCGTTGTAGCTGGAATTGCTGCTCATAAGCTGCAACATACTCGCAGAGCTGTTGTTCAGAGAGGCCCATGGCTTGGAACTGACTGCGGCACATCTCCAACAGACTGTTTTGTTGCTCATCAATAAGTTTTTCCTGCTGTTGATATAAACTTTTCGTGTCTTCCATTGCCTTTTTTGGGTCTATTGTAAGGTTCCCGCCTGATACCAAGCCAAGAAGACCCCCATTACTGGCCGGATGATTAGGGTCAAGGAATCGATTTTTGAATTTAGATTCGGGAGCTGAGGATAAAGCGTCATAATTGCTTTCACTGGCCTATTTATTTGTTACCAGGAGGCTCCCTGTTGGAAGTTTGGAGACTTACATATCTTGCCCGGGCGCGTTTATCAAAGTAATTATTCAGCTTGTCCCAAGGTTTCTCTTTCTTTCCAATTTTATCGCTCTCGGCCTCATCGTCAAAAAATGTCAGAGGCGCGATTTCTGATGGTAAATTTTGCTCTCCTTCTGTAGTAGCGGAGAAGGGATTGCGCAAGTTTTGTTTGACTTTATTTGGCCATTTGCTCTGAGATGGGCCGGGGTTCGCGCTAGCAGATGATTTGACCATCGAAGTATTGATATCTTCTTGCTGCTGCTGTGGGAGAGGGTTGTATGCAACAATCATACAGTGGAGTCCTCGAGGACCGAATAGTTCTCGATTCGCTTTATCTAAAAACGTGTTTACTCTCTAGACCAAGAGTGTCAGATTAAATTAATGTTCAAAGATTTTGAGTGCCAGACCTACTTCCATCTTATTTGTGCCTTTGCTGCGACTGCGGATACTATCTGCACCGCCGCTGTCACGCCCAGGGAGATTTGATTCGGCACGAACGAAGCCCCGAATGCTGCAACTTGCACGGCAGCAATCACTTTAGAGGCTTGGACTGCTTTATTCAGAGCGTTGATAAAATCATAGAAGTGTTCTTGGCTGATGTCATATTGGGATAACATTGGAGCATACGCCTTCATGAATCCTCGCTCTTTGTTTCCGGGCCGTCGTTGAGGGATCACAACAGGGCATGCAATTCGCTTATAAGAAGGAGATACAACAATTCTGGAATTGCTTTCAATGAAAGAGGCGATTGCTGTGTTGGCTTCCTCTTCTGTTGCAGTGTCAATCGGAGTGCCATCTTCCTCATCAAAGTCTGTAGACTTGTGAGATTCAAGGGAATCCTGGAGGTTGACGAAACTGATGGGGTCAGAAGCCATTTTCGATTCGTATATGTGTTATGCACCTGTAAACCATCAGCAAATCCTACGCTTTATACCTCAGGACATTTGCGTGAGCCGGGTGTACGAGAAGGCAGTCGCAACAATGCCTCAATCTGGAAGATAAAATGACTTTGGGGGCCAGGGATAAGACCTAGCCAATAAGAGCTGCAATCTGCTGCCTATTTTAAGACTAGTGCTGATGGTCTCGGACATGGCTGCGCCTCTGATGTAATAAACTATATTATCTTCAGGACGTGTCTACAATAAGCTTTTACTAAGATCTTGTGTAAGTTAATTACAGCCATGCCGGCTCTCACGGCACTGTTTTGTTGTGGGGTTAGCATTTGGCCTGCTAAGAGTAATTGGTAACTTACTGCTTGCAGGCTAGGAGGTGTTTCCCCTGGTTCTCGTAAGAATGGAACCCGGCGCCAGCGTGGACGAATATCGCACACATGTCTTCCATTCCCTGTGGCTCTGGTTTGGATCGGCCATGCTCAGCCCACTGCGGAGGGTCTTCTCCACTCAACCCTCTTCCTCTAAAGTGGGGGCCAAGCAAAAGCCAAGTATAACGCTAGAAAGCTTAGCCCCCGTATCCCCGAAACCCGCCGGTTTATCGATTTTTTTTTTTCTTAGAAAGGTGGGGGCAGGTTTTAATAGTCGGTGGTGGGAATAGGGCTGCACACGATATCGCAATTTTGCGATATCGCATCGCATTTATCGTTATCGCCGCAGCGCGCCAAACCATCGAAAAATGTAATAAAAAATAAAGTAGCATCTACTTCCTATCTAGAACTAGCTCTGGTATATTTTATACGCCTATAGCCATACTTGGTGGCCGTATTTTGGCCGGTCGCGTATCGACCACAATCGCGCATCGCAAGTTGACGACCATCGCAGGTTGACCACAACGATGGCCGTTCAGCATCGCCACGCCACGCCCGGGCGCCAACCCATCCAAAAAGACAATAAAAAAAATAAAGCTACATCTATTTCCTATCTGGAACTAGCTCCAATAGTCTCTATAATATCTACAGCAATGATCGGTGGCCGTATATTGGCCATGGTCGTATGTCGACCAGATCGCGCAAGTCAACCACCACGACGGTCTTTCAATATTGCCATGATACACCAGGACGTCCAAAAACATAATAATAAATGGAGTAGCATTGATTTCCTATCTTCTGGTCACAACTACGGCCATAAAGTACTTACAATATAAAGTTCAATAAAAAAGCAACAGTAATATATAAAGGTTAATAAAAAAAAGCAACAGCAGCAATAACAATAACGTCAACTATACAGTACTAGATATTATCTATTAACATCAACATACGTATCGTCTTACTGTTCATTCCTATCCGTTAGACCTTCAGGAGGTTATAACTGCCGCTGAATAGATATTCAACACTGACCTCAGACGTAGGAATTATAAGATATTCCTGTACGGCTGTAGCCATCTGAGGTATACTCTTACGATAAGTATACTACTATTTGGCTAGCTACCAAGGATCAGATATACCTACGTTAATTCAAGGTAAGGCAAAGTAGTTATCGATATCAGACCCCGCCGGCTTCCAGATAATTGGTGTTAAGCACTGCAGCATCTGAATCTCAGAAGTACTATCCTTATAATCCAATAGGACAGGATTAGCAGAAGAAGAGATTAGGGCAGCTACCTTCTTATAATAATACTAATGACGAATATATATAAATTATATTAATAATCAGCTGTCCAGTATGCTGATCAGATAGCTCGTTAAACAGAAGATCTCCCTTTACTCTTAGATCAAGGACCAACACAGTATATTAAGTATCAGTATTATCTATAAATGTATAATACTTCTGATATTTAGTCAGACCACGTTAAATAGCATCCACAATGTTATAGTTGATCTCAACGAACATTCCTTATCTCTAAACACCCTGATTAAGCTGATTATAAAGCTTAAAGTAAAGAGGGATTGTTATACTGATCTGAGGCTGCTTTCAAGACACGAAAAGGGTTAATTCATAAGACCGAGCAAGAACTTGGCGTAGTTGAGAGTAACAAAACCAATCCTGCTCAGTGAATTAAGGAAGGTCAGACTGTATACTGATATACTGATTAATCTGTGCCTTTACATTTAATACAGTGTCAAGCATCAAAAAAGTTGCATTCTAGCGTATATCAACGTCACTGGGGATGTATACGCTAGGAAGCTCTATAAAAGCATATACACTCTTCCATCTCTGCTGTCGTTGAGGGCTTTAATCAATCCACATCGTAAGAACTCAGATACGCAATAGAGCACTCTCAGCTGAGAGAACTTTATAGTTGAGGTTATCACAGAGAGTTATAGCTTCCTCGGCCGAGCTAGACTTCAAGACACAAAGAATTCTCTTCACGATTAGGTTAAGGATATAAGCAAGATAGTGAATAAAACTACCAATCCTATAGAACTGGGTATTTGTAGGTAGAAGACCGTAAAGGATTAAAACCATAGCTTTATTATTACTGGTATTATCACCAGTAATTATAAGAAGCCTTTGCTGAAGATCAAGCTCTGTCAGTAGCTCAAATACTGCATAAGCAATATTCTCACCACTGTAAACTCCCCTCACTTCGGCAGCTTCCTCTATTTGTAAGATGGTAAGTTCCCTTGCAAAACAATGGCGAATGACCCCGCAGATCGCTTTCATTCGTGCCAAAGGCATTTCGCGAACATCTAGAGCAAAACTTTACTTGATATTGAAATACAATTGTGACTTCTCAAAGATGCGAGTTCGCTCTTTGAGTCACAAAATCGAGCATCAGCCGCGCGAGATCCAAAGGTCAGTCAAAGAAGGCTGTCAATTCGCCAGGACATACACGGTATGCTCGAGACATATGAGATACCTTGAACAAGCATCCATGACTCGAGTGCAGCTTCGAAACAAACCATAAGGATGCATAGTGAAGCTTTGTTCCAACAATAGTGGGAACTAATCTTGGTGCTCTTGTTGTTTTGGTATCCCAAGTATTAGCTGTAATTGTAGCAAGAACTGCCCAAAAGATCCACCATATAGCGCCGCTCCGCTCCACTTTACGGGGAAATAAAGGTACAAGGGAATAGCCATAATGGTGGACAGTGTACCTCCGGCTGCTGAAACGAAGATAAACACCTTGGCCACGCGGCCCAGGTGAAGAGCTGTCATAGCTGGCCAGAGTGATGTTACTATCCCAAGTATTTGCATAATAGCCGAGGAGAGTGTTTGGAAGAAATTTGCGTCAGTCGATGTCCCTATTTCAGAGCCCGCATGGATCCAAGAAAGAGCGGTGGGTATCCAAGATAGAAGGCATACAGCAGGAATGAGGAAATTGAATATAGATATAGTGCGCCTTTGAGAATGTCCCTGTTTTTAATTGGCCTTGTGAGAGCTGGCGAGGGGACTTTTTGCTCGCTCCTTTATGCAATGTTAGCTCAAGAAGCGCATACCATATGAGCATACTCACGACACTGCATCAATCTGTGTATGCGTAAGAGGTGTAAATTCAATGCCCAGTAGGCCGCATGCATCATCAAAATTTTCATTTAATTTTTTCAATTTCGACTGGAAATTTAACAAAGTTGGCCCAGGAAGATGCTTCTTTCTGACTGCATCCCTGAAATATTCTCCAAGCCGCTGCGCATTCCTTGCTGCGAGTAGAAGATCGTCGTAGCCAATCTCAGTTTGATCCCTGTCTTGCTGATCGTAGAGGCCGCAACAAGCCCCTCCTCGAGCTGGGGCGAAGCCCACGACGCTTCAAATGGACTCCATACACTGCAAATTCACTTGAGCATGGCATCGATATCATTCAGTGGCAGCAATCATGCGCTCCAGGTTGGAGTTAGCCATGGCCCAATCAGCGCTGAATTCCATCTACCGCCGGGTAAGTCAGGAACCGAAGACGATCGAAAATGTCGACTTACTAATGATCGCTTTTCTCCAGAGCGACCGGAAACCCCGCCTAGTCCTCTATCAACTGTCCCATTTCCGCGCCATCCAGACTTTGTCTGCCGTAAAACGCTGCTCAACCAGATTCAGAAGAAATGCTCCGTGCCAGGGTCGCGGATAGCGTTGGTCGGCCTCGGCGGTTTCGGGTAAGCGTACCCCGACCGGTTCGTGGCTTATTACTTATATATCAAAGGAAATCGCAACTTGCCATCGAATACTCGTACCAGATTCGACCCGAATCTCGGACAACGTGGGTTTTCTGGATCCATGCGAGTAACGAAGCCCGATTCGAGCAAAGCTTTCGGGATATTGCAGACCAAGTTAAAATTCCAGGTCGTCAGGATCCAAAGGTCAACATATTCAAAGAGGTCGAAAACTGGCTGCGAAATGAGAAGAAAGGGAAATGGATTTGTATCCTTGATAATGCCGATGATGACGAGTTCCTTTGTTCGCTTCCGGTAGTAGAAAAAGGCACTCTAGGGAGAGACATAATGAACGTCATAACAAAGCCGCTAATAGAATACGTTCCTAGAAACCGGAATGGCTCTCTGATCATCACAAGTCGGAGCAGAGCGGTCGCCCTGAGAATGGTCCACTATCGAGATCTTCTTGAAGTTAAAGCGATGGAAAGGTCTGAGGCGATGGAGGTTCTTGAAAGACAGCTCGGCCAATCAAGAGAAAGTCAAGGTAGTCATCGTTTAGTCGAAGCTCTCGAGTTCATGCCGCTTGCCATCGTCCAGGCGGCTAGCTTTATTCGCGAACGGGGGCCTCGCTATTCAGTTTCAAAATACTTGAGAGACTTCCAGGAGAATAAGCGAAAAGCGACGAGGCTAATGGAAGCAGAGGTAGTTAATCTCTACCGCGACTCTGAGGCAAAGAACTCAATTCTGGTGACTTGGCAAATATCGTTCGACTATCTTCGACAAACCAAACAATCTGCTGCAGATTTGCTCTTAATGATGAGTTTTTTCGATCGGCAAGGGATACCAGAGAGCCTTATCCGGCCTCAACCTGAATTTAAATGCAAAACAACTCCAGAGCTCATTGACGATTTTACTGGCGGAGATACCTCTGAAACTGATATGAGCTCTGAATTTGAAGATGATATCATGGCATTAAGGAACTTATCATTTATATCTATCAGCGAGAACAGCTCTTTTTTCACTACGCATCAACTGGTGCAACTAGCAACACATATGTGGCTGAACAAACACGGTGAAATATACCAGTGGAGAGAGAAGTTCATTAACAATCTTTACTGGGAGTTCCCAACCGGTGAGTATAAAAACTGGGAGAAATGCCGACTGATCTATCCTCATGTTCGATCGGCCGTATCACAACCACCGCGTTCACAAACCTCTCTATTGAGATGGGCCACACTCCTTTATAGAGGTGCATGGTATGCGTCAGAAAGTGGCAATGTTGCAGATGTTAGGAAGATGGCATCGAGGTCAAGAAAGGAGAGAATGAAGGTACTGGGTTACGAGGATGAAGAAACACTTGCGAGTTCGGCAATGCTAGCAAAAGCATATTCACTTGAGGGTCAATGAGAAACAGCAGGGCAGCTCTATGCCCAATCCCTCCCTCAAAATGCCCCCAACAGATTCGTATCCAATTCCGGCGCTGACACATCAACAAAAGTCCGGATCAAAGGGAAAAACTCTTTTGAATGGAGGCAATACGTAGATGGCGCAACATCTTCGTCCTCATTGCCCGAGTCATTTTTGGCAACCCATGAAAATCATTTCTTCCTGTTCTTCCAGAGGAACATCAAGTTTGGTTCTTCGTGGGGAAGGTGTTCGTTTAGTAGGTAGGTTTGCCGGGATTGCAACGTGGTGGGGGGGGTTTTTCTTTTTGCGGTCGTCGACTTGCCACGCGGGGCTCTTTATTCCATTATGCTTCGAAATCAAGTTCTTTGGAGTTTCCTGTTGCGGCGGTCTTTGAGGGATTTTTCGGAGGCGTGGGTTGGGGTTGGAGGAGGTGGGTTTTCTTGGTAAATGCATCTTGTTGGATCTAGGCTTTGGATATGCATCAAGGGTGGTATTGTGGTTATTTCTATGTCTCTCTTTATGTGATAGGTTCAACTGGACTCATTCTTAGTGATCGCTTTTACCTTTGTTCAAAGTGTAGACTTGTCCATACAATCTAAACGCCAGCCCATTTAAAGGTTGGCATATCTTCGAACATGTTTGAGATCTGCGACAGTGACAGTTAACGCCTCGGAGATGATGATGCCCAGGTGGATTGTCGCATTCCGATAATCTCTCACCCGCATTCCACTTGTACTGTCAGACTCAGTCCTCGGCGTGATCTGACATTCCCAAATTCCTCCGATGGCGTTCCAGAACCCCACCCTGCCACACCTCACTGTTCTAGATTGACGGAGTACATACGGAGTACGGATACTGCGTACATATTTGCTCCTCTCTTCTTGTCCTCCCGCTCTACTCCATCCCATCTAATTCAGGGCGAGGAGAGCCATCTTTGTGCCGCTGTCAACCACGGTCGCACACTCTTATTCCGGGGTGATCGTCGGATGAGTGGAGTGAAATTAAGTGGCGGAGAAGTCTTCCCTTCTACGGAAAGGGACTCCACCGCACGAAAAAAAAAATGGGATGCCAACCAGCGCTCGCGACAGGGTTGCACCAAAAGCGAGCCAGGGCTGGGATTGGTTCGGGGAGGGGTCCTGGTGGCTTCTGTTCGGTCGGGTCTAGAATCGTGCTTTGGCGATCGGGCGCGTTTCATGTTGGGCCCCACGATCGAAAGCGAAAGCAACTGGGCCCTGTGAAAGGTGTGGTGGGAAATGGCTAGGACGACAGGTCGGAGATCACAGCAGATGCAATTTGGAAGAGGGGAGGAGGAGTAGGATCCGTTTTCTTCATCCCATCTTGTGCCCCCTTTCGGCTGTACCTGTTGGGCCCTGACCTGACTGCGTCAGTGTCTCTCTGTCAGGGCCAGAATCCGACCTGGGGTTTCATGTGGGCGATCGCCACTCTAAGCCACGGACCCACCGAACGAAAAATTCCTCGGCTCGGTGAAAGAGAAAAGAATGGGACGAGAGGGGAACAGGTCCAGAACGTTGAACTCCGCATCGTCATTCCATTCCATTCGGGGCCGGCCACTTTACGAGTAGACAGCCGGGATGAGCGTCGGCATTGCTCCGTTGCAGCTGCAGAAACGAACGAGTGGCATTCGCTGTTTACCTGTTCGATCAGGATGAGATCGTGTCTCATTCGATTAGGCCCGATTGGGCGCAGGGACCCGCTCAGGGCCTGCAGAAGACAGGTAAGGCGGTGCGCTGTTCGCAAGGTGGTCAGGGAAATTGGGCCGGTTGCAAAGATGTGCCTGAATAGAAATTGGTCGGACAATGGGTGACGAGAGTGATTTGTCTGGTCGTTCTTATGGGGGAGAAAGGGTGTATGTATTCCACATTGGTTGGCACATGGGTAAGAGCATGACTAGTACGGAGTATGGCCGTAACCGTTGGCTTCGGCTCCTTCAGCCGGTCCAGCTAGGCTCCACTGGGGTTAGGAGGGCCAGGAGGTGTCTGTGAATGGGCAACACTGGAAACGAAGGTCAATTGGCCTTTGCCCCTGCGCTACTCTCCGTTGGCGCAACTCTATTGTCCCAATCAGCAATGTTCCTGACCATCGTCCCGGGGCCTCCGGGTCAGGTACGCAGACTAGGATCGAGAATCAAAAAGAAGTACTTTACTCGTATCCTCTGAGGAAGAAATCTCGTAACCAAGTCGGAATGCTCGAGTGGAGTAAAGAGGGAAGTGGCTTGGGGGCAAACCGTGGGTAGTTGAGAGGTAGAAGTGGAGTGTAGTCGGTGGAGTACCGTGCCTGCTGGGTGTAGTGAATATTTAGTCCACCACCTCCCCCTTTCCCTTCTCCTCCTCCTCTCCTCCTCCCATCACCATCACCACTTTCCAAACGGTTCCTTCCTTCGCCGTTTTGTTCGATCTCACACTCCTTTGAGTCGTTCAATCCTTTACTGCTGTGCAGTGCCCTGTCATTAAGCAAATAACTCCCCACACAAAACACAAACACAACCCTCGACATTCTCTGAAAGAATCTGCCTTCTTTTACAATGGCTCCCATCACCAAGACCCTCGCCCTTGCTGGCGCTCTCTTTGCCCTCACCGGTATCGCTGCTCCCGTCGAGAAGCGCGCTGTTGTTTGGGAGACTGTCACCGACGTTGTCTGGACTACTGTCGATGTCACCACCACCATCTACCCGAACCAGGGTAAGCCTACCGCAACTGTCGTCGCTGTGACCACCCCGGCTGCTGCTGTTGAGACTACGTCCTCCGCCGCTCCTGTCAAGGAGGAGGCCAAGGCTGCCCCGACCACCTCCACCACCGAGGCCCCTGCCCCTGTCGCTCAGCCCACCGAGAAGGCCACCGTCCAGGCCCAGAACGCTGCTGCCGCTCCCTCTGTCGAGTCTTCTTCGGAGTCCTCCTCTTCTACCACCACCACTGCCGCCGCTGCCGTTCAAACCGCTCAGCGCTCCACCGACACCAGCTCCACCGATACCAGCTCCGGCTCCGGCGCCACGCACAAGGGCCAGGCGACCTATTACGACACCGCTACCCTGGCCACCAACCCCAGCTCTTGTGGTACTACCAACGATGGTGGCTCCGAGCCAGTCCTTGCCCTGCCAGTTGGTGTCATGACCGATGCAGACTGTGGCAAGACCGTCACCATCTCGTACGGCGGTGTCACGAAAACCGGCACGGTCGTTGATAAGTGCATGGGCTGCGACAACGATTCCATCGATCTGTCCCGCTATCTATTCAAGGAACTCGCCGATCTCTCCGCGGGCCGTATCGACGAGGTCACCTGGTCCATCAACAACTAAAGTGTCGCGTCGATCGCTTCACTCTGAACATGGGAAAGTCTCTGGTAGATTGTATCGCTGGCTCGATTTATGACATATTCTTATCTTCTCTTCGTTCCGTGAATCGCGCGTCGATTCTCGGCCCCCTCCAACTGTTTCATTTTTCATTTTATCTTTCTTCCATTCGTTTTTGGATAACCTCCATTTTTCTACACCATTTTGCGCCCCCAGTGGGCTGCATCATTTTTTCACCTTTGCCTGTTCATAGAATCTGTTTCTCTTCGGAGTCCTGTGACAATACTACCATGATGGCCCCATCAAAACCAAACCCCCAACCCCGTGCCTATTCAGAACTCGATGCGCATCTTGACAATCCAATCAGGACTAGGCTGATCTCTTGAGATGCCCTTTCTTGATATGTGCCGGCACTGATGATTTCTACGAGACTATGCCTTTGAACGAAAAAGTGAAGAGGACAATAAAATCCAAATACCTCCGGTATCTATCTTTAGCAAATTGGAAACGGATATTCTTTTTGAGGCTTGTGTCAAATGACAGCTTTAGCTTAGTCTGATCTGAATTTAAGTTTTCCTGGCTGAACTGTTGATTGACTTTGGTGCCTGAAACTTGGCTACTGAAATTCGTAAATCGTAACTCTACGGAGTATTACGGTACCCTGTACTCCGTACTAAAGGAATATAGATACTCCGTACCTCAATTCTGGCTCCGAATACCCCTGTTTCACAGCCACCTTCTCAGCCCGCCACTGACTTGCCATAGCTGCTAGCCCTGGAGGCCTTGAAAGGGTGACATCGCTCACCTCCAACTTCTCGTCTTGGACTCTGCGAGCTATATTTGAAACGCATTTGCGATGTCCAAAGTCACCGTACCACTTTCTAAACGCGCGTGGGAATTGAGGTTTAGTTTGATGCTCAGCCCCAGAAGGATCATCCGAGAAATCAATAGCTCCTAAAATATCACTGATCGGCGGGGCCCTAGCAAGCCCCAAAAACCAGGCGGGAGGGACCTAACTATCCTATGGGTAGTAGGAGTAGTTTCACCTTCTACTTTCCTATCGCGAGATACTCGTATTTACTCATCTGCCATTGCTACGGGATGCTCGACGAATCGAACGCTCGCAGGCTATCCGGCTGCAAAATGCTTCTCGAGTCGTTCTTCAAGCTATGAGAGTAGATTTATTAACAAAGTTCCATATGCTATCGTCTGCTGGACGAACCTATAGCGACTTCACGGTTCTCCGAGTGCGATCAGTCTCCAAGACTGACAACAATGGTGGAATCAGCGCTATAGCGGAACTGACTCCTGTGCGTGAGAACATTTAAGGTATTAGCTACGGAGTACAGAACGGGAAATTGGTCCGATGAAATTTCCATTTTCCGAGAGAAGTCCAGACGTGCTTCCGTCCATTCATCAGGAGTATCCGGCCAGTAAAGGATACATTCGGTAATTCAGTTTCCACGACTGACTCGCGTGGGTTTTACCGTCCTTGCGGGCCTTGGATGTTCGTTATTACTGTCATGGCCAAAGCCAGTCTGCTTTCAGTATTTGTCATTATTCATCACAACAGCCAGCCCTGCAGCCCAACAAGATCTTCAACCTTACAAAACACTGGCATATTCAAGGTAAGATCGCCGTTCCTCGCGTTGAACTGCGACCAGGCCCGCACCAATGAGACTCTTTCGGTGTGGAGGCAGTCTAATGGTGGTCAATCAACCACAGACATCTCAACTCAGATTGTATCACTGTGGAACTATCCTTCTTCTTCAACTTCTGAGTAGCTATATTCGGTGTTGACCTGAGCCAAGTACGGACCCACGAGTTGGTTGCATGCTTCCCAAATTCGTCGACGATTGGCAATTCCCATGAAAGGGCCTTGTAATCCCAATCGGGGGGTGGTAGTATGGTACGCCCATGCAAAGAAATGCGAGAGCGACTTGCCAGGAAGCTCTCTAGAATCACAGCTGGCTGGGCTGGGAAAGTCCTCTAGAAAAGAGTGAACTTCGTAGAACCATGGTAAATCTGTTTCAAATCGTTGTCGCCAATATGAAAAACTCCGGCCTAATCCACGTCGTATGTGAGGCGAAGCTTGCATGAGGCTTAAAAGCGAGCGAGGCTGGAGTGATGAAGTGATGATCAGGAGTAATTCGAGCGGAAATTGTGCAAACGGATCATCCATACTACTAAGTTTACTAGTAATATCGGATTCTAATCCGGGAGAGTGTATTTCGCGCCACATATCATGAATCGCATTCATGGCGTGGGGGTTTCGCTTTCCAGGGTCTGCAATGAAGAGCTCATCGCCCGGGTTTACACACCAGTATTGATCTTGAGGTGGCGCTGGCTCTCCATATGAGATATCCAGCTGTGCATCACTCTGCAAATTGCGGAAGACCCTCCACAGCACATCCTTGTCAAGATCACCACCGGGTACGTTCAACTCCCAGTCACGTTCGAGTAGCGGTCTGGCCTTTATTTGGAAACCTCGCCAGAATGCGACGGTCTGTTGGAGCAGCTCAAAGCACTTGGGGTGAAACGGGAAGAGTGGGTAATCTTCGTTCTGATCGTAAGCCGAATAATCGCCCAAATCGTCGGGCGCGCTAGAATCGCTGCCTGGCTCGGCAGAGACAGCGCCGAATTCGTCATCATAGCCAATGTCAGAAAGAAATGCATTGCTCGGAAAAGGATAATCAATATTCACGCCAAGACATTGGAGATTATTGGACCATGTGGCATCCTCTTTGGAGATGATCGAGCAATCATAGGTGCCATTCTCATCTTGGCTAGACAATGATTCATTATCGAGATTGTCTTCACCAGCAGCTGTTTCTTCGTTGAACCTCCGGAAATCGATTCGGCCATTCAAGGGATCCGCAGCCACCAATGTATCAAAGTCAGCGTCGCGTTTTTCTCGCCATAAGTACCGGGCTGTGCGTGGTTTTCTAGAAACAAAGCTCTCTCCGTGGAAGGTGGACCCGCACAAAGCGCAGTAATAATCCCATGAGCCCATGTTGACCTTGATGGATTTTCGATGTGTTGTAAGAACGAAAAAAAATTGGGGGGCCGCGGGGAGGCTCAAGGAAGCGAAAATGGGGCCAAGAAACGGCACCACCGCGGACCCTCAAATCCAGATTGGTCGATGCTAGCGAGTACATAGAATATCTTGGCATTGGGGTCTGAAAAAGAATTAAAGAGTATTGGTAGGCACACCAGCCTTGGGACGTATTATACCTGAATGCAAAGCAGACACACGGCAAGATTAGTTTACATGAATGCATACCTGGCGTTGAACATAGCTGTTTTCGGCGCGCAATTCACCATCACTCAGCGTTGTGGTGGAGTAGATACTACTAACTACTCCAAGATTGTTAGCTACTAGTACCCCGGTCTTCTGGTGAGACGAGATCAACCTAGTACAAATGAAATAGCATCAGGCGCAGGGTTTTGATTTTGAGAGCATATGCCTAAGTAATCCCTTCGTTATTAGTTAGTTAGTGAATACTAGTACCTGGTAGGTAGAGAATAGGCATGGAAGGGGCATGAGAATAAGTATACGGAGTAGTTTTTTCCACTTGCATCCACCGAATTAACCTGTATCTCCTCTTATTTCCCTTCAACGATAATCAAGCCCCAACAATCTAGTCTGATGCTGTCGGTTACCACATTTCCAATCCGAATCTCTTTTTGACGCCCGTCTTGTGGGTCTAGTTGGGGGCCAAGAGGCTCACCCAACCCGCCTCCCTTTTCCCTCTTCTTCAATTGGCCGAAATGGATGTGAAAAGACTACTAGGCGCCAGGGTCCTGTTGACGAGCGTCATGCTGCGTTAGGCTGTTTTACTATCGTACAAGCGCTTGATGGCTCACCTTATTTGGTTGTATCCAACGTGAGGCTGGAAAGTGAAGACCCCTCGCAGCCACTAGCGCTCCCAACCTGGGGGTTATAATAAGAGTGACCCCCGAACGGAAGAACGATGACCTGCTTCCATTCACAACTGAAAACATGGAGTGTCGGAAGGATTATACCACGACTTCCGCCTACTACCAGAAACCTCGAGCTGCCTCTACCGAAAGCCGAGCATCCTCCCCAGTGGGTTCCCAGGACACAATAACTGTTTCCGGCGACGATGATCCTCGATCGCGACCCCTCGTTGCGAGGGCTGATCATGATAAATTCAATACCAAGACGCCATCTCCCTCCAAATATGGAGGCTGGGCTTCACTTGATGATACATGGCTTCTCGAATGTGTCGCCATGGCGTTCAGCTTCGCGTCCTTCATTGCAGTCATCGTTATTCTGAGAGCCTACGACCACAAGCCGTCCCCTAATCTATCTTACGGGCTGACACTCAACTCAATCATCTCTTTGCTAGCCACAGCATCCCGATCGTCATTACTTTTCGTGGTAGCTGGGGCGGTAGGTCAATTGAAATGGATCTGGTTTCAGCATCGAGAACAATCCGTCTTAGATATGCAGTCCTTCGACGACGCAAGCCGAGGGCCGCTCGGCGCTTTGTATCTTCTCTTCCAGCATCGCGGGCTCTCGGTTGCCTCCCTGGGGGCGATTGTTACCGTACTTTCGATGGCTTTAGATCCATTTGTACAGCAGATTTTGAGCTACCCTGTTCAACAAACTCCAGGTAGCACGACACAAGCGACGATGCCCCAGGCGCTAACTTTTGCGTCAAATGCGAACTACACTTTCTTGGAACAAAGCTACAACGCTGCTCTTTGGAACACGGATTTTGCAGTGAATCCTACTTGCCCGTCTGGAAACTGTACTTGGCCCGAATTCCAATCCCTGGGCTTTTGCAGTAAATGCCAGGATGTGACCGATTTAGCCACTATCTATAAATGTGATCAATGGACAGAGCCTGATGTTGACGATCAGCAAAAACTCACCGACGAACAAAAATTCTATGGTTGCTCTGTAAATTCCGGTAACGGAGAAAATGGCACCGCTGTGGTTCAATATAATACTAAAACGAACGGCATAGGCATACCCGCAGAACTCATATGGATGGTTGGTCTCACCAAACGAGTAGATTCTTCCTTGGGTGTTCCCTACCCGGTTTTTGTCTTCGCGCATGCCCAATTTGAAGCGGAATCTGCCAATGCAAGCTTCACAAACATCACGGAGTTTGTCCGCGGGATTCGCCTTAAAAGCGTGCAAGAATGCGTTCTTTCCTTGTGCCTGAAGACATATAATGTTTCTGTCTCTTCTGGCACGCCACAAGTTAATGTCACATCGATTGACTATGGGGAGCGGTTCACCAATAACCTTCCCGTCGACAACCTTGAAATCGAATACGGTTTTCAGGATATCGATTGCTGGAGGCCGACCGATCGGCCCGGCCCGTTCAACTTTGTCAAGCTTCCCACGGGGAACTGGGCCGATACTGAGCAATTTGTGTTTTGTCTCCGGAGGATCAGTCCAAATGTTACTGAAACCGGATATATTGCTCTCGATAATCTATACGCGAATAGTCCATTTTTGGGATACAAGACTGAACAATACATGTTCAATTTTAGTACCGCGTTGTGGGCCATGTCAGCTGATAAAAGCTGGTCCACCAGCGCTAAATTCGCGGCTGCGTTCACCAGAGTCATCGACTACGGCCTTGGTTCGTTGCTGTCGGACATGGCTGCCGCTCTCACCAAGTACACTCTGCAAACCAGCAACGCCAGCGCTAGCGGCACAGCTATGACCTCCCAGGCCTTCGTCAAGGTATCTTGGCAGTGGCTGACTTTCCCGTCTGTGCTTCTTGTCGCTGGCTTTGCCTTCTGGATCACGACGGTGATGAAGAACCGACAACACCGACTCGGCTTGTGGAAGTCATCTATTTTACCCATGCTCTATTGTGGTGCTGAGAAAATTGACCCAAGGCTGGAGCGTTTTGGGTCTACAGCTGACTACACCAAAATCAGCCAGATGAGCCAGTCTGCACAAATTACTCGGGTGAAAATGGAAGATATTGTGGACGGTCGACTGCGGCTCGGAAGGAACAAGTGGAGTGGCCCATCTGTAATCTAGCAGTACTCACGAGCGTCACACAGATATTGCAACCAGCACAAGGCACCGGAAGTGAATAGCAAATTGCTGAATGCACTTCAACCAGGCGGCGGAGGCGGATGATAACAGCACTGGCTCCAGGCCTAGGCCTGGGCATTTTCAAAAAAGGAGTTGGAATTCTCAGTAGATTATAAGTACTAGTATTAGGAAAGGAAGTAGAAAAATTCAATACTAGATAGTAGATAATATATAAGTTAGGTCATTTCTTTGAGGTGGACTTGTCGCTTCTCGAATTTTTCAAGTTGCCTACCCTAGCCAGATCACGGTGTCCACTAGACAGATTAGAAACTTCAAGAATGTTATATCGTGGTTTCACAAATATCTTTTATTCTATTTCTTCAAGTTCCCAACACTCCATCCGTACCTACTAGTATTTGCGATCAATGAACTTGAAGTCTCACGCAAAGACGACATTATTTCTCAACGTTCCAATTCCCGAAATCGACACATCCATCTGCGTCCCAGGAACAAGATATCGCGGCGGGCTCAACCCAGCCCCAACACCTAAACATAACCCATTCAGTAAAGCCAATAAAAACCACCCATAGGTAGTGTCGATAAACAAATATCGGGAAAACAGGTATGTACTCACCACCAGGCGTTCCCGTCATAATAACACTCCCCTTCTGCAATGTCGTCCCAGACGACAAATAACTAACCAAGTACGTACAATCAAACAATAAATCAGAAACGCTCTCGTCCTGCCTGATTTCCCCATCCACGACAGTCTTCAGTAGCAATTGACTAGGATCCGCAATCTGGCTCCCAGCAACAAGACACGGACCCAGAGGCGCATATGTATCAAAGCCCTTCGAGAACCCCCATTGCGGTACCCGTCCCGCGAGAGCGGCATCGCGCTGCAGTTTGCGCGAGGAGATGTCGTTTCCGACCGTGTAGGCGCCAATATATGAGAGTGCCTCGTCTGGAGAAACATTTTTGGCGTCGCGACCTATTACGAGACACTGCTTTTTGTTAGCGTTGAGTGCGTGCGAGGCATGCGGGCTTGGTTGGACGGGGGAGGTGTACAAGTTCGCCCTCGTAATCTGCTTGCTCATCTTGAGCGATTTGCGGGATTTCGACGGGCTTGCCGTGGTCATGAATTGTTGTGTTTGGTTTGAAGAATATGAATGGGAATGGTGGTGGAGTACGGCCTGCTTCTTTAACTATTGCATTGCAGAGCATTAGCGATTAGATTTTCGCATATGCATTCAAGTTCAAAATATCACCAGATGGAGATAAACGCTGTAGTATAGAATATGACGAAGAGCGAAAAACCTACTATGCTTCGCATAATTCAACCCCACGCAACGCAAAATGGGAACATCTTCCTGTGCCAGCGGTCCTAGGATAGTCTTCACGGTAACGATTTCATCCGTGACGCGCGTATTTCCCGTCGTGTCGTAGATATCATCTCCCTCAATGATGCGTGCCTGAAGCCTATCGGCTTCGGTAATGAATCCTAGGTCTTTTTTGGGGGTTTCGAGAATTGGTTCCCCGCGGAGGGTGCGGCCGTCTGTCGCGATGAACCGGATGAGTCTTGTCCAGGGGAGGGGCATGATAATTTCGCCGTAGAAGTTAATGGGAATAACGGAGGAATACCAGCTATCTGATTCGGATGTGTACTAATTTCTTTTTATATTCGCGCGACTCTGCGGGGCTCGAATATACCAGTGGGGGATGGTTGGCGTCTTCGGGGGTAGACCGGGTAGATCGGATTGGTTCCGATGAGATGGCTCTGGGTCTGGATTTGCAATTTCAAGCCGTGGGGACCAACTCAATGGCTTTATTATATATTGGGATGGTTTCATGAGCAAGAGGGCGTGAAGGGTGAGCTACTTTTCACTTTGCGCACTCCAAGTTGCCTTTTATTTGATGAAATTCTACGAACACGGTTGGTCAAGAGGCTCTTTTGGGCAAATTATTTAGGTAGAGGCAGAGTCCACCCACCAGATAGCAAAATCATATAGCCGAAATAATGTATCCGAATTTGAAATTTAACTTCATACAAAGATGTGAGTATTCCCGCTAGATCTTGGTCAAAGTTGCCCGCAAATTCTAAAAAGCGTGGCGTCTCTGTTGGAGAAGGAGGTTTCCAATGTGCTGCAACGTCCACGTTCGCACGGTATCCTCATTCCCGACCCTGCTATATACTCGATTGAATATCCCGGGAATCAATCAGGTGGTTTATCGACATGAACATCATGATACGAAAATCCCCTATGTCTTTAAGACACATGAGCTGCGACAACTGGCCTTCATTGCGACTTCTTTGTCTTTCCAGCTCCAGCGCTGTACACCAAGCTGCGACCGAGGCCAGCAGCAAACAACTGGATGCTACCGAGGGCAACGCCGACTGCCAACATCGTCGCATCAGGCACAGACGCCGCACCTCCTGCCTCCCGACGTGTTCGCCAGTATGCGGCACTGGACAGGAGAACAATGTCGTTCAGAGCGGCGTGGGCAACCAGTGTCTTGACCTTGGGCTTGATGGCTTTCTTTTCCGCATCATAAACACCGCCTAGTCTGGCCACAAGGCGGCTGGCCTGGTAGATACCAGTAACAACAGCCGCGAGGCCAGTCAAGAGACCGAAAGAGAGGATGTAGTATGAAATGATGGAGAGCTCGGTGGTTGTAGGAAGGTAGTTGACAATATCTTTGGGGATGAATGGCAAGCCTAGTTGCAATGCGTCGAATCCATGGGCGGAGATGATCAAGGCAAGCGGCCAATGAACGATAGCGGAATGTAACGGTTGGCTAGGAAAGAAGTGTTAGTACATAATTACGGTATAAACAATATTCTCATCCATGGGTATGCCTACTTAGCCATGGCAGCTTTTTTTCGTTTCGAAACGTTAAAATATACTTGGTAGTGGTACCCGGGGCGGTTATAGCTGGCTAGTATGTACTTCCGAACGGGATGGAATGTGCGTAGTCGCAAAGTGAGACTGTTGAGTTGGAATTTGCAATAGAGAAGCTCTGAGTGGAGGAGATTGGCGTGGTGTGGAGGGGCCAAACTATTTATTTCCCCTTTTACGGTCGACTGGAGATACCATTGGCGCATGTTTTCAACATGATTCCAACAGATCTGTCATATGCAGTGATGCCTCGGCTGATGGGATATGAACCAAATATTCTGTAATTTCTGTTATTGAAAGCAGTATGCTTTGCGCCCCGACCATCATAACTCGGGGGTATGATTAATAATCTAGATTGAACTAATTGATGCGCGAAAGATCAGTCGCGATAGGGAATTGTTTAGAGTATGGAATTCCGTAAGTTAGGTTGCATTGTGTTGATGAAGCGTTGAATTGAAGTAAACTCCACGGTTGGACATGGTATTCGGGGCTGCTATAGAATATCAAGACGCTAATGAAATTGAAAAAAGATCTGCTCAATAATGTAGCATAAATAATCCCATCCATTCACTAGCACACATAGATAAAATGAACTTGGCCAAACATACAGGACTGTTCATCGAATACTGCCCAGGTGAACACTTGTCATTCATCGCGCTCATGATTTGTGGGCAGTGACAATTACTCCCCTAATAACTCCAGTATTTGCCCACCAGCCAAACAGCAATTCAGCTGCACGAAATTTGCTCACATTCAGACCCAAAGGTGTTCCTTCTCTGACTCTCTGATGAAGAAATTTCACGAGTCCGGGGAACACATGGCCCGATATATCCCTTATTTCGATTTGGGAAGGCTCATACCCTCCTTGAACCAAAAGATTTTTATATTCCTCTTGAGAAACAAAGTTCCCATATGGTGACCTAGTGAGCCAGCACGTCAATCGAAGAAAGAGACGCTGTTTCCAGGACGTTTCAGGCCCCAGAATCAGATCGAACGCCATAAACGAGGCGTTAAGAGTGGAATTGGCATATTGAAAGAGCGGGAGGCGCGAAGGGCGATAGTGATACATCGTATCCACAGCAAGAACCCATGTACCTACTTTGGGATCACTTGACGTGTCGGCCATGTCGGACATAGAGTCCTTCAATTCTCCAGACCAGCTGGATGGATCGGCCGCATCAGCGCAGAAAACTTCGGCAACCCCAGCCCCAGCGACTTGATCCAATTTGCGGCTTTCAACAATCCGCTGCTGTGCGAATGCTGCCTGTTCAGGCACCAGGGTGACCCCTATGTAAGTGTCGATCGACCTTTGACTTGTGATTTCCCGGGCTTGAACTTGCGAATCGCTCTCATTGCTGGGAGTGCATTCAATACCTATGTGGATTTTCCGAGTAAGATAGAGTGATGAATCACCACATCCACATCCGACATCTAGTATTCTCAGGATTTGGCTTTTGTCTTTCAGAACACCTGCACGTAGTACTTCAACCAGCAAAGACTCGCAGGCCTCTGGGAACTTTGTTGTATGCTGATTTGGCTTAGTAGAGTATGCGAAATATTTCAATGGCTACACTCACTTCCCAATATCCCATATTCATCCACATACTTTGAAGTGGTAGGACCACATTGAGGACCGCATGGTCTAGCCCGTAGAGGCTTTTTTGGCGTCGGAAAAGTCGCCTGACGAGTTCCAACATCTTGAATATTCTTTTTTCCTGCGCAACAACTGTATGCTCGGAACTTGTTGAGTTGTACTTGACACGCGACGCGTTAATGTTTTTGACAAGCTAGGCATCTGACGTGAAGCATCTCCTGACTGACAAAGCAAACACGTGATATTGTCACAAGCATTTGGATGTATACTAATTCAAAAGCAAAGTACATTGCTACAATTTGGAAATTATACAAATATATTATGCCTTTGTATGATAATTACTAAGAAGTCATTGTGAAGATTTCGGCCTTTGTCGATACTCGGCATTCGGCTTGCCCCGAAGACTTGAAGTTGAGCACCCTGTCCGTCAAGCAAAAAACCCTTCAAAAAGTTGATTTTCTTATTATTTTTATTCTAGAAAGTTTGTCCGTATGGTCTCTGATAAAGGTACTTTCTGCAATATTTTCTTCTTACATCTGGGAAACGCTTCTCTCCTGGAGAGCATTTCGGTCTACCTTGCCGCCCTGTTGATATACTGTTAGTCTTGATTAGTAGATCAGAGCATAGATCAAGAATAGCATACCGCGGAGACGGGTAAAGCATCCAGAAATTCAATACCGCCCTCGAGCTGAAATCTCTCAGACAGGTTCGTGGAGGCCCAGCTTTGGAATTCCCCAAGTTCCAGGGTAGATCTCGGACGCCGAACAAGATATCCACGAGGAACAGGCTCATCATCCGCTGCTCCCGGACTGTGACAAGTTAGAAGCAAGATTTCGCTAAGGTTCCAATTGGAAAATAGCCGCACGTACACTTTCACGGCAATAACTGCCGCTGCGAGAACTTCGGGATGTGATAATACTGCTGCTTCGATCTCGGATCCCATAACATGAGATCCGTTTCGTTTGTATAGATCCTAGACTCTCATGTCAATATGCTATACTGCTTTATGGTGAAAGAATGGGAGGGGTTTGTGTGCACCAACCTTGAGGCGACCAATAATGTACCAATGGCCAGACTCATCCACCATACCAATGTCACCAGTTTTGATGTATCCATCCTCGTTGAAAACTTCCTTTGAGGCGATAGATCCATTCAAGTATCCTTTCATCATGAATGGATTTTGAATGAGAATCTCACCAGCCTCGCCTCTCGGGAGCACTTGGCCATCATAATTTACCACTCGTGCTTGAAGATTAGGCAAAAGCTCTCCAACGGTCTCATCTACCTCCGGCTCTCTTGGGTCTGAAGCAAAATGGATTCCTCCCCTATATGATTCAGTATTCTTGACATAAAGGATTGCTGTTCATGAGGTGAACATACTCAGTCATTCCACACACGACTTCACATGGCGACTTATGACGTTGCACCCACTCTTCACGCATTCGGCTTGGTATCATAGCCCCTCCAGTTCGTAAACTAGAGACACAGGAAAAATTGGCCTCCTTGGCATTTGTCAAAAGATCCTGGAAGACGTGCTTGGGTGTGTGTAAAGAGGTGGGCTGGAAAGTCTCCATTACGGACAGAAATCCGTCTAGTTTATACTGCGGCATAAAGATTGTTTTATACCGAGCTTTCAACGGTATCAACAGACCATACAAGATAAACCCAATACCCGCATACATGAAGGTGCAGAACCACGTCTCAGGTCTTGGCCTTGGCTTGAGGTGATAGCGATAGAGCAGCTGCTCAGTGTTCCCAATTAAGCCATAATGAGTCCGCTCAGCCATTTTAGGAAGGCCAGTTGTTCTTTCGATAGTTAGATAAGGATCGCTCGCTTTTAACGGAAGAATTTGTGAGCATACCCAGACGTATGACAGAACATGGCTGTTGTTGTCTTTGCTTCTTCTTCAGATAACTTTCTCCACTCAAAGGTTGGTCCATCCATGAGGTCAAGAAGTAGACTCCAATGAGAGACAGGGTATCTCGATTCTTCGCATTTTTCAAAGTCATCCAGAACAAATAGATTCTCAGCGGGAATACCAGCAGCCTTGGCTGCCGCTGTCACTGTTTCCAGATGACGCGGTTCAAAAAAGACAAAATCGGCAGTTAATGTCTGAAATCTGGCAGTCGTTTCCGCGAGTGGGTATGCTGGACAAATGTTACAGCTTGCTCCTGCACCTATTGAGCCCAAAAGAACTGCTGGGAGATTGACGTTCAACGTCCCGTAAATGACAACTCTTGGGCTTGGCTGGGCTCGCTTGCCGAAGCCGGAAGCAAAGCACTTCACAAGATGTTTGAGATGATTAAACGTGCAAGAAGGCTCCTCAATCCCCTGAGCAGATAAAATTAGCGGTTCGTTATCTGTGTGACCTTGGTTCGGACTCCGCGGCGAATCGAAAATGTAGGTGAGAATGTCCGTCGAAGGAACAGGAACTTGGAACCTCGATGAGACTGCAGACATAATTGAAAGTAACCTAAGTTCCTTTCAGAAGAGTTTTGCAAAATGCAGTGTAGCCAATTGACAGCTAGATGACGAAGTTGGCTTTGTGGCAAAGCTACAGCAAGATGCCCGGATCGTAAAAGGAAAGTCAAATACGCGAGTGAAGCAAAGGACAGAAACAAAACACTCAAAGTGGAGCTGATCCACTCGAGAGCCAAAGAAATCGACGATCGTGAACTCGCTTCCCACTACGGAGTATATCCTGTGATCGTGCTAAATTAGTACTAGATAAAGTTCCTCAGCTGAGCCCATTCTTGATTTGAATCTAGTAGTATCCACACCTACGCGCCACAACTACTCCATCGGCCCCATTCGCGTTTACGCTTGGAACAATAAATACACACCGACTGGTTTCAACTTTCGAAAAAAAAGATTCGGCGAGTAAATTTACTGAACACCTCCTGTATCCCACATCCGGCGCGATCGCAACTGTGCTTTCGGATCAAAATTATCGAGCTGGACTTCCTGTGGCAAGTTCTCCAAGCTGGGATCTACTGCATTTTGGGGAAAGTACAGAGTATTTGCTTCTTGTCGAGCCACCTTCCCTGAGATAGTTCGGGGGATGTGTTCCTGGTCACCAAGCACACGCAGAACAGTCGGAAGCTGAAAAGCTGGCAAGTGGGAAGCAAGATCTTTCCGAAGCACTTGTAGCGTAAGCTGCGATCTATCCAATCGAGTGCGTACGAGAGCGGCGACTCGGTTTCCTGTTTTGGGATCTTTGACAGGAAGCACACAAGCCTCTGAGATATACTCGAGCTTGGAAAGGCCCGTCTCGACGTCCAGGATTGGTGTTTTGACCCCGGCACAGTTTATAACTGCCGATGAGTTAGCATGGCGAAAATCCACCAATTAATGGTAGATGACATACTGTCCGTAGCTGCACGGCCTTGGATAATATAGTCCCCATCGACGCGATGAACCAAATCACCAGTTCGATAGAATCCTTCTTCGTCAAATGCCTCTCGAGTAGCCCTTTCGTTATTCCAATACCTGCAAGCTCTTGATTAGATCCGTAAACAACCGACCAAAGGAATTCTTGCTGTACCGTAGAAACATGGTTGGAGTCTTCACTTTCATTTCTCCGTGGTCTCCTTCTGAGAGCTTGACCTCCACATTTGAAATAGGCTTTCCAATAGCATTCTGTCGAAGTTAGCAAATAAAGAACCGGCAATGAATGTACTTGATTTGAGTTTACCGAGTCAATAAAATCAAGATCAGATCCAGTCTTTAATCCGATGGAAGATTCAGTACTACCCCAGACCATCTGCAAGGGTTGCCCTCTCATCGATTTCCAAAATCTTTTGGTAGTTGGCATTGCCATAGCGCCACTGCAATTTGCAACGCGGAGAGATCTCACACCATCGGTATAAGGCATTTTTGCTTCTTCAGGGAGACCATCTAAGTTTTGCTCAAAGTATTCCATTAAGCCTACCCAGAAGCCAACTGAGCCAGCTAGATTAGTCACACCACCCTGCCGTAAACGCTCCCAGATTTGGTATGGTCCAGCATCTGGGGTTAGTATTTCAAGCTGCATTCCTCTGAGAATAGCGTTGACGGCAGCGGTTAGGGATGCTCCATATTGCATTGGACGGTGTGATAGTGCCATGCCTGGCTCTTGGGGAAGAGGTCCCATGTGTGCAGTGAAGTATCTCAAAGCATGAACAATACCCTTGGGCGGGCCAGTAGTACCGGATGAGAAGAGCGCGATCACCGGTCGGTTCGGTTCGATATTAATTTTTGGGTCAATGTAAGGCTTTTCCATCGTTTGGACAGTTTCGATTCCTACTTTCACCGTGGGAAGCAAGGTAGGGGTAAAGCCAATCTTTTGACCATGCACTCTGATTGAATTCCCCAAGTTAGGTGCACTTGAATGTGTGATGATGCCCTCGGCATTGAAGCGCGTATAAAAATCCATCACTTCAGCGGGCATTAGACCCGGGGCTGCCTCGCTGTTAGCTCCCTCGCACAAAGAGCAGAATTTGCAAGAAAAAAAAAACATCACTCACATAAAGGGATTATAGCTGCCCCGATAGAAAGAATGGAAAAGAATGCCACGATCATTTCGTAACTAGACCCAATGGCTGTACAGATAAACACGTCATTTTCTCTCATCACCCCCATGTCAGTGAAGAGAGAAGGCGAGAGAGCCTGTCGTAGCTCATTTCGATAATGTCTTACATCGTGCAGCAGTTGGGTGTAGGTGATGCTCCCGTTATAAGAATCAACGATCAATCCATTTGGGCGAGACTCCGAAACCAGGAAAACTCGACGAAATAAGCTATTGTCGGGAAATGCGCTCAAGGTAGAAGCCATATTTTTGCTTGCGCTCTGAGATGAGGAAGCCAAAGCTTGGAGAACATGCTCTGCAATCTCTTCAAGTCTTTACAGGAACTGTATTTGTCATAACGGCAACACGTATGGACGTGTATTGATCAGGATGTAATTTAGTCGCGGCTGACATGTACGCCGATCAGGTTCTACTTGGCTGCGAATTATCTGTCGGCAATTTAGACAATATGAAGCGAACTATGGGTCCTTTGTTCCCTATTTGGATAGCTGCAGGCTCCACACAGAGCTCCTATATCCACTCTAGAAACCACTGAGCTATCCACTCCTTTCAGCTCTTGCGAATTATGGTCGTTTGGTGTAGATCTTCTACTTTATTGCGTAAACTCAGACCCGTCAAGATTCGATCAGGCAGTCGTACATAGCAGTACGAGGATAAACTACTCATATGTGTGGACTAAAATCCCGCAAATCAGATCGTGACAGCCAAGCCGTGGGCCACTTTCTAGAGTTACTCCACACTGAATATGGTTGGCCACTATCGGACAGAGGAATTCTGAAATCAATAATGTCGGCGCGGGCGCTCCCATCCAGACATTTACTTGCCCATTTTCAGCTCACACCCCAATCTCAAATATACGTACAATGTCGCCATATTATCCGCAAAATTATCCTCAAACATGGCCTTTGGGGCAGTTATTGCCGCCTTTAAACCGACACGTTGAGTTTATGACTCGAAGCTGATGGAAACATAATCTGACATGGCATGATAGGCTGTGAGCGCTTCTATGCCCGCATGGGATGATGTCGTTCAATGGGCTAGTCGAACGCCGGCGCTTGTGAACAAGATGAAAGGAGGCTATCCACGGTATGAACTGCTCATCAAATACGCAAAGACAATTTCTCTAATGCCTGATCAGATTCTTTATTCATCATGTCATTCAAAACTTGAACTCGGAAGTACTCTCACGGCTTGAACTTGCCGGACCGGGCTGCATGGTTTTTCCATCGAGCGCAATTGTATCGCGGTGCCTTGAGACATTAACGACGGACGCATCGTCCCGAGAAATAAGAGTGATATCATTTAGCTTGCCGCGGTGCTTCAGTAATGAGTTTACGCCAGAGGAAATCAAATGGGCGTCGTTCGAGGCCGTCATCTACCCTTCTGACATTCACTCTGAATTCCTGGCATTCTGGCGTGAAAGTGGCGAAGGGATTTCGAGTCGCCACGCCGAGTACGTTCTCTCACTATTGGAACAAATGACCTACATGGAAAATGGCAAAGATTCCCCTTCGCCTGCATCGGTGTCATTTTTACCGGAAGCAGTTAAGCTTAAGTGTGATAAAAAGGCAAAGCGACATATTCGGTCACTCATTGCAGAGCTCATGACAACCGAAAAGGACACATTTGTGATGTCGCATGATGTGTTCCTTTTTCCTTCTGGGATGAGCGCAATCTATGCAGTTTCCCGAGCTTTGAAAGCGACGAATTTGAACAGATCGCAATCTGTTGTTGTTTATGGGTGGGTCCTTTATACAAATAATTCTTTTTTTTCTTAATCCCCTCGAGAGCTAGCTGACAGATTTGTAGATTTCCATACGCAGAAACAGTGAAAGGCATTGAAATGACCGGATGGTCGCATTTCAGAATGCATGGACATGGAAGCAAGACAGAACTAGATCAGCTCGAGGCTGATCTGGTCAAAGGACACCGAATTAGTGCCCTATTTTGTGAATTTCCTAGCAACCCCCAACTACGATCTCCCGATCTGCGACGCCTCAGGATGTTAGCTGATAGATACAACTTTGCAATTGCATGTGACGATACCATCGGTTCATGCATCAATGTCAATGTTCTACCATTTGCTGACATCGTCATGACGAGTTTGACCAAATCTTTTAGTGGTGGCTCAGATGTGATGGGAGGATGGTAAGTCGAAAGCACGAAATAAACCGATGAGAGCTAGTCTAACGAGATTTAGTGTCGTTGTGAACCCACAATCACCTCATTTCGATACAATCTACGACGCCCTCTTGTCGGATTGGGAAGACAATTATTTTCCAGCTGATGCCATCACTCTCTCCAAGAACTGCACCGACGTCGTTTCTCGTGTCCAAAAGTCAAGTTTTAGCGCCGAATCAATCGCTAATCTTCTCAACGAACATCCTGCAGTTGAGCGGGTCAACTACCCTTCTTTGGTTGGGACCCGGGATTTCTATGAACAGGCGAAAAGGGAGGATGGAGGCTATGGCTTCCTTCTTAGCGTTATTTTCCATGAGCCCGCTGCTGCCATTGGATTTTACGATAATTTTCGTGTGGCCAAGGGGCCCAGTCTTGGGACTAATTTTACCTTGGCTATCCCCTATGCCTTTTTGGCACATTTCAGAGAGCTGGAATGGGCAGCTAGCTATGACGTTCCGAGCCATATTGTCAGGATCAGCGTGGGGTTAGAAGATACAGATGAATTGTTGAAGGTTGTCGGGCAAGCGTTGGGTTGCATCCCCGCAGAATTCACCTTGTCTCAGAGCAAGGTTTGATAGAGACATAATGCGGGCGTTTTAGATTACTAGCGGTTGGCCCAGCAATTTCACTTTTCAATGCCTGGATCGATACCAGAAGGCTAAGGCACTAAATATCTGATTCCCTACTCAATCAGCGTACTAGTACGTGCGAACAGAACATGCTCGCTTTAAAATCCGACCGTGCAAGACGATCGATTTCTACAGTCCCAATCCTGGTTAAGAGGAAAAAGATTTGTTGCCCAGATAGCACTTACCATAATGTCTCATAATCGGCTGCGCTCTATGTTCTATTACTTTCTATCTGGCCGTTATATCTAATCACTGCTGCTGTCATCCGTGGGGCGCCAGCCTCCGGCGATGTAGCCATCGTGAAAGAGCGCTGCTCGTCCAAGATCCCCACGGAAGAGCTTTTTCGCATTATGAGCCACATCTTTGACAACAACAAGCCGCAGCTGGCTCTTTCCATCCACCACATCGCTCCAGTCGGGGAGATTCTCGAAAGAATTAGGGAAATCCTCCAGGTCTTCGTCCGTGCGAGCGAGCTCATTGATGTATCGGAACCAAGTCAAGTTTCGAGCACGCCGATTGATGCCTCCTTGCACTCTCCCCATGCAACTCGTATCCCCAGAGTGGCCTGTATCTTGGAGTCCCACTATCGAAACAACGTCTCGAGTGAGGTATTGCTTGAAGTATTCCTTTGGCGTCAATTGCTTGCCTCCTGTGCCGGGGAACTTGTCGAAGCCATATCTCCAGATATCGTAGGAATCACAGGAGTCTTTTGAAGTGTCGTTGTCTGCTACAATTGGACGGTCTTCAGTGAAGTACATACACGACGATGGATCGCCGTGAATGTACCGAATGTGGACATTGTCAGGGGCATCGTTACCCAGAGCGGAGTACCGTTGAGCAAGCTGACCACCGCCACCATGGCCAACAACGGTGACATTCTTGAGGCTCGGATACTTATGCTTGTCCGAGTGAATCTTGACGAGGCCGTCTATGACGTCGAAGGAGGTAATGTTCGTACCTGAGGGATGATTAGCCTGACCACCTGGTTGCCAAGCGTTCAAGTCGTCCCAGGCCAGTTGATTGTCCTTGTACTGGCCAGAGTTGTATTCCGTAGAGAAAAATTGCGGTGCAAGCACTCCCATTTTGCGGTCCGTTCCGGAAAAGTTGTCTTCTCTGGCATCTTCGATGGACTCGTTCAGCAGCTTCCAATAGCTATTTCCATTTCTTAACCTCCCATGGAGAACAATAAAGAGATGCTCGATTGTCGTATTGTCCAGATCCTTCGTGATAAAACCGGGAATCTCCTCGTCACCGTTCTCGTTAACGTTAAATGAGGTGAACTCAGAACCATCTGGTACTTCTATGTCACCATGGTCCTGGAGCCAACCAATTAGCTAATATTCTGAGGTAGCGACCGATTGGACTGGGCCTACCGCATTCTGTCCGCTGTCATCTTCGTCGACCATAGCAGCGGCTTCCGCGGAATAAATATCCTGTTCGTCCGACACATGGACAGTTCCATCATCAGACTTGCTGTATTGGAATGCAAAGCAGGAGGGCACCAGGGCTGACAAAAGGGCTGCCCATATCAACGCCCGAAATTTCAGGGTAGTAGCCATAGTTCAATTCAGCAAAATATTTGGATCACTTCAATACATTAGCTCTTGTCAATTGTAGGTGGAAATCATTCGGAGGTTGCTAGTAATCCTTGATGCTTACCTTTTCTTGATTTGCTGAATGTGGTCGGTAACGATCAATCTCAATTCCAGGTGGATAAGAAGGGCGATTGATTAGATATTTAAGATATTAGGTTTGATAACGGGGATGGAGATTCAAGGTTGGTCCATGACGCTCGCCGAGTTCGGCCTTCGACTTTGGTCGTGTGGGTTCGAGCATAAGGGGGAAGCAAGTGGAGCATGATCTTCAACGATCCTGTCGATCTCGTCGCATAATTGCGCTTCCTATACCCGCTGTGGCGACTTGGCAGAAGCTCCCAAGGCTGTGGGCTCGATCAATGAAACTTTCGATACTCCGTACTTAACGTCATTATGCACGAATCCCTGTCAGAAAATCCCCTGGTTCAACTTAATGAAGCTCATCACGGAATGCCACATGCTGGATACATAGTCCGAGGAGGACTCGATGAAGTCAAGTTGGGCTAAATGCTTAACAAGGCCCCATTTCTGGCCCGCTTAACCAGGGGGGCCTCCTGTTCCAAGCCGATTCTAGGCATGAAGATCCTAAACAAGTTGATCATGCTCGGTCTTTCATGTCGGTCGGAGAAAAGTACTATCCTCTTGTGCTCGGGATGCAGATCTATGCATCCAGAATTACATGTGCATTGTCCATCAGGTTCATAGTATGCTGCATTGGCACTGATACGTCATTCTAGCGGGTACCTTCCGAGCCATTGAATGTCATCCTGGTTCTCGCATTAGGAGACGGCTCAAGAAATGGTCTCTGCATGTACTACTCCGTGTACGGAGTAGATTCAATTCGACTGTTCTCGGCTATCTTCTTAGCCTGCCTGGCCAACACCTGGACAGACACTATCGTCATTTCATTGCAAATGTGCTTTGATAGAGGCATATTCCATCGCAACTCGGAGGGAGGATATATCTATGTCGTATAAAGAATTAATTGCTGCCTATATCGGTGGTTCGGAGGACTGTGGTGCTGGAATCATGGGGTACGCGATCAGGGGTCGGGATTGCACAGGGAACCGGCGGAACGACCGGCGGAGGTGCAGGTCGGATGGGCGGGAAGCCGTGCATTCGGCACGGAGTACGAAGTACGATTACGGCATGGCTTTTGGAGTCTTTGGGGTCTTTGGGGTACTCCGCTCTCCTGTTTTCCCACTGCTTCACTGCCTCACTGCACGCCAGCATGTCAGTACGAAGTGCGTAGTATGGTCGGTGATTACGTTTGTCCTTTCTAAGGTTCTCCTTTGCTGTGTTTCCGCCTTTTTTTCCGATTCTTGATCGTTGGGGAAATGTTCAGCCTTGAGTTGCTAAATTTCCACTCCCCACGCTGGCGGAGAAAATGTCCTTGTTCTTTTAGCTTGTCATCTACATGCTAGTTCTTTTGCGTACATAGTTTGAACTACAGTAATAACTAGACTAAAAGATAACATGTTGTAAAGTATAAACTAACGGCCGTGGAAGATCATCATATGACAACCCGACTGACAGTCTTCTTCAACGTGACATTCAAACTTGTGGGTCTTTTTTTCAGAATTTCAATCATCCCATCTCCCTATATGATCATAATTTTTGAAGTTCTGCACTTTCAGATAATGAGAGTATGAGTAAAAAACAAACAAAACCAGAGAAATAAAGGCGATCACGAATACAAACCTCAATATTAACTTGAAGATGACCATGGGCTATTGCTGCTGCGTCCCAAACTTCACGCATTCTTTTGGTAACATGAAATTCCGATGAGCTGATCCATGTGGCCGTCCCACTCGGTCGATCCTATTTGATTTCATGCGAGGGGCAACATCCCAGTACATGTTCTAGCCCGTTGATTCCGGGAATAGAAGCTTCGAGCTCCATTGTCTTTAGCTGAGGCATTTGACAAGGTGCATCGCCGGCTGCTATATAAATATCGCTGAAAGTATCAAGAGGCATGCTGCGAAGTAATTCTGGTTTATAATCTTGTGGTGCAGTGTCGTAATCGTCCGAAGAACCATCATCAGCTTCATTGGGTGACGGTTCCCTCCATCTCGGGTCATTATCGAACAGCCGTTGCCCAGAAGGAGTAGCGGCTATATAGACCAATTTAAAATAGTATAATCTGGGCCATAAGGCTGAGTTGTCTGGGCTGGTGGTCAGAAGATCTCGGGCCCAATGCTGATCGAGAACAGCCAGATAGTCTCCAGTTGCTGGCTCAATGCGTTTAAGGCCAGGCTCAAAGAGTCTTTCCGGCGACCGAGCGGATAGAGGGGGAGATATTATGGTTTTCTGGTGAATTTCCAGTGTATTGTAAAAATAGGGATCTCAACGATCAAGGCCACTCGGCAAGGCTGAGCGAAAATTCTATGCATATGTTAACGTATGCTGAATGTATAGCATGATTTTGGGGGTGAGGGCAGCAACAGGAAGAACTGTGTATACCTTCGCGGAGACTGTTTCTTAGCATCTCATCTTTTCTTTCATTGTCATTAGGGTCTAATTGTATGGATCGGAATCGCGGTAGTCGAGATATGACCTTTGACTGAACGGACGGGGTAACTTTTCGATGACGCCCAGCGCTCCAGATATCAAGGCCCGTGACTACTGTAACGAGACAAAGATTCTTTTTTTCTTCCTCGATGTTTAAAGGAGAATGCGCGAATCTCCAATTCAAAAGATCGTTTTTGCTGCCATAAATATGAGACATAAAGAAACATTTCATCTTTTTCACTGTCTGGTTCCGCTTACAAGTCACTGGGAGATTGAGCTGCAATTTCAAGCGATATCTTGCAGCCTTCGCTCTCCGGCCATAGGGCTAGTGTTTCAAAGAGAGACTTGATTGCCTGATAATAGGATTTGTTATTTCGAGTTTGATCGTCTTGAGTTTAATACTTTGAGCGAGCCATCACATAATATTCCGGGAGAACAGCTTTGAATAAAATGGATTTCACTTGAGCACGCCTTGTTTGGAGATGAGGGAATATCACAGAGAAGCCGAAGATTTGGCGAAATTCAACTAGACGAGAAGGAGTTAATCGTAGCGAAGCAAAGGTCTGTCTCTCGATTATTGCGTTCCAGTCTTTGCAGACGCTGGCGTATCCAGCCAGATTATCCCGTGGAAGGTAAGAGATAACCCGATGGAAGATTTCTAGAGCTAGAGATTCCATTCTTGTTATTCGATCAATGAATTCAACAGGATATCTAAAAGGTTACGAAGGATGAAGTGTGAGAAAGGGAAATACTCGGGTCATTTGCGAAGTGGCTGTCTCACCTCCGCGTCATGTCCCCGATTTATGAGATTGTGGACGCTGGGGAACATTATATTCAAGTTACTATACTCGTTCTACGGCTGTTGTGGTTTGGCTCTCTTTCTATATTTCTTCTTCTATCATGGTAGATGTTCTCCTAACTTAACCCCGCCCGGTCTCTCAGAATCCCAAGGACATGAATTGGCTGGCCTCGCTTCCAAATGTGAGCTCTAGGTCACCCCATTCTACCTAACCTTATCAAGTCGAGAAATACCGATAAAAATCACATTCCACTCCTTCCCCAGGCTCTTTCAATCTCTGCCTCCGCATCATATTGATACGTCCACATCTTTGTCGCGGGATCACTCCACTGATTCGGACTATGGCTAAAAGGTTCACCCCGTATCTCGGGTTGCATAGCCGCATCTCTAGCACGCTGAAGCGGCCCATCTGGAAAATGCCATAACTTTCCGTTCAACAGACTTGCTTCTTGCATTTTGCTTGTTCGATCAATCCGAACTTGTTCAAAGATATTCAGCGCCTGAGGTATATCTGCCTTCGAGTCTATCTTGGTTAGGGAACATGCCAATGCCACGCCATCTTCGACAGCCATCGCGGCACCTGAGAATCTTAGAATCCTGGTCAGAGAATTATGGAGAGAAAGGCTTGCCTTGGGACATATATGGCAGCATTGCGTGCGCTGCATCGCCTAAAATTATGATGCGACCGCTTGCCCAACGGGTGAGCGGGATTCCGCTTACAAGGGGCCATTTTATGGTGCCTTCGATCATTCCAATGATTTTCTCAAGCCTTATGGATTAGCATTATATCTCCAGATATTCCAAGCTCATTGATCATACCTTTTGTCCCACCCTTGGAATTCTCGTTTCATGTCACTCAGTGCGTCGGACCGATCCCAGGTCGCGGGATCAGTGGTATCTGGATGAGAAAGTACCATGTTGAACGATTTGCCTGCTCCAATTGTATATGTCATAACATGCCTTTGATCACCGATCCTATCCATGAGTTAGTATAAATTCTTGACATCTATTCAGGGTATTCCATACCAGATGTTGAGTGAGGGACGTTCCAACAGCCAGGATATTTCAGGATCCGCCTTCATCTTTGCAACATCCACGGTAGCTCGATAAGCTGCAAACCCAGTTTGTTCGAAGGGATTTTGGCCTGGTTTATCTACTAGTTTCCGTGCGACGGACTTGACTCCTGTCCAAAGATTAGGCTAATTTAAAAATCGTCACAAAGGAGAACGAACCATCAGCAGCCACGATCAAATCGGCCGAAACAGTGGTGCCATCCTCGAGAAATATACTCGGGCCCTGAGTATTGTACTCGGTCACTCGAGAAGCAAGTTTGATTCTCACGCCCAGGTCCAATGCGCGTCGGTGTAAAGCTGTGTGGAAGTCGGCTCGATGAATCACATAGTACGGGGCATGGAAGACATTTCGAAAATCAGGCATGAGGCGAGTGAGACCAATAACACCCCCAGATTCCCAGCGGCGAAATGAAATAATCTCGGGCTCTGTTACGTATTTTTCGAGGTATGGATCGAGTCCGAGTCTGCTTAGGAGTCGGGTGGAGTTGGAGGGAATTTGGATTCCCGCACCGACCTAATTTGTCAGTAAAGAGACTTCAAAAGTGTTCGATGTAGGATAATGTTAGGAAATATGACAGTACCTCTCCGAGGGCAGGTGCTTGTTCATAAACAGTGACGCTATGTCCTGAGCTTGCTAGCGCAATGGCTGTTGCGAGTCCGCCGAGCCCGGCGCCAACAACGACGATATTTAGTGGTACCCGACACGTAGTATTCGAATATTCGATTGGCATTTCATTCAAAAATGCGAGACAATTGCTAGGGTAAGTTGGGTTCTATTATTCCGTCAACACTTGTTCCTATCTCAACGGTTATACGTACTTTGAGAGAGGTACCCATTAGGGACTCTTTAGCATGCTCTCTGGTCATTCCGACGGCTCTAATTTATCCGCAAATGACAGAAATGAGCAATTCAAACTTTTGTTAATCGATATATTGAACGAGACAGTTTCCGAAGTTATAAGCGTGCTTCCCAACACTTCCGAAAGGTGTCCGGGGAGGCGTTCCCGATGTATCCCCGGCTTCTATTTGCCGGGACAGGACAGAAAACGCTCGCACTCTAGTATATATCTTAGTGATAGTTACTAGTACCAGCAATTCATACCATGAATCGGGACTTAAAAGACTCGGACCCGGACTCAAGAATATCAAAGGAAATTTCAAGTTGAACCTTGGAAGTTGAAGCAGAGCTGGTGTTATTTTTTGCGAAACACAAGAATACCAGGAGTGACCATGTCGACAATAAAAGTCACCACCGTTGATTCAGAGGAGAAGCTCCTCGCAGATCTAGAAGCGAGCAAGACCCTCCCCCTGTGGAAGCAGATGGCACGACTGAACCCTCCCGCTCCCAACCCAACCACCATCCCCAATGTGTGGAAATACAAATTGATCCGACCGAATCTCGAGCGAGCAGGAAATCTGGTTCCCGAGTCCCAAGCCGAGCGCCGGGTCTTGATGCTCATCAATCCCGCCCGTGGTGAGTTGATGCTCTGACAGGGTGTATATGAGTTCTCCTACTGACTACGAAAATAACAAGATGCACCATATACAACCGACACCCTCTACGCCGGCTTACAATTAGTCATGCCAAACGAGACAGCCCGTGCACACCGACACACGGCGTTTGCGATGCGCTTCATCATCGAAGGCCAGGGCGGCTTCACGGCCGTGCACGGTCGGCGCATTAAAATGCAACGAGGCGACGTGATCCTCACACCGACCTGGAATTACCACGACCACGGTAAGGACGGGTCAGGGCCGATGGTATGGCTGGATGGGCTGGATTTGCCAAATTTCCGCCACTTCCCCGTGCATTTTGTGCAGCATTTCGACCAGCCGCGGTACCCAGCCGCGGATGTGGAGAGTGAGACTTCCCCGCTGGTGTTTCCGTGGTCGGAGATGCGGGCGAGGCTGGATGCTGAACCGGGGGACTGGGCATATTGTCGGTATCTGAAAGATGATGGGCGTGAAGGTAAGGAATTGCAATTCAACCCAGCCTTTCCTCCCCCTGCACTCCTCCGTACACTATCCCCTTCAACACCAAGCTCCCCCCCCTGTTTGTGATAGTCGTTTGATATCCAGGGGAATTTGGGAGATCCCTCATTTTGATATTCTTTGATATTCTGTTTGACCCACTGCTAATCTGCTCTCTCCCCAGTGAGCCGTGTGCTCGGAGGATGCGCAGAGCGGCTCTCAGCTGGAGCATCTGCGCCGTCCCGTCGCGAGACCACCTCGGCCGTTTACCATGTCGTCACTGGTCGCGGACGCTCGATCATCGACGGGAAGGAGTATCTGTGGGAAGAAGGGGATACCTTTTGCGTACCGTCATGGCATAAGTACCAGCATCTGGCCGATGCTGGGGCGGCGGTGTACCTGTACCGCTTTGACGATCGGCCGATGATTGATGCCTTGGGATTTTATCGTTCGGAGGAGATGAATGTTGAGAAGCTTGTGTCAGACTAAGGGTCCTGGTTCATTTCGCTGCGCGAAATGGAGATGTATATGCTTCGTGTCTATGGACTACTAATAAGATATCAGGGTCGGATTTAACCGTTTTGTTCGTTTCCGATTAATGATGCGTGGCTCTCCCCAGGCTCCACTGTTAGCAACCAAGCAATGCGTTCGTTTCAATTGTACTCCGTTCTCCGTTCTCTGTACCCTGTACGGAGTAGAAAAAGAAAATTCCCCGTGTCACAGTAGTACTTAATTACATGTGTCTACTCCGTGCTCGATATGTTGCACATACAAAATAGATGAGATGTTACCTTGGAGTGTGGACCCCGGGGCGAGAGAGAATACGAATCAACCGTTAATTCAAATTCCATGCACTGATTGGGTACGTAAGTGGTGTTCGGGTAATCCCTCCGGGGCAATAGAATCGAAAGGATCAGGCTAGTTTGAGGCGTGTCCTCCACCTTGAAAAATGGCCTCCGGGGGCGAGTCATCGAAGCTGTGAATGACCGTGTGTCACATATCGCAAAAACATTTTCCGTGCGGTGGATTCATTTAGGGGGGCTACCTGCGCACTGGCGAGGGCCAGCCCTCGATGGATATCATGAAGTTCCCAGCGAGACATGGCATACCTGCCCTTCAGGGTTCAGGAGAAGGGGTTTGCCCCACTGGTATACAGCCACCCTCGTAATTCACCACTGACCCTGAATATCCTGAGCACCCCGAGTACCCTGAATGACCCTTCGGTGTTGAGGGAAAAGAGGGAAAGAGCAGGTCTAGACATGTAACCCACAGGCATTGCGCACGCCAGTCACCAAAAAAGGGCATCGTGGCCACGCAATTGGACCGACTTTGCAGCTGAGAGCTCGAAATTCAAGCCACGCTCCCCACCGCGGCCCAGGAAAATCGCCACTGGCAGCACCGACTGGATGGGTTCAATGGGCTCGCAGTATCCATCTGCTAACCTAATACCGCTTAGGGTCATGCAAGGCCCGCCCGATCATCTATTCATCCCTCACTGTTGCACCTGAAACTTAGCGACCGCTCGCGCATCGTTGCCAGTCAGGGCAAACTTTCGTTCTTTTCGGTGGAGGTCTTAGTTTGTTTCACCTTCTGCAACGCAAGGCTTTGTTGGCTTTTTTTCTGTGGAGTGTGTGGAGTGTAGTGGATCCTGTTCGGTGGCCCCCGTAAGCATGTTCCTCCAGGGCTGTTCCTGATGGACAGGGCACATCTGTGTGTAGAGTGAATGGGTGACTGGAGTGAATGAGGTCGGATTGACCGAGCTCCACGTGAGACGGGGGCAACTACGAGTCACTGACTTTATATACCGCACAACCCAGTTTCCCCCCCTGGAAACCTTCTCTCTTTTTTTTTCTTCTTCAAGCAAGCCTTCTTCTCTCATTTTGTGCTGGACACTCATTCTTTTTGCAGCAATCATGCAATTCCTTCCTTTTATCATCGCTGCTGGCAGCCTCCCCCTCATTTCTGGGGCTCCAGTCGCATCCAATCTCTACAGCGTGTCTGCAGATGCTAAGTCCACTCACTCTCTTAGTGGACGCAGCACCAGTTTGTACGCAGGTATTTTCGCAGGGGATGGTCTTACCTCGCAGGGCTGGCCCTCGACCTCTCAATGGATGTCCACTTTCGAGGACATGTGGGAAAGCAACCAAGAGGTCATGAAGGCCAGTTGCGGTAACATGGGTTACGGTGACGACAACTCTGAGGAGGAGATCGCCAACATCAAGAAGGCGATCAATGCCATTGCTAGCGAAAGCAGTGTCGACTCCCGTTACATCTTGTCTATCGTGATGCAGGAGAGCAATGGCTGTGTCCGCGTGAAGACCACAGACAATGGAGTCATCAATCCTGGTCTGATGCAGAGCCACAATGGCCAGCACGCCTGCAACAATGCTGCAGGAGACTCACCTGTCTCTCCTTGTCCGTATGAAAAGATCCACGGCATGATCAGCGACGGTACTACTGGCTCCGGAGGTCTCAAGAATTGTATGGCCCAGTACAAGGACTCCGAGGAATCGGCCACCTACTACAGGGCTGCCCGATGCTACAACTCCGGCTCTGTTGCAAGCAACGGCAATCTCGGTGACGGTATTACCTCCACCAACTGCTATGCTACAGATATCGCCAACCGTCTCCTGGGCTGGTCTACCGGCACCAGCAACTGCAACTCGGGTCTCATCGCCACCCTGACTTCGAGCCAGTGGGATGGAGCGAGCGACTCCGGCTCCGGTAGCTCTGGTAGCTCCGGATCAACCTCCACCTCCAGCTCTATCCCCGCTGCCACTGAGACCTTCGCTCCCTCCACCATCGTGCCCACCGTCGTTCAAACCGCTCAGCCCACTACTACGTCTGCGCCCGCGCCCGCAGCTACGACCACCGAGGCCCCTGCTCCTGTCGCCCCAACAACAACTGCTGCTCCCACTGTTGTGCCTTCTTCCGCACCTGTCCCGGCGCCATCGTCCAGCCTGGCGCCTGGCGGCAACTATGGACCATACCCCTACGCCTCCAAACCCTGCCAACAATACTACACCGTCAAGGCAAATGACTACTGCCGCAAGATTGAAGTCCAATATGGAATCACTGCGACCGATTTCCAAAGCCTCAACCCGGGCTTGGACAACACTTGCTCAAATCTATGGAAGGGCTACCAATACTGTGTCAAGGCTTAAACATCGACTTGCATATCTAAGCCGTCCATCATTTTCGCATTTTCAACATTCTCTTCGTTGCCCTTAAGGCCCAGTTTTCATTCCCAACCCCTTGCGACACACTGGAAGGGGTTGTTTTTTCTTCCACTTGATCTCTTTCAGAGGCAGTGCCATCTGATGGAGACCAAGCGGGAGAGCATTTCTCAGCACAAAATTTGTCTCTTGTCTTTGATAGACAGTTGGCTGCATTCATTGATCGCATATCTTTCCAGAGCTTTGCCTAGACCGGTTCTTGGCTTATCTCGTGGAACGGAGTTCGCGAGCCGACACGACTGACGATTTTTTATCTTTCCCAAAACACTTTGATACCATATCATTCTTTCTATCTGCAGACCGCGATGGAAGCAATTCATGAACTCACTTCCATATCATTTTCACTTTGCAACCGTATATCCTAGAAACCTTATCTGTATACTTCTGCATATCGGCGATCACCCCCCCTGCTAGGTGCCCCCACCTTGAAACAAAAGTCCGTACTACTATGATCGTATTTTTGTACAACGTTGTACCTACTATTTGGTTGCAACGGGCGCTACTGATGCACGCGATCACACCCTAGCAGGGGGTCGACCCTAATATTGTCATCTGCTATTGTCATCTGCCCCTGCAGATTTGGAGTGGTTGAAGACTTCATATACTACTGCATTGCGCTGAACCGTTCTAATTAGGTGATATACCGTGCTCGGCAAATGATATTGTAGTTATGAATCATGGACCCGCTCGAGGTCAGATCCTACCTGCTGGGTGGTTTACTGCCAAAATCCGAGATACCTGCTCTCTGCCAGGTGGTGTATCTATATGTACTATCCGTCTCCGTATACTTCTCAATTGCAACCCTCCGGCCTGAGTGACCGACATACTCCGCAAAAAAGCCATCGGTATCCTTGGCCTCCTTCTTGAGATCATCCTTCTCAAAGCGATCCGCCACCAGTCCGACGATTCCAAGGCTTGCTTGTATGTTGCGAACGTCTTCAAACCGCGCTGCCCAAATAGCCAGCCCCGTAAACAGCAAACCAACCACAACAAATAGTAGACAAAATGCTACAAGAGCAATCAGGGGTGCTACTGGAAGTCTTGCAACCAGTGTTGTGTTCCGCCTTTGCACAGCGAGAGCTGGTCTTGGCTCAATCCCCTGCGCACCAAACGCCATGCTGGACTTGCCGTAGGATAATGCAACCATGTCCGCAAATTCTTGACTGGAATTAGTCGAGTAGAATGCAGCCGTCATGGCCTGTTTCACGGGAAGATCCCAGTCACCGGGGTAGTTTGCTACAGTTGTCTGCCAAATATTGCTGACCGAGGTATTGCTGAGTCGAGTGTCGAAGCGTGTGATACTTCCATTAACCTGGTCATACTCGACATCATATACGGTACTCTTGCAGCCAAGAGCAAAAGTGAGGGCACCGTGCAGGCTCAGGACGAAATCCTTGTTTTCACTGCCCCCTGGTACAGTTGAGACTCCCGTGCTTTCCGCCGAGGCGAACGAAAAGTAATAAGGGTTGCCCGTGCCTTTGTTGTAGGTGTCGGTCACATCGTTTAATTTTCCATCCGTGTAAAACGCGGATTGGAGGTCTCGGTTATTGATGAAGCCGGCAAAGGCGGCACTGCAGTTGAATCGGACGGATGATGCGGCAGTGCGGACGTGACAGGGTTGTGTGGTGAGAGAGCATGAAGTTTGGGAAGCGTAACTGTGTGCGGTGAAATCATGATTAGGATCTAATTCCTCAGTTGGAATTCCAAAGTAGGTGTATGCCTTTCCATCGGACTCCGTATGTGTATAGACAGTTGCTTCAGAGGAGATATTGCTGATAACTTGAAACGTAATAGTAGGATCGCGAAAGAAAGCGCCCGTAGCTGCAATAGATATACTGCAGAACGATCCATCGTTTGAGGCGTCTCCTTGCGCTGCGACGGAATTGTTGCTAGTGAGACATCGTGGGGTTATACCAAAGCTATAGTTCATCGGGCTGGAAACAGGTGATAGCTGGGTAAATGGCACTGTTGTGGTCACCAAATGGAGCCAGGTATCTGCAGCGGATACTAAAAGACTAAATTACCGATCGTCAATCATCGGTTCTATAACTCGAGTCTATTCACAGTCGGCTGCTTACCCCAGAACCGTAGCAAGCACGGCAATATTCGAAGTAGTGACCAGAAGTGGTGTTTGCGGTACCCGGGTTTTCCTCCATGAAACAACATAGATCATCCAACTCCAAATCGCTCCGAGGGCGCTCCCATCAAGAAACTTGAGTGTCAGTCCAAGTTGATAGGGGGTGGGTAGGGAATCTGTGCGACCGTTGCGAATATTGTTGGATAGTTGGCGCGCAATGGGAAACGAAGCTAGGGCCATAAGGAAACCGGACAACATTGGGGCGAGAGAACTGGCCCACGAGGTGACAAATAATATCACGCTGGAGTTTAGGTCGACGAAAACAGCATTGTTTTCATCGCTTGCAGAAGGGAAGCGGAGGCTTTTGAACGGACTGTCGTTGGGAGTCACTCGATATTGGAACACCATGACGAGAAAGGCAATAGTGAGTGCAGTTATAGGGATAGTGACCGCCACCCAACTCCAAGCTATACTCGTGCGATGGCTCGTCAGTCCCTTATGGGGAGACGGAGGGTTCTCCTCCTTCTCTGGTGACGGTGGGGAATCATAATTAACAGCAGCAACTGGGGCGGTCCGCGACATGCTTGCATCGGTGTGTGAGAGAATTGAAAGTGAGCCGCAGGTTAGTCTCGTCTTATAGGAAACCCAACAGCACCAATAGGCGCTCGAGGGACGATCATTGACATGGTTGTTGGATTCGGTGTTTCGAATTGCTATTTAGTCGACAGGCCCTGCATAAGGGTCCAGATCTGCCGTGGGGCAGACCCTATTTTTTTTTGAGTCTTATGCGCGTGTCGGCCATTGAGGTAATGCGATACATTGCTGCGGTGGCGCCAGGATTTCACTAGGACTAGTGAGGGTTTGAGAGCGTTGACGTTGGCGCGAAGTGGGGATGGTGCATGTTTGGGCGCGTACAGAGGTACTCTCATTCGTTTTGAACCGCTTCACATTCCGTGCTTGGCGCATGATGTATATGCGGGAAATCGAGGTCTGTCAGCCCGCAACGAGTCCTAAATTTAGACCTTTGCTGTTTCACAGCTTGTATATCTCATTCTGCGCCGACAGAGGTAGTACTGACTACTACTAACTTTACACCAGCAACTCAACAATAGCGATGACATTAATGCAGCGCAAAATGACTAACCATCCCATAGTTACTGAAAGCTAAGCGCCTTGCGCAATTCTATACACTTACATGGATTTATTTGCGGGGAGACTGTAGTCCCCACCAACTCTCCCAGAGATGTGAAATGCATCCGACGTATCCCCGCAATACCCGGCATTTCCCCGCATAACTCACCCACCCGCATCAACCCCGACACCCATCTTGCCCTATACAGAGGAAATCATAAGCAAATAAGACGATGAGACCATGCCGACAGATTCAATAGCGGGCTTAGAGTCCGAAACACCCGCGCCAACTTCCAAGCGTCGGCGCGTAGCTGTCGCCTGTGATGCGTGCCGCACGCGCAAGTCTCGGTGCGATGGAACTAGGCCGCGGTGCTCGCTTTGTCGGGATTTGGGGTTCGAGTGTATCTATACGCCGCCTACTACTGCAACGAATGTGATTGTTCAGAAGGATTATTTGCATGGTCTTGAAGACAGGGTTAAGAGGCTTGAGGGGTTGTTTTCTGAGGTGCGAGGGGAGATTGATGGACTCAATGACAGAATTGAGGGGCAGGTTGGGAATTTAAGGGATGTTTCTGATAGTGGGTTAGGGGTGCGAAGTGTTGTTAATGGAGATACTCAGGTAGACAAGCAGAGGGAGCAGGTGCAGGTTCATGTTCCTGATTTAATTGGGACAGAGGACTCGGTTGATGGGATGGGTGCAGTGACATTGGCTAATGAGGAGGATTCGGGATTCTTCGGTATTTTAGTACTGGGGATTCTGTTTTTACTTATTGAATATCTTTGCTGACAAGCAACAGGTCCCTCGTCTAATATCGCGTTCTTGAGACACCTTTCTCGCGCCGTTGTTCAACAAGGGTACCTTCTTTCGCCGGGGACCGCCGAAGGCGGCTTTGTGAGTGCTTCACGTCCACCATCTCCGACCCGTCGAAAGTCTGGAGATAGAAAGCCGCATGTCAATCTCTTTTCGTTACCTCCTCAGACGGAGACGTTGGCGATGATCCAAAGATACTTTTCAAACACTGGGTTGCTGTTCCCGTATATCTATCCGCCTGTGTTTCTTGAGACATATCACCAAATGAGCAGGGAGAACTTCAAGAAAGTGCGGAGAACCTGGCTTGGCTTGTTGAATATGGTGCTGGCCATGTCGAGTATGACTGCGGCGACCGGTGGTGCTAAAGCGGACGTGCGGATTGCCGAGTCGGACATTTTTTATGAGCGGGGCCTTGGGCTTTGTGGCAGCGAGATTCTTCGAGGGACTACTTTAGAAGTTGGTATGAAAGGGATGTACTCGAGAGATGGAAGTCTTGCTGACTGTTCATTCGGATTACAGTTCAATTTCTCCTCCTGATGGGCCAATACCTCCAGGGGACGCAGAAATCCGTACAGGCGTGGACCGTTCACGGCTTGGCCGTAAAAGCTGCTCTTCAGCTTGGATTACATTCTCGAAATGCTTCCAAGTCATTTTCAACCCTCGAGCAGGAAATGCGGAAACGCACTTGGTATGGGTGTGTGGTATTGGACAGGTGAATTAGCTGTGAGATCCAGGCGACGATGAATACTGATAAAGTAATTAGAACATTGAGTATGACCTTCGGGAGACCTGCCGCTATCCCGGATAACTACGTGAAACTTGATTTGCCTTCGAAGCGAGATTTCGATGAATCGTCTGCTCTTGTGAATGATGAAACAACCTTCCTCGGCCTGACCTTCTTCAATTCCACAATGTTTGTTGCCCCTTCGCCCACAAAAGCCTGACCAAGGGATTTAACACTGCACTGCTTTAGTACACTCTATAAACAACTCTGGAATGTTTTGGACCTTCTATACGGCCAAAACGTCGGATGCGATGGCCCTCTCCCTACTACAGAAGTCATTTCCAATATCTTCTCCATGGAACAACGACTCTTCTCGTGGGAGAGATCCCTGGACCCAAATCTCCAGTTAATTTCAACATCCCAACTCAACGGTATGCCTCGAGATCCAATAACCGCCAGCTTTGAATATTATTCATGGAAATTCCGCGTCATCTTGACTTTGCGGTATCTCAATTTGCGCGTCTTACTTCACCGGCCCGTCTTGGTCAAATTCATCGCCGCAAGCAGATCCCAAAACCGAGACCCACAAGACCTAAAACTCCTACAGCAGATGGGGTTGAATAGTATGCAGATCTGCGTTGAGTCAGCGATGGAGATCATTGGTATCGTGCATGGTGTTGTCTCTGAGCCTGGGTGGAAGCATAGTCTCCTGGGGGCTTGGTGGTTCTCTTTATATTACAGTATTTTGCAACACTTTCCTTGAATCGCGAGGCAATTGACTGACTATTTCTTAGCATTTAACGCTGCTTTGGTGATCATCGGTGCCGTTTGGGTCTATCGCGACGAAAGTCTAAGCACGACTTCAATGACCGCGCAGGCGAAGGAAGCAGAAAAATATCCTGGTCTTGCGGCGGAGGCACTTGCCAAGCTTGACGATGGAAATCGCTTGGTGGACCGCTGCAGGTACTATCTGGAACAATTTAATACGGTCCTGGTTAGCTCTGGTAAGTCTTAATTGGAAATGAAGCGTTGATCCGGCCGTAAGATACCATGCTAATCCTTCAAGTTTTAGAACCGGAGATCAACGGGGCGATACCCCCCTTCCCATCTCTTAATAGCGCTCGAGGCACCTTACCTCCTGCTGACTTTGGGTTATCCCCATTTGGAATGGAACTTGGGGAGTTCATGATGGATGACGATCTCGTTGCCATGATCGATAGACAAGGGATATTGTCAATGGAGCCAGGATCAGCTTATCATCCATGATTATTGTATAAAGTGAGCCCGAGTGGAGGAAGCGGGCAAGTGCCTGCACTGCGCAACAAACAATAAAGTTATCACATTACTATTACTGCTTAGTCCGACGAGCGCGATACCTCTCACTATGGATTTATCTTGGCAAAGCTACGTGGGTTGTACGGAGTACATACAGAGTACAGAGTACAGGGTACAGGGGCGATGATTCGCCTAGATGTCACGTTTCCGGGAACTTTGTCCCACGATGATTAGTTAGTGATCCTGTGTCTATCCACCCGATAGGATGATCGACCTTGAGTATGTCTCATTGGAAGGATCCCGATAAGATTGAGATTCAGATCACCAGCGCGTCCACAGGGTCCAATTGCTGGCGGCGCTAATTAAGATGCCAAGCTCCTGGCTGCAGGTAGAGAGACGATCTCGATGCGCGGCTAATTTGCGAAAATCATCGTTTGTTGGATATACTCCGTGTATTTCGAATCATTCTGTGACAGTGAGTGTCGCCTGGCAAATGCAAGATCACCATCCATGTACTCGTATTTATTTACGAGAACGAGGATGAAAGATATCCCGCGGAAACTCCCTCGGAGGGTGGCCGAATGACGTCAGTGGATCGGGTAGTGCACATTGAATGCAGCCCAGTGCAGCCCACACCCCAAATAACTCAACGGTTTGCTCGCTAGCGCTAGCGCTAACAAAGGAAAGAGCTCGTGTTTTAATTTTGCCGCAGAATCAATAGTCCATATTGAAAGCAGTAAAGGTCGAGGATCGACAGGATCAGCCGAGTCGATACTAGTCGATAGTCGGTGAGGCCGGACAACCGGAGAATATGTGTGGATGAAAGGTTTGAGAGACCATGGTCTTCCAAGCGATGGTAGACGGTTCCTAGCAGAAAAGGGAAATGCACTTCACACATCAGTACCGAGAGTTCATGGAATGGGGCTCAGCAAGAGGGGGGCGTCCCTGAGTGCACGGTTGGAGAAGGCTGCCAAAGTTTGCGGAGGAGTGGCGCATTGTTTGACCTGGTGTTGGGGATGGGCATGGGCATGGGATCAAGGGATGTCTCTAGTCAGATGTAGATGTAGTAGATGGATGTAGAAGTAGAAGTATGTCCAGCTGATGAATATAAAACGGTAGAAATGGTAGAAATGGTAAGAATGGCAAGTGCGAATGCGAATGCGAATGCAGTGGAGGAAGGCACGACTGGGCAAACTGGCAAACTTGAACGTTCCTTCCCCACGCGCCTTCCGATCGCGGGAAATTGCGACTTCTTTTTCCCACACATCCACATCCACTTCCACTTCCACTTCTTCCACTTCACTTCTTCGCTCTCCAACTTCATACTCGCCTCGCCTCACCTCACTTCTTCCCCTCTTTGCAGTATCTTGAAGTACCCTTCTATCCTCGTATCCTCGCCTCTCTCACCGACTCCGACTCCGGTTCTCCCTCGGACCCCCCCGATCTCCGCTGTCACTGCCTGTTTCCCCCGGTTTTACCCCGGATTTATCTGGATCCCTTTGAGGGATCATGGCCATCCCTTCTCGAGTCCCTACGCCTCCATCCGAAACCATGCTTTAATCGCGGTCCCCGAATTGTCCTTGATCAATCGGAATCTCCCTCTGTTTCTTGCGCCGCCCTTGGCGCGCCGCCTGTCAAGATGCAAACTCGTCAACCCACCACCCTGGCAGTTTCAATCACCTTCTTCGTGATTGCCAGTATCTTCGTCGCCTTGCGATTTGTCTCGCGCATCTTCGTCGTCAGAAGAATCGCGTTACACGACTATCTAATGTTGCTTGCATGGGTACGTTGGAATCTGCCGGGGATGGTCCCTGCACCTCCCCGGGGCGTGCAGCGCCGGTTGGACTGGCCCACGTGGAAAACTTTTCGATTTTCGATTTGACATGGCACGAGACATGCTGTGAATACTGGCTTACAACTATCTAGGTGATCGACTTTGGTTTCTGCTTCGCCCTTTTCTACGCGACAAAGAACGGACTCGGTCTTCACTCCAGTGACATTCTCGAAGAAAACGAAAGCGCCCTCAGCAAAGCCAATTATGCGTTCACCGTTCTATACGTGAGTTTGTTGGAGAATTACCTTCTATGCCACTCCCAGGCCTGGGCTGACTCTTTTTTCTAGAACCCAGCCCTCATGGCTGTCAAGACTTCAATTCTTGTCTTCTACCTGACCTTGACTCGCAACCAGAAGGTCTTTCGATGGGCCAATTATGTCACTCTCGCCGTGGTCAATGGCGCCGGTTTGGCGTTGACCATGATCAATGTTTTCCAGTGTCGCCCCGTCTCCGCTGCCTTATTACCCTCGGTCCCCCCGGGCGCAACTTGCACCGATATCGTCACACTCTACCTGTCTTCATCTCCTGTCAACATCATCACCGACCTGGCTGTCCTGTTCCTACCGATGCCGATGTTGACCCAGATGCGTCTACCATTCAAGCAGAAGGCGATTCTGGTTATAACGTTCAGCTTCGGTTTCTTTGTGGCGGTCGTTGATGTGATCCGAATTGCTTTTCTTCAGCGAGCGGCTACCTCGCGACAAGCGGCTCTCTCGTCCATTCACATTCAGAGCTCCGGCGGCTCGGATTTCAGCTGTGAGTTATGATCCTCTTCTCTCGTCTATGTTATTTCTCGTCTGACTTTGACCTCTCAGGGTACGCGTCGCTTTCCTTCATGTGGTCAGCCGTCGAAGTCAATGTCTCCATCATGTGTGGCTGCGTACCAAGTCTCAAACCTCTTGTCGCTCGCCTTGTCCCCAAATTGATCAGAGATACCAATGACCCATATACCAGCCCTAATAACCACTATGCGACAGGGGAGAGCCCGGTGGCCATGCCCCCGCCAGTTGCCATTCCAAGCTCCGACGGACCGTCACCTTCGACGTCACCGGCCGATAGCAACTCGAGCAAGCCATCCCAGACAAAGAGCCACAATGCGAATCATCAGAAAGACTCCGGTGAGCCCATGGGACTATTGGACTTTCTGGGTCACCCAGGCACCGGTCCTCAAGATACCGAAGCCAACACCCATACCAGTATATCCTACCCACCAACTATCACGTTCTTCGATTTCGTCAATATGAAGAACCCGGAGAGCATGCTCAAGTTGAACAACAAGGAATCCATCGCTCCAATTGCTTTGACCACACTTCTCTTCTTCCTGTGGGGCTTCGCGTACGGTTTTCTCGACATGCTCAACTCGCAGTTTCAGACCATTGTTCATCTAGATTCCTGGCACTCGCTTGGCCTTCATGGTGCGTACTTTGGAGGCTATGTTACCGCCCCCCTCTTGGTTGGTCGGCCAGTTTTGAAGATCTGGGGCTTTAAATCCACGTTTATCACCGGGCTTTGCATCTATGCCTGTGGAACCCTCGTTTTCTGGCCGTCTGCCGTACTTACATCTACTGCCGCTTTTACAGTCTCGAACTTCATTGTTGGGTTCGGCCTGGCTGTGCTTGAAACCGCCGCGAACCCATTCATTGCTCTTTGCGGTCCACTTGAAAACTCCGAGATCCGACTCAATATTTCACAAGGAGTCCAGGCCGTCGGCAGTGTCGTTTCCCCACTTCTAGCTAAGAAGGTTCTTTTCAAGGGTGTGAATGACGTGGCCTCCCTCGTCGATGTTCAATGGGCTTATCTTGGCATTGCCTTATTTGATGTCCTGCTTGCAGTGGCCTTCTACTACCTTCCGATCCCCGAGGCTTCCGACGAAGACCTTGAAGAGCTAGCCAACCGCCGTCAAGAAGACAACATGACAAAGGTTGTCGGCATTCCAGTCGTATGGCTGACCCTTGGGCTAGGTATCTGGTCTCAATTCTTTTACGTAGCCGGTCAAGAAGTGCTCGCAACCAGCCTAGAACGCTTCACTGATGCATCAAACCAAGGCTCAGCGCTAGGTGCCTTTGAGTTCCTTACGATTGGTCACAGCATATTTGCCATCGGTCGCTTCCTCGCCGCCTTCGCTCAATGGTTCCTCAAACCTCGCTGGATCCTCATGGTCTCCTACATCGGCATGATCGTTTGCGCCGTGCTATGTATGAATACAACCGGAAACGCAGCCATAGCAATGGCCATGCTTCTCTATCTCTTCGAAAGCGGCGTTTTCAGCATCATCTTTGCCATCTCTCTTCGCGGCACGGCCCAACATACCAAAACAGCCGCTGCCTTATTAACAACGGCTGTTGGTGGCGGAACCTTTTTCCCTTTCGCAGAATACGCCGCATATTTGACCCATGGTGCACAGTACTCCTTCTGTGTGATTGTTGCTCTCTTTGCCGCCGGTGCCATCTTCCCCATTTACCTCAACTTCGTCCCAGCCGTTAAGAAGCAAGTCGACCCAGTGCCGAACGAGTATCTGCGGCGCCACCGACGCCGCCGCAGCCGTGCTCCAGCTACGATGCACCGAGAGAAACAGAATCCTTCTTTTGGTGGTGTTCTCTCCAGGCGACGCAGCCTAGTTTCCAATCCCGATGACCTGCCTGATCTCCCTTTCCCAAGCGAAAAACATCAAGCACCTGCTCTTGCCGGTGTCCATGATTCGAAGTTGAGCCTTTCTTCCAAGATGAAACCGGACGAGCCAGGGGACGGGGCCGTCCAGCACCGAACTTCAACTCTCAGACGAAATTCTTGAAATAATCGTCCTCGACGGTCAATGTTTCTGTTCCCATTTACTTTTGCCATACTCGAAAATCCTTTCGAAGTATTAATTTTTTCAGTTATTCTGATATGACTTGATGAAAGATACCCATACTGCCTCTTTTTTCTCTCTTTTGCTAGCTTTTCTGGAATCTGGCGCCCTCCGCCCTCTTGGGCACACTACGAATAGCTAATGAGGTTTGGCTTTGTTCGCATTTAGCGCCGGTGTTGGTTTGATTTTGGGTACCTTCCAAGCTACTACTAGTACTGCACATCTCGTCTTAATGAATGTATATTGTCCATACGACACCCCTCCCTTCCATCTTGACAAAGTAGTCGCAAATATGTACCTCCTGCTACACCGTTGCCTCTTCTGGTGACCCGGTTTGTCTGCCAGTGCACAACGTACTTTTAATCCATCCATGTATTCCAACTGCAGCATTTTCGTCTTCGGGGTATGGAATTCCAAGGTTCAATTCGCAACTTCTGCGCATGTCAGGACATGACATGCAAGTGGACAGGTGAGCACCAATGGGAAATACATCTGAATCCCTAACCACTTTTGTCAAGATTGATGCCAACTCAGACCAGCCTCCCCCGCGCGCGACTCTTGAATGAGCAGCAGAACAACATTTCCCTTGTGTTATACCATTATCTGAATTATGTCCCGTGATTCCAGATATCCTTCCCTTGGTTACATACAAGATGAGGAGGAAGCGCCAGACTCTGCAACTCATCATGCCAAATTCTCAGATACAGGGTCAGCCGCTGAATCTAATGATCATCCGGGCCCTAGAAACCCAGCCAAGTCACGAAAATACGATCACATCACCAGAGACCCCGGAATTTCGAAACAGAGTTACTCCGGGGCCTCGATCGATCAGGTAAGCCTTCGAATACTCAGAACCTGGCATTGATAAATTCTCATTGAAAAGCTTTGCGAGGCAATCATTGGTCGTGATATGAAGAGTCTGTGGAACTCCTGCTAGAAGCGGGGGCAAACGTGAATCATCTGAGTAAAGGCAGAAGCTATGGCAACGCCCTTATTGCAGCTTGCATGCTTTCTGGGAGTAGAGAAATCGTCCAGCTTCTCCTTGACGCAGGTGCCGATGTCAATATGCAGATTTATCAGGGCAAGTACGGGAGTCCTCTAGCTGCAGCTTGTTTTTGGGAACGGGTAAGCTCGGTAAGGCTTTTACTCAATGCCGGAGCACGCCTAAATATCGAGTTTCCGTCGGAGTGCACATAAACATCCTAGATGATGTTATTTCTCGTCGACAGGGTGAGATAATCCTTCTTCTCCAAGAGACTGAACGTGATGCCAGATCGGAACATGTAGCTCAGATTATAGATGACAACCTAGGGGCGACTGTTTCTTGTGGGCAAGGGGATATCGCCGTCTTCATGCCAATATGCATTCTTCAGATTTTGGAGCCGAGGAGTGCATCCGCGCGTTGTATATGGCCCTCTATAATGAACAAGAGGATTCCGTTTGCCTTCTTCTCAAAGCAGCGGATGATTCCCATATAGATATATGGGTCAAAGACTACGATAGTCTTCTGGGTACCGCTATCTCCGAGAGGCATATGGGGGTACTACGCCTTCTACTCATCACTGGAGCCCGTTTACCTGTTAATTGTACTCACCATTGGAACTACAGAAGATTCCTAGCTGAAGCTTGTGAGAGCGGGGATATGAAAGTACTGGAAACTTTGATTGGTTCCGGGGCCAACATCAACGAAAGTTTTGAATATATAGGACACGCCAGTGCTCTCAGTGTTGCGGCGTATAATGGCCAGACAAATGCAGTCCGCTTGTTACTCGATTCCGGTGCCGATCCAAATCTCTCTTCTTTCATGATTGCTGGTCGTTTTGGAAGCCCCCTCGCTGCAGCATGCTGGCATGAAAGCGGAGATGCTATCGTTGACCTCTTGCTTCGTGCAGGGGCTAATTCGAATTTCGAATTGTCTTATGGCAGTTTCTCTGATGCCTTTCCGCCGCTCTATACTTCGAGCATCCCGGTGCCATCACGCGTTTGTTGAATGCTGGCGCCATCGTAAAGCCCTTGGCGTCGAAGTTGATACGAGAGCTGGCACTTGAACTGCCACAGCTCATGGAGACTCTTGTGCCAAAATTCATAGGCTATGAAGAACGGCTCGAGATCGCATCTTCTCCGCCCGAGAGAGTTATGTCACGAATTGTCTGCGGGTTTCCAGCACTCGCGAAACGTCGCTCTGATCTAGATTCCTGGATTTTTGGATTGAGTGTGTTGATCAGGAAGGAAGCCACAATGGAGTTCACAACACTTCGCAATTTTCTGTTTCGCACGTTTGGTTCTGCTGGAACATACTTATTGAAATGCCTTGCGAGGGTCTTTTCCAGTGGTGAGGGTATCTATTGTTAGTCTTCTCTTTCTTCGGCCGTTTTGATTATGGCTTACTCATTCCTTTACCTAGTCAATCGAAAAATCATGCTTCCTGTCGACAGAAACGAAATTGATCTCTGTGATACATAATATACTCCTTGTCCACGTTGACAGAATTGAGGAAAGCTCCCGAGCTGAATATCCACCTCTAGTAATAACCGCAGGGGATAATCTCATTAGCTCGCTGGATATTCTAGGAGAGAAAGAGAGATTATTACTTGAGGAGTCAGGCAGGGATTCCGTCACAGTTCGAGAGCTCATCATGGGTTTCTCTATCAACCTATCCAAGGCATCTTTGCAAAAGCCACGACGCTCGGAAATTTATGGGCACGAGTTCATGGACATTGTAATGGGCTCTCCAAGGTCAGAGCTCAAAAGGCGAAAGCTTGAGAAAGACGGTCTGGCCTGGTCATCCCTGCTGGATGAAGTCAACTTCATTTTCTGTTCTCGTTTAGGCGATGCGATTGTCGGCAAGCGAGCACGCGATGCATCAGCACAATGCAATATCTTGCCAGCTGGTTACGATCTCCTTGTGGCGTCAATGCAAAGCATAGACAATCTCTTAATGAAACATGGTGGTGTAGGTAATAGACAGCCACGTCGCCTATCACATAGCGCTTCGTGGCAGTTGACAGGGTCGCCCTTTCAAATCTGTCAACATGCTGGTCACGAGTCTTGTTGGAGTCTCCCTAGTCTTTTACAAGAGCTCAAAAGTCCCTGGCACTAGACGGAGGTTGGCGGGAACTGGTCCGGAGTAAACACAGACAGCGCCTTAGTATTTGGGGTTGCAGTGAAGACGTGGAGCTTTGAGATACTCATGCGATTCCAGAGCTTTCATTCATCGTCTTCTAACGCCGTCTTCAAAACACTACGCCAAGATGATCTTCCAAATAGCAGGACACGTAGCCAAAGACTTGTTCGCTCGGAATGACATCAAAATACAGCTAGTAACGAGTACAAGCTACATAACTCGGGCTATTCCGACCCTCATCCCCAGAACCATGGAACCCCTTGTCAAAGATTGGACTCTGAAACAACCCCCACCAACGTCATGAATTATGACTCTTCAGAAGCACGTCGCCTGAAACAGTTCGTTCAAGCCAAATAGACACTCCACTTAGGGCTCTGCTCATTTACCGAGCCAAGTCTGCAGTTCTTGGACCGTCCATGACGAACGAACGATTGACGAACAAACCGGACCCGGCCCAGGCTTTACTTTTTCATCGCAGTTCCAAGAGGGAGCTCGGCTCCACATTTCGTTTCCGGGAAAGATACCCGGCGATATCTGGCAGATACCGGCGTACCACTGAAAAGGGGTCGATCTGTGGAGGACTAGAATCGGGATGACTCCAAGTAGGCATAGTACCCTCACAGGGCTTGACCGAGGTATACTAGTAGCATACTACTCTGTACTTCGAGCTTGCGAAAGAGCACACTAGGAACCACATCATGGATGCCAAATTAGGATTTGAGGGTGCTCACCTTGGAAGTTAGTCCGAGTTTTCTCTCGGTGTGAAGCACTCCCAAATCCCGATACCGAAAGCTTGGGTACACTTACCCTCGTGGCCGAGTCCACCGATGTACACTTTCACAAGTTTCGAAACGTGCCGAACTACGGTACATGAGCGGCGAACTTGTTTCAAATGATAGCGGTGCTACTCGTATTTAACCCCCCCATTAAATCGGTAAACGCCTGCTTTATACGGAGTACTGAGTGCCAACTAGATATACTTTCCAGTCACATATTATATAGTTTTCCAGCGATCTACCCCGATCCCCCGATCGAGGCCGAATACGAAAAAAGGCGGAAAGATGCCGGGTTCGCATTTGGGGGGGGGGGTGGGCGATCATGATGGACAGGGGTTGACGGTCGATCTTTAAGTGTGGAAGGCAGGCAAGGATCGGCGAATCAAGTTCGCCTTACGCAGTCTTTCGGTCATCGGATGGTCGTAAACCTAGTCAAGGATGATCTCGGAGAATTTTTGAAGCCTGGACACCAATGGGGGTCAGGGGAGAAACTCCGCAGTAGCCGTTAGTGGCAGAGACTAAGACGAGCTAGGCCCCCTTCTCAGCCACGCCACAAGCTACCTTTCCTTGCTCTGTCAAAGAATTATGAACAAGTGAACAGTGTCTGGACAAAGACGGCACGGACACCCACCCCAACTTGTCATGGGGAGAAAATGGCCAAAGTTTGCGCCCGCACGGCGTGGATCCATTTAGGCATCGACAAGCTTAGCGTCAGCTTTGGATAACTAAGTCTTGTTCTTTTTTCGTACTCGTACTGTACACAATTTTTGGGTTCTTGCAGGATTACACTTGCGCACGTGCTGCAGTCGTAATTAATCTCCGATTCCTTTTGCCGGGTCTTTGCTATAATTCAAGTTCCAAGGTTGGATGTATGCATACTAACTACTACTATAGTACTACGAGTATACTGTGAGAGAACAACCTTGGAATACAAGGCTGGGAACTACTCCACAACTGGCTGCACGCACCTATATTCGGATATCGAGACGCTATCCACCAGTATCCTCCCCCCTTCCCCTCTTCTCTGGTCTCTCGATTGGAAACTGGCGCGCTTAGACAAAACGGCGCAAACGAGGACCGAACTCCTGTGGCCCCGTTGTCATCCATGGATTCCAAGGAACAAGCCATGGCCTCAGCGCCGATTGGATCTGGGGAGTCCACCGCGGTAAGTCGCAAACTGGTGGGGTTCGGTGTAAAAAAGAACAAAAAAAACTCAATGATGGTTCAACGATTTAACCCCTCTTTCAGACCCCCTTTGCGATTTTTGTGGTCCCAGTGGATGCCCTTAACGCTTCCCCTTGAGAAGGAGATTCGTTAGGAACCGCGGTCAGGCACAGTCCATTTGCTGGCAGCGGCAGTGATCTTCATACCCCCCCGATTTCTTCTCCTCGCAGCATCCACTTCCGCCTTCCCGGCCGAAATGACGTTCGTTCGGATTTATCGCCTTTTCCTCTTCTCCAAAGTGAGAATCTTCCCGTGCATTTTTTTTTCTCCCTGGCATCATTATCCGGTGGTGTGGAGACGAGTTTACAAATCGTAATTTTGGTTTCGAGATTTCACCATAGGGTCCAGCCCCAAAACATGGCTGTACGTTGACTAGATTGTCTGTGTATGGCTTGCAGTAGGTGGCTCTGTTCAATTATTCAAGTTTTGAATTTATTTCGAATATATAGACGCGTAATGCATTAGCATCTATTTTTTGAAAGTTTAATGACTGGCCGCAATTAGGCCCTAATTATATGCCCAAGGAGCCCTAGAGAGGGGGTTTGCCTTCCCATCCAATGTGAGAGTAATCCGGGGTAATGCTGTATCCCAAGACGCTGCAAATTAAAGTGATAAAAAAGACACGATCGCTAGACAGGACCAGAGGGTCTGGAGGGCTCAATTGACGCCAAGTAGCCGACCCGATATGTTTGATGTCCGGGAAAAGAAAGATTCAGAAACACATGTTATAGAAGAGAAAGGTGAGATGATCAATAGACCGCAGGGGGTAAAGCCGAAGTTTAGCCGCGTGCACTTCGCGGTCGTGAGTTCTGAGATGAGGAATCTTGTAGAATATCTGGAGCACGTGGTCCAACCATCCAGTCCTCCATCGCAAGCCATTCACTCCAGCTGCGTTCGGCGGCTTCGATCTCTGTATCGAGGGGTCCTTGCAGCGGGCGCAAAAACGGGATCGTCTCTAACGGTGACATGTCGTAGTCCTTTTTGACGGAAGCCCAACCACCGCTCTTTGCAGCGAAGAGATAATTGCGACGCTCTTGCTCATGTAGCGGGCCGATGCCGCTGCCCCAATCGTCGCCGAAGAATCCGTGCAGGACACCTGGGAAGTCCATGCCAGTCGCAACCAGGCGGCGTATATACGGGATCAATGAGACTGCCGGTGGGCCGGGGATGTGACACCAGCTGAAGATGATGATGAGGCGGAGACTGGGTTCGAATTGAGGACCGGGTTGGGTTGTCGCTGGAAGGGTAGACGAATGTTCAAAAAGGTGGATAAAGCCTGGACGGGCACGCTGTGCTGAGCATGATCTAGGAAGTAGCGTTGGCAGCTCTGGTAACGCGGATACCATTCGAAGATGTCGAAATTCTCCTCTGTTTGACCGGGCGAGGCGCCGGCCAGGCCGATCATCGTGGCCGGGTCGAAATGCGGTTGAGAGTTCATGCGGGAAGGTGATGGACTGTTGGGAGGTTCTACAGGATGTCTGCTGTTGCGGTACTAGTCTTAGCCTGGTAATTCTCTCCTTTTTCTTTTCTTTTCTTGTCTTGTGGTGCTTCTTGGTTGCGGCGATTGAGAAAGATGAAGATGAGGATGGCTGCGCCTCGTTGGGGATCTCGGCGGGGTTAGATTTCGCCTCCGCCCCGGCCGTCCACACACGATCCCACGCGAGAGAAGGAAGAATGGGTAAAAGAATGACGGAGGAGTTGGGGAATGTTACTTGTTCGAGAAAAGATCCCTACCTCGACGGACCAGGACGGACACGCGGCGACGGGAGGCAGGGGTAGTAGGGGCGGGCGGGGGGAGCAGAGCGAAACAGATCTCTGAACGCTCCGAGTCCTCGACCAGATTGGGGCTTGTTGATTGACATCAGGCGAGAACAATCGGGGCAGGTAACTTCATGAACCTCGGCAAGGGGGAACAGATGGTATGATGATGGTGATGGTGTGGGTAATCAAGAACCCATTGAGGGGAACTTATCAGGCAAACGAAGAAGAAGCGTAAACATACATGGTGAGAAAAGGCACGAGAGATTGCCGAAAATGGAAGAGAAGGGAGGGAGAGGAGAGTAGGAACCAGGGAGAAGAAGTATGAAGTCAAAAGGGAATGGAAATGGAAACTTTATTCTGGAACGTTCATAGAAAAAAAAGAGGGAGAGAGAAAGAAATCGTGCGGAGAGTGGGTTCGATGTATACGGAGTATTTTTGGTTTCAATCGGATCCATCAGAACGGGTCTATCCGGTTAGGCCAATCACTGGAATGAGGCCCATCGTCCCTTAGATCTTGCTGTCCACGGCTCGGATGTGGATACGGGATCGATCTAGACAACCCAGTACAGTATTACGTTGGTTCAGTGGCGTTCGGATTAGACAGCCAAGTAAGCTTTGGTAGGATGAAATGCGATGACATGCGTGCTCAGGCTCATTTAGGGCTAAATCACGGCAAAATCCCAGCACAAATCACTCTTTTGAGCCCTGTATGACGCAGATAGATGTAGTTTATAAGTAATGTGCACTCATTATGTGTGTGTGTACTCGGTACCAAGGTTCAAGTTCATGGTAGTTCTTGACCCTAACTTAAACACCTGAATACCCAGGTCTTTCATGCCAATACTAGTAGTTAGTGAGGCTGCGTCCTTCTGTCACTTTGCATATATTTGAAAGATCCCATCGACCATTTCCCAACACCATTGGCCCGTGAATTCGAGACGGCGCCGATTCCAATTATCGTCCTATCCACTACTCCTTTTTTCTTACCCTTCTTTCCGACACTCGCATACCGCTTCGATTAGGCGTCTCCAATTTTTTAATTAATTTTTTTTTTTATTTTCGCTTTTTCTTTTCTCGATTTCCCTTTCCTATTCTTGAACGCGCCTCCCTCGCTGGATCACGCCTGAAAAGGGGCTGACTTGCCTTCGTACCCAATCAAATCCAAAACTAGCTTACCTGCTGCAAGGTGCCTAGTCATGATTGGAATCAATTCGTCCACGAGGACACCTGCCGGTACGTAGTATAAGCAGTCCCGGGCGCATAGATTGCGACTGGTCAGATTACAACCTCCCCGCTTCATACACCATCAGGTATGAGCATGTGCCTATCTTCTGCACATCAATATCGTCGTGCTTGGTGGCTTGCAACGTCTACGAGAACGACTTACTCGACCCTCGAAAGATATCCGAAATGCCTACTATCCTCTCCGTTTAGGGGGCGAAGTACAAAATCCTTGGACCCATTGAGGCAATGCCGAAACAGCTCCTGACGGCACCAAAAGAGCCGATAGCTTGGCTTGCGATCGCCCCTGGCGCTGCACCAACAAGACCCGAAGGTCTCTTTTTCGGGTAAACGAAAGGACTGATGGCACTATTACTCCGTACGGCATTCTACTTTGACTAGGGGCCTTCTTGAACAAGGTGGTGCAAGGAAGAGGAGCCCACGTCCAGCCGCATTCCCTCTAACCCCTGCAAGATCGCCACCAGCGAACCATTCAGCACCGCCGAATTTTGAAACAATCAAGCCGAGGCGCTTGGTTTGGCGTCACTAGCTATGATCGGGGATCTTACGGAGTGAGTGAGGCGCAAAAGCAGGGACCACGCATTGAGCAGTGTTGAGTATTTCCCTCCTCCTGCCCCCTTAGCGGAGTCCAACTTCGTCCTCAATCGCACGGATTCCCAGATGAGCAAGTGACTGAGCCGATCACCAGGACTTGTTCCACATTTACGGAGTACTCCGTACTCCATTTTCGATTCGCTTTTAAAAGTCTGGGTCGAGTAGGTATTGTATGAAGAGGGATGGGGACATGGGATTATGGGGTTCCCCTTTTCTGGAGTCAAGATGCGGCGGGTCCAGCTGCACGAAATGCGAGTGTTTAGACCCAGGGGTTCGGTTAGCTAGCTGTTCTTGTTTAGCACGGACACGATGATGAACAATGGCAGTATAGCCGAACTACTCCGGACTCCATACTCTGATTCCTCTTTTTTTCGCATCTCTTTTGTTCAGCAATTGAGTTGTTCAAGGGGGGAATTCTTCTTGCGGAACCTCATTCAACCTGAATCCAAGAACCCTGCTGTGCCTGACTCCGTGCTCCCCTTCAATTTGCCACATGCGGAGGTGTTGAGGCCCACCCGATTCCCACATGACAGGTATGGGGTCTACGATCGGGGTCCAAGCCAACTTGGTTCTCGCTCCCTGTCAATGTTCCGACGACTCCGTGAAACTAACCTGACCTGACCTACCCCGGCCAATTATTGACCCCCAACATGACTCGATTGTTTACTCTCCAAGCTAGACACCTACCGTGAGCAAGAGGATAATATTTCCACAAGATTGTAAATCAGGGTTCACCAGGGCGATACGCTCTGCACAGATTCTGCGGGCCGCGTTCCAGGATATGCATGATGACTACCGTGGAGCGCGAGGCAGATCCTTCGACGCTGGGGGTCTGGGCTAATGCCTATTTAGGTTACGAGAGACGATAATGGCCTCCACAAGGTGGCACTTCTATTGCCATTGGGTAGAAACCGGGTGAATAGGGTTTTGAGGCCCAATATTCGCATTCTGTCGCTCAGTGCTGGGCACCGCTGGTGACCTATGGGGTTTGTTCTGACGCTAAGCACTAACTAGTGGTGATAGGTTGCAAAGCACGGGATTATCTGGTCTCCATGATTATTCTACTACTCTATAGTATATTGAGACTAACTAGCCGTATACTTGATGCCAGTGTTCAAACGGACCTCGGGAGTACCGCTGTACCGCTGCCTAAGACATAGCAATATCTTGGGGCTATATTTCAAACACCACCGGTTGCTCTGGCATGGTTTACTCTATTAATATGGACTATATGTAGCTGTAGCATAAAATGCTTTTTGTTTTGCTTTTTCTTCATTCGAGGTTCTTAATGACTGCCATCTGACCAATCGTCAAACAAAAAATATCCAAAACCATAGTCCATATTGTAAACGCTTCGCAATATTCATCTCACTTCCAGCCGCAGGACGCTCACCTTACCACTCTAATCCCGAGGTTCATGTCTCTCGCCTGAAGCAGAAATACATCCTGCATGCCGTATTCGGCTCAGTGACCGAGCGATCCCAAATGCCCACCGAGCGCCTCCAGAAGCGAACGAGATCCTTATAATGTGATCTATCACCAGCTGCAGAACCATATGCCAACACAGCCGCCAACTCCGCAGCGATCTTCACAATGCTTCACTGTAATGACCTCACAGAATTATGTATTTCGATCGCACGGTCGGAAGTCGTAATCAATACTCTGGAGTCGCCACCACCAGGTAGCAGGTAGTTAGCAGGCAGCAGAGCAATTGCACAAAATAGCTTTCTCCGCAAAAAGGCGATCGTTTCGTGATCGCCCGACTCGGCCGGGAAAAGCATACATTTGAAGATCACAGAAGTAAAATGGATGTGCCATCCGTCAGGGCGATATTTCTCGGGCGCTAGCGGGTGCAAAAGGTCAGCCCCTTAGATAGGGAAACTGGTCGAATGGTATTCTTCCTATTATTATTCGAGGGGTCGGGAGGTTGTGTTGGCGGAGACCGCCGATGGCCTCGGGCGTTTTTGGGTTCCGCGGAGAGGAACGAGCCACTGTGGCCACCAGTATGTGGGGTGGGAGAAATTGTGCTGTAAATATGCGAGAACGATCTGTCTACTAGTCTGGAGTAATACATACCTTCTACCCTGATTGGAGCTTGTATGTTGAATATTTTTTCTCTGGTGGAGGTATTTCGCGGTCCGGGGTGCATGGAGCTTGCGGGCGCTAGGGAGTCTGGCTGTTGTGGGGATGGTTCCAGGGTTTGTAGTGGATTCTGATGGTCTGGAGGCTCTATACATAGCTTCATAAAGATTGCATCATTGATGTATTCATCGCATATACATAACCGACCGCCTGTTGGATTTCAACTTGAAAGATGTTGAACAGTGATGTGACTGGCTCATCGACAACATTAGTAGTACTCGCGACACTCTCCGACGTAGTACTAGTAAGAAATGGTAAAATTTCCAATGGCTACTACTAGTGAACATATAGTACTATGTTTATATCTGAGCTTTGTCTACATTTTTCGAGCAATGAAAACTAGCACCTGTAGACGGTTGATCGAGTTGACTTAAGCAAGATCTCATATTAGAGTAGAATGCACGAGGCAGGCCTGCGCACCTTATTTTAACGACAAATTGTACTAATACGATTCTAGTCTAGAATCATGAAAACAATGGGGTGCTTGTGCAACATATCAAACTCAAACAAATTATACAATGCACAGAGAGCACAAAGAACACAAAGAGCACAGGGTAACCTATGTACGACCAGTTGGGTCCCAAACCTTGACAAATCACAACATAAATCATGGCACCCCAGAGATTGATAAGGTATTCTTGCAGCATGCGCTATGAAGAGACTAGGCAAATTCGGAGGCAACTAGTTGCTTCGAGTTAGAAGGAGCTTAAAGCTTAACTAGCGTCGGATCTATATCGGAGGTCAGTGAATTGCTTAACAAAAGGGCTGTCTGGATGGCCCTTTGGGGCATTTTTGTTTCAAAGCTCAGCCTAAAATTACGTCGCTGAATGCGGCTGTAGCTCCCCATGGAGTCTCCGTTTTTCGGATAAAAACCCGACCCTGTCTGGGGTACCGGTGTGGGTGTAAGCACGTGCACCGATGCCGTTTTAAGTTGGGCATTGACTGGTCTCCGGAATGAGAGAGTGTGGGATTGTATGATCAGACTCGAGTGTTGCTGAATGATAAGATGGAATAAATTTACGTATATTCGAGTGCTAACACAATTCAAAACGGGAAGCATGGAGATGGCCGAGCGCAGCCACCTGGGCAGAAAGGGACTAAATTTTGGTTCTGGGATCTGCTTGATCAACAGACCAGAAGGGTCACCAACCAATTATGGAGCCGGTAATTTGCAGCGCGGGGACGATCATTGTGGCGAAGGATGCAGTAGCTACAATTATCCAATGGAGCGCGGGAGGCAAAGTCTCCCCGGATAAACTGGTAGGGATATGCAGGGCGCCGGTGCCGCTGATTATTATTATGATTTGGTCACTAGCTCGTATAACTTCGTGCAATCTCTCTCTGCCTCTTTTTTCTTGGAGAGCTACGTGTCCCCAAGCTTAGACAAACGGTTCTATGGTAGACCCGACGATCGGGATGGCAAATAGGGTTAAATTTCGAACCCCGGCGGGGCGACGTCCCTGAGGACAGGTATCTTGTCGCGCCAAGAAATAAGTGATGAATTATAAGTTTAGCCGGGTGATTATAAGTGAATTATAAATTATACAACAGAGATGGAATTGATTCATAGATTGAATGTACTTTATATGGGAATAGAAGAGAGCTTCAAAATTGTACGGGTTTAAGTTCAAGAATGATTTATTACATTTACCCCTCCTCCTTCTAACCAAAACGATGACGGAGATTAAAAGCTGGAGGCTGGAGGCTGGAGATTGATCATGACTTAGAATGCCGAGTATGGGGCCCGGTGAGCCGATGGAATCGAATAAGAGAATCTACCGATTCCTGCAGCACCCGAAGGCGGGGTGTATGATAAAGGTGGGTGGTCCTATGGGCAGTTCCTGTGAGCAAGCGGATTGAAAAATCAAAACCCAACCTCAGATAAGGTGGTGGAGTCATTCCTCTGGTGGCCAATTACGGCTGTCACCCCCCGTTTGCGGTGTTCACGTGATTCATATTGCCGAGCGGAGGTTGATTTCCAGCCAGTCAATTGAATTTGGGATAACCAAGAAGAAGAAGAAGAAGGAGAAGAAGTAGTGTAGTATTTATCTAGTGTGAACTCCATAGAAAAATTAAGCTCTTCCTTACCCTAGGTACACTACACCTTGAAGTGACTGTCTGATGTACATTGAACCACCCCTCTACATCATGCATTTCTCCGCCTCACACTAGCCGCTTTAGGGTTACGTCGGAGAGGACCGATCCGATGAGAAGGCAGTGGAAAGTGGAAAGTGGGAGAGGAGAGGAGGTCAGGTCAGGGCACGAATATAGAACGGAACGAGAAGGGATACCTAGGCACTACTGTACTTCCTCCATGCCGTAGGTATGGGATGCCCTCCAGTTAGTGTGTATGTATTGCCACAGATAAGCAATCTGTGACTTAACACATAAGATAAATTGGACGGGTGGGCCCCAAATTTCGGACGTTCTTCCCACGGAAATCATTGGTGCGCTTTTCCCCTGGCGCTGTGCAACGCTGCATGGCAAATCTTCCCATGCCAACTCCGGACTTTCGCTGGCTCAGTGTTTCCCCGTCGTGCCCGTCCGACTCCGGCTCATGTTCCCCTCCACCGGTCCATCTGGTGGTTCCATCTGGTCCCTCTCCTCCGCTCCGCTCCTGTATATATTTCTTCTACTTCCCCCGTAACCTTCCGTTCTCTTTTCATTCAGCTGTTTACTCTTCTCTCCTTCCTTAATTGCATTAATACCCCCCCCCCCTCAAGAGTAAACCTATCATCCACCTTACATCTACAAAATGACCGCCCAGAACCTTCCCCACGAGCCCGAGTTCGAGCAGGCCTACAAGGGTATGTTTTTGATCCCATGGAATGATGTCAATTTGAACAATGGCATATTCTTATCACCTTATTCTCTACCCCTCCATCATCAATTCCTACCCCTCCATCTTCTTTCTTCTCGACGGCTTTCCTAGGGCTACGTAGTACAAGCTACTAGCCTTTCGGCTCGGCAAGTGGACCTCCGCTAATCATATCAAACAGAGCTTGCCTCGACTCTCGAGAACTCCACTCTCTTCCAGAAGAAGCCCGAATTCCGCAAGGCCCTGCAGGTCGTCTCCGTCCCCGAGCGCGTCATCCAATTCCGCGTTGTCTGGGAGGATGACCAGGGCAACGTTCAGATCAACCGCGGTTTCCGTGTCCAGTTCAACTCTGCCCTTGGCCCTTACAAGGGTGGTCTCCGTTTCCACCCCTCCGTCAACCTGTCCATCCTGAAGTTCCTTGGTTTTGAGCAGATCTTCAAGAATGCCCTCACCGGCCTGAACATGGGTGGTGGTAAGGGTGGTTCCGACTTCGACCCCAAGGGCAAGTCCGACAACGAGATCCGCCGTTTCTGTGTCTCCTTCATGACCGAGCTCTGCAAGCACATCGGTCAGGACACTGACGTCCCCGCTGGTGACATTGGTGTCACTGGCCGTGAGGTCGGCTTCATGTTCGGCCAGTACAAGAAGATCCGCAACCAGTGGGAGGGTGTTCTCACCGGTAAGGGTGGTAGCTGGGGTGGTTCTCTGATCCGCCCCGAGGCCACTGGCTACGGTGTTGTCTACTACGTCGAGCACATGATCAAGCACGCCTCTGGCGGCAAGGAGTCCTTCGCTGGCAAGCGTGTTGCTATCTCCGGATCCGGCAACGTCGCCCAGTACGCCGCTCTGAAGGTCATTGAGCTTGGTGGCTCCGTCATCTCTCTCTCCGACTCCCAGGGTGCTCTCCTCCTCAACTCTGAGGAGGGCTCCCTTCACCCCGGAGGAGATCAACCAGATCGCCGCCATCAAGGTCGAGCGCAAGCAGATCTCCGAGCTCGCCTCGACCTCCGCCTTCGCTTCCAAGTTCAAGTACATCCCCGGTGCCCGCCCGTGGACCAACGTTACCGGCCGCATCGACGTCGCTCTCCCCTCCGCTACCCAGAACGAAGTCTCCGGTGACGAGGCTAAGGCTCTCATCGCCGCTGGCTGCAAGTTCATCGCCGAGGGCTCCAACATGGGTTCCACCCAGGATGCCATCGATGTCTTCGAGGCCCACCGTGAGGCTAACGCCGGTGCCTCCGCTATCTGGTACGCTCCCGGTAAGGCCGCCAACGCCGGTGGTGTCGCTGTCTCTGGCCTTGAGATGGCTCAGAACTCTGCTCGCGTCAACTGGACCTCCGAGGAGGTTGATTCTCGCCTGAAGGGCATCATGGAGGACTGCTTCAAGAACGGTCTGGCTACCGCCCAGGAGTACGTCACTCCCGCCGCTGGCTCCCTGCCTTCCCTGGTCGCTGGTTCCAACATTGCTGGCTTCACCAAGGTTGCTGAGGCCATGAAGGACCACGGTGACTGGTGGTAAATCAGTCACCCGTCTTTTGTGATCAAAATCAACAAAACAAAAGATGATCCCCTTCCAAGGGGTTGATGCATTTTCTTCCTGTCTATAGTTTACTTTTCGTCAGCGGGTTTTTTGGATAGAGGCGCTGGTTTTTTTCCCCTTTTCTGTGATGCATTTGATGATATTCCCTCTTAAGCATGCTTTTTGTCTCGCTGGGATTGTCATGATGATAATGAAATTCAATGAATTACTATAAATACCCCGCTCTAGTAAAACCTTTTAAGAAAACGGAAATAGTCTCCAGCAGTACTAGTCATATTTGAGACCCTTTTGACTTGAATATCGTTAGCTTTGACCTTTTCTACAGAGAGTGTTGCTCTCGACTTCTACCTCTGCGCTAGCACATACTGATTACATCCTTAGTACTAACCTCGTTCTTTAAATATCAAATTCAAATAAAATCAAAGTACAAACTATGTGCCCTAGGAATCCCTTGCACTATACACTGCAAAACTACTCGTGATTTCTAGCTTGAAATCTTCACGACTTGTTCTTTCTCATACATGGATGTCGCACGTGACCATACACACACGTGATTATTGTTGATAAGATACCACGTGACCGTCAGCCAGACAACCGCCTCCTCGGCCCAATTGGAGATCGATCTCATTCACTGCACCAAAAATGCCCGTCAGGTTGATTGTCTGAGATCTTCCTCTATATATCACTTCAAGATTGCTGGCTTATTTGGTATGCCCAGCAAGTCCCCGCAATGCTGCCGGATGGGGCATCTTCGGATCGGTGGAGGACTTTCCTCCACCGGTGCTTGTCGCAACGAGTAGATGTCGATGAATTCAAGGATCTATCGAAGCTGATGCTGAATCGATCTCCTGTCAAAGAAGATGAGCTGCTGGATCTACTGCTTGGGGCTCGCGCTGCGTCAAACGTCACCTGGGATCCCTTGTTGCCTGTTTATGTTGACGGCCTCTGCAAGGTCGGCCAAGTCAAGCCATCCGCTGCTTTGACAAGCCTCTTGAAGCATTCATCTATTCGCACCAATGCGGAACCTAAACCTCAGGTTTCAACTCTCATGATCGATATCAAGGTCATTCAAGATGTCATGATGGCCGTCTCCACAGGTGCAATCCCCAGGGCCGCTGCTGAAGCAGCAGATCTCTTTGCAGCAACCGTGGAATGGATTGATACCGTTGTATCATGGTATAATGGAAGCCTTGATATAATGCAACAGTCGAGTGGCTTGTTGAATAACCCCGATGCGGTCTCACTCTTCGAGTCGGTCGGCATTCTGCTTGCTGCCTTATTTAATACTTCAAAAGGGATAGACGCACTCACCAGCACTTGGATCGATCGCGCCCATCAAGGTATGTCATAAAGTCTCTTTTCTAACCCATTTCCTTCATTTTTCAATTACTGGCGATTTTTACTGACCATCTGTTGTATGTAGGCTTGAAAGTCAAGCTTGGCCAGGCTATCACATCTTACCTCCCAATGTGTGTCGATGTGTCATTGCCTCTTCGTCACCGGCTGGATACTCTCCAGAAGGAGTTTAATTTATATGGCCAGCAGCCTTCCAAGCAACTGGATAATCCAGAAATCGATGGCATGGATGTGAATTCTCTCCAGTTTGAGACTTCCGTGATAAACGGTCCGATCATTAACACTAGAGCTGGGCTCTATGTGTACCTGAACTCTATGGTATGACTATTTTTGCTTGATTGCTGCGGGGATTCGTATTCTGACATCCATATAGCTCGTGGGACGTCCCTTGGTCGACGACTCCATCCTAATCAACTTCCTTACCAATCGCTATGAGGTGGGTTCAATGTGTCCCGCTGCCTGGCTTGTTTTTAGACCTTTTCTCATGTTGACTTGAACACAGGGTCACCAAGAAGTTGTCATTTCCGAGATGATCACAGCCGCCTTCGATGTTCTATCCAATGGTGTCAACCGCAACGAATCCGGCAGAACGATGTTTTTATTCCGCTCATTCTTAGTGAACAAGCTCCCTGCAATGTTCTCGGCGATGACGACGGCATCGATGGTCCCAATCCCCATGGATATGTGCATCACCCAGGCCCTCAGTAGACTCGATCCTAATGCGTTCCCCTCGTTCTCGCAAATGTTCTCCATGCAAGGCAGCAGTGTCCTCTCTGATGCTCGCCAGGAGTTTCTTTTCGCGTGTGCATCTCACAAACTGATCCCAGAGTCGAGCATAGAACGATACCTAGGAGAAAACCCCATGCAAACCTTGCCTGTGGGCGGTCCATACCAAAAGGATGACCTCGTCCCACAGATAACCACCAACCTGGAACGGGCCGACCAGTTGATCGGTGAAATCGAGTCGATGGAGGGTAATGCGGGTGCAATTGTTCGCGCTGTGACCGAGGTTTGTTTCATCCGATGACTAGTATATTATGCGGCTAACGATAGCAGGTCATGTATAGTCTTTGCCACCAGAAAGAAACGGTGACCCTCAAGGGTATTTGTAATTCACTTTCGCGGCGCCCACAAGCATTGGATGTAATTCTACTTTTCCGAACCTCGAAACAGGTTCTGCAACCTCTCTGTGCCTTGTTGGACAACTGGCACTGGGATGAAGATCAAGGCGAGAACCAACTCGTTTACGACGAATTTGGCAGTATTCTATTGCTAATCCTGGCGTTCAAGTATCGCTATGATCTGAGCCCCTCTGATATCGGAATCTCAAGCAATAATTCTTTCTTGTTGAAATTGTTTGATCGAGGTACCTGCAGTCAGAAGCTGAGCGACCTCAGTGAGAAGCAGAACAAAGACCTTGGCTCGTGGATTACAGCTCTGTTCATCGCGGAGGGTATCAACGAGGAGACTATGTCGTCTTGTAGTCCCCAGGAGTTCTATCTGCTCGTGGCGACACTATTCGATCAAAGTCTTGGGGCGTGTGAGTCAGGAAAGCTAGATTTTGAAACGGTGAAAGGAGGTTTTGAATGTAAGAAAGAACCCATTATCCCACGGTCGGGTCAATTCGCTAACTTCCCTAGATCTTCTGGAACCTTTCTTGCTACCTGCTCTAGTGGTTGCTCTTGCTTGGCTTGGTAATCACATCTGGGAATCCGAAACCGACCCGACAATACCTCTGAAAACCCTTCTCTCCCTGGTGAAGCCAAGCTCAATCTCTGGCGAGGCCCAAGCAATCCACAAGACAGTTCTCAACATAACTGCCCGCCCTCTTGAAGAGCAACTGAAAGATGTTCGCACCAGACACCAATCCAGATCAGACATCAAACCGATCCTTGACGCCCTTGAACCATACCTCTCTTTCCGACGCGTGGGCAGCTCGCATCGCTCCGAGCTCGACAACTGGGCCGCACAGCCAGTTGGCGGTCTTCCAGGAAGTATCCGCAGTACACTTCAGTCTCTTGTCCTTTGGAGTAGCAATTCCGAGATGGCCGTGCAGCCACAATCCTACACACATCGTCAAATACTCGCCGGAATCCGGATTCTGGGATCCATGCGAGTGCTCGGTGCCATGCTCGACGAACTGAAACAACAAGCTGAGACAGGCAGCGTTGATTTGGCTCTTGATGTCGCGGCAACTATTGTGTGTGCGCCGATGGCCGAGTCTTTTGCTGTTGACCAGAATTGCTGTCAACCTGTTGATTCGACCAAGGAGGCGTTGCCTCGCTGCCCGATCCTCACGCTTAGAGACGCGTTAGCGCTGCAACACGACAATGTTCCCAAGATATCAGAGAAGGACCCCGTACGGGCGGAAATTGTTGTCAGGCTTTGGCGTCGTGTCAGTGTGTTGGCAGCGCCTCCATCTCAAGTCTCGAATATCGATGTCAGCAACATTATCCAGAATATGCACCTCGGTGGTGTCGATGGACAGGATCGTATGGATCTTGAACCTACGGCCGGTGGTGTGAGTGGCCCTGGAGTCGGTGACGATAATCCAGACAATATCAGCGATATGCTCGATAAAGCTGCCGCCGCTGCCGCAGCAGGCATGGATGGTGGTGTCGGTGTGGTTCAAGATCTGGGTCAAGATCTGGGTCAGGATCTAGGTCAGGATTTGGGATTGAATGTCGATACTGGGATGGATACTACAGGGATGGATGCTATTGACGACGTGCTTAATGCGGCGGATATGGCCGTTGGCAACCCGGAGTTCCTAGATCTCGACATGGAGGGGATGTTTTAATCGTGATATGCGAGGCATACAATATAGCATTCCGCGAATGAGGTTCAATCGCGATAAATTATATTTGGATATTATTCAAATAGATTTGCAGGCTGGCTGCGTAAGAGAAAAAAATGCCTAACTCCATCATTGCACCGGTTTTTTCCGCTTTCTCTTCAGGGCTCCGACTCAGATACTTCCAATATTGTGGGCATCTGGTTTCCGGTCTCTCGTTTGTAAATATCTCCCCAGTCATTAAATTCATTTCTGTTTGCAACCTCGATTAGCGAACGTTCGAAGATTCTTGATTGATCTGAGCATACAAAGGTTCAATTCCTTCTCAACCTTCATGGTGAGCTTGGGAATTCCCGAGTGAGGGTACATCATCTCCAGAAGATCCATAGGCTTGGGAATAAGATCTCGCTTGTTTCCGACTGGGGCTGCGGTGACCATGGAGGAGAGAGTGACAGTGGCGAGGATAGCGATCAGCTTCATTGTGATGTTGTGTGTGGCTTTGCCTAGGCACGTGGTATGTTAGCTCTTGTTTACTATAGATCAAACTTTCAGTTGTCGAAAACATTGTTGTAGCAAATGGTATTCCTACCTTGGAAGATAGTTTCAAACGAGTGCGTGGGTTATTGGGGATTTGGTTACTGAGAGCAATCTGGTCAAGGTCGAAAGATTCTTATTGTGTTTTCTAGCAGGGGCATGTCCCTCCTTGGAGGGAGCGCTAAGTTCCTCTCATTCCAGTGAAATTTGGATCAAAGGGCTCCGTTCCAGGCGTGAGGAATCCTAACGCGACGCGTCAATACGTAGCGTGTCTACTGATATCCCTGTGGAATTTTCTCATCCACCTGGACACCTGGGCACCTGGGCACCTGGGCAAGTGGTACTTTTCTACTTGATATGTCAAATATAGAGCATTTCGAATTGACAGTCTCCCTATCTCGTTAAAACTGTTGAAACCATAATCCCCTCTGTTTTCGTGGCTTACACATTCGTCGCTGGAAGGGCTCCTGGTGAGACGCGGCTGACGCAAGGGGTGGCGGGTTGACACGTTCGATCATAAACTTGAACAACGTTTGCCAGATGCAAGGTGCTTGATTTGGAACAGATCGAGTGTGAGATCTATTATGTATAATATATCCGTAACAGTGGGCTTAACGTCCTTTTGTTTGTGAGCTGTCTATACGATAATGTCCTTTTGCTCTGTTACTATTGAATGTGTATTTGGTGGCTTATGGGGTAAATTTGCATAACGTTCAAGTTGGAAGTACGGAGTCGTACTCCGTACTCTGTAGTATTGAATTCATATTCCCAGCGGCAGCAATATTAATTATTGGTAGCCGTGGGGGGGGGGTTGAGCAAAGCAGGTGAGGCATTAAAACTACTAATTGTTTCCGGGTCGTCTAGATGAGACTTTCTACAATCTCCATGCATATTTCCGTACAATTTTTGTGATAGTATATCTATAACTTTATCAGAATGCCTAGGGCAGCTAGAATCGGGCAACATCCATAGATATTAGTACTCTAATATTCCAATTCGATTTCCATCAGTTTCCAACGTTGAATTGGATACCTAGAATCATCCGGAGAGAGATACTCATTACTGCCACGTATTACAGGGTTCCATCTTGAACAAAAACATATTAGTTGGTATTCCTATTCTTATAAATCCACGAAGTAGTAATGGTCGGCTTCAGGATTAAGCATGTCCACTCGACTTCTGATCAGACCCGGAGCAAGAAAAGCCTCCGACTGCCTCCTGGAATAAGATACCAATTTCCTATTGACAACTAGTCAATATTTAATGGCTTAGTTAAGGAGTACTCGTACTCCGTACAGCCTTGATGGTATATTAATTTGCTCCTGTACATATTCCAAGTGCCTGGTCCGTGGTACCGTGTGCTCCATTCTAAACGCGAAGGATTCCGTCCCACCCGCGCGGCCCCAAGCTGGCATTACGGAGCAAAGCTCAGTAATTAAGAAAAGAAAAAAAGGTCAGATCCACAAGGTATCAGCCGGCCCTCGTGGATACTGAAACTGTGCGAGCACGGCTTGAAGAAATCGGGGGCGGCCCGTAGCAACCGCACGGGAACCGACTGACCTTCCTGATTGGGATCTATGAGACCCATTGACGAAATGAATAACAAGCCACCGTGCCACCAGGCATGAATTCGCGTGGATGATGTTTTCCATTTACTCCTTTTCAGCCTTCGGTACACTCCGTAGGGACAAGAAGGCAGCGGAAATCGGCCGTCAGCTGCTGAAGGATCGCCGGGGTCCCGAGTGTTCGTCATTAAGTTCGACGGCGTCAGAGGCTTTCTTTTTCTAGACTTTCCATAGCGTTCAGCCACGCTTATCGTCATTTTAGAGAAGAATCCCGACAGAGCGGAACACCCCTCTGCTCCTTATGCAGAATGCAATTGACGAGCGCAAATCTTTTCCTGGTTTTAAGAATAAAAATTAATTAAAGAAAAGGGAACCGCAGAGTCGGCCCCGAGAAATGGGCGTTTTTGGAGTCCACTTCGCATTTCCACTGAACAAGCCTACGAGTACTGTAAAGCTCCCAGCTTGCTCGCTGCCCAGCTTTGGGCACCGGTTGTTAACACTTGACGCACGAAGTGGGAACTCCGTCCCGTCCGCTAGAGATCTGACTGTCCGATTTGACAGTGCTGGAACCAGACTTTCGGCTTGTGGTGAACACTGTGCAGTTCGAGCACCTCGTGCACTCTGCAGGCACACGGGTGATGCACACTTTGCGCCCGGGAAGATCTCTTCGCTTGTGACTTCCTGGCTTCACGATTGGCTGTGAGTGGTTTGTGATGAGCCTTTTGTATCACCAACCTCATGTGCTCAACTCGGACGGGGAGCTTTTGCACATCGCTCGGGGAGATTCCTTGTCAAGGAAATCTGCTTCTCTCTTCGCGTGGGGAGGAGCTACCGAAGGGGAGGGTGTGATGGGGCCCGGATCAGATCCCCGATCCTGAGGAAACGGATTGTTTTCCCTTCATGGTTGGAAGCGGGGAACTGTAAATTGGTTCCTGCGTTTTTTTCAGGTCCCCATTTTAGGTGATTCCGGAGTGAAAACACTCAAGGAGGGGCTCAGCCTTTGCTTTCACTCATGCGGGCTTTTCATCACCCTCACGTATCGTGGGAAAACGAAGGAAGATCCCGAGCTGTACCAACTAAGAAAAGATCGTCAATTCAAAGTGGATGCTTTCAGCACGTTCTGAAGGTCAAGATAGGAGGCAAGAACCAAGCCCCGCCGCCATCGCTCTTCTTGACTGGCGTGGGTGCCATGAAATGAGCTAAGGGCATCCACTTAGATCGCCGATGAAGCCCCACCAGAACGAACTCTTGGTTCGAGATGATCTTAACCACTCAGTTCGGGTTAGCTTTTTTGGTTGCTCGAACAACAGTGCTGGATTAGATGGGACAAGTTGATACTGGAAATACCCTTGGAGGTTAGCAAGTTTTCAAGGATAATTGCGAAATAGTATGTACTCGTGTATACTGCATTGTCAGCTGAAGGATTGGATATATGGCGAGGCAAAATAAGGCAGCACAGGGCTATTTGGCTAGTACGAGTAGGATGTACATACACTCGTAGTTTGTACTTACCCACTGCTGCATGCACTGGGCGATCTAGTTGCCACATATGATCGTCAAACTCCAGACTCAAGTGGCGGACCTGCTAAGTATAGAGAGGCAAGTGGAGAGGTGAGATTCCGAGGGTCAAGTTAACCAATATAGTTAGTTACCCAGAACAGACATTGTCCTGATGTACTGATGTACTGATGTGCTTTTGTGTACTCAAATTTCAAACAAAGAAGCCGGTTATACTTGGCATAAGGACGTATTGTAATTTCCATACCGCGGGGACTCACACGTAACGGCCACTTGCCGGTAATATTACAGGCGTACCAGTAATCCACGTGAGCTCCCCCTGAGTTGCCGACTCTCGACTGTTTCCTTCTCGTGTCTCCACCGCGAAAACAATTATCTGTCCGAGAAAGAGAGTGGCGACTGGGCTATAGGATTGCATGGTGCAAGAAATGGCCCGTGAGTAGTGATTCAAACGGTTTCGTGGAGTACGAGTAGCCAGCGCAACACACAGAACCATGGGACCCAAACCATGATCGTCCTTTCAATCCAACGCTTCGTCCCAAGCACAGAATTTTTGATCATAATGACGATAAAAGACCAACAACTAGTATACGGAATAGATGGGAAATTTACGATCAGCCCTCCTCGTCCCGTCCCAAGACAAAGAAAGAGGGGCAGCGGCAACGGCGTCGCTCTCGTCGAACCCTAATTGAGGGGCAGCTGTTGGAACTATCGATTCTAACGACCAGACCAACGCCGCTCTATTTAGAATGTGCATATGACAGCAAGTCATTATTTCTCCAGTACTCTGGTTAACTAGCAATTGCCTCGGGATGGTTTCTTTGCGCGAAGCAGACTATCGTTTTCTTTCAAGTTGGCACGGTTCATTTGATATATTGCTACTCCACACTGGCAGCTTTCAATTCCTTCGATTCAGGGGTGGTCGCGAAAACGACAGGGAATGAGCCTTAGTGTCGCATATACCTTCAGACACGTGCCACGGGGCTTTCTTTCTCAAAGCTCACTAGACTGGCCTCCGAGTCACTCTGGGGGCCGATCATCAAACTACTTCGAGCGTTCTGGACTTGACTCTCGAACCCCCCCCCCCCCCCTTTTCCCCTCCGGTCCCCCCCCCGGTCCCCCCTTTCGGCAGCCCCAAACTGGCTGAACGTTGCACTATTGATTTCTTTTGTAAATGATGTGCCGTGAAATTCGGCATTTTGCAATGCTCTGCCGAGATGGTGCAAGAGTACTAGTTTTCAACATAGATCTCCTCCACGTAATGGGTTGAGCTGGGATATCATCTAGACTGCACGAAAGTGGGTATATGATCGCATTGCACATCGCGTTCGTTCCTAAAATGCATCTCGCGACTGGCTGGAACATCCCTGACAGGCGCAGGCGCAGTTGCATCCACACCACTGTACTATGTATCCACCAAAAGATCCCGATTCTTTGTTCTTTGGAGCCTCGGAAGCTCCATTCCGCCCGCGCTAAAATAGATAAATAAAGTCCAGGACTCCGCCAAAAAGGGATCCAAATTTGGGAAGAAACTCGAGGTGCGGAGAAAACTTACCAGGCACTATCGAGAGAGGCAAAAAATGGAGATCTCACATTAACTAACAAAGAAAGTCGACGCGTGGCGCTAGACCCCGGTCGGGACCCAGCGACAAGGGACGGGGAACGAGACGGGCAAAGTTTGGAAAATACAGCCATTCTCCTACGATGGCGATAACTCGATAGCCTCGTAGATAGCGGCGCCGCTGACATGGATTAGGGACAGGGGGCTTTCGAGGCGATTCCTTCGACCAGAAAGTACCGGCTGAGCCGTTGCGCGGGAATGTGTCGACCAATCCATCGTGCCACCGCGGTCGGAATTAATTTATTATGGACTCCATAAGTCTCGCGGATTCCTTTCCGGCGCTTTAGACTTGTCCATCATTGCACAATCTTGCATGTCTTGTGGAGATGTGTAGTCCCATCGAAGCTCGCCCCTTTCTTTGACTCTTGGCGGCGGAATGTATTCGGGGCCGTTGGTCTTTGATTTCGGAAGTGAACGGCCATGTTCTGAAGGTATGATATGTATTGGGGGTATTGATTGTATTGGTATTGAGGTATGTATTCAAAGGATACGATTACCTAATGGCATGAAAATAGGATCGATGTACGAGTATACGGAGTATCCAATATCTACATAAATCGCCAATGATCTGTTCCACCAACCAAATCGTCGGATCTGGTCGCCGTAGATTACTGCATGCTACTGTACGCTTTAAGTTGCTGGGAATGATCGATCTTGGTCCCTTCCCATTGGAGGAGCATATTCATTGTTAGTGTTGGCCGGGGTAGCGGAAGCAATGGCGATATCGAAAGCTTTCCCAGTGATCAACCACCTGTACCATGGCTACACTCCCGACTATACATATCAATATCCTCTATTTGGGACAGTGAATTCAATATATGGCTTGTTACTTAGCATTATTTTTTTAATTCTCATCGTGTGGAATTCCAGTGGCGATACATTGATCCTTTTGATGAAAGTGACATCACAAGCTCCATCTTCTCGAGTCCACATGTGACATAACGTATATCCATCCGTAAGTACGAAAGACAAATTGTATGTATTTTATTATATCCACTCTTTGACTCCATATTCTGTACTGTAGACCGGCAATAACCTGTGCGTAATGAATGTCATGACACGAGGAAGAAGATAATGCGGTTTGTGTAACGATTCATTCATGTGGCGTAGCTGGAATCCGCGGGGTAGATTCCTAGGGAAACAAAATTGCATCCCGCAGTTGTCCTGCATATGAATTCTTGAGAATTGAAGCTGTACGCGGGATAATTGAATCAATTAGTCGATGCAGTTACACGAGTTAATAGATCGAATTCGTTGAAGATCCAACTGCAGTCATCAAAACTTGATTTGCTGCAGGTACCTGCCGCACTATTCCAGACTCTCGGTCGTGGGCCTGGCATATGCATGATCTCAGCCTCAGTCTGACCGCAACAAAAAAAGGCCACGAGGTTACACAGCGTGAACATGGAAGAGTGAAACAAGGAAAATATGCGCGAGCAGCGCCAGACAATTATCAAGCCACGGTCGGCAGCGGTTTGTCTACATTCAATTCCGCAGCAGCAGCAGCATCATCACAGTATCCAGCCTTGGAACTTGAAAGAAACTTGAATGACCACTATTAGGCATTCATTTGCACGATTTAGACCGAGGCATCTAGTCTCTACTTAGTAGATCTTCGAGTTGGCCCCGGGGTAGAGTCGCTCAATTTTCAGACTGCGTCAGAGTCGCTGAATTCTAATTGCCCACCTGCAATTGTCGGAATGACCCGATATATATTTCAAAAGATGGCGTACACACTACCGCATATTGTGAACAGATCAACTCTTGATGGACTAAGCAACCAATCAAAGGTCCCATTGAAGGTGAGATCAAACCATGCCCTGATTATTTGTCATGTTTCCGTGCCTCGCGGGTGATTACTTTCTTGTCTAGGCTCCAAGATCCCAAATGCAAACCACTGACTCGGATACCGAGTCTGTCTGCTTGTGACCGACCGAATTGCGGCGATCTAGCCCTAGCCAAAGCTGAAGGCCTGCCGTGCGACCGTTCGGGACTAACGATTGGCACCGAAGTATCAAACCCCGCGAATCAGTTCGTTATGCCTGCCCCCCAAAGTGGAAAGAGACTGTGTCATGTCGGTCGAGTATGCAGCAGGAGATTTTGTCGGATGTGCTTCGCTAAGTGAATAAAACGATGGCCTTGAAATACGATTCTTACATAGATTTCTCAGTACTGTAGGATTCACCTTCCGCTTGTGATCTAGCGAGTTTGCTGATGTTGAATCTATTGCGGCATAAGCATGTACCACGCAGTGCCTGAATGCCAACCCCAACCCTCGGTGTTCAGGGAGAAAGAGAGAGAAAAAAAAGCCACTCTATCTCCCCCCACGTTCTGCATCAATGTGCTTTCGTCAAGGAAATTTCCCGAGCTATTTGCCTTGTTCTGCATCGGAAGTACGGTGCATTTGAAGAAGGTCGTTGTTTTGCCCCACAATTTGGGCATCAAGTCTCGTGTCTGTTCGCCAGGAACGCGTTCGCCATGCAATGCACTAAGCAAACCGAACAGGTCGAGATCAGCACTACGACCTAGAGCAAGGAGATTGTCAAAAAATCCCCGTGTTGGCAGCGCGCCAGCTGCGGGACGAGACGCAAGCAAACGACAGTTCTGAGACAGATGATGTCTTGATGAAAGTTCAGTAACGATTAGCTATGAATATTATGGACCTCCAACTCCTGACTCAACATCAAACATGATAGCCTTGGGGAAGACCCTGATCTTGGGCGGTTGGGAGACGGTAAAACAAACAGAGCAGCCCACTTTGTGCCGAGGGACCCGCCTAACAGCTTTCCCCAAAGCTCCATCCGAACGGGGGCGATGTGAGTCGTTGCCGTGATCGAAAACTGGCCCGAGCATCGCAATCCCAAGAGCGGTCCCATGGTTCAAGATTAGGGGGGCCAACGGAGCTTCTCCCCAATTCAAGTTCTGTGCCGCAGATCGTAACCCTTGGAGGGGAGGGGGGAGAGATCGCGCACACTCACACGCGCCCGACTGTGATGATGTGGAGGGGGCTTGCATTCGGCCTTGGAGGCTGGTGATGCCCATTGGACACCCCCCGCCCGCATCATTCCCGGAGATTTCATTTCTCGCTGGTCGCTCTCGTCCAAGCATGTCTTTGTATGGAGTAAACTACTGTGCAGAACATGTGACTGGTGGGAGATGCACCAGTCGAAGGATGCGATGTGCATCGCAGAATTTTATTATGGACTGGCAACTGCAGAATCACCGAGACTACGTTGATTCGCGTTTTGGTTGGATGAAGGAGGGTCAATTCCGCACAGCAGACTCAATTCGGTAAACGCTTCGTTCTCCATGTGAATTTTATCCCAACAAGTGTATTACTGTATAGTTACTAAGAAAATATTCATACAGCTATACAGTAACTACGGAGCAGGTCAGCAATATCTTTTGGGGTGTCCAGAAAGGGTGCGCAATGCGCAATGCTCCAGTTCTAGACCGTTGACGGGGCAAACCGCCTTCGCTGTCTCCATTTTTTCCCTTTGATAATTTTAGCACACAAGCTCGAGTCAAACTCCAGCTACGAGTAGGAACAAAGCTAACAGCTACATCATTATGATACTACCTGGACCCCATTCATCCATCTATGCACGAACGAGTTTAAAAGATACATGTACATCCATGGATTTACATACTCTGTACAGCCTGTTGTTCAAAAAACCCTCGTCCTTAATCTATTAATATAGAACGAGAAGATAATAAATCTCTGACTGTATTTAGTACGAAGCAGAGTCCCTTTTGGCCCTCTTCAAAAGTACAAAAGTACTCTGACTCTCACCCTCAAGGCTGAACGAGGGGGGACGGTCTAAGACAGAGCGGGTCCACGTCAAAGATTTCCCGTCCGCCCATGCCTCGCAGCTGCATACGCGACGGACTATGCCCTAACTATGGATGCAAATGCAAGCCGCGGGTGGTTCTGCAATGGGACCGACGTTGCCTGGCCGTTCTGATGTTCACGATAGCTCAAATTTCACCTGGGGAGTGAGGATGTTGCGTTTGGTGGATCCCCACCAACGCCGACACCAACGCAATCCAGCGGTTCATATCTGAATGTGCTTTTCGCCCTACGCGGGAAGATGAGGGGGTGTTGGGTTAAGCAAAGGAAACAAAGAAAGAAAGAAAAAAAAAACCCGAACTTGTTGGTGGCTGGATTGATGTTGGATCATGGAGTTTTTCGTTTTTAATTAATTTTTTATTTGCCTCATTCTTTCTTTGACCGATATGAAAACGGCACGATCATCTAGTATCACACTACGGAGTACTTATCGTAGTATAATTGTACGGATATGCGACCATCAATTGCTCTCTTCAGTCCTCCGTACTTCGACTAGAGAGAAACTACCTATACTTAGTGTCTCCCCGGCGTGATGTGCACCGAACCAGACTTATTCCGTCCGCTGTCACTTGGGGGGGCCGGTTGCTGCGCTGTCGATCCCCGGAAAGATAGTTGACAGGCAACGTGAGGGCGAAAATTGCCACAAGGTGACTGATCGAGTCCGTGTTTGGGGCTGCAGGCTCCAGCACACGGCCAGTGCATTTCAAGACATTGACCGGAGTAAACCCCCACAAGAATTCTTCCAAGGGGGCGTTGTGATTCGCGCGGCACAGCGGGAGGCTTTTTTTTATGGTCGGCTTTCCTTTGCGTAAACAAATTAAAAACCACCAAAAATTGGGAGTGAAAAAAAAATTAGGAAATGGGCCTTCGGTCTGGAACGGGAAGCGTTCGGCAGATGCAAGGTGGATTCGCCCAAAAACAAGGTCTGGGAGCACTTAACCCCATAAGAAAAAGTACGGGTTGGTACGAGTATGGAGTACTGTTCAACAGTGGTACACTAGGTACGCTAACTGCCAGGCGAGCTTCGTGCTCCGTGCTAGTGGCGCCATTGCGGGACAGTATCAGTGTTTGGATTGCTTCTGGACTTGGAGGGGAGGGGAGGAGGGGTTTTCTTTTTGACAGAAAGAAAGAAGGTGGAAGAAAAAAAACACAAAAAACAAAGTACGTTAGAAAAAGAAAAAAAAAAAAAAGAAAATAATCTGTCATAGGGGAAATCCAGCGAGACACATAGCGGGAAAAGGTACTATTGGGCCCTAGGTACAGATGGGATGAAAAAGCATAAGGACCAGACTGCCGCGGGTGTAATAGTATTACCATCGAGGAGAGGTAAGAAACATAAAACAATTAAAGATTACCAACTCTATACAACTTACAACTACGTAACTCACCCCCGGTCTGTAATGCTGTCACAATATAACTCATCACCCCCAGTCAATACGGGGCCAATACGTCCGGTGGATTCCATATGGATCGTCCCGATCGAGTCCCAGAAGAATCAACTGGGTCCTCCTCGACTCCAGAGGAGCTCTCGTTCTTATTCCCTTAATCCCTCGCCCTCCTCTTTTCTTTCCTTTACTGTTCCATTTTGCAGTCCCTGCCTTTTTTTTCCCTTGATTTATTTCTAATTTTGATCCAAGTCCTTTCTCTTGGATCTTTTGTGCCATTGCCGCCGGTGGCAATATAACATTCATTCATCCCTTTCGTGACGTCCTCCGCCCTTGCGTTGAGGATCGAAAACTATCAACGAAGCGCTAGAAATAGAAGAAGGGGATTCCTATTTCGTCATTTACTACTGCAAGTCAGTTCGCGGGTCTTTACTCGTCCATCCTTGCTTTACGATCTTCATCTACAAAGCTGGCGCACTTGGACTCCCTTCATAGACGGAGACGCAGTGCATGATCCCCAACCTCGCATTGACACTCGAATTGCGACTTGTCATCCCTCCCGGCTGGGTCCTTCTTATGTTCCGGACTCCTTTCTTGGAAGTCTGTCACTGTTTATAGTTTGATTACTTGATTGTTATTGTCGAAAAAAGGGTGCGTTCGATCTCCCAAGTCCGAGACCTTTCTTTTGTTTCCCTTTCCTACCCCCCCAGCATTCCTCTGGGACTCCTCTCTCCCTCGACTCCCTTGGTATCGCGCATTCTTTCCCCCTCCACAAGGAGCACAAACAGTCTTCGATCCCTATCGTCCTTTCAGCCACCCGATCATTGCTGCGCCCGCGCCCTTAGGAAACGGCTCCAGTTGACCTTGATGTGTAGGATTATCCCAGCCATCTGTCGATCCGCCCTCCCTCCCCGCTCTCTTCTCCCTCAATTCACCATTCGACACTCTGTCCAATTCATCCTGTTGGAATAGTATCCAGCAAAGCATGTCAACTGCATCTATCATCGACTAAGCGCATCCGGTCCGTGACCATAGCGGTTTCTGAGAAACAATCACCACCACAACCAACAGCAATATCAACAACAACTTGTCCAACAGATACCATACAGAATAAAGAGAACAGATTCAATGAAGCCGAACATACCACCATTAAACATCGCTAAGTCGAATTCGCTTATCGACGACGCCGACGCCGACGTTGACGCCAACCCCAACAATAAACAAACGCCGGCTCGTTTCTACTCGAATCACGGCCAGTCGGAGGCCACCCCGCCATTAACGCCTCAGGGAACTAAGGAACAAGACATAATGGAACAAATCGAAGCCCCGAGGGCTGTCTTTCACAACTATCTCCGCGCATTCTATCCTTTCCACCCGGCCGGAAATGTCTCGCCATCCACAGTCACTCTACCCCTCGATCAAGGTGATATCATCCTGGTCCATTCCGTTCACACCAATGGCTGGGCCGATGGTACCTTATTAGATTCTGGACATCGAGGCTGGTTACCGACGAATTATTGCGAAGCATACGACCAAATCGCCATGCGTCCGTTATTAAAGGCCTTGACGGATTTCTGGGACATCATTCGTGGAGGATGCGGGTCATCATTAAAAGATTTTGGAAACCAGGATTTAATGCGAGGGCCCATCGCGGGGGTCCGCTTTCTACTGGTAAGTCCAAGTTAGCTATCGCAGCAGCTGTCGAGAGGCCCTGATCTACTACAATATAGATTTCCATGATTCCCCCCCTCTTTCCCCGCGAACCAGACTGACCCCCTCATCAGGAAAAGTCAGAATGCTTGACGCGGGAATCTCCGCTTGTCAAGAAATACGATGGGCTACGGAGGATTCGAAAAGCTTTGCTGTCCGATCTATCATCGCTAGTCAAGACTGCCAAACGATTTCAAGAAGTCGCCAACGGTACCCCCGCCGAAGATGAAGTTGAAAGCATCCTGGACGAGATGCTCCTGAAGGCCTTCAAGATCGTCACCCGGGGTGTTCGGTTCCTCGACGTTTGGGATCAGGAAGTTGGACTCACCCGAACAATCGCCGACATGGAAGCCGCTGGTGAACGGAGCCAATACGAATTGCCCCCGACCCCAGCATCCGACTCGTTCAGCACTGCCGACACTGCGATCATCCCCGATAGCTGCTCGGAACGGAATGAGTCGCGCCAGATGAGCCGCAGCCGCATGGATATGAGCCAGGCATCGATGCGCACGGAGATGTTCGAGCCCTCCCGCCCATTGTCAGTTTCAACGAAGAGGATATCAGTATCTCACCGAGTCTCCTACTCCGGACCCTCATCTGCCATTCGTGCGGAGAATTTGGCCTCGGACCGACTGGGCACTACCTACGATGCCTTCTTGGGTGTTCTTGGGTCGTTCATCGGCTTGCATATGCAGTCTCGCTCCTCGACGGAGCTGGTGACCACCACTCAACAAGCCGTCTCGTCCTGTCGGGCTCTGTTGAATGTGGTTGAAGCTGTCTGCGAGCATGACACTCAGCGTAGCGTTCTCCTGCAGGAGGCTCGTGAGGCTATGTGTGAGAAGCTATCCGAACTCGTCCACGCTGCTCGCGATGTCTTCCGTCCGGCTCATGCGCAGGAAGATGATCTTGTCTTTATGCCGGATGAGGGTAAGCGACTGGTCGATGCGGCGACGGACTGTGTGCGGGCTGCAGGAAACTGCCTGGCCAAGGCTCGACTGGTTCTGGAGCAGAATGGAGATATCGAACTGGAAGCAATTGACGAGGAAACGCCCAGTCAGGGGGTACCTGATATTGTGGAGGAGAAGACCGACCCCGTGACTTTGACTGAATCAACAGAGGAAGGAACCGAAGTGACTGAAGTGAATGAGGAAGGAACGGACAAGGGAATGCGCCTTCCCCCGCCCCCCCCTCCAAATTCCAAATGCGACCATCGCGACTTCCCTGACTGCCACTGCTCCTTCCACTCCCGCCCTCACCGATGCCGCCAGCGCCAACACCGCCAACAACCCAACAACTCCCTCCTTCTTCTCTCATCTCTCTTCCTCTCACACTTCTGCCCTTTCTTCCCTCCCCAACTCCGCCATCCTTCCCACTCACCTTGAAAACTGTCAATCCTTCTCTTCCTCTTACGATTCCTACCGTGAGAGTCACCCTAAGTCTGACGTGAGCGAATCCTTCGGTCGTGGTGTGACAAGCACGGGTAGTAGCTTCACCTACAACAGCCACGCTCGTGATTCCGAGATGAGTGGCGTCTCCCAGACTTCTACCAGGGCTACCTCGCCTGATATTGGTGGTAGCTTCACCGATAGCTTCAAGGTGCCTTCCCTCAAGGAGAGTCTCAGCCACTCGACCTTGGCCGAGGAGAACGAGGAGACCGAGGCTCACTTGCTCGAAAAGACCTTCGCCCATGAATTGGTCTACAGGGAGGGCCAAGTGATGGGCGGCAGTATGTGTGCTTTGATCGAGAAGCTCACTGCTCACCAATCCACCCCGGATGCCACCTTCGTCTCCACCTTCTACCTCACCTTCCGTCTCTTTGCTACCCCGCTGGAGTTTGCTGAAGCTCTCGCAGAGCGCTTTGAATACATCGGTGATACACCTCACGCTGCTGGTCCCGTTCGGTTGCGCGTGTACAACGTGTTCAAGGGCTGGCTCGAGTCTCACTGGCGCCACGATAGGGACAATGATGCGTTGGAGTACATCCTGAACTTTGCAAAGACTCGTCTCATGAATGAACTGCCCACTGCTGGAAAGCGCCTCGTCGAGCTCGCCGAGAAGGTGTCTGCCGTCCACGGCCCCGTCGTCCCCGTCTGGTTTCTTCCATGGGCAAGACCAACACCGCGATCGCCCAATACGTCAACCCTGATACCCCTCTCCCTCCTTGTATCATCGGCAAGAAAGAGAACCACCTGTTGAAGCAGTGGAAGGATGGCTCGGGCTCGATTAGCATCCTGGACTTCGATCCTCTCGAGTTGGCCCGGCAGTTGACCATCAAGGCGTCTCGTATCTTCTGCTCCATCCTGCCTGAGGAGCTCCTTGACACCGAGTGGACCCGCAAGTCTGGCTCATTGGCCGTCAATGTCCGCGCTATGACCACTCTGTCGACCGACCTTGCCCACCTGGTCGCTGACTCCATCTTGTGCTTGGAAGAGCCTAAGAAGCGTGCTGCCACCATCAAACACTGGATCAAGGTTGGAAATAAGTGCTTGGAGCTGAACAACTACGATTGTCTCATGGCAATCGTCTGTGCCCTGAACCTGTCCACCATCGAACGTCTGAAGCGGACCTGGGACTTCGTCTCGCAGAAGACCAACAACTCCTTCAACAATCTGAGAAACATCGTCAGTGTGGATCGGAACTATGTCGTCCTCCGCAAGCGCCTTCAGAACCATGTGCCGCCGTGCCTACCTTTCCTCGGAACCTACCTCACCGACTTGACCTTTATCGATCATGGCAACCAGTCCCTCCGCTCCCTGCCGACGGATGATGGTAAGATGGCCGGCATCAATTTCGATAAGCACATGAAGACCGCCCGCATTATCGGCGAGCTTCAGCGATTCCAGATTCCCTACCGCCTGACCGAGGTCCCTGAACTCCAGACCTGGATGCAAAACGAGCTTGTTCGCGTTCGCTCTAATGGTGAATCCACCGCGCAGAAGTTCTACCGCCGGTCCTTGATCCTCGAACCCCGTGTTCATGGCAGCTCGACCAACCTCCATGCTCAAGCTCAGGCCCAGGCCCAGGCTCAAGCTCAAGCCCAGTCTGAGTCCAACCCGCCTTCTATGCTCGAGAATGCCAAAGACAAGTTTGACTTCCTCTCTTGGACAAACCCCTCCAAGCCGAAGTCTATCGCCACGAATGGCTAAACTTTCATCTCTCCCTCTCTCGCACTCATCACATACACACACACACTCTCTCTCTCTCTCTCTCTCTCTCTCTCTCTCTCTCTCTCTCTCTCTCTCTCTCTATCTCTCTCTCTCTCTCTCTCGTTCTCTATGCAAGATACCCCCTTCTCGCTCTATCACCTTCACACATTTACGATTAATGACAACCGCGATTTCTTCTTCCTTTCTGGTCCCCCGTGTCTTATTTTATCATTTCTCTTGACCATCTTCATCAATGCTGGCTGCATATTTTGCTTTCCAAGTTTTCCTGCTTCTCCATCATTATGTTCTGTGAATATCCCCTTTTATTATTATCCTCTTCGGGCGGCGCTCGTCTTTTTTCGTTTTTGATTTCATCTTTCATTATTTCCTGTGAACCGCCGCGGGGAAATCGGTCCCAAGAAAAGCGCTTTACGGAATTGGGTTGGGTCTGGGTCTGGGTCGGCACAAAACGGCGTACACTCGGGGTTATCGACCTTTCATTTCGTTTCTTATCTTTCTTTGGTCTTTTCTCTCTGGTCTAAGGTGGGATTGGGAAAATACCGGGGGCTATGGGTGTGGGTTTTTGGCCAGTGTTTATCAACAGGCCACCATGTCCATCCCGCGAATCATCCTTTTTATCTAGAAAGGATAAGCCTCGCGGCTTAAGTGCAGCTAAAAGCTGCCTGGAATGCAACGAGCTTCGATCATCAATTTCTCCCTATGTAGTCTCGTCTTGTGTAATCTAGTAGTCATGCCATGCCATGCCGTAGTATGTCTAGTATGTACACTCTTTCTCGTTGTCTTTGTCTATACTCTCTCTAATCGTCTACTCTTATAAAGTATGTCCTCCGCGTTGAGGTATCTTCAATCTCTCCCATATCTATGTACGCCTCCGTATCTCATGCACATATGTACTGACTTGCTTAGTTTCACCGCGTCACAGACAGACGGGCTACTTATCCCGGACACCGCGAAAAGGTGCCAGTCTCGCCCGGGTGACCCCCCCCAACCCTATGATAAGGAAGAGGAAGCCCCCGTACACACAACGCCCGTACGGGTGGGCGTTTCTTTTTTTCGTTCTTTTTCTGGGGCTTCTGCTTTTTCCCATTCCCAGGCACAAACACCCAACGCGGGTCATGGTTCGGGAAGGGTGTATTGGGTTGACTGGGTTGAGTTGCTCTGCTCGCCCGTGTGTTTTTCTCCTCGATCTTTCGAGAACCATGCTAATGTCTTCGCCGTCTCCCCACACAGTTCCATCCATTCCCTTCTCAAATACCACGGGCGATGAAAATGAAAATATCTCGTAAAAACGAATTCTCATCGCCGTCTTTTTTCGGCTCCTTTCCGTTGATTTTTCCGTCTTTTTATGCTCATTGTGTTTTCGCGAGCCGAGCAGTAAAGCGCCACTAGCTCTTGACCATGTTCTTCCACGAGTGAATTCACAACCTGTGGTATTTCAACCGGTGGCTCCTCGTCACTCTCAATTGAATCAGCCTCCTCGTCCGATTCCGCGATGCTGGGCATCGGCAAAAGGTGTGTGGTGTATTCTGGTACTATCGGCAAGGCCCACATCATCAAATTATCCAGGCTTTTCCCAAGGTTGGAAGAGGTACATTGTTGACGCTCGGTGTATTGGACCTTGAGCTTTTGATCGAAGTATCCCCAAATAACGCGGACTTGGCCACCAAGGAAGGTGGTAACCAGCAGCACCTGGGAGGATGTTAGAAGAGTGAATGAGTGCGTGAGTCTGACGACCTGCTGGCAAAGGACTTACCGGGACGACGTGGTGCGTTTTGTTGTGCATGGAGACATTCTTGTCGTTCAGTCGCCACCAGACCCTTCTTTCCCAGTCTCCGTCTTTCATGAGTTGTAGTAGTACCTGTAGCTCAGTGACGGTGGGTTTGTCCGGGTTAGCGTGCACGTTCATCTGCAGGAGGGCCATTCGGTGGTTTCGTTGTTCTTCGACGACTTCCACGGCCCGACGGACTCTACAGTGGGACTGGGTATTGTTGAACTTCAGCTTTGCGTCGCGCGAGGAGTTGCTGTATAAGATAGTCAGAGTTTATTAAGATGGAGGATCTGTGATCTGAATTCCAAGCTGAGGGAGGGGGAGGTTGATAGGAGGGAAGGGAAGAAAGGAAGGAAGAAGCTTACAGGATGTCTTCCCATTCATATGGGACTGCCTTTCCAAACTCCAGTTCTCGATAGTGACGACCGAGTTGGATGTCGATCTCGTGAGAAAGTGCCTGAAGCAACTTGAGGTCTTTCTCAGAGTCGGGGTTTTTCTCAGCGTGGAGGATTCGACTTCGTGTCTTCATCAAGGTGGGCTTTTCGAGTTGGCCCAGATGATCCCGTCGTCCAAAGTATTGAGTCACGGATGGATGTGTGAGGCCAGTTTCGTAGTCCAGGTAATTAAGTTCGATACGGTTTTCCATATCGCCTGTGATCGTGTTGCCATCGGGACTATCTCGTAGACAGGCCAGGAGGGTAGAAATATCCTTTTTTTCTCCGTTGGTGCTCGAGCACCCAGAGGGGAACGCCGCTATCTCGAAATTGCGACATAGTCAGATGTTCGGGGTGCTGATGAAGAAAGTAGAAAGACAACGCCAGAATTTTCCTCCGGGGCTGGGTTTTATAGTGCAGAATTTGGGGGGCAGCTTCGCCGACTCCCAAAAGGTCCCCGACTACGGATTGGGTAGTTCCAAGGTAATCAAATGATTTCAGTCACTCCTAGGCCACGTCTACCTTTCGAAAGAGGCATACTAGAATTGAAATCGGCTTACTTATCTCTCACAGTCCCCTGGCAGGCCTTGCGCGAGCGACTCCCGGTCCCCGGAAAGAGGATTGAATCCGAGAAAAATGCAGATGGGAAGTATTATATAGAGTACGAGAGTCAAGAAATGTTAATATAGTATAAAGAAATAGACAAATAGCGACAGTTTGATTCGGTGAAATGGCAGGCGTATTTCTCAGCGAGACTTGAACGTCAAAGACTAGCGCAGAAGTCGAAAACCAGGGCGATTTAAGTTGCGAGATTCAATGTAGAGGTGGAATAATAACTATCAAGGTATATAAAACACGCCTTATGGCATGCGTATGAGAAGTCTGGAAGGCCGGCAGCTGCTGGGGCCTGGCTGAACAGGTAGAGTGCAAAGTTTCTGAGATAGTATGAAAGACGGGACATTTAGTCAATTTCATCTCCCACTACTAGGTATATGGCAGTCGAAATGCGAGCAAGAAGGGAAATGTCTGTGCATCATTGATACTGACTTTCCGTACGACTGCTAGGATTCTCATATAGCCATCTCCCGGATGACTGGGAGGTATGGATATCGGAAGCTTCCGGTGCCTCTGTCGGAGAATCTTAAAAGATTATTGAGCACAATTAGAGATGCTACCTAGGGGGGGTGATATACGCATGATTTGCAAGTATTCGCGAAAATTTTGCATTTATACAACTACTAGTTTGTATACTATTCCAAGGTTCGGATTTGATCACTGCATAGGCATTAAAACCTTCCAAGAACGGAAGGTGACCTTGATGTACCTTTTTGCATTCATTTACTGGTACTAGTCCTGCTCACAGGAACTTGAAGGATTGATGAAGGGAAGAATCGGACTTTTCAATATCAAAAGTGCAAAAATTAGTTGGAACAGGGTCAGCATGTACATGAGCTTCCAGGTGCACTTGCAGTGGTCGACGCGTCCACCACATGTTTGATCGTGATCGAACTCGCATGGAATACTAGGTTTCTTTTGTAAGAAATTCTTCAATAGGTCAACTTAGTCTCAAATTCCTTTTGTTACCCCCCCCCCTTGAACTTGGAAGACAGGTGGTCTTCTGCCGGACATCAGTAATCATGTAAACTATATCGGTCAGTTCTTTTTTTCAAAACATCGTCATACTCAACAATCGAGCCCGAAGCCCAATCTTAGTCTTATTTCTTTTTCTCCGAGCGAGAAAGAAGGTTTTATCCGATCAGATGATACAAATCCGGAGAGTCTCAATCCGTAAGCACGTGTGTAACCGTCTAGACCTCCGAATGAGGGGCAAAGCGATCTATCGCAGACACCTATTCAGGAGAGGATAATCCTTGCATAAGCCCCTCCGCCAACTTCCTCTCCTACATGAATGTCCGTGCCCCATCAAGGTCTAAAATTTCTAAGAACTGCAACGATTTGGAAGGGCGAAAAATGCAAGGGACGTGTCAGATCGTATATTATGTATGTAAATGTGGTTCGGGATGAGGAAGGGCCTCGTCGCACAGTGAACTTGAAGGGTTCGTGGTCATTGCATAATACAGATGCCTGAATCTGCATGCTTCTTACTTTCCAATGAGCTGGGACTAATCGGAAGCTGGTCAAACAATGTATGCGGGGCATATGAGTTTATGGCTTGCATGATGAGGGGTTGGTTCGTGCAAGTTCGTTCAAGCCCTGAATGACATATCATCAACCTTGGAATGATGTGGCGGGCTGAGGGTTCAACAGGATATTTTCCTTCTATGATCTGGCCATCGCTTTTCTTTAATGTCGGGTCTGTGTATTTGTATTTCATATGGCCAAAGAAGGAGTTTACCATACATGTAATTGTGTCCGTCAGTCTTGAAAGATCGGTATTAAGTGAAGACGACTTCGTCTTTAATATTCACGACAGGAAACGAGCCATCTGGGGTTGCACGAGTAGGTGGCTTGCTGAAGATGATAACTGAGATCGATTGCTCTACCAAAGGGTATTTGGACGTACCGCAATAGGCGATGTGGAGATATGTGGATTGTATGTGGCTATGGATATCTAATTCCCATACCGAAGTCTAAACGCTGCTGAAAAGTCCAAAGCATTATCTTCAAAGCAGTCATGCGGTACGACTTCTGCCTCAGAAGCCTGATGGACATGCTCAGACTGTGCCCGTAGATCGAGAATAGGGATCATCGAGGGCCGCCCGTGGGCACATTGGAATGGAAAAGCACATCGGGCCAATCTCGTGACTATTGTCTCGCACTCATCAATACTCAATGGGTCATTGAACATGATGGCAGTTCGGCAGGCACGGGAGTTGAGAAGATCGATGATTCCTTGGGGACAACCATTCAACTTGTGTACCCATGAATTGGGCAAGGCGGGATCATCTCCAATGGCGGTGTCCCCCTCACACGGAAATATATCTGAATCGGACAAGGAGTTCTTCAAAGATGTCTTTGATCTGTCTGCCCCCCTACCGTCCTCCTCCCTTGTCCAAATTTCCCGACGGAGCAAGTCAATCACCAAATCGGGCTCAAGACGGCAACGTTCGGCGATGAGAACCGGAAGTGTAGTCACCAAAACTATAGCTCCAGATTGAGATGGTTCAAGTTTGTATTGAATACCCCAATGTCCAAAGAATCCCAAGTATTTCTGAAAGAGCATTTGCTCTGTAGATGAGACATAGAGCGTAATAGGATCGACATCAGTTGTGCTGACTGTATTGTCATGAGTCGAATCAACCGGTCTAAGGAACATATCCTGGAATAGCTGTTCAACACGACATCGCTCATCTGCTGCATGTTGATCTACCAAGACAAGAACGTTGTCTTGGCCACGAAAATTGCCGTCGGGAGTGGCGATATCCATCTTCGCAAGAATGAACTTTCGATCTACCTGAGAGATGATAGTTGCCCCTGCAAGAACTTGTCGACGGAGCTTGCCTCTAAATTTAGCAACCCGCGCACCACCTAGAGATCCAATGTCCTGAAGACAGCTGTGCGAATTGTTGACGCTATTCTGTGGATAGTTCTCACCAATGTCAAGATTCGGCACCGGGATCTCTGTTCGACTGAAAATAGGATTATCCCATGACTTAAGCAGATTATCGACCCATACGTTCTCCGCCGGGGCGCTTTTTCTCTGTGGCTGTTCAGTCGAACCAGAAAATAGACTACCGGATCGCAACCTAGGTCCAAGGGACACCGATTGAGGATCGAGTGTCTGGCCTGTGCGTGCGTTGATTGAATGGGACTTTCCTGTACGTGGATCGGTCCAAGGTACATGTTGATCAGGAAGCGCATCAGACAGTGGGCATCCCGCCCCTTCGGATTCTGCATCTCGATGAATCATCGCCGGGAACACGGGATTAGCGGAGAGACGATGTGATAAAATTGAATCATTCGCATGGAGTTGTGGGCTTCTATTATTCCGTGGACGCTCCGGAAGAGACTGAAACTGTCGTCGATCCTGGAGATGGTCCTCATTAATTCTCGGGTCGCTGGGAGTTTCAAGAAAGGGCGCCCGAAATGAATCATCCTTGGCCGATTTAACCCTTGACCAGTTATTGAAGTGTTGGCCGGAGTTCACAGCTTGAGACCGTTGAAACGTGGGCAGTTTGACCCGAGCACCAAAGCCCTCTTCGGTGCTTGTGACGGAACTCCCATGCCTGGAGTTTAGAGAACGCCCGACGCTTTTTCCATCGCTAGTCTTATTTTGATCCACTCGGCTGGATGGCCGGGCTTGTCGTTTTGAAGCACGAGGGCGCAGATTTTGTTGTTTGAGGAATTCCAAGATCATGGCCCCAAGGACATCGATGATACGCTGGAGGGACTTTTCGGAGTCTGGAGCGATGTCATCCGCATCATCACAGAGGCTGTGGGATGAGCTCGTGTCAATTCTTATATAGAACATCGGCCATTTATTAACGGGCTTTGTTGAGCTTCGGCCACTCATGCTGGTTTCGGAGCGACCTGGCCCAGACGAAGGACGAGGAAGGGAGACGACCCGGGATAGATTCCCAGTACTACCAAAGTCCGACAGAGAAATCATTCTGTTGACTTCGCTGAACAGCACATTGGAGCCATTGCAAGACAAGATTGGCGTGTTACCCAGCGAGATGAACTGAAGCTTCTTCGAAGGGCTGGGTTCAGTTGAGATAGCGGCGCTGACCGTGAGATCGGGGACTATGGCAGATAAGACATGCCATGTATTCATGGTCGGCGATGTGGCTAGGCCAGATTGTGATAGAACCGAGCCAATACGCCCAAGATTAACCCCATCCACATCGGGCTGTTCGTTTCTTAACCGAATTGAAACCCGCTTCCCTCTCTCGACATCAGTGACATTCAGCTTGGATAGCTGATGATTGGCCAGCATGAGAGAAGCTAGCAAGTATCTAAGTTGCCCCCACTCTCGCTCCAGCTCATCTGGTTTCTGGAATGCGAGAGCACGACTTTTGACGCGCACCGGCATATTGCCGAACAGGTCATTGACGGTCACACAGGTACCGTGGTCACCGACTCGGAGATTCTGGTGTGCTGGGGCAGGAGTCAGCCGCGCAACAGGTCTTGAGTGATGGAAAATGATGGAGTTCGTGGTGGTATGTTGGGAATGACGAGACGTCACGGTTAGCAGAGCCAGGGATGCCAAGGAAGCCAGATATAAGCCTCGATGGCCATACATGCCAGGCTTTTGAAACTTTGACGTATCTGCACAGTATCAGTGGCCGGTTTGATCGCAGATCGCGAGCTCACGTTGCCTGTAACATACAATGTGCCTTTCCAAGCCCACCGGCTGTCTCGAATTCAGCCTGGGGAATACCATTGCCATCGTCTTCCACGATACAGCTTCCACGTTTGAAATCCACGGATATGAGAACCGTTCGTGCATTTGCATCCAAAGCGTTTTTCACCAATTCGACCACCACGCCATTGAGATGGTTGATTGAAGTGGAGGATTTGATTTTGGCAATCACATCGGAGGGAAGCGGTTTGAGATCTCCGGGCGAAGGCATGGCAGGATAAAACCTTGTCCAAAGGGTGGTGTATAGTTATTCAGCAAGGCATACTCCGTATAGGATTCCACAGATCGCGGGAATATCGCCAGTGCATGATGGCTGTGGCTTCAACCGGGTGCCATATGAGAAGTGGTATGTGACCAACAGGATGCAGCTAGAGAAATGCCAAATCGAATATAATTCCAAGTTGTCAAGTGGAAGTGATGAAGTTAAAGTGAAGTAAAGTGACAAAGTGAAGTGAAGAAAGGCAATGATAGACAAGAGCACATGATCGCGGAACAATAGTCATCCCGCCCCTTTGCCTCGGTGCGCTTCTCTTCCTCACGACAACTTGACTTCTTGACTTGACTTGACTTGATGTGAGAGTTGATCTCTTCCCGGTTGGCTTTTTCAATTGTTTGACACTATGGCTACTGCTGAAGGTCTTCCTCGCGCGCATGGTGAGTCTCTCCCTTTCCCCACCTCTCGTACCCCAGTGTGCTTGGCTAATCGTTGGGTATACAACCATAGATCGCAATGGTCGCCGTCGCCCATTCTCGAGCTGGATGAAACGTCTCGCCAGTCTCAAGAGTTCCTCCGACTCGGGAAGCCACCGCTGGTCTCACAAACGACAGACAAATAATAAGGGCAAGAAGAGCAACGGTCAAGGCAACAATCCGTACCCGCTGTCCGGGAATATTAACCGCCCGAACAACAATGACTCCTATTCTGAGGCTGGGAATCGCGATGAACAAGGCTCACGCTCGCGAAGTGATCCGTCGCTAGTTTATTCCGCCTACGAGAACCAAATCCATGCGACAAGTGGCGCCAAATCGAATGCCCCGACTATTTCGACTAATGGGGACACCGCGATCTCCGACGCTGGATACTCCAAGGCAGGCACATTGGCGACGGGCGGCGGAGAGATCAGCACCCAGGGTGGAGGAGAAGGGAGCACATTCTCGTCACCTGCGCCTTCAGTTCGATCATTGACTACAACCTTGACAACGGTGCAATCGGCGGCGCCGTCCACCCAACTATACCCCGCGCCGAACGGACAACAAGGTCATTCACATGGCAATTCGACCCAGGGCTCCACCAACCAACAAGTTCAATTTTCACACCAATTTCCGAGCTCTACATCACCCGCCACTGCTGTTCCGTCGCACCTCGTACCCCAAAATCAACCAATGACCTACAACACCGCAACAGCCAACAATGTCCTGACGGATAATGCTTCGATTCTCACTTTGGCGAGCTCGTCCAAGCGACGTCGCCGCAACTCCCTGGACACCAATGCTTCTGTTCGTGCATTGGCGCCATCCTCAGTTTTCGGGGGGAGTCGCGAAAGCTTGCCGTTGAGCGTTCTCAGTGGAAACGTAGTCGAACCATCCAACACTTCGGCCTTCAATGCACAGGGTGTTCTCACCCGACCAAGTGTAGTTGGATTGGCTAGCGCTGAGCGTATCAGCGTTTACTCATCATCGGGTACAGCTCCCATGGTGGGCGGCGCCGGAGAGCGCGGCAGCCACTACACAGGAAAGCAGAACACTGGCACCGGCGATGGAGCAAGTATTCGCAGTGGTGCACCTTCTCATGGTCGGAATGACAGTACCGCTGCGAGCATCACCGGCGTTACTAGCCCTCTTGCTATGGCATCTGGCCGCGTTAGTCGACGGAGCTCCGGATGGGGAGAGATTCCTGGCGATGAGGAGGAGAAGGGGGAGCGGGGTGAAGAGAGCAGAGGACAAGACTGCGGTCTGTCCTGAAGAGAGGCATGAGGACATTTTTGACGAAGAACCGAAGATGAACTAATGCCGACTGGTTTTGGAAGCAAGCAAGGGGTTGGTTGTTGATCTCGTGTCGCAAGAGATGATGACCAAGACCACCAAACGAATTTACGCAAAGTCCGGATTGACTTACTTCGCACCGAAGATATCACTAATGACTTGACGCACGGAAACTAACAAATTGGGGTTCTCGAGGGTTGATTTGCGGCGTTAGACAGTGTTGGGCGTTTCTTTTCTTTTCTTTTCTTTTCTTCTTCTCTCTTCACTTCTTCTCTGGGTGGGAATTTGATACCTTTTTGCGATGAGATCGGTTTTTCATTTTATTCCTCTTTGCATCCTATTTCAATGAGTGCATACATTACAAATTGTACCCTGTATCCATAGCAAGCAAGGTCACGCTATTGTTACTAATTGCTTTTCCAAATGCATCACCCGGTTTCCAAATCATCATTTGTCCATTGCCCTTTATTGCGAGGCAACACCACGTCGTCTGATGATCATCGGCATATCATACTGGTATACGAACCAGGCATTGCGATATGTCCACTCATGTTTTGCGTCCAAAAGTTGAATCTAGAGCCCGCGTTAATTATTGCATCACATAAAGATGTCCCTGAGAGGGACGGCTTTCGATTCACTCACATCAAACACGTTATAGAGGGTGGCAATCAATTTCTTGATTTCCAGCATAGCCAGATAGCGACCCATGCAAATACGGCCACCACCACCGAAAACAAAATCGACGGTGTCTTTCATTCGTCTCGAGCGGGCCTCGAAATGCTCGTCACTCTCGTTTTTGCCCTGGAACCAACGATCCGGGTTGAACTCATCCGCGTCCTCTCCAAACACCCCATAATCTTTGTTTGTCACGGCAGGGTTGATTCCAACTTTCGTGCCAGCAGGGAGGTACTGTCCATCCGGGAGAGTAAATCCTTCGTCTGGCACAACGCGTTCAAATATCATGGCGATACCAGGGTTGACGCGCATTGCCTCGCGGATGACAGCATCGAGGTAGGGAAGATCCCGAATCAGTTTCCAAGGGGCAGGGGTGGGAAGAGAAGCATTTTGCAATTCAGCTGCGAGCTTTCCAGATGAAGAGGGCGACTTGGCTAGGTAGTATAGGATGGCGCGCATCGTTGCGGAACTCGTATCTCCTCCAGCTAAGATGCTAAGCATCAACCAGTTCACAATTTGGTGGTCATTGACCATGTCTGGGTATGTTTCCTTCAGTTGCAGATATTTGTCCAGCGTGTGATCAACTGAGCCAGCAGTGATCGTTTTGTTCGAAAGTTGGGCTTGATACTCGGCGACGACCTTGAAGGCGTATAGAACGCCGGTTAGGGTGGGCTTTGGTCCGATCCGCTTGATGGGGTTCTTGTCTAGAAGGTTGTCGATCCATGGGATTTGAGAGACCTATAAGGGTGGCAATCTAATTAGCAGTGTTGCTAACAAGGTTGCAGGGATGTGATACCTACCGGAGCAAAGTATAAGAGACCATCGGTCGAGTCTGTAATCAAGTTATCGACATCTTTCTCTTGGTCGATGAATCCATAGTGGCGGCCGAAGCTGAAATTTGCAGTGACATCCCAGGCGACTAGATTCCACAATTAGTGAACTTTTTCCATTCGAGCTTTGCATTATCACTCACAGAACCCGATCCATTCATCTGCTGGGCAGACTGTGCCCGCACTGTCACCATCCACGAATTTCATCGCGACTTTTTCCACAAACTTGGTTATAGTTTCATCGATCAGAGGCTCGTATTCCAAAACCTTGGTCATACTCCAGAGTCCACGAATCGGGCGGATATTCTGATTGTGCCAATCTTCATCTTGAGAATTGAAAAGGTTAGACATACGGTGCCCTTCGATGAGGACATCATTCGGTCGGTACATATCACTCTTTATTACGCAAGAAAAGGTTAGCAGAGAAGGATTGCAAATGCGCAAGGGAAAATCCGAACAATATAGTGATTTGTTTCGCAGTACCTTTTTCCACGGATTACGTGTCGAGTAAATCGTTCGAATCAGATTCGGATCCGAAATGCTCACACAATTTGGACCAATTCGCACAGCATCGCCATACTTGCGATGCAATTCAACATGCTTGGTATCTACACGGCCACGAAAGGTGTGAAATGCCCGCCACAGGTTCGTACTTTTGGCCAGTAAAGGGCCGGGTACAGCTCTCAACGGCGAGAGAAAGATATCCCATAAAAGCTTGGTCAAGACCAATAGGCCAAGCGCTGCAAGTCCCTGCACCCACAAATCGCATTGAAGTGAACTCAGCACCGCCATTTTCAGAAGCTGATGTAAATACAACTCCTTCAGCGAACCGGTGGAATGTTCAGGGGGGATTCAAGAATTTCACAAGCTGAAAGTTGCAAGCAGACTAAAGAACACTATAAGTGCGGGGACACGAATTCCAATTTGGTAGCTTCTCATAGGCCACGACGGGCCTCTGTCGCTTGATGCCGAAGGTGAAGAATGGCGTACCAATTGTCCAATGGAATTGTCTGCAAAAAAATGAACAGGGGGTCATGGCGGAGGACTTAGCACAACGAACTCCGTTTACTCGGTTTCCGGCGTTTTGGAAACGCGACTAATGAGTCCCTAGCTATCTTTAGTCAACTTCGTAGCTCTCCGACACGGGGCAGGGCGGGATGTGGAGTACGGAGTTGTTACTCCCCTCGTGGTGAGTGGCTAGCTCCAGCGGAATATTTCCCAGACAGGCTCATGGAGCCTAGTATTCTCATTTTTGACAGCAGCAGCGCTGATCTAGCGTCCCGCAAAGTGTTCAACCGGTTCCCTATTTTGGTGACTTTGCCTGAATAGTTTCTGCAATATTACGGCCATCTGGGAATTCCCAAAGAAAGTCTAGCAAATTGACAAAACCTGTAGAGTGGAGTTTTTGGGGAAAAAGAATTAGTTACCTGACGGGGACGATGCTGGGCACGTTCCCACATCCTCGGGATGACAGGGCCCACATCTGTTTACTCGTAAGCGAAGCTGATGAATTTGATAGATCCTTCGATGATATGATAGGCGCGAAACGCGATGGGTACAGATCAAACTCCCCACCAAATAAGCCGGTTGAGATATCCGAACCAACAGATGGCGCCTGTCATACTGCTGAAAATCGTTAGTCTATGTCGGGAAGTGCCAGGAGAGGAGGAAAGAATTAATCTTAAAAAGTCTTCTTTCGCCCACGGGGTAAGGAGGTGGATTTTCACAGATACATTCTGAGACCTGCGACATCTTAGGAAGTGTAGGTCTTTTTTACAATGGAAAGTGATGTGTCCGCATCATACCTCGCCGAAAGCAGGTCTTCGACAGTCCAGGGGGTGATGTGGGTGATGGCCATTGTCCCTCTGGTTTTTGTTTGCATGAGACTGTATGTGAGAGTGTGTCTGAAACGGGTTTTCGGCTGGGATGATTTTATCATCATCATCGCTATTGTGAGTAAATTTTACCTTTCCAATTTGGACTTCCCCCAAAGATTAACCAGATGGCCATTCCTGTAGTGCTGTTTAGTTGCTTACGCTGCTGTATGCCATGTTGCCTCTACCTTGGGCTTGGGGCGACACCTTGCCATAGTTTCCGAAAAGCCCGAGCACCTCATTGATGTGGCTCTCTTGTGCGACATTGGGGAGGCATTGGCGATTATGGCTTGTACATTAGGAAAGACATCATTCGCCGTGACACTGCTGCGAATCGTGGTCCACAGGTGGATGATTATTCTACTATGGTTCGTGATCGTGACAATGAACTTGGTTAATATTCTCGCGGCATTGTTCATCTTCGTTCAATGTAAAGACCCACGTCATCTTTGGAATCCAGCTATTCCGTCAGAGTGCTGGCCATCCAATGTCTTCACAAACTTTTCTTTATTTGTCGGCGGTATGCGATCCACCTCTTTCCTCTCTTCCATTTCCTTGAAATGGGTGTTCTAACCCCGAGATACAGCCTATTCCGGCGCCCAAGACTTTGTATTAGCTTTGCTTCCATGGACTATTGTTTGGAACCTCCAGATGAAAAGAAAAGAAAAGTTGGGCGTGGCTTTTGCAATGAGTCTCGGCATATTGTAAGTTCCATCTACAAAAGAGATGTTCAGCGCTAAGTCATCACAGTGCCGGTGCTGCCTCGATAGTGAAAACCACCTATCTAGTGGCGCTGTCTGCTAAGTCTGATTTTACATGTAAGAGATCCGCTCGTTAAAGCGACCCTTTTTTGGCTAATGTGAATATTTTTGAAAGGGGAGCTCGCTCCACTGTTGTGGTGGGCCGCTATCGAAGATGGATTGGCGATCACCGCCGCCTCGATCCCTGCGCTTAAACCCATATTGATTAGAGTCTTCCCTGGATCCTCCGCAAGGCAAAATTATGATATGATATCCTACCCGCCGGATTCATCCCAGCAAAAAGTTTTCGATAACGCTCAAGGAGAAACACAAACGGATATCGGACATACAACCATCCATGACGGAGGAAGCCGAGCGGCGGTTCTGGAACCCCAATCACCAGGCAAAGGAGATGAGACCATAAATATGACAACGGAAATTTCAGTAACATACAACAGATCTTGATGGTTACTCTTTGGGCCTGGATATCGACTGTTGAAAAGACTTGCGAATACATGAGAGCTGGCTCCCTGTCCGTAAGAACACAAAAATATTGGTATATTTCGTGTTTGCTAGAATCTGCCAGCTGTCGATGCTATGATTTGTCCTTATAAATTTACTGTGAGCTTTGTCTCAGCCCAAAAAGTAAGAATATAGCATATAGAAAAAAGCGAAAGTAATAATAAAAAGGACCATCTCAGGTGACGTCGTTCTAGTAGAAGTAAATCGGTTTCTCAACATACAATTTCTTGTAATAAATCGTCTATGATTGTATGAGAAGTGGAATTCATGATATAAATGACAATGGAACTTCATTCCCAAATACCTAGTAACTATATCGATGATTACTTTTGAGTCCTAGCTTTCCCCAAATTTCCCCCGTGATCAGCTTCAGGGAATATCTAGAAACCGATACAGGCTTTGTTAGTTCCGATTAGGCCACAGGGTAGTGGGCACTGTGTCGGAGGAGTATTCGGTCAGCCAGTTTAAAGCAGGTAGAGTGAAGCAAAATGCCTGACAAGTAACTTACGCATATGTTAGGACCAGTCGGAGCCGATGCAGGCGGGCAAAGATTCGAACTTAGACAGCACCCAGGCAGGGGTCCACCCGTCACACAAGCTGTACCGCTTGGACACTGCAGAATTGTTCCTTAGCGTCAATAAACCGAAAATTAACAGGACTATTCGACTTACGCATATTCTGGCCGAGGGACAGAAGGGGCTAGTTAACGGGCAAGCCACGCAGATGCCGTTCACGCAACCACCACCTCCGGGACCAGGTGGACACTGAAGAGAAATGTCAGTCTAATTTGAATCGCAAAGCCTGTAGAAGAATATGGCTTGTTGATTTTTATTAGACATACCGACTTGAAGCATTGTCCACAGTTGGCAGTACTCGATGCCAAGTCAACGCATGTGCCTCCGCAGCATGCAGGGAATGTGCCATTGCAGGTAGGTGTATTGCAAGATCCACAATGCATGAGGCTGGCACTTAGATCATAACATGTTCCGTTACAACAAGCAGGGACCAAGCCAAGGCAAGGCAGGGAGAGACAAGAGCCACAGTGATTCACATCAACACTTAGATCGGTGCAGTTTCCATTGCAGCATGCTGGGTTAGCCCCGGTGCAAGGTGGAGCCGAGCAAGAGCCGCAGCGATTGACGTTGGTTGCTAAATCCATACAGGTTCCATTGCAACATGCCGGCTTAACTCCCAGACAGGGGATTGCAACGCATGCCCCGCAGTGATTAACGTCAGAGCTTAGATCACTGCAAGTTCCCAGACAACAGGCCGAGTTGACACCAGTGCAAGTTGGCTTAGAACAAGAGCCGCAATGCATCTTATCCGAGGCCAGATCGGTGCAGGTTCCATTGCAGCACGCAGGTATGACTCCCAGGCATGGGAAGGCTGTGCAGTTGCCGCAGTGGAGGATGTCAGTGCTGAGATCAGTGCAGACCCCAGTACAGCAAGCTGGATTTCCACCTGTGCATGGAGGCGAGACACAGTTCCCACAATGTATCGGACTTGAGGCGAGGTCGGCACATGTGCCATTGCAACATGCAGGAAGAAAGCCACCACAGGGTGGTCCCGTGCATGATCCGCAATGAGTTTTACTTACAGCCAACTCAGTGCAGGTTCCGTGACAACAAGCTGGCTGTAGACCCAGGCAAGGTAAAGCAATACATGCGCCGCAGTGACTGATATTGGTCGTTAGATCTGTGCAGTTCCCAGAACAGCAGGTTGCCGCCGTTGGTGGACACTGTTGACCCAAAGATTTGTCATTACTTTTGTAGAGTGTCTGAAAAATGGAAGAGGAAATCAACAAAAGGTCGCTCGATACTTACACTAGCCAGGCAGGTTCCACAGTGCTGGCTGTCTGAAGCTAGATCGCTACATTGCCCAGAACAGCATGCCGGCTTGAGTCCAAGACAAGGAATAGCAAGGCAAGCTCCGCAATGATTAGGATCATTGGCAATGTCAACGCATCCTCCCAGACAGCATGATGGCTCTGTACCGGTACACTGTGAATGGTGATAGTTAGAAAAATCCAAACTATTCAATGCATGTCATCCGGCCATCGCAATAAAACAGGGTACTAACAGTGGTATTACATTTGCCGCAGTGGTTAGCATCGGTAGCAAGATCAGTGCACTCACCAGAACAGCAAACAGGTACAATGCCTATGCATGGAGTCCCATTACATGCTCCGCAATGGAGTATATCCGAGTTCAGATCTGAACATATGCCGGAGCAGCAGGCTGGATTGACACCCGAGCACTAGTAGCTTCTTAATGAAAGATGCAGGCACATTGATCGTAGAAAGCAATCTCACCTTCAAGCCGCATAATCCACAATTGTTTGCAGATCCAGTCAAATCGGCACAGGTACCATTGCAGCATGTGGGTAAGACCCCAGAGCACTTTTATGGAGTAAGAGTTGATAATGGCCTGCGGTGTGAACCATCGCATATAGAATAGAAAACTTACAGGAACGGCATTACAAGCGCCACAGTGTTGAAGACTTGTGCCGAGATCCATACATACACCTGAGCAACATGCGGGTTGAATTCCAAGACACTAGGGCGATTTCAGTCAAGGAAACCATGGTAGCGACTTTGAAAAACAGAATCTCTCACTGGATTTGCCTGACAGGTTCCACAATGCAGGGTGGAAGAAGCGAGATCTGCGCACTGGCCGGAACAGCAGGCGGGGTTGGTTCCTGAACACTGTATTATAGATAGATGTTAATATAATGCAACATCCAAAGCCAAAACTGGCAAAAGGTGGCATTAAGACATACGGTTGTGGCATTGCATGCGCCGCAATGTTGAAGACTTGTTCCCAGATCGGTGCAAGCCCCGGAGCAGCAACCAGGTAATTGTCCAGCGCACTACCAGGACATCAGCTGGGTGGTTGAATTTAATTGGAAGGCTGGAACGCACTGTCATGCCACAGTTCCCACAATTAAGAGCATTGGAAGTTGTGTTCACACAAAAGAAGTTGCAACATGACTCGCCAGTCGGGCACTGTGGTATGTTTAGATTACTTTCTAATACATAAGTGGGAGGCACAAGTTTAGCAACATACAGGTTTCCATGGAAAGAAGGAAGCGCATTGAATTTCTAGATCATTGCTAGCTACAGCCGTTGTACTGACGACAGTGATAGTTGCGCTTGGTGGCCTTGTCCTCGAAGGTTTTGCAGATGGGCTCAAAGAGGGCTTCTCAGGTTTTGCTTCAACATGACAAAACGAAGAGAATAAAATCCCTACATTCAGACGGTCAGGCTTAGGTAAAATTGGAAAGCTTTTGATTAATTCTTACCAAGGAATAACAGAAAACTTAATGCTCTGGCCATGATTGGTGACGCCAGGCAGGAAATAGATGGCATCAGCGAGGTTTCAGATGAGGTCAGTCCTCGGTTTTAATCGCCTCCTAATCGTTCAAGGATTATATATCAAGTGGAATTTAAGACTTTAAGAGGCTAAAATAGAAGTTCAAAAACCTTCCACATGTTAACTGATAACAAAATGGTAAGGTCGAATGGGTTGATTCTATATGCTCATTGTGTGACCCTCTCGAACGGGTCCTACCCTCTACTCGGATAAAGATTTTTGTGGCTATGGTGGCGATAATAGCTATGCCTAGCCTAGTCTCTACAGATCTGCGTTGTAGTTACTCATTTAGATCGTATTCTTCGGCACGTAGTCTAGAGTTGAAGCTAGTGATGTACTCACGAAGTAGAGCAATTCTCGCCGAGTGACAAGGCGTATCTATTACAATCTGCTTAGATATGTTACACAAATTGAGATTATACCGATACTAACTCACCATGCCTTTGAAAGCCCCTGGCGGCAAATATGAAATACTATCCAAACGCAGGATATTGCCTACCTTGAAGCTTACTAGTACTAGTGGGCCTTGTGAATGTAAAACTCGTAGATAGACCGTCCGAAGATATATTCAGCACAATTTCAGAGCTAACCCATGTATTTGAGCCCATTAGCTATACGAATCGTCTGTATCACACCATGCATCGTCCGATGACACAGTTGCAGGGGAGGCTGTGCGACCTTGGATCATCCTCGCAGCAAACTTGGAAGCGACAATCGATCTTATATAGTAATCCCACTTACATAACAATTTGTAAAACCGCGCGAGCTCGTTCCACCTAGGCAACTGCTGCTACAATTCATTATGCAGCGTATCCTTTGATTCTGGATCTGGATCGTCTCGGCTACTTTTGAAAAATGAGCTGGGTACACCATGCCAAGGCCAATGCCATTTCGCTTAGGGAGCTTCTGTAATATCGACAGGGGGTCATTGACTCGGCTGCTAAGATCACTATTGGTGAGAACTTTGAATTGATAATCGACTACGTTCGTTATGCAAAGACTTCCTATGCCTGCACATGAATGCTGCTCACTATTAATTGGTCCCAGCGAGAGGTTATGATCAATTTAGGTAAGATATTTATAGAGGAAAGAAAGGGCTGGATATGGTTTCTGATATCCATTGAGCACCGGGCAGTTCATTTTAAATATCTATCAGAGAACGATCGGAGGCTTAGAACCTCGGTGACAACTACTATGATCAAACAACCAAGTAGGCTTCCATATTCTTATAGTGGGTCACAGTAGGTTTAGGAGCCCCAGAGGGAGGCCAAGATGGAAATTTCATGTCACACATAAGGCTACCCCCAAATAGAGACAAATGTCATAAGAGCTGTAATAAACCTTCTGAATTTATACCCCATAACCTTCAGCCCCCCCAATAAGGATAATTGTGATATCAAGGTGACCTGGGAAATATGAATGTTACTTCAATCCGCCAACAGGCGCAGTTCGAAACTACCAAGGACTTGTCAGCCAACTGGTTAATGAACGCTTAGCCACAGCAAGTTTGAAGATCAACTCTAGCGCCACAGTGCGCTACATATGTAGCTCTACGTAGGGGATTTCCTTATGACGGGTGGGGGGGTTCCCCCTTTGACTGCCGCCGCTTTAGTGAGGACGCTCAGACTCAGACTCACTGAGTAAAACTCAGTCCGGGCTCAGAGTCAGTGAGCTGTAGGATTAAATCACGTAACGGGCGGTCAGAGTCAGTGATCGCTCACTGACTCGCTCAGTAACTCTGACTAAATGATCACTGATTGCTCAGAGACCCCCCAAGGCTATCTATTGAGCACCTAGCCTAAGCTAAGGCTATACCAAAATAGGTGCTCGCCCCATATTACTTTTGGGTCGGAGGATAATTTCTGATAGCCCAAAATAAACCTTAATTTCGAGAGACTTATAATACAACTCTTACTTTTTACAATCCCTGATATATAAAGTCAAAGAAACTAGCTAAATAACGTAAAACTATAAGCACAGTCCCTAATTACCAAGTAAATTATATATAGAAGTAATTAAATTAGATTCGGCAACCTGTTGAACCTTCTGATTCTTGTTCCTACAATATATTTATATGTCCGACATGGAACTCGATTGGAATAATAGACAAATTACAGAGGCACGAATATCATCTCGCTGCGGAGTGGTGTCGAAAATAGAGTTTATCCGTAGATGGAAAATTACCCCGCTCGAGCCCAAATGATCGCCGCGTTCCCCAAGAGTGAATATCAATGACCCTCGAAGGTTCCAAGATGAAAGCTGAATGCAAGACATTCAAACCTTCGGCTCGTGACCAGCTAAATGGCATTTCTAAGAAACAATTCCAAGTTTCTTAAGTTCTATGAAACTGACGTTGGGCCGAGTGTATTCTGCCTCAAAAAGGTCATGGTTAGTCCCGTATCCGTTTTTGGGGGTGCATGTATCTGCTCCATTCAGGGGGGTTTTCTCCAGAGCCATAGAGAAAGTTTCCCACCTCATCTGAAAGCTTGATGAACCTCCCCGGCCACCTGCGCTGGCCTTCCATTGCGATCGCGACGGTCGGTTGTAGTGACTGATCTCTCTCAGTCCAATCCAGTTCCTCTCGCATCCTCTCTAGTAGACCAGTCAAACACAATTCATCAGAGGGGAACTCGATAAATTCTAAGTCAAGAGATCGTAATGAGGATGGTGCCGATTTGAGTATGTCTATAAACTCCGACGTATCAATACTGAAATTAGAGAGCGCCAAGTGAGACAGGTTCGGCCACTGCTTAATAGGCAGAACCTCCTTCAGGGGAATAGATGGATCCTGAAATGGAAAGTCAGACCCATTATTGTATGTAGTTGATAAATGAACATGGGTTAATTCCTTCGCCAGACTCATAGCTTGACGGAATAATCCGCTTTGGAATCCTGTCCAGATACCACTGCTGCCAGTAAGCAAAGACAGATGAAGACGCTGGAAGCCCGGAAGTTTCATGATAGACGCAAACTGATTGTATTCCTCACACGGCCGGTCGAAAATCAAAAAGTTTAGTCCGGTGTGGAGTTGCTTGGAATCGAAGCTCAGCTGGGAAACATTATGCTTCTCCTGTGACAAAAGGCGAAGAACAATCCGAGCCCCTCTCCATAGCTCCTTGTAGTCATCGGTTACCTCAGACCACGGTAGCGGCTCGGCAACCTGAGAATCAACGGGATCGTAGTGCCATCCTCGCGGAATCGGATAGTTAAATCCGTATGGAAATTTTCGAATCATAGGTGTCTCGTACAGAGGAGAAAACAGCCAGCCGTGGGCCGCAGGCGTAACGGTCACTTTTTTGAGCCCAGGGAATCGCTCAAGGCCGTAAAGAAAGGCTATTTTGTCGTCCTCAGATTTTATCACAGTTGCCTGATCATCCAATAGTTGCTGATAATACTTCCAGCAGGCTTTCAACGGCATCTGGGCATCCATCTGGTGCTGACGTGCAACCTGGTCAGGTCGGTTCACGTCGCGGTATTTCCGATGCTTAACTGTATAGCGGTTCTCTTCACATTGCTCCGTAAACCAGATAGGACATCCCTCATCGGATTTAATTTCCATGCGTTCGGATTCGATGATTGGACGCATGGATTCCCATATCAACGGCGCGACTACAAACCGTGCGTCGTCCCAGATGAGTTCTCTGATTTGGTGGCGAAACTTTGGATGGTCGGCTATAGCACGAAAAACTTGGATGTTCAACGAGTTGGCCGAAAGAAAAACGCGGGAGGAGGAGAATGGTGAAATCTCGCCGAGGGCTTTACACGTCAAACGCAAGGACTTGACATCTTTGTTTGGCAGAAAGGACACAATGGATGCACTCAATTCAGGGGGGAAACGCAGAAACCATGAGCTTTGTGTTGCCATCTTGGAAGAGTAGTGAATCCCTGAAAGATATATCAATGGGCCGAAAATTGCGAATTTATTAAGAAGTCAAAATGTGGGTGAACCCTCCACTAAAATAGGACGGTGCCCCGAAAGGGTCCAGTTTCCGGCTGAGTGGAGTGGACTAGAAACCTTGGAATTAGCGGGGACTAGAGAAACTGAACTAAATGAGGCTAGACACCTGGGCTTCACCCGCGTCATGTAATATACAGTGCCCTGAAACGAATGCCCTGAAACAAACGAAGTGAGAGAAAGGGTTTACTATCGCCCGCAGGATAACTTTGTTGTCAAAAACTTTATCTTTGATGTTGCTGTTAGCCAAATCCTGTCTTCTGATTCGCTACTTTGACCCACTGCCCTTCTCTGATTTACTACCTCCTCGTTCCACGCCCTCTTCTCATTGATGCTCAAGATATTCGCGCTTCGGTTTAGTGTTGGCGGCTTTTGCCCTTATTTACTGGCTCTTTCCTCTATAACCCTAACAGCTGGCTTTCTAACCCTAGCGTCCGTGCTTCATACTTGCTGCTTATTCGTTGTACCCTCAAGTTCATTACTTGCATGCTTTTGCTACGCACTTCTTTAAGATCTTCTTCTGGTTGGTTGCGCACCTGTGTCGTGTTCAGATACACCGCTTCTTATTTTTCATGCTCTTCTGTCTGAAAACTTTCGGCTCTACCCATCAATGAAAACCAGGGACGGTCTACTATATACCGATTCCTTTAATGCTTGTCAGCTATATATCCTAGGGCTCATGGTCGATATGTATACCAAAAATCATACCCAAGCCCGGGCCTTTATAACGGGGGAGAAAAAAAAACCATATGAAATATCAGATCGAAACCCATCAATGCAGACTCCACCAACACCAAGCATGACAAAATCAAAGGCTCATAACTGAGCTATTAATATACCCAGGGGCTTGCTGGAAGTTACCATAAGTACAGGATTTAATAAATAGTATGACAATTGGAATTAATTTGCAGAAAGTTGCCACAAAACTGACAAACACGGCGAGATATACGCTCGCCGCCTCATAATGACACCACGCAACAACCGGCGCATCTCTTTTGTCACGAAAAAGAAGAAGAAATTGAAATGGACTGGTTTTCAAGACGCTTTACTGCTGACTCCACAAGACATGTCTCATTCCTTAAGTCCCCCTGAGAATCTAATGAGCCCGAGAATCCCGAACTGAGGTGGATCACCAGAATCGTTGCTGATGACTTGTAGAACGAGGCCAAAGAAAGACGTAGCAAATATTCTCTACAAGGCATTTTAAAGGCCGTGCGCTATACAAGTTAGCCACCTGCCTCTTGCTCTACCGCAAAGCAGGCATCGGGCTCTGGGGATTCCGGAACACATTATCCGGGTCAATATCCCCTTTGATCCTTTGCAGACGAGCCAAATTAGAGCCCCAGTACGCCTCGGCTCCATTAGACATGAGAGGGTCAACATAACCCGGGTACGCAGCATATGGATGATCATCGGGGGTAATCAGCTTGTTAACCCGATCCAAGAAATCAATTTGAGTCTGAGAGACTGAGCCCAGAAGATTAATCGAGTAAGACTGCAACCAGAGCAAGACGTCACGATGGGCATATGCAGTCGCGTCAGTCGGGATATCATTCGTATATCCGCCCTGGAAGTCGAATAGCAGGAACCAGATCAGTGTTCCCTTGTCCGCGGTATCAATATACTCGAAGAGGCTGTCGATAGTCTCATTGCTCATGAGATTCTTCGGTGTCCAGGCTGTAGACTTGGAATAGAAATTGGAAGCGACTCCTCCTCCCAGCTCTAACGCGGCTTCTTCGGCCCAGTCGCCTACCAGACCGAGCCAGTCCTGGAAAACAATAGCAGTACCATTGGCGCCTGGGAACTGACTTCCGATATCGAGAGCCTCGTACTCTTCTTCCGTACCGAAAAACGTTCCCGTGATTATAAGTGTGTCCTCCAACAAGGTAAGCGTAGATGCCAGCTTACGCGTAAGCTGCGGGTTGGAAATATATGCCTGCCACTGTTTGAACAGACTAGCTCTCTCTTGCGTACTCCCTACCTTGAGTGTGTACTCGTATTTAACGGCAGTGCCGGGCTCAGGCTCAGTGCGAACGGTGAACTCGGTAACAATACCAAAGCCAGAGGCCGCGCCCTTAATTGCCCAGAACACGTCTGCGTTCTCGCTTTCTGATGCGTGCACAATACTTGAGTTGGCGAGTACCACTTCTACCCCCACAATGTGGTCAAGGGCGGCCCCAAACTGTCGAGATGTTGGTCCTAGACCTCCGATGGTGAAGTGTCCACCAGAGCCGACTTGCGGACAAGTCCCGTGGGACATTGCACGCCCTCCAGCATCGTGCAGACGCTGCGTCACATCTCCAAGTAGCGTTCCACCTCCTATTGTTGCTTGCCAGTTCGTGTTGTCCATTGAGAATTGTTGCAGGTTCTTGAGGTCGACGACAACGGCACCGTCCGTTCCGCCGAGACCTAGAAATGATACACGTTAGCAGTCTATTTGGAGAGAGAGGATGTAGCGATCCTGTACAATAATTGGCATAGCTGTGCCCACCACTCTTAGCCTGAACATGGTATCCATTATCTGATGCACATTTGACAATCGCTGCGACCTGATGCGAAGAGGTAGGGAATGTCACAGCAGCAGGAGTCACAGGAATATTCAGGTTGTAGCGATTCACATTAGCGACTTGATAGAATGGGTCTCCAGCGAATGCAACACGGCCGCTGTCAGTCAATGCGTACTTGAGACAAGTCTTCAGCTTTTCCTCATTGCTGTTACCGGCAACGGCAGCCGACGCAGTACCCAGAGTGAGCAAAACATTTCTTAAAACCACCATTTCCCTCGTATGCAACAGAGGACAGAGAGGACAGAGAAATTGAAAGAAAAAGAAAGAAAGAAAGAAAAAAAAAAGCAAGAAAACGAACAATAACCTGAGTTAAATCCCTCAGGCCAATTGAGGAGAAATGCAAGGATATTTAAAGACGGCTTCATGCGCCTTGACCTTCACTGCATTCGGTGGGTCAAGCTGAAAAGAAAAAGCGCAAGCCACAAAGACGACCTATTGTGGGGACCTCCAAGAGCGAAGATCATAAGAGCATCACGCAAATCATCTCTGAAAAAGCCATCGTTAAATCGGTCAAAAGGCGCCGGTATTGACAAAATTTAGCCCGCGTGGGACATTTCAGAGAACCAAGCGTTCGGTTAACACCGTCCGAGAACGCCATCTCTTGACCTGCATTGTACAGACCGGGAAAGGGATTGTCGGAAAAGCTCGGTTCCTGCACGATCGGCTCGGGGAATTGCGAGTCCGAGCCAAGATGTACTCCTCCAATAGGTTAGTGGCGGGACATACGATTGCGGGGGCCTTTTGATAAAAGGACATTTGTTCCTACTGAGACAGACAGGGTCCAGCGCACGGCCGTGATTGGCGCTCTATTTTCCTACAAGAGTCAACGCTCAAAGGAGTGACAGGTCCCACTAAACTGGATACCGAGGTGAGGTGGGCTTGATGAAGAACATGTGTTAATGAATAGGGTTGAGTAGCGAAGCAGTGAATAAATACATGCCAGTGGGAATGAATAGGGGGGTATGGAGAGCGCTGGAACTTGTGAATTATAGATTTAAAATTCAACATACGTCCAATATTAGCAAATCTCGAATATCTATACATCGTCTTTAAGCGTACAGTTTCATCAAAGTAGGTTTCTTCGTTTCCAACGAAGTAAAGCTGCAATGACCCTTTTGCCCATCATCTATACCCCCAAAACTCCCCATCGCCCAGTCGGGTGACATCGTAGTCTCTCCCCATTTTACCAGACCTAAAACAGCCGTTTCTCCAACCTCGTCCCTGGGGAGGTGGCAAGCTGCGCTGATAGCAACACTAGTGGACCCAGTGACGGGTACGGTGGATTTGAATTTCCGGAACGCTAGCACAATAAGGACAAGCACCATAATTGAACCGACAATGATGGACAGGAAGATCGGGCTGGAGGAATAGCCGAGAGAGCTGATTTCAAGTCCTGGGACGGGTTCATTTGCCGGATCGTATGTGATCAAAAGGAGGTAGAAAATGCTCTGCGAGACGAGCCAGTGCAGGGTCATGTAGAGCACCAGAATTGGCACACCGTATTTATATGGGATGCTGAGCCAGTAAGTTGAGCGTTGTTGGCTGCCCTTGACGGGCCAAGTGACACGCAGTGCCTTAGAACTGGCACCGTACGAGCTGTATTCTCCCGCGGCTAGCATGCTGGTTAGCACGGCATTGTAGCAGTAGTAGCTGATGGTGATTGCCAGCTGCGGTGTGTTGGCGATGACCACGGAGGCTAGCATGGTCAAGCCCATAGAGTTACCACCGATTATGTTATCATCAGACATGTCGACGTCTGAGCTGAACCAGTTCTTGAATGTGTTGGCACTTATCCACTTTGTGCCGCCGTACATGCCAGCACTAAGGGAAAGGCTGAAGAGCAAACTTCCGACAATAATGCAGAGAAAGCACCTGGATATAGAAAGTGAGTATTTCCACGAAAACAAGCGACGTAGAGGGGAATGAGGGGAGAGATCAAAAGCCTTACATGAAAAGAGTTGCAAGCCATCGCCACCCACTAGCCGCTCTACCCCAGAAGCTCCTCTTTTTGAGACGCCTATAAGCGATAGGATCGCTCTGTTCATTCTGCAGAACAGCCTGGAAACCAGCCTTGGTAACCTTAGCCCAGCCACCCCTTCTCACATCGGCTCCCGCAATCCAACAAAGACCCTTAGTCGTAGGATCGGGCTTTTCCATGAAAGATGCCACGGCATCACCAACAGTAAGCAGAGGTGGCGAACGCGAGCGACCAATATGTGCTGCTAGAAACATGGCCGCGATTTTCGCAAATGCGGCAAGCATAATGGTCAGGCAGATAGGCGGACTATAGAGTAATTGGCAATGTTCCTCGGCCCGGATAACGAGACACTCCTCAATAGGCATGACGGTGGTGCCAAAATAATTTTGCATCACCTCCCCAGTTGTTTCGTCGTAAAACGTCGAACGCACATCGTTGTAAGCGAGACAGGTGGCGTTCGAGCCCTTGTAGACAGTTTGATTGGCATAGAGGTTTGCTTCCAAATTATCGCCGTGGAAGTAAGTAGCCGATGTCTGGATGTCGGTGTTATCGACAAGAGTCATTAGTATGGCGGAATCGCCTCCCAAGCTGACAGTTAGATTTGATGCAAGCGCAACGATTCCTCGGATTCCTGTTGCGGTTGTCTTGACCTTGGCCGAACACTCCGACACAGAGATGCGGTCGTAGTTCTCGTTTGCAATTTCCTCGATAAATGTGGGCCAGCGCATTTGGGACGTGAAAGTAGAGGATGCGATAGTAGGATCTGCGAGACTAGAATCCATATAATAGTACCTACCGCCGCGCGCAGGACAGGAGAAACACCTCTCCAACGCTGGAGTCGTCAGTTCGTGCACATTTGACGAGTTGAGATCCTTAGGACCGACAACAACGCCAAACTGATTCGTTGATAAGGATTCAAAAACCATCGAGTTATACCTAACCAGATTGATAAGATATTAGTGTCTCTGCATATAGTAAGGGGGTGAGATTGGAGAACTGTGCCCCAAAGCTAGAATAAGAGAAGAGAAGAGAAACTCACATCAAATGAAAAGGCGTAGCAGTGAACAACAAAACAAGCCAAAGGCCCAATCTCGACTTTTCAATAGCGAAAAGATTATTGACGCTCGCACTGCCAATATCAAGCCATTTCCACTCCGCGTGATGAGCATCAACTTCCTCCCTCGTGGGAGCCACAAGAGTCTGCATACAATAATTGCTCGCGGCAAGAATACACGTACTGAGAACGTTGATAATCAAATGCAAGGCTGTGTCCCATCTCTTACACACCCCGCAACTACCCCGGTAAATCACCGCGGAGCTTCCAAACGCAGGATTCTCTGGGAATCGGCTCGCTAGTCCCGCTGCGACGGCGATGAATATCAGGTTTAGGAGGAATACAATGGTCCCGGCCTTGGCACACATGTAGACTCCATCAATCCATTGTGCTTTCCGCTTTATGGGGGTGGCGGAGGGGGGAGGAGGATGAGCTCTCCACATCTTCTAATTTTTGATCTCCTTTGCGGTGTGAGGATTGTTCGTCTCCGGCGGCACCACTGCCTATTTCTAGGAAGGTGACATCTTCGTTGGAGGGTCGCTTTTTTATGGAAGATTTGCTGGCAAAGGTTGATTGACGGGCGAAGTCCGAGAAGGAGGTTAAGGAGGAGGAGAGCGAGAATGCGGAGGGTTGGGATCGAAGACTGGGGGCGTTGACAAGCTCCACTTGGTCATCATTCTGACCTTGACCAATATGCGAGACCCCCTGATAGCGTTTTCTCGCGAATATTGATTTGGTGTGTTCCCATATCTGTCCGACGCCGTAATTGCCCATCCCTGATCTTCACCGCATTCAACTTAATTGTCGATTCCGACCTCGTCGGGGACGGGGTGGGTGTGAGGCGTGGAGGGAGAAGGAGGAGGGCTTCCAAAGGCTGGGGGAGAATGAGGAAGGATAGTGTGAACCATTTGAAGAATCGTGAAATTGAAACGAGGTGATTTGTTGAAGAATACCGGAATGGAATGACACGGCACGAGTGCATTAGCATTTGGCCCCCAAATGCTAATGCACCAGCTCGTTAATTGTGGAGATGATGAGAGTGTGGTGCGCTTTGATATCGGGGCATCGGGTTGATTGGTCTGTTCTGCACAGAGACGAATCCCATCAAAAGACATGACTTCGCTTTAGTGTATCAGGCCATTGCATTTTTTTTCTCATCGAATTTGAGCCCATGAGTTGTGACTGTCGTTCTGCAGTTGTGGCAGAAATCTCCATTCCGTGCTTGGGCGTGGACTTGACGTTGGGGCCGCGGACCCTCAGCCCGTGGACCCTCAGCCCGTGTTCAAGACACACCCATCGAGAATACAGTCGCTGAGATAGTACTGTATTCATTAAAGAGTGGCATGTCGTCATCATAAATTTAGACTAAAGCGTTCTTTCTTATCGTATTTTGTACGAAAAACATGAGTACTAACTACTATATAGGTACACCATGAGGCTCTGATTAAAGTTGACACCATGGGGGCGAATACCTCTGGTAACCTTGGAATGGATTCGATGGATCTTCGAATTTCTCGCGTTCTCGCGTTCTCGCGTTCTCACCTGATTTGTATTCCGTAGATGCATGTCAATGCTGAAGGGTATAAGTTCAACAAAGACCATAGTCGCCTCGGCAAGAACTACGGCCCTACTGATCTTTGCGAATAAAGGTAGAGAAGATTGTCTATTTCGATACAATTGCACTGTAATATCATCACTCATGGTCGTCTGCCATCATCAAGTCTGCAGATACGATCTGAGATCACGTAAGGAGGGCTGCTGGGGGGGGGTAAAATAAGAGGAATATCCAAGGGGCGCTTAAAACATATGAACAAGAAACTAAATGATGACAGACGAGTCCAGAACCCGGTATAAAATCGTTTTCCACCGTGGGCCTGTTCCCCATCGTCATACATAGCAGCAGGAGGGCAGAGGAGACAAAAAGCAGTGCGAGTGCCAATGACAGAAACACGGGAAGGGGGGGGGATTTTTTTTCGGCTGAGGGATTTTTGGGGTTTGCCCTCAATTTTTTCGCTTTGGTTTGATTATTTTGATTTGGTGGTACTTCACGCGAAAGTTCCAACGCCGTGCTTCGACTCGGAGGTACTTGAGTCGGTGTTCTGGGATGCCAGGAAACTCTTGAACATGTCCGAGATGGCTTTCTCGGATTGCTCGTTGCGCTCTTCGGTGCCGTTCTTCTCCATGATCAGGCCGCGCAGCCAGTGGTTCTCCAGCTCGAGCTGTGAGACACGAGCCTCGAGGACGTCGCTCTTGTCATTGGTCTCCTTGAGCTGCTTCTCCAGTGCAGCCTCGCGCATCTTCTTCTTCACGCGGAAACGAGCACTGGCGGCAGTGTTGCGACGACGCTTGTCCTCCTCAGCAACGTTGCGGGCGGCCTCCTCAGCACTAGCCTGGGTGGACTTCTGGGTGTGCTTGCGCTTGGGCCCAGCGGCGGGGGTGGTGGGTGACACGGCGCTGGATGCCGGAGTCGGAGCCGCCTGAGGGGCAACCAGGGGTGCTTGAACAGGAGCCGGGTTAGCCGCAGGCACGGCGGGAACCGCCGAGAAAGGCTGGTTCTGCGCCGGGATTTGCTGAGCATTGACCGAGCTGAAGTCAGGCTGGTACTCGGGCATATTGCCGAGGCCATCTACACGAGAACATAGTTAGCAAGCCATCGCCGCAAATCTCAGCATCACTATTGGTCGCATCGTGGGATCGGTAACCCGTATTGGCCATATTGGGGGTTAGGCGATCACGTGGAATGGCGTAATAGCGGAGTGTGTTCGCGTCTGCGACAAGGCAATTTCCCACTCGTCGAGTTGACTGGTGTGTGAGAAATCGAGGGCCCCCAATAAACAGAGTTCCAAGCGCCACCGCGTGGATGCCCTGCAGGGCCCCGAAAACCCTTATCACCAAGGGCCAATTGATCGACGAAAGTGCTGCGACCAAGGGAAGACGCACAATTGTGCGTCGAAAAGACGACATCAGCCCGATGCCCTAGCCATGCAGCGAGCAAACTCGAGCATATGAACCAGCCAATCAACGATCCGACGATCATTGCAAGGATCATGCAGGTATGGTTCCATGAAGACGTAGGGCAGAGGGGTATCACGGCGGCTTTCGAGGTGGTATGTCACGGTGTGGTGTGGTATTGTCGGAGAGAATATGCCGTCGAGTCTTCCAACCATTGATGCGACCAATAGAATGCAATGAACAATCAAATATCAAGACCAAACTCACCTTGAAGGAAGTCCAAAAACTTCATGTCGGCATTTTGAGACTGGTCGGCGGCAGCGAGAGTCTTGTCATCCACGGAGTCGAAATGAGGCAGGCTCAGGTCGGTAAACTTGTCGAAATCGAAGAACTCGGTGTTGGTGAACAGAGCCAGTTCCTCATCGAGGTTGAGGGTGGTCTGTTGCTGCTGCTGTTGCAGGGCCTGGTCGTAAGGCGACGGGATGGCGTTGAGGTCATCGAGATATTGAGAGAAGTTGGGGGCACGGCGCCCGTTGTAAGCGGCCATGATGACGGTTGTCGAGATGATAGACCTAGGTGATATGGAGGGGTATTGTTCTGAGGGAACAATGAGGCAATCGCAATCGCGATGGGTCAAAGAGGCGTGACTCGGGCGCGCCGGATGCGGCTCCGGTCTATGAAATGTTCGGCAACGCAGGCGATGAGGGCGGTGGTTCGGTGGATGGTGTTGCGCGGTGATTCCTTAACGATGAAGGAACCGGGGATGATGGGTAGGGAGGTGTAGGAGGTGAGAATGACGAGGGCGAAGGCGAGGAGGGCGAGAGTGAGGGCGAGAATGAGTGTGGGTGAGGGTGTGGGCTTCGGCGTGGGCGGGGCCAAGTGGGTTTTTCCTTTGAGTTTCGGTGGGGATGAGTAATCAGGGAGTAGTAGGAGTACATAATCAGATTACATAGGGTTTACGTAGTATACTACATTGTATCTAGGGTAGTAGTATATTGATTGATCAATCAGATCAGATCATATATATGCTTCGATCTATATTCCAATATATATCATACTGTGTAGACAGTATACACTGTATACTGTATACTACCTTAAGGTATACTGTACACCTTGTCACCGAAGATCGGAGCCCACAGGGGCGAATCCACGGAACCCACTTGGGGGGGGGGTTACTCGCTTACACACCAGTACCAGTACAAGAAGAGTACTGGAGGTACTCCGTATACCCCCATGGACTCACCCAATATTTCATAGAGTATTATAGTATTCATTAATATACAGCTTCTCTACTCGTGATCACTCAAATACGGTCTCCTGCATCTGCATTGAGGAAGTATAAATAATCAATACTCCCGCGACATCCGCGGGAAACCCTGTTCATGTTGGATTTGTAAGCCCGCGACCGGCGTGAGATTCCATGGTTCCCTCCTGCTTCTTCCGACTTCTCTCCGATCTGCAAACTCCCTCGGAGTATACTATGCACCAGGCAAGCATTGATGCGACAATAACCCAGTCATACAAGGAATCACCAAATATTCGAATTCATACTAGTATACCTCCACACTGACTGCTCCAGTCGTGCTCAAAGCTTATTGACAGGGATTTCGGATTTTGGATCTTGGATTATAGCCTAAACCGAGTACTATTCCCCCCCCTCTTAGCCTCAATTGTAAGGGTCACGGTCTCTTGGCATCCACGAGTGCGGGGGCTTCCTCATGCAACACACCCATTGCTACTCTTGGGTTGTCTCTATGCTCCCCCAACGTAACAATGAAATCCATCATCCCATTCTTGAGACAGGACTCATTGCATTCATTGCAATTAGATTCTTTCTGAATGCGCAAATTGACCAGCGGCCGCATCGAGAAATCACGTGTAACCTTAGCGGGGCGAGTGTGCAGAGTGCGCACGTGATGATAGCTTTCTATCAGCACGTGACATTTGATTGTTGACATCCCATCAGATCCCATCCTTAGCAACGGCTGCACAGCCGTCGCGCGCATTGCATTTCCCAACCAACGACAACTATGCAATAGACCAGGCGCTGCTCGACTGGTGCCGTTGGCTTGAACTGCCGCAATCCCATCATCTACACACCATCAATTCCTTGACCAGCCATGGCGCGCTCAAGGACGGTTCGCGCTCCGACAACCGCCAGCCTTCCAAACAACTTGCGCATTCCCTCAACGACGCCCTCCCTCTCAAAGACCCTAGGCAAGCTCTCCAGGCCAGCCTTGCTGGACCTCGCTATATCATGGCTCGGAGATCGCAACGTGGAATCCTTCCCCCCATACCTCCAACCCTCAGACACAAACAACCATGATAACGAAGAAACCCTCCCATACCCCGCCGCCGAAACCCTCGCAGAGGTCCGAGAAGCATACATTGACCTCCGCGACCGAAGGGGCGGAAAGCAAGAGATAATCGAACGAATCCTCGAAGGTGACTGGCGACACGGCATCACCCTCCGACAACTCGCCATGGCCGACCTGCGCTACATGGACGACCGCCCAGCAAGTCTCCGCTGGACAGCAATGGAACTAGTACGACTAAACGACGACGGAACATCAAAGTCAAAACGCACCCGTGATACAATATCGATCGCATCCGAGGACTGGTCCGCAAACATCCCCCGTATCCAAGCAGCAAGCTTTGTCAAATCCCTCCACGCCGAAATCGCCCCTCTCATAAAAGCGCACTACCACCTCTCACGCTCCTCGACACTCCCCCTCACATTCCTCCGAATCTTCATAATTGACTCTCCCTACCAAACCCCCCGCCAACAACCCGAAATCTTCACAGACGCAACTCGTATCATCTACATCGCTTTCCCAGACAGCTGTCCCTACTTCTACACATCATCAATAACCTCCTCCAACGCTTCCGACAGCAGCTCAGGATCAGGATCACTGGCAACAGACCCCCGCACACTCCAACGTCTAGTCCGCGAGGCAATCCCAAAAGCTCTCTCCCGTCCGCACCAAAGATTCACCCTAAAACCTACAGCCCTCGCCGCAAAGAATCTCCAAACTCTCCTGACACTCCGCGGACCCGGCCGCTCCACCTCGTCGAATGGGGTATTTAGTATTTTCGCCGACGCAGCGCTAGAAGGAAGCCCGTTGGACCCGCGACCGTCGAATACAGTCCTAGCCGAAGAGCATATGCGCGGACGTGAGTCTGTGTCTTCCATGCATGATGATAAAGAGAACCATACGCACGGTCACAATGATGCGTCGAAGTCAGCACGTCCGGCCAACAAAAAACGCCCGTCTGGTTCCGGCACTGCGGCAATGACGGACGGGGCTCTTTCGCCGGATTCCAAGAAGAGGCGGTTAGCTGTGGAATCTCGGTTCGGGACTGTGGGGTGCTCAGTTACGCCTGCGCCGTTGGATAGGCTTGATATTCGACTTCTGGATACACCGGTTGCGGAGGGAAATGCAGATGCAGATGCCGATCGGAACGCTGCGAATCTGGCCCCGGCCGTATCGCTCACTTTCACAGGGTCGGATGTTATTGGTGGGATCCGAAAGTTGGCGGAACTAGGCGTGGTTGATCCTGAGCGTATGCCTTCATGGATGACTGGTGAAGATGCTGTTAGTACGGCTTTTGTTCGTGGGGGAAAGCGTCTCCATGTCGAGCGGGGATAGTCATGATTGATCTTGTCTGTTGTTTCATCTGGTATTCGGGTCGGGTTCGGGAATCGTGATACCCATTTGATTAGTTTCTTCGAAATAATTCATATCAGTCCACTTTTATGGCCTTTCATTCTAAAGCCGAAGTATTCTTTCTAGTCCCGCTTGTGTAGTCACCGGTGGCGAAGGGGGAGACTTCACTGATTCATAGTAGATAAAGGAGGAGAAGTTTAGTGATAAGAATAAAATATGCTCGCTATTGGATATCTCGACATCGACAATAAGAAAAAGAAATCAACTCTAGCAGGAGAGTAGAAAAGCAAAAAGGACCCCAGTCGATCAGCCCACAGCCCACAGTCGCTCATTCTGATATAATATCTTCTCATGGTTAACGGTTACGGTACCAAGAGGATGACGATCGCCGGGCAGTTGAGAAACGCGAGTAGACGGACCAATCTAGGTGGAAGCAATTGAAGTTAGCAATGATGAGCACGCAACCAGTAGAACAAAGTTCTAGATACCCCGGGCCAGAGGAGGCAAGGGGGCAGGGGGGGTTTAGCTACAGGGAAGGACCCATACCACGTTCAGTACTCAGACCGAATTCGGATGCCATATTAACGTAGCCTTCCGGTCCGGTATTGGCGTTATTCTTGCGAATGGACTGTACGTTTATGTCGGCTGCATCGCTCTTCCAGGACGAGCGACTGGTTGATTCGTCGTGGTTAGCTACCGCCGATAGAATGGACGGTGGAGGGGTGGGTAGGATAGGATATTTTCCTTTTCAGAAAAGAAGATGGTGGTGAAGAAAGGGGGGGAAATGAGAGAACTCACCAGTACACACAGCGAATGCCAGCACTGGAAGACGTCCGAGACGCAGCGGCCCACTGGTCAAAACACTGCTTGTGTAGGTTATTACCGCATGCCGCTTTGCACCAAACGATCTTCTCTGTAGCTTCGATCATCTCTTGGAAGCAAATCGGGCAATCTCCGTCAACTGGTTTGCGATTTCCGTTATTTTCTTCAGCTGAGGGGGCGGGACGGGTTAAGCTTAGAGAGGAGCCTCTCAGAATCTCGCATAGTTCCTGCGTTAAAGAGTAAGTAAGCTGGGTTCGAGGCCATCGGGCATGGGTCATGCTCGATTGGCAGTACCCATTGCTGCGTACCGAAGAGAGGAAGGCGAGTTGGTATTGAAGATGCGCAGGTGCTTTGAGTGCGTGAACAAGGACTTCAGATGCCATTAGTAAAAGAATAGAACAAGAGATCAAACAAAGGAGGGCGGTGCGGCATAATGATAGTGATTGATTGAATAGGAGCTGTCGAATACGAAATTGCGGGTACATGGACTCACCGTAGCAGATGTGCTTGCACTGATTGCCCTTCGCACCGTCAGGGCAGTCGCAGTAGGGATCCTGTTTGATGGTCGTCTTGTAAAGATTCCCCGTTGACCCAACAACATCAAAGGATATCTCTGGGACTTCCTCGGTCCCACCTACCTCATGACCGACAATGAACATCCTGAATACTGGGGTTAGCAAACGAAGAGCGAAGAGCAAACAGCAAACAGGAAAGCATGGAACGGATCGTCAGTGGTGTACACACCTCGTTTGCTGGATTCGGCCCAAACGCTCAAGGTATGAGACAGGTGGGTGGGCGCGCCATCTGCGTAGACGACGCTCAGGGGGGGCTAGCAATTGGAGAAACACTCGCTTCTATATTTGTTGTTCGCTTTTTTGGCTTCTTTTGTGGAGATGGTGCATCTGCCGTCAGATCGATGACAGGCGCCGCAGCTCGTGGCTGGGGAAGAGAAGTATAAGTGTCATCGATGGCTCTTTTCTTTGGCGTTTTGTGTACAGAACCGACGCCAGTGGGTTTGTTGGCTCGGTGAGGGTGGGGTGTTGTGACTGGCCGGGGAATTGTATACAAATCAGTGCTTGCAGTGGCATCACTTCTGGCAGGCGCGTTGCCTCGGGGGGCATGGACATTGCTGGAATTGGCCATGTTTATTTTTTGAAATCAGATCCAATGAGTGTGATAAATTGGAAAGCATCCATGGATCCATAAGATGGTCAGGAGCAAACAAGGGAAAGCGGTGAGACAGGAGAAGTGAAGTGATTGCGAGTGGTGATTGTTGTGATGGTGACTGGTCGAGTGGTCGAGCGGGTGAAGTTGAAGCCCAGGATGACGTAATTAGAGATCCGTTACTTTCAGCATTACCAGCATATCTACAGTATGTAGTATAGTAACTATATACTATATAGCACATGTATACTGGTAGTAGTATCGCAGTGCAGTATTAATTGCCCTTGCTCAAAGCACAAGACCCTTGGAATCGACCAATAATGGAGTTTAAGTTATCAACATGAAGGAGGCTACTTGTAAGCTACTAACTAGTACTTACTAGTTAACTATAACTACTAGGCAATAGGTGTGATCATACTCAAACCCATATATCTTAATTTCAAGCTTCAATTGAACTGTATCAATAGTGAGATAATTAAGTCACTTTAAACTCAATGGTACCCGACTTCTCCATAGATAATGACATGTTCCGCCTTGAATTCGATATCATACTCAGCCAGTCGGTTGACCAGCCATGCCACTCCTGAAATGGGGTAGCCCAGAAGACTCTTTGTAGTCCCTGACAAAATATATTCATTAGCAATCTAGACATGCCAGCGAGCCAGTCTAGCGGGTGAATGTTGAGAGCAATCTTTTCAGTAAACAGCCGGTGAGCGACCAACCGATTTTGCCACCCAGCTTGTGAGATATCCTACCTCATTAGGCACAGGAGCGCATATCACGGAATCCCCGAGCACCCCTAGTGTATGGGGAATAATCTCAATGTCCTAATCTCTCGACAGGTGATTTAAAGTGCCGATGTTATGGAGAACGACTGGGGAAAAGGTCAGTCGGATAGAACCCGAGAAGAGGAACCTCTTTACTATTCGTTCCTCAACACAACACGCCCGACTCAACCCCGACCTATTTTCCATCCCCCTCTCACCCCCGATGTCAAGGAAATTGAAGCATTCTAAATCGCGGGGGACCTCAGAGTCCAAGAATCCCAGATTGAATTAGGTTGATCGCCATTGGTTGCCCTGTCGAAGCCCCTGTATAAAGGGATGGATCTGTCATCACTCTTGGTCAAAATTCACCCTAGTGGTTTGTTTTCTCCAGCTTCCACAATGGCTGAATCCAAGAAAGACCTCGCGGCTGAGGTGCCTGTGCATGTTGAGCATACCGATGGAGTTCAACAGAATCACGACGATGTGTTCGGCGAGATCTCTGACGATGGCCCCAACTTCCGCAATGTGAGTACATCATGGCTAACTAATTCCCACTATGGATAGCTAATTTGGCTCTAGGTCGGCTTTATTGGAACGATCATTCTCATGATGAAGTCTCAGATCGGTCTCGGAGTTCTCGCTATCCCATCTGCTTTCGATACCCTGGGCATGGTCCCAGGTATCATCTGTCTGTTTGTCATGGCCTTCATCACTACATGGTCTGGGTATATCATTGGAACATTCAAATTGAAGCACCGAGAGGTTTACAGTATTGACGATGCTGGTGGAATCATGTTTGGTTTGCCTGGTCGGATTTATCTGGCCACTGGGTTCTGTCTTTGTATGTCCTGGTCCAGTTTTTTTTTCAACCTACCGAGGACCAGAGAGCTAATCGATTTCCATTCCAGATTATATTTTCAATAGTGGATCAGCTATTCTCAGTCTGTCCATCGGCATGAACGCAGTGTCTAGTCATGCAACCTGTACCGCTGTGTTTGCCGCCGTCGCAGCGATCGTCGGGTTTGGCTTCAGTAGCATTCGGACCTTAGGTCGTATTACATGGCTTGCATGGGTTGGTCTACCCTGTATTATTACTGCCGGTATGTATGTCTAGTAAAAATATGTGAAACAGGAATTGACCTAATCTAGTTATTATTGTCACGATTGCGGTTGGAATACAGGATCGTCCTGCTGCAGCACCAGCAACAGATGGCCCCTGGGTGTCCGATTGGAAGGCTGTTGGCAATCCATCTTTCGCAGAAGGAATTGCGGCGGTCTCCAGCCTCCTATTCGCTTTTTCCGGCACGCCTGGTATGCAGGAAACTCCAACATGATCTCCTATCATGAGTACCGCGGCAGCATGCTAATCTCTCTTTCAGGATTTTTTTCCATTGTTTCTGAGATGAGAAATCCCGAACGATACCTCGCAGCTATGGCTGCTTGCCAGGCCGGTGTCACTGTTGTATATGCTGTCATTGGTGGTGTGATCTACTATTACTGCGGTAGTTACGTTTCTTCACCGGCACTCGGTTCAGCTGGCGGCGTTATCAAGATCGTCAGCTACGGATTTGCATTGCCCGGGCTTCTCGGTACTATGACAATTGTTACACATGTAAGTCACTTAACGGGAGGAAAATATGGAATCATGCTAATTTTATCTACTTCAAGATACCCTCGAAGTTCATATTCGTTCACCTATTGCGCGGCTCTAGGCATTTAAGCAGCAATACGCCCACGCATTGGATGAGTTGGTTTGGGTGCACATTTGGCGTGACGGTGATAGCCTGGATCATTGCCAGTACGATTCCAGTCTTTAACGCTCTGGTATCCCTTATTGGTGCATTGCTTGGGCCGGTCCTCTGTATTCAGCCGATGGGGGCTATGTGGCTATACGATAACTGGGAAAATGGTAAGGGCCAAAAGAAGACCAAAAGTTGGATTCTTGGCGCTGTTTGGAGTGTTACCCTGGTAATATTTGGAACGTTCCTCATGGTGGCTGGAACATACGGTTCAGTTTTGAGTATAATGACCGCCTATATTGAAAGCGGAGGCTCGGCGGCTTTTTCGTGCGGCGACAACTCCAATTCTACGTGACAGAGCGGACTCGGAGTGTGGTGAATAGACCCTCCAGGACTGATATTAGAGATATAGATATAGAAAGAACCTTGGAAGAGATGATTCATAAAAATTGAGCAATACTATAAACTTGAACCTTCAAGTTCTAACTTGAATTATATATCTCTACCACTTGGGCAGTACTGGCTTGGACTCGTCGTACTAGTACTAGTACAGCCCACCCCATCACCATGACTCCGAGTACCTACCTACTAGTACTCGTATACATGGATGTCATGATAGATCACAATCATCCATGATCACACTGCCCAGGTGTATACTTCAGGGCTGCTGTATCCCGTGACTCCAACTCCCCGCAAAGTGACCGCCCCCGCCCCCGCACAGCTTGGAAACTTTGGAACTTCACTCCAACTCCAGTTGAACTCCAATTATGCCAGTGCCGAAGAATTTGAAGATCAAATGTTGGTCAGTAGTAACTGCGGGATTCAATACTCGGTACCCACTGCTAATACAATATAGTGACCCCTGTCGTCTGCTTCACCATAAATGTGAGTCTCCGAGTCCTCTCCACATTGCCCATGGGCCATGGCAATAGCACCTTTTTCTGAAGCTGCTTACCTTTCTCTCCCCCCCCAAGGCGACGGCATTCTTCCTCAATGCGGGCGATGCACTCGGACTGGTCGGACATGTGTACGAGGCAAAAAGGAGACACAATTCAGGCAGGTCAAGGGACCGGGACAAGGGCCGCGAACTCGATTCCCACGCAATCAGGTGTGGCTCCGACCGCCGCCGCGAGGTGAGACCCGTCCCATACATAAGAATCGCCGCGACACCAACTGACTCGACCCGCTTGACTTCAGTGGATTTTGTTTTGGAATCCGGCAATGGGGAACCCGACGATGAAACCCAGCCGCTGATTGATAGCGAGTTCCGAGTCGCCAATGGAGAGCTGAGCCAGTCGGACAACAGGCCATCCCCGGGCAGCCAGGGCCATCTCTCCCAGTCTTTGAGCGCCCAACCAGCTCGTTCGGAAGAGGAATCAAGACGGCATACACACCGGACCAATCGAGATGGAAAGCAACATCACCCACCTTTCCACCCGACCGGTGTACGTCGCGAGTTGCGACCAGGTCGACGATCCTGGCCTTTGAGAGACCCGGAAGAGGCCTACCTATTGAAACACTTCGTGGATCGCATCGCGTCCTTTGTGAGTCCATCCTTGCTTGTCAACGAGGAGGCTCTTCGGATTCTGACCGGCTTCAGTTTGACTGCACAGATCGACAACAACATTTCGCGGTACATATCCCTCACCGGGCACGATATTGCGACACGTTATTCAACGCCCTCATGGCCCTCTCTGCCCGTCACTTGAGTTGTACTACGACCTTTGATCCATATGTATCAGATCAATACTACCAGGCCTGTTTAGAGACCCTGATTCCCGCCTTAAGCAATCACAGGGTCACAATGGATGACGATCTGCTGGCCGCGACTGTGATCCTCCGGCTACTGGAAGAATTCGATGGTGAGTGGTGGAACCTTGCGCCTGAAACTTGAACCCCATACGGAGTATAGTGAGGTCCGCGCTGACGGCGATCGGTAGTCCCACTGGCGGGATCGGATCTTCGTGGTCATTCCTTTGGGACTAAAGCATTCATTCAGGGTCCGCCGCCCTCCACGACGACGACCCCAAGTCTACGACAGGCGGTATATTGGAGTGGACTTCGACAAGAGATCTACAATGCCCTGAGTTTACAGCAAGCACCGGATATTGACTTGAGCTCCCTTCACTCCCTGTTCACTGCTCTGGGACCCGATGCTGGCGATTGCGCGTGGGCAAATCAAGCAATTGCGCATTGCGCTGATGTTCTTCTATTTTCGTTCGGCGACGGGCCCCGTTCGGTGGCGGTGCATGAAAGCTTGCAGCAGAAGACTGAACAGTGGAGCGACGCGAGGCCAGCATCGTTTGACCCCTATTTTGTAGGTAGTGACGAGGTGGAGATAGGTGCAAACTTTCCCGACATTCGTTTCAGTTGTCCCTGGCACGGTAGGTGATCTGCTCCCCAGGCATCAGCATTGTTCAAGCTGGCCGGATTGCAAATGTATGAGCCTAATTGTGAACCGATTCCTGCAGCGATTGGCAACCAATACAACGAGCTGGCCCGCATTCTGCTTTCGGTGCATAACCCCGGACATCCTACCGTGGGTCCCTTGCGGCGACGGTTTGTTCAGGAAGCTGATGTAAGTTGAGCCCCGTTGAGGATTATTGATGATGGATGCTGATATTCCCCGGCCACAGTATCAGATCCGCAAGGGGGTCTGGACCGTCTGTGGTGTGGCGTTGGCTAACGACGCTGTGCCTCCAGCGATGGTAGTGGGGTGCATGGCAATCCATCTCTGTAAGAAGCGACGATCGACAGAAATACATATTTGAGAGAGAACGTAAGCTGAACGTTGACAGGTGGCAATCGATTCACGGATCGGCAGGAACAAGAAAGGTTGATCCAAATCCTGATCCGCACCGACTCATCGCACGGATGGCCAACTCATGCGCTGCAACGCCAATTGCGGGAGACCTGGGGGATGTCTTGAAGAGGATGTGAGGCGAGATAAGAGAAATCGAGACAATCTACAGAATACGGAGTATCCGTATGCCAGAAAAGATGGGAATGGACAGCCAAAGATGGACGGCCAGAGACTATTACCAATCTCTCAAGGAGCACGCAATTCGAACTGCGACTGGGCCCTGACTGTGACTGTGGCCCTTCATGATGATGATGATGATGATGATGACAGTTCGCATTGACAGGTGGCAGCAAAGGGGGGGCCACAAGACGGCAAGCGAACAAGCAAAGCCAGAAATCAAAACAAAAACAGAAAAAGAAACAGCCCCAAAGTCAAAGCCGAAGGGGCGGCGAGCTTGATATTTCCGAAGCGAAGGCATGAAATTGAACGAACGGAGACCGCCGTGGGAACTGCAGGAACCATCACAGTAGCTAGGAATGCCGATCTGCGCGCCTTGTTGCGCCCCCAAGTGTGACGAGAGGGAGGCGGTGGGGAAGCACAGAAGCAGAGCGTATCGAATGACAAGGCAGAGCAGCAATGCACAACAGCCTTTGCCCGGTGCAATGTCCATATGTAGATTCAGATCGAGAGTGGTGGCCCCTTCAACAGAGGACTCGCCCCCCCGAGCGCGCACGGTGATTGTACCAAGTTTCCAGAAGTGGAGAGTTGAATTGTCAAATCTCCCGTCGAGGACCCTGGGTCGCGTCCAGGCATTCAGTCAGAATGCACTGCGGTTGGATGATGAGGGATCCACCCCCTGGACGATCGGCTCGGCGCGGGAGAGTGCGAGCAGGTCGTGATCCGTGTGTACGAGGAATGGATGCTGGAGGACGGGAGAGAGCTTCATCCAGAGAACCGCAAAGGCTCATAGCCTCTTTGGATCCTGCTTTACAGTGGAATTGAGCTGAAGAGGGTGAATTGGAAGCGTATATAACAGAGCAGAAGGGGGGTGTCGAGGGGGCCAAAGTGCGGGAGGATTGATTGTTCCTCTGCTGGATACCCCTGAATGATAATGCACTTACGACGACGCTACTTTTAGCGCGTTACCTCTCCAGGTTCAAGGTTCCACCTGGGAGGCCCTTTCGTTCTGTCTCTTCCAGAACACTCAGTTACTTCCTCCCCCGCAGTTCTCGAGTATCGACTTGCGCAAAACTTCGAAGCCCGGGCTGCCTGCCCCAATCCCTTCAATGATCTTTATCGACTGAAGTCAGAATGGCAATGGAATCGGGCTTTTTGCCCACGATAAAATGCTCCAACTGTGGATGCAATGTCGAGATCTTCGCCATGGGGGACCATATCTGCACGAGCATCGAACATGGTGAGTCTCTTCTGTGCCAGACAACCACACCCGCTCGACTTCATTGGAGTATACTGACTCCCCTTCGAATAAAGCACCGATGACGGCGATCCTTTCACCACCCCCCTCTGCGGGGTTCGATGAACCAGACCGATTGACAACGGCCATGGCCACCAAGTTTGGACGAGGCGCACCCCCGCGCATCGATCCTACTGTCGCAAGTACGTGAAGAAGTTGAATGGGAGAGAAAAACAACGAAAGCGCAATGAAAATAACCATCATATACTGACGGTTCGCAGATAATGCATTTCTTCAACCGAATATTCCAACGCCGGCAAGCAGTATTGGCTCCCATATGCCATCTCCTCTCTCAGTCTCATCGGCGCCTCGATCCCCTGTCCAACCCTACCCACGCCAGATATCCCCCGATGACGATTCGGTCCTGAACCTAGATAATGTCTTCTCATTTCCCATGCCGGGCAATCGATCTCCCACTCGTGTGAGCACACACGGATTTTCAATGTCAACAGAGACCACAGCACGCTCCCCAGCACCCACCCCATCCCCACGATATGGATTGGGCCTAGATTTGGTCCCGGAGGAGGTACAGTTGCCCCCAAGTCCACTTCCTCCGGCTCCAGAATCAACCGAGCAGGCCCATCAACGAAATGAATCAATGTTCAGCCAGAGTAGTTACCGCACCTCACTGGCCAGCACACGATATGGCAGCTCTACGGCGAGATCGTCAACCAATAGCTTCTCCCGTGGCTTCAACCAGTTTATCGATGAGACTCCGCCGTTGCCACCAGCGCCACTACGGACGCCAAACAAGTCTTCTTTCCCCCGAGACTCGGAACTATCCGTCAGTTCATCATATCAGAGTGACGGCCAAGAACCATTTGGAGGGTTTGACTTTGGAATTCCAACCAATCCTAACCCGAGTGGTTTACATGACCTCCCTGAAGAGCGTTCCCCCGAGGAACCAAAAGCCAGTCCAACCCAAGACTTTCCACTGCCGCCTCAGAATCATCTTCATCCCGCAGCTGCAGCCTTGGAGCCTGTTATTGACACCCAACGCAAGAATTCCGACGCTTCAACTCATAGCGCCGTCTCAGTGACGAGTTTTGCGCGTGCTTTAGGATTGGAGGGTCAAATGCAGAAAGCCGAGAGCTCAGTGTCCTCCGAATCATCCCCGTCAGAAGCCAACAGTGGCAGTTCAATGTCGAGCCTCCCCTCCGATACCAGTCTCAGCCGGTTTAAACCCAATGATCCCCTGAACCTCAGTCCGCTCGTCGAGGAATTACCGCCGCGCACACGACAAACTATTCTGGAGCTGCCGGGCCGCATTCGAAACACCATGGACGAAGTTCCGCCCATCCCAGCTGCTTTCTTTAGTCCCGATTCGCCCACCGACCCGGCCATTAACCAGGGCGGCTTGTCATTGATTGCGGAAAAGCACGAAGATCCCTCCTCCCCACAACCGCCACCATCAGACCCGCCTTCGCCGCGACGACCATTGCAGCGAGCCGCCACAACTCCGATTCCCCGTCCACCGACTCGCTCCACGACTAGGTCCAAGGGCAGTTGCAAAGGATGCGGAGAGGAAATCACCGGCAAGTCCGTCTCCTCTTCGGATGGTCGCTTAACGGGAAAATACCACAGGGGCTGCTTCGTGTGTTTTGAGTGTTCCTCTCCATTCCAAACAGCCGATTTCTATGTCCTCAACAACAAGCCCTATTGCGCGCAACATTACCATGAGCGGAATGGCTCTTTGTGCTCAACCTGCCACAACGGTATTGAGGGTGAATATCTGGAGACTGTTGAGCGTACTGGCGCCCGACCAGACCGTCGTCGATTCCACCTCGATTGTCTGCAATGCCGAACCTGCCATGTTATGCTCAAAGGCGACTACTTTGAGTGGAATGGCGGCGTTTATTGCGAACGAGACGCACAGCGCGCTTCAAATGCCTATTACCGACCACCACCAGGAGCCGGGGGACTGGCCCCCCCCCGGGCCCCCAGGTAGACGACGACCTACGATCGGTGCATCGCCATTATCACAAATACAGACTCGTGGATATCCTCCCGCTGGAGGGTACCGTCCACCACCTTCTCCTGCACCATCCCAGGGAGGACTCCGACCCGGCCCACGTTTTCCTTCGGGCGGTGCTAGACGATTCCCTGAGCGACGAACGACAAAACTCATGATGATCTGATTATAAATGGGTCCTGCACATTGACACCCAACCTTTCCCGACCCTGTGAGCCTCCAGAGGGCTCCAGACTTTCTTCTTTCCATTTTCATTCCCATTCACTCGATGTTCCAACTATTCCCCGTCATCAGATCATCTGGAGTGCCACTCGCTTTATAGACCGCATTATACCCTTCACACCCTGCTTTCATTCATTCGGCTGGTGCCACCTGGCGTTGATCGTTGCTTTTTGCCTTGTCATCCCACATTTTGGACCTATATACTCTTCACCTGTATTTCCTTCTTTTTTTTTCACCCCTGTACAAGTTCCTATGCATTTGCTTGTTCTGGGCAGCTATCTGGACCGGTGCCCAAGGCTTTTTCTAAGGCATTTCATATTGTTTGCCTCCTTGCGTCTTTGGACACGGTCATGTCGATATGTTTAATGTCTAATCCGTCAGTTCGGTGCTTGGATGGATGGCGGCGCTCTTCACATTTGGTGTGTACAAATCTTTTTCGAACGAGTACAAATATTAGGACAAAACAACCGAAATTATATTATGGATCATGACAGCGTCAAAACGTAAGTGTAAGTGTAAATGTAAAGGTCAATGTTCAAAGAGAAGAGTTGGTTTGAAAGCTCTTCTGTGTTCCCGAGATTGCTCCTGCTTCGTAACCGGGAGATGCAGTCCACTACAGCCTGCGAGTGAATGCCCACCCAAAAAGCACGACGAAGCCAGTGGCGAGAAAGCACTGGAGCCGTTGGGAGAAAGTAAGTCTATCGAGAGATGGATCTTGGTCCTTCAAAGCCGGATCAGTCTGTTCTTTCTCCCACCCTTCGCAGATTTCCCGGTAATGCACGGGCTCATCCGTGATCACACCGTCTACCTTGTGTCGAAGACACCAGCGCATCAGGTTGGGGGCATTAACAGTCCAGACATAGACCCGCCGGTGAGCGGCACGGGCTTCCTCGAGAAATCCTCGACCGAGCGGACCCATGAGAACCTTTTGGTTGACGTTGAAGGAGATGCGGGGCACATGCATAAATTGACGCGCGTAGCTCAAGTCGAAGCAGATCAGGCTCATCGCATATCGAGGAAGGTATTTGGTGCATGCGTCGAAGTATCGAGCCGACCAGCTGCCCAGAACAACTCGTCGATGCCAGTCGGGGCCGATGGTGGGGATGGGCACGGATTCGACTACCTGGGCGATGTGTTTTATGATGGTATTTGGATCATTGTTACGCTGGGCTCATTGATTAGCACTGGCACACCTTTTGACTATGTATACTCTATGGAATTCAGCAAGATCCACTTACCTTGATATCCAGCAGAATCCAGATATGTTCACGACCGGGCTGTCGTAGGAACTCCAAGACATCCACCAGACGTGGCATCGGTTCGTGCGGCGCCATCAGTGTGCGGAGGGATTTCAACTCAGCCCAGTCGCAGTCGGCCACTTTCTTCTTGACCCCGAAGCATCGTTTCAGATTCGCATCCTGTAGGGATGAGCAATACTACTTCTTTTTCCTTCTCCGTCATTCACCAGACGAGAGCACGCTCACATGGGACAACACAACCACTCCATCCCGCGAGAGATGCAGATCCAGTTCCAGCGCATGTGTACCGGCCTTGATGGCTTCGTCGATTGCACAGATGGTATTTTCGGGAAATCTTCCCTTGTAACCCCGGTGACTTATGGTTTGTGGTAGATCGGAGTCGGAGTGGAGGAAGTGTGCTGGGTAGAGAATCGGATTAACGCGAGCACCAGAAGGGCAAGCTTGAAAGAAAGAGCTGACCTGGGGTAGTTGGATCGCCCACCTCGAGGGGGGGGACAGTCTGACATGGTGGGAGGTGGTGTGTGAAAGAGGGAGCAGAGAGAAGAGAGGGAGCGTTGTGATGTTGTTGTGTGTTGATGCGAAGACGGTGAGAAGGCGGAGATAAACCACTTAACCCCGCCATGACATCGCCATAGATTTTGGTCAACTCTTCTTCTCTTTCTCTTTCTCTTTCTCTTTCTCTTTCTCACTGCCATATCCGAGAAAAGGTATTCAGTGTCCTTATTCACCCTCATCATGCAATCCGTCATTCAACCCCAGAAAACCGCCCTCATCACCGGCGCTGCTTCAGGCGTGGGGTATGCCATCGCCAAGCTCTGTAGAAGCAAGGGCATGCATCTGCTGCTACTGGACATTGATCATGAGAATCTCGCCAAAACAAAAGCAGCATTGGCGGAGCTCAATTCAAGTTTGATTACCGAGGCCTTTGTGCTCGATGTAGCCGACGCGGCCCTATGGAAAGAAACCACTCGCCAGATCGCTGATATCGTCCAAGATATTGACTTGGTGGTGTTGAATGCCGGAAAGGGTTATAAACCTCAGGGAACCGATACTGGGCGTCTCAAGCCGTGGCTGGATGGCAATTATTGGGAGAAGGTCAGTTTCTCTCCCTCTGTTCCTTTTCTCTTGCCGCCCTGGCTGACCTGATTCTTTCTGCCCACAAGACTTTCAATACTAATGTTCGAGGCCCACTGAATGGACTGGAAGCTCTTCTTCCTGTTTTGACGGCCTCAAAGAATAAGGCTCCCAAATCCATTGTCATCACCGGCTCCAAACAAGGCATCACGAACCCGCCCGGGGCCGGCAACCCCGCATACAATGCATCCAAGGCGGCGATCAAGAACCTTACGGAGCATCTCGCCTTCGACCTGCGCTCCGATCCGGCCACGGAGAATATCTCTGCACATCTCTTGATCCCCGGCTGGACGTGGACCGGCTTGATGGGCAATGTCGGACCTACCGACGAGGCGGAGGTTAAGAAGCCTTCCGGAGCTTGGTATCCAAGTCAGGTCGCCGAGGAGCTAGCCAAGGGACTTGAAACGGGGGCATTCTACATTGTCTGCCCAGACGGAGAAACCGATCCGGCTCTTGACCAAGCACGGATGAAATGGGGTAGCGAGGATGTTGTTGAAGGACGACCGGCACTCTCTCGCTGGGAGAAGAACTGGAAGAATCGGGCCGAGGAGGCCATTCAAGCCGATGCGAGGACCCGGAGAGCTTAATCCAGTTAGCTTAGAGTATATACGGTGTAAAATCAACAGCCGAATAAGCAACATACCTTAACATTGACATCCCTTCAAGTTGAAATTGAATTACTCGTCCTAAGATGATCGGCCTGTGCCGCGGCTTAGCTTGATGTCGGGCACCAAATTGGGATTAGAAGGAGGTCTCGGTAGTCGCAGAATACGAGGAATTTCCAAGTTCAAGTTTGTGATGACTCAAATTGAGTCAAGAAGAGTCAGGTTCTATCGGAGTGGTTATCACCTGGTATACTAGTAGCTCTATAAAGATGGTGTTTAGCCAGCCCAAATCTCCATTCAATTAATCGATTCGATTCCTTCGATTTGCTCTATTCAGCTCTCCTCTTCTATACAACAGGTACAGCGTAAGTAATCACCTACCACCTCCCCAAATTCTTCTATGATGATACCTTTCACTCGCCGATATGATCCTGCTGGATTGCTTAAGCCGGCAGGCGCTTGATTCCAACTGGTTCTGAGAGGATACTTTGCTCCACTATCCAGAGCGAGCCGAAACTATTTGACCCCGGACAAGACTGATGCCCGGATAGGCTGGAGGAATACTAGTGGTCGGTCGGGGTGGGTTCGGTGGAGAGTTCAAGTATTCAAGTACCCACGGCATCTCAAGGTACGATACTCTGACTGATAGGGTATGAGGTAGAAAGATAGGGCATACACGGCCAACTACTAGGGAAATAAAAGATATACCTGAAATTGCCAGTCATAATTCTACTCGTAAATTCCCTCCACTCTTTCCACTATTCCCCACCATTTTCGTCTGAGCGGCATGATGAGCATGACGATGGTTGAATGCAACCCTAACGACTTGCCGCAATCGGCATTTCCAGCCACCCCCCCCCCCCCCCCAATGTCCATCTTGAAAGACTAACTAACCTTAATTGGTACGGTGGTGTTGAGGAAACCCGCCACTGGAATAATCGTAGTTATGTCTCGAGGAAAACAGGGAGGGAGAGGGAGAGGAGGGTATGTGAAACACGATTAGCGGTATCAGAGTCTTGACTCGTCGTCTTTTTTCCCTTCTCCCTTGAGTCCGAGGCATGCAGGTTTATCTTAAGTGCTTCCAGCTGTATGGAGGGCTCCGGGTGTCGTACCTTGATAATCTGTCCCAACACCTCCCCCCCCCTTCCCCCGTATTCCAATGGATCCCTCGGCAAAGACCCAGATAAGGAGCCAGTCCCCGGATGCAACCGTGCGGCGCAAGTCCGATACGATCGGCGGTGCCCCAAGAGTCCAGAGGACCCTCTTTCTCTCCTCTCCTCTGCTGTCGCAGGCTTCCCCGTTGCCAGTCAATGCGGAGAAACGTGGGGGTGACATTGAAAGTCTGTGATCGTGATGCAACATCCCTTTGCAGCGCCGCAAGGTGCTCCTACTAGCATGATAAGGCCCTGATCTGCTGTCTTGCAGAAGCTTAGGCGCGGTCCTTGTTTCCTCCTCTCTTCTTCTTCCTCCTCTTCTTCTTCATTTGTTTCTTTTCCTCTGCTCGCCTGTATAGCAGCTTGTAACGTCAAAAGTACAAGTTTGCCCGCCAACCTCCCTCCCCCCCTTCCTTTCCAATATGGGTCACACTCCGCAACCGTCGCTGGACGACACGACCAAGAAGACGGCCACCACCGGCAGTGCCGATGAGCCCGATAAGCTGCAAGGTATTGCATCGGTTCCGGGCGTGGTGGACGAGGTCACCCGCGTGGTCGATCACAAAGCCGAACGAAGGCTATGTCGCCGGTTCGATATTCGACTCTTACCCATTTTGGCCGTGATGTGTAAGAGCCGTTCCTCCTTTTGATATTCGAAGGTAGCCAGTGAATTGAGGCGGTCGCTAATTGACGGTATTTGATGCTTCTAGACCTTTTCAATGCCCTCGATAAAGGAAATTTGGGTAACGCCAAAACCGATGGAATGACCGAAGATCTCCATTTCAAGGAGAATCAGTATAATCTGCTGCTGTCCATCTTTTTCGTCCCTTTCGTCATCTTCGCACCGCCATTCTCCATGCTGGGCAAGAAGTTCAGCCCGGCTCGCACGTTGCCCGTGATGATGTTCTCCTTCGGTTCCTTCACTCTGCTCTCATCAGCCGCTAACAACTTTGGTGGCATCTTCGCTTTGCGTTGGTTCCTGGGCATGTCCGAGGCTGCCTTTTTCCCTTTGGTGATCTACTACTTGACCACCTTCTATCGTCGTGGTGAGCTTGCCCGCCGATTGGGTATATTCTACGCGGCTTCCAACATCGCCAACGCCTTTTCCGGTCTCATTGCTTTCGGAGTCTTCCAGATCAAGGGCTCGAGTCTGCCCAACTGGCGGTATCTGTTTATCATTGAGGGTGGTGTGACGGTCATCTTTGCCGTCTTTGCTTTCTTCTATTTGCCTCGCAGTGCGGCCGAGGCGACATTCTTGAGCGAGGAAGAAAAAGCCCTTGCCTTCCACCGAATCCAAGTTGATTCGTCCGCCGTGGTGAATGAAAAGTTCCGACTGCGCGAGGCCCTGGGGATCTTCAAACACTTTTCCACGTATGTCTTTCTGTGCATTGAAATCTGCTTGGGTGTCCCACTGCAGGGCGTGGCCCTCTTTATGCCCCAAATTGTCGCTCGACTTGGCTATTCGACCGTGAAGACCAATCTCTACACCGTAGCCCCGAACGTGACGGGCGCAGTGATGCTGCTTATTCTGGCTTTTAGCTCCGACTTCGCCAAGCTGCGTTCGCCGTTCATCGTGCTGGGCTTCCTGCTCACCTTCTGCGGGTTCGCAATCTACGCCTCCATCAATGATGTCCAGAATAACCTGCAGCTGGCCTACTTTGCCACATTCATGATGACTTGGGGCACTTCGGCACCTTCCGTGATGTTGAGTACGTGGTATAACAACAACATCGCGCATGAAGGTCGTCGTGTATTGTTGACTAGTATTGGTGTTCCATTGGCCAATCTGATGGGTCTGGTTGGCAGCAATGTATTCCGTGAGCAAGATGCCCCAAAGTACATGCCGGCATTGATCACCGTCATGGCCTTTGGAGCCACCGGTGCCTGCCTGGCCGGTTTACTGGGACTCTACATGTGGATGGACAACAAGCGTCGGGATCGTAACGAAGGAGTGACAATCCGCGCTCGCGATATTCCGACCGAGCGCATGCGTGATGGCCCAGCATCGGCCGAGTTCCGCTGGTTCCTTTGAGCCAGCCAATGTGATATGAGGAATGTATGTAAATCTGAAATAATGAATTGCCAATTGTGTATAGTCCAGCCGAGTCCCACGTCATTTCATCTTCCCCGGGGTCTTCCCCAGAAACCCCGGACCCATCCATCCCACACACTCCTGTCCCCAGTGTCTCCACAGTCGGAGGAACCGCGAGACACTTGGTACAATAAACTGGAAACTGGGGACTTGGTCCAGATGGAGAAGTCCGTGAGCTCCGGTCGGCTGGAGGATATAAGCGAGTGGCAGCAGGTTCCTAAGTTCCATTTCCAGGGCCCACCATTGCTCCACTCGACACGACGGTGGGGAGGCGGCAGCCTTCTCAAAAATCTCAAAAGTGAAAGTCGGAAATCGGGGACCGGGGGGTTCAATTCTGCCTGACTTCAAGCTTGGAGTAGACGAGGGTCATGTTCAGCCATATTTGAGACAGGCCGATTTTCAGGTTGCACAACCAGCAGTTGGCCTGGGGACATGCATGCCTTCACCGCTGTTCGAAGGGGGCAGTCATGTGTATCGCATCTGCAACTGAGTGGGACAGAAATCTTGAAAAGGAGGAGGGAAAGGTTTAAAGACGAGAAGCACCTGAAATTTTGCATTTCGAGGAAGTTTCCAACGCAAAATCCTCCAAAATTACCCCCAAAATACATCAAATAACCCATCTTCGCCATGTCCAACCCCGGTCAAATCTCGCCGCTACCACCAGTGACCCGGCATATCACCGGCCATAATGCCGCCGGCAAGGCGATCGTACAGTCCTCCACGCCCGGCAATTGGAAATCGTATGAAGAGAGCCAGATGGCATTCAATGTGGTCTACACAACCTCCCAATTCCCGGCAGACTTGAACCAGGACGCGGATATCGTCGCCCATGACAAGGTCCAACAATCCGGCAAACTAGGACTGGTCAATCCCAAAGGTACCGTCTGCCGTATTGTCGATTTCGCCCCGAACAATAAATGTGTTGTCCACCGTACGCAGAGCCTTGACTACGGGATCGTTTTGGAGGGCCAGGTGGAAATGGTGGTGGAAGAGGGTGATCCGGTGCGGATGCAGCGTGGAGATATCGCTGTCCAGAGGGCCACAATGCACGGCTGGCGCAACCCAAGTGAGACGGAGTGGGCACGCATGGTGTTTGTTTTGCAGGATTGCCAACCGCTCACAGTGGGCGGGGTGGAAATGAAGGAGGAGTTGGGAATCGCGACCGGCGTGCTCAATCCGAGTGGGAATGACCAGTAGTGTAGCGCTGGCGTACATCCGATGCACAATGCATTCCTTTCTTCCATCGCGGTCGGAGTAGACTGTGGAAACCCCGATAGTAACTAGGTATATGTTTCGATATCTGCGTTTGTCTTTCACTCTTCTATTGGATCTTGATCACAACCTTGCCGAAGTGACTGCCGCTCTCCACGAACTGGAAGGCCTTTTGGGCCTCGGCGAAGGGGAAGACCTGATTAACAATGGGATGGATTTGATGCGCTTCGTAGAATCGGATCATCTCCTCAAATCGGTCTTTGGGTCCATTGATGATACCCTTCAGGGTCACAGTGCGCCGCAAAGCCAGGATGTTCACGTTCAATCGGTCATCTTCTGCGTCCACCTTGCCAGAAACGTAGCCAATGCAGTCGATTAGTCCACCAAAGGCAATACAGTCAAAGCTTTTCCGCAGAGTTTGCGCTCCACCGGTTTCTAGAATGATATCTGCCCCGTGATTGTTCGTGTATTGCATCACCTCGGCTTCCCAACCGGGCGTCGTGCGGTAGTTGATGGTGTGGTCGGCACCGAGCTGCTTGGCCTGATCGAGTTTCGCATCTGATGAGGAAGTGATGATCACTGTCAAGGTTAGCGGTTATACATCTCTAAGTCAAGATCTAAAGCGGACGGGCACTTTGCACTAACCCTTAGCGCCGGCAGCCTTCGCGATTTGCAATCCGGAGATGGCCACTCCTCCTGTGCCTTGGAGGAGAATATACTCGTTCTTGCCACCACTCTCGCCAATGGGTCTCATTCCATTGATCGACATCCAAGCAGTGACAGCTGCAATGGGCAGCGTGCAAGCTTCCTCATCAGACAAATAGCTCGGGGCTTTCACCAACCCGTGTGCGGGGAAGACCCGGTGGGTTGAGAGGACGCCATTGAGCGGCAGTCCGATGCTGCCAGCCAATTCCTTCTCAGTAACTTGTCCAGTCTGATGCTCGGGCAAAAATGTAGACAGAACGCGATCCCCCACGGCCCATTGGCTCACACCGGAGCCAATCTGTATGACTACTCCGCACATATCCGAACAAGGAACGATGGTGGTATCTTGGTCGGCGCTCTTGTGGTGTTTGTATTCGCCCTTGGTGACTAGGACATTATGTGTTAGTGAATTTCTCCATAGCATTCACATTTTGAGGCCCAGGTTGTACTCACCTTCCACGTCGCGATAGTTCAGAGACACGGCACGGATCTCCACAAGCACCTCACCAGCTCCGAGAGAAGGCATCGGGGCCTCTATCTGTCGGAGACTGTCGATACCTTGAAGAGATGTTATCCATTGCCGAACTGACATGATGATTGAGTGAGGGTTGGAAAAGGGATCAAACTTCCAACAAAAAAAAGAGGATATGGCAGGTCAAAAAGTTGGCTGAGGTTGTTTTGGAGTCGAATTGGATACGCTTTGTCAGCAACATTCCCAATATGAAAATCACGAATATTCAACTGGAACTGGGGGTTGAAAATTACTAAAATCTATGGATATAGGAAAGAATATTTGAATATATTTGCTAGGTCATGCCTATCATAATATTCTTTCATACTCATAGCATTTAGAGCACCGACATTGTTGATGGGGGATTTTGTCACAACTTGAGCCATGGTCTATAGTTACCGCATTTACTTCCCATGCATGGTAAGGTTATCTGCAAGAATTGTCAAAGATGGAGCAAATAGACACTCAATATCCGAAATAGACAGTTAATACTGATTCAATCCGATCCATTCCAGATGAAGAGGGGTTCCGACAGGGAATACCCCAGGAAATACTCCGTAGAGAGGGGTTTCCCCGCAAACTAAACATCAGAAACGCGGGAGAAATACCACCATTTTACCCATTTTAGCCGATAAATGGGACGGATTTGAGATATAAGTCTCGGCTGACGGGGTGAAGATCAAGAAGAATGAATAATAAGAGCAATAATAACAATTAAGCTAAGTTCAAGCTTCAAGGTAGCTCGGTCCACTTCTCTATAATGATGGCAATGTATTGGAGATACCTCTTGGTGGCGCTTGGTCTCATGGCCAATAGAGTGGATTCATTACCAAGTCTTGAACAAGTTGGTCGTTCAAATGAAAATGATCATTGGGTTGGAATCTGGGCAACAATGCCTCAACTTGTCGAACCCGCAAACCTCCCACCAGCGCCTTTTGTATGTCACGCAGACGACAGAGACCACTGTTGTTAGTTCTAACAATGTGTATAGAATGGCTCCGATGGTGTGTTTTACAACACTACTCTTCGTCAGACTGTTCAAGTTGGCCTAGAGGCAAATAAAATTCGTCTGGGGTTTTCTAATGCGTTTGGGGTTAATAATCTCAACATCACCAGTGCGGCTGTGAGTCGAGCATTCGAAAGTCAAGCCGGAATCAGTACACTACAGTCAGGATCTACGCAAAAATTACAATTCAGCGGAAAACCGAGTATTTCTATCCCCAACGGCGGTCTGGTTGTTACGGACCCAATTGAATTTCCGGTTCAGGCCCAGTCGGTTCTAATGATCGATCTTTTCTTAGAGCATGGCCAAGACGGCTTTGCTATCACGGGTCACCCTGGCAGTAGGACTACGTCGTTCATGAGCATTGACGACCAAGTTGGGGAGAAAAACCTGACCAGCAACTCTGTACAAAGTACCGAACATTGGTGGGTGATATGATTTCGGAATCCTTTAAGGAGAGGGGCTGAACGCCAGTCACAGGTACTTTATCAGTGCAGTCGAGGGGCTTTTGAACGAGAAGTCTAGCTCCTTTGCCATAGTCGGCGATAGTATCACAGATGGTCGAGGAAGCACAACAAATGCCAACAATCGGTAAGGGTGACTTCTTGAATTCTGCTGTTGATACAAAGCCTTCGCGAGATGTGTTACTTATTTGACGAATCAGGTGGCCAGATCTGTTGCAGAAGAAATTAAATCAGGGCAAAGCTACAGCGAAAATCGCGATTCTTAACCAGGCAGCAGGTGGAAACCGCATCTTGCATGATGGCCTGGGACCTAATGCTGTCAGTCGTATTGACCGAGATGTATTGGCACAGCCTGGGATCAAATATGCGATGATATTCGAGGGTGTGAATGATATTGGCGTTGCAGGCCCGGATATCGACTCCCAAGCTGAGATTGGGGATCAACTGATAATGGCCTTCCAGCAGATTGCAAGAAGAGTTCAAGCAGCCGGAATATTATTTGGCGGAGCCACAATTACACCATTCGGGTCACCGGCAAGCTCGAATTACACTCAGCCTTACTCGGATTCGGAACGGGAAAAAACACGACAAAGAATCAATTATTTCATCAGGAATAGTGGAATATTTGACTTTGTACTCGATTTAGACCGTGTTGTACACGATCCGCAGAATAAATCTGTCCTTTTGGGGAAATTTGACTCAGGAGACCATCTCCACCCCAACGAAGCGGGATATCAGGCGATTGCTGATTATTTTCCATCTGATTTTCTCCTGTGAGCAAGCTGGATATGGATAGTATGTATTGGTTGGGAAATATGGATACAAACGAATCAAGTCGTTGACGATGTACATGAGACGATGTTGGAGGGACCGACTCGGACTATACCATCCACATTCTTCAAGTACTTGGTATATTTCAAATTTGACTTATCCACGGCGAGCGAGACGATTCAGACTGCGTTTCTTGTAAGCACCGCTCTCCTCCAGTGACTGGGAAACCCCAGGGCCGAAATCCGGAGTGCCTCCAAGGGTGCCAAAGATATCACCGATGTAGTTGCTGGGTTTCACGCCGGCGGAAAAGGTCGCATTCCATCCTTCCCGAATACCCTGAACGATTTCAATACCAGCAATATAGAGGTTCTTGAGCGCAGGCTCAAATCCACCCTGGTCTGAGTCAATCAGATTGTAAACGGCCGAAGCTCCGGGGTAAGGTCGATCAAAGTCAGATGCAGTTCGCATGACGATGATACGGGCAAAGTCAGTGAGCTTGTGAGCTGAGGACCGCAAGAGAACCTCAAGGGTAGCGTTATCCTCCTGGGCACTGGAACAGTACTCTCCAGTGCCATTTGTGTACAACTTGGTGGTGTTATCGAATGCGGTCGCCAAAAGGTTACCGCTGTAGTAAACATCCGAGGTTGCGGTATCGCACTCCACGATGCTCGGGGGCAAGGTCGCCGCATTATATAGCCCGCTTGGAGTCTTATAGCGGGCTCGGTAGGCTTTGGCAGTGTCTGAATCTGACAGGTTCGCACGACGAGCGAAGCCAGCAGCAATTTTGCGGAGGTTATCGTTCACTTCAAAGACCTCAGTACCGTAGATAGTACTTGGGTACTGATTGGGGTATCTGGAACCATAGGGAATGTATCCAGTAGAATAGTTGTGGGGCAGCTCCCGAATGTCAATCTCGTACTGAAGAGCAACCTGAACTGCATATCGGGCAAAAGTTGCGGAGCCCGTGGTAACTCGTTTGGGGTTCACACCAGCGATGCCGGCAATCAAAAAGTATGTCTGGGTCAGGTCGAACAGGGAAGAGAAGGCAACCGCGGTGACCGTTGCAGCTGCATTGATCTCTGCCTCACCAGTGATCAACTGGCAGACCTCGTAGTCATCGTTGCAGTGCACATCAGGGTAGATTGACGACAGGCCAGGGACGGTGATGTTATGGGCCAATAGGTTGAATTCGGGGACATTCCACCAAGCTTCAGCTTCGGGCTCAAACTAAGAGAAGAAGTGAGTAAGAGGACCATTTTCATCGTTTGGAAAGGAGGATATGTGTACCATAGAAACGATGAACACCTTGGGCGCAATCTTCTCGGCCTGTGCGCTTGAAGCCGAGGCAGTGGCTGCGAACGCGCTGGCTCCCAGGAGCGACGCGATCAGACTCCAACAGGATAACATGACGATGAAGCGAGCGGTGTTTGCCAGTGACAATGGCAAAAATCCCAATTGAAGTGTTTTGTTCGACGGCAGCCTTTGTCGTTTAAATGCTGTAGGAGGTAACAGCTAAGCTTTGTTTCATTCGCAGATTCTTCGCGGTTTCTCACGATTTTCGCGCGATAGCATCCATTATTTTTCCGACGAAGGTGGATATCAATCCATATCTAGCAGCGATCAGCAACGATGCCGTTGACGAGATTTAGGGCCCGATGGCGCTCCTGGACCTCCGATTGGCGTCGGCCCAGCTCAGTGGACTCGGCCACCCAAAGAAAGCACTTTTCTGATAGGGTTGCGAACCGGATTGGACGAGCACAGTCGCTCACCAGGGGAACAGTTCCAGATGGCCAAATAAGCGTTGCCTATCGCTGCTAAACAGTGGCTTATCGCCCGATAGTTAGCCTCGGTTTTCCACCTTGATGGCAATTGGTGGGATAGTATTAATTAATTGTTATCGCCTTCAGGGGGGTTCCTACCTGTCATGTTTCCTGTTCCTATTCTCCTTCCTCCCCTGAGAAGGAGTTTGGCAGACTCTAATCATTTTAGTAAAATTAGTACTCTGGTCACCTGGCGGTGTTAATCAAGAAGTCCAAAGTGAAGAGTGAAAATCCTGCTGGCGAGTCGGCGATGACCCACAGCCAATCTGCCGGCAATCTGCAACTCGACTGTTTGCCAAAAAGATATTTCGAGATCTGTGATGATCATAATGTTGATACTAGTGACTGTCCAGAAAAATGGTGGAAATAGTTAATATCCTCGGCAGAGACGTACCAGTAGTACTCACTAGTAGTAACTATGGTTTATGGCTTCAAGTTCCAGACCGTAGAAACCCCCGTTGAACTTGAAACGACTACTAGTAGTAGAAGACTTTTATTTATCCGCGTTCGCATTCCCATTCTCTCGTTGATAGTACCCACGCCCGACCCAGCATCCACTCTAACGGTGAAATCTGGTCATTCAAGTTGGTGCCGCAACAGTAGCACATCCGATGACGCGCGGGCTCAAGCCACCGTGGCACATGAGGGATTGGCGTGGGGCATGACGCATGTCAAGCCTTTCTCTGGCAGTCCAACAGTCGCACACCCCAGACTCCATTAATAAATCCTACCAACTTTGACAGGAGGCCATGTGCTGATCAGCGGATTCGCCCCAACGTCATTTCCTGACGTCATTTTAATCTATCTCGACGCCGTGGCAGGCCAACCCTGGGAAACTTGCTTAGTATTCATTAAAATCATCGTCCGACCCATCTCGCAGAGGGGGAGAATTAGAAGAAACCAACTGCACTCACGGTGGCATCTCGACTGTTTCAAACGGTGAGTTTTCTTGCTCGCAAGGCTAGTATTTTGTACTAGTATACTATCGCTACATCCACTAACGGCCAAAGATTCCCCGGTTATTTATAGTATAGAGCACGCACACACGCACACACGCACACACACCCTCTCTCTCCTACTACCCCTCATCTCCCTATCGTCAAAATGCCAGGGATCCACGACCGAATCCGCGAGGAGCTTTACAACAAGGAGCGTGCGCTCTGGACGGCGCTTACCTCAGCCGACCCTGCCCCGGCCGTTCGAAAGCTATGCAATGAAGATGCCAACTTGATGTTCCCCAAGATGGGAATCATTACACTTGAGGATGATGAACAGTTCAAAGATGCTTTGAAACCACCTTTTCACCGGTTCGACGGATACCAACTGGATGAAGTGCGAACCATCGTCATTGATCTCATGGCCGGTGTTGTGACCTGTAAGATTCACGCGGTTAGAGGGAACAAGCAATATAAAGCCACATCATCGACAACTTGGAGTCAAGCATCAGACGGGGAGTGGCGCGTTTCATGCCACCAAGAGACCTTGGCATAATGGAGAGTACATTGGAGAGACAGTTCTTCTTCAGTCCTGTATGAATCTTAATTATTGAGCGTGATGATATTTGTGAAGATAACATGAGGTTATACGTCCCAAATTGACGCAATTCAACCTATAATCTATCTTATCTACTTTCTCTTTCACAGGACAAAGTTTTTCCCGGATCGCAATACAGACAGTACAATTTACCCCAACCGGTGATGCTCTGCTTGCAGAGCCAAGACCGAAGCGGGCTAATCCACGAAAATTTCACGATATTATGTCGAATAGATCGGCTTGTAGGTCTCAATAAATGCCCCCATTGGACGAAAGGGATACGTCAATTGGCTTTTTATTCAATAGGGGATTCGCGGGGGCTACGAATGGAGACCGTCTAGACTTTATGTCATAGCAGCAACTAGTACTGGTACATTCTCCTTGCCGCTAGGTATAAGAATCTCGGGATTTTCTGCGATACCCAGGTGGTGGATGCAAGAGCACCTGGGCAGCTCTAAGAGGTAAATATACTAGTATCCACGGATGGTTCCCCATGAGCTCATTCTTTCTCCCCCCCCCCCCCCCACACTCGAGAATTGTCTGTCTAAAATGTTCATCTCTCAAAGAATCAGCCTAGCTCTAATGGTAGAGTGCCTTGTTTTCCTTCATACTTACCAATGGTTATTGATTGCATCGCCCCTGGATTGAACCCTTATAAAGGGTACTCTTATCTTTTGCCTAATGATCGGATCGCCGCAATGTGTTGAAGAGAGTACCGAAGAGGACTCGGAGGCAACGCTTCTATTTTACGGAGAAAAGGACCGTTTAAGAGAAAGATATGTGACAAGAATCCAGAAATATTGGCTTCCCTTGGCCAGTAGTCGTTCAATAGGCGGAATCGGCAGTGAATTTTAGTATTCAATCATGTCGGTGAGCTTTGAAGCGACCCTTTTATTGGGGTCGCCTTTCAAGGTTCCACTCGAATTCTTGTTGCCGCCGTCCAAGGTCCCAGTATGGCTCTTAGTGCACCTGTCCATTGGATGAGAAATTGTGTAGGGACTACGTCGGCGTTATTGCAGTCGCAACTCTGTTGTGGTCCATGGGAGTTATAATTGACAAAGAATTACCCTGGTAAATAAATAAAAAAATCTTTGTTATCTATGAAGCCGCAATTGCTGGCATCAATATTTTGAGCCCCTTTTCAGATGGGGCTGGGATGAGGAGGCGGCACGTATGCAAAGGGGTCGACTCCCTGAATGCTTTGACAAGCATCGCTGGCTGGTTCAACTGATTGATACTGCTCATGCAGGTAAACGGGAACATTTTCGTGTCCGCGAAGGCAACGGAGCATATGTGAGCTTTCGGGCTAAGTCGGTCTGAGTAGGACACTGGGCCGGTTTCGCGGTAAATGGCAGCGGGCTTTCTCACCGGGGGGAGTTGAATATTATGAGATGAGCTGCACAGTAGGTCTGCTGCGAGTCTCTGCTTACATTTGACAAGGGGCCTGGTAGCGCTAGTGGTCAATATCTGGGATTTATGCTGTTTGCACTCTTGCAAAGTTGCACTTTTTTTGAGCTTGGGATCGTCTGTGCCCCAACGGTCTGCAAACCCTTCGCCTAGTAGAACGTGCGGGGCTGAAGAGTGCAGGTGAGCATGTCGCACGGCAGGCTGCATTTTATATTAAACGTCCGATGCTAGTACTGTCCGGTAGTATCGGGCTAGACATCATAAGGACCTAAAGAGCCGGGTGCATGCATCTGCTTAGTAGTTAGTTAGTTACTTGTAGTATAGTTACTAATCAGATCCACTCGGTTAAGTCACCAGGCCAATAGAAGGGGACACATCTTTTTCTTCCTTGATTCGAGCTGCACGAACCCGAAATTGGCGTACTAGTAATACTCAAGCTTGTACGGAATGTAAATGAAAGGATATGAACTCCATAGTTCTTTTTTCTGTTCTTGTTTTCTCTCATTCTTCCTCTGCTAACTCCTGGCGCGTTTTGTATTTTCAGCGAGCGTCCGGAGATTCTCGGCAAGCCAAAAAAGAGAGAAAAATAAATCCTCACTCGATTTCGTGCTCTGTTAATTGACATTCGTTTCATGGAAAGGGGAGTCTGGTGTGAGATGAACAACTGATACATCTGTACACTCGTACTGCCCAATAACCTTGGAAATTAATTCACATCGCGGGAGTTGCTCCCTTTGTTGGAGCAAATAAGTGGAACTAGTGGAACGGGGAACAGGGGGAATATCCACGCAGCGGCAGGTTACGGACCGAGAGTGTTAATTAAATCAGTCATTAGTACTGGCAAGCCTCGGAACTGCTATCCATGCATTAGTGCAACCTAATACTAGTAATGATCGAGAAACTTCGGCAGCTCGGAAGTCTTCCTTCCAGTCCTTTTGCTTCTTCCTTCTTTTTCGAGACTCCCGCTTCTGTCAAGAGCGTCGCCACCACAAGTCAACCCAGTACCATCTACGGAGTACGCCCTCATCCATGAAAAGCCAAGGGTCTGGACGAGGCGAATTGGCGGTCTGATGGCAAAGATTTGTGATTCATCACTTTTTTTGCTTATTTATTTCTGACTGTCATTATTATCTGCGGAGAATCGTGAGAACCCGCGCCCTAGATTCATCCATTCAGAGAGCTCCACAACGGTTCCATGGCTACGTACCCTTTTTATCTGGGAAAATGCCGAAGGATCGCCTTACCCGGCCGAGGGAACCTAGAATCCTTCCTGGCGTGATGGTTCATTTATTTACTAGTAGTTTTACGGGGCGTTGATTATTGGTCGCGGAAGTCTTCGACTTTTCCCTGCAGAAGAAATTTCATCAAGGGCGCTAAATCCCCTGCAAAGCCCGTGTCAGCCGAGCAATCAAAGTGGATCGTGATTTCAAGCTGACATTTCCCAATTAGCCCAGATTATCTTGTGTTCTCAAGAGAGTGGCCCAGGAATCTGAGGAATCTACGGCTTGTTGCAATTTTCGCTTTTACTTCGCGATGGATGCCATTCATCTGCCCCGGGATATAATCATAGTCGGTGCCGGCATTGCAGGAATCGCCTGTGCTCTCGCTCTATCCCACGAAGTTTCTCCTTATGTGCCCGACCTCAAAATAAGAATTTACGAGCGACATGATATCTTATCTACATCCGGGGGGGCGATCAATCTCACACCCGTCGCGCAACGTCACCTTGCTCAGCTCGGGGTCCTAGAGGAGCTGGACCGCATGGGCTCCGAAGGGGGAGCAGACGTTGATGCCATCTCACTTTACTCTATACGATCTGGTCGCTCAATTGGCTCAATTGGCTTTGTTGACCATCATGGAAATGGTTATGGAGGATTCAAAGGTCGTCGGGTGATGCGCATTGTGCTCTCCATGGCGATGCTGACACTGGCGGAACGAACCCCGAACATTGAATTGATCTTTGGGAAAAAGGTTGTCGGGGGCGAAGAAACCGAGAGCAACGCTGTTGTTCACTTCAAAGATGGTACTCAGGCTGTCGGTGACTTGGTGATCGGCTGCGATGGAGTTCATTCTACGGTTCGCACATCCTGGGTCGACCCAGATAGTCCATCCGAATATACTGGTATATCGTTTTTACAGGCTACCGTGCCAACAGAAAGCATTTCTTCGCGAATTCATTTCCACTCATCGGCCCTCAATATATCGCGACATGGCTCAATGCTAACCAGCTATTGCGATCGTGATCGCGAGCAAATCTTCGCCGCTGCGACTGTGCAATTTAGCCAAGATGACTTGAGTTACTATCGGATGGAACCCGGGCAAGACTGGGCAACACAACATAGAATCAAGTGTGCACTTCGTCGCGAGATTCAAGATCGTTTTTCCAAGACCGCGATACCTTGCATTCGGGAGATAGTCAACAGTGAAGCAGACTGGATGCTTTACCCTGTTCATCAAGTACCACCAGGTGGGAGATGGTCCACAAATCGTGTGATTTTGCTGGGCGATGCAGCACATGCGGTATGGCTCATTCCAGTACTCTACTTTGTTCATGTATTAATCTATTCTCTCCAGATGCCCCCAAAGGACGAATCCGCCGCATACGCACTGGACGATGCAATTCTTTTTGCTCGTATCCTAGTCCGCTACCGGTCGGAACCACTGTCCGAAGTGTTTGATGCGTATGAGAGTATGCGCCGCGATACTATCGAAAATGCCTTCAAGGAATCTCACCGTATGTGGGATCGCAATCGTGATATGGGTATGCTAGAAGGTCGCCTTAAGGAGTGGTTGATGCCGTTCTATTTACGCAGTAACCGTGACAAGCGCGAAGCTGCGTGGGAGTTTGACGCAGCAAAGATTACAATTCCTACACCCGCCCCCAGTGAGGATTTAGTATCTTTAAATTCATTTCTAAAAGAGCATACGGCATGAAACAAAAAAAAGGAGCATTGCATCTAATTGATCGCTTACGGTGTTGGGACTGATGGCGTGATGAGTGATTTTTCGGTCTGGTATCCTGCAATGACTTTCTCTTGTTACTAGTCATGTATGATATGACATGATACCTTAATACTAAAATCGGGTACAAAATTCTCGATTGTATGGTATGTTAGGATAGCACTTCTTTCTGGAGACATGAGAATGCGTTTTATTTCCCCTAGCTACAACCTATTCCAAAAGTCGACCCGAGTGAAATGATCAGCCAAGCCTCATAACCCCCAATTAAAAGGACAAAGTCTGTCCAGCAGTTCCAACAACTGCGCTCTTGACCTTGCTTGACCCAAGGAGACTGTAGCTGTATGGCACGGATTTGAGTGTTCCCGCCGTCGCAGTGTTCGCGCCAGTACCAAAGTCATTATCATTTGCCACCGCGTAACCACCATCAGTCGAATACAAGGGCTTCTTGCTTCCCGAGAAGGCGTTTGACTCGACAAGCAGCTGGGCACCCTGACGAGTGTTTATTCCGTCACTCACATCCAGGAAGTAACTGTTATAGATATGGCCGGTACCAAAGCGGAAAGAAGGCGCGCGGGAGTTGATGTTGTACCAGTAGTTGTTGTTCTGGGTGACACGTAGATGCCCGGTATCCTCATCGCCATTGCTGTCGGAGTGGCCGATCAACGATGCCTTGTAGTGGTCATGGATGAATGTGTTGGAAACGGTGACATAGTCCGCTGCGTGGGTAAGCTGGATAGAGTGAGTATTTCGCTTATGAATCATGGTCACTAATCGAAGCTCTTACATCAATCAGACCATCATAATAGTCTTTGTCGTGGTCCATGTCGGATGAGACATCGCAATGGTCAACCCAAACATTGTTCGAGTACTCTAAACAAGGTCAGAAGGGGCAAGGCGAGTTGGTTACAGTAATGAATGCAAGTACTCACGGACGCCAATAGCATCCCCATTGTCGGCAAGGACCTTCTGGACTCCCAGATTACGAATAATCACGTTGGAAGCTTCCTTGACCAGCCTGAAATTTATAAGTTTATATCACCCTTTGCAATGCTAGCAGCCTCAAACTTACACTCCGAACCCGGACAAGATGGCATTCGAGTCCTTGCCGATAATGCTAGTGTTGCTGCCTACACGAGCCTGATCCGCGGCCTTGGTAATCTTCCCACTGACAACGACAACCTTTTTGGCGTCCCCAGATACGGCTTGAGTGAAAGCAGCGTAGGAAGAAACAGTGGTGGTGGTACCGCCAGCGCCGCCAGTGGTGCCTCCATTCTGGCTAGCATAGCCAGTAGCGGCCTAAAAGTTGTATTAATGAGGGTAGTTTTGAAGATAAGAGGAGCTATAGAGCAATTGGAATAGAAACGCACATCGTTAACGCTCGCCCGCTTTTCAAGGTTGTTGCTTGATGTCGGTACACCAAGCGCGAGTCCGGACAGACAAAGCACAGCAGCGATCAGCTTGGAGGGAGCCATTTTTGAGAAGGTGCCGACTCAGTTGATGATAATATATATTGTTGCAGAATGTTGAGATATAGAACGATGTATGGAAATATCTGGGACTTTATAGACTTCGCAAATAGCCCTGTGGGCTCTCCGCCAAGACAGCTCTCCATTGGCTCGGGCGGACATTTCATAGAGGGAACGGGCAATCTTGGCGAGTCGAATATATTGTGTAAATGAATTAATGCACTAGTCTAATGGTTTGGTTCTCTGACGAATTTTGTGTCATGTTGTCCCTGTGGAGGCCGCGTCTACCCTACAGGGATGCTAATGTATTTAGTCCCGCTGGGCGCCACAGCTTGGCATGAACATCTCTCCCGCTTCCGCCACGGAGAGACGCAGCCTTCATGGATATAAAATTGTAGTTGGTGGATTTGCCTGAGCTGTTTCTTCAGTGGCTATGATGCGACTTTTGCTGATCTTTTTCGCTAAAGTACTTCCACGGATTAACTTGACAGGGCATGAGGACCAGTTTGTTTAAAGAACGCCAAGGACATAAAGGTTTCACCTTCTCACATACTACTTGGCAGGGTCATATGAAGGAGAAAGGGGCTGTGCTCTGCTGAAACTATTTCCATCAATCCAGAGACCATTCTTCAGCGGTAATTGCACGGGTGTCTTGCCTAGCTGTTCCACCAGCTCCGGCACCGTCAATAGTGGAGCTATGCTCTGAGCCTTGGCAATGCATTTAAGACATATTTTATGTTTTTTCCATGAAAATTTATATTAATGGAAATAGTATGGCATGGTAGTATGGATATCACGGACTCGGAACGGGCTTGGTTAGGACCAGATCGGCGTGGCTAGAACGCTAGCAGCCTTCAGGAGGAGCGTGAATTACCAAGATCAAGTGAGTAATAAACCAGCTAGTACTGCATTTGATACTGGGTCTAATAACGATTAGATAGGTGTCTCAGTTGTGAAGAAACGCCTGTGTGGGCTACTGTCGAGCTGTCCTCCACGGACCACATGCCCGGTTTCATTTCGCTAGTTTCGGCAGATTTGACAAATCTAACCCCCTATGATGCTAGAATGAAGGCAGTTGCTGTAATGATTCTGAGGAACTCCTTGAGAGGTTTATGTGATCCTATAGCAGAAGGTATACCAAGATACCTTCGACAGGGATTAGTTAAAGTTGATTGTAGAATCATTTAAAATGGGTTCATGTTCTGGTAAGTTCTGAGTAGGTCAAAATAAAATGTCTATGAATTTTGGAAGACTCAAAGTAGCCGTTTGAAACAGTAAGAATATTGATGGGAATGGCGACATTTCTCATTGGGCTGAGTAATATTGTGTCCTCCTTCCCGCGCCTCGGGAACAAACCTCGGCCCCGCAAAAGCATTCCCCTTGACACAACTGAAACTTGAACCATTCGCGGAATGTGCGCTGGTTTTGAATGAGCTTAAGTTATATCAATTTGAGCTTGAAAATATGGCCGAAACTTTCTCTTCCGTGCCCAAGGTTGATTATGCTCGGCTACAAGACAAGGCCACCCGACAAGAAGAACTGGATAAACTTCAAAATGCGATATTTGTTGTGGGGTTTTTGTACTTAACCAATACAGGACTGGAGGTATGATGAAGAGAAAATATAGACAATCTCTGAGACTGACAGTGAAATAGGGGTTGATCCGCCACACCCATGACCAACTGCCACAGCTATTCAACCTCGCAGCAGAGGTCAAGGAGGATTGTAACATGATTCATTCCGCCTCATTCCTTGGATACACCCGTCTTGGCGCGGAAACGACGGCATTGCAGACGGATCTTCGCGAGGTAAGTGGTGTATTTTATTTGACCGGCGGATTTATCCTTCCTCGCTGACCGAGCACCTGAAGCAATTCGACTTTGGTACTCCGGGTATGCCAACGTGGACGGAGCAACACCCGTTCTGGCAGAGGCTAGAGGGGTCCAACCAGGTATGTACCTCCAGAGCTCTCTTACGTCTGCACATCAGTCAGTTCTCACGAATGCATGGTATAGTATCCAAAGAGCCCGGGAGCTCAGAATTTAGTGGAGGAATATATCTCCCAGATCGACAGACTAGCCCAGGACTTTGTGCATCTGGTGGCAGAATGTCTCTCCCTTCCTATGGATACATTTGATAACTTCAAAGGCAAAATGAGTCGATTGAAGTTTGTCAAATATCCTCCATCGGCGCCGGACTCCCAGGGAGTCGGCCCCCACAAAGATTCCGCCGGACTATTCACTTTCCTGTCGCAGGACAATACGGGTGGGCTTCAGGTCTTGAATAAAAACGGGGAATGGATCGACGTGCCGCCAATCGAAGGAAGTCTGGTAGTGAACATTCAGCAGGGATTTGAAGCCATCACTGGAGGTGTTTGCGCAGCCACCACCCATCGAGTTATTGTAAGATCACAGGGGCAGCCCAATTTTCCTTCGTTGACCAAGGCTCACGATTATACAGGCACCGACCTCGCAAACTCGATACAGTATTCCCTTCTTCCTAGGTGTTCGGCTGGATCTGACACTATCCCAGCTGGAGGAGTCGGCAGCGCATATTGTCCAGCGCATCCCAGCATCTGACGATCGGAAAAAGCGAGCTATTGATGTACCGAGCGAGTTTCTTTCGCCTCTTTATTCGTGTGTAAGTTTTCAAAAGCTTTTGGACGAGAGAGATATTGTCTGACCGTTTCTAGTTTGGCGAAGCACATCTGCGGAATCGTATCTTGAGCCATCCGGACGTTGGGCGTCGTTGGTACCCCAAGCTATTCGAACGATATTCGAAACAGACTTTGAGATAATCTTATTAAATGATTCTGTCGCGAACTGGAATCGTGACCTGGTATGCGGCCGCCCTGTCAATAGTAGTATATCATCTGCTGAAAACAACATACCAAAACAACTCTCTACATATCACAGAGGGCTTTAGGTTTAGCTTAAGCGCCGTCATTTTGTGTTTTTTTTATGCAAGGGGGCGCGTTACATTGTATAGTTTACGGCAATCCTCTCTTTACACCAGTGATTAATGGAATAATTTCCAGTGGAATACCATCATATTCTGCGCCCCCCACCCAGTCCTAGTACCTAGTTAGGACTGGTAGCCTAGGAGGGATGAGGTAGTTGTGATTTTGGAAGAACACTAGTTGAAGCGTTGGCGTTTAGCATTATGGCATTACTAACAATACATGGCAGACCACGGGAGCCGCTATCATTCCTTTCTGCATAAAGAATCGTTCAAGTTCGTAGAGAAAAGCCTTATGATTTCCATCTGGACCATCAGATTCTCTGCCAAGCAATGATAGTTCAATTCCATAGGACTTATCTGTGGAAAAACTAATAAGCAAGCTAACTCTGTTCTCGTTTTTGAATTTTCTCAAGGGAGGACTCGGCCATGTTGAACTTGTGTCGCCAACGGAAGATATTTCCTGTTGGTCAGTGGTCACACCAGAGGGGACAATTGTGCCCGCTAAAATCCCCCTGTTCCTCGATTTTCCAACTGGGTCGTGATTATCCTTGTCTTCCGTTGCCTCATAAGCGAAGTTCTTTTGTAGGATGTTCAGTCTCACAGCCCGTCTTGGCCGTCGAGGTCACCATAACGTCTCAATGCGGACTCCCCTGTCTTCATATTGCTCAAATCTCACATCAGCTCGTATTATATCCTCTCCCTGGAAGAGATAATTACTAGCATCTCCTCTTGTTCATCTGGAGAATTGTGTGGCACTCACAACTGGTCTTCGTAATAGCATATCGGAACGTTCCGTGATCTGCGATCGCCAAAGACCTCGATCCATGGATGTGTAAGGGGTTCACCGACAAACACACCCGGACCCTGAGCTCCATTAAATTTCAAAATTATTTTGAGGTTAGCCGAAGTACCTTGATATAGTTGACTATCAGGTAGGTATACATTGAATGGATGAGCACGCGAGATTATGCGGTGTTTATGTACGGGACTCGGTTAAAGAGATTGGCACTGCTACTAAGTAATTCCTAGTTACTATTAAAGGAAAGGCCCATTTTTGAGAGGCCGATGCAAAATACGGTATTAGTAGTATACTATGTTGAGACGGGAATGTCTGCAGTACTCAAAGCCGCGCTTCCTCCTAGAGATCCTAGTTACTAACACACATGCACCACCTTTCATTGTTCCGAGCTTGCGTCAAAGTACAGTCCACGTTGCCTTGTTTACTTTCAACTCTTGACTTCTTCACCCGGAACTCGAAAGTGGAGGTTGCCTTACCCCGCCTAAAGGGCGCATCCGAAGCCCTGAATACCCCACACTTCAACACTTCACACTTCAAACATCATCCTTCACCCTTCACTCTTCCACCCCTTGCATACTGCATAGAATCACAATGACGACTATTAGTGCCTCTTCCATCGATACTCTTCGTACTCGCTTGACCACAGCGACCGTTTTTGTGCCTGGAACGGATGGGTATGAGGAGAGTCTGGTCCGGTGGTCGGACACGGGGATGAAACGTGCTGTAAGCAATAGCAATCATCGCGGAATGCATGGAAGGAAAGCGTTGATTGACTGACTACTATATTCTTCACTGTCAAAGGGGATTGTGGTTCAACCAATTGATCCGACAGACATTCAAGCTGCTCTCCTCTGGGCACGGGAAGAAGACATCGATATCGCTGTCAAGGGCGGCGGTCACTCAACAGCCGGCACAAGCTCAAGTGACGGCGGTCTGGTGATTGACCTATCGCGCATGAATAAGGTGACAGTAGATCGCATGAGCAAGACCATTACGGCGCAGGGTGGTGCGACATGGAAGGAAGTTGACGACGGGGGCGCTATTCACGGCCTAGTAGCTGTGGGAGGAACCGTCAATCATACCGGCGTCGGTGGGCTCACCTTGGGTGCTGGATATGGCTGGTTATCGGGTCAGTTTGGCCTGACGATCGACAATCTTTTATCTGTGACGGTTGTGCTTGCAGATGGAAGTCTCGTCAAGGCTTCTGCGACCGAACACCCAGAGTTGTTTTGGGGTCTGCGAGGCGCGGGTTATAACTTTGGCGTGGCCGTGGAATTCACTTACCAAGCTTATGAAAGGACCAATCCTGTCTATTCTGGACTCATGGCATTTCCTCCTCATCAGCTGGAGGAAGTGGTCCAACTATTGAATGCCCTCCTAGCAGAGCCAGACTCCCGCGCCGGCGCCATGTGTATCTTTGCCCAGGGACCCGATGGCTCTGGACCGATGATCATTGTCATTTGCTTTTACGATGGTACGAAGGAGGAAGGTGAAGCGCAATTTGCCGGATTTCTCGCTCTGAAACCGGTTCTCAATACTGTGGATATGATTCCATACTCAGCAGTCAACACCTTGCAAAACCCCCAGGCCACATATGGGGACCGTAAAGCGTTCAAGGGAATTTTTTACGAGCCACCACTAGCGCCAAAGTTTGTTCGGTCTGTTTTTGAAGATTTCATGGCCAAGTTACAGAGCGAACCCGATCTGATGGCTTCTGCAATTATCCTCGAGTTCATTGACATGCGCAAGATTTGCGAAGTTCCTTTGTCTGCCACTGCCTTTGCCAGTCGAAACTCAACCCAGAATGGCATCGTTTATCTTAGGTGGACGGATGCGAGCAAAGATCTGGAGCATAGGTCGTGGGCGCGCGAGGTCCAGGCTAAGTGGACGGCTGAACTGGATGCTCGAGCCAAGGGACGCGAGATCGGGGACTATGTGCCTCAATACATCAACTACGCTGAACGTAAGTTACACCTGGGACTTCCAACGTTATTTCCAAACTCTGCGCTTTATTTTATTAACAATACCTCGTCAGCGGGTGACTCTGTGGTGCCGAATATCTATGGTGAGAATCTCGCACGTCTACAGAGGGTCAAAGCCCAGTATGATCCAACAAATATTTTCAACAAGATGCATCCCATCTCGCTAGCTACTTCTAAGTAGATGAAATACTAGTACTAGTTAGTACTAGCTAGTACATTTCGAGCATAAGTAGTACGCATGTGACAAATCTTACTTGAAGTTACCAACCAATAGCATGACGGATGATACCGCCAAGTTCAACTCACTAGTATCAAAAGCAACTTGAACCTTTGAACGGTGAATATTTTCCGGATTTACAACCTGGAAATAGAACTAGTAGTTGAAGCTCGCGATGGTTTATGGTACTAGCAATACTTAGGCAGTATCCACGTAGAAGCGAGGTATTGGAGAATGCCAAAATCTATATTTACTACAAGTAGAAGGAATCCCATGATTTACAGCCGGGGTAAAATATGATACTTGACAGCTTTGACGGTGGTCCACCCCTCCAGAGCTTCTTCGCCCATGTCTCTTCCGAAACCACTTTCTTTGACTCCACCAAAGGGGACATTCGGGCTGAGCATCGCCCACGCATTGACAGTCACTTGGCCAGATTCGAGGGATTTGGTGACTCGGTGAGCTCTGCTGATGTCGTTGGTAAAGACGGCGGCACTCAGGCCATGGAGGGAGTCATTGGCTTTGGCGATGACATCTTCCTCGGTGGAGAACTTAGCAATGCTCTGTTCCCAAATATTGGGTTAGCTGGTCAGGTCAGTCTGCATGGGGAACGGGACGTGCACTCACCGCGACGGGGCCAAAAATCTCCTCGCGCATGATTGTAGCATCGTCAGGTACATCGGCAAAGGCGGTATTTTGAACGAAATATCCCTTGCTTCCAATTTGTTCACCTCCGAACAGAAGTCTTGCTCCGGACTGCTTTCCCTGTCGAATATAATCCAGGACTTTCTGGTGCTGGGCGCAGCTGACCACAGGACCTTTTGTTGTTGACGTCTCGAGTGGGTTACCGGCCACCGTCGGCGCGTTTGCCGCGGCTTGCTTGTACGCCTCGATGAAGCGATCGTAAATTCCATCCTGGACATAGATGCGGGACCCAGCCGCACAGATCTGGCCGTTATTTGCGGTGATACCGATTCGTGTCCAAAATAAGGCATTCTCGAAGTCACAATCGTCGAAGACAATCGACGGCCCTTTGCCCCCAAGTTCCAAACTCACCTTTTTCAAATTGGTCCGCGAGGCGGCTTGCATGATCTTCCGACCGGCGACTGAGCTACCCGTGAAAGCCAGTTTTCGAACCTCCATATGTTCAGACAGGGACTGGCCTGCGGAAGCTCCTTCGCCAGTGACGATGTTGACGACACCGGCCGGGATCCCAGCTTGCTTGACCAGTTCCGCTAGCCTTTGGGCATATAGAGGAGACAGTTCCGAGGACTTGATGATCAAAGCGTTCCCGGCGGCCAAGGCTGGAGCCAACTTCCAGATGGTAATCATGCTAGTCGAAAAAGATCAGCATTATGCTTGAGAACAGGAGATAGACGGCAGAAGGGGTTGCTTACAGAGGGGCATTCCAGGGAACGATGGCAGCACACACCCCGATGGGTTCGCGGTGGGTGTATGCAATGCCACCATCCATCTCGAGGGATTTCCCATCCATCTTGTCAGCCCAGCCGGCATAATATCGCAGACAGCCCACGGCCTGGGGAATATTGAGACCGATGGAGTCAGTGTAGAGAGTGCCGGCGTCGACAGCCTCCAGAGAGGCTAGAGTTTGAGCATCTTGCTCGATGAGGTCCGCCAGTTTGAGTAAAAAACGGGCTTTTGCGGGACCTGAAACCGACTTCCAGGTGTCGAAACCGGATTTGGAAGACTGAACGGCGCGGTTGATATCGTCGGGGCCGGCGGCCGAGATGGTTCCCAGGGATTCACCGGTGGTGGGGTTTTCTACGGGCAGGGTTTGCCCGGTGGTAGAGGGGACGAATTCATTGTGAATGAAGAGACCGGTCGGAACTATACATATGGTAGAGTTATGGATTAGCAATCGGGGTTCACTGGTGGATGGGTGGGCAGGTCCTAGGGTACCGGTAATTTGGCGCCCCTGCACCCCAATCACGTTCAGCGAAGTAGACATGGCGATTGAATTCGACTGGATTCAATTTGAGCGGAGTACCTAGGTAGATGCGAACGGAGTAGATCAAATCAGACCAGACCAGAACAGGTACTATCTCAACCTCAAGTCCCCGACCCCCGACGAGAGCGCGAGCTGCCGGCGCTTTTCAATTCAGATGCGGAGGGCGCAATGCTGCGGGGAAGGCGCACGGATTCCGCGCAAGGATTCCGCATTCATTCCGAGGGAACGCGGGCATGGTGAACTGGGGTGGTGAAGAGAAGAGGGGTGAGGTGAGAGAAAGGAACTTGAAGAAACTTTTGATAAGAAGAAGATGGCTCTAAACCTTGGAAGGACTCGGGGGTGAGGAGATCATGTGATGGTGGTGAAGCGGGCAGGTACGATGGAGTGCGTGCCTGCCGTGCCTGGTGAACTACACACGCTGACAATATATACAACGTAGTATATAGTTAGTATAGTTAGTATAGTAATACATAGTATACTACTAGTACATACCTAGGTAGTAATAACTCGAATATATTATCCATAGATATCATGATATTATGAAGTATCATATAGTATATAGTTTATGGTATACTTATACTTAGACTAGTAGTATCTACTCTAGCCTCCCGTCGCAACTTGAACTTGAGGCTGCCCGCGGCAGGTGACTGCCAAGACCCAATCTGCTCCCGTCAACTTCCTCTCCTCCTCCCAAGTTCCTCTCTTCTCTCTTCTCCCCTTTTATTTCACCACCACCACCACCCATCTTATACCGTCGTCCAAAACCCCCAAACCCCTGCGAGAACCAGTTTAATCCCCGCCGACAGCCACAGCACCGGCCCGATCTGCTGCGTCGCCTTGGTAATCCATCCACCAATAATTGCCCCCACCAGTGTGAGCACGAAAGCAATCACCCGTCGATCGCGCTTTTCGTTCCGCAACAGGAATAACTTGGGATCCGACATGAGATCACACAAAAGGCTCGTGATCACCACTGTCGGGATCTCGTTGAACCCCAACGTGCGACTCGCCACGATCTGTCCCGCCGACTGCAGACTCAGCAAAACAATCGGAACCTCTTCATTCCACAGAGGCGTAGTATCCTCCACATCATTTCCGCCCCCCGCAAGGACGCTGGAAACTACTTGGCCTTGCACCAGTCCGGCCGTCAGAATAATCAGTCCCGCTTGAATCGCAAACGACAGCATCAAACTGCCTCGTCGCCGCGCCCCCAAGATGCGATGCAGTCGTGCAAACAGAAAACTCCCCACCACAAAACATCCAATCGCCGTGAGGGACCCTACCCATCCATACGCCCGTGCCTCCTGCCCAGAGGCCCCTAACCCGACAAAAATGGTGTTCCCTGGTTCATAACATCTTCGTATCAGCCGAGTCTGCCCTATGGGATAAGGTTGAGGGTGAGTTGAACATACCCGTCTGCATCGACACGAAGGTCCTGTACGCTGTTCCGGATCAGCAGGGTTGAATGCGAGAACTTTCGGTGACTTGAACCACACCATTATACGTGGTGCTGTCGACCAGTCCGGACGATAGACAACATCCAAACAATATCATCTCTCCATGACGAGGGTCGATCTCAGCATTGAAAAAGGCGGCTACTCGTCGCGGTGCTCCTTTCCCACCTTCCATACCAGATGTGGGTATCGACATCATGACACGAGTACCTCTGAAGAGAACGATTCTGGAGAGTCGGCAAGAAGAACAGCAGAGATATGAAACGAGCGGCAGAAGACGAAGAAGTAAAAAAACCTGATCTCTGAGGGAGACAAGAGATATCTTCAAAGCTGGCCAAGGACTGGGCTTTTCTTCTTCCCCTCTTTTCTGATTGTTGCCTTGAAAATACACGTTCCATCGTCCTTGGGTGGGACTTATAGCCCCCCCCCCTCCGAAGGGTGGAGGGTGGAGATAGGAGAACTTGGATTTCTGCACGCCGTGGAATCCAACTGCATAAGCGGCGGAGGGGCCGCTGCAATCACGTCTTGCACGCTTCTTGAACCTTCACGGAGCCTTTAGCCTTCATGCATTCGGACCGCCGGAAATGCCAATCCCCCCCCCCCCCCCCTTGATGTGCCAAGGCTCGGGGGGGAATTGGTCGCAATGCCGAGCAACTTGGCGCCGCTCCTCTCTGTTCCCGAGATCGACTCGGTCGACCGCGTGTGCGACAACCCGGACTATGTCCACGAGGGGCTGGTGTGACAACCTGTCCATATTGTCTCCCCACTCGCTTCTCTTCCTGCATTCTGCTCGGGGTAAGTTTGTCAGATTCCCCATTCCCACCTCATCAATCGTAGTCATCGTTTTGATGTCTTTTGTTTTCGGCCAAATGGCGACGCGGGCTGCGCGCCTATACCGGCCTTCTTTCTGCCTGCTGATCTCTCAACGCTGGATTAATGATCTCCCAACACTAACCAATCTAGCGCAAGACGGAATAAAATCGGCGAACCAGGGGCAATTCTTCATTCTTGTGGCTTTTCCCTTCAGCTTTGCGGGGCCAACACTCGAGTCTTGACGGCCCACATTTTGTCTCATGTTCTATCATATCATTTGTCTCCTGCTCTACTCTTGGTCTCCTATTGCACCTATGCACTAGTCCTTGTTTTCTTCATACATGCGTGCAAGGACAATTCTCCGCATGATCGGCGCAGTGCATCCGTCATCCCGTTTGGGTATCTGATTATCTCCAGGGCACAGATAGCGGTACAGCGATGAGTGTCGTTGTTTCAACAACCCTGTCTTCGCGCGGTTCGCGCCACAGCACTGACTAGGTGTTATCTTGCATTTTCGCATGCTTTAGTCACTGCAGAAAGAGGGATTGGGGCGGCGGCGCCAATGTCCGTGGTTATCTCTGGGCGGGGAGTCATCTGGGCCTGGTCGTTCAGTCGGTCCGTCCTCGCCCGGAAGCTACAAAGTACCAGATGCCCAGACTCAAGGAGGGCTGCAGATACGCGTCATTGGGACAATTCGTAGCTGGTGGTGGCCAGTATCTAGACCACATTACCCTCCGCCCGGTCTAATAGAGAAGTTCATTCGTAATTAATACACCGGAGCAATTCGATCCTATACTCCATGGGATTGGCGGGATTTAGGCGATTCGGGTACTCCGAACGGGCATTTCAGAATGCAGACTTGGACAGCTCTACTTAAGCCCCAGTAATTCAAATCCGAATCAAGGTTATTTAGTTCCAGGCAATTCAAATCAAAGCAATTAGACTTGAAATAATCTACATTTAATTGTCCTTTGCTCAAGTCCACGCAATTCAAACCCGTGGACTAAAGGGATTCATCTAGCCATTCCATCAGCCAAGCTATCTTATATTGCCAGAACTCTAATTTCACCGGGAGATCGACATTTCCAATATCCCTCGCCAAAGAAAGTCCCATTTTCGGCTAAATACAATATCGACAACAACTTTTTTTTCCCTAAAGGAAGCCTAGTACAGCCTTGGAAGGGCTCAAACATGCAGACCCGGACTCGCCTATGCCACCACCTGAGGTATTTCTACTATCGTTTCCAAGGTTTCTGCCGGCATAAAGCCTCCCGAAATTAATCTCACCCGATGATACATGTCGCCTGCTGTAAGCTGTCTTGGCGCATGGCGATATGTTGCATCTGGAGGATGCCAAGCCCGTCCGTGTTGGGTCATCTTTGTGTGATCATGCATGATCACCAACTGTAACCACGCAGTATCTTTAATCGTACCAAGTGGAAAGCCCCGGTATTGGTTTGGTTTGTCCTCATGCTCGCAAGCTCTGAATCCCTGGAGGTCCTCGTCGAAAAATATAAATAGCCAATGTCGAACCTGTAGATTCAACCTTGTACAACACAACAATTCTACCCTTACAAAGTCCTTGTTTCACACTGCCACCTGCCTTCTCGCATCACAATGACTATCACTATCACCGTTGAGAAGGATGGATACTATGAGGTTAATGGTAATCGGCAGGAGCCCACTGTCAATCTCTATATCATCCCGGCCGCATCCAAGTTGCACCGGATGCTCAAGGACACTAAGGATTTGATTGTTTGCCCGGGTGTTTACGATGGTCTCTCTGCTAGAATTGCAATGGATCTCGGCTTCAAGGGCCTCTACATGGTACGTGTCCCTCCAAAAGCCTTTCGGTGAGAACCGCAAAGACTGACCTCTGGAATAGACCGGCGCTGGAACCACTGCGTCACGTCTTGGAATGGCCGATCTCGGTTTGGCTCAGCTTCATGATATGAAGACCAACGCCGAAATGATTGCAAACCTGGACCCATTTGGGCCCCCATTGATTGCCGATATGGACACTGGCTATGGAGGTATGTAGAGATATATTTCCAACTTCGAAAACCTTTGAATTAGTTCGAAAGCTCATAACTCTCTAGGCCCCCTTGTGGTTTCGAAGTCAGTCCAGGAGTATATACAGGCTGGCGTGGCTGGGTTCCATATCGAGGATCAAATTCAGAATAAGCGCTGTGGACATCTTGCAGGCAAGAAGGTCGTCAGTCTGGATGAATACATCACGCGTATCCGTGCTGCGAAGATGACAAAGGACCGGCTGCATTCGGACATTGTCCTCATTGCACGCACTGATGCTCTTCAACAACATGGTTATGAGGAGTGTATTCGTCGATTGAAAGCGGCCAGAGATATTGGTGCCGATGTTGGCCTTCTCGAAGGGTTCACCTCGAAGGAACAGGCTCGTCAGGCAGTTCAAGACCTGGCTCCTTGGCCCCTGCTTCTCAACATGGTGGAACACGGCGCCACCCCTCTGATCACCACCAAGGAGGCCGAGGAGATGGGTTTCAGAATAATGATCTTCTCTTTCGCTTCCATCACCCCTGCCTATATTGGCATTCGATCCGCTCTGACGCGCCTGATGACAGAAGGAGTTGTAGGGATCCCAGAAGGACTAGGACCTCGGAAAATATTCGAGGTTTGTGGCCTTATGGACGCAATGAAGATTGATACGGAGGCTGGAGGTGATGGCTTCGCCGATGGGGTCTGATTTGTTCGTCGGAAGCATGTAGTCTCCTCTAAGGAGGTTTATTTTTGAGAGCCAATGCACTTTCTAAGCTACCAAGATACATAGAATTGATGTTATGCGTATCGTCGAACTAGTACCGTATAACATCTCTTAGCTATTAGTATGATGTCCCTTCGCCGTCGAGTATCATGAAGTGGCTGGTTTTTTGGACTGGAAGGGCTTTGGACTCTCGATTCCCTTGGATGAGCCCTGGCTCGCAAGCACTATTTCCTTCGCCAGGATGACCCATTCATCCGGAAGCTCTCTGTAGAACATCGGCCATAAGGTTCGTCTAACTGTCTTGTTGGCTGCATACTGCCCCGTGACACTCACCATGCGCTCCTCACACAAGGCCGCTCCTGGTAGACTCCACCAAAAATAAAAAAGGTTGCCCTGACATTCCAGTCTTTTCTTAAAATCCAAACAGTTCCGGACAATTTGCCTCAACTCCTTCCGTCTTTCTTTTGAGTCGGTTGTAGAAACATGTCCAAGCTTTGATTCGGTGCGCTGCATGATCTCGTCACAGGTCTTCTCTAGGCCTTCCTTTTCGTGGGACGATATAGCATTGCTCAAGATGGACCGCCAGTGTTGCCAAATCTGAACCGGGTCTTATTTACCAAATTTAGTGGTGGGTCTTAGTTTGAGATATATTTTTAGATCAGATCAGTGGCTTACACAGCTTTCGTACTTCTTTATCAATGAGTTGCAGATGGTGATCCAACGCAACGTTACCCGTCCCCACTATAAAAGGAGCCAGGATGGAAGTGAAGAGGCGCTCGAAGACTTCTCCATGAATGATGTGGAGTGTAGTATCTGGACGATATCTGTAAGTATCTGGAAGGGAATTTGCGCGATCGTCACTTGATTGTGTATCGCCGGCGTCCCTTGAGTATATAAAGCGAGTGAAGTGTCGTTCAATCCAACTCTTCAAATCTTGGTAGATGAGTTGAAAAGTATGAGTAGCTTCACTGTCATCCAATATATCCGAAAAATTCTCGGGCGGGGCCACCTTTGTCACAGAGTCTCTGTTTCGCGACAATGTCATTCGAGCCGATTTTGTATCATCCTCGAGCAACCTTTGGGGTTGTCGCTGTTCTTGGTCCGAAATTGGAACGTGCATCGACCTTTTAACATCTTTATCAAGCGATTTTCGAATACCTTCTAAAATTACGCAAACTTCCTCGAGAGTTTGTAGTACCTCTTCGACCAGGTCACTTTCCATGTCCATGTTCATATCCGTCAAAAGCTCGGCCTGCTTCTTAAAAGCACCTGGCATCTCACCGCACATATCCAGTTCTCCGTAGGTGTCAGTCTTCAGTGTATACGATACTGCTACTCCAAGATGGTCCAATACACTCGCAGAATCCCGGCCAATTTGACTTGAGCTGCAGGAGAATATTTTATGACTGAAATGTCGCATGTTCATCTTGATTAGGTAACACCGATGACAATAACATGACCCCTATACTTGATACGGATCCCTTACTACACCCCCAACACCTTTTTACGGAATATAGTTTCCATCAATGACGGAATGCCGCCATTGGCTCTGTTTTAGAACGCCCATATGTCTATATAACCAGAACCCGAACAAGCTATCGGATCGTGAGCACAGGTTAACACCAGTAAGCTCAGGAAATTTAGCTAACTAATTAGTCCGGGAACAATAACCGGAGTCAAAAAATCATTGTTCGATAGTTAGTATTTCTGGATCCTTATTATGCCAAAATAATATTATACGGCCCGCTGGACATAATTCGCTTATAATCCTTAGTAGTAGTAGTAGTAGTAGTAGTAGTAGTAGTAGTAGTAGTAGCATTTTCATTTTAATCTGCTTAAAATAGCTGTTGCTGCCTAGTATATCCAAATCATCCTCTATTTTGCAGTCACAATTTGACCCTATTTACACAGAGATTCAACTCAAAGAAGCCTCGCTTGCACTGGCACCTCTTTCATTCAAAATTAGGCCTATCAATGCAGCGTCAGCTTGCTCAGACCGTCTCCACGGACAATTTCCAGAGGAGCAACAAAAGCCATTTGACTCCAAGAGAAAACCTGATTCTTTCCGCCATAGACGAACACCTCAAAGCGACCCGCAAAGGCACCATTCACCCAGACCCTACTGCCTGCTAGCTCACTCGTAGTGATCGTTATTTTAGCTCTTTGGGGGGAGTTTCACGATGTCGTGGCTGGAGCTCGTTGCATTGGCCCAGATACGACCCGGCTGGGAAATGTCGAATCCATCTTCCTGAGCGACCGACCGAAGGGGGTATGGCCATCCATCCGAAGTAAAGGTCAACTGACCATCTTCGGACATAGCGAGAACGTCATCGGCGCTCTCGAGGGAGAATGGCCCAGTCACTGCAAGATCCAGAGTATAATTCATTCCTTTGCTACCGTGACCAAGTTCGTATACTCCAAGAGGGTGCTTCTTCTGCGGTCGGCTCCAGGTTAGGTTGGGCCTAGAAACACTGGAAGTTTCCCGGTGCAATCTTCGATCCAAATTCTGACCGACAGCTTTGCTTGTCAATATCTCCAATGAATTGTCCAGGGTTCGTTCATCAAGCCGCAAGCCCCGGCTTCCTGTCCATGCTCGAGAGGCAACAACTGGGATCCCATTGCGAATGGCGTAATAACTCTCCAACTGCGTTGTCGCATCTGGACCATTATCGCTCCATGCAGCAAGAATTGCGCCTCGGACAGCTTTTTGATCTGGTTGTTCCGTCAGATTCACCGGGTTGAATAGCTGCGGGGTCCATTGCCAGCCCTCCTTATCCGCGAAGTTTAAGACACGACTGTTGTTGAAAATTTGAGGATAAGGCGCGGGGCTAATAGGAACATGGTCATTTTTCAACGACATGTAAGCCCACCAGTCTTCCGAGTTGATGATATAATAGCCGTCTGCTGCAAGTTGCACAGGATCAGATTGACCATACTGCCAGTGCTGAATTGTGATGTTTTTATTAATTGATTGCGCCTCAGAGGGCTCGTAGGTGCCCCAGATCCGAATTCCCTTGCCGGAATCCCGAGAAATAAACTCGGACATTTCGTTGACAAATCTGATATAGTCGTTGGCAAGAGTCGAATCATACTCATCTGCGCCAATATGGACCTCCTTGGTGTGAAACCAGGGAAGAAATTCCGACCATATAGACTTCACCAATGGGATGGTATCGGGGTGTGAGAGATTGAGGAGGTCCCGTTGATCCAAGGCCAACTCAGGTCGCCATTTCGTCACAGATAAACAGTGACCGGGGCTTTCAATCTCTGGCATCACGGTAATTCCACGCTGCGCACAGTGGGTTTGGAATTCATCGAAATCGGCTCTGGATAAAGTTTCATTGATTCGCTGCACTAACGGTAAGAGCTCTGGGTTTTCTGGTCGCAAGGCAAACTGCGAGTAGACTTCGTTCCATGAGACGTTGGGCCCTCGACTCAAGGGATAGTTGTCAGTCGCATGGTAATGAAATTCGGATATTTTGAAGTAAGACGCGTAAGTGCACAGATCCTTCAAGTAAGGCAAGGAGTACCATTTTCGACCCGCATCCAACATGAATCCTCTCGTGGCATATGCAGGCGCATCTTTCACTGCGCCGACGGGGATTGAAAAAGTTGAACTGAGAGCAAGCTTTTGGAGCAAAGTTCGAGTCCCCCACCACATTCCTCGAGCACCAGAGCCTTCAATCAAAATTTGGTCCTTCTCGATCCGCATTTCATAGCCTTCCTCGGTCGTAGTACCATCTTCGTAAACAAATTCGGCCTGGGACTTCTTGGAGCGACCGAGAAAAACCCCAGATCTCGACTTCGAAAACTGCCGGACGGTTCGAATGTCCCACGAAGAATTGGTGAGCTCCTGCAGATCATCACGGAATGTTCGCGCAAACTCCAAAGCCGAAGGGGGAATCAGGGTTAATCCATTCTGATCAGTCCATGATGCAAACTCCTCCTCGATATAAATGACTTTGTTTGTTGTCGCGAGTGAAAACCTCTCGTCCGTGGGGGTCTCAAGCGCATCGAAATGGGCCGGAGGGAGTGTTTGCAGGGCCGACGCGGCCGACGCGGCTACTGCAGTAAGAATTATGGGCAACCTCATCTTCTCGCACGATTACTGAATTCAAAAAATTCGCGATGTGTGGTTCTTATGTTTTTCTTGCTGGTGGCTCCGCAATGGCAGCGTTACATTCCTACCGATCGGCAGTTGATATGTGGAGACGTGGGATGCCACGCAGAGGCGGGGATTACCGAATATCTTAACTATCTTGGGCGACGCCAACGGTATTAAGATAGAGAAAAGGAAAGAAGAGTATGATTTGACTTATTAAATGATACGAGGTTGCAGCGCCAAGCCATATCGAGCTCACAGCCTAGCCCACTTGCCAATCCTACCACGATACCCCAGTATCATCACCATTTCCATGTCTCCATTCTTTGCTAGAGCTGTGCCAGGGGGCGTGGCTTGCGTGCCGGTATGTGAAACCACGATTGCTCGAACCCTACATGTCGAGGCCATCTCGCAGTCACTCGTTGGATTTCATGCGACATGAGCCGAGGATATTCATACTTGGCGCATATCATCTCGGCTTCATGATCAGCAGTATTCTGGTTAAATTCCTCGCTGGAGTCGATAACTAAATACTGTAAGTTTTAATGTTATAGAAATACTTATATGCGGGAATGACAAAAGAATATGCACATACCCATGTGGGCGATGGTCAAAAGCTCACGCGCTGATCTTATCGCAAGCCTTGTATCTTGGGAGAACGACTTGATGTCTTCGGCAGCTGTGGCGATTGCCCGAATGAATTTCACAAGATGTCCGTCATCGCTGTATTCGCAAGCTCGATGAAAGACTCCTGGCCATCCAGAAGGTATCTTTGGGCGATATAAGCTTAATTCCTCCGGATGGAGTTGTGGAGCCCCAGACTGGCAGTAGAGCATTAAGTCAGATCGACCTTTCCATTCCAACAACCTGCATTTGTTGGCTGGCGAAATCCAGGATGCACTGTTTATAGCTGGCCATAGAGATCCGGCGGTGATAGAATGCATCAAAAAGAAGTCGAATCTGATTTGCTTATCCGGTCGCTGAGCTAAGGCTGTCCAGTAAACTACACATGAGTACACGTTAGCCCGATCCAGGTATTGGGGATGGTCTTCGGCTGTACTTGTGGAATTCAGCAGCTCTGCAGTCTTCTCTTTCAAATTATGAGAATTTACTTTCCAGTGGCCGATTATACGTAAGAAATCGTCCTTGGCATTAACCAGCAAATTGTCTCTGATTTGAAAGACACCATGGTCGTAATCCATCGTATTTCGAATGTTTGAGTTGGCATATATCCCTTGTTGCAGCTCCACCATCCCCTTTGAATCGGAGGACTCATTTGACGCATGTTCCACCATAGCGAGAACCTCGCCAAACCCCGAGTCGTGGACTGCGGTCAAAGCCAATGCCTCTGCTGCGACAAGCGGCTGGCAAAATTCGATAGCGTATCCCAGATGGATTGGTGAGTGCAAGAAGCCTAGGTAGTGAGCAATCCAATATTCTTAGATATGCCGAGATATTTCACTACTGTTTTACATGAACACTAACCGCTAAAAAACCTGCGCATCATATCTTCGGCTCTGTCATCTCCTCTGAAAAGGTATTCGTTGACGGTGGCGTGCAAGCCCTTGGCAGAAATTTCCTTCTGAAAGAAAGCAAAGAAATCATCGTAATATTTTCCCTTCCCAAGAAAGGTCCTGAATTTTACAGGATCGGCAAGATCTAATACTCGGTGGGCATCCGGAGGACGGGTGGGTCGCTGTGACCCAGTAGCCAAATTGAATGCTTGATCAAGTTGTTCAGGCGTCGCGCCAAGTGCATAAAGTGCTAGTAGATGGTGGAGAATATGATCTGCCAAGAAGAATCAGTACTAGTAGGTAAGGGAATAGTTAGCTCTAGTAGTGGAAAACTCTACTGTGAAGGCCTAGGTCATGGATATAGATATGGTAGTTGTCATGGTTTCTTTGCAGAAGCTCTGATACTTGGGATGCAGTGTCGATGTTGAAAGGCCGGAGTTCAAATGCACCTGTGGGTGGAGTTTCGGCCTTGATTTTTATTTCCCGATGGGTGCCCATTGTCATGACTGGCCATCTGTGGATCCATTTGAAACGGTTGCTGCTTAAATTTGTATATCGATCGATGCCTTCAAATCGACCCCAGACCATTTGTCGAGCGGGGAAAACACATGGGGCGCAAACCACTCGCCTAGAATTTACCGAACTGCCGAACCCCGCGCACCAGACGCCGTATCAAACCCCTCTCTGCCACACCGCCACTATTCATGTGTGACATCGATAGCCGGGATCCAGGCCCCGGGGTTGATGAGGTTATTCCGTAGAAGCAGCTTATCAACATGACTCGTGGATTTCTCTAAAGCTTGAACATCCGGTTCCCAGCCACCAAATGAGATACCGAATATCACGTATTTCTATTTCAGATAGCTCGTATATAGTTCTATATCGCGTATTCAATGAAGAAATTCGATACGCCCCGGGATAGTAAAAGAGGCGACTGGTGAATTCTACACAGGGAAGGGTTCTGATACTACATATACTCAAACAACTGATACCCATCATACAATCGACCTATCTTCCTCGAGGTTAGCTGTGGCTTCATGCACATGTGGGGGAAGAACAAATGTATCCTCCAGGCCAGCCCAGTGCATAGCATCTAATCGTGCAAGTCCCAGTTTCACCAGGGGAAAGCTCTGACTCTGACATCGAAGGACCTGTAGCCATGAATCCACCAGATATTTCCCTCGTGTTGCATGTGAGGCGTTGGGGGCCTGAACAAGTAGGAGCATAAGAAAGTTCGAAACTGTCGCAAATCCAATACGGGACCCTATTATCATATTAATATCCCTATTATAAATTCACCGGGCAGATGGAAGACTGGCATGAGTGGGTGATTTGAAGTGACTTACATGAATACCAAAATCCGGTAAAATCACTAGGTGTAAGCCTCCGGGTGAAATTTACCAAAATCGTTGCGCACTTCTCCGCCGCATGAAGGGTGATTTCCCCGGTGCCACTTACATCAGACATGGAGATCTCCGGGAATGACTCGATCCCAGAGATTTCGGCAAAATCCAATGTCGGATCGTCCACAGGCAGCGGGGAGGTTGCCGCCATTTCTTCCAGGTCGAAGATCATTGGAGGACTTGAGGATCGCGCCATTGGTCGTAACATAGCCCGATACACATACACGACGAGCAGTAGATATGCGAAGTGGATGGATGTCGGGTAGGGTGCCTGACCGTGTACTGATTTGCTCCAATTGGGAAGACGAAATGTTTCTGGGAGAGTTGAGTACCAAGTGTTGAGCTTCTCCAACAAGTCTCGCCCGAGCTCGGCAGAGGCGTCGAAGTTTGCGTTCAGGATTTGGGAGGCTCGCAGAGTGCTGCATGAAGGGGTCAGTAAATGCAATCCGCGGCTGGCCAGACGGGGTTATGATTTTAATGGGAAGAAAGGGGACTCACTAGAAGGTTTCATGGATCTCCTCTGCGATCCGAGCGAGGTTCACTAGATAGCGAAAGGGGATTTCGGTGTCACAGGAAGACGTCGAGAAACCCTGCCGTGGCCCAACCAAGAAATCGCCCTCGTCTAATTCACTGACATCCCATTCGGCCGGGTGGATATAGGGTGGGCGTCCCATCAATAAACTGCGCCATTTATCTTCAGCATAGACAGCCCACCACAGCCGGCGTCGGAGACGTTTTTCCCAAGCCGGAATCCCCCACATGCGACATTCAATATGAACGCCGAGGGAACAGGCGAGGCCGACAATTTGCCCCACAAACGACCATAAGAAAGGCGTATCGGCGATTGTGTATCTGGCCTCATCGGCGGGCTGCTGGTGGAGGTATAATAGAGCGGCTTGAAGAACCGCGAGGCGAGGAGTGTGGATTTCTTCGCTCACGAGCTCGTACACCATTCGCCAGAGCCTTTGCACAGGAGATGAGTGGTAGGTGTTGAGAACACACAAGTAGTCATCATGGGCCACGAAGGGAAATGCCGATGCGTAGATGGCGGCCAAGAGATGCACTGGGACTTTAGCCAACACGGACAGCTCCGGGAGCTGATACGACGGCATGGTCAACCCAAGTTGGGAGCGAGATATCACCGGCAGCGCAGGAAATACATACTTGACGAATCTAATTCAGTCAACATTAGTCGGATCCACTTTGGCAGCAACACGAAGAAGAGAATCGCATAGGATCTCGGGGGAATGGGCTCACAGTGCGACTAGTCTTCTACCATACTCGGGGGGCACTAAACAATCAAGTTGTTCCCGCGTGACTTGGCCGAGACCTGCCCTGGTTTCCTGCTTGAGTCCGTCAGATAGATCGCCGGATGATATCATGAAATGGACCGGAATGCGCTGGGCAGTGGGGACGCCACCGGCATTCCGAAAGTGAATTTTGTAGAAATACTTCATTCCAGAGTCGTCAAAACGGCAATGTCGGAGCAACCACGGATCGGACTCGGCGGAGGCACCAAACAACTGCGCATAGCCATGTTCCAATCGGTCAATGCTCTGGACAAACTGGGTCGGCGGTCGGCTAGCAAGAGGAATCCCCGAGGGCGGCGATGGTCCACTGACTTGGCCGAACTCGAATGATGGGAAAGGGGATTGGACGCTGTCGGCAGGACTCTTCAAGTGGGGGATATCCGCGACCAAGATCTCCCCAACTTCGCCATGCGAGGTGGCCGGCAGATCATCGACACTTGGGACGCTGAAGGAGAGGGACTCCGAGAGTCGTGCACGTTTTGGCGGTGGGTTGTCGAAGGTGCAGTCTATTCTGGCAGCTCGGCATCGTTGACAAGGGATGCCGTCGCCCGTCTGGCATCCCAGCTTTCGGGATCGGCATTGATCGCATGGCCGGTGTCGTTTGGACCGGTACGGGCGAGCGGAAGGGGGCAATGACATGGTAAAAGCTGCGGCGTAGAAGATCGGCGAAGAGAACAAGGATGGGGGGTGGTTCGTTTTAACGTTCTAGAAGTCGGTCACGGTCACTGTCAAAAGCGCCGGGGTGGCGCAAGGCACTGGAATTCTTCTATTTCTCAGAATTCGGCCAAGTTCCTCTCGGCGAAGTCCAAGTATGTCATTAGTACTAACTAGGAGCAGAAGAAAGCAGAAAAAAAGAAATCGATTGGCTCGGCGAAGTGTGACCCACCACCGGCGGATGATGTCGGCAAACGAAAAGTACTACGGGGTTCGCGACGGGTGAATTACTCGTCGTATAAACCACCAAGAGAATCAACTAACCAAGTCTGTCCTCTAAGCGGACCAAGCCCAATCCGCAGCCCATCGGCCACCATCGGCGAATGTTGAGGCCGGGCAGAGCCATCGGTACCCGTCATAGAATGACTCTATCAACTCGGCCAGCAGATTTCTTCGGAATCGCACGTCGGCAGGCACTCGTTAGTTATGTGCTCACCGGCGACATGACATGCTCTTTTATCTCCAATCTCCATTGTATATGAACAAAGACCCGTCGCTCAAGGACAAGCTCATTAATTCACCATTCTGGTTTGCAAAAATTCTAGACTCTTTTGGTAACAAATTCCTCCCTCAGAAATCCGCTAAAGCAGCATGATGTCCGCGTCTGAACCCAAACAGTCCTCCAAAGCGTCGTGGATGAAGACTCTCTTCTCTCTCCATGGAAAGGAGAAGTCTATACCCGATGACAGACAATCTGAAGTTACACTCATTCAGAGGTATGTACTATGTACCGTGTTGGGAAGAGCCACTTCAGATGGCAGTCGCTCAAGGGTCAAAGCTAAGAGCAGCCTTCAAATACAGGTCCGAGCAGAGTTCCGATTCACAGCCATACAAGACGGCTATGCCTCCAAAGAATTTCAACGGTAGGCATTCCAAGTTGAGGAAGTTGAAGCCAATGGTCATTGACTAACAGATTTCTAGCTGCTGATATGTGTTTTGGCTCCTGCTGCAGAAAATAATCCTTGAAGCCCTACTTCACACCCGTGCCCAGGTGGAAAACTTCAAGTTGAATGCACACTGCAAGTGTGCCAGGATATAGTTGTGGTTTTCCTCGTGACCGTGACCTACTACTACCTTACCATAATCATCTTTCGCGTACTAGATACCTCCATTAATATAATAAAGTTATACCTATTACCAGATAATGACATGAATATAATTTAGGATTCAGAATATTGCAAGATTTGACATAGTGAGCGCTCTCGTGCAATTATCCCCGCCGACGTTATGGTCGGTGGTGGTGTCTGGCGTCAGCTTCTCGTGATCCGAGAGTCCTGGATATTGTGATTCTCAGGCCTCCAGTACAGAGCACTTGAATAAATGAATTGGAATTGATGTTTTCTCTTATGACCCAAATTCTGGGTGTAAGCTAGTCAGAAGAGTCCACAAAATATTGATGGCTTGGGGTTGACAGAAAGCCAGGTCCGATCCAATCCCACTGGTACGATGGACCCCACCCAGAAGTTGATGAATCTCGCTTGGTCGCAGCATCGTACTATTAGAATAAGATACTGTGATAAAATTGACAACGACCAGAGGAAGATCTCATATCAGAATTTTGAATTTGACAGCAATGCGACCGCTGCTTTTTGCGAAAATTCGAGTACTTTGTGGATGACGTCATTCTGGTGAACTTGAAGATATCACCGCATCTACTACTAGTCGTACTAGTGTGGATATATTTGATATATGCCAAGTGAATACAGGGTAGACCATGCAACGTACTAGTACGTCTACACATATGCAAACTAATTACCAACTTGAAGGCTGCCTGGGCAGCTCAACCAGCACATCAGGAATAGCTTCCAATTCGAGTCTTCCGTTTTCGAATAAGCTCAGCTAGGGGTTCTCCCGGAGTAAAAAGGAGTACAGTAAAAATGAACTGGGCCAAGACGCACTGCGATTTCCATCTTCATCTCCATTTCAGCGAAGTGGGTTCATCCTTTTCCGCCCTCACTCCGCTTTGCAGTGCGGGTTCCCCGCACTGCACAAAGTCCGATTCATAGCTTACCTATGTAAATATGGAGAACAAAGGTAAATATGAACGGGATCAACCAGTAGTGTGTCTGCATAATATCCAATGCCTTACCCCGTACTTTAACTTTAGCCAGACTTGTGCTGACGCGGGCTTAGCTCCAACCGAGTTCCGAGCCGAGCCCAAGAGAGAAAAGAGAAAAAAGAGGGGCTGAGCTGAAGCCACGGACCGCTATTTGGGACTATTTCCAGTCAATCAGCTGACGATCACCGAATGCTTTCCTGGATGAAAACAAAGTCAATGTGAGAGTCTGATCCTTAATCCCTGCACCTGCAATCCTTGTTGGCAATCCAGGCCGCAGAGTCGAATACATACATACCCCAACCGATCGCCCTTACTTCCGTTTTTCTGTGTATCGTTCCCCATATCTGGCACGTACTGCTTGTCTGAGATCAATCCCATTCACCCATTTCACAATGATTTTCGAGCCGGCCGAACGGGTGCTACTCCCCACCAAGGACCTTTTGTCTTACATATTTGACGCACCTCCATATGACCAGGACAAGCCGGTAGGTCCCATCCTTGCAAGGCCTTGCCCAACCTTCGCAACTGCTTGCTGATTCTCCTCCCAGATCTATATTGACGCCCAGAACCCTTCGCGTTCGATTTCATGCAACGAAGCTCGTAAACTGATCCGTCGTCTCGTTGCTGGCCTCAGAGCTGCTGGCCTGCGCAAGGGCGAGTGCGTGCTTATTCATTCGTTCAATGATGTAGGTGTCATAAATATGGGACGATATACTAGTATAAGCTCGTTTGTCGACCGATGCTTACATCTCGAATTACTCCCAGATCAACTATAGCATCCTCGTGCTCGCCATCATCGGAGCTGGTGGGATTTTCACGGGATCAAACCCGGCCTACACCCCACACGAGCTAGCTCATCATATCAAAGCCTCAGAGAGTAAATTCCTGATCTCCGAGCCGGAGATACTTGACTCCCTTCTCCGTGCGGCTGCAGAAACAGGCATTCCTGACCGTCATGTTTGGGTTTTTGACAACCACAACCAGCGAATTCCTTCCAAAAGACAGTCCTGGAAGGAGCTTTTGAGTTCTGGTGAAGAGGACTGGGTTAGATTTGATGATCTAGACACTGCCAAATCCACCACGGCCGCGAGGCTTTTTAGTAGTGGAACAACTGGCCTTCCTAAGGCTGTTAAAATCACGCACTACAATTTGATTGCCCAGCATGAGCTCGTGCTCGGGGTGAACACTCGCCCATATCCTGTGAGCTCTTTCCTCTTCACTTCTCAGCTATCAAAAAAGAAAGAAAGAAAGAAAGAAAAAAAAAAAAACAGGCCCTGAGCTGATATCGTCCCGCTAGATTTCGCGTATCATTGCTGTCCCCGTTTTTCACGCTTCAGCTGCTCCTGTCACCCATATATCCACATTGAAGGAGGGAAACACGGCCTATATGATGCGAAGATTTGATCTTCAAGGGTTTTTGTCCGCAGTGGAGAAGTTCGATGTCACCGATCTCGCCATGGTACCCCCCCATAGTCATCGCGATTTTGATGTCCCCTTTCTCCAAGAAACGCCCGTTCCTTCGCAAGGTTCGCGCTGCGGCTTGTGGAGCGGCGCCTTTGGATAAGGATGTTCAGGCCAGGTTCCGCTCAATGATGAGTGAGAACAGCCCCTTTACCCAAGTATGGGGAATGACAGAAACATCCTGCATAGCAACCATGTTCCCGTTCCCGGAACATGATAATACTGGGTCTGTGGGGCGTCTCATACCCAACTTGGAGGCCAAGTGAGTACTTAAACCGCACTTGCCATCTATATGATGGAATTTGGAGAGGGATACTAATGCTTCCTTTCCTTGAAGACTCGTAGATGATGATGGCAATAATATCTCCGCCTATGATGTACGCGGAGAACTGTGTGTCCGAGGACCGACAGTAACTCTAGGATACCACAAGAACCCAGAGGCCAATGCCCAAAGCTTCGATTCAGACGGATGGTTCAAGACTGGGGACATTGCCTACTGTGACAAGAATACACGGAAATGGTATATTGTTGATCGGAAGAAAGAGCTCATCAAGGTCCGGGGGTTTCAGGTAGCTCCGCCAGAACTTGAAGCCGTCCTACTCTCACACCCAGAGATAATTGACGCAGCAGTGGTTGGTCTCACAGTACCGGGCGCCAACACTGAGTTTCCACGTGCATATGTAGTCCGACGGCCGAACAAAGATGGCACTGAACTTACCGAGGAGGCAATCAAGGCATATGTACTGCAGCGTCTCGCCCGATATAAGGCGCTTACCGGCGGAGTGAAATTTGTCGGTTCCATTGCCAGAAACCCTAGCGGTAAGATCCTGAAGCGAGTCTTGAGGGAAGATGCAAAGAAGGAAATTGAGTCTGGGGCCATTAAGCCTCACCTTTGAAACTGGCTCATTTTCAGGCTATATTGTTTTATCTTGTATTACAGGAACCAATAAATAACCCTCGAGACGCCAAATCTCTGCCAGTAATTTTGAATTCAATGTCCATGTTAATACTAGCCGAAAGACTTTAATTACTCGTACTTCCGCAATTTGGAGAACGGGAATGGTATAAACTCATGCTGCTAGCCTTTCTTCGCTAAACTAGAGCCCTCATAGCTTGGATGGCGGAAGAAATATTCGTTGAGCCAGATAAATCCCCCAGAATGCTAGTCATGTTTCGGAGAACATTCCCAAGAGACGAATTCTTATTATCCAGTAGCCCTTGCACAGTGTCACCCAAGACCCCGAGTACTGATACTCTCGTGGTAAGGGTCAGACTGCTCAGAATCTCCTCATAATATGGAATGTGGATACCATTATAAATTGTCGAGTTTCCAGAGGCCGATAGTTCAATGACGCCATCTTTTAATGCATCGCTTTGTGCCTCCATGATGACCTCAAGGTTATCGAGCACAGTTTTAATATCTAGGGTTCCTCTAAGTGACACGTTGTTATTGCCTGGGCGAAGCAAAATATCGAGAATAGTTGCTTGGCCGATAACGAGGTCCGAACTTTTCAGGTTGAGAGTTACATTTCCCTATAAATACTTAGCATGATGCCTCGGAGATAAATGGGGTGTTCGACGTACAAGCGCAAACGTAAAAACGGAATGATTAGGCAGATTTGCAGAGCCAACAATATTGGTACCGTCTTCTTCCTTCGGCAATAGAAGTCGGGCTGAGTCAATAGAAAATCCACTGAGCCTATCTAGACCTGTAAAGACAATCGTAAGTTATGGTAGCAAAATGATCTTAGGGTTTCAACCTACCGTCTAATTCAATGTCTTTATCTAGAGTTAATGGTGCTTTCAGAGCTCCAAGATGGCCAACTGTAGAGCCTTTTGCGGAGAGTGTAAACTTTTTGTTGTATACAGCCTTTGTGAGAGTGTCGATGAATTGGGCCTGGTTGAGGATTCTTGTATCGTTCTTTGTCACTGTCATATCCGTTTCGCCTTTTAGGTTATACGCTGGCAATGCGACGGTGAGATATGGTTCCATAGGCGTGATATCCCTGCTGAAGAGACTAAGATCTAGAGGGTCTGTATGAATTCGGAGGCCCATTGGAATTCTCAAGGATGTTTGAAGTGTAAAACTGACTTCTTCGGGTTTCGGGTCGAGGATTTGGGCCCCATAAACAGGAAGATTTGTGTTGTCAACAATTCTCTGCGCAATTGCCGGTACTGCGACGAGAAAGCTTGTATTTAAAGATGTCAGCAACATGCAAGTCGACCAAATTCCAATAACCCCTAACGTTGAACTTACAATACTGGTAAGAATATCGCCAGAAATATGATACTAGCAATGGCATATATGCACCAGAAACGTCGCCAGTGACTTTGGAAGCTGTTCCGAGCTTTTCTGATGCGCGAAGGGGAATTATTGAGTGACTCCGCCATCTCGATATAGTCTACGCCATCTTTGTCGGCCTTGGAGATTGACCGTTCATCCTCTAGATGTTTACTCGATGAAGATAAGTTGCGGTTATCACCGATCACGAAATGTTGTTTGTTAAATCGCATGATCATAAAGAAGAACGAAATCAATACCAGCTGAAGGTATATGAAACGTAAGAGCGTTGGATATTGAATAATTTCTACGTTTGTCAAGTCTCTACCATTTATACCACCCTGGGTAGTACGCCCGGTCCTTTCGCATAACAACCCCTCGCTATCTTCATGTGGATCAAATGTCAGAAGAAATTAATGAGTGCAGATCACTTCATAAGTGCAGATCCGGGGAAATCTGGCTGTCGCGTCGAAAGGAAGTGAGCAAATTTGTCACTTTCTTACTCCATTCGTACCTCTCACTTGTTGCTGCAAAGTCCCTCTAGTCGCATGAATCAAGGATCCCTCGGTCTGGCGGCCCGCGGTAAGGCAATTTTTTGGCTCGAGTAAGAGCCGTTAAACCCTCATTCTAGATGAGAAACCCCCCGGTCCGCGGTAGTGTCTTCTGACAAACGAGAATTCTTAAAGGATTAATGGGCATAGTGATACACGTTACGTTCAATGTTTTGGGTTGAAGGCAACGGTACTTAGCTACGACAACATGATTACATTTAAAAGCCGATCCCTGCCATCACGATTTCCTCCAATACAATTAACAGGTTAAACCCGTTAGACGAGTGAAATTTTATGGACCGGGTGCAAGAACTATATCATCATTGATAGACCAACTCGCACTTAAGCGCCTTCGAAAGTGGCTCCGAGTATGTATACCGAGGAGAAAATCACGGACCCATCTCCTGGGCCGGAATTGTTCGATGCGCTGGAAAAGCCAGTAAAAATCCACAAGGTGGTTCAGGAAGCGATATTGCTTGCAGGTGGAGCCGTTGCCATTCTGCTCCAAGTCGCCGAGCCCGGAGTTGCGCAAGGCGTCGATAACCACAGTAACTTTGCATACCGTCCTTTGGATCGCCTTCGAACCACCATGACCTATGTGTATTGCGTTACCTTTGGGACGCGGGATGAGAAAAAGGCAGTTGTAGAGATGGTGCATCGTGCTCATGAGTCAGTGAATGGACCCGGATACTCTGCAGATGATCCTAGACTTCAACTATGGGTAGCCGCAACACTATATGCCGTTGGAATCGAGCTTTACCAGGAGATGTTTGGCATCTTCGAGGATGCCGACGCAGAGGCTATCTACCGAGAATACTCAGTCCTTGCCCTTTCCCTACGGGTTACTCCTGATATGTGGCCACCCAGCCAAAAAGAATTTTGGAAGTACTGGAATAACCAGATCGCGACCATGGATGTTACCGATAATGCGAAGAGTGTTGCCAAGAACATCCTGCGAAATAAAGAAGCCCCACTTCAAATCCGGCTCATATTACCTCTCGTGCGTCTTACGACCGCTCAGATGCTGCCCGACCGACTCCGGCAAGCTTATGGTCTCAAGACCGGCAAGATACGTCGAGCGACATATCGATTCGTCATGGGATTCACAAAAGCAACTTACCCGTGCCTCCCAAAGACCATACGCACTTATCCGATGAAATACTATATGCGAGACATGCGGCGACGACTTGAGAATACAGCTTGATGGAATTCCGTTGGGGAACAGAAAAAAATTTGCTGTTGTACATTTGCAAGGCCGCACGAGCCTCAACGATGAATCTGGCCGAAGATCTATGGCCCAAGATATACCTTTGCGGCAGTCCCTGTCAGAGAGTTCTTTTTTGCTTGTTGTGGAGTATCATATAATTTTATTCACCAAAAATCGCCCGGCACGCACGCCGCGATCTACGAAAATCCAAGCCTGCTTGTAGTGAAATAAGCATAGCTCATGCTATTGGCTGATGTCATATATGTAGGTCTGGTTCGTACGAGTAAGTATCTGAATCCACTACGCTCCTAACCGAGTTCCGCGGCATCTTGCTCCACTCCTCGCGGGGAATGCTGACCATGAGCCTGTGAAAACGTGGGGCTTCAGTTGTGCCCCACTGACTAGAATCATCCCCGATTTTCTGCTGAGGAGAAACTCAAGTGGTTGGGCATTTTGGGAGTAGACGGGTGTATGCTAAAGGTTTCATATGGTGTCATTTCCAATAGGGGAATACCAAACCATTGGTGTATCAGATCATATTTGAGCCTTAGATGGCCCAACCTAACCACGATTTATCTCATATTCAGTCTCCCTAGGTGGCCATCGGTATAACAGTCCGCTTTATCGTTGGTTTTGCCTTTCTCTCGATGGCTCCTGAATTTCGTCTGAATTGGAGAGTTTATGGTAAAGGCTACAATCGGCAATTAAGGGCAACGGCATATAGGCTAATAGCCGTCATGAATCATGCGACATACCCATAAGGTTGAGGGTAATAAAGGGTCTTGACCAAACTTTAGCATGTGATTGCCATTATGCCCAACCAAAAATTGACTCAGATCATTTTGTGCTGGCGTAATGACAGCCCGCACCGGCTCCCTTAGGACACTAACGGCATGTCACTAGTGGTCGTAACCAACTTGACGTCGATTTCAATTTGCAGCTTGCTTCGACGCTGATACCCCCCAAAATTATAAGGACTCCCCATCATGCTGCGAAGAACCAGAAGAGCACCTACGGCTTGCTCTTGGTGCCATCACCGCAAGGTTCGATGCGACGCATCAATATTAGGATGTCCTTGTACACGATGTCGACAGGACGGTCGGACGGATTGTGTTCTTCGTGTGAAATTACCAAAGTAATGCAGCGTGCTCTAACTCTATGAAATGGGATCTCTAAAACATGATAGCAGACTGAGACCTCCGACAACTCAAGCCTACCCATCCTCCGATTACTTCTTTACGAGCCCTGGTTGCCCGCAAGACATTAATTTCGGCGACCCAGGAAACACCGAATTAAAACTAAGCATATGTGCATCGCAGTTTAGATTTTCAACAAGCCCCGAAAATGAAAACTCCATATCTGAAGAGTATCAGTTCCTGCACCATGATCTGTTTTCCTTATCATCCGAAGACAAATCGTTTCTACTTGCCAAGGGTTCATTTTCTTTGCCAAGTCGAGAGCTGGCAACATACTTCGTCGAAAAATTCTTCCAGCGAATCCATCCAGTTGCGCCTGTCATCGACGAGGCTCAGTTCTGGCGTATTTGGGACGGACAATCCGAAGAAAGGTTTTCCCTCTTCGTTTTTCAGGCATTGCTTTTCGCAAGCTGCCCCGTGCGTTATTCAAATAATAATTACGGTCAAGCTTTTGGGCCATGTGCTAAGCGAATTTCCAGTTTGTTCCACTGCAAGTCCTTCAAAAATGTGGATATACCAACAAGAGAGATGCTCGAAAGCGGCTTTACGATAAGGCAAAAGTAAGACTGGCTATTTCACTAAATTTGAAATATCGCAGGCTAATGACAGAAAAAGCTGCTCTTTGACTTGAATGCCGAGACAAAGCCGTCGGCCAAGACCCAGGGTGCTATATTTCTCACACACCATACTTCAGCCGAAGCGCCACAGGCGGGAAGCTTATGGCTAAGCCGTGCGATTGAAAATGCCATGATGATTGATTCTCATCCATCCGCCATCTTCGAAAATTTCCCGCAGCACCTGACAAGACGCATTTGGTGGACCATACTGCTACGTGACAGAAGTCTTTGCATTGGGTTGCGCCGACGCCCACAGGTGGTCTCAATCGATATATACGGTTGCCGAGATTGGCTGAGCGAAGATGACTTTTGCGAGGAACTGCATAGCTCAAAAGTCCATGGATATCATACCAAAATACAGCTACTCATCGCCCTTCAAGAGCAATGTGGCCTAGCTGTTCTGCTCACAGACTTGGTTTCCTTAGTATTTACCCCTGGAGTGACAGCAATGACCAAATCATCGGTCGCTGAGCTACGCCGGAATTTGAAGCGAGTGGAAGATATCAAACAATCCCTGGTTCAGTGGGAAACCAAAGTCCAACCTCCACCAAGCCCAGACGTTCATTCAACCACTGAAGATGCAGCCGGGGCATTGAGAAGTTTGACTTTCATGTACTATCGGTAAGCATATTTGTTCCACTTCCTGCCAACTGGTTTTACCCTGTGATAGAATTTCCATTCTGACAGCATCTCATGATATAGGGCTGCCCAGGTCGATCTTGCACAGTATGCAGCTCTTCTTCTGGAGGAACAAATCTCTTCCTCAACAGAGTTATATGAACATTCCATTAAGCAGATCGCAAGAGACCTGGCGGTGGGGATTTCGGGTCTGACTGATGTCATGGACTATTTCAGTGTCAATGGAAATGTGGAGCAATTGCCACTTAGCGTGTTAGTCTGCCACACACGTCCATCCATGATAGAATAGGGTGAAGCCGCACTCTGCACTTATAACACAACTAACGTTTCGGTATTTCTTCATAGGCTAGCATACGCCGCGATGCCACTTGTCTTGGCAGCAATTGATCTCAAGCTTTCACCATCTTATCGGGAAACACAGAAACGACAAAAAAGGTTGGACTCCATCAGCCGAATCATTCGACATTCAGAATCGCTTTATGATGTTACAGACTTTGTTGCAGTGGGGACCAATCAGATCTTACAGTTGGCGTACTCAGTAACACGCAGCATATTCCTTCCGTGCGCTTCACAATTGCGAATCAGTCCAGTGTGCGACCACTACGACCTTAAAGTCCAGAAGCAGCGTAACGTCGGCTCGCGTGTGCGCGCCAAATGTTGGTTCGATGCCTTTCTCAGCTGCCCTCGTGCGTATCTCTTAATTTCAACTTCTGTGGATTATAGCCTTGCAGTCGGTCGTCTTCCCTGTCAGGACTCTCTTCCTGTATCAGTTCGACAGTTGCCTCCAAGCAGTGGCATCTCCAGGCTGCCATGGTCAGCCAGTCTATGTACAGAGAATGAAATAATCCATAAGATTGGCAGGAAAGATGAAAGAAATACCCAAGCTCACTCCGCATTGACGAAACCTACAAGCACTGTCCCGGTGCTCAAAAGTGCACTAAACGAATTCAATTATTTGGACCGAAATGGGACCATTCACAGCCAATATAAACAAGGATACCAGAATCAAGGGCTGTCGCACCAAAATGAATGGCACACCTACCCGCTATATGGAGAGAAATATGAACGAAGAGATCACAACTTCAACATCCCCGTGGCTGTCAATCTTGATTTCTTGGAACTTGATGGCGGGCTCAAGTCACCGGCACTGTCTCCTCTCTGGCACTCAAAAGTGTCTGACAACGCCGGTTTTCCGCCACTAGCTTCCTTGGCCCACGAATACAGCAACTTAGGACATGTTGATTGTACATATCCCGAAGATACCATGGCCCGCCTAGATGCAGTTCAATCATTATTCCCTGATTTGCCAGAGGGCTGAGGTGGAAGTCGATGACCTCGAAGCCCATCCAATCAAATTCTCTTCCGGACTATGCTGGCTTAATACAACGCAATCGAGAATGTAGAGTCATACAGACGTCCCAATCATGGCAAAGCTGCTGGTGGGATAGTCACATGGCCTCTACTACTTAAGGCCGGAACTTTTGCTTTGGTGTCCACTGCTATACCGGTCTACAAACTGTTAAAAGAAGGGCCACGTCCTGGATCAGGGTCACGCTAAATGGACCTGCTGTCAAATCCCTGCAGGATATAGTACTTCTACGATTCCAGCTTTGATAATGATAATGGAGATGCAATTTCCCCCAGCAACCTGTCGTGCCTTAGTCCTCAGCGCAATCAAAGAAACCCTTCTCCTCGAAACCCGACCTACCCCGCAAGCAACTTCGGGAAGCGCTGTCACCAAGATCCTGGCAGCCGCAGTGCTTTACTACTCCCGAGACATCTACAATGGCACCCACAAATATGAACTTGCAACTCCATCGGTACCAGGCAGTGGTGCCATTGGGCGTGTCGCAGCCATAGGCCCTGATGCTACTAGGCTTCAAGTAGGCGACCTTGTTTTCATTGACATCTATATTCGCGGACGCGACGACTACAGTGTCGGTGCCTTGTCTGGTATGACGATGGCCACTCGGGGGCTAGTAAGCGCATGATGCGCGGGGAATGGCGTGACTCGATATATGCTGAATATGCGAGACTGCCGCTAGAGAATTGTTTCTCGCTAAACGAGAAGCGGCTACTTGGATCAACGGCAGATGGCGGACTCGGATACACGATTGATGACCTACTATATGTTGCTGTTCAACTGGTTCCCTTCGGTGGCCTCCGCAGTATTGGTCTGGCTGTCTGCGACAAAATCATTATAAGTCCTGCAATAGGAGCATTTGGAAGTGCTGCTGTGCAGGTGGCTCTAGCTATGGGGGCTAGCGTTATCGCAATGTGCAGAAATAAGGAGGCTCTCAAGAATCTCAAGTTATCGTTGTCTCCCGATGGTAGCGACGATCACATTCAGCTAATCCAAATCACGAACGACCTTCAACAGGAGGTCGAGGCTCCCGCGAAATTGGGCCCCGCCGACGCCTTCTTCGATACCTCCCCCAAGTTTGCAGCCGGTTCATCGCATATCAAAAGTGCGATTATGTCTCTCAGGCACCGTGGTAGAATTTGTCTAATGGGTGGTGCTATTGGAGATATGGAGATCCCCGCCTCTCCCGTGGTGCGCCGAAATCTCACTATCAAGGGAAAGTGGATGTATGAGCGAGATGATATCATCAAGTTGATTCAAATGGTTGGGTCAGGGGTTACTGAAATTAGGAAGGGAAGCTGGCTGTCAGATAGTTGGCAGATTTTCTATGGAAAAATGGAAGGAAGCATTCGGTGCTGCGGCAGAACATGCTGGTCCAGGAGAAAGAGTTTCAATTATCCCTGAGATATCCTATTCCTCTCGGGTTGGTAGGGACGCCAATTTCAGCAATCAATCAGGGCGATTTAAGGCAAAAGTAAAAAAAAAACTCTGCACTGCATGACAATCCAGCAAATAGTTGCCGTTCTTGAAAATGGTGTGATCATACTAGGAGTACGTTTTACGTCGAGTGCTCAAATCAGTCTTCTTACTTTTTATCACCGGCTTCTAGATCGGCTGACCAAGGAGCGATAAGCGGGGGAGGAGAGAGCTCGTCTCCAAGATAACCTTGCTTTTTCAACTAGCAGGTGGATAACTACCATGATAGTGGGCTTGAGGGCATGCTAAAGGAGATATAAGAGCGAGAAATTCAAATAACTTGATACAGTAGGGGTTTAATAATAACGACTTCATTGTTATTATTACTGGAGGTTGAAGTATTTTCATTTTAACTAACCTACGTGGTTTGATAGACAATTCAGACGCACTGGTAGTCAATTGCAACGACTTCTACTGTACATGCAAGCCATCTTCTACAAACTGCTTAGCCCCTTCCGTAGGAGCCTTCCAGGCCACACGGTCCTTGGTAAACTGCTCCATGGTGGGCCTCAGTTTAGTCTCCTGCAAAGAGAAATCATCCACACTGCCAACACGCAGAATACTCATTCCCGGGAAAGCCGCACCAACGCGGTACATGAGGGAGCCGCATGTGGAACAGAAGTAGTTAGTCATAGTGTTTTCCTTACCAGGAGTTTTGAAGAACACAGTACGCGACTGGCTGTATGTCTTCAAGTTTTCCCGGCCACGCAGATGTTTCAGGTGCGTGTCATACACCGTGAAGTTGGTTGCGTGCACGGATGCGGTAAGCTTGTGGCAGTCGGCACAATTGCAGACAAAGGAGCCGAAGTAGCCAGGTCCTTGTGTTGGCTGTGAGTTAAGAGCCATTGTTAGTAGCACAAAAAGAAGAGGAGATTCGGAATCGAGACTTGCGAATGACAGTTGCACTGCGCCACAAAAGCATGTGGCTGTCGCTTCGTCCTCAGTGGACCAGCCATCATCAGCACCACCGGCGAGAGGAAAATACGGCTTCGACTTGTCAATTGTGGGAGATGTCATGATTTCGCTAATTCTGTGGCTTCGTGGTGATAATATGAAAACCGATATGTTTTTCAACATGTAAAAGATGAGAATCTTTTGGCTACAAAACATACTTTATATACCACTTGAGATGGAACCATGCCGCTGTCATTTTTTTCGTCTTATCATGCGTCATTTTCAGCCACTTTTGATTGAATCCCGGCGCTCGCTGGTCAATGGTAGTGGTAATCGATAGCTTACAAATTCAATTCTTGGGCCACGAATGACATAGCTCGTCAGATTCTTCATTTCCCGTCTGTATGATCTGTAAACCATTCAGTATCCTCAATTAGTCTCCGCGAAGCACGTCGAGTCCAGTCATTTGTAAGCGACACGACAATCTGTGATTCCCTCGGGGAATTCTATAGCGCGCACCATCACCTTAATTGACCGGTCGGGACGATTAATAAGTCTTCAACTGCGATACCTATGCAAAAGTCTCCCATATAAGGAGGGCCCATGTATCCTCGAAACGTTTAAAAAGTGGGCCCTAGAATCCGGCCAATTGTATATTAACATTACAGGACGATCGAAACAACATACGACGGATGCGGGCTCAGCAGGTCACAGTGACGTAATTCAAAGATGACAAATCTATTATCTCTAAAGCTTTTACTATAGTAATTAAAAATTGTAAGATGGGAACGCTCGCTGGCAGTCTGTCAAGCAGACGGGTTGATCACAAGAGGACAAAACCACCACACTCGCAGAGTGGAGGAGAGTAGTAGACAAAGCGTGACGCTATAGAGATGCGACTAATAAGACATTCGAGTCTTCATGGACATGCGATATACCGATACCGCAACCTCAGCCTCGGTAGCCTCAGCAGAACGAATAATTCATAAGGGGGAACATGCATGTTGTTATTGATACTATGGAACGACGCTACTTATTCTTCCGAAACCGAAACTAAAATGCTGCCTTGTTACTAAGGCCCAATCACCTGACTCCGATGTTGAGAGCGGAATACCCCATTACAAAATTAAATTCTTTCTTAGATAGAGTATAACTATAGCTTAAGATAGCTTATTTATCCTAAATATATGCCCGCCTATCATGATGTCTTTCTGTTTAGGATCTGATAGCATAAAAATAAAATAGCAGCGCCTGAGGTCTATTTTCCACTGTATTTAGGTTCGCTTGCTAGTCTTCAAGGAAGTTCTCCGTGAGTTTCGATCAATTATGCTGGGTAGCCCAGATTAAAGCAGTGCTATTTTGGTAACAGAAATTGAAAGTAAAAATAACTAGTAGGAATAGACGGCTTGATCACCTATTCAATTTTGCCATTAAAGCAAATCCCACAACACATATAAAAATTCTGCTAGGCAGAGAAGTAAGTCTAGGGGAAGGAAAAGAAGCCTTATCTTGTCTAGTGAATTGAAAAGTTGTTAGATCTGCGAGAGTCTTTACTTCGTTTGCTGGCGGTGGTAACAGTGTCATGCTTCCTACACCGCGTCGTACCATGCCTCCCGGTCAACTCCTTGCGACCGGGATCAACCTCGTTCCCCTTTTCCCAACAAAAGAAGCTAAATGACAACCTCGACGAAATGAATTGGCTTGTAAAATTTAGAATTTTATGATCTTCATATTGCATGTACGCTCTCTTGGTGCGTGCCAAATAAGAAACCACGCGACTGACAAGATGACCCTAAAATACCACTATCTGCCCACCATTATAGTCGAGGCTACAACTTTCTATTAGCGGTGAACAAGCATCACGATTCACATGTCACATTTTGTCTTATTCACTTGTTCACTGGGGACCGAAGGTCTCTTTAAAAGGTACCACTTATTGTCTGCCTTGAATTCGGCGATGCTGCTTTCAGTCGCGCTCCTCATCATGGAATGGACAGATATAAGAGAACTAGTGGTCTGCTTTCGAAGTTATCATAGTAATCTTTAGAGCGAGCTCCCACTATTTACTTTAGAGGATCTCAGCTCCTGAAGATTTGTCTTTTGATTGCCACTTTCATCAAAGTTCCTTTCTTCCAGCCACTTCTCTAGTGCACGTTTCACACTCCCATCCCACTCATCTCGCACAATTGAGAACCAGGCAGTATCTCTGCTTCTTCCCTTTACAACCATGTGTTCTCTGAAGATACCCTCAAAAGTAAATCCCAGCCGGAGGGCTGCACTGCGCGATGGGGCATTGAGCGAATCGCATTTCCACTCAAATCGTCGATAATTCAAGTCCTCAAAAGCGTATCGTGCGATAAGATAAACCGCTTCCGTAGCGCCCGTTGTACGTTGAATCGCAGAGGAAAACATAATGTTACCAATCTCAATCGTCAAGTGCTCAGGAGTAATACGCATCAGAGTTAGGTATCCGATTGGTTTGCCAGAGGTAGGGACTAAGTTGCGTTTATCGATGATAGCAAAATAGAATGGATCGAGTGAGGCCGACTTTGCTGCAACGCTTTTCTCGAATACATCTAATTGCGTATATGGCCCATCCCCCATGTAGTCCCAAAGGGACGCCCTTGTAGGTTCATAACCTCCGACGAGATCGAAAAGACCCTTTGCATGCTTGAGCTCAAGCTTTTCGAGGACAACAGATCGTCCTGTCAGAGTCTTGTTCGACGGCAAAAAAACCGGACTGAGAGGGACGAACGGTCCGCGTGGTCTGGCTACTGCCATTTTTTCTGATTGAAACATAGTTTTAAAGCAATAAGAAATTTTGGAAGATGAGTCCAGCCAGTTAATTTATAGCTGATCGGCTTTAATCTTCTAATTTCTCTCTATCTGGATTTCCGCTCCAAAGTCCCCGCGGAGTTCACCGGGCGTGATTCGTAATTTGATGCCACAGCCGCTGCTCCACCCCAGCAAGACAGATGATAGGTTTCTCTCTGAGATCACACCCCACCCTCTCCGGGTTGTGAGTTATATCCGTGACTAATGTACTCATGAGATAATACGATGATACTAGTACATCTAGCGAGGCTGAATTGCTCGGCATGGTATTGTTCAATCTATTGAGTCTCAATAGGATACCTAGCCTTCGGCACAATCATTTGAATGGTCCAATCGATTGATGTTTGAGAAAGAAGTACAAATCAGCAGAGATCAAGGAAAATGGGTAACATGAGAGTCTGTCTTAAGCATTCGACATATCAGCAATTGCTCTTTGCAATCTTCGAAAATGTGGAAAGAAAGGTTGTAGTCGTACTCGGCCGAGAATGTCGACATGATATCTTTCATGCGGAGGAAGCCGGCTCTAGAGTAACATTCAATGCAGTTAATGCCACAATAGGACTCATTTCTTATAATTCACAAGGTAAGACATCACATATATGGCGAATAACACTCGGAGTAATGCTATTGACAGAAACAATTACCCTCAATTCGATGGTGGACATGACAGTCGGCAATTCCGATCTGTCCCTGTCTGTGCTTTCATTGATCCAAGTCTTCCTGCGAAACTTAGACCGAACCGAGTTCTTGGCGACATAATACCACCCTACAAGTTGTCACTTTATCGGAGAAATAGTACCAACCCATAGATCCGTACTAAATTTGAACAAGTCCTGTCCCAGGTCAATTCCTACATGAAGCAAAACTACACTGGTTCTCTCTCTCGCCCGTCCTATTCACATTTTCTTTTTCAATTTTGACCTGGTTGACCAGCTTGTCGACTTACATGGCAGTGCTTCCACACCAGCTGACTCATATCAGCTGGACAAGCCAGAGAAGTGGACTCAACACCTGTAGTTACTGTACCTGTAAGTTTTGTGGTAAAATTGGAATTGTTAAGAATTGGGGTCGCTTGTTAATGGATGAATTTCGATGGGGCTCGCGCAGCTCGGTGTCTGTTTCCGTTGTAAGATTCTTATGGTCTCACTTTTTGTCACCACCCTCGTTTATCCTCACTGCACACTATAATTTAAGCATTCGTCTATCCTAACCTACTGTCGTGTATTATCGCCTGCATCTCCCGTGTTGTAACTTCAACCTCCTTCCACCCATTCTTGCTCATGGCTCTACAAATTTTGTAATCTGCTTCAACTTCAAGTGACAACCTCCGCTTCCAGCCACTCATCGACGCAATAAATAATCACTAGCTGCTTTTCCTCATTCTGCCAAATGTATCAATCAATTGAATTGATTGATAGCCCGGCACAGTCCTGTGATAGCCTTCTCACCCAACTCTTGGCCTCGCTGATATTCAAGACGGCTCTGCTCTGCAAGATTCTCACCTTCTGCACAAAGCTTGAAAGCTAGGCGCTCGGTCCAGATGATGCTTCTCAAGACCTCCCGATCTGTCGGTGGCAAGAACTGTGACCTCAGGACAGCCACATGTAGTGCCGAAAACGCCGAAGCAAGTCCCAACAGCAAATCTCTATTCTTGATCGGCCGCATCGAGAGGTGCAACAAGGTAACAGAAAACTCACAAGGCCATAAATCGAGCACCTGCTTGAGAGACGTTGGCTGCGGTAGCCCAGCCAGTTCCACCATGTGTAGACCCATCTCGATGAGTCCAACCGTTGCTGTTCTTCTAGCTTCATCCATGCCGGCCACACCAGAATCAACGGAAGAAAAGCCGTTATAAGTTCTGAGGACACGAATGGCGGCCGAAATCGTCTGATTCGCCGTCCTCGAAGGGACTGCCACCAATCCTTCCAGGACACATTGGTGTGTAAACCAAAGCGGAAGAAGTCTTGACAGGATAGTCTTGGTGCCAATATCCGTTTCCAAATCGTAGTCGGGCGCATGGAGGAAATCGAGACATTCTAGGCCTCCCGGGGCGAACAGGGGGTAGTGTACACGAATATCTCCCTGCACAGGTGGATACGGAGAAAGGTCGTCGAAGAGCTCAAGGTAAGCCTGTGGGCACTGGTTACCGAGATTATCAATCCATCTCCTGACAAGATCGACTTCGGCAGAGGTGAAGGACCCAAACATCTTGCCGCCCCAACACAATTCCCGTATGAAGCGGCTATTCGCACTGTCGCCCGGACGTATCCATGGTTTCATCCTAGCTAGAGCCGCGATGAATCTCTTTTGGCTCTGTATCGAAGAGAAGTTCTCGAGAGCCAACCACTGGCTGAGTGTCTGGCCATCAACCTTGATTACGCTGGGGCAGTGAACATTCCCCGCCGACTGTGCCTTGGCTTTGAACATTTCGATGAGCTCTTTATTCCATTCATTGCCAGAGGTTGTTGGGGATGTAAATTCGGGACAAGAATGCGCGTTCGACAGGGAATAGCCGGCCTGGACTCTCCTCCAGGCCTTTTCAGCCGCCTCGGGCCCCTCTGTGGATTCGACGTGCGTGAGAAATTTTTCAACGCTATTCACGGCCATGGCAGTGTGTCCTGAATGGGAGTTATCGATGCTGATGTGAAGGAAAAAGTAATAACCACTAAGGCCCAACTCCTCGAGCTCTTTAGCCGCGCTCATGGTCTCTAGTGTAAGTCGCTCGAAGTGCATGTTGTATCCGAGGATCTCAGGGAGAAATTCGTGAGGGAAGAGGGAAATGAGTAGTTGTGAAACAGCGGCTTTCCATACCAGGGTATTGCCCATGCCATGCCGAGGGTGGATGAAATCGACCGAGTGTGGTTGGGGAAGCTGAATTCCAGCCTGTTGAAGGAGCTGACCGTACAAGTGGACATGGTGCATTTCCAGACTCCCATCACCGTACTCCTCTGTCATAACCTGCCAAGCGTCTTTAGTCACATGCCGTTTGCTATAAGGCGTGCTGACCCTGTGAACATGGCCAAGCCAAGCTCCATCGACGAGCTTGAGTGGTGCCCTCTGCTTTATCCAATCATGAGATTCTTCACGGGTTTGGAATAGCTCCCGCATTCCTCCCGACCTCCGTCTGGCGATATATTGCTCCCATTTCTCAGCGACCAGATCATCCTGCTTTTGAATGAAAGCCTGTAGAGCGACTGGACTGTAGCTGTCCAGGGACAGAATGGAATCCGGTCTTTTTCGCTCCCAGGATAGTGCCTCAGCCAACAACGAAAGCAACGTGTCCCTCGCCGGCGGGAGGAACACTGTATAATCCTCCAAGTTATGAAGCTTGAAGTACATTCTCATATATAGCAGCCGTTCGTGTTCTACATCATCACCCGAAGCCGCTGACACTAACAATTTCTCAACGATTGTTCACACTCGTAGGTAGTAAGGGAGTACATAGCAAGTCACATACCAGTAAGCTTCAAATCCCTAGATGAATCCCCAGGCTTAACAGCGTGTCGTCGTTTTGCGAGGTCCAAAACCCATAGAACGACGCCACAGAGGGTCAAGATGACAACTATAACGTACGGATACATCTTTGCAGATAGAGTAACTTCGACGGGAAAAATTCCGAGCTCGAACTTTCAGTCGATTGGAGCTTGGGTCTGTGGTTTTGAGAATATACAGGTTCCGAAATTGATAGACTGGTTACACAAGAGGGAGACTTGGTCCGCAATATTCTAAGCAAAAAGAACGACAGCGGAAAAATCTGCCAGGCGTATATGATTGTGTCTAGATTTTCCATCTAGTACAACTCTATTGGGCAAGAAGACCCACTGAGCTTTCAAGGAACAGGGTATTACTCCTAGCCCCCCCTACTTGATCAAACTAATTTATTATAAGCGCAAGCTCACGCCGCGGGAATGTGCCTGTGCACTGAATCTTACTTGTTACTGAAGTAATCCTTTGGCCCCCATATTGGTCTTCATTTATGGATCTCGCCGAGACCCGCAGATTACCCTGGCGAGGCTGAGTAGTGGGAGGAATGGAAATTATGGGCTTTCAACAAGTGTAGTATCGAAATCAATCAAACAGCCCGAGACGAGCGAGGAAAATGGACTCGAGGTGCCAAAATCTGGATCTCAGGGAGACAGTCTTTGCCAAATTCTAATGATCGTTAAACTCAATTCGACTGATGGAAAATTATGTTCTTGGGTTTTTTATTTGAGAGCTTGGAAGTACACCCTTCCTTCTTCTCCGTACCCTCGCCTAGAGACCACAATTCGCTTCCATTTCACCTACTACGCGTCTTTCGATTCAGCTAAATCTCTGCAACATCCTTTCGGCTACTCCCGATGTCGCTCACGATGTCGCTACTGGGTGCGGTCGACTTCAAAATCAAGTCCACACATTCGAGAACCTTTGACAGGACCCTTGTCCTCGGAGCCTAGCGCGATTATAGGGAAAGTTACGCTCGGCCATCACATAATAGTTCATACGAGAATTGACTTCGGCGAGATCCGCGGGGTACCCTTTTCAGAGAGCTATTCACTTCATCCTGGAACGCCGATTAGCATTTAGGGTACATGCTTTCCCCATCAGTCCAGGACGAGAATTAGAAATCCAGCAGTCTTGCAATGTGTCAAAATACGCTATCTACAGAGGAGAAGCTTAACCTCATTACGAGGAGGCAATCCTTCCTGGAAGCTGCCGATGCAGAATCTCTGAAACGGCTGCTAGAAGAAAAACCCACGCTCAAGTTGGCATGGGAAACCACACCTACAGGCAAGCGTATGTCTCCTTCGAGCTGAAATTATAATGTATGCGCGCACTGACTGACCTTTGCACCTTAGCTCATGTTGGATACCTCGTGCCAATTGCGAAGCTGCTTGACTTCCTCAGAGCTGGCCTTGATGTTCGTACATACATATCCGTAGCCCAATTCAATCTGAAAGCTAACGTGCGCTTAGGTGACTGTCTACTATCTTGATGTTTACGGTTTTCTTGTGAATTACATCCATTCCATGGAGACGGTGGCATATCGACAACAGTATTACCACTTCCTGATCACTGCTATCCTGAAGACGCTTGGTGTATCACCATCCCAGATAAAATTTGTGGCGGAGTCCAGCATTGCCTATGAAAAGGACTTTGTGGTTGATGTCCAAAGGCTCTGCGCCATAATGACGCAAAATGATGCGCGGGACACCTCAAACGAAGTAGCAGAGACAGAACAAATAAGCCCCCTGCTCTGCTCCATCCACCAGTCGCTCTCGGAGCCATATCTAGATCTGGACATACAATATGGTGGCGCGGATCAGGTTCGTAAAATGAACGCTACCCAGATAGGTGCCTGCTAACAGCTCTGGTGATCAGACAGGCCTCTTCAAGCACGCAAAGAAGTTCATCCCTATGCTCGGGTACCGCCGCCGGGAGCATCTGATGAATACCATGGTAGTAGGGCTAGATAGTTTGAAAATGTCCTCTTCCAAGTCGGCGGAGACAAAGATCGAGTTTCTGGACGGCCCCGAGACAGTTCGCGATAAGATATTCCGGGCAGCGTGTCCCGGACGACAAGTGACGGGAAACGGAGTCCTAGGGCTGCTTCGAGACGTTTTGATTCCCATCAGTGAGCAGCGCGTGGAGAGATTGCTAGGAAAGACAGGCCTGAACGTACACGAGAACAACGGTTCTGAACTTGACCAGCGCCCTTTCTGTAGCCCAGGATCACCGACCGGCACGGTTTTCACCACCTACGATGAGAATGGAGAGGAGCAGAGCTTTGCCTCATATGAGGCCATCGAATCGGCGTTCGTCACAGGCCAGCTACAGCAAGAAGATTTGAACAGGGCTGTCGCAGATTCCTTCAACATTCTATTAGCTCCGATCCGAGCCATATATACGGAGAGCGCAGAATGGCAAAAGTTGGACAAATTGGCCTATCCTTAGGGGAAATAATTACATTTTGTCGAATGAAGTTAGACCGATATTCAGTAGTAATGTACATGTCGAATGCAATAACCGGAATTATCTGATTACTGATTATTGATGGCAAAGACGGGATACAGGCGCTGTTGGAATACCCTCAGGCCAATGATCCGTTACTAGGTAGTTGCAACGTCAAGAACTCAGTTGATTCCGGAATTAGATAAAATTCGTATGGGAACCTGGATCTCAATGTGACCAAATGATTAGTAGTAGTAAGTTACCACTACTTCTCTCGGCATATTAACAATCGTTAAACACCCTTTACTAGCTTTCTCACTGTTTAATATTTCCAATGGCTTCCCGAGCGTATGACTCGTTCTCCGCATTGTGATTCTGTCGCCACTGAACCACGTAATCCGGAACCTGGGCTACTTTATTCGTAATGCTCGGAATGGGTGTCCCAACGAACTCCCAGACAGGAAGGGTCCCCGTCCACACTCTGCCAGTAACCTCATCATCTTGAAGGTCCTTCCTGTCGTCCGAAGGCCCGCCTTGGCTTATTTTGCCGTTAGCGCTAGCGACATGGACCCTGAGAACAGACGTGCTTACGTTCTCGGCACGAGTGGGAGGCACGCGGGAATTGTCCCAACACCCCGGCACCAAGCCATCCGTAATGAGGCGAAGGGCCAAATCTTTCTCTGCTTCAGCCGTAACAACCGAGGCATAGCCGTGCATCACAATGCTGCGATAGTTTCAGCTGTTGTTGAATGGCGTTAGCGAGAGCTTAATGCCGTCGAGCAGGGTCGCGGCGACGCAGACGGGGATTCCCTCATGTCCGAGATTGCCGGCTAAGCGCATGACACGCGAGGCACTGTGACCATGAAGATACAGATCGAGCGCACCCGTTGACGGGCCATCAAATGAGCCCAAATACCCAATCATGGGTAGGGTGGTTGGAAAGGGGTCATCAGCCGGGTTCGTAGGCAGAAATGATACGTGGAGGATGGGCGACGCATTCACGATGGAATGGACCGTCTCGAAGTCGTACTTGGCTCGTTCCCGATGGCGACGCACTGTGTTGCGTGCCTGCAGTGGATACGATCCTTCCATGTCGGTGTCAATAGCCTCGGAAGGCCTGTAGTCGGGGAGCTAAGGGTGGCAACAGGAAGAGGCGGGAACGAATAAGGCGTGATCGATCCAATGCTCAGACCGTTTTAGAGCAAGTAAGAGAGGCTATAGTATGTATTAGAAAGAGGAAACATTTGTATGTGGTAAGAACTAGACGACGTCGCAACGTTGCCCGGAATGAGTAACGTCATGTTGGCCAAAGCCCGAATGATTATCGTGTTTTCGTCAGTATATTGATATTAACATGGGCATGCACTTATGCTAGAACAAGGGTCCGAGCGGGCTGCACTCGTGCGAAAGGTAAGGGTCCATCGGCGCACAGCGGATCCACTAGACAGGTAGTTATGGGGTAGATTAAGTTGTATAAGGTACAGATGGGATCGACATCAAGTTGGAATAAAATTGGATGTAACGGTGGGCTGGGCGGGACCCGCCGCCCGCGGAGGAGACCGCTACTATGTATAGCCAACCAGCTCACGGACCGACCCGTTTGTACCATCCCGTCCTGGATTAGCGCAGGCTTGTTATGGCGACATCTACGATAGTAAACTAGTAGTAATGAGAACCACTAATGCAGATTGGGTCTCATTACCATCATTGGCCACTTAATAGGGTGTTTTGAATGTGCAATGTTTGTCCAATGAGCCTGCGCCTCGCGAATTTACCTTGTTAGAATTTCGTTGCTCACTCAGTTTTCCCCTATACAGGGCATACCAATCCCATTTTTGCCCTCTATTCTCGAACACTGGGCTTCTATGTCACGATGCAGACTAGTACTGGGAGCATAGACGGTGTTACCCCCGTCCTGGAGCCGCCGGTCTACAACACATCAGTTACCACTGGCGTCGGTACTTCCAAGGAGAAGGCCGAGCAAGAGGTCCAATCGAACCCAAGAGCTGGAAGATGGGCAGAAGCTCTATCTTCCACTTGTTCTTACCTTGGCTGGAGCAGCCTTTCTCAATGTAAGTCTTTGTGTTGGGCTGGAAAACAGAATGTATCCTTGCTGACGATATACCAGACTCTCGCCGTCCAGTCAACAGTTATAATCCTGCCCAGTATCGGCCGCGACCTACACATACCTACCGAGCGCCAACAATGGATTATCTCTGCCTATTATCTTACCTTTGGCTGCTTTCTGCTCCTTTGGGGTAGATTTGCAGACATCTTTGGGCGTCGTCTGGTCTTCCTCATAGGGTCGGCTTCGCTCACCATATTCACCATCCTGGTCCCGTTCGCACCGAATGAGATAGTCTTGGACCTATTCCGAGGCCTACAAGGTCTGGGTGCAGCGGCCAATGTTCCTACTGCAATTGGGATCCTCGGTGCTACTTTTCAGCCAGGAAAGTATAAGAACTACGCATTTGCCATCTATTCGGCCGGGTCTTCCTGCGGATCAGTGCTAGGAAATATTTTTAGCGGAGTGATCGCGCAGTATGTCAGCTGGAAATGGATATTCTGGGCCTCCGCCTTTCTCTGCGGAATGGTTACCGTGGCCGGCCAAATTCTGATCCCTCATTCAAAGGTTGAGCATTCTTCCTGCTCCAAACTTATGGTCAATGTTGATTGGGTGGGCGGTATATTAGTTACTGGGGCCATCCTAACCTTAAACTTCGCTTTGACGGAAGGTAACGTTGTCGGATGGACGGTGAGCTGGGTTCTGGTATCGCTCCTGGCTTCCTTGATTTTGTTGGTCATGTTTGTATTGTGGATATGGTACCTCGAGACGAAGACCCAGAGGCCTCCTCTTCTGAGGATTTCTATCTTTCATAACAGCCGTTTCAATGCCGCGCAGGTAATCATGGCTACCTTTTTTGCGGCCTTCAATAACTATCTCGTCTACGCGACCTACTTGTAAGTGTTAAACCTCCGTATCCTGGCTTTCTCGAGAGGACTGGATATGAATACGAGCTAACGGTTCTGCCTTACCTAGCTACCAAGAGTATTTAGGACTCGGGCCACTAGACACGGCTATTCGGTTTATACCGACAGGAGTTATGGGTATCGTGGGGAACATAATTGCTGCCAAACTCCTTTCCCGTGTCCCTGGGTCCTATCTCCTGGTTTTCAGTTGCGGCTGCGTGGGAATTTCCTGCCTCCTTATGGCCGTTCCGATACCACCGTCGACTACATACTGGGCCTACAGCTTCCCAGCCATGGTGTTATCTACATTAGGAGCTGATATTCTTCATCCGACACTCAACCTTTTCACAGTTCAGTGCTTACCTCTAGAAGATCAGGCCCTCGGCGCGGCGCTGATCACTGCTGTTTTGCAGGTGGGAAGGGCCGTTGGAATCACGATTGCCACCGTGGTGCAAATATCGGTGGAAAGGAGAGCCATTAGCCACAGCGAAGCTGAAAGTGATCTATTCGCGTTTCTCCGGGGAATTCGCGCCAGCCAGTGGTTCAATTTTTCGCTCGCCGTTGTGGCATGCACCGTAGCTCTGCTATTTTTCAGGGACAAGGAAAAAATAGGTGCGATTCGACGGTAGTAGTCGTCAACTTCCATAACTAAGCGCCCGGGAGCGTAATTCAGTAAACACGAATAGAGATTTAGCTAAATCTGAGGGTCTTGGTGGCTATGTACAAAACCTTGGCCTCCTTGTCATGCACCAATTATGGCCCCTATGTTATCCACCTCAGCGGTAACCCTGGCCAATCTTCTATGTACTGAAAAAGACCATTGTTGGAAGAAGGTGTTTAACCCGCAAAAACTGCCCCTGCAATAGAGTACACCGGCTTTGCATTCTTCCCCAATCAGGCACACAAAGATACCTGCCAGACCTGTAGCCCCGGTCCCTCTTCCGCAGCCGACTTCCTACGTACATACGTGCATTAAAAGCTCTACATGGATGTAACCCATACCCAGTTTGTGGAGAAAGACATCAATAATTGTTCCTAAGTCTTAGGAAACTATCTGCTCATCAGGTTTCCGAGTTGTTGCTGATTACTCCATGGCCACTTTACCCTGTGTGCCTTGAGTGGCGTGAGAAGGGCGGAGGAAGTACGATAGAAAATACCGCTTCGCAGCCCCGTCACTGGGCTGCGTGACGCGATGCAGGGGTGAGTGGAATTGTAAGTCCGATAAGCGCTGCAGGGAGTCGGCCACGGTGACAAGTGCGCATCCGGGCGTGGGGACCGCTGCAAAGTCCCATCGGTCCTGCTCAGCAAGGTAGAGATGCAATCCCACCTGCTCATAGAACAACAGGGTAAGACTCCCGCTGTCGGTATGCTTATTTTCGACCACTTCGGAGGCTTTGGCGAGTAAGGGCTCGTATATGAGCTTGAGACCGGTATCGCTGCTCTCTGTAGTCCGATGGTGCGCTTCAAGCCGCTTGTCGCCCTCGATGCCGAGGGAATCAGAGAGTGATGAAAGTATACTAATGGCAGCAGCGTGGCATAGCTTATTGAATTTCTGAACTAGCTCGCTCTCATCGTGCAGAATTGGCGGAAGTCTTGCGTCGCCACGGAAGAGCTCGTCGTCGGAAAACTTGTGAAGATAGTTAGCAAAGCCTCTACAAAAGCAACGGATAGGGCTGATAAGTACCTCGAATGTCTCATCACAATCACTACTCTTGTAGCTTTGATAGAGTCAGCTCACATGATGCTAGCGAACGAGCTGGATGGGTGTGTCCTACCCACGATCACTAGAAGCAGGTTGATCCTCGCGGAAGTCTGTCGATTTTTCTGCACGGGGACGTTGAAAGTAACGGTCTGATAGGGCATACAACCGTGGCAAGTCGTCGAGTATACCTTCATCCCTACTTTTAAAGTCCAAAAAGAAAGCCCCGGGACGTGTAGCAGCATTGTACAGTTTCTGCTTCTCCTGTGAGTCACCAGTCACAATACGTGCCAGATCGACTGTCTCCAAGTGTGCCATCTTGAGGTCTGCACCAAATTCATGGGGAATCTGGTGGGTGTTTGACATTTCCTTTTCTTCAGAGGATATCTGAACATGCACAAAAAATGGAAAGAACCAACATTGACTTGAGGTCAATGAATGCAGAGTGGGATAGTAGCGAGTTTAATACATAGTACCGTATTATTCGACATCGGATTTATTGTAGAGCTGATGACTGGATAAAATACCACTATGTGCCTCGGTCTCTGGCTCGTTCAGCGCCCTCACACCGCGGTATCGACTTCTGCACGGTAATCCGGAAGATCTCGGAAAAACGGTGCCGTAACGCAATATATTCGTCTGACGGGGCCTTGAGAACTCGCAGTGTCCGAACACCTGAGGCGCAGCGCGTCTTTCTGTCGGAGTCCCCCGCATCCCCGAGGCTCTCGGTCGAACGCTGTTAAACACCATCCCACTTTCCGTAATTCGGCGAATCATCAGTGGATCTTTAAAGCCCCTTCAGGTAATAGGTGCGACTGGTATTCGAGACGCGATGTCGTGTTGGGGTAAGCGGACTTGGCGGCGATCGCGCCTGACCAGAAGCTTCGTAGTAGACTATTGTGGGAAGAGGCTTCAGGCAGAATGTTGCCCCATCATCTACCGAACAAATGATAGTCAAATTCTTCGGATCCTGAATGAATCCGATGGGACTCGGCTTGTAAAATCTTGCAAGTCTGCGACGTGGGACATCTCGTGCCATTCATTTACTCGTTTGAGTTCGACTCGCTGCTAATTTCTGTTTGCCTTGAATATTATATTTCTTTTTCACCCCAAATATTGCAAGAAGTAAAAATGGAAAACCAAACATATTAATGGTCTTGGTGAATATTAGAGGGTCAAGTGCAAAGGATGATAGCTTCGGCCCTGGCCTTGATTCTGTTGAAAACCCAGTGGAGGTCGCAATGCATGCGCCTCTACATTCTACAGTACTAAAATTTCGTTACGGGAGGGAATACTGGGGCCAAATTCTAACAGGTAATACTCCGGCATGTAGCGAAGTTCCGAACGGGATATTACGCTCAGGCACACTCACTAGAAAACAACAATCCACTCTACGCTTGATAGTTACCAAATTAATATCCTTTGTAAGGTTTGTGGCTTGAACCGAGTACTCATCTTGGATGCACATATCAAGCATTAGCTTGAACTCAATATACCCTTGGATTAGTATACTTATGTACAAGGCTGTAGATAACTAGTAGAACCCTTTCGAACCGGGGCATAGACGGCCCCGACAGTGAAAATATTGTCGGCCGAATAAATAAATTTAGCCAGGTCTCAATGGAGTCACAATCGGAGATCCTCGGAGTAGGCTTTCCAAAATCCAAGGTAGCCAAGGCCCAAGCCTTAATGCTGATTCTGAAGACCACTTCCAGCGTTCATTGAGTATTGGGGCAGGGTCCCCCGCCCCTGCCCTCCCCACTTTATTTTCTGCCTGTCAAAGTCCTGAATGTTCCCCCCAATAACCAGTGTGTTAGCCTTCATAATAACTAATGTCTTCCTCTCCTCGGTAAGACGGGGCCTCTGTCAGATTAACAAAATCACGGGTAGTCGGATTTTCCCACGCAGATTGCGCAGTATCTATTAATTCTGCCCACATTTCCTCAACATCGGACATCTCCTCTAGACCTGGTCGAATGTTTACGATATCTGCTTTTAATAGGGCCCAAAGGTTCTAAATAAGGTTGCCATGGGGAATAAGGAGTTTGTTTTATCCCAGTAACTTTTAGTTCGTGAAGTAGGGCTGTAATGATTTTTACAGTATGTGTAGGTGCGTTATCATCTTGAAATATAGCGTCCTCGTTGTTAAAGTAGGTGGCTTTATTTGATCAAGATCGTGGATAACCTCTTTCCTAATACTAATCTGGCCAGAGTTCGGGTCTCCGAATAGAGTAGCAAGACCAGTTTTGCGCGGAGTGCTCGCGGAACAGGCTCAAGACATCTGCTTTAGCTCTTTCCCTTTCAAAACTGTCAGCCAGTTACGTAAAGTAGCATGATTTTAGATTGTAACAAGAAGTATTCTCTAATTAAATGGGTTTCATGAGGCTATTGCGTAATGAGACTGAAATCAAATATATTTCGGAGATGTAGACCAGGAATATAAATATCTGGTGGGATGTCTAGTTCATAAGCACAAATTTTGACATAAAAATTGGGAGCCGTCACGCATTCACTTGGTCCTACGATGCTTTTCTCGCCGCTGCTCATCGCTGGCTTGCTCGCCCGGCAGTCATATGGAATAGGTCTGCCGGAATTTGTAAACCCGCACCTCGGAGTGGGCCGTCTCGGAGCTGTTGCAAGCGAGAGCTCTATCTGCAGTCAAGCTGGGACCAAAATTTTGCAGAAAGGTGGAAATGCTGCGGATGCAATGATTGCCACAGTACTTTGCGTGGGTACCGTTGGTATGCACCATAGTGGAATTGGTGGCGGCGGATTCGCACTGGTCCACGACAAGGACGGCAGTTTTGAGTTCATCGATTTCCGAGAAACTGCCCCAAGTGCAGCTTCACAGGATATGTACGATGTTAACGCCAATCTTTCTATATATGGCGGTCTTGCGAGCGGTGTCCCAGGGCAGCTACGTGGATTGGAACATATTCACACCAAATATGGTGTGCTTCCGTGGAACTCGCTTGTACAGCCGTCGATTCAACTTGCAAGATATGGCTTTCAAGTTACACAAGATCTCGTGGCAAATATGATCAAGGCCACCACAGGAACAGAGGATTTCCTGACGCAAAATCCTAGCTGGGCAATTGATTTTGCTCCAAATGGCACTCGTCTTGGACTTGGAGATACTATGACACGCCGGCGGTACGCTGATCTACTCGAGGTCATTGGAAAGCAAGGGTGGATGCTTTCTACACTGGCCCTCTCGCGGAAAGTATGATAAGCGCCATCCAATCTGCAAATGGAACCATGACTCTTGAGGATCTTAGGAACTATACGGTGGCTATCAGAGAGCCGTTGCAAATTGATTATCGTGGCTGGAAGATTACAAGCACGAGCGCACCATCCAGTGGCCCAGTTACTCTCAGCACGCTGAAAATTGTTGAAGGATATGATGATTTCTTCAGTCCCGGAATGACTAACCTCAGTACCCATCGAATGGACGAGGCAATGAGGTTTGCCTATGGTCAGGTGAGTCCCCCCACCTCCTCTCAAGAATAAGCGTTAGACTCTAACTAAATAACAGCGAACCCTTCTCGGTGATCCTTCGTTTGTCCAGGGAGTCGATGAGTATCAAAAGAGAATGATCAGTGATAACACAAGTCGCGAAATCTGCTCTCGAATTTCCGATTTTCACACCCAAGATGTCTCGGCATATGACCCTGACAACATTGACATTATCAATACGTATGTTCCGCCTTTTACTATGCACCGTCTTGATATGGAAGATTTTGACTTGAAGAAGACCAGGAACTTCACATATAGTTAGCGCCGATTACTCGGGAATGGCCGTGTCGTTGACGACGACTATCAACCTCGCCTTCGGAAGTCACGTCATTGTTCCTGAGACAGGTGTCATCATGAACAATGAAATGAATGGTGAATATTTACGTTGAATCTCCCCCAGACTAAATATTAAATTAACAGCTACATCAGATTTCAGTATTCCCAATGTCGATAATGCATTTGGCTACGTCCCCCAGGCCAGCAACTATATCAAGCCCGGCAAGCGGCCACTTTCTTCCATTACACCTACCATTGTTACTCACCCCAACGGCACTCTTTACTTTGTGGTAGGGGCAGCAGGTGGCTCTAGAATCACCACTGCTACGATCCAGAGTCTCATTCATGCTCTAGATCAGGACATGCCGCCCCACGAAGCCCTGGCCCAGCCACGTTTGCATGACCAGCTCATACCGAATCAGGTTACCTTTGACTGGGGCTACGACAACCGTACTGTGAATTACATGTGCTCCCTTGGACACAATGCGACGTGGGTGGCTCAAGGTCAGAGTCAGGTTCAGGCGTTGCGGCGATTGCCCAACGGTACTTTTGAAGCTGCGGGGGAGCCGCGACAAGTCAACAGTGGTGGGTTTGCGGTATAGACTTGGGGTGTATCGGAATGCTGAGGGGTTAGGTAGTGGGATATGATCTAGAGGTGACTTTTTAGTGAGCTGACCTGCTTATGACGGGTCCAAGTTCTTGTTCCTTTAGAGAGACCAGCCGCACAGAGTTCAATATGTATCCTGATATGCATATGCGTGTGCGAGTGTCCAGTCACGACGAAAATCGAGATAAGACGGATACCAGGCAATGTGTAGTCGCGATTCAATGAAAGTAATCAAGGGCTGGAAGTAGCAACTAGATACATACGGGGTTGATGCTTGGAGGGATGCCTAGGAAGCAACGCAGCAGCTCAGTAACCATGTGATTCGTTACAATGCGAGCCATATGAAAGCCCCATAGTATTTAGATAATGTTAGAAGACTGATCTCTTGTTCAATTTTTATCTTAGTATACCAATATTCAACCGATCCACGCAAGCATTTATGGAGCTTCTGATGGGTCAAAGGCGATCTATATGTCGAATTGTATACTACACCACACCACACCAACTAGATTCTTCAATTACTCACCATTTTTGTGTATGTGAAACCAGTCGTTTTCCGTGGAAAGAGGGCTCCTGCCTTTGAGAGTGTCCTGCATGATGCAATACGCTTGCCTTCCTTTGAAGTCAACAGTGGAAGCCTGGAAGGTACGCGTATAGACAACAGCAACAACAACAAAAGCAACAACACAAACACACTCCTTTCTAGCCTTGACTTCTTCTCCTCTTCTCTTCTCTTCGCCTCTTTTTTTAACGCATGCCACCTCTTGTTCTCGCCTCTCGGAGCTGTTGCAGGCGAGAAACACTTTGATAAACCACGGTAGGGACCATCTAGGTCCTGTTCTCTCCTCAAAGACCCGAAAATGTAATATCGACTGGAGGAAGCCATTTCCGCATCCGGTGAGCCTAAATTTCACTCCTCGGTGGGCTCTTAAAGACGCTTCTCTGCTGTTCCTGTTGATGAAGCCGGCTACGAAGTTACAGCAGCTCAACATATCATTAGTGCCAATAGGCTTGAGTCATACATTTGTCTGCTTGGTCTGGACTGCACAGAGCAAGTAGCAATTCTTTGAACTCCGTTATGGTGTATCTGTCAACTAACAATTTCGCCTAAATAGGGCTATTACTCCTCCATTTGCCGGGTATAACAATATTTGGTCCTTCTTACGGCGTCCGAATCATGGCTAAACATAAGATAGCGCCAGTGTCTCGGACTGAGGCAAGGGCCAACAGACCCAGTTTCATCTCCGAGATCCATTAGACAACATGAGAGTGTGCGATCCTTTGCTCCATTTCTCTCCGATCAATTACACCTACGACCTGCAAGGGCGAGCTCCCTTTAACTTCAGAGGGTTTGCCGACTCTGCCCTTTAGAGAATTACCCTCCCTCACCTCCTCCAGATTCTTCTGACCCCTCCCATCTTTACCAGATGAATCTCCCTATCCTTTCTAGAGGAACCCTTTCGTCCGGCTTCCAGAAGACTCTCACCTGCTCCACCAGATCCTTAGGGTTAGACCTGTATCTAGGTACTGAGTCGTGACCTACAAAGTCTCTAGAGAATACAACCATCTTACACATGCTACAAGAGATTTCTACGCACAGCGTCCGGCTCGCGCTGTCCCGAACCTAGTCCACTTGGTCTTACCGTGAGGATATAGCTTGGCCACTCGATGAAGGTTCAATACAGTTCTTCATTTTTACCTCATAAATTCCAATTATATGTGGAATATTATTATTTCGCGCCAATATATTCGACATGTTTATTATCATTATCGCTTCTTGCTCTGTCATGGATATAGGTCGGTCGGGAAATTCCAAGACGCTATTGTTTTTACCAGAATGTCCACTAGGCATGTTCCACTATTGTTCGAGGATCAGTGAGGTCATCGAGGGAGATTTGGGTGGAAATAATAACGAGCTAAGGGTAGTACAGTAATGACTATTTCGGAGTGTTGTGATATGAGGCTGGTGCAGATCAGGAACCAAGCCAAACCATCAGTATTAATCCCGAGGTATCTATACGAAGAATCAAGTTGATTTCCAATCAACTTGTTCTTCTTAACGTGTTTCATGGGTCGGAGGGCCACCCGTGCTGGAGGGCCACCCGTCTCCACAGACGCGTCGCGTGTAGCAACCTCCTTTTTGCAACCATCGGCATGCCACCAGTTCGCCATGAAAAGCGACAAAAATTGATTGAACAAGAGGGCAGGATGGAATTAGCCATCCAGGCTCTAAAAAATCAAAAAATTTCATCTATTCGTGAAGCTTCGCGGGTTTTCGATGTACCGCGTACAACGTTGCAAGGACGGCTTAATGGTCGTACCCATCACCCAACTGCACGCGCAAATAACATGAAATTGACCGCAATTGAAGAGGATTCATTGGAAAATTGGATATTGGACCTCGATTCGCGTGGCAAAGCCCCCTCGCATGCTATGGTAAAGGATATGGCCAATATATTGCTTGCAGAACGGCCACACGCTGGCAGTATCATTACTGTAGGCAAAAACTGGGTATACCAGTATGTTAAACGTCGGGATGCCCTCAAATCTAGGTTTTTACGTCGATATAGCGCACAGCGTGCCCTATGTGAAGACCTGAAGGTTATAAAAGAATGGTTTCGTCTTTTGGCTGATAAAATTGCTGAATATGGCATACTCGATGATGATATCTACAATTTTGATGAAACTGGGTTTGTAATGGGGATCACCAGTACTTCAAAGGTTGTTACTGGCAGGGACTTCTATGGGAAGCGAAAACTCCTATAGCCTGGCAATCGTGAGTGGATAACCGTGATTGAATGTATCAACCAGAACGAAGTACTTCCTCTGACTATTATCTTTAAGGCTAAAAACTTGATGTTACGCTGGTTTAATACTGTGCCAAGAGACTGGTGCTTTGAAGTCAGTGATAATGGATGGACAACTGATTCTATAGGCCTCTTGTGGCTCGAGGATTGCTTTATTCCGCATGTTATCAAGAGGCAACGCGGTACCTACTCACTACTCGTTATGGATGGCCATGGGAGTTACCTCACCCTACAATTCGACACAATCTGTATGGTAAATAATACTATTATAATTTGTATGCCTGCATACTTATCACATCTATTACAACTACTAGATGTCGGCTGTTTTGGTATATTGAAGCACTTCTATGGCCAATACGTACAGGATATGGCCCGTGTGGGTACTACCTATATTGATAAGCTCGATTTCCTCGATATCTATCCTATAGCGCGTGCAGCAACCTATAGAAGCTCTGTTATTATTACAAGCTTTACAGGCTCGGGTATAATACCCTATTCGCCAGAGAGAGTACTACAAAAGCTTGATATACGCCCTCCAACACCTACACTACCACTATCCCAAGGTAGTGCTAGTAGCCGTGAATTTGTGCCACATACACTATGCAAATCAGTCCATTTTAGACGTCAGGTATCGTCAATTTAACGACGAATTGAACAGGCTTCATTTGTATACGATGATGAAATACAACGACAGTTGGAGCAACTTAGCAGGGGGGGCCCAAAGCGTGGCAAATGAAGCAGCCATTACAGCAGCTAATTATAAGCGTACGATGGCAGAAAATGCTAGAAAGCAACGTAAGTATACACAACCTAGTACCCGATTGGCCTACGAAGGTGGTATTACTGTGGAGGACATGCAAATCCGTCTACAATTGGCAAATGAGACCAATATGGCTACACCATCGGCACCTCCACGTACAGCGAGACCGGCCAATGAGAGGGCGCCACAGCGTTGTGGTAATTGTCGTGTGGAAGGGCACAAGCGCAATAGGTGCCCGCTTAATAATAGCACCTAGTTCTTGCAATTTAATCGGCGTTGGTTGATTCATTCGTATAAAATATAGTGGTGGTGGAGATGGGTGGCCCTCCAGCACGGGTGGCCCTCCGACCCATGAAACACGTTATTGTCTATATATATAATCTTATGTGTCTCTTTGAATAATAATCAATTCACACCTCTGAACTACAACATGGAGTGGCCTCTTTAACTCCCACTCCCCATACACGTGCGATGTTGAGGTGCTGAGGCGGCTGTTTTGGTATATTGTGTTCCTTGGATACAAGTCTTGCGATAGTCGCTTAGGGAAGTTCTCTTCTCACTGCCTTAATTGCCGGTTTGGGAGGCGGCCCAGGATGAACACTCAGAGCTGAACTGACAAAATGGGTTAACAGAAAATAATCTATACCCTAGTCCCTCAATGTATATTTCCTAGTGACCAGCATAGTTAAGCTGATCATAAATAAAGGAGAAGGAAGTAGAAAATAATAGACAGACAGTTATAGAATTTATCTACAACACTAAGAATATTCTTATATAAGCTACCTCGCTACAATTTAAAATCTCAAAAAGTACCAAGCAAGCACTTGTGCTACGATCTTTTTCTGTTAGTCCCTTTTGCTGATTTATCTCTAGGTGGTCATCTAGGGCTGCCTGCCAGACCGGAAATCAGGGAGTAGTTTATTAGGGCCACCTCACATGATATCTACACCAATATAACTGAGGGCTTCTTCCCCTACAACTGCCCTGAGAGAGTTGGTTGCTTGTCTCTGTACCTACAGTCAAGAGCAAAAACAGCTTCTACCCTAGTAACTGCTTTTTCTTTTTTTAGGCCCTACTTAGCGCGGACTATCTGTTAATTAGGTATACTAAGTTAAGGGCTAGGATGCCAGCCTGTATACGGTAAAACGCCTATACTGTAATATTATACCTACTGCTCTAAATTCTAGATAGTAAAGCCTGATTATTGTGGTACTAGGTAAACGGTATTTAACAGTACTCCTTAACTTAGCATAGTCTGGCTGATACAAAATCTGCGCTAGGGCCTTAACAGTAGGGCCCAAGAAAAGAAAAGCAGTCAGTAGGGTAGAAGCTGTTTTCGCTCTCGACTAGATCTCGTCATCTCTTAAACAGTCAAGACTCGATTTGTCCCTCCCATCTTCCCTCTGTACATAGACACCACTTTAATACAGACACATTGCCTCCCTACAAGGGAGCGTGGACAGGCCTTATCTGAGGCTACGGTCTAAGACCGCAGCGAAAGGTGACTTGTTACGGCGAAACTAAACATATTCCTGATCTCTCTTGACTGCGCCAGGTCACCAATAAAGGGAAGGAATTGATCGAGATGCAGACCTGATGTATTTAAACACGGTACAGTCGTACTTGACAATACCAAACAGAAATTCTCTTAGCACAGAGTCACCTGACGATGAACCCCGCACTCATATGGCCCCAGTTATGTCTTCTTATTTATCCAGAATTCGTCTTACTGCGATCTCCTGTAGTAGTACTATTCCACCTGCTGCTTGGTCCACAAGGGGCGGAATACGCGACTATCGTGGACCCAACAAGAAGTTGACGTTGAACTATTGAAATATGTTCGCTGCACCAGGCCCCCCCAGATGTTTTGACCCTAGCAACATTCGCCTACCAAGTCTATGACACCTATAAAGGCGCTCCGAAGAGATTTAAAGATCTCACAGATGACATCAAAGGTCTTGAGATCCTCATTCGGAGACTGGGGAATAGACTTGCCCTCCAACAGGTGGACACTACTGGGCAAGAGAATTCTGAAGAGACTCTACTCTCGTCTGATGAAGTGGCGGACTTGGAACAACTGGTCAAACAAGCTGGAAAGTTGTTAGAGGAGTTGCAGCAGAAACAAGGATATGCGTCAGCTCTGAGAGGATTGAGTCGGTTTAGGTGGTCGCAAGGGGAAGTGGACTCCGTGAGGTCCAGAATTACGTCTCTTTGTGCGATCATTGGGGCATTCAATAGTGGATTGATGCTTCCTCATATTCCGTTCATAGTCCCCATGTGAGTCTCATAATATCCGTATCCACTGCGGTGTTCTTAGATTAGTTCCCTTCTCTTAGCGATGGATTACTGACTGACTGAATGTAGGGTCGACACACACCAAGAGATCCCGGAAAAGTTAGATAACTTCCTTCCGAGTCTCAACGAGAATAGCCTTTTATCTACCGTCTCCGTGGTTGATCCTAACACCGCAACCCTTACCGAAGTTGAAAACGAGGTAAACCCAGAGGGGGCCAACCGAGACCGAATGCCTGACTACGGTATATCCGAAGCGGAAGCAGAGCAGAATCAAGATCTTAACTTGGAATGGACAGCTCATGCATCTGTACCGGTGGTTTCGCCTCTCGTCAAACGATCACCGGCCACAGGCTCTCTCATGAGAAATACAGGTGCCAAGTTAGGTTTAGGAGCGCACACAGAAGAAATTGAAGTAATTTCAGCCATATACGGACCAAGGGTTGTTACAGACGTTATCAGACACATTGTCAATGCGCACTCATGTCTAAAGATGACAAGAGTTGTTTTCTCAGCTACGAACGAGACGTTCGGTGGAGACCCTTGGCCGAACTGCATTAAGGCGTTCTCAATGGTCTGGCGCAAAGTGATTCGACTCGATTATGGGAAAATTTATTCGGCTCCTCAGAAGCTCTTCGCTGAGGAAGGTGAACTACTTACCATCGATCTCTCGATCGCTCTGCCTTTCCACAAGAGTTCGGAAACGAAGAGCCGGGGTTCGATCTATATCTTGAATGCAAGCTGGCATAATATCGACGTGACTGAACATGTCGCGTCGATAACGGCGAAGGATCCACGACCGGATATCATAGCGTCAAATCATGAGTTCTTCGCAGTGGATCCGTGCTACGGACACAAGAAGGTCATGTCCGTAACTTGGACGTACTCGGATATTGCGACGGCACTATCATATTGCGAGGTGAGGGCTGTAACTGAGGATTCTTCGATACAAATACCCCCATACTTAGATATTATTTGTGCGAATTGGGGTGGGCTGGATGTTACGGATCTTGTTCGAGCGAAGATCACACCTCAGCAGACATTGCACTTTGACACTAAGAATGGCTGTGCGTTTGCATCTCCCGATCCGTTACCTGGATGGCAGAAGACGATTTCGATATTGTATCGATATGGGTCATTAGAACCAATGCAACTGCTGGTTATAGATGAGAACTCTGACTATGTCATGATTGACCCAGGGAAACGGCTGAGACGGAATTTCTTTTTCTCAAATACTATAGAAGTCACATCAGATATCAGATTAGTGGCTGCTGTGTGGGGATTGCAGCCGGTTTTTGAGAAGCGGTTTGGCACGGCTGTGACAGAGAGAAAGGAGGTTTCTTGTAGTAATGACTTCTTTGAGAGGGATGGATGGGTTGGGACGCTAAAAACCCTTCAGGTGTTCTTGCAGAATGTCCATACGGGGGAGTGTACTTGTGTGAGTGCGAAAGAGGGGAGTGTCCTTAAGATGCCAACTGTTTGGCCAGGGCATTAGACAGCTTTGGAGAAGCTAGAACTACTCTACCCTACCCACGGCTTCCTGCCCACTCAGTAGCGGCCGGGACTCTTCCAAGCCGCCCGCCAAGAGCCGAATGCAAAATCACATATGATACTTAGAGGTTTATTGATGATATATTTGGGGGTTATAGAACGACTCCCACTTTCGTGTTCACACCATACCCCCCCCCCCTCAGCAGGACCACAAGCGACGGTTAGGAATGCGTTTCCACAGCGTGAAGTGCGCCGCACTTCAGATGTGCAACCTAGACGCAGCTGGCTCATTTCAAAAAGGCACATTAGAGTAGGTTCGCGATGTGACTGGGCTTCAACTGCTCTAGTATGAGCAGTCTGACCTCAGGCGGGATTATCGAGAAGACGCCGTTGCTGTGGTTCGCGTTACGAAGCTCTTGATCTGTTAGGACGAGTGAGATTGGACTGGTATCCAGGCAATACTCGATGCGCGGACGCAGTAAGGGTACGTTTGCCGGGTTTCCAACTAGATACTCGGTGCCCACTTCATAAGCGTACTATTATTACTCTTGGACGTGCGATGATTTATAGAGAGAGATGAGAGGAGGAGTCGGATCACAGGAGAGAAGTAAATTCTGCTGTAGACAGAAACAGATGAGCCTTGATGAGTTGATGCATTCACTAGTCATTAACCTCCGTACAGTATCAACTCTTTTTCAGCGTACAGCTCGGAATCGCGCGTGCCGAATGATCCTCCGCTCTTGATCATCACCACAGCTCTTTCCCTCAATACACCCAACGTGTTCCTCATCTTGTTGTCGGTGTAGACAAGACTGTTCAAACAGACTCGATGTGGTCACTGTCGTTCTTGCTCTTGATGAAGTCCTGGGACGGAGACGATGGCCGATGCGCCTGGATGTATGCCGCTTCGCCCGCCGCGATATTCTCGGGGAGGGGTGGGATACCGTTTGGTGGAAAGAGCTTCTTGGCTCGCCAGGCCGCATGCCGCATCTTGCCAGAGAACAACGCCTGGCAACTCTCGATGGGCACTGCCTTGGTCTCGGGAACCCAAATGAAGGTGAATACGCTTTACCAACGTCAGCTCCCACCTCGATGCAGCCACTTTTGATGAAACAGCCAAAACTTACGCGGTCAAGAAACAGAGCGCTGAAAAGAAAAAGAAAGTTCCGTTTGCGTTGAGGGCGGACTCGATCATGTACGGGAAGACCAATGTGAGGATGAACTAATCATGCATGGTCAGCCGGAGACAAGTACTGTTGCAAGCAAGGGGGATGACATGCACTAAATAGCCACTGCAGAGAGGCGGCAAAGGCACCGGTGATTGGCCTGAGTCGGGCTGGGAAGATCTCTGCGGCGACGATCCATCTGATCGATGTTAGCTTAATCGCTTCGCCACGACAAAAAGTTCACAGGCATACGGTAGACCATTCCCTCCAAAACTCCAGACTATGTCGTTGTCAGCTTAATGCAATAGGTCGAAACCAGCGAGGAGGATGCGGGGACATACAGATTCCGTAAAGCATCACCATCGCGGTTGCGCCGGTACCGGCGGCGCGGACAGAGGCAGAAGGAATTCCTATGGTTGTATCGGCCACCGTTGTAAAGATTGCAATGTACAAGAGTGCCAGGGAGCATGCCGAGGCGGAGATCAGCCAGGGGATTCGACGTCCACTGCGATCCACCTGAGCGTTGCGTCAGTCGGGTTGGGAAGGTGCAAAACTGGCGTTCCGGTCGACTCACGATCAAGGCATAGAAGGCAATAGCTGCTACCGACCGGCAGACTCCATAGATGCCAGTGTATAACGCCACATCGCTGATGAGGAGCGACTTAAACAGGATCGGAGAATAGTAGCTGGAAGATCAGCAACGAGTCCTCTGGACTCCAGAAACCATGGGAGCATATCTCACTTGATGCAGATGGAGCCGGACCAGTTCTGGAACATAAACATTCCAACAATTATGGCGCTGAGCGGTGGTCAGCACGCGCCAAAGATTTTCTGGGCGGGGAACGTACAGGCGGTATCGCATACTCGAAGCTTTCATTTCGGCCGTGGAACCACGCAGTAGAGCCACCCAGCCTGTCCGGCCGCCAGATAGCCGTTCTTCCTCCTCCAGCCTGGCCTCGATCCTGCCAACTTCTTCCAGCATATATTGATGGTCGGCGGGGAGTTGGCGAAGATAGCAGAGGTTCTGGATCGCTTGTTCCCTTTTACCTTTTCGCCAGAGCAAAGTAGGCGACTCTCGAAGGATAAGCGTTCCCAAGGCCAAAGCACCTCCGGGGATGAGTTGAATGGCCATGGGAATGCGGAATGTGATCACCGCGTCGACCCCCATGTGTTGTTGGATCCCGTAGTTGATCCAGAACCCGACCAAAGAGCTGGAAGCAATGTGAGCCGCGCGTCACCACCTTTACAAGCTGTGAAATGCACTGACCCGACCTGGTACGCTACCTGTGGCATAAAAGGGGCGGTAAGCACAGCACATCTTGACAGTAGAGACGTATACATACGTCGAAATACCTAAATCGTCAGCACATGGCTCTCTTCGTAGCGTTTAACGTCAAGAAGCAATGACTCACCCAGTTAATTGTCCACGGATGGCGGTAGGAGCTACCTCGGCGATGTAGGACGGGATAATACCCGTCAAGGCACCGACGCCAAAGCCAGTCAAGACTCGCCCCGCATAAAGCATTGGCAAGCTCGAGGTCGCAGCTGTCATCAGGAGAGCACCGACCAAAAAGACAGTGCAGGTGACCTGCATTGCCTGGATCCGGCCAAGCGTCTCGCTGGACGGCCAGGCAAAGAGCGATCCAAAGAAACCTGCAGCGAGGTAGACCGCGGTAAGGTTTGACGTGGTGGATGTCCTGGCAGAGGTGGACATGTCCGTGAAGCCGAAATGCTGAAGCGTGTCAGCCGGGAAGGTAGAGGAGATTCATCTGCCTGCTGTCGATTATACCTCCTGGAAGCTGGCTCGGGCAAGCGTCGTTCCCCAGAATGAGCCATCGTAACCCTGATGACAAGAGCTTAGCTTGTTGACCCATTATACAAAGATCGCCGTGAACCCACAAACATGAGAGCGCCAAACGACGCCACGATTGCAAAGGTGTAGATTCGCCAATTATAGACCTCGGCTGCACATCACACAGTCAGCACTGATAAGACACCTCTCCAGCAGATTGGTCAGACTGACAAGGTGTTGGGCGGTCTTCGACTATGCCAAAACCCATCTTGATTGATGCTCGAATCGATAGTGGGTTGAAGGCCCGTTCTGAAAGTTCGGGAGATAGTTATTTATGATGGTCAGGGTGTCAAAGCGTCTTCGGCTCCCATTCGGGCCGACCGAATGTCCGCCCGCCCAGATTCACATCCGCGCAAAGTCGTGGTTGCTCCTGGCCGTACGGAGTAGTTGCCAAGGCGTCTTCAGTCTTCGGCTCGGACTCGGACCGACCGATTGTCGGCCCGCTCAGCTCAGATAATATCAGCACAAAGTGGGTGGTGCTTCTGGCCGTAAAGGTCACAATAACGCGCAGATTCCTGTTTAGAGGTGTTCTTCTTCTTCATCATCACCACCTCACAAAGCCGTATCTCGAAACGCATCTACAATGGTCGACCTCGAATCATTTGGCTTGTCTTCGCTGTTTTCTGTCGAGGGAAAAGTAAGTCGATCGCGGCGTAGAGCTACAGCTGCTGACGTGTCTAGACTGTGGTCGTTACCGGAGGAGGTTCAGGACTCGGAAAAGGTACGTAGTTCTGCACGGCTGTTGCGTTGTGCCTCGCTCACATCCTTCCTCAGCAATCGCCGGCGGGTTTGCGTTCAACGGCGCCAAGGTCTACATTGTGGGAAGAAGAGTCGATGTCCTAAACTCGGCGGCAGATGAGATCAATGCGGCGAGTCGAGGCAAAGTCATACCGTGAGCGATCCCTCCTTACCATTTGCCCCCACCCCAGCCTAACCACTTCACCATCGCGAGTGCTGACTGCAACGAGACTACCCGGCGACGTTGGGTCTAAACAAAGAGTCGATGAGCTCGTGACTACGCTGCAGACGCTCGAGGACCACGTCGATGTATTGATCAATTGCGCGGGGATAAATCGTCCCTGGAAAGCCGAAGCATCAGAGTTTGACGGCCGACATAACGATCCCGATGCAGTTGAGAAACTGTTGTGGCATGGTCTCGACGATGACGATTTTCAGTCGACCTATTCAATCAATGTCAACGGTGTCTACTTTGTCAGCACAAGGATGGTTCCCCTCTTGCGACAGTCATCAGCTCCGACGGTCATCGTCATTGCCTCCATAGCAGGAATGATGCTACAGCGGTAAGTCATCACACATTGTTTCGCTTGCGATGCCGAGGCTGATTGTCGCCCAGGACGGTGGGTGCATTGTCGTACCCTATCTCCAAAGTGAGTTCACGTCGTCTCCCGATCGAATCGACACTAATTGGCTAGGCTGCGACACTACACTGTGCAAGTCTGCTCGCCTCGCGATTCACACCGCAAGTTTGACGTCCCAGTACTCGAGGTTCTGTGTGCTAATGCGTCTTTCAACAGCTTCAAGATACGGGTAAACACGATTCTCCCCGGAATTTTCCCCTCCGAAATGACTGGCGTTTCTGCGAAACCTGATCTGAGCGATCTGATTGAGTCCAATCCCCAAGCGGCAAAGGCAGTGGCGAGATGCCCAGCTGGGCGAGCAGGACTAGAAACAGAGATAGTTGGGCCTTGCCTCCTTTTGGCTTCGGCGGCGGGCGGTTACATGAATAACGCGAGACTCACGATTGACGGGGGACGCCTGATGGCGGCTGGTTCAAACGACGGCGTTCGGATGGAGGAATGGACGTATGTTTAGTATAAGCAATGTCGTGCCTTCATATGGCCATTGGAGAAGTTGATCAGATTGCCTGCATGCATCAGGTAGAGAATGGCAGTCCGTAGACTGGCGTCTTTCTGCCTGATTGGCCACGTACTCTTTCAGACTTGGGTCGTTCATCAAGCTGTGCTGCACGTTTCGCTGTTTCCGCACATTTAGTTGCAGGATTTGCATCGGCTTAGACATCATTCACCGGGTAGAGAGTACGACACTGGCGGCTAGACGATTCATGAGGCCTGTCGCAGATTGCACATCTAGGTTCCTCTCCTTGGCATTCACTATGGCGGGGGCCTGGCTGAGCACACCTGCTACAAACCTGCGCTTTCGTGCACGAAAAGGCTTTGTGCTAGACGCCCATACACCTGAAGGACTGCATCGGTCCAAGCCTGGGCTCGAAGACACGGGTGAAGGCCGACTCTCCATCCACGTTGAAGTACTGACCTTCCAGCAGACTCGCTGCGTCAGCGCACTTATTTACATACACGGCCATAGATCCGTACGCCTTTGGTAGATCTTTCCGGCTGAGCCACGACATTCTTGCAATCCTCACCTAGTTCTCCTTCTCCAGCATCTCTACAATACCTGCTCGAAGCTCGCCGTGCTCGTCCAGCACCGCTGTCCGGCACGCATTGTCTACCTTGACCCCGCAGCACACGTGCCCCCGCCACTTTGGTCTTCACCCGTACAAGTTCACTTTCATCCCGACGGGTGATGCGGATGCGAGCAGTGTTGGGGGGGGTTCTTTGTGACTGCCACACACCGCCAGCTGCCTCCTTCCTCTTTGTCACGCATCTCTTTCTCGATATCGTGTCTGATCTTGCTTGCGCTCGCGCTGTTCCTTTCCGCCTCTTCCACATTAGGCACGTCCACGGTGTAGTACAACGTATCCGTGGAAGTTAAAGGGGTTGTCTCGTTGAAGATTGTCTTCTGGTTACTGGGGTGGCTGCCGGGCGGCGTACGGATTCGGGCTCGACTGGTGAATGCTGGATAGCTGCTTTTCGACGATGGCCGTGCCCTGCTCCTGTATGATACTACTGACTTGTTGCTGAACGATACTATTGGCCTGCCGTTGAACGATAATAATGACTTTTTCGGTGCCAATGTTCATGATCTCTTGCTGCTAGACCTGTGCATTTGGGACCCATGGGAGTGGTAATCGATTCTCATCCCATTTGCCAAGATCCCATGGGACTAATTACTATTCCCATCCCATCCCATAGGAGTAGACCTGCCAAGACTTATTAAATAATTATTTTTAAAAAAGATTAGTATTCATTGAAAGAGAATAAGTTAATTAATATCTTTGTGAAATTGAGCAAAATATATATTGAAGTGGTGCTGTAGGAACCCTCAACGCAGATGTATATTTTGACAAAAGTTACATACAATGTCAGAAATTACCTATTCCGGTTAGATCAAAAAGATACCCTAGCCTTATGTAGTTAGCGTATATCCCATGGGAATCCCATGGACATGACCTTTCAATCCTATCCCATGGGACCTATGGGAGTAGGAATCCCATGCACAGGTCTACTTGCTGCACGACTTGCGTGACTTCCCGGCAGACTACCTCACTCGCCCGTTGCTGCACCGTTCTTTTGACTTCTTCCCCAATGGCATGTGCAATTTCGCCTTGCACAGTGACTTTCAGCTGCTCTTGCACTACATCCCTGACCTCTTCTGACACGGCCACCTTCACTTGCCCAATGTCCGTTACCTGGTCGATGGCCTCCTGAACCAGCGCGAAGCGTTCGTCCACGGAATTGTGCACGCCGGCGACGACCTTCAATATCGTTTCCAACCGAGACTCTTGGACATCGCCCGTTTTTATCAGTGCCCTTGACTCGAAATTTCCTCTTTTGCCAGCGTTCCTCGGTGCGTGAAGCGCGTGAACGGCTTGGACGCGTCACTCCCGGCGACACGCTGTCGTCCGGTTGCGCCAGCGGGCGCGCAATGGCGGCCATGGATGGATCTGCCAAATAGGCGCGGTATTTACTTGAAATGCGCCCTTTCTTTCGATTATAAAACAGAAATCCCCGTTTAGTACGGTATCGGGTACCCACCGACAGCCCCGCACGTAGTGCGGGGTGAGATTCGGGATGTTCGGCCGGCCCGAGACTTGCCGACTAACTCAAATCCGCGAGCGTGAAGCAGTATAATTTGGTAGTGACGCGTCTCAATCGGTAACGATTGTAAACACTCAAGACCTGCTCTGAACTCTCATCCCACTTGTTTGCGCCGCCATGTCCGCAGAGCACGCTCCCAAAGTCCCAGCGTACGCCGAGTGCGCTCGCACCGACAAACCAGCGCTAGTGACTCCTGAGTCGGTCTCCAAGGATGATGAACGAGCTCCAGCGATCCACTGCACCAACATTGCCGTGGCTGGCGGTGTCAAGTATTCGACTTGGTTCGGAGGGTCTTACGAGGGCTCGATAGACACAAAGATCTGGTCAGTGCCCTCTTTCTCACCTTGAAGCGCGCGACCAGTCGCATTGAGGCTAAAGAACATGGACAGGTTCTCCAAAAATACCGATGGCAGTTGGACCAAGCCTCGGGGAATCGCCGGCAATATAGAAGGCGAGGAGATTGTCTACTGGAATCCGGTGCTCTTTATCCCGGACCGCTCTCGGCCGCAAGAACTTCACGTCTTTTTCAAAAAGTTTACGCCCATTCCCGTCTGGGTTACGTTCTGGACAAGCAGCGGCGATGGTGGAGAGACCTGGTCTGTACCGAGAGAGCTTGTTCCCGGACCAGGCGGAAAGAGAGGTAGAGGGCCGCAGAAGAATCCGCCGATTGTATTGAGCAATGGCGATTGGCTCTCGGCGGGCTCCTACGAGGTTACCAACCCGCCGGGCAGTGAAGCCTACGGTGTATGGGTGCGTTCCCTTTAGCAGATCCCCCCCCCCCTTCCCTCCTACTTCCCTCCCACCTCTCAAGGCAACGGCTCACCCTCGTTTGCAGGACGCTTGGTCTGACGTCGCGCCCAAACCTAGGCCCGGCGACGACTTTAAGCAAGGAGAAAAGTGGATCCGGTCCGATCTCATCGAGCTTCCCTCTGATCGCGGAAAGGCCGAAGGCAGCTTCCCCGGAGAGGGTGTCATTCAACCTGGGATATGGGAGTCCAAAGGCAAGCCGGGACACTGTCACATGACGATGCGATCCAGTGTTGGGTGCATTATCCAAGCGGACTCCACCGACTATGGCCGAACGTGGGGGCCAGCGTATAGGACATCGCTGCCCAACAACAATTCAGGTCATTGCGTGACGACCTTGCGGGACGGACGAGTTGTCTGGTGAGTCTGCATTTTGACCGTGCAAGGGAGTGTAGGAGCTAACGCAATGACAGGGCCGGCAACTACCAGACGCAAAACTGGGGCCCGCGAACACCGCTGTGCCTTGCGATCAGCGAGGATGACGGCAAGACGTGGAAGCTTTGGGCAACGCTCGAGGACGCGCCTCCGCCTGATGATTTCAAGCGAGTCATTGCCTTGGAGACGGGAATTGTGAACGACGGGAGATCTGAGTTTTCGTGAGTGTCTTGAGGGCTTTCGCTGACGAGCTGCTGGGATGAGGAGACGTTTGTTGGCTGACTAGCATACATAGGTACCCTTGCTTGACGCCTACGGAGGAAGATGACGAGGACGGGGTTTGGGTCTCGTGGACGTGGCAGCGACGAGGGATTATGATTGCCAGAGTCGTTGAATGTTAAGTATAATCCTTGATTTAATGTATATATATATATATAACCCAAGCGCGGGTCAAGCGATCTTTACAGTGCCAAAGGGGTGTTGACCTGGGTATATAAACTCCTACCATTCATGTCCCGGGTCTCGTCCCAGGTTATTACGAGCTCGGTGACTCTTCTCCAAACTCCTGCCTTGGCTTTGACTTGTACAAAGCTTATACGGATAGTAAGCCTCCCAGAGCACCACGCTGCTGCGCCTTGACTGCGGCCTAGCAGACCTAGGAGGCAAGGTCGACACGTTTGCTCACCGTGGCTAAGAGCTGAGCGGGGGAATTACAAGTGAAGAGAATAGCCGCACAGTCAAGTGATCCTCGGCCTGGTCTAATGTGATTGTGAGGCGCCCGATTACGATGTGTAGGTAGCGCAGTGTCGAGCGACAAAATAGTGGCATTCGCGAAAATACGGAGCATGAGGGACAAAGGAGGAAGCTATTGTAATGGCTGTGGCCGATACTAGATACAGATTTCACGTGATTCATCAGTGATTGCCGCAACAGCAACAGGAACGATGACGATCATGTATACATGAAATAGACTTTTGACAGTATACTCTACCGGTCCCTGCTAATCTCCTGGCTTTTTTCGAACCCTTCTGCCAAGACTTTCAGAATGTCGCTCAGCATGCTGATTTCCTCCCGAGCTAAGAATGAAGTCAGTCTACTGCTCTAGTTGTGTCTGCTCTACTACTCACAGTCCAGCACAGTAGTCTTGATTTCTGCGTCGCCGCTCAGGCAGCGATGCAGCTCTTTGAACATTAACGTGTAGTAGTCTTCGTATGTCGGCCGGATTGTCTCTTCAGAAAAATCCCCATTGGGGTGCCTGGAGAGCGTAGTCGCGGTGATTGGCAAACCTTTGATATACGGCCTAAACCTTAGCAATCCGGTTGACTGGGTTAATGGGATAGGAGACTCACGAGTCGAAGGTGAGCTTGAGTCGCTGGTGCTGAGCCAGGACCTCGACGGTCGCGTCCACAGACAAGACCGCATCCTCGCCAGACTACGGAGGTCAGGATATTGAACGCGTTGCACACGATTTTGATACTGTGCGTTAGACTCACCTCATATGCAAGAACAAAGCCGTCGCTACGAGTAATGATTAGCACGGGGCCGGCTCCATGGCTTGGCTTGGGGATTAACTTACTACTGCAGCATAATGGACAAAAAGTTCCCTCGAGCACTTGGCACGGCTGCAATGACATGGCGAGGAAGACCAAACAGCTCTCGCATGAGGCTTAGGTCGTGCGGGGAGATGTGGAACTTGCAAGCCCGAATGTACTGCGCGACCGGCGATTTGTAGTCGAGGCCCGTGTACTCCTCGAATTGGCTCGTGGCGACTTGACGCCTCTTAGCCGAAGCCTCCTCGGGGATATCTGGACTCAGTGAGCGGACCGATCATACACGTTGGGGCATTCGGAGAGACTTACCCGAGAAACGTTGTGAGTAGGTGCCGCTCTGTGAGATAATCCCGTCCTTGACCTACAAAAGGTCATTAGTGTAGAAACCATTGGCATCGAGTGAACATTACTCACCCTCGATGTAAAGTTGCGGAACCGGACTAGAGCAATCAGCAATGTTTTTAACCCTAAAAAAGTGCCCTACCATAGTTTATCTGGGCTGGATCCAGTTTGCCCACGGCCTCCTTAAATCTCAAGAACGCGGTCGCATATCGTCTCATGTAGCCGACAAAGACCAATTTGCCGGAAGCGAGGCGTGCGGCCTCGATATCGTCCGCTTCTCGCAAGGTCTGAGCCATCGGCTTTTCGACAAAGAGATGCTTGCCGGCTTTCAGACATTGTACTGCGTGTACGCTCTGGCTTTATATGAGCTAATATTTAGGAGACGTCTAGCCGGTAATATCCTTACGTGGAATTCGCTGAATGTTGAGCTCAGTATCAGCAATCGCGCAAACTCGACACCATTCGGGAAGGGCAACTCACTCGGAATGACAGATCAATACCACATCCACGTCGGAGCACGCTGCCAGCATTTCCGACCTGTTGAAGACGTGAGCACCCGGGAATGCCTCAAATTTGACCAAACCTACACGTCTGTGAATGTGCGGGGGATGTTGAACTTTCGCGCACAGTGCTCCAAAGCTTGCTTGGAAACATCCACTATTGCCGCGACCTCGTACATGTGCGAAAGGAAGCCGAGGGTAGGCAGCTAGAGGCCAGATTCAGCTGGACAGGTTGCAAGTGCACACAAGACATGGGGAGCCTTACATGGGTGCACATTGCGATCTCCCCCGCACCGATAACCTGCGCTATGTGAGCTGGGTAGTCAAAAGTGTCTGCCGCGATGACCTACAGCGACATTGATAACGCGACTCGTGGACATGTTGACGCAGAGGGCTGCCGTTGATATGTTAGTACGCGTGAGCAAGCCGTCGAGTTGGGCTTTTCACAAATGGCAGAATGACTGATTTCCTTCGGGATCAAGATATATATCAAGCAAGTTCAAGTGGATGGGATTATAAAAGTCCCGTCAACCCCGCACCATCGGCCCGATGCCGAGATAAGGTTAATGGAGATATCGGGGAGATCCCGGTCTGCCCCTCAGCTGTAGCTTTGTTGCTTCCTGCGGTATTAACCGGTCCGACAGCACCTTTCCTCGCGGACTTGATCTCAGTCGAATGGAATACCCAGGCTTTGCTATACACCAGATCATCACCTATACGTATATCAATGATGCGAATCGCCATTTTCGACGTTAGCCACTGGCATTTTCCGCTCTACATTCCCGTCTTGACCGATCCTGGCATCACACTCGTTGGCATCTGCGATGACAAGGGGTCTGCGGGTCCCGAAATGGCTCGCCGGCTCGACTGCCCGCTACTGTCGCGCGACGAATTGCTCGATCTCGACTTTGATTTCGCGATGATCTTCAGCCGGCACTCCGAGATGGCGGCGACCGCCCACAAGGTCATCGACAAAGGACGGCCCTTCCTGATTGAAAAGCCCTGTGGGCTGAACACAGCCGAGGTTGCTGCGCTGCGTCTAGCAGCGGACAAGGCTGGCCTCTTTGTCGCCGTCCCGTTTATCCTACGTGTGAGCGACTTAGCGCGCGAGCTCAGTCAGAGTGGTACGCTGTCGCCTACTGGCTACCGACATTTGTCGTTTCGCTTCATTGTCGGATCGTCCACTCGATACGAAACAAATGGCTGCAAGTGGATGCTTGCGAAAGCCACGGCTGGCGGTGGATCCGTCCTCAACGTCGGCGTGCACTTTTTCGATCTCCTAGAATCGCTGACCGGAAGTCGAGTCATCTCGGTCACGGCGCAAACGAAGACATTCCGCAAAGATATCGACATTGACGAATTGGCCATGTTTACAGTAACCATGGCGTCTGGCCAGATTGCTCATATCCATACGGGATACCTGTACCCCGGCACGCCCGATGATCAGCGCGAGTTCGGCTTTTCGGTCTCTCACGATGCTGCATATCTCCAGGGATTTGCTGATCAGATCGTTGTCAAGTCCGCCGACGGCGCGCTGCGGCACACGACTGTCGAGTATAACACCGATCAGTTCTATCCCGTCTTTTTCCGCGACGCGCTCGCGCGTTGCCGCGCAGGCCGGCCGCCGCTTGTCGGTCTCGAGGAGGCGCTGCGCGCATTGTCAGTCGTTGAGGCGGGATATCGTTCAGCCGAGCAGGGTGGCGCTCCGATTGCGGTACCGCTGGTTTAGGGGAAGCCGTTCTTCGATGGGCTGGCGAAGTTGAGAATCAAGTTACTACACCAGAACGTCAGGTTGCGCTTGTAGCTAAGAATGTTGTTTGAAGATAGCTTTAGGTGTCGGACAATGTAGCACGATCGTTGTCGCAAAATTGTACTCTGCTTGATCTTCTTGTCAGGGTTCAGTGCTTGTTGTGTTACCTATAGACACGCCCTGACTCCATCTTCATACATCAGAGGAATGCAGAATGGTGGATGCCGCTATATCAGGGGAATGCAAAACGGTACAGGTCGCCTCGAGCGCTTGACGATAGATAGCAACAAGGGTGCCGTATGCTGTAGTCAAAATCCGCGAGCACGGTACCGATGATTGCATACATATACTATATGCATATATACAGAGTAGCAATTTCATGCTCTCACCTCTGTCGTCTCTGTCTAGCCTTCACTCCGCAGCGAAAGTCATCTTCAGGCATGGCCATCAGTCTTGCCGTTCGTCTTGCTCTTTGACTTTCCGGCATTAACCTTTTTCTCCAACTATCGTTCCAGGGCGATAGTATCGCTGCACTCTTGCTCAACATAGTAGCTCGTTACAAAAGAGGCGCAGTCGGGATGTCCGAAAATACTCAATCGAGAAAGCCCCCTCCCCCGCTCAAAGTAGGCGAAATTCGGCATCGGGCCGATTCCGCGGCCCGCTGCGCCGATCATTACTGTCTGGCATTATGACGTGCGTATAGATGGGTGTTTTTCCGCGAAACACCGCCGCTCTGCATCTTGACATTTGGGACGGTATGGGAGACGGATGTTGTACACCGGGGCTGTCCTACATGACTTGAGATACGAAGGGGGGATAGTCTTGAGGGGGGTTTGGGACTACGTATGACCGCGGCGGCCACGTGCATATTGCACCGTCCACGTATGTATGTAATGCAAATGACCCACGGAAGAGGACTGGTCTGCCGACATGGTTCCCGACGTCAGACAGATCCTTCCCCGGTACCAAAGATCATATTCCCAGGCGTTGCAGGTCGAGTGAAGGACCCCAGATTCCCCAGAGCCGGGTCGAGCCACTCCGTATCCTGCGCCACACCAACACCCGACAGGCCGAGCACGCAGCTCAAGTCGAATGGATCATGTCCCGCCCAGAACGTGTCGGCGTCGTAGAGTCCGGCGTCGCCTACACCATCCGCGCTCACCAGCAACATTGACTGCTCGGGCACATAAGGCTGATCTCCTCGTCCGTCCTCAGCCACACCGGCTGTAGTCGTGGAATCGTCAGGACGAATAGCGAGTCCTGCGGCACGCGAAATTCCTCGGATAGTCCGTGCAAAGTAGGCTGACAAGCGCGTTTCCGACATGTCGCCCAGTTCGAGCAGGTCGACCGACATGGTGAGGTAATGGCTGACGACTGCGGGGTCGAGCGAGACTACCTGCTGGACGAAGGGGGATGCCTTTGTCAAGCGGATCAGAAAGACTGCAGCTTGGGCAAAGGCCATGGTCATGTACTATAATAACGCAGTCAGCAAGGAGCCCGTATGATATTCGGACTACGGCAAGGCACGACGACGCCATGAGGGGGCGGTAGACTGAGGAGGAGGGAGATCAGGTGAGCAGGGAAGAGCGCAAACTCACGTCCGTAGCAAAGCTCAGAGCGAGATCGGTCTGACTCGATTCGAAATGTGTTTGGATCGTGCTTGTCGCTGCGTTGAGCGCTTTGCGAAGGTATGTGACGCTGCTCTCGTGACCGTCGCTGCGGGTCGACGAGCGGAGAGCCATGGCATTGATGCTCAGGCGAAGGTGCTCGGCCTGCAGTCGGGCTATACGTGCTGACGCGCCGAGATAAAGCGCATGAGACGATCCTGTAACGTCAGCCTGATACGACGACAGACATCCCGCCATCCTTCGGCTCCCAAGTGCCCAGTCTCCGCACGAAACAACACTCAGAGGAGGGAGAGAGAGACGTACCGGGCCAGACCCAGAGCTTGCACCAGTCGTCTAACCTTCCGTTCAAACTCGACAACATCGACAACAAAGACTGGCCGTCCAGAGACCCAACTGGCTCTTGCTCCTCTACCCACAAGACGAATGATCGAGCGATCTGAGCCAATCGAGCCGTCGCTGCAATATACGCGTCGCCATACAGCGACAAGCCGGCTGGAGTGCCTGGCCGGGGGAGCGGTTGAGATAGGCGGGCTTTGAGGAAAGCTTGATCGTCGATGGACTCGAACTGGGTGGATTGAGGTCGACCGAACCCGAATGAAAGGAAGGAATCGAAGCTACACCGAGTCAGTCATTCACGTGCGTGTCTCGTATCCGATCAGATATCAACAGGACTCAGGAGAGGGATGTACCTGAACCAAGCCAGCCTGTAACAAACGATGTCAGCCGGCGCCCGTCCACGGGATCTTTATGTTCCTTCCCAAAGGGTATAGTCAGGTCAGAGTAGCCACATACCACGTCCTCCATTGTCGCCGCACGGCCGCATCCACCTCATCAACCGGAGCCTCGAGCTGTGAGCCGTCCCTCTTGGTCGCAGCCACAGCCTGCCCAACGGCCCGATGTATCCCCAGCCTCCTAGACACACGCGCCGCATGCCCCGTCAAGACCCACGCGTCGGGCCCTTTTCCACCACTCTGTAATCCCCAAGCCGCAAGCAGCAAGATGGCCTGCACATCTGCCAAGGTATGTCTTTTCCGGAGCAAGGTATGGGCGAGGTGAGATTCGGCTATATCGGCGAGGGCCGCTGGGACAGAAGAGTCGATAATGTGCGATGTGGTCGAGTGACGGAGGTAGAACCGGGCGGAGATTGCCAAGATTGCGGAGAAGAGTGACGGATAGCGCTGGACTGAGGTAAAAGGGTCGGGAAGGGTGATGTCGACAATGGGCAAAAAGGGGTGGCAATGATTCATAAAACTAGGGCCCAAATGTCAGCGGCGTGGTCGCTTATGAAGTCGGGAAGGTGGAGAGAGGGGCGCCGGATCACTGACAATGTGTACAAGGTTCTGGCCGTGTCAAGGTCGATCACACCCGAGGTGACTGGCTCGTCTCGTGCGCCCCATTGTGGTATGGGGGCAGGGTGCACTGGTTGTTCATCAGGGAGAGGCGAGCTCCGCTTTGATCCTTCCCGGTTCTCCCAGACCGATGGCTTGGCCGAGTCAGCGACTACTACCTTTCACACAGGAAAACCCGTCGGACAGACTTACCTGGTATACCAGCGCCTGAAAGGGGGGCTCAAATCCATCCCTGGTGGCCGAAGCCAGCCTCTCCTCGGCCTCCTCCTGGTTATCCTTATGCTTTTCGCGCCCCCCTGCGTCGTATTCTCTTGATGGCGATATTGTCTCGGGTCGGCTGGAATAGGAATGCGGCGAGATCAAGTTGATTTCTGGCGAATTGCCAAACCTCACCTGCCCTAGCCCCTGGGTTGTTGGAGGACCGGACGTGGAGAGCAGAGGAAGTGTAGAAGTATTCGTAAAGGCCGGGAGAGCAGCAGCAGGAGCCGTGACGGGGGCTACCACTGGAGCGGCGAGCGGGGCTAAAGACGGAGCTGCGGGGGGAGCTGCGGGGGGAGCTGCGGGGGGGAGCTGCGGGGGGAAGCTGCGGGCGGAGCAGGCAGAAGATCGGCCCCGCTGGCGCCGGGCTCGTCTCAGTCCAGCCAACAGGTTGACGACGCGGCTTTCCAGGTACTCCAATCTAGCTCCAGCCGCCACCCCATCTCCATCCTCAACCACCTTCCTGTTCGTGTTTGTGCTTGAGTTCGGGGCGGCGGGCGCTTGTCCCGGTTTGCCGAAATCACATTCTTGGTTCGCCTTGACGCATCTTACGCATGGCCGGCCACCAAGACAGCGTAGCTTCTGTTTGCGACATCGAAAGCATGCCTGCATCGCTCTACGCTCTTGTTGATGCTGTTGTTCGTGGTGTTGTGCGGTGCCGACGGTGACATTCGGAGGGTGAGCGATGTTGCCCGCGTTCCCTTTGCCGAAATCGCATTCTTTGTTCGCCTTGACGCATCTTACACATGGCCGGCGACCAAGACAGCGTAGCTTTTGTTTGCGACATCGAAAGCATGCCTGCATCGCTCTACGCTCTTGAGTTCGCGCCCTCTTGCTTCTCGGGGGCTCGCCTCGGTCGTCGTCACCGTCACCACGCACTCGAGCAAGGTCCGACGCGTCATCGCCATCTGCCGGGCAGGGACGCGCGGGTGACAACATGCTGAACAACTCTGTACTGATGTGGACATGTGATTGATGAAAGCCCAGAACTTCCTGCTCAAGCACAAACCCGCGCTCAGGCACCTGCACCTCGTGGACGTGAGGCACTAGGCGGGGAAGGTGGACATCCGGAGGTGTGATATATTAGGTCTGATGACCTAAGTGCCTACCGTCACGTGAGTGTAAGTCAAGTGACGAAGAAGTCGGGTTCCAAACAGTCACTATGAACAATGAGTTGAACACAAGAATACCGATGGTCTTCTTGAGTTCCTATATACTAAGGATACTCGTACTGTTGTTACAGTGATCTGTCTTGCTCAGGCCTAACTGAGACTGAGGTCGAGCACTCAGTTGGATCATATAGTCACGTGATCCGGGGCCCTTCTTGTTACGCAGCCGAGTTGAAGTCGGCCACAGGGCCGATCAGCCGACCTCAACTTCGGATTCATTTGGGGCTCAGTTCGGATCGTAATATGGCGCCACCGAAGTGCTTAAATAGAGGCTACTACCGTTATAGGTAAAACGAGGTTAGATTCCTTAAGCGTGCCCTAGACGTAGGCGACGTCGTAGTTGATAGACGAAGATAATCTGACTTTGCATTAAAAGTGCTTGACTTTATGCTCTGGTTTATACATTAATCTGTGGCGAGGACCATGTGTTACGCATTCGCTAGCTGGTCACTCGGTTAGTGGTTAAACAGTCGGTAAACATACCTTTGTTATCAAGTACAACTCCGATATGTACTGAGAAGGCCGGAATCAGCGTCTCCCGTGCACCACTAGCTAATCCTTAAGTATCGACTCACAATCGTACTGTTGCTTGGCTAAGTTTTACATAGGCTCGGATCCTATTGGCTCTGACCGAAGTCGGCAAAAGCCACGGATGGCGTTGCTACCCCAAGCCGACAAGAATAATCTTGTTGGCACCGACTGCGATAAATATAAGATGGAACACGCGTTGTATCTCGTCGTCCTGAAAACTCCAGCTCCGGAGACACTCACCCACAATCATTCAAGGCGTCTCTTCGACATACAAAGCAATCCAACACCTTAAGGGCCTTCCGAATGACCTCATTGAAGTGAACCGGACGCTTCCTCTAGCGCAGCATACTCTACATCTTGCTTATTCTCAGCCTCAAGGCCTGTCTTTGGATGATTTATCCAAAGAAGCCCTACGGCCTTTGATCAGTGGCTGTGAAGAGAAGGCCAAAATGCTGCAGTAAATCTTTGCGAAAATTGAACAGGGGTTAAACAATGAAAAGAACAAATCCGCGCTCAACTTCTATCGTATATTTCTGCTCCGACTGGTCAAAGCACACCGGGTGGAGACCTTGATGCAAGGTATCCTGAGAGGTCTGAATGCATTAGCTGCCAACCAATTGTTCAAGACAGCAACGCAGAGCCAGATAGTCCAGCTGGAGGAGGTAGTCAAACAGATGTCAAACGTACAGTCATCTGTACGTTTTTGAGGCAGTGTCAAATTCCACCCAGAATATCGCCTCTGGAGCAACAGGGTATCAGTCTATCAATAGCGGCCAAGGCCAAAATATCAACTTTGGTAATGGAAAATTCTTTACTGCGCAGACAATGAAATTTGGTACGGAATAAGATAATTTATTGCAGGATTCATCCCCAATAGACTGACATTTTCCTCTCTGAGGACAATCCAGTGAAAGTTACAATAATTGTCGAAGTGATGTCCTCCACACTCCCCATCCTTTATTTTGAGAAGTGGGAAAGAACAGGAATCCAGATCGGATCCCAGGGACATGTTAGTGGTTCGTAGGCCATGACAGCTTTCGAGAATGACCACAAAGCACATCAATATTTGATTTATCCTTTGGTTCTCTCCCGGGCTCTGTATCATCAGAAAGTCTAACGGATTGTCTGTCAAAATAGCTACTTGATACTATTTCAAAAACTCAAAGCAATGCCTTCAGACTTGCCATCCTGGAAAATTCAAATGATTAATGACATGATATTGATCAAGTCACTGACTGCGGCTGAAATGGCCTACGAGGCGGAATGCAGTGAAAGTGCGATAATTATCATTGGCAAATACCTTTGAGTCTTTGCAGAGGCAGCGGAGAGAAGTGTGGTACACCGAAGTCCGCCAATCTTCATCATCAACATTCTTCCATCGTCGTACAACACTTCGACAAACTCTCTTGCAATTACCTCACCAAAATAGTTCCAGAGTCCTGGCAGAGAATACTGTGGGAACTCCTAGAGAACTACTACTTCAATGACCTAGCAACCGGTCGTATATTCTAGAGCTACACATGGAGAATTAAGCATCCTGCTCATGTGAATGTAGCTGCTCTTCTTGAATTTACACAGTAGCGATTGCTTGACCAATTCTTCGTGCAGTAACCATCGATGATCTTGGGCATATCCATTGGCCTTTTTTTACTTCCGCATGCTAGTGTACATCATATGCTCAGAGCGTCACTTGAAGGAACAATGACCATGAGTATCCTCTGGCCAACAGACATTATTCTCATGATAGCTCTTGAGCACTGTTTGCGGTGGCTTGGGGCTATAGCTGCTAAATACTAGGAACGGAAGGGTCTGCCACTATCCAAAGACAATTAGTCTAGAAGCGCTTCGAGGTATATGAAAACAATTCAAAAACACCACAAACCAAAATGTACTATCAATCACGTTCGGTAATAGTTACAATGGAGGATCTCAAGTAAGTCAAATGTCCTGGTACCCTTAGGCGAATTCGAAGCCAGATGCAAAACCCGTTACTGCCATTCGGTTATCTCGCAAGATTTCGCCTTAGAGAAAAGTCTTGATGCTGTAGTTGGCAGCTACCTCAATGGTGTTCTTAAAATCACTGTAGGCTTGTGCCCGAAGGTCCTGGGAAATTCGCTCGCCGACCTCTTCATGACCGTCCCGAGCTGCAACGTATAATGCTGTCTCTCTACTGTAATCCTGAGCAGCAACATCAAGTCCTTCTTCTTTGAGCAAGAGATCAACAACAGTCAATCTTCTATAGGAAGCTGCCAAGGAAAGGGGAGTGCGTTAGCCTTGGGCACTGGCACCTGTCTGGCCTAATTTCATTTGATCAAAAGTTTCCCGAAGTTCAGCTATCGAACTATCGATCGCCGGCCCGCTTCATTTTCTTCTGGGACATTATTGTGTCGATCGTACCCACTACGGTTCGTGTTGTGGAGTCTGTGCTTTCTCCTCTGAATACTAGCGATCTTATTTCTGACCAGAAGAGATAAAGATCGACAGGTTGGTCATGAATAGAGTGCCTTTCCCACACCGACTTCTTACATTTAAGATCTTAGATCGATCCTTTGACTTTCTGAAAATACACTAGCTATCATCGCTAGCACGGAGATTATTCGGATCTCGTGCTGGCCTCATTTCATTCATCGATAGATGAGACATGGCTCTAACATATAGCAATTTTGAATGAGCACGTATTATGATTGATCTAGATGTGACTGGCAGTTGAATAATATGCTCGAGAGGGTCTCTTGACATACAAAACGTGCTTAGAGCGAGGCTCTCTAGTTGTACAATATTTCCCCTTTTTAACCTTGCATTTTCTTTTTACAGGGGCTGGGTGTGCGTTTTGAACTATTAAAATGCCTAGCCAATCATGATTTTTCAGCAACACACCTCCGGGCCACTAAAACCTCCGTGCATGAACATGTTCAAAGGCTTTATCCGGTTCTTCGCTCTTCCTTTCCGGGCTCTTTTCATACATAATTATCCTCCTAATTGGAAATTAAATGAGATCGATCGATCATCTAATTCATTGTCGTATTGAAGTCCTCAATTTGAGGACCTATTCCCACCCCCTGAACTTTGTTGAGTTCCCGATCAAGATCTATCCACTTATGGAGTGGGGCCCGGGCTCAGCTCAAGATCCACTAAGCCCTGGTATGGAGTCTTTTCGTACAAGCGATCATCTTTACTTCATATGTATGAAATTCATTGGGCCTGGTGGACTCATGGCGCTCCATGTACTCCCTCAATGGAGGTGAATTGTGTCGATCCCTGGCAACCATCTATAAGAAGGAGCCGAAGTCCTGTTCCCGACCCTATTCAATCACCATTACTACAAAATCGTTTAAAATGCAGTTCAAACTCAGCACCATTGTTGGCCTCCTTGCTGTTGCTTCTCCCGCCCTCGCCGTGGATGCAGTCAGCAGGATTGATGGCTTCACCGTCTTAGCCAAGGACGTGCAAACAACCGCAAACTCCATTGAACTCACAAACGCCCTCTCGAAAGCATCTGTTAGTTCACCCACGTACATATCACAATAATTTACGTCATATGCTAACCATGAATCTAAGGATACTATCGATCGCTTTTACTTGCTTCACAACGCTGAAAGAGTAGCAACGAATGATCTCGTCCGGAAGGGAGAAGCCTTGGCTGCCGACCAACAACAGGCCGCTTGTAACTCATTCACCAACGTAAGTTGTTCTGCTCTCTAATAATACCGAAGTCATGTTAACCCCAGAATGTCTAGTACGCTTCCGCTGCCACTGATATGCTGAATACGGTCAAAGAAAAGCAACTCGATGTAGAGCTTGTTGGGAAAAGTTACCAGATGGCTGCGCACCTCCGTGCCTTAAAGCATAACAACGACGTGAGTACAAATACTTCAGAATCAGAGGCTAGATGTTTTGTTTGGCGTACTGACAGTTGTAGGAATTTGCCGACCTCCTTACCGACCTCCTCGCACCCAGCTGTGGAAGTAGCTTGGCCGACACCATCAAAGACCTCGACAAGCTCCTTACTAGCACCAAAAAAGCTTACACCTACGGCTTGCCTTGATTAATTGAGGTTTAATAATATATTACCATAATGCGCATTTGTTTGAAGCCATAACGACATAGAACGAGGGACCTTGGAAGTCGGCAGTCTGATTTCAAAATTAAATATAGTAGTAGTAAAAGATTTGAATAGTGAGACTTCCGCACATCACTCCAAAGGTTGGAATCTTTGGATCATTTTAAAGCAGTACTTTACATGACGGAATGAGGGGGCGGCATTTTCATCTCTGCAAAGGAGGCTAATGCATTTGTCCGCGCCCGGGGGCTTAATATCAATGGCCCAAAGCGCATCAACCCCGCTTCGCTATTGTTATCAGCTACCCCTATGATTACTTTGCCCATGCTAAACGTCAAATATGGGGTTGACAATATGCGGAATAAATCACTCTCGGCATGTTGTTAATCTCTAAGCCGTCAATGATGTATCTCAAGAATCTGCGACCCAAGATTTTGCCAGGTAAATGGAATCAATAGCGAATTAGCTTTTGGCGGTTATTCCATTTCGAGTTTGTCAATAACGCACGTACGCTCGACAAGAACGACCTTGTTAACAAGTCTAACACACTACAGTACTGTACACGCCGTTGCGTGACCTCGGGTCGGGAACCCGAGGGTGGCTATTCTGGCCCACATACGGTCATCGGAATTTGAAATCTCGGCTTTGCAGTACATCTCATGGATTGCGATAATATATAAACGGCTTGCGCCTCGGCAGTATTATAATCAAGAAATCGCCGAATAGGCCATTCGGCTGCCGGTAGTGGCGTCCGCGTAACTCTCAACTATAAAGATGCTTACAAACATCAAGACATTAATCCAGATCAAACAAGAGATTTCTCGTTCTATTCCGCATCTCCTTTCGTGTACTTTTGTTCTCCAAACATGCCTGAGTTGGTAAGTTGTGTTTCCGCTTCTACCTGGGATGCGACCGGTCCACAGCCCCTAGGAGGTCAAGAATGAGGATGGTACCACCACTATCATGACCCAATGGACCCGCAATATCTGGCGTTCTGGAAACGACACCGAAGAGCCGACTGTCAGCATCCCACTTAGCTGGATATCTATTATCGGCCCTACTGACTTCGCCGATGCTGTGCACGGAATAAATTTTAAGGAGGTTTGGCTCTACTGGGATACAGCTCTGCTCATGAAGCATCTTCCCCTGGAGGCTGTCGTTTCCCAAACGCAGAATGTCCTACCTAAGGCATGATGACTACTAGTCAGTAGATCGGGTGGCTCAAGGACCGGGCCTGGTTAGCTAACGCCTTGCGAAGGCACAAAGTACTCTTCTATAGGTGATTGTGAATCTCACGTGCTGGGATCATCTACCCTATCTGGTGGGATGAAAGGAGTGGGTCTCTGATGAAGGACACCCGGTGCGGGAGGAGGTCAAAGGAGAAGGCATCGCAGTTGTCTATATGTGTAGCAGTAGCTAGGTGTTGTCTCGGACTCCGAATGTATATATTGGACATACGCAGGCAATGGCGATGGCCTGACCGAAGACAGCCACAGAGTGTGGAATACTTAACTAACATACTCATTGCTCCTGAAGTCTCACCGCAAGGAATGACAGGCCATCTCGGAATAGGGCCTTGCTCGATGGAATTGCGAAAGCAGTTGAGTGTTTTCATCTATGTTTCTATCCAAAAAAAAAAAAAGAAAAGAAAAAAAGTAAAAAAAAAAACAAAGACCGGCATATTCCATAGCCGAGTCTTTCAAAGCAAAGATTGATGTTTGGAAGGAATCACGATCTCATTAAATGGGTGCGAGGGCCTTTTAACGCAAAGTATACGACAGGAAAGACTATTTTCAAGTCGAATCCATCCCTGGAAATGTAGTACAGCATACCTGGGTCAGAGACGTGGAATCGAGATGTCGGGGTTGGAAACAGTCTAACAGATAGTGGCGACGGTGAATCTTAAGTTTCTGTGCTCGAGTCCATATCAGTTCAGGCATGCCCTGAACGAACGAAGTGAGAGAAAGGGATTCTCCGCCCGCGGTGATACCCCTGTTCTGAAAACTTTTATTTTTTGGCTGTTGTTAGCCAAATTATGGCTTCTCATTCGCTACGTCGATCCACTGCCTTTCTCTGATTCGCTACCTTTTCATTCCCCGCCATCTTCTGATTGCTGTTCGAGCAATGTCCAGTTCAGTTAAGTGTTGGTGGGTTTTATCCTTAATTATTGGGCCATTCTACTATAACCCTAACAGCTGACTCTCTAACCCTAGTATCTGTGCCTTATGCTTCCTTTTTATTCGTTCTATACTCATACCCATTGTGTACATAGTTCTGCTACGTACTCCTTTAAGAGCTTTATCTGGTTGGTTAATTAACTCTGATGTGTTTAGATATACTGCTTCTTTTTACCTATACTATTTTGTTTAGGGATTTACTGCTTCTACCTATTAAAGCCTTCAGGGCTATTTAAAACCTTCTATTACATACTTTGTATTCTTGATATGCCTGCTATATATATAGATATAACGGAGATATATTAACATATTCTTATTTGATATTGATATATTCTTTTCTAGGATTTAACCCAGCTATACCTTTCGACTACTTCTGTTCTGGAATTCTTTCTCCTTGATATCTTAACCTTCCCCATTAGATTACCGCTATGGTTCTGTACAGCCTGATTCCCTACATCTTAGATGCCTTCCACCTATCCTGTCAGCCTTACATCTATGTCCTTTCCCTCCTCCCTGGTATAATTTACTAAATCGTCACAATAATGTTTTTGGCTTTTGCCCGCCCCCGGTGCTACTATCTTAATTGGCCCCACCCTATCCTCACTTCCCTCCCCCCTCCTATTTTACCCCGTCAACTGTCTATTCTACGTTGGTTGAACCTGGCTTCCCGCAGGCGATACTGTCGCCAAATCCCCTACCTAGACTTACCTCCGGCGTCTGCGCCGGCCCTTGCAGGTAGATTCAAGTTGTTTCATTACGTTCTTGTCTTCTTGCTCCAAGACTGATCCTGGATATGACTACAAGACCCTATATCCCTACAGTCTTGGCAGCTGGTGATCGAGTTATTCCTGATTTAATTACCGTTGCCATAGATCTATTGGTTCAGAATAAGGTATCTCTAGCTCTACAGTTCTAGTATATGCCAAGGGCATTAACTGATGGATTCTTAGGAATAAATTCCTATAGTCACCGATTAATTCCCTACTTATATAGCTTACTCTAATCTGCCGCCCTGATAAAGAGGTCAGGCTTGTCTCAAACGCTTATGTAACCTATGCCGATCTTCCCAATAGAACGTTCCATCGCAGTGAAAGGCGTACAAGCATTACTAGTCCCGAAACCGGTGCCACCACTTTCACTCTTAAACTGTTTTTCGAATGCGTTTAAGTAAGCACACTAGTTTGTATTAGGAAAAACCTCGGATTATTGATCTTTCTGTACATTTCAAGTTACAACATCATACATATAATACTTCGAGTAGAATACTTCAGTCTCTGGATGAAGCAACGGAGAGCGGCCGCTTCGGCGCTTCCTATGTGATTAGTCATGACTCGGTTTGGATATGACAGGTAAAGCGAATAGAGAGGACACGAATTACAGTACCAAAAAGATGAGTCATTTATATTGACCAATGGCTACAGTACGGCCCAACATGTACTAGTATCATTGGGGAATGACTAAAAGTACACAATCTCGTTTCGAGCTAGGTTTGGGAATAAATATCGAGTACTGTAGGGTTAAATCTGATTTCACACTAATGTAGACCAGCAGTAGAAATCAGTTATACCTCAACGCTCTTCCACCTTCATTCCCGAAGGATAAATTACGCGCTGATCTATTTTATTTCTCATCTAGGGGAAATTTCGGCAAAACCGCCTTTAGATAACCGATGAGTCATCGTCATCATCCGCTAAATATGTATTGCACCAAAGGGACGATATATCAATTCAGACCAGCTGCGATTCTATTTTGTTGTTCTGTACACCAAATAGCTCTAAACCGACTATTGTTTCCCCGTTCGACCGACGCTACTAGTTGCCTATAGTAGTATCTGTCCTCTTTGACACAAAATATTTGCAACATTGTCAGTCTACGCACTTGCTCTACTACTAAGTCGTCATTTTGGGTTCGACACAGCCTACGACCTCCAACTGCCCTTGACGAAATGCATGGCCACGTTGGCTTCCCTGTCCATAGAGCCTACGCCAAACTACCACCTCAGACAACGTTCACCGGCCGTTATGTGCTTGTCGAACCACTTGATGCGAAGTATATCGACGATCTTTACGCCAGCTTAGGACAACCAGAACACTATGGCCTCTGGACCTACCTTCCCGCCGGGCCTTTTCAAGATAAGAAATCTTTCACTGAGTTTATCGGAAGCTTAACTCAAGACTAAGGCTCAGTATTCTACGCAGTAGTAGACAGGGCCCAGCGGAAAGCAGTAGGATTCTTCAGTCTTATGCGTATTGACTTGGAGAACCGTGTGGTGGAGATTGGATATATTGTGTTCTCCCCCTTCTCCAGCGCACAACAGCCGCGACAGAGACTTTCTACCTGACGGCACGTGCTGTATTCGAAGATCTACATTTCCGTCGTCTTGAGTGGAAATGTAATGACCTTAATAACCTCTCCAAGCGGGCTGCGGCTCGTTTTGGGTTCACGGCTGAAGGTGTCTTCCGCCAGCATATGGTTGTGAAAGGTAGCAACCGTGATACGGCTTGGTTCTCAATGATTGACTCGGAATGGCCTGCTTTACAAGATGCTTTTGCGAAGTGGCTTGACCCACTCAATTTCGATGGTAATGGAATCCAGCGTTGCTCGCTTGGCTCTTTCCGCCGAACTTGATTACTGTACAAAATGCAGTTCAAAACTACTTCGCTTCTCTGATCAAATCGTTATACTGCAATTTTTTCATCTTTTTGTTGCGAAAGCAGGTGGTTACTGTACCGAAGAAAATAATTCTAAGAATATTTATAAATTACTAGTTAGCCTCAGAAGTTTCAGATGTCACATTGTACAGTACTAGTTACGAAAGGCCTTAGCAAGGCTCCAAGTTCGTTCCAGGAAATGGCACACTGTACATGTACGTTTATAAATATACATGGTTACTGGCCTGTATATCGCTGTTAATGCGCCTACCGCCCACCAAACTAGGCACACCACCCTTTCTTCTACGTGCTGACAGAGGTTTTAGTGTGGCAGAAGCTCCCAATTTTTCCGCCGGTTGTTTCAAACTTTTGCAACACCACTGTAGGTATAGTGTGTAAGAAACAATACAGACCCGAGTGCCAAGGATACGCGGAAAATTCCCAATAAGGACTAGCTAAGCTTAATAAGTTAAACTCGAAAAACAGTGTAAGAGTGAAAGTGGTGGCACCGGTTTCGGGACGCACTGTACTCGAAAAAGGCGTTCTTAAAGACCAAGAAAACCTTCGTATGCCCTGAAATACTTGCAAATCCAAATAAAAATGAGGCCAATGAATTGAAAACTTGTTTCACGTTTTTGCGTGTTGCGGCTATTAGTCACCTGGAAGGCTTTCTCTCATTGGCCCAACTGGATTCAAATGCATTTCTGCTTTAAACGAAACCCTGCAAATCTGTATTACAGATTGAATCCCGACTTCCTTTCTCTTTCGTTTCAGGGCCGATGCATGCGACGCGCGCGTCTTCCAGTACAATAGCCAAGGTATGATGTGGTCACGATGACTTTTTTGCCGTTTCCAGCCTAGCGTCCCCATATTTGGTAAGTTGGCCCCACCCGGAGTTTCTAGTCGCTGTAGCCGTACTTTAGCGCACCTGAGGCGGCGGGGCGATATCTCTCAGCCCCGAAGTAGGACCCGCAACGGATTACACAGGTCATATGCATTTCTCATTTCTACGGGTTCCATTTCGAAATACCACAGTACACGGAACTAGGCTCTCGCTGAACCAGGACCATGGTGTATGTCGGGACTCAGGTCTCTTGGCCCCAGAGCGAAGCGAGACACGCCGTCGACGATCGTAACGCAAAAGCCGAGGCCGAGGCCGAGGCCAGCAAGCAGCGCAGGAAAGTCCAGAATCGGAAGAATCAACGAGCACGTCGTGAGTCTGCCCCTCGCTCGGATAACGCATTTCATACTCAAAACCCCCGTACAGGATTACGACTCAAGGGCGGAGACGCGGGCAATCGTAAAGAGTCGCGCCCATTCCTAGTCAAGCGCTGGCACCTCGACGAGCCCGACCCCATTCCCTCTCAAGAAATCTCGCCAGCATCAGAGCGCGCAACAACCACGGCTTTCTCCCATGGCCCGCCTTATACGGACGCGGGGATATCGGCCTCCACAGCCAAACGTACAGTCGTGCTTCGTGAATCACTATTCACGACCACCCACATCCAGCCCCTCGTAAACTTGGACATCCAGCCTTTTACTTTTCCCTTCTCCTCGGACCACCTCCTCCATCTCATTCACTATAATGTCTGTCGCGCCTTGATCACGAATATGCGTACCCTCAACACCCTACCCGCCGACTCGACCATCTGCACCATTGCCTCGCCTTGCCGTGACGACACGACCCTTTACCCCCTCAGGTCCGATATCCCTTCCTCCCTCATCCCGACCGCCTTCCAGCAAACTCACGATCATTCTACCTGGATCAACGTCATTCCCTTCCCCCGCGTCCGCGAGAACTTAATCCGATACGAAGGCAGCTTCGACCCCTGGGAGATACTGCAGGACCTCGTCGGTGACCTATTGAAGTCGACGCCAGACCCGCGACAGCGAGACGCACCTACTTCTGTGAAAGTTTCCAGGACTCCACAGCCCCTGACCTTTTTATCCGGAACTGATACGGATGAAGTGACCGCCGGACGTAAGGGCCTCATTGTCTGGGGCGAGCCGCACGAGATGAGGAGTTGGGAAGCCACACCCGGTTTTCTCGCGAAATGGGCATGGGTTGCGGAGGGCTGTGATGAGTTGATGGAAATCAGCAACCACTGGAGGATGAAAAGGGGGGGAGGAACCTATGCGGCTCGGGATGTTGAGGAGCTATCCGCCACCACCGCTTCCGCATGCAGCGTCAAGTGGAGGTTAAAGAGGCACTATCGACGTTTACATGTGTTTTCTGTGGCTTGCCAATCCAACCTCAGTCTTGTAAAAAGCATATTAGGTATGCTGTAAGGATGTTGCTCCAAAAGTAAGAAGACTTATGATTCAAACTCAAAGGGGACGCGGAGATGTGGCAGGAACTATGACCTATACGAAAATTATCGACTCGACTGCAGCCTATATACTCATGTTTGCCATTTCCACTGTGTTTCGCTAATGATTGATTGATCCCGACTGGGTAAGTCTGGCAAACCGCCGAAGTGCGGAGGGCGACCCAGAATCCCATTTGGCTAATCCAAATTCAAGAGGCTGCCGAGCCAGTTGAGCATTACTCAAAAGCGTGGGAGACTATCAAGAGCTTTAGGCTGTTCCTCTGGCAACGATAGGGGTTTCACAAGCCCTGGAAGAGTTTAATGAGAGGAACTACCGGATCCTAATGGATATACGTCGAGCCTGTGACTGGCTTTGCGCTCTCTTTATCCATCAAGAATAGAAATAATGCACTCGGGCCGATAACACGTTAAGGGAGAGACATTATGGAAATTAATAGAATTCAATGGCAGTGCATACGAAAACCTGTCAAGGCACAAAGTTGGGATGGCTCAACAGTGGGAGATGGAATAGCGCCGATCGAAAGTTATCAAATGTGCGATTCATTCTTGCTATCCTCGCCGATCTAGCCTGGCATCTTCTGAACCTTGGTAACAGTAGCCGGCAGAAAGCGGTCCGGTAGAAATAGTGATATGGCACTGGAACCTCATCATTGCTCTCATTTCTGCCTCACATCGCCCTACTCATCATCCGTCAGCCCCACCATCTTCAGGGAGTCTTTCCAGAGCCGAGCCTCTTTCTCAGCGTCATACGCATGACCTGCGAACCCTACACCGGCAATATCATGATTGTCGTTACCCCGTGTGGTTTTTCCGCACTCAGCAAGATATTCTCCGCCTTTCTTCTCCCATTCTTGGCCGATCGCTGCCCACACAGTCGTTGCAGCCCCCTGCTCTGGCGACTTCATCACTTTATACATCTCTTCATTGTTCTTGAACGCCTCCACCATTGCGGGATCCATATGCTGCATCAGCGCCGTTGCAATCATGCCGGGATGAACGCTAGTAGCGTGGAGTCCTCGCAAGCCGTAGCGCCGCTCGATCTCGTTAGCCATATAGATATTGGCGGTCTTTGATTGTCCATATGAAGCCCAGTCATTGTATTCAGTCTTCTCAAATTTGTAGTCACCGGATTCATTGATCGAGGCCACATGGTGGGCAGAAGAAGAGACGTTGACGACTCGAGACGAGAATTCAGAGCTGGCGCTGGCAAGTAGAGCTGGCTTCAGGAGCTCAAAGAGTAGGAAATGGGCGAGGTGATTGACTCCAAATTGCATTTCAAAGCTGTCTCGCGTGTACTCCAACTTAGGCAGGGCCATAATGCCGGCGTTGTTGACTAGGATGTTGACTTGACCGTTCGACTTCTGGAGAATGGTTTTCGCGGCAGCATGCACGCTGCTCAAGGAAGTGTTGTCCATTTCAACGAGTTCGACGCGCTCTGGTTCGAGGATTCCGCCCAGAGCAGACTTGGCTTTGTTTAGGTCTCGTGCCATCAACAGCAACCTTGCTCCAGTCAAAGACAGAGCGCGAGCTGTCTCGATTCCTATTCCAGATGAAGTGCCTGTAACGACAATCACCTTTCCAGATAGCTCGCCCTCTACTGCTTCATCCTTGATGATCTGACGAGCGGTTGGACGAGCATCGCCAGGGCCAGCAGGATTCGAATGAGCTTCTGCGTACCGGGACATTGTAGGTGATAGAGAACTTGGGCAGGCTGGATCCGGGTAATGGTTTGAATGGAATCGATGGGCTTTGATGAGATAGGCATTCAGATTTTTGGGGTATCGATCAACTATTTATTCTTCTCCGCCTCCGGACTTCCAGCCCGCGTTCACATAATTTTGATTTGCGTTTCAAAGCACTCGGATTTAACCTGTAAAGTCCAGGACGCTGTAGGCGAGAATGATGCTCAGAACATGTTTGTATTTCAAAGCATCGGACTTCTGAAGCTCATCTCGGAGAGACCTAATTTTCTTCGCCTTTCCATACTTCAGACCCACGACCTCGTGTGATGACTTTTTTGCCGTATCCGGCCTAGCCTTCCGAGCCAAAACCACAGTCCCGCCTTCCAGGGTTGTAGATGCCACCTGCATAGGCTCGATGACACTTTCTCCTCTTTCGGCCTAGCTCGCGAGACTAGTTAAGCCTTCAAACTTAATAAAGGGCACGGATAACGTAATTCCCGGCCGGTCTGCGCATACCGCCTGCTACTACATTTTTGAACTAGAATTTTACCACCAAAACGCCATTATATTCAAAAGTCTATCTATTGGGACACCAGGTTGTTGAATGGCCTATTCTCTGACAGCCGCTGCACCTTGCCTGCCGTTATCTGGTTGGTGGAGGTGGTTAATAGGTGGTTCAATAGGCCCAGGCGGAGGTTGCTCAATAGGTTTAATTGGCTTAATTGGCTGTTTAATAAGCTGTGAGGCCTCTTCAACAGTTAACCCTCCTTCCTGTGGTATTTGTTGATGTTATTGTGTACGCTTTTGTCATTTCTTCTTATTTGCAGCACGTAAATCAGTATTTTCCTTTGCTAGGAGCGCAGCGTTATGCATTGAGAGATAGTAGCCTTTAATAACTTAATGAAGTGTAATCTTAGGTGGAGTTGGGGGACTTTTTGAACGTTGTTTAAGTAAGACCTTGAGTAAAGAAGCTTGCTTTTAAAGCTGGAGAACTGTTCTTGGTGTTTTGGTGAAAAAGATACTTGATCTGCTCCTTGGCTGGTTTGCTGGGGGCGTAGGTGTTTTAGTGATATATTTAGCTTTGGGAGTATATAATCTTGATTGATTAGTACTAGATCTGCTGCTGTAAAGCTATTTTAAATAGTCTTTGGCTTAAAAGCCTCTGTATATACTTAAGGATACACTGCTAGAAAATCTAGCTTATTAATATAGTTGTATTCTGTATATGCTTAATTCTTAACTAAATGTTTATATAAGTATTAAAGAACAGTAAAACAGCTAATATTAAGTAGCTAAAGAAGGGTTTAGGGTTTTTCTAGATTATACGTCGCTATGGTTCAGGGAAGACAACTACGATGCCGCGGTATGAGGATCTGGGTTGCGGTAAGATAAGTATAATAGTATACAAAGCAGTATAGTCAAATTTTTAGTATAAATCTGATTGAATTAAGGTATAAGATGGCTATTACGGCCATTAAGAATAAGAAGATTAAACTAGACAAGAAAAAAGACCATTCACGCTAATGTAGACTACTCTGGATTTTAGTCTCCATCGGCTCATCGTCTATCGGCCCCCGCATTGACCACCACGTTTAGGGTTGTTGACGATATTGCCGATATACAGATATTGACTACAAAATCGGCTGGTTTTGAATTTGTCAATGCCGATTGCTGGTATGATATCGGCGGGCTTCAAATTTGACGATATCACCACTCACGGTATCGTCATATCGTATCGGCATTGGCACAATTTTCCTTTAGCATCATCTAAAGAGTGAACGCAGTTTTATTTGGCAATTTAAGAATGCAGAACCGGAATACTGATTTAACCAACCCGGCCCTTGGCAGTTACTACTTATACCTATCGCGATTTAACATCAGCATTCCTATGGTATCCCCCTTCAAACAATATCTCCGAATGCTTAGCACATCCTTCGCTATACTAAAGACTCTCTCAACAGTAACTTCAGAAGCAGGAATTGCTAGATAATCCGTGGCTGCTGCTGCCATCCGCGGATACTCGCCCTTCTGAATCTTCCACCAATTACAGAGCTAGTTTGGCTGGCAGTGTCTGCGACGCTGAAGGGGTGTCGAAGTACTTATCAATATCTAAGAGTGGTGGATCTCGTGCCTGCAACTTCTTCAGTATTCTAGATTCTACGTCGCTATGGTTCAGGGAAGACAACTACGATGCAGCGGTATAAGGATCTGGGTTGCTACCCGCGTATACCTGATGGAGGTTGGTGCGGATCGTTTCCAGAATCATTGCCCCTGTATTGTTATCTTGAAGTTCCCGTAAAATCGTTTTACCTTTGACCCAGGGATCCAGGACGAGGGCATTGTAGTAGGTGTCGTAGTCGTCTATAATAGAATAGTACTTTTCGTATTTCTTTATCCTTTCTTTCACTGCAGCTATAATATCTCAATTAAGTTTTACAAAGTTACTATTGCCCTTCCTTATATTATTAAGTAATTTATATAGCCCATAGTAAATCAGGGCCGCAAGACTGATTTAGATATTATATTTTAAAACATATAAAGTAAGCTTATTAAACTTATAAAATACTGTATAAATCTGTTCTAGTTGTGGCTAATCTTTGATAGTAAACGGCAGGAGTTCTTCCTAAAGGCTTAGGAACTTATTAACTTATTGCCTTAACTTTAAACCGTTATTGACCATATAAGATATTAAGTTCTATTGTATTATAATATTATACTTAACAAATTTAGCCAGGAGATTGTTAAGTCTGTATATCTCCTTCTACTTCTGTCAGTACTAAGGGCTTTAGTTAATCTAAAGAGTAAAGATCTATAATCTCTCTATAGCTGAGTAATTAGTAGCTAAGTTACTAGTCTGTAAACAGTTAGAGAGGCTTATACTTATTTTAGAGTCTCTGACCCTAGGGTACAGGGAATATCTATTATGATTAGGTTAAGGATATAAGCCAGATAGCAGAGATAGCTATTAAGCCCTTGATAGAGTAGTGCTAGTATTATATCTTCTACCCTAGGTTAGTCAGAAAAAAAGAAAAATAACTTTAAGGCTATAGCTTTATTGTTACTAGTATTATCACCCGTAATAGAAATAAGCTTATCCTTAAGACTTAACTCGATAAGTAACTTTTCTACTATAATTGCCAGATTTTCACCGTTATGAATACCCTAGGTATTGGCGAACTTGACTAATCTCTTATAGTACTCTAAATTCTTTAGACAACCAATAACTAATTATCCCCAGAATAAAAAAATAATTTTAGCTTGTCAAGATATCCAGTGACAAGGTAATAGTTTTGTAAATTAAAGCCAGCTTATTCTTCAAGTATGTATACTGTATAGCGAACTTTTGCAAGATTTAATCGCATAAGGTGTGGCAAGACGTGAAAGGAGCCTCAATTCTAGGGATGTCTCGGAATATTTGCTGAAACTCTGGAGACTTGATAGTGGTGAAGACTTTTATATCAGTCATGATCCAGCGAATGGCATTCCTTTCCAAGACCTCTTAATAGGTGAGACTCTGTTTACCACCTAGAAAACTCTGCTGGGAATCTGATGTATGCCAGTCATAGTGTATTCCCGTTTTATCATCTACATATATACAGCAAATTTCTCAGTTTATCAGCCTCCTCTTGTTGGTCCTTTTGATAAACCAAGGACAATGAACGGCTGTGGTCATGAAATAATCCCAGATCCACTCAGTAGCAGGCGCCGGCCGTTTAGAGCATCGGGAGGAGATGTGGCTTGTGATGATTGAAGTACCAGCATCGGTTGCGCTCTCTTAGAATACTAGCACTTCTGACACAGACTCGGAAGGTAGGAGCTCATAATCTGCTATGTTGGCGAGGACCTCACGTCTTCTTGAAAGGCTGGGAGAGTACGTCTGAGGCTGCTCGGCAGCTCGCTTGGTTCGCTTGATTGATCGGTTCGATCGTCGGGCAAAGATTCTCCATCGCGCTCGTCATTCAGAACTCGATAGTTGAGGCATTTCTGCCGGATACGCATTCTTGTGGGATACACCGGGGTACTAACCCAGTACGAATGAATACAACTTGCTAACCATACTTCACTGTCGATATTGACCCAGTGGTTCAGTAGAACCAGGGCTGAAGAGTCAATATGGACTTGGTCAACTTCTGGAAAAGTAGGTCACTGTCAACAAAGAATAGGTCGGGGCATGCGTCCCAGCCTTTGAGACACGTCGCTAAACAGCGTTGAACCAAAAAATTGGGGTTGGACCCTTATGACGATATATCGCCGACGATAATATCATTTGCCGATATCGTAACGTTAACAGCTCTCCGTCCACGTTGTCCTCCATTGGGGTAGCAATCGTTCCATGACTGGATATTCTACGTTATGTTACCCGAAAGAGAACGTACACTGTTGAAGCTCATAGAGTGATAACAGGCTATAAAGTGCATTGCACGAATCATATCCATGATGAAAGGCATCTACAAACAAAGATGAATTGCGTAAAACATAAAGCTTTCTTGACAAATACTTGTTTTGTATCGATTCTTTGGATCAGGCCTAATTCTTGGAAAACCGCAGGACTCAAATACATAATAATTACGGTAGGACGATTTGGATAATAATACTAATGAATATTGGAGGCTGATTGCGGGATTACCTTCTTTTTCCCCTCATAACACCAGAATGGGTTATAAACTTGTCAACCGAGAATTTATGTTCACTACATGAGAAGGCATATCACAATGTACTCAACTTGGGGCCCTCCTTTGCGGCCGGATTAGAGTACTTGGTTTGCAAAAAAACCTTCTGCATTCCTTGTTCGCGCCGATCAAAGACATCGTAAACCTCTTCGATATGTTCAAGACGAAGTCGGTGGGATACCATATTGAGTGGGTTGATTTCACCTTTCTGAATAAGACTCATCAATTCTTTCCAGTATCGGTGCACAGGAGCTTGCCCGTTACCGATTAATCGAACGCCAGTCTCCATAAGTGCCCCAATGTTGAAATGATTGGTCTGTTTCGTGTAAGAAGGAGTTGGAGCTTCCTTGGCCCTTCGCGAAGAATTACTCACATATCCTGCATAAATACCTGTGACTCCAACCCGGCCGAATGGACGAACAGAGGTAATCATCTCGTTTAGTAATTCAGAAGTATCTGTCTCCATTCCAAGCATTTGTTCGAAGTAATGTGCCCAACCTTTAGCATATTCCCCTGCAGCACATTCCAGAGCTATATCAAGCCCCCCCTGGAACCAGTTCTTTCACACGCGACGTCAAAGACTTTCCACGAGCCAGATCAGTGAAACTAAGCGTCTCAAGCTTCGGCAATTTTGTTTTCACATAATCTAAGCGCCATGCAGCTTCGCCGCCATCAATCAAGATAACACGACTGGCTCCGTGAAAGAAAGAGAATTCGGCACACATCTGCCCAATAGGGCCAGCACCCCAGATTCCAACAACATCACCTTCCTTGACACCCGTGTCAACCACGCAATGCCATGATGTGGCGACCACGTCTGATAAATAAAGTGCTTTCTCATCAGGAACATCGGCTGGTATGGGCAAAAGGTTAACATTGCCGTATGGTACCCGGATATACTCGGCTTGTCCACCGGCAAAGCCTCCTGTAAAATGCGAATACCCGAACATACCTATACCTTTCGTTAAATCTCATTCAAGACTCCAGAAAATTCCAATCAATTGAGTACTCACTAGCTGTTCGCTTTCCGTACATTGCGTTCTCAATCGTATTGCTATTTGTTCTATCACATTGAGAGTATCGCTCATTTCGACAGTTGTCACAGTCGCCACAGGCAATTGGGAATGATACAACGACGCGTTGGCCGACTTCAACACGGTCGGCTTCTGGTCCAACCCTTTCTACTACCCCACAGCACTCGTGCCCCAGAACGTCGCCTTTCTTTAGTTGGGGAATGACCCCTGCGTTTTGTTAGAGGTCTCGACAAAACATAGAAATTATAGCTCGTTGATTCACCGTGATAAAGATGTAAATCGCTGCCACAAATAGTGCTTCCGGTCACTTTAACGATCACATCACCAGGGTCGATAACGGATGGCTTTGGCATTTCCACTATACACTAGTGAGTACCGTTATAGTCTAAACAAAAGAGATTTGTTAAATTACCTAGCTTTACTCTGTTTTTGCCTTGCCAGGTTGTGGCCAATATTCCCCCCTCGGTCTCCATGCCATAGTCATTGTCATAGTTGCTAACATCGGTAGTGATTGAGGCATTATCACTGTGACCAATGATTTTTTCCACAGCGTTTGCTGCTTGCGTGAAGGCCATTTTAGTGATTTTTGAGGGTGTGATTGATAGAAGATCCGTTTCTTTCACACTGACAATATCATTCAAGATAGCACATTCCACAGAAAACGGCAGTTTGCCGCATTTTTAAAGGAGCCTTTTTGTTATAGTATATGGAACTTGATGTTTTCCTGTTTTCCTGTTGCGTCGGGTGGATCTTGCTTTTCAACTTCCATGGTGTATGACATCACCATGATCGTCCCGATCAACAGCGCAACTTCTTCGATTTCTGAATACCCTTTTAAGTTGTTCGCCACTAAGGATACTGATGTCAACGCGAGCTCCTTTCTTTATCTATTTAGTATGTTTGTCGAGAAAAGACTTGAAGTCTTTGAATCTCGCAGTCAGTATTTCTGTGTAGTCTTACCATACACTGTGCTCCGCTGTGACTTCCCGGAAGATAGGGGTCCAGAAAGCTTTGTCTGCACCTTCGCCCGCACAGATGCCTTTCGTGATCATTACGTCCAGATCGGCGGCGCATTATCCCTGTATTCAAACAATGAGCCTATTTTACCACCAATGAGCAAAGCGGACAAAGGGAATGTTACGGTCAACCTGACACTATGTAGTACAACCAGGAATTGCTACGTCTGTCTCCGCACGCGTAAATAACGTCACAGAATGTCATCCGGCTGCTGGTAGCAATTATAAAGAATTAGGTATCGTGGCTATAATTCTTAAACGCGATGGCTTTTGCATTTTGGCTTGCTTGAGCGAATGGAAATGGAGACACAATGATGTAATACTAAAACTAGATCGAAGTATATTTGGGGCCTTCGGGCTTTCTGTACACTTAAACTGCTATTATTACCTCCATAATTCATAGATCTTCAAAGTTTGAAAATTTACTAATATACGAAAGATACCTTACATTGTATCACCATAAGTTTCCTTTATTCACATGTCTCTCCGGCTTTGGCCCGGAAATCTTAGACCGCTGCCCCTAGATATCAACGATAGCTCCCTATTCAAAAACGGTGTACTACTTATAGATAGATTAGCAAGGAATTCCTTGTTGGTGAGTTTTGAATATTAATTATAAAACATTAATTTGACTTTCAGTAGTCAACTTATCATTGCCACTTTAATGATAGGTTACCGGGCGCTCTTGCTATACTATTCCTTTTGGGTTCTATAAGTCTAAGGGGGACAGAGCTAACTAATCTAGCATAAAGCATATTGGATCCTATTATGGGGCCAACAAGGAATATGTGAAAGGTGTGGAAGGAAACCAAGATGTAGACAAAATGACTTAAGTTCAACGTTATGACATAAGAAACTCTGAGCCCTCGACCAGGTGAGTAGCCAAACTTATTGCAGGCGATCTGATCGCTAATTCCCGTTAGCCTCGTACGGTAGGCGAAAAAGGCTTCTATGGAGGTAATTCTTCTAAGCAGGAAAGTCTTTCCAATGCGGACACTATGAATCTATACATTGATGAGCCTGGCAAGAACCGAAGAGCAAAGGTGAAACGAAGACTACAAATATCAAGGGTACGTTTAGCTCTGATCGTACGCAGGTATAACTGATACCTGTCGCTACCTATTATCAGATGGTAGTGCAATCCATTTGTGTTGTAGATACTATCATAAATATCATCACAAACCCTGAAACTGGCTATGCTTTCCTCTTTAAAAAAAAATCATGTTTTCAGCATCGTAGATATATAAGAAATCAGACTCAATCTTATTTTTCTAAACGAATAGGGTTAATTAACAATCCCTCCAAATATTCTTCCTGATTTATTGACGCCCTGTTTCTCATAGCTTAAGTCCACTTCATCAACTAGTCAGCGACATAGATAGCGCTTTATTGCATATGCCTGCAACCCTGAATCAAAATTAGGCCGGTGAATTGTAAACTTGCTTCGAGTATTTACTTGGCTGCTATAATAGAAGGCTTCTATCATTGGCCCAGTTGGATTAAACCGCATTTCCTTACATAGGAAACCCTGCAAAGCTGCTTTTCGGATTTAATTCCTACTCCCTCTCTCTTTCGTTTCAGGGCCGTGCGACGCGCGCCTCTTCCAGTACTATACATCGTCTTTGGGGAATGAAGGCAGCCAAATTTGGTTAGCGTGGTAGAATCGGCAGATGGCTTTGATGTGATATAGTTACATAAACATTTGCTTACATCATCCGTAGGCAATCTTTGGTTAGTTAATTGTGGCCACTTTGCTCAACTTGCTTGTCCACCTATGTCACGATGAGCCGGATCGAAGCGCGCGCCATGGTATTGCTTTTTTTCTGTAACTTGTTGTTGCGTACCATTTCCTTGGACAGAGAAGGCTTAGGCCATATTTTCCCCGTTCTTCGTCGTCTCGCTCATCTTTCTTTCAAAGCGTACATGACGACAAGCTTGTCACGAGGACTAATGAGATTAGAATATAGAACGGCATTGTTGCAAGTAATTAGTGGCTTTTTCACCAACAATTCGAAGGCGCAACAAGCTTTTCCCACTCCAATAGCAACCAATATCATTGAAATAATATCATGAGTGGTATTTCCAACAAAGCCTCCAAAGAGGGTGATGATATCATTTACAATTCTGAGGTAGAAGAAGAAAGGGTGAGGTCGCTTTCCGAACCCTAAGCAAGCTCAAGAAGCCTTATGAACCAGCGTGACTAACGTATGCGCTGTATGGTACAGCTGCATGAGCTCAACGCCGACGCCAGGAGCGAGGTCAAACAAAAAGACATCCCGGAGACCCCTCCAACCGAAAGTACAGAGGTTGGCCACAAAAAGTCAGCGTTGGACAAAACGAAGGACGTATTCCACAGACAAGCACGGCGTGCCGAACGTGGCCCTTAGCCATGTCTTCTTTGCCCAAATATTGCCAGTACAGCATAGATGGACACAGTACATCTTGAACGGATGGTTTCATTTACCCTTGAACCTTTTATTTTGGTAATATTCAGGTCCCTATCGCGTCTAATACATGAATTTACGTTCCATTATCGATTTTTCACAAATTTCCTGCGCCAAACGTAGCCTGATGAAGGAGTGTGATTTCTTTACTTAAACCTGAAATAATGGATACTCAATGATGCCGGGGTGTTGTGTCTGCATGGAGACACTACGCTATCAAGAGTTGCGCCAGCGATATGGATCGACTATAATTTTCGTGAAAGTCTATCCCCATGGACTCATAAAAGTTGGTTCTTGATATACAGCTACTCCTGAGAAAACCCTGCATGGATGTGTTGTGACCCCTAAGACTTTGCATACTAGTCCCAATTGAATTATTGATTACACGACAATTAAACCGAACTCATTGTAGGTAGGGGAGACTTGAGTTCTGAAACCTGACCAACTAACGAAACTCAGGTTTTCTCTAAAGGTGACGGGTTGAGGTCAATCAAATTAAAAGGCAACATAAAGACGCGTCAACCTTGACATAAAGGTCACTGGCACCTTTGTGACAGTAGTGATATAAAGACCAGTAAAAAGGAGACGCGAGCATCTACCTCACTAGATTATATACCCTCATGAGATCGGAGCACATAAAACGATCAAAGACAACGGACGAATTGGCGACTTGTGGCGAAAACGATAATGTATACTATGAGTATGGGAGGGGTATAGCCAAAAACAAGTATTACCCGGGCCCGGAAGGTACCAAAGTAGCTGTCATATTTTATCGGAATCCTGTGGTAAACATACCGTAATATGGGGGCGAATGGCGTCATCAACACCCAAGACGCGATCAGTATCAGCAGACCTGTTTGACTTTACTGTAGGTTTGTAATCCAGTATTTGTTTCTAAATCTTGATCAGCAATCCCGTTTTCTATATCCTACTAAATTGAGCTGCTGATTCGAACCTTTCGCATTCGAAGAAGTGTCTATCGCAATGATATTTAAATGTTCGAAAACATAGGTTCTGTTGTCAATCATTCGGAAAATATTCTCCCAGCGAGCACAGAGCATACTGAACGATCCGAGGAGCAAAATCAAGACGGGGTTCAACAAATACGCACGCGGGTGAAGCATCTTAATGGGACAGAAGCTCAAATGGATGGTAACATGGCTCACAAAAATACATCTGCGACTCGAAATGAAACGTATAGGCAGGACCACGATCCCGACCAGGACAACCTCCAAGTGACGTCACGCCGTCGCCTTGACGACTCCATCTTTCTAAACCAGAAAAATGCCATTGACCAAGACTCCTACGCCTTGGCTGGTATTGCAAATAGACAAAACCATGTACCTGATACCGGTAGGAGACACAGTCTCTTTGAAACCATACCAGATGATCAAGTCGATGAAAATGCTGCCCTGACCACGATGCAAAGACTACAAGGCAGGACATGTGCGCGTGTTAGTGGCATTCGTGACCACCCACCGCCCCAGTCTAATACACACGCCGATATTGAAAACCCCTCAAGCATTCATAATCATAGTAATACCTCTCCGACGATCCCGGCCGCCTTGCAAGACCAAGTTAATCCCGTTTTCGGTGCATCTGATGAGCTGACTGCACCACCGTTTCACCAGGCTCCCCATGACCAAATTATACACCCAAGAGCCCAAGCTGATGAAAGCAACAGCTCTCCTGTGGTGGCTACCTTGCGCAATCATGCCTATGCACTGGCCAAAAGCCCAGTTGATGCCATGAAGAAAGAACTCAATAGTGACAGACACGAATTAGTTTCCAGGGTACCAGAGGTACGAGGCTCTGTTCAGACAGAGTGCTATGGTGGCAGCAGTACAGAATTTGCGAGAGATGTTGGTTGGTATGACTCTGACATGGATCTACACGACCCATTGATTGGTGGCTACACCAACGGAGAGCTTTTTGGTTTTCTAAGACGCTTCAATAAAGTGAGTTCTCGATCTGAAAAATCGATTCACTGACTAATTTACATTTGCTTAGGATGTCTTCGATGTCAAAGCATTGGCCTTTGAAAACACAAGTGGTCTAGACCTTAACGATGCCTGGGGTCAGGATCATACTGGCGATAAGCTATCTCTGCACCTACAACGGCTTTATCTATCTGTGGTTCTTGGAATCGCAAGCCTTGGCAAACAAGTCTCCCGGCTACGTTCTTGGAAGGAGTTTTACCGTACATCAATACTATGTGGAGTATGTTAGCCACATATCCACTGCCGAGTTACAAATTTGAGGCAAGAGATGTACTAATCTTATATTAGATATACTTTACTGCATGGATATTAGATCTGCTAGTACCCTTTGCGCTTGGGATTTCGATTCTAGTGGTGTCTTCAGTGCAAGCCCGCAACATAATTTTTCCTCCTGCACCGCGTGCTCTGGTGAACATGAGGACAGGCGGGATCCAGAAGCCACCAGCGGGTCTACTTGGTACTAGTGACACACTGACTGGTGCCCCGGAAAAACAAACACATGAAGCCATTGAAGAGGAAGCAGCAAATTTTGTCGACAATGTACGGCACAATATTCAAAGGGCGCTCGGTATGCACAACAGTCAACAAAAAGATGGAGACGGAGATCCACTGGAAGGAAAAGTACCCAAGCCTATCAAAAAGGTAATACAGGCTGTTCAATCTGCAGGTTCTGCACCAGGGCATGTTATCGAGAGCACTGATCAGACTCAACAACCGATGGAAGAAATTATATGGGCCCAAGCCAACCCGGAAGTGATTTGCAATAATTTTGACATTGCTATCCATTTGATAGGAGAATTAGCTGATAACTGGGAGATATTTGCAAAGTCAGTCGCTCCATTCCACACTCATGACCTTACTGACACAACTTCAGTGCAATTTCTCCCACGCCGCCCTTTTCCCGTTTTTTCTTTTCTGAGGATAGTGGCTATCCTTGTCCCTTCTCTTCTCCTATCGCTTTTCGTCAACTCTTATATGGTTTACAAGGGGACTGGGCTTATCATTGGATTCGTCATTTTTGGCGATCCAATGCTGACATCTGGAATAGCGTGGCTCAAACGAAACATTCCTAATTACATGGAGCTAGTGCAGCCAAGGAAGTCGGTCTATTAGCTCTTTTTTCCTTTGCAATGCTGATTTTTACTAGCAATGTCCTTCATGGTATACCTACAAACAACCAGATCGCGATAACTCTTCTCCGTATCGGTGAAGCATGTAAAACGCCTCTTCCTCCTGTGCCCAGCTCCAAACCCGATGACTTTGATCATCAAAATGCCATAAGTGTTGAAAGCATACCTGTTGGTACCACCCAATCCGATGTCCTTGATGCAGCCACGCCCTCAGTCGTTGAGAAAACCTATGGCGATGACAACGAAGAAAAGCCAGATCACAAACATCTTTCTAAAATCATCCGCTTTTTCAAAGGCAATGCCAAATCCGTCGTCAAGACAAAACTTGTCATTGATCATATCCGGGCCGCAACCGGTTCGCAGAAGGCAAAAGGTCACTTAGGCGTATTGCCTGATCCGAAAAGCATCGTCTATGCCGGGCCAAGCATATACCAAGGTCGATATGAGGGGATACACGGTTGGGCGATAATTAAATGCTGTGCCAGACCAAGCTTGTTATTTACCCGCGATGACCCAAGGCCCATGAGCTCTAAGAAGTTGACCCCCTTGTTTGAAATTGCCATAAGGGATATGAAACGACTGAAAAGGGCGACAGCCTTTGTAAGTTCGACGGTTGAAGCAATAGCGACGTCTTCATCGGACCAAAAGCTACTGGCGAGTCTGGAGATCGAAGATAAAGAAGAGAAAACATGGAGGTTGACAGCAATACCAGAGCGAGATGAGTTATTCAATCGCTTGATTGCGATAGGTAATCAGAGATGGGAGAACATGTGATTTGCCTGCCGATGTATCTATCTTTCGTTAGTAAAAGCAAGTGTTGTTCAATTTGCATCTCAATTGTTTTTTGAAGGGGATTATCAACCTGTTACGAAAATCTTTATTCTTTTTGCCATTTTTTCAGATCGGAACCTTACTTATATATTCCCAGACCCGTGCTATTACAAAGACTATTAGCGGTAGAATAAGACAAAATCCTTAGAATAGCAACGATTAAAAGCTCAATCTTTTCATCATCTCTTCGCTTGATGTTTGAGAGTTATCACAGCCGCTAAACGTAACAGCCGCCCACAACCAACGGCAAGCGGAAGGTGGCTTGCTATAGAGAAAATAACTCTAGTAACTCAGGGGTAGCTTACTGCGGTGGCGTGGGCGCCCTGATGCGTCGGTGTATATGACAACATCCGAGTTGGCCCGGGTGCTACCTCCACCCTTTACAATACGATCTCCCTATTTGGCCCAATTTCGATCTCCAAATGAGCCCCATGTCGCCGGATTGTAGTGATACGTCATGTTCAACTTTAATAATTCAGATCTATGTCATCATTGTCTTTGCTACAACAGGTCTGGATTTAGCTATTCATGTGTTTATCGGCTCGATATGGGAAAAGAAAGATTATTTCACCCTTAAGCATCTGCAGTTAGCCGGGGCTCCCACCCCTCTCCAGCCATCTCGAATGACTCGAAGAGGAAGGCCGGTACCACCATACATCCAACAAGTGTCCAGTCTCCCAAACTCCTCGCATGTTGCCACTCTCTGCGCTGAACGACAGCCTGCGGTCGATGACCCTGTAGCAATGAGATTGAGTCTGCTGACTAGGAGGCTGCGAGATGTATTTCGAATACTCACCTTTTCGAAGTCGATTCCCAAAATAGCATTTCGGGTTGGTTTTCCATCATCCCAAGAAAGCGATAGTTGTAGTGGTGCACCAGCGTGGTAATGCCATACCTCGACACCATCTAAAACACGATGCCATTGTGAGGGCCCAGTTAAACCCTCAATGAGATAATAAATGCAGGTGCTGCTAGAGCGATCATTTATTGAATAGCTGTCGCGAAACGTCTCAATGAAGTATCCTTTTTCTGGATGCGGAGAGAGGCCCAAGGTCTTTATGACTTCCTGAGCTGTGGAAGCTTTCGTCATACCAGTTATAGTGAATGCCCTACCAAAATATGGGTATAGATGTTGAGTTTTCTGTATGGAAATTATTGAAACCAGTCTTCTTGCTCCGACATGACAACGCTTAGATTTATAAGTCGATCTATTGAGCATGCGCGATTTCATCCTTCGGGAGAGGTTACACCGCAGGAATGCGGCATTGTTGGGCGCCTGAATGTACCCGCCGGATCCGTTGAGCGGCGATACGTTGAAACCAGACCTATCACCGCGTCCCTGGTGTACCTGTATTTACTTTTTGTTGTCGAGTATAAGCTAGGTACAAAACACTTGCCATTATTACAGAGTCCGAAAGCCGAAAATCCTTTGAACCAAGTGGCTAACTCATAAGTCTACCGAAGATAAAACTCAACCCCATCGCCACTGGAGGTCATGAGGTGAGTTCTGAAATCACTCGCGGGTTCTGCGGATAAGCTTGACAACGATAGTAGTGGCAGGACCCAGTGGGTCTTGAGAAGATGTAACTCTGTGAACACACTGTGAGATGTGGAGCGAGACCTTCTATTGCTTTTGGTTTAGCTGTGGAGCTTTAACGCCCTGTGATAAGCACAAAGGCAGTCTTCTGCGTCAGCCTCCTTCAAGCTTACGAGAGACGACTCACGAGCAACATTTTCCTTTGTGCAACCGCCCTTTCTTCTAGTAAATTGATCACGCGGCGTTTCACATAGATGAAGAATCCACTTTCCCTTATTGAATACGCGACAATATTTCCGTGTCCCCAGCGGCATAAGCACAACGCTTTCTAGTCGCAATGTCGGCGCCGGTAGTGTAGTTGCCGGTGCAGTTGATGCGTTGGGCGCCGACACACGTTGGGTATCGCTGCTACCCGTCTTTATATGTGTAATTTCCGCACCACGGTGTCTTCTTGCACCCCAAGGCCATGTGTCCGAATTTTGCTACCGGAAGTATCCCTTGATCCCACGTCGCTCCACGCCCCCTATATATCTTTCGGCGACGATCTGCGCCCCTTCTGGAGAGAGTCGAGCCAAATTCCGAAAGTTACAAACCTCGTAAGAGCATCATCTCTCAATGAGGGCAAAAATGAAGATCCACCAGTCAAAGCGGTCATCGACGGAAGATCGATAACACCCGGGTGCCGAGATATCAGAACAGGACAACCCTCGATCCAGCTAATCGTAGTGGTTCTGTTCTGGAATACGAAGAGAGAGAAAAGCAGCCTCCAGCAGCGATTGCATAAATTGATGTCAAATGCATTCTCAGCAGGATCTTAAGTTACAATGGACCTCGGAGGAAGGCATATGAGGGGAGGGCAGACCTCTTTAAATGAAAGCCATTTGCCACGGCATCGCCATGTCCCTATTTGCGATACCTTGCGAAGGCGATTAGCATCAGATAACCCGGCCAGCATATTCCAGAGACCCTCCACTCAGGGTTTTAGCTTCATGATTTCCGAGATAACTGCAGAGATCAACTCTAATGATCTGCCTTTGAGAGTGTGGGGTAAGTAGTGCGCCAGAAAATCAAGGCTGTTCACGACTCAAAATTCCTTTCTCCTCGCTCTAAATTAACAGATCCGTGCACCCCAAGAACCACGTACGGACTGAAAAGGGCTCAAAATGAGGGGTTTTTTTTCTCTTTCTATCAAATATAGTGTAAGAACAAGTTTCATTGCAACTATTAGCAATTCTGAGCGACCAAGACTTTATTTAATATTCTAAGGCCAAGTACAGCACAACCCGAACTGAAAAGGCATTGTATCGAAATGTTCTCTAAACCGTAACAGGCCGTGACAACCAATCCGAGTAGAGCGATAAATTCCCAGTGTAAGGTCAGTAAAGTAATGAACGCTCAAGGGGAGTCCACAGCATATTTACTAAGAGACTGTGGTTCGGCTTTTCATTCTAAAATAAACGGCTTGAGTGGCGAGATTCGCACCCCTTGTTTTATAATTTATTTTTAAGTGCCCTACTGGCTAGCTTGATGCTTGCAATGTGCGACCATGATTCCTTACCGAGTAAGTTGTCTGGCGAATATGTAGTTTCTCTCTAGACCTTTTGATCTTGGCACCTACGATACTGCGAGTTTCACTATGTCTAGCTTTGCAGAACAGCTGCTAATAAATTAGTAGTTTAAACAGATAGAATTATAATAGTACCAGAATTTGAGATATTCTTCCTCCTATTGTACGTCATGAACTGTAACCTAATAGTATGTCTTGTATGTCTTTTTGATCATTCACACCTACGGGGGCGGGCTCGGGGTTCTAGGAAGTGCGACCTCAAATCCTGGGAGCAGGCTTGGAAGTATGCCAAATCTTAATATCCCGTGATTCCTCGGCCAGGGTATAAATATCGAAGGTGCATTCAAGTACGTGACAACGCTCATAACCCATTAAACTTCTGACTGGCATATACCCACAAAGGAAACCTTCACAATGAGTTCCAACAGATATATGTTATTCACAGCAGTCGCCCCTGATATCTGTTATGAAAGTTACCGTGAGTCTACTTTGCATCATCATAATATTCCTACTAAGTCTGAATAGCTTTGCTTTATGATCCAAGAGGGCACCCGCTAAGAGCATATTTCTATCATTTGTTTTGTCAAATCAAGGAGCAGGTATCGCTGCTTGAAAACGATCGGCAAAATCTTACTTCTGAACTAGAAAGTTTGCGGAATCATTTATAGACCTTGTACCATGAGTATAATGAGGCGGACGAACTAAATCAGGCCAAAAGGCAGCAGTGGCCTGGATACTGATGGCGACGAAATCTTTTTTCTTTTTTTTTTGCGCAGTGAATAAAACTCGATTTTATAGCCACGAAGCACTGTCAGCAGAAACCCCATGACACTATCTTATTTCAATTTTATCCGTAATTGATACAGTACATTTTTTGATCCACGAGTTCTAGTAGGGCTCTCGTAAGAAACCCTGTCCGGATCTTTGTCTTATACTCTAATTGATTCTGTCGTCAATTTTACGGTATATCTTGACCTAATCTACTCAAGATTCTTGTATCTTGAATATATGCGCAAAGGCTATGCCTGGATCTCAACGGCCAGTACTTAATGTCGTTTCTATCTCAGGTTAAAAGGAGAGGAGATTTGGGTAGGTTGTGGACATAATTGTATCTGCCATATCCAATTATGGTAGGTGTTATGGTAGGCTCAGGCTCCCAGGAGCTAACAGCCAAATTTGGACCAATCATTATACAGGGGCTTTGTGGCACATGTGGGTTGTTCGTCGCACCAGTTGGCTCACCATTCCTTGGTGAATATCATACTATTAATATGATCCCTTCAATATTTACGACCCACAGGCTCCTGGGAGCCAAGGCCAGATATTAACCAATCATTTTAAGACGACTTGGGCGCATGTGAGCCATGAATGGCACTCATTGATTCATGTTTCCTTGGTGTAGTACCCACTTTCCCCCATCCACTTCGTTTTCTGGAGATCTATGTGGGTAAAGCCTTTGCAAAGACGCGGCTGATCGCAGAGGTTTGTTCTACGAAAATGTAATCGACCTAGTATCTGACCCACCATACAAGGGACTCTGTTGTGAGATGGGGCTGTGTGAATCAGCCCCGCGCCGTACTATAACTTGTATCGACTTGATATTGTGTAGGTGTGCTTTCTTTTCTCCGATATACGAGGTAGGGACTGAAGAAACATACTGTTTGGACGGTAGAGATCTAGCGTCGCAATAACTTACGAGCCCATAGTGGTGAATGTTGAAACGGGTCACCGATGCTTTCTGCGGCATCTTCAAGACTGTTGAAACGGTGCCAACAGTGAGAAATATAATTCATATATTGAGTCAACATGAAAAATACAATGTCTCGATTGTTGTGTTAAATGAATAATTAAATGTTGAACCAGCTGCAATTTAAGAGTATTTTGTGTTTGAGCCCTCACAGTTCACAATGGTGATCTCATTGACGCAGACTGAATGCCTGCCCGCAGGTAGCACGAGACGGGAAATGGGTCGACCTTTTCTCCTACGGCAGGAAATATCAATGTCTATCAGTAATCACCTAAGGCCACCAGACCTCTATGGCTTTGCCGTTTGGGACTGTAGATAGTGTCAAGTCAGCAGATCGGCGTACTGACTAGTACTAGAGATGTCCAACCGAATCAGAAGTTCATTGAAGTTATCTGTAGAAGTGAAGATCTGTTGAGAGACCTCCGTCAGACAAATATAGTGTGTTACGACCCGTACTTCCGAGATTCCCTGGATTACCATACGAAACTGCATACTGAGATGCGCTGAATAAACCTGTGGTAGTTTACCAGGCTCCCAGTTTGACACAAATATCCGAAAAAGCCCCACTCCGCCAAACTTCCAAGGTGAGCTTTAGCCATCCCCTAACTTGCTTTTAAGGTCATCTCCCCTTCTAGCGAAGTAAATAAAGGCACCAGCACGAACTTCTTGTCACAGACCCTAATGGTCCGATGCGGAACAGAGCGCTGAGGAAATGACTTCGGTAGCCATCAAAAGCTCTTCGTCCTGGAGCGGCCATCCAACGACTTGTATACTTCCCGGAGCCCCATGGACAACGTCGGCATTATCTTCAGGAGTTAAATTGGCATCTCGTTTGGAGGCAATGACACTTACATTCGTCCATGCTCTTATCATCCAGAAATTTGTCAGCCTTTAAGTAAGGGATCACACTAGCGGGGAACTGCAAGCTCGAGTTTAGCCGAAATCGATACCAACTAGCACATGCAAATAGTTTGCGGGCAAACTTACGTCTAGCAAGTTCCATATCATAGTCCATGCCGGAATGCCATATTCTCCGTGCGGTACAGCAGTGTTGCGCGATCCTGGACAAATAAGTGCGTCCAATTGCTCACCCTGCCATATCTTTGCAAGCTGCTCTCGGAGATCCTCCTTGGAGGCGTTGACGTTCAAAACGTCTGATAGACCGGGGGTACCACTCGAGCCGGGGGCCTGCTCAAAAATTTGTTCCAGAATCGGCCCCATTTTTTCGCCTGCCTTGCGCAAGGGGATGATTGCAGTCTGGTCAGTGTCGAAAGATAGGGATTTCCTGGCTGTGTTGAATGCCTTTAGTAGCGAGGGAGGCTCGGTGAGCATGCGAACCTGGTGACCGGCCTTCCGAAGCGCGTCTACTGCGGAGGCCATGATTCTCGAAACAGGCGGGGACACAGGAAAATCAGGGTCGTCCAACCAAACAGCGATCTTGAGATGTTCCTTTCTCGAAATATTCCGCCAAGGAATAGCCAAATTCCTCGGTTCCAACCGCCAAGGTTCCATCTGCAAGACAGATTTGCAAAACAAGGTCAGGTCACGGGCGGAATTGGCATGCGGGCCGATCGAAAGCATGATGCCCGGCCATCCTTTCGGGAAAAGCTCTTTCTGGGGTTTGTATGGTAAACGATTCGCCGAAAGCTTCACCCCAAAAGTTCCATTGCAAAGTGAGGGTGCTCTGATAGAACCACCCATATCGCTACCCACCCCAAGAACGGATCCTCGGAACGCAACCAATGCACCCTCTCCTGAGCTGCTACCGCCGGTTCCTAGGCACAATTTATGCGGATTCATTGCTTGACCAAAAACATAATTGAACCCTTCCATTGCCTATTTCAAGGATGTTTGGTTAGCTTTTGTGCTGCACTTGGATGCAGCAGACGCAAAATCATACACAAGGCTCATCCCCGGACTCCTGAAAGACCCAAGGAGCAGCGACTTACGAAAAGAGCTTGAGGTACAGTGGTCTTGCAGTAAAGAACTGCTCCGCCACGAAGCAAGATATCCACAATGGCCACGTTATTTGTGGCTTTCGGATTTTTCAGGTGAGCAACATAGCCGAGCGTTGTGAATTGCCCTTCGATATCGAACATGTCCTTGAATACATTGTTAGCGGCCAGTGAATGAATGCGAGGATTCTTTTGCGAGGAGTTTACGAGCAAGGGAATGAGAACGGACCTTTACACTGATAGGCAGCCCATGGAACGGACCCATTGGCTTGCCTGCTTTCTGCAAATATTCGTCCATGGAGCGCGCGCGAGCGATCGCTTCGTCAAAGAAAATCTCAGTCAGAGAATTGGTCTATTCATGAGCATGTTATTATCTTTTCATGTGCATTCACTGAACTGGAAGGCACAAACCAGCTGCTGGGCAATTGCCGCCCTCTTGCAAAATGCCGTCGTCACTTCAACGGATGAAACAATCTTCGCTGCCAGCAACTCAAGAAGAGAAGTAGCATCATAGAGTTCGGTGAGTTCATTATCTCTTTCAGTGAGAAGCTCTGACTCCCGAAGCAAATCAAAAGCGCTGACGGTGGCTTCTGGAGACACCTTGTCGACAATGTGCTTTGGGACACGCCATTCGAATGGAATGCAGGCATCGCGGTGAGCTCTTTTCTCGTCAATCAATAATTGCCACTCAGGAGAAACCATGATGGGGATGTAGGTAGGTATGTAAAAGTGTAACTTTCCATTTAGCTACAAATTTGTTTTTATAACACTGGTCGGATGTACCGGACGGACCCTAGACGGCCTCGGGGCCTCAGGAACTTTGGGAGTTCATCAAACGTATGTCATCAAGCATTCGTCACCTGGGCGTAGTTGGTTGGCTTGGCACAATTATTCGGTGCAATGTCGGATGTGGGGGAATCGCGACGGCTGAGTTGCTCCCGTTTGCACGTCGAATCGCCACCGCTGAATTACCGAGTTTCAACCCACCGTCACTCCAAACCTCGCCAAATCCGCCAACTAACTTTAACAAGCGAGAGACCCCCACCATTTATTCCGTTGTGTGGAGTTTTCGTTTCAACCGTGTCCTAAATTAGCGCAATCTGGACCCCTTGACACATCCTAGTCATCTAGGTAGATCGGGTCTCTATCAAACCGACGCCAAACCTCCATGGACTGACGGCGACACAACACCTTTCCAGCCAAGAATTGGAAATGTGACAAATGCCCGTCAACATTTCGCCGGATGTCGGCAGCTAGCTCTCGGATGGGTTGCCTTCGAAAGGTGCGCTATTTAGGCGGTGATCTCGCTCGTGCGCTAAGAGGTCAATAATGTACATCGTTTCAAATTTTATAAACTGTTGCGAGAAAAATTAGGGGTCAGAATAGCTCAAAGGTAATATACATGAGCCAACAAATCCAACCCGAAGACCCCATGTGGCCCAACTTCCTGGTCATTGTCGCCGATAACCTACTCTCTATGGTCAATGCCACTCGGGGGTCGACTAGCATTCTCCCGCCCCGGATTGGCTGCCCGCGCGTGGCCCGATCTCCTTAATGATGAGAAGACGGCCTATCGTCTGTAGAGGCTTAAAAGCTCTCGACTTCGATCCCACACCGTGACTCGTGTCTCTCTCCCCGTCCGACATGTTCTAAGGCGAACGCGTCGCAATGCCTCTCTCCCCTACCCACCCAACCATCCTTCAGCCATACCATCTACCTACCGACCATTACTAAACCATCCACTAGCCCCGAGCTATAGACCTCTTTAACTTCAATGCGACGCACCGGATCTAGATCTATTAGGGCTGCTAGACGGGCCTGCCGCCGCAGATGATCCGGGGTAGGCATCGCCATAAACCCATTTTGGGTTGGTGATACCGACCCAAAACCCAACCGAACCCAAAACCCAATGGGTTAAACCCAATAACCCAATAGATACCTATTTTAACCTATTTTTACATAATTTATTTATAATCTTTATCTAATATATTTCAATACTTAATTTATATCCTTTTTTCTAGAAGAATCTAGATACAAGGGTTCTACATATTGTAGTGGGGGAATCGCTCTGGTGATGTCAGGTGACGCTGTAGGCCTTAGGCCTTACATACAGTATATAAGCCCTCGACGATAGTTAACTTACACAACACCTTTCGGGTCACCAATGTTATTTGCGTTATTTCGGATTGCTAGTATTCGAGCAAGGGCTCGAATACTCTGAATGCTGTTTTCTCGATAGCGTCACGCTTTGCCTACGACTACTCTCTCCTGCACTCTACGAGTGTGGTGGTTTTGTTCTCTTGTGATCGACCCGTCTGCTTGACAGACTGCCATTGAGCGTTCCCATCTTACAATATCTACTAAGAACCAACCCGTATGCCTTCCTTTTATCAGTATGTGATTTACCTAGTGCCAGTAACTGTAGGTTGTGAACCGTATCTTGATCGATTTTCTTTATCAGACGCCGATCTAATCTGACCAGAGAAGACCAGAAGTCTAAGATATGATTAAAATAGGTCGCTATCTCCTGAGAGATAAGTAGTTGTTATTAGCTAGAAAAAAAGTAGCAACATATGCTGAAACTTACCTCAATGCAGCCCGAAGCGATTAATTAATAAAGGAGGCTGATTCTTATCCCACCCGGCCAAAGCCCGGGAATCGCTAATAATCAGTCAAATACATGCCGGAGGCGATGGTTCTTCTTATTATTAAGTTAATCTAAGCGCTCTTAGTTACTGGACAATAGTCTTACGAACCATCGCTCTTAAAATGCTTTATTGCCCTCACCCTTATACTCTGATCTTGCGATAGACTTCCCTATCGGTTGACTTCTTTTGATTAGAATATTCATCTACAAACACAGCTCTTAATTCTTAGCCGATATCTTATTGAATGGTCAGTATCGATCTAGGGGAATACGCAGACACGTTACGTACCGTCTATATAGAGATCAACCGTCTACCAGCGATCCGCCGGAGGAAGTACCTCAACACCCGCTTGTACACGATAACGGCTATAGAGACCCCAAAGTTGCCCCGCCATAAATTACAGCCGAGGAATTTGGCGGCCTTCGGTTGTCAGCAAGGCTTCCTGTAGAACATTTGCCTTCTACAATATATCCGCAAGGTTACATCGAGATACGGTCGCAGGGACATAGTTTTGGATATCTAGACGGCGACAGCGATTCTTACAGAAAATATTTCGTAGCCGGTCCAAATTTTTAGGGTCTAAGCCTCGTGGTAAGGGAGGTTCGAATTAAATCTGGCGGATGCAGACTTTAGCTGCACTAATATATTTAATACATCGTTCTGCTGCGAGCTGCACCTCTTGCTCGATGAAGATGTGTTCAGTCATAGGGGAGAATATGGAGATATGGTTCAGAATGATTTGGCTGAGATAAGGGTAGACTTTAATATACGTATCTATGGCTTCCATTGTTGAGGTGGTTCAACGTTGACACTGTGTTGCCTTTGCCGTTGAAGTTGTGATCCAACACCCTCGTGTTCCACCCGTACAAAAAAACCTATTTAAACTGACCAGAATTTCTTTTTGCGTTTCACGCTCCTCTTCCTGCTTTTGACTCTTTGGCCAATCCTTCAATAATGCGAAAATTCGGCGAAAAAAGAGTAACAAGAATCTAGGCCGCTTAGGTTGCATTACTTCCCTAGCCCCAAACCCGAACAGAAGTATCACCGGTAACAGACCTTAAGCCCGACCTGCAACCTCTCTATCTAGGACCTGCACCTAGAAAGAGGTCTATCAGTTCCTCAACCTTAGAGCACAACGGCAAGAAAACTTAATTAAGGCCTCAAAGCTCGCCTCGCCAGGAGACTATATAGTGGCAGAGCATTATTGGTTTAGGCCTAATAGTCTGAGACGCATCTCCTTGGGGTACTTTCAGAAAGTACTACGATTATGACCTAGCTAGCCCCGTCGCGGTATGCGTTCGATCATCTGGAGACCGCAGGGTCTGGGCGGTGCGCCAATATCCGATCGAGGACGCTGACAAGATACTGCAGATCCTCCGCTCTATACGCCATGAGAACCTGGCCTCTATTCGGGAGTGTTTCTGTACTCCCGAGCTTCTGTACACACTGGGGGATTTCGACCCTCTCGTTCTGGATCATCTCGTCGCTTATAAAGCCTTTCCAGACGAGCAGGAGCTGGCAGCCATAATGTCTCAGGTTTGTTCCTCATTTCCTCTCGCCTATCTGCCAGATGGCCAGATAGCTGATTGTGTACAGCTCGTTGACGGGCTGTTATATCTTGTGGTGAACAACTTCCATCACCCATCTCTGGACTGTTCTAGCGTCCTTGTGAATCTAAATGGACACGTCAAAATCGGCAAGTTCATTCCATTTCTACCTTCCAAGTCAATCTCTAACAAGGCACGGTAGCACGGATCGATTGCTGTGTGTTCCGGCAAAGAGGTAGAATCGATGCCAGTGATCTGGCACCAGTCTCGAGAATCATGATGGAATTGCTAGCAACGACTGTTGACGGAAATTCCATGCTGCCCAGGGAATCTCATCGGACTTGCGTGGTTCGCGTTGATCTCCGCTCGTTCTACTCGTACACGCCAGGGCCCATGAAGAACGGTTAAAGCAGAAGTCAATTTTCCATACTGTCATCCTCTTCTTTGTCGGCCACTGTAGCAACAATTTGACTGATGAAAAAAATCCAGGCACGGTACGGTAACTGGTGATCTTCCTGTTCCCATGGTTGAAGCTTTTGTTCTGTCTGTTATTAAATGATACCCGTCTTGATTTTGATAGAAAAGTGGAACAAAATGCTGTTAGGTGAAATGAGAGGGCCCATAGAAATCAGAACCAAGATTCACATTGAACGCTCCGCTGTAGCCTCATTGCATCCAGAGTGCATTGCTTCAAGCACCAGCCCCACTGTGGCTTAAAGATAGTGCCTAGGAATACCTGGGGAGCTCCCCGGAGCCTGGCTCTCCTAGTAATTATGAATCCGACCCGGGGGCCATGAGCAGTGCTGCTATTATGGTTCGTTCTAATAAAATTCCATTATTCGCGACGCATTTTTGCGGTAGGAGCTGCTTTGATGGATTCAGGGACGATGATTGCCGTGCAGAGGCACGAACGATATGAACGAGCCTGGCCACTCTTTTCACGAGGCCATCATAACTCTATGCGCGATTGTATTGCCCTATCCTTGCTCGCCATCCCAGTATTCATTATGGTTCGTAACAGATATCCTTTACGTTGGCAACTACATACTAAACTAGAGGCAGCCCTATCTGCGAGGTCTATCCAACCCAATCTTATACAGAGTTGCAGTATATCTCGAGAGCGGCGAAATACTTGCTCTTGCGAGATCATGTCGAAGTCTCAGAACCAGGCTACAGCCGGCCATCCTTGAAATCAACGTCGAATGTCAAAACAGCAATTTGCTCGGCCTCGCTGCCATGAACAACGATATTGACCTCGCCGAAAGACTCATATATCGCAGGGCAGGCGTCTCTCCCTCTTTCCGCGGCGACCACGAACGGCAAAACTCATGCGATGGCGATGCTCTTGATTAAGAGGGGCGTAGAGATCAATGCGACAGACTTGGCAGATTCACTCCTTTGTTGTCGTGTAGCGTAAAACGGCTGGAAGCGGTAGAGCTCATGGTGCGGCAGGGCGAATCTCTGGCAATTAACCAGAGCACCGTCGCCGCCCAAGACACCGCCCTTTGTTTCCCCGCCCAGGAGGCGACTCAGAGATGGTGCGGGTTTTACAACGCCACCCCTTAGTTGATCTCCATCATCAGAACTGGCGGCTCGAGGATCCTCTGTTATTTGCAGTAAAGGGGGGACATAATTCGTTGATTGACTCGCTGCAGTAGGATTGAAGGTTACAGTCTACCAGTTTGTGGGCATCGCTTCATTTTGTCGTGAAGGGATCAATTCCGGAGGCAATCCAGAAGCGGGTCAAAGATCTCATCAGCCATCGCGAGGCATTTAGAGCCTGTCAGCATGATACTGTGAAGGGCTAGCAGGAACCGGTGATGATGCGTGGAATTGTTGTAACTGAGAGGTATCAATTTGCTATATATCTAGAAGGAAAGATGAGGCTATATATACAACGAGAAGATCAAGTTGATTACATCAACTTGGTTCTTCGTATACATACTTCGGGATTATTCCGATGGTTCGGCTTGGTTCCTGATCTGCACCGGCCTCATATCACAACAGGAATCACCTCAGTACCTTGACTGGCTTGAACATTTGCCCACCACATGGAAAAAACGACCGAGAAAAATGAAGTTTTATTCGGGTTTCTCATTCCCATGTTGAAAACACCCTCTCATTTACGATATTTTTTGGTAAAATTGCGTATGGCATCTCCTCAAAGTTGTTGAAACATGGGGGACGCTAAATACTTCTTGGAGCATGAAGCCGCCAGACTTCATTTTGAGGGACTCAGACCAGAGTAGCAGGTATAGCCAAAAATCACGTATTCCACGCATCTAGTGAGACTTTTGTGTCCATCTTATCTGGTGGCTATCAAATGATGCAAGTCAAAGGGTGGGATCAGGCCCCACGCGCCAAGCATGCCAAGTTCACTACACACAAGCCCCTCGGCCCTGAGCTTGAACTATACGGGCTAAACCTCGTATTCGCCATTAGTGTCGTGTGACACCCCCCATGTGAAATAGATCGAGTTCCCCTTGATGACTCTTATCTTTGTCTTCCTCTTTAACCCCTGTTCATTCTGCGGTTTCTCCACAGGGGCGGAAGAACCTGAGAATCACCAATGATGCGGCAACTCCACGCTTTACAACACGCACTTCCCCTGCTCTTCTCTATCACCTCGACAGTCCTCGGAAAAGAAGACAAATACTACAACGCAGGATTGAACTACCGTCCTGAGAACATCACTGGGTTAGATTACTACTATTACCCATGGAAAGGGTCGTGCGTTTCGACTTTCCTTGTCCCTTCCCCCCAAAACATATGTTTAAACTACTGAAATACTAAAAATATGGATAAATGAAATATAGATACTACAATGGAACTGTAGCATTCACAATATCATCCATCTCTTTCCGGGAAGACTACAACTATGATGACGAGAAACTCTGTTCCCGCCTTTCAAACGATTACACTTACACTTTTTCCTACCCGGGACTTCTAGGCATAACACCCACCGAAGGTGGGGACGAGAGACCCCAAAACACAAACCCGCTCAACGTCATTCTCTCGACCTCATATTCGAATTTCACGAAGTATTTCAGTGATTATAATGAAAACGGTAGCATGCAGATTCGGGATGAGTTTTGGATTTTTGAGTCGATTGATTTCTCGTAAGTGTCTCGTTTTTCTGTCTCTTTAAGAAAGAAATTCTCCGTGGTGCTTCGACGTGGCTCACTCTTTTGCTATACTGTAGACGTCGAACATACGGGTACAAAGAAACAGGCCCAAGAATGGATATTACTGTCTCTGGTTCTAGTGGGGTTGGAGGCTCTCCCTTCCGCGTACTGGGTACCTCTGACTTTGGGGAGACAAATCTCCTCGGGTTTCGGATGAACATGAGTTCCTGCACGAACTCGGTATCCTGGTGGGATGCGCAGTGGGCATCAGAAGACTGGGACGACGATGAAATAGATGTGGAGAACGCGACCCTCACTCTAACGTTCGACTCGCATTCGGCGAATTTCATGCTCCAGGGGTATATTTATGCGCAGGTATTGAACAAGGATGAAGAGGAGGAGACGCTGCCGATAGACGCAAAAATCAAAGTGGAGTTTTTAGGGAATCATGACGATGCAAGATCGGATATTTTGAATGAGGGAGTCCCAGTGAGTTGGACTTCGACCGTTGGGTTCGGGAACAATTCGGCGAATATTGATTATGAGACTGGGGGCGCGGGCCCTGTGTATGGGATGCTGCCGGGCGGTTTGGTTTGGGGTCTTGTTGGATTCGTTGTGGGGGTTGGATTTTTATGAGTGATGGTCTTTCACTATTATCTAAGGGCGAAGGAATGTCCCTGACTCAATTTTATGACGATATTGTTAGCTCCGCGAACTAGAGAGGTTGCTATGGTGAAGCCAGATTGACAAGCTTTGTATGAAAATTAATGCACCGTCTGTTACTCGGTTGGACGAAGACGCCGTTGGCCGATAGTCTTCCCCGCAATGCTGCAAAACACCTTTAATAGTCAAGAGAGAAATTTTAGCCGTATGTCTAGTGTTAGAGATAGAAGTAAAGGGCATATTTTGATAATATAGTAAGAACATCAACTACTTCAAGCATACCACCTGTCAAGTCAGTCTTTGGTCAGCACTGGTTCAAAACTTAGCGCACTTGGCAAGGCATCATAGCCACCAGTCCCCGACTGACAATCAATAATCATGCCAAACTAGGCAAGGTCCATGGCCATGCAAAATGCAATGCACGGTCTTCACGAATTCGGCTTCCCAGTCTTGTCTGATTACAAAACTTCAGGAATACTAATGTCGCGGAATGCAAATTTCCCCCTGATGTTTTCTTCAAAACAGATAGTCTGTGAACGGCGGCAACAGCGGCGGCTTAAATCCGAAGTCAAACATTCGCGTCGCAGCGCGGCCAGGGTCACAATCGAGTTCAATCAGGAACAAAACAAAACGAAACTACATGTCTCACTTCGTATCTTCCATCATTTAAAGATCATACAAGGTCAGTCAAATGGACTCCAAGAAGAATAGTAGAGGGAAACCGATCTTGATCATATTCCACGTCAGCATGTTTTCAAATGATGGGGCAGCCACACTCACTTGCTGTCTGAAGACTTCAGTACCAGAAATGACAGGCTAGTGCGATGAAAAATGTCACTTTGATTATAAGATAAGTGCATGACTTCAAGGTCAGTCCATACCGAATAGTAGCCAGCAGAGATGAGAAGCTGCCAATATAATTTGAGTCAGAATGGTAAAAGAGGCTTGCGAACGACTGTTCTGCTGGCGAGGCATCATCAATGCTAGGCTTCTCTTTGCTATCGCCGGATACTGCAATGGCTCAGTCGATCTAGTATGGGACCGGGCCATGGCTGCCGACAAAGCTTCGGATTAGACGTTGACAAGAGGCTCACAACCGTTGGAATATATTAAGTTCCTAGTGCAGTAACACCTAGTGCAGTAATAGTTAACCTTCGATCGGAAAAGATAATTATGGAGGATGAAACACTTTGGAATGTTACCGTATGGCTAACTCAAGCCTTCCTGAATTGGGCCCGCTAAATGCGCTAGGCGAAGTGACCCTTTAGAAACAACAAAGCTGCAAGGGCACTGGAATCCAGTGGCTTGGCCCATCAGGTTGGTGTCCCTGACCGGGTGTAACGGTGTTCACACCATAGGGGGGCCCCCCCCCCCCAGCCCTGAGTAGGGTGCTGAGTCAGCACCCGCGCTGAGTAGGGTGCTACTCCCAATACCCGCAAACCATACCATACAGCTCTCTCTCACTTCTATTTCTCCTATTCGCAAGCGCGCACCTCTCCCCTGATTTTCAACCCAATATTCGACGAAATGCCATCCTACGTAGAACATATGAGTATCCTTTCATCCAAAATACTATCAGATACTGACAAATAGGCATATGTAGCCTGCGTTTGTGTGGTACAAAGAGCACAAAGCGAGTACTGGCATACCCTTGCCATATATAGATGAGACTGACGCAGATACAGTCTTTAATCACCAGGTTTGCTTACCAGTTGTTTACTGGTAGAATAATAATAATTAAAAGTGCTTTACTGATATTCTACTAGTTTCTTGAAACCTGGCGACTGTACCTTAGTGTTACGGACCCTGCGACCTGAGGGGCCGCAGCTTACAGATGGGCCACCGAGAGCCAACCAACCCCACAGAACAGACTGACACACATACACGTCACGTGCAACCAATAGGGAGTATTACACGGGTGCTTCCCAGGAGCAAGAACCGAACGAAACCATGCTCCTAGGAACAAAAGCGGGGCTGTGTAAAAACATCTTGCACAGGATTACGCTCAGTAATCGCTCAGGGTAATCGAGGATACGGTGTCCTCGTGGCAGACATTATCCGGTAGATATACAGTTCTACAGATATTCTAGGGAAACATCCGATCAGGCCAACCATATAACTAAGGATGGTAGACAGGTATATCGATCAACGGGTAGATTATACCAAGCACTATCTACCACTCTACTATCTACCACAGATACTATTATAGAGGACTAGGATATATAGGGTGCTCTCTATATATATGTATTTAGTTCTTTGTGATTAATTAATCTAAGTTACTACAGTATACCTTTTAGGTTATTCTTTATTTAGTTTCATCTCTTGTAACAAATATACTATAAGTAGGGGAGCTCTTCAGACTGACCTACTTAGTGCTCTATCTGGTATATCCTTCGAAGTTACTTAATAGGATCTGAGTCTATATAAGGCTTAGCACAGCGATAGTATAATTATAAGTCGATACTTAAGGATTATAAGTGATAGTTATCACATACGACTAATAATACAGAGGATAACTGGTAAGTTATTTACCAATAATCTAACTACTTACTATAACTAGTTAGCAATATATAATATATTAATCGCCCTATCAATATAAAACTATAAAGTTTAATTATTATATTATCGACTGGCAGCAACAGAGGAAAGGTACTAGCTCCTGTGCCGCCGTAGACACAGACTCGGCGGGAGGATAACTAGGAAGACCAACAAGAAGCCAAGGTAAACGCCTTAGAGAGATATATAAAGAACCTTACCGATTAACTTAATACGTTCGGTTAAGGACATAACTGCAATATAAATAAGATATATAAGTCTATTCAACAGACAGATACGTAACTCGGCGTACTATCGCCTATAGTACCGAAGTTGCTAAAGGCAGAGAACTTCAATAGAACTCGCTCTAAGTTGTAAGGATTCCTTATACAGATAAATATATATCTTAACGTCAATAAGCATAGGCTGAATACTGAAGCAAGCAAAGTTATCTTTGTATTAACCTACCTTCAAGGATAGGTATAGGATTGGCTCGAACTATATGTCTGAGAATACTACAAGAAAGACAAATCAGAATGGTCGACCACCGTATGTAATATCTTTTCTAGCTATCTTAAGTTCAGAGAGTACTTAGAAAAGATGTTTAGCGATATTAACGTAAAGAAAACAGCTGAACGCAAGCTGAAGTAACTCTGCTAAACTACCTTAGCATCAGTATATACAGCTGAATTTATACAGTAAGTAGCTATTCTTAGATAGGATGACTACGTATTAATTCTGTACTATAACGAAGGACTTAAGTTATATATCAAGGATAAAATTATAAGAGTTGGTGACTTTAACACCCTAGATAAACTTATCGACTTTACAGTTTAAATCGATAATAGGTTCTATAACTGACTTATACAGAAAAAGAAAGTCAAAGGATAGAGACGAGGCACTAGACGTCTGACTTATTACCAATTCTAACCTTAACGATAACAACAATGATCTAACCAGAATAGTGATCTGTACGGTCTACGACCTATAGAGCTTAACGTAGCAAGACTCCCAGACAAAGAACAGAGACATCAGAAGGATAACAAACTCTGTTTTAATTATGGTAAGCCGGGCTATATGTTATATAAATACTGCAGTAAGCGAGAAAGTAAGAGACTATAATAACTGTACGCTATATAGAAACCTATATAACTAGTAATATGCATGAGACGGTGAATGGGAGGCCAGAAACGGCCGCTTTGGGCGCCGTTTTAGGCCGCTCGCTCACCGAGGGTCACGTGAAATAAAGCCCACGGCCCTAGCCCTACTGCCACCCGCGCTGCATGTCCGCTGTGCCTGGTGCCTGGATCCACCGTTCCAGACCTTCTTCATTCGTACCGTGGCGACCGCAGGGCCCTATCCTCGCTCCTCCGCCGTCACCCTCCTGGCGGCCTGGATTGCCAACCATGGCTTCTTTTATGGGAATCGTCCCTTCCCTGTATTATTTCGCCTATAAGTATCGACTGTCATGCCCCTCGATTGATTTTTTCTCCCCAGCAGTCTCACAACTCTTGGGGCGATCTCGGGACTCGGGAGACATCAACGAAAGGAAAGACAGCTTCGTCCATTGCTATTCCCTTCAACTCTGTAACTTTACCTCTATCTTTATTCCCTGGCCTGGACCACTGGATCGCCATGCCTCGCCCCAGTCGCACTCTGTCCGACAATGAGAGCGATGTTAGCTCCGACGACATTCCCGCGATCTTCTCGGCCAACGCTTCTGACGACGACACCGACACCGACAGCGCGCCAAGTGATTCCGATTTCGACAGCGAAGCAGAAGATGAATGTGAGGATGATTCTGAAGTCGAAGAGGAACTCTCACCAGAATATTTTCTCAAGGAGGCGGAGTTCCTGGACGTTTCTCAGCTTCGGCAGAAACGGTATAGTCCGAAAACTGAAGAGAGATTGGATGAAACTCGAGATTACTGGGAAAGGTAAGACGTTGCTCGCCTGCTCACAGCTCTCAGATTCTAATTGTTCTAGGTTCTGTAAAGGCGCGAAACTCGACCCGGCGGAATGCTTGTCTCGACTCTCTGATACAGAAGAAACTGTGCGCTTCTTGAAGGCGCTCTTCTCCTGGCGTTGCAGACAGCGCTGGGGAAAAAAAGGACGCTATGCCCCAGGGCTGAAAAAGAAAAGCTCCTTGGACGCATTCTGGAAGTGGTGGCATCTCATTTACAAGGCCAAGGTTGGGCATGGCCTTAGCGGAGATATTCAGGTCAAAATCCGCGATGTGAGATCCCGAATTGACTATTGACTTCCACGCGAATTGTGTCCGATTAACTTTCTCTAGGTGTTGGCAATAGTTGCGAAAGAGGAGAAACTTTCTCTAAAGCCTCGCCCGAAAGCGACAATGTACATCGAAGACGTGGCTGAGTTTGCCCGAGTGATCCTATGCACGACAGAGATGACTTTTCCTTGTGGGTGGTACCGGGTACAACTACTTCTTTTCTGTCAGCTGGCCGCTATCACTGGAAGTCGCCCCGGGGCGCTACTAAGACTACGCTTCCGAGACTTGATGTTAACACTAATTCGGGATCCAAATGGAAGCCGCCCTCGACTTTTCATTTATCTTACACCTGAGTTCACAAAGTCATTTCTCGGAGAGAAGGAGTCGTAAGTGATTCTTATCCTCGTCTAAATTTATACTTCCCTACCCTGCTTCCCCTCCCTCTCCTTTCTCCTCGGTAGCCTCCTGCCTCCATCGCATCCTCGGTTCCCACTTGTATACAAGGCCAGCTCCTATGAGTTATCCTCGCACCAGTCTGCTTATGATCATTTATAGAAACACCTTCCCACTCCCAGAGATTATCTTCGATCCTACTTTGGTCCTGAGTCCACATATCTTTTTGCTGGGTATGCTCTTAAAGATCAAGGCATTCAAAACTCTTTCTACAAATGGTCCCACGTTGGACTCCGCCGAGAAATTGTACAGTCTTGGTGTCTTAGATGGACTTGGTCAGCAGGAGTTAAAGCTGAAAGACGAAATTCTTGATAGCTATGTGTTCTGCCAAGCATTGCGAGAACCCGATGGGATTCGAATCGCCCTTGACCAGCAACTCACGCGGGGCTGGCTGAGCTATCGCATGAAACGGGGTGGTGAGATAACGGGATTCGCTGAAGTCGCAAAGCCGTACTGCCTCCGATACGGTGCAGCAAAAGCGTTTAACGATAGTCGTGAGTGATGAGTGATACTCCAAATCATATGATTTCTTTTGCTAATGCGACATTCAGCGGATGTAACGAATGAGTTGCAGAATGTGATGCTGCAGCACGCTAGCATCGATACTTTTGTTCGACACTACAGCGTGGGTATTCACGTAGATACCCAGGCAATTGTGCGAGGCATGCCCGCTCAGAAGCAACTCATGCGGTTTGCCTCGTCTATGAGTCGGTCTATTGATCCCCGCAGACCCTGGCGACTGGACGATTCGAGTTGTATCAATGATATTCCCTGTGTACGTGTCCTGGAAAGCAAGAAAGAGGTGAAATTGAGGAATCGCGATGAGAAAAAGTGCGCCTATGAAGAAGCTCAAGTTGCACTAGAGCGGGAGTTTGGCGATGGACCACCCCAGAAGGGTCCTTACTTCCGAGCGATCTCTAAGCGGTGGAAGGCTCGGAAGAAGAATGCGGAGAAGCTTAGAAAGAAATATGTCCACGCCGAGAAGCTTTATGACCGCTCAGTGAAGCAAGTACGCAACGAGAAAAGTCGACAACGTCATCGATTGATTCGTGAGAACCTGGAACGTTACAAGAATGAACAGCCGGTGATCGACAGCGAACGGCAGCTGTCAGGGAAAATGGTTGACGCAGAGGTCAAGGTTGCGCTAGAAAGTACTGGCTATATGACACCACAACATATGACGCTTATCGACACAGTCCTGACCATGCCTGGTGCAACTACTGACGAAGAATATGAGCGAAGAATTACTGCAATCAACGCAGTGATTGCCGTTTGTGATGCAGAAGAGGGCGCACCTTCCCGGCCCCAAACGATACAAAAACGCTCTGCCGATGCTGTCGCCACTTCGCCAGCTGATCATGTGCCTAAAAAGCAGAGGCCGGCTGCTTCAGGTGCAGACCACGACGCCATTTCTCAAGCCATCGCTCTAGTCTGCATCAACTGCCCAGAAAAGAGATCGACAATTTGCTTTATCTGCCTTGGTAATCCACTGCTGCCGGGAATTGAACGACTGCGCATGTTCAAGAACGCAGGGTCTCTCAGCCGACACTTCGTGAACAAACATATCAAACCGTACTCAAACGATATGCAACACGAGTGCACGATTTGTGGAGAGCAGCTGGAGTCTAAATCAGCGCTATTGAATCATGCGCAAGGTGCACATGGAATTGTTTCTCGCTTACCTCTACCGGTTCTTGGACTGCCCTTGCCCTAAGTAGCAAGCTTTTATTACTTTGAACTAAAGCCAGGCCTTTGAAAGGCTATGGCCGAGTTTTTTCTTTTGTGATTCGAGATTGATTCTGCTTCTCACTGTGAAATTTTCCAATAAGCTTTGGTATAGACTTCGAGTGATTTTCTTTCTTTTTGTCTATTTTCTGTGCATATTCAATATTTTCGTATCAACCAAGGGTATATGACCTATTAGAAATTTCATGCCGAATCGAGCGCTCCTCAAGTCACGTAGAAATTTTGAAGAAGCATACAACAAGGTTGCAGAATATCAAACTCGATGGCGGCAAGTAGGCAGCCCGACTGAAAAAGGTGGCAGAGCGTTTCTGGGTCGCCCATTTGCCAGATTTCCCTCCACTCACTCCGACTAAACCACACACCCACTCACCGTCGCATTGTGAAATACCCGAAGCGCAGCGGCGCCGTAGTAGCCTCTCATTCGTCCCGTCGGATCCACTTCAGCGCCCCATCCTTCTATATTTCGGAATACCTTCAGGCCCCTGGCTTCGGTACCATTCATTTTCTTGAAAATTTCTGCAAGAATCTCAAGGAGAATTTTTCTCGTCTGTTCTCGTCATGGAATAACTTCCTGTCCCAAAACTCTTGCCCGTCCAAGGTCTACTACTGCTCTACACTTCAAACGTTCACCTCGGTCGCATCTGCAAACTTATGTTCTTGCATACTGAGGAGCAAGATTATCAAATGATGAGCCGTCAATATCCCAGTCGTAAATGCCGGTTGCCAAGTGTGTTTGACTACTCTGGAACAGATAGTGATATTGATAGCGTATCTGAAACAGATCTTGCCGAGCTCGAGGAAAATGCGTCACATAACATATTCGTTGTAAGCATCCCAAGAAAATAGTACCAAGCACCTCGGCGAGGAGTTTGCAGGGATCACACATCTCCAGCGACATGCTGATGATTTCACTCCACTGTGATTGGATCTGTTTACCAAAATATGTCCCCGTGATATATCATTAGGCTGACCTTGTGAAAGCTCATGTACTTAGGGGCTCATTATAGATTTATTTAATGACTGTTAAATTATTAGAGCCTTCTTGCGCAATAAATGAAATGGAGAGAATATTTAAGCTCAAGCGGCAATGCAGTGGAAACGAAATGGACATTGATGTAGATGTACAGTAGATGTCATTAGCTCTAGGCTTGCTGAACTGAGTCTTGTAGGATTTTTATTGCCCATCCTTGTGTCGATCTAATTCATGATCAATGCCTAAAAAATGAGTATATGGAGGTAAGAAGTGCATCTTGGAAAACTGGCTGAGAATGGGCTCCGTACAAGCGGGTCCGTTCTATGATTTGAATGTCCAAGTATCTGTCAGGAAGAACCTGTACCAGCCTTGTGATTCAAGGATTTACAGCCAAAATGAAAGCACTGGGATCAAAAAGGGGTAGTGCCAATTTTTACATGAAAACAGGGATGTGCATGGGGGTGGAAATATCCATCAGAATACCAACGACTCGGGAGTTACTATCCGAGTTGTGTAAATGAAAGCGTGGGGATTGTAACGTAGTCCCCAAGTTACCGTATAGGTACCTGATGAGTAACTCCAGTGCCAATGTCCATTTTCCTGACAGTATCTTTTCTTTTCAGGCAAAAGGTTTTGATGAAGCTGGTGATGATTGGCAATTGCACACTCCCGTGTATGATAAGCCCTGGCTATAGAGAACTCATGTGTGAGCATACAGTATCCTGAGCATACCTTGAGCATACTTTGCGCTACGAGAAGAGTTCCTCTTAAGTGACCTTGCATAAGACCGGCCTTCAATCAAGGTAACAGACTTTAACACACCTCGTTTCTTCAGAGCTGAAGCTGAATGGCGGATGACAGCATTAAAAAATATCATAAAAACCCATATTTATATGATAAAATCGGAAGTAGGAATCAGAGCAAAATTTATTTCTTTGCTTTAGGTACCTTTGAACTTCAAACGTCTCATTTAAATTGTTGAGATACATAAGATATGTCAAATATAAGTAAGGGCAGAAGCTCATAGCTGACTGATATCGAGATAGCATCGCATACATTCACATAACATAGTCAATTTCCTTGTCGACATCGAATTTGAATACGAAGAACATTCAGGAGCCATGACTAGCAATTTTCAAACTGTTTGGTATTAAAAACTCTGTGCCCCACACTAGAGAATCTCCGTCGAAATCAAGATCAGTAGCTTGTTCCGGGTCAAGCCTTTGGAAACCAGAGTGTCGAACATGGAACAGCAACTGAATTTTAGTAACGATCGATCAAGCGACATTACAAACACCATTCTTCCACTTCCCCCTGAGTTATTATATGACATACTGGACTACCTGTCACTTGAGGACACGATCTCGTTTGCCTTCTGCAGATTGGACTTTTTACTTGCCTCGCTTGATTTCCTCAAGCACAAAGTGGGCTCCACGCTTCGACATCTGGATTCTCTAGCTGTACTATTCAACGAAAATCAGTGGCCAAGCTCTTGGCTATACAAGATTGTTAAAAGCTCGATCTATTGCGAGCAACCACTACTTAGGGATATTTGTATCCTGACAAACATCTTCGAAGATATTGACTGTCCGGCAAGGATTATGCAGAACATTATCTTTGAATGTCCCGGGTCTCAGTGGCCAGTCTCACATAGCTGTGTTCTTCGAGGCTTCAAAGGAATTGGTGCCCTGTATTTACAGCGAAGCCCACATGCTATTTTTGATACGGATAAATTAGGCATGAGCATTTTACATGTTTCCATCCTAAATCGGGCTCCGCAAGTCTTCGACGTTGTCCACCGAATTTTGAAACGAACCCCCGAGCCAGAGCAAGTCGACTATGTCAATAAGCTTGACTGTATGGGCCACACGGCGTTGACATATGCGATATCTACATATTCCGTGGATATGCTTGATGCACTGGTCCATGTTGGGGCAGATATCAATCGTAGAGACTTTTTCGGCTTCACGCCACTCATCGAAGCTGGCTACTTTGGATATAGAGAAATAATCGACTGTTTGATTAAGCATGGTGCGGTCTTTACTGCCCGGGATGGCGTTGGTCATTCTATCTTGGAACACATCATGAACGGCAAATCTGAGATGAAGGAGCAGCTCTTGGAACATATCGGTCCATTTGCTAGTCAAGAACAGCTAGACAGGGCCCTAATATATGACTTTGAGAATACGAGCGGGCATACGGCGACGCTGGTAAAGCTTGGCGCAAATCCTGACAATGTGGGTCTATCGGCTGGTGACGTTCAATCCAACTCATCGTCATCGAAGGCTCTTGAATCTGATATACCTGAATGAAGACCGACATACCACAAGAGCATGACTCAATGTTAAACGAAGTAATAATTTTTAGCCTAGCGAATGTAGTAGTCTTGGAACCAGCCATCTTCCCGTTAACGGGTCAGACAACCGGAGCCGGAACCTCTTAGATTCTACCGTCGCCAATAGATTTAATCAAACATAAATACCTAGAATTTAATATAAGCATGCATATGTCAAAAAGGTTAGAATTTCTACAATATTCATTACATCTACTGCAGTATTCATGCATTGTACTGAACATGTATAAGTCGCTTTTCCGCTCTTGACACTGCCTGTTATTCGTAGCTTTGCAAATTACATATTGCTATCGATGCCGCTAAATGCTGATCCAATACCATTGAAACATACTTTCGGATGTAAATATCGTGATATGGGAACCCTGCCCGTCTTCCGTGAAACGCTGACCAATATCGAAAATCGGACACGATAATCATCGTAGCGTTGGATTGTGGGTTTTTGTAGTTATATATGAAGTTCCACGGAAAGACCCTTTCTATTGAAAATTAACATAAACTCACATAAAATGAAATAAAATCAAAAAATATAACTGAAGATAGATTTATTTCTCGTCAAATCACAATTTCTCGGGTTCTTGACACTCTATGAGATCGATTTGCGGCTTTGGGCGGCGACCGTAGGATACATGCTATGGCAGCCACATTTGCAACATTTGGAAGTTGAAACACTTGTGGTCTTAGAGTTATAAGCTGTTGCCACAATCGGCCTGGCGCTTTCTGAAGCTGCGGAACCACCAAAGCGAGGGAATCCAATGCATACTGGTTCGCCCTCTTCGGGGCGTTTCCCTGCCTGTCTCTTGGGTTCCACAAAACCTCCCGGCTCAGGAAAACTTATATCCACACCTTCCGTTGTCATGCAGCCGTTGATGTTTGCAACAAACATTGGTGGGAAAACCGGTGCATCCACCATATTTCTGGAGAGTGGATCTAGTGGCGTTTTGGCCACTGTGATTGGGGCACAGTTCATGTACATTTCACGGTTTCCGATTTTATTGAACCAAGTCCAAGCCAAGGTGTATTTTCCTGGCTGAATACCTTCAGGAATAATGAAAGGGAGTTCAAGATCATGGTCAGTGGTCGACAAACCATTGAGGTTCCATGATATGTCTGAGGGACAGCCACCTTCAAATGACTTGATAACACTCCACTTCGAAGTTTTACTTGGCTCGAGATCAGTTGTGAGACTGATTTGACAAGACCCACCACCATGTGTTGCACTGCCTAGCAGGCGAATGGCCTGATTCTCTCCGATATGATAGACGTTTTCATGTGAAGGAGCTCGAAAACTGTCCTGGCGAAGCTTGCAGGGAAAATCGCTACCATCAGCAGCTAATGGCGAATTATTCAGGGTATCATTGCTATATGGTTCAGGTGACGTCATGGTGAGATGGCAACGAACTAGCCAAATTGGAGTCCCAAATAGCAGAATATTCCACACAGAAAGTCTCATAGTAGCGACCAGAAGTTCATCGCACCCGGGGACAAATTTAATGTTTGAATTTTTATTTTGGAACTGAGCGAAGCTTTTCAAATAGGCAGCAACAGTCGCCAGCCAAAAAGACCTATCACTTAACCTCGAATAAATAGTTGCGTGTGCCATGCTCACTGCATGTGCTCCTCAATGCAATTGATTTTTCTTATATCGCACGGACTGCTATAGCCTACTGTGAGCTGCCAACCGATTATGGCGTACTTGTGATAATCTGATATATGGCCTCAGTTTCTTCAGACTGGCACCACAGTACATTATGCGGGATGCGATGTTAATCCGTAGCCGGACAAAAAATTTGACTGTGAGTACCAACACAGTATTACATATTGATTTTTAAGTGAGCTCTCCTGTATGGTTTGGATTGATGAAATTCAATAAGTGATGCCCGTTCGTTTGCTGAACGTTTAATCTTCACCTAGACCGAAGCCGCTCGACGAACCGTGATTAAAACCGGTCGCTCCATTAACAGTAAATTTTTTTCATTTATTCTATTTTTTATTTAATTTTATTGAATGCTCGTTTGGAACAGCGTACTCAAATAGTACTGAATAGTACTGTAGGGAATTTTCGATCTTAAGCTGAAACTGATCGCTCGCGACTGGTCATATTTCAAATTTCTCTACCATGATGGATAATTCCCCGCGCTCAATCACGAAACCCAGAAGTGCATCTAGTCAAAAAGCTCGAAGAAGAAGGGAAACACTTTTCAAAAAGCTTTCCGAATACAGTTCTGAGTGTGCTGCTGATATTCATCTGAGCATTCGGATGAAAGGTTCGGGCCAAATTTACACACTGGCGACGACTTTGGAAGGGTGGCCACTTTCACAAGATCAACTAGTAAGCCTTATACTCCACTGTCTGTTACAAATTGATCTATCGTAATGTGCTCACTGTCTATTGTCAAGAAATTACAATACCCCAAGCCAATCCATAAGAGTTTGCCAGACTCGATGAAATGAAACGGTGAAGGGTGGCCTAGACTCAGTGAAATGGGGGGAATTCAATGGCCGATAAAGGAATCTCGTCAGGTGGGCTGTATAGCAGGAATTTGTGCCTCAGATATGACGCCCAGGACTGCATTTGCCCGTATTAGTTGATTCCTCATGACCCATGGGTTGACACAAGAGCAAATTTCTATCGTGATTATGTATCCTCGGAGATATGCTATACAAAATGCTTCCTCATATCAAAGCGAGAACGTTACCATCTACATTCCGACATAAATTCAGTCCATTCTTCTTTCTCAGAAGCCCTGTTGGTTGTAGAGTAAGATAGCACAGCGAAGAGCATAAAGAAAGCCGGATTATGCTGCGTGTACATCAATCATTGAATCTAACAAAATTTATCCTCGGGAACATCTTTCAGCTTGAGATCATTCTCTGTTCTCATAGCAACGTCACTGAGGCTTTGGCTTATGTTCTTGTTCTATAATGAGGAAATTTTGATGTAAAATACCAAAAACAGTTTTAAATTGATTTTTGTTTAGAAGTAGTAAGCATCGTTTTCTGTAGTTTTGCTGGAAACTTGAATAATCAAAAATAGATGACCTGCTCAACCACAATTCTCGGAAAAGTCAAGCGTCACTTGTATTGGGCCAGTACAGCTTGGAAAAAAGAGACTGATTCAAAACAATAATCCTGACGCCATCACTTGCTCATGTTGTGTCGGAAAGAATTCGCTTCGAGATTCTGTGCCTCGGCAGGATCATCACTGCATTCCAGCTCTTCTAGTAGTATCCTAGTCTGATTTTTGGGCTCGGGGCATTGGTCATCTGCGGTACTCGTATGATGGCGTGGGGCGTCGTCGTGATTTGCACCTTTGCCTTTCCCGCCCGAAAATACAGCTTTCTGCGCGTAACTATCTTTCTTGGACCAAGGAAGGGTATCTTGCAGTGCCAAAAGCCTTTGTTCTGCGAGCCTGGAGAATTTTTTATCGCTCCTAATTGCTGATTGGGCTTTGCAAATGCCGTGCTTCGGGCCTTTATAATCACGATGTGACATTTTGAATGAGCGATGGTGAAATATCTAAAGATTAACGCCTAGAGGACTCAGCCAGGCCTATTTATATTCTTTCTAAGTACTGCTGATCTAAGCTTTGTATCATGGTTATACGTAAAAGCAACCTCGGAATGCTTTTCAGTCGTGCATGACTTTTCATCAAATTAGAGACTCAAACGCTCCTTGAGTATCATGCGATTACATGACTCAAAAATGAAATAGAACGACTATCAACTGTGAGTATTATTTCATCAACTACATCTCCTATCCACTCTGTATCACTTCGAGGAAATTCACTAATAAAGAATTGTAGGTTCAGAAAAATATTGTCTATACTTCAGAAGTTGATGAAGAGCATAATCTGGGTTAGTGCCTCAATTCAGTGAAGTTTTGACAAGGTTAGACAGGCTTACCAGCACCATGTATGCGTTTTACTCGGCAACTATGTATCAGTAGCTTCACAGATTCGAAAAACATAGTTCAGTGAATTGAGCCATCTATAGATGTGGTCTAGTTAGTACAGTCAGATTGGGCCCACCTTGGACATTTGCAGAGAGAAGATTGTCTTTATCAAGTAGGAGTCAAAAAGGGCGGGGGAGGGAGGCGTGGAAAAGAGATAGATTCTGCCGGTTCAAAGATGAGTTTCTGTATAGCATGTTGGTATTTAAATGCGAAGAGATTAATATACAGGCATTATTTCCTTCTCAAAGTATGACAATCATGTCATATATTTATCAGTTATGGGCAAGCCTGTGAAGCCCAAGCAGCTCGGTGGGTACATATCTACTGTGAGATCGTAAATAATTACTGTAGTTGAGAAATTGCCTCAAGCTACCCTGTCAGGCGACTGCGATAGACAAGCCTGGTTTCTACGGTGCTGGCATGCTTTATATAATGTAAAAAGAAATTCCGCAATATTAATTTCGAATTTCTTCACTACCGAGAGAATATTTTAATCCATATCTGAGTCGGGACAAAACGTGTGATAAAGGCCCGGAAGAATTCCCACATGCTCGTTTCTTTTAAACTGCAACATACATTCATTCTCATCGTTCCCTGCACCGCATGAAGCTCCGAGAGCACCGGCAGTAAGATAATGGTACACTTCAGCTTTTATCACCACCCGCTGCAGATGTTTCGGAACCTTCCGTGCGGCCGTGTGACGGATTTTGGGGATTTTGGAGACCAATTCTTTGCCCGTTCAATGGTGGTAGTTTATAAAGCTTGTAAACTAGGAAAACAGCCAAAAAGATAATAAATGTTGCCCCTGTTACAACAGTTGTTACGATAGACATCACCGACCAAACCCCTCGATTTGATGCAAAAACATTGATCAAGGTGGTAAGCAGTCCCGCACCGGCGTTTAAAGTCACTGGCCTGTTACAGGAGTTAGCAGCTCTTTCTTTCTTCTGGCCATTACAACACCCAAGTCTTACTTACATGAAAATCTTGTTCGTCAGCCACACGTAGTTTCCCCTTAGGCGCGGGAAGTGAAGTATCCACAGCATTGCTGCTATGCCGCTTGCAAGAAACAAACAGGCAATCCCGAGCAGTGGTGGATTTTGAATGGTGTGGAATATAACGCGGCCCGTTTTGTTAGATGTCAAAACATGTTCAATTTCCTTGGATGTCTGGAGTGATGCGAAGGTACCTGGGATGACAAGGTACCCGGCTAGAAGCGCCCAGTTGGCCGCACTAGCTGTGATGTTGTAGGTTGCGTCCATTTGGTCCTCTTCCTTTAGCATTCTTAAGTATTGATCCTCTTTGTCATTGCTGGGACAGTCCGTATTCTCTCTGGTCAAGGTGGCATTCTCTCTTGCGTAAATTCGGGCTGGAGGCGGCATCAGCGGTGCTTGGGAGTTGGTAGACATGCTTTCTGAATTTTGCCAATAAGTAAATTCCTACCTGTCCCAATCCAATACTATATGAGATATTTATATATTTTCAGTCAATGTTAAGGAATATCTTCAGGTTCAAAGCTTATTCGTTGAGTATCAAAACGCTATAAAGAAACCGACAGAGGTAGTATTTGTAATGCTTTCCTCATAATGATGATCATTACTCTATAATGTGTGCCCCTCGGCGTAAATCTTAGGGGATTTTTGAGAAATGCACAAGTGGTACTACTTTTTGATGCTGATTTCTGGATAAAAAAAAGATGAGGTCCCATTATCGGAATTAGAACAAAATTCCAGATATAAAAGCGCTCTAGCCTTGTGGTCTTCCTTTCTTAACCCGAAGCTGCGACCACCCGCGATGGCAGCATGGCTAGATATTGTCAGAGAAGGAGAGGATTGGACTTTAGTTGATACGGACCGGCTAGGAGAGCTTGTGAAGGGGATGCCGTTTCCTGAACGCCAATATCCGGATTTAATTTACTTCGCTGGTCATAAAAGCCGAATCAGAGCCCTAAGATCTTTCCTTCCACAAAATAATGTCACCCGCAAGGGTGCTAATGGGTTGGTCCGCCTACATATTGACCATAAGGCTATCAATACGGATAGTCCTCTCATGATTGCTGAGAGCAGTCTATGCGTACAGCAGAGTACTGGCGATACCAAATGGCTCAGACACGCGACTACCAAGCATCGAAAATACGCAATCTCGACGGCGAGAGGCTTGTCTTCCGCTGAATCAATACAGGAAGAAACAAAAAGACAGCTCGTCCTACCATGGACTCGGGTCTTGTGCTTGTTTGTCGAATCCGAATCCGATCTCAAAGCCACGCAAAGTTTGCTCCAGCAACCACATAGGCAGCTGAAAGTCGGGAGCCAAGCTATTCGATCTTCACCCGAGGTGATCATTATAATCAATAAGAACATTCACGGGTCAGCGATCGCCTCACCAAGATATGAAAAACTGCGTCAGATAGTCGAGGGAGGGAGGATCACATTCCTAGATCTGAGTTCAAGATCCAGTCTTTCTGATAGGATCACTTTTGAGCCGTTGTGGGCCCTTATATCTGAGAAGCTGCAGTCAATCCAGGCCGAAGATGAGATAGTCTGTGGTCGGTTTTCTGCTTTTCATCTGAGCTCATTCTGGGGCGCAAGTGTTCCAGCCAATGGCCAGCTCTGGAAAGCATCGCCATTAGATCTGCTAGCTCAAGCTCGGATAGGGTTCCCCAAAACCGAGAAGAAAGATGAATTCCTGCACGAGCTTTTGCACAGCGCGATGTCCTCTGTCAACCATAGTGCTGTTCCAGAAGGATTGGTTGAAGCTGTCGCTTCGGCTTTTCTGATGAATGCTTATCCACCGGGCATGCACGGTAGGGCTGACAGTCCCCAACTAAATACCAACGCTAACGATTTTAGGATTCCCTCCCTCAGTAGTTTTTACCGTCCTATACGAGGCTCATTGTACAGGTATCTGGAACTTTTATCCTTTTGGGAGTCTCACCGAACGCATTCGATCGCGCTTTGTTGAAAGGTTCGCGGAATTGAGCGTCAACAGAACTTCCTCATCTATCCGCAAAGATGCACTTGGCCAATTTCATCGTCAGGGAGGGAACCTTTATTCCACTACCACCTGCTTTGTTTGCTTGCTTCGGCCCCCAGAGCATATGTTACCATGTACACACGCATTGTGTGACACCTGTGTGGCGATATTTGGGAATTTTGAACCCTCCAGGGCGTATCAAGTAGAAATTGCCCAATGTCCGATTTGTGAGCGCAAGTGCAACATGACCATCCGTCAGCTTCCTCCGACAAAGCGCCCCGTTATTCTCAGCCTAGACGGAGGAGGTATCCGCGGCCTCATCCAGCTGGGGCTTCTCTGTGCATTGGAAAAACGCATTGGTATACCCATTGCATTGCTGCCGGACTTGTGCGCCGGAACGAGTGTAGGTAGGTATGACCCCGGTGGAGAAATTGGTTTCTATGCTTAAAAGCTTACAATCACTTGCTTCTAGGTGCATTGGCGGCAATTGACATCTTCATCAACGGTAGTTTGGCCACCGGCTGTTTCCTCAAATTCCCCGATCTGGCACGAAAGATTTTCCGTCGTGAATACAGGCATCCGATTCTTCGCTATGCCCATTGGCTGGCCTCTGCATTCAATCTGACCTCCCACGGGCTCTACGATTCGAGAAGGTTATCGGAAACTTTACAAGAAGCCATCAATCCCGGTCGTCGAGTCTTTGATGTTCCCACCATGAGCCCGTCAGGCTGTCGAGTGGCTGTTGTAGCAAGTCGTACCTCCGATGGAAAGGCATGCGTGATGGCAAACTATCGAGGAGTTGGTCGGAGTGCAGCTCCTGCTGCTTATCACTTTGTGATTCCCCACGACAATCAAGAGGACCTGGATTTGATAGAAATGTAAGTCCAATTCCATATGGGACGCGCGCATTCGAATTTGGGGTAGCAGGCATTGCTAATACTATTTATAATGTGGCAGAACAATCTCCAGCGTTGCAGCACCCTTGTAAGTTACCCTTTCCGTTGTGTTTTACAGGTCAAGCTGACAATTTTGAGTTATTTCTCGACGAAAGTGTTACCTGGTCTAGGGCCGCTACAAGATGGCGGAGTGCGTGCAAACAATCCGTTGTCAATTGCTCTGCGCGAGTCAAGTATGGTTTGGCCTGCGGCAGAAAGACATGATCTCCTTCTTTCAGTCGGAACCGGGTGGTCGTCTTCTGTCCAAGATCCCTCCTCAGGCTGTTGTAGTAGACTACGGGAGGGTGCTCTCCCGCGTCTTCTCCGGGCCTTGATGTTCTCCCCCTCGATGGACGGCAAACAAGGATATTTCGAAGCACTCAATTATCTTCCTCATCATTCAAAGCCGGATGTTTTTCGACTTGATCATGAGACCCATGGTCCAATACCCGAGTTAGATGATATCAATTCATTGGAAAAGATGCTAAAGATGAAATTCGCCGTCCCAGATCCGCTCATTCGGGCAGTACTCGCGACGGCAATGTTTTTCTTTGAGCTGGATGAAACCCCCGTGAGAAGCCACGACAGCTTTCAATGCCGAGGCTCGATCCTTTGTGCGAGACCCGGTGCTGTTTCGATCCTCCAGCGAGTGTTAGTCGAATGTCCCGGTGCACGGTTTCAGACTAGCCACGGTTGTGATCTAGGAGATGTGAGCTCGCTCAATTGTTGCAATCTTTGCGGGTACTTTCGAAAGCCAGTTGCCTTCCTGGTGGCCAGCCTCGGGGAGAGGGTATCCATAGAAATAATAAGTGGCAGGCACTGCGACAGGATTGGAGGCTTTCCAACATCCATACAGAAGCTACTTGATAATCAACAGGCTTTTGCTCCTTTTGGGCGCGCGGACCATTTGGTCTTAGAGTGGCCTCGACACAGGCAATGCTCCTGTCATGATGGAAAAAAGCGTCAGGTTCAATTCTCCGACCAACCATGCCTGTCCAAAAAAAGACGACTATAGAGATTTTTCTTTGGTGGCGCATCTGATTGGAACGCAGAGTTTCATTTTGGTGATCCCCATGGCCTTTTCCGATCGTCACATTCTTACTTTGTTCGGGCACGGATGCGTGATCAATTCAATTTCGAGCGCAAGTTATATCGACTTAAAAAAATGTATCTTTGAAGTACTGGCAATCTATCATTTATTATCTAGTGTTGAAGTCAGAGATCGCTGGTGATAATCTTTTACCGCTGCGAAAAAGTAATGATCGTTAATGAATCAACGTTTTCAACCATGAATTTAGCCATTAGTACATACTCCGCCCCTTCAGTGATTAGGTCGTGTTTATTTCAATGTTCTTCCTATCGAATTGGTCACAAGGTTTTATTTCCGCATGCATCAAGATCCCGCAATATGCAAACCGATTTTTCCGACAATAGCTCGAGCATCTACAGCAGACCTCTTGATGCGGCAAAACATGAGACTTCAGCAAACCCACTTCCTAAAATTCCCTCGGTTGGCTTATCGGCCCCTGAAATCAACCTTCTAGATCACCAAATTGCCTTGGCAAGAGGATCTACGATGGCCTTGGAAATGACACGGTCGCGTCTACAGCTTTGCAAGGGACAGATCAACATACCACGTGACGATTTGAGGAGACAAAAGCTACGACAAAAGGCTCAGCAGCAACGCGAAAACGAATTCTATCAAGATTGTTTTCAAATATTTCGCCAGCTTATCATCACAATCATGGAATCCACACAGGATTTGGTATTGCAGTATCATTTCCATCCCGGGAAAGGGCCGGTGAAAGATCCACGCTTGATCCGAACAATCATACTCTTAAGTGTAGCACTGGACAAATCACGAGCCGAAGAAGCTGAGGCCGAGAAACAATTGAAACAACAATGGGGCGTTCCCTCCACGCTTTCATCAGCCTCTGGGTGGCTATGATAGTGAGAATATAGCCATGCTTTGTATAGCTGAAGAGCCCAAAGTCTTTCTTGCAATCATGGCCCCGTCGGTATTTTTGAATACGGGAAGCAACGGACTGTTTACATGCTCCAGTCCAGGAAATACATTGTTTAGTGCCCTTGAGTTAGCTCTTCGGCTTGCTTCATCACATTCAGCTTCACTCTCCGCGATTTCGAACCTCTACGTACGTTTTACACAGCTTACGAATTTTAAGTCAATTTATGAAAATTCAAACTCGGTGCCTATGTAATTACTGACTTCAGCGATGAATTTGTCTTCATGAGATTTCTGGAGCCTGTTTTCAGCCTCGGGCAGCAATTTCAAGCGTTTTTCGTGGTCCTTTGGACAGGTATCGCATAGCAATAATTGCTGGTCGAGATTTCTCCACAGCTGAGTGTTCAACTGGTCCAGACTTGAGATTTTCTTCTTTAGAACTTTCTGAAGACCACGGAGGCTATGCGACATTTCAAACCCAGCAATGCATCTGACTAGCTTGATCGCAATATGATTCATTCGCAGCAGAGTATCTCGTTCCTGCTCAATCCTGTGAACTGCGGCATGACGAATGTTTGTAATAACGCAGCGCCACCGCTGAATTGCTTTTCCATGCCAAATTGAAGCGACGGTCTTGAATGTTGCCCTGGTATTTTGCTAGGAAGTTGAAAACCCTGTGCAGCTCCACTGACTCGGAACATTTCCATCCAACTTTAATTGACTCCGACGGTAGCCATCGGACGATGAACTGGAAGAATTGAGTTTCCAGGTGCCGCTGTATACATCGTAGAATGATATGCTGGGCTCAAAATGGTAGATAGTTTGAAGAGAATCCTGGCATGGAAGCTATTTTGTCTCGAATCTCTGTTTGGAAGGGTGGGCAAAATTTCTGTCTCTCTGTGTAATCAAAGATCCTCTTCCTGTCTTCCAGTATTCTCGCTGTAACATTCATGGGTCGCATAAAGTGAGACAACAAGACGAGCTCGAGAACAAGATAAAACTTGGCTAGTTCCTCTCAAAGCCCCTCGGACCAGGAATATATCTATACTATTGTATTTTGCATCGATTTTGTGAATCATTCAAAATAGCAATCAAAAGACGTATGATTGTCATCATATTCTTGGTGCCTTCGATCTGTGTATATTCTTCGATGATATGTCTTTAGTCCGATAGTGACTTTGATGATAAATACAACACAATTCTTCTTCCAAACACGAAGTCTACAGTATCGATAATCTATACCTTTGACAAGAGTTATGATCATTTGGGGTTCTTTCTTGATAGTAGTTCTGGCTTTTGCAATCCCCATGGTAATTGTTTCCAATCCTCTCGTCTGATCTTCTAGCTATTTATCATCCTCTAGGCTATTCGTCCAATGCCCCCAGAACTTTCCGCGGCACTGAAGGTAACTCATATCATCTATAGCTTCCTAGTTTCATCGAAATCATGTATCTTACTAATTCGTTCTTCTGCAGCTAGAGTCGCCGATAGCGCCACCGCGCCAAAGAGGCGCCAGCAAGCCACTACATCGCTCTCCAAGTAATAAAGATCATCTCATATGACAGTACGCCTAGCTGATGACATTTCATTCCAGGTAATCATCATCCGTCTTCAAATCATGTCCTTGCCCACTGGCATGGAAAACATCACTCGAAGCACAAGCATAAGCATTTGGCGGGATAGATGGAAGGAAACTAAAGTCGGTCAACGGGCTCTATGTAAACAACGATTCCCTTCCTAAGATCTGTATCGGCTATAATAAGGAGCATACATGTCTTGATAATTTGATATCTTGCGCGAAATGAAATTTGGAGTACTATAGCTAGTTTGAATATCTTTTGGATCACTCCCTGTCTTAGAATTATAGCAGATAACTATAATGGAAACCAGCCCATTCAATATCTCATACATTTGACTAGTCTACAGTCTCTTGAGAATGGATTGAATGACGCCGATTTTGTTCGATCATACTATTGCACGACGATATTCGTCCAGGTAGTGTGCCAGATCCTCCCATATGCCTCTTTCTCGGATTGGAGTATCGACACAGTGGGGCATGCTATGCGTTGGCTGACCAAGGTTTGTTGTCTCATAATCGCGAGATGTTTTGACGATAGGGGGGCTTGGCGCGGTTTCTCTTCTATGCATTAGCACTTCATGGGAAAATCAGTATAAGATTTTGGACCTTCTTCTCGCCCTTACCATATCTTCTGCTGATGGTGGAGTGCTGTTCGGGTGAGAATGGTAGGTCACGATTTGACCGTCTGGGAGCTCCATAACCAGCCAGCTTTTGATCCCATACAAAAGCCAAAATTCATTGTGACGGCGAAGCAGGTTGTTACGGCGTTTTCGTAGTTGCTCTTTCTTGACCCGAGTTAGAACAGGAGCCATCTTTGAAATGTATGAGGAAATAATTCAAAGCCAGATTAGCAACTTTATACATGTATTCTGCACTAGTTCGACATCTGTCCCAGCACAATGGTGAGCTATAAACACAAAAGAGCTTTCAGAAGCTTTCAACGTTTATGAACCCCAAGTCAGGCGAAGGCAGTTTTCCCAAAACGAGCCAGATACTGAGGATCAATGTTGAGAGCACAGAATATTTCTGCGGCCGCAAAATTCAAAACACCTATCACCTATTCTAACAAAGTAGCCTCTGGAGGTGGAATACTGGAAATTTGGTCGCATCTTAACTTATAGTATGAAGTAAAACCCACGAAGCTTGCAAGAACATTTGACGCTTTTCCCTTTAGACTCAGCAATCCATATCACTACTGTCCTTCAGGTCAGGATGCCTCTAAATGGGCCATCCAAAACTTCTCTGGAGTAGGTGATCAATGAAAACTAGAACATCACAGAACGCTCACTGATTTTGAGACTAGGAAACTCAAATATCCAGCATGTATTTCCTGTACATCGCTGTCCGCTCCCCATGATGTCTCCACAACTCGCGCAGCCTTGCTTCCAAACATACCCAGCAAGGAACGAACGCTTCCGTCGGAACATCTTTTCGTGACAACTGTTCCTAGTCCAGCTGTTTCTGATATTTCTTTATCTTACTCTGAACCCACTTCTCAAGTTGACTTGGTATCCAATTTGACGGAACCGAGATACTCTACGGCCGCCACTTCATCATATGAGAGTCAAGTACCCACCACTGCAGATGTACACGGTTTCAAGCATTCAGCTCATGGTCTCGAGCATTACATACCTGGGACCGATGGGAAACATGTATTCCCGTTGACTTCTTACGGCAACCAGGAGCAACAAGCTTTAGATACCCTTGAACCATCTACTTTGGAATCTTGGTCAGACCCTGAACCGGCTTCGCTTTCTTTGCCAATGCCCATACTGTACAGTAAGATGACTGGGGATCCTGGAAGTGTAATGTTTTGGGGCAAAGAAGGCTCGAAAGGCAGCTTATCAGATACGGGACTACCTCATACAGTTGGGTTGAATGACTGGGGAAGCGTATCTATATCCAAACAGCATGGAGGCCACTCCGCTCAGTCTTCAACATCGATAGATAAAGCCACGCTAGTACAAACGAGCACGAAAGACGACACCTCTACATCTGCCCTCATGACATCAACCAGATGGATGCATGATCCAGCGTCCAGTCGTATAAATTGGTCAACAAGAGTCTCCAAACAGGGTATGGAACTAATTCTCATGACTGTGGTTGGAGGGAGCCTTGCATTTGTAGGTATGGTGCTTCTACACCGTCTCATAGCTCGCTTCTTCCAAAGAAAAAATGAGCGATCTAGATACCATTCTTCTGTGTCGCCGGCGAATAGCTTTTCAAGAGAAGACCTGTCTAGCACACGTATTTCAGATTTAGCGGAAGTTTCGCATTTCTCAATTGAATCTTAAACGCATATTGCTTGATTTTATGTAAAAGGTCATGTAAAATATATGTATGGGCATGATGGGTATCTCGTAACAAGGGCCCTTTAGAATATGTCGATACAATTTTTTGGAAACACGAGTTGATGGCTTCGGGAAAACGGATATACAGTATCACAATTAAAAACAGCGTCCCCGGGAAATAAATCGTAATGCAATTGAAATACCGGTAATGTATGTACCGTTACTGGGAAAGATACCGACAACGTCGGGAAGTTGCCTATTCCGGCGAATTGAACTGGTGAGATATGAACTGGTGAGATATGAACTGGTGAGATATGTACCGGTGAGATGTGAACGGTGAAAAGTAGGTCATTTAAATCTGGATTATTAAGAAGCACTAGTGAAATACGGACTGGTAAAGAGTGACTGGTAAGAGCCTGACAGGTGAGAAGCAAACTGGTGAGAAGTAAACGGGTGAAGAAAAAACCGGTGAAGAGTGACTAGTGAAAGTGACTGGTGAAAGTGACTGGTGAAGAATGACTGGTGAAGAGTGACTGGTGAAGAGTGACTGGTGAAGAGTGACTGGTGAACTATAGGCTGGTGACAAGTAAACTGGTGAACCGTTGAAACTTTTAACTATTGAGACTGAGGATCAACTGGTGAAGTTTGAACTGGTGAAAAGTCAAATGGTGAGAAGTGAACAGGTGAACAGTAATTGGTGAGGAGTAAACGGGGAAGATTAAACGGTGAAATCGAACTGATGAAGCTAAGATGTCCAAATGTAGGCGAGTGAAGTCGACTGTTGAAAAGTAAACCGGTGAGATGTGAACCGCCAAAGATTAAACCGATGAAGGATAAATGGTGAGAGAGGTGATCAAATAGATCAAAGGTTGGATTGAGAATGCGTTTATACAGAAAATAAGTAGATTTTTAGAGTAATTCCTGCGGCTAGTTTTACCAAAGGTGATCACCGACCCGGGGACCTGGTGGTGAGGGCGGGAAGGGCATCGAAAGTGGTGAGTCAACACCCTCATTTTGCCAACTCGTCCGCCAATTCCTAGAATCTGCCGTCTTGATCATGTGACTGATGACTCATCTACATCATCACCTCAATAAACTATCATGGCCCTTTCAAACACGACCCCCCTTCCTAGAAGACACAAGCCAATAATATTTATAATGTCTAGACCTAACCCGTGAAAAAAATACATCAAATTGAAATTCGGGCCACCAAGTCTCATGGCATACTCATCAGCTATAGCGAGCGCAATTCCCAAAGAAAATAATGCGATTCAAAAGCCTCCCAGTGATAATTCATTCGATGCTACTCAAAGCCTCAACCCCAATTTGAGTGAATCATACGTCAGGTTTTTTGTACTGCTTTTGTGGATATTGTCGCACGTATCTACGCCACCACCCCAACCCCTAGGGCGAAGAGAACAGCCCATGGGTGGAATACCTTTACACCGCCTGCCTTGGCCGCGCCAGGAATCTTCACGGGCGGCCGACCTGGCGCTCTCGCATCATACTATATCAAAAAGTGCTCCAAGACCTATAGCAATGTCTGGGTCGAATATCCGGGTTTTCGATCTTCCCTCAATACTGATCACGCGCCACGGCCACCAGATAAGGGGTGTGCCTAAAATGCAGCGACTGGGTCAAGCGATAGCTCGTCGCTCACAACGCATGTCCCGGTCACTTCGCCGTTCATATCTCCGCAGATCACGGCCGGGGTCGGATTGTTTATTCCGTGCCCTGAAAATCTTAGCCAGCACACTGAATCACAAACAAGACTTTCTATTGTCGCAATCGCTACCAAGCCATGCTTACTTCTTTGGATCTTTCATACTGAAACGTCTTGTAGAGGGTTCTGAGAAGGTCGTGGTGGACGGAGATCAGAAGGACTTTATAGATCTACTTACCCTAGCGGTCAACCAATACGCTTCAAAATAACATTTTATATATTTCGTCATCTTAGATTTACCTGGTGTCTCCATGTGCTACTCTAGCTGCCAGATTTTCAAGGCGAGAATAGGACCGCAGAACAATAGCTGTATTTCAAACTTAGACTTGCATATGGCAACTAGGAGATAGTGTAATCGACTGAATTCGATGTAGTCATTCCAAAAAACAGGTACTTTTTCCAGCCTGCTCGAAAGCACTAAAAATTGATTCCTCTGCTCAAAACTTTTGTCATTCCAGAAATGCTTCGCATTCAATTTCTCTTCGCTTGTGTACAAGGCTTGATATGGAAGACATGACATGACCAGCTAGTAAAGTGACCTAGGGTTAAAGTTTCAGCCACCAGAAGGCAATCTGCACGTATTCATAGTATAATGCCTTATACTATCAAACGGAGGAATCGGGATATGGGAATGGAGCCGTGCTCTTCGAAATTGCAGGAGGAGGAAATGGGGCGGACTCAAAACTGCTCGGAAACGGGGCTGACTCGAAGCTGTTCCCAGGATCATCTGGTGGATAAATGTAGGGTGTGCTTTGGTAGACACGAAATTCAGACCCATGGACTCCAGGACTGGCAATGGTCCAGTTCGAGCTGTCCAATCCTAGTGTATAGAGAGTCGGTGTGTCCTCGTCGTTATTCTCGCTAATATGCGGAGTGCTGTCTTCCAGAAGCTCGGGCCACAGCAGCTGGCCACTCATGGCATCATGATCCATTAAATAACCAAAGAACTTCTTGAATACCGATATACGGAGAAATCTCGATGTGACACGCGTCTCTCTGCTTCTTTCCTTCAGCGATACCACTGATAGAGCGTATCGGTCGGCTTCCACAGTATCCACCGAGGGTTTGCCACTCCTTTTCTTGACATCCACTTCTTCTAATGGATTTTCAGGGTGGTCGCAAGGTATTTCGGATGGTAATATGACTGGCGGGGCTGAAAAATCGAAAGTATTGGGTGTTCGGAGACCCATGACCACCATTTTCATGTAGAAATGCTGCCAGAAATCTGTACAGCTGGGGAGAGGCAAGTGCTGCCGGCTAGACGCTGTTCCGAACGCCGGACTACTTGATGATTGGAGCCGCCTCCAATCGGTCATTTCGAATCCATACTGGAAGCTGAAGCGCCAGAGCTCCAGAATGTAAGTTCGAAACCTGGCCTTTAGGGCTGCTGGGTCGAGCGTTGATCCTATCTCCCATAATCCATGAACACCATTGTCGATTGTCAGTTTATCATCAGCACTATTTGGTTGGAGAAATAGCTGCTTCATGACACTTTGTGGTACTTCCAGATAGAGACGGTCTCTGAAAAAAGTCTTTAACGATGGAATTGGAGAGTCGATCTCCTTCAATCGGTTCCAGATCTCCCGTCGATCATTTTCTGAAAAACTGGGGAAAAGCACGCCTTCGTCAAACTTCTTCTGCAAGAATTCTTTGTCCTTTTTGGAGACTTTAGGGACTCGGGACTCGATGAGGTTGACAGTAACACCGTCAATTAATTGTAAGCTCTGGATGTGGCCTCCAACAATCCCTAGGAATGTGGTCAAAATACTTCTCCAATAGCACGAAATTGCCTGGTTTTCCAGTTTTATTAGCCTCTGGTCCACCGAAATCTGGCACCGGAAGTCTAACGTACCTCGTCACAGTGCATAGCGGTAACTTTGTGCAGGTTTCCAATCTGCATTCCATCCCAAAGCCCTGGAATGGCAAGTAGCGAGTTCAACTGACGGGTCAGGAACTGGTTCCTGAAGAATAATCTCAGATACTGTCCTTTCTTGCTTCCTGCGACTGACTCTAGGGCCGCCCACCAGCATTCCGCTGCCCGTTGATTCTCGGGCCCGTCAAGACGACCCTCATAGTAATTGATACGCTCATATATCAACCCATCTGATGGCCGATGCTCGTTTGAAAATCGTTCTCGTAATGATTGGAGGAGCCTTCCCTGGAGCTCGTGGGCAGTTGCATTGAGGTTATCTGAAGAAGGTAGTTATTAGTCAGAGGAGATCAGGCTTTGAGTCAATCAAAAGGATCCGTACCAGGCTCTTCCTCGGTCAGATAGACATCCACCACCCACCACTGGTTGTTGAATGCGAGTGTGTTTCTGGCAGCTACAATTAGATTCTCGTGGTCTAACGCTCGTAATCCGTAATCCAAATCCACACTCAAGCTAGGAAGGATCCCGTTGTCCGACCGCGGATGCACCCGATGTTGCCAGTCTGCCTGGGATACTATGACGGACACATGATTTTCCTTCATCAAACGATTGCAACCTTGTATTTTCAAGATTCGTTCGAGACGGCGAACATTCCGACGCTGATCCATACGTCGCTTAAATCCCGTTTCAAAGACGAGATGGGACATATGCACCCTGGCCGATAGCTTGAAGCGACTCTTAGCATAAGCATAGAGTCTACACTCCAGGTCATCCGTTTCTGACTGACCAGGAGACGCCATGTAGAGTACTTTCCGAGAACAGAACTGGAAGAGAGACGGTTCGGGAAGGCCGAAGTTGTAGACCTACTTCTTGCTACTTGGCTGGAGTTCTCTTGATGTTTTATATCGTGTGATATATTGGGCATGTAGTGAAACTTTCGACCTCATAGATTTGGCACAAAGTTGGCACATACCTTCAAGTATAAAACTGACATTATGATTTTCTGATGCCGACCACCTCCTTATCGCTTGAAGTACAATATTGTGCTGTAGACAGCCAATACTGCGACACTAGACTCATAAAATTTCGACAAAGAGACATTCAGAAATTTACCTCACATTAAATCCGCCCATGATAGGAAATTTGAGAGGCTTTGAGATCTTCTGAATATATATATACATTCTCCTCCAAATTGTCAGATACACATTCTCTCGACCGTCTCTGGTATATGAAAAATATTCTAGAGCAATGAAGCTCCGAACAATACCAAGGCTAGATCGGCTTGTCTCAGCTGCTGCCTTGTCGCTTTCGATCGCAGTCTTCCCCTGTCTGATCTTGATATTTGTCAGCTGCTCCTCACCCTCCACATCCCGCGAGCTTTATTTTCTTAAGGTAGGACGGTTTTCAAGCATTCTTCCGACCAAAGGTTAATTTATAGTATAGGTAGATCTAACGGACTTTCCTAATATCGACCATTTATTGTCCCGCGGGTCTATTGGGATTGAGGATGTGGGTTCCTCGGCTATTGTTCATGACGGAGCAAATGCGGTCAACAATGTACCCTCGACTGCCCGTGAGGGTGCAGATGAAGCATCTTCAAAAACATCGTCGGCGATTCATCATACCATTCAATCGGAAGCTGATAAGCTGAAATCCCACATTCCACAACACTATTCAGTGGGTCTTTGGAGCTATTGCACATCTGGACATAACTCTGAGTCCACCTGTTCGGACCCTAGCTTGACATTTGCTTTTAATCTGTCTTCCACGCTTAGTTCCACTGTAGCAAAAATGGAAAAGGTGCTCCAGCCGGTAGGCGAGTCGACAATATCGGGTTATCGCCAGATCTCTCACGCCATTATCTATCTATACATATCTAGCCTCGTTGGAAATACGCTAGTAGCCGCCCTTGGCATTCAAAAGACTTTCTTTGACAGAGGGGACAGGCTTTTGTCCATCCTCAGCCCGGTATGTGGGACTCCAAGTGAATCTGACGAATAGATGTGGCTGACCATGCTAGCTGTCTGCGCTTTTTATCACGACCGCGACGGTTGGGGTGACAGTGATGTACGGACTATTTGTCACCGAAGTAAAAGCTAAATTAAGTGATATAGGTGTCAAGGCAATCCTTGGCTCACGACTTTTTGGGGCCGCATGGCTGGCAGTTTTCCTATCTATCGGATCATCGATCATTTGGTTGATACAGCTCTTTTGTTGCTGTATTTGATGCCACACCCATGCGAAGATGACTAGGTCATTTGCGTTTGAAGTGGAAGATTCGAGAAAAATCGGCTTTTTAGTTGAATGGACATGGGTGCCATAGCCTATCTGAATGTACTATGCACACCACAAGATTATAAATATTGTTTGGTTTCAAGTATACTAGATGAGGTGTCTCCCAATGTTTCGAACTGAGTCGATTTTTTTTTCTGTCTCGTCTGGCCCGTGTGTGTCCTTAAAGTCTTACACTTCATGTAGTTTCTCGCAGGAGACTTGGTTGAGTATTTTATTCAGAAACCGCGAGAATTACAGGTAGGATCGAAAACAGTTTCACCAGCTGCAAACACACAGATTCTTTCTCGAACTCTCATTCCAAACACGCTAATCTGTATCTCGCTTAGCGTTGTTTTAAGTATGGAATTGTATTGAAATATCGTATCGTGCGGGGTCCAGGTTAATATATTACGTGAAACCCGCTTACATTCGATCCGGGGACCTCATTGCGACTTATGACAGGATCCCCACTCTTGTCATCTCCTTCTTACACTGGGTAGAAACGCTTTCGAGTGATAAGTCAATTTCCCTCACTTCATGCACTCTAAAACAGTCGCCTATAGAAAGCGATTTGGGAATGTTCAAGCTCAAGGAAGAAATTGGTCTTGGAGAATTGGATATGGGAGTATCTAGTTTATCTACGAGCTGATATTAAGTTGTCCGTTTCCCACGCCAGCAATGTTCGAGAAGTAGATAGAGTTTGCGGATGATCTGAGCCAAGTTTTTGTCTTCGCTTGGCCAAGCATTTCCGTAGCAAGTTGGTTGCTTGAGCATCGTGAACTGAATATTTCCAGGTGAAGGCTAGATTGGCCATACTCGTCAGCGTGTCGGGATGATCCTCGCCGAGCTTCGTCTTGCTCGTCTCCATCACCTGCACGTCGAGCTGCTCGGCCTCTTCCCACCGGCCCTGGTTCCGGTATGTCGATGCTAGGTTGGCCATGCTCGTCAGCGTGTCGGGATGATCCTCGCCGAGCTTCGTCTTGCTCGTCTCCATCACCTGCACGTCGAGCTGCTCGGCCTCTTCCCACCGGCCCTGGCCCCGGTATGTCGATGCTAGGTTGGCCATACTCGACAGTGTGTCGGGATGATCCTCGCCGAGCTTCGTCTTGCGAGTCTTCATCACCTGCACAAAGAGCTGCTCGGCCTCTTTCCAGCGGCCCTGGTTCCCGTACGTTGATGCCAGGTTATGCATGCTCGCCAGCGTGTCGGGATGATCCTCGCCGAGCTTCGTCTTGCGAGTCTCCATCACCTGCACGTCGAGCTGCTCGGCCTCTTCCCACCGGCCCTGGTTCTGGTACGTCGATGCGAGGTCGGCCATACTCGACAGCGTTTCGGGATGATCCTCGCCGAGCTTCGTCTTGCGAGTCTCCATCACCTGCACAAAGAGCTGCTCGGCCTCTTCCCACCGGCCCTGGTTCCCATACGTCGATGCCAGGTTATGCATGCTCGTCAGCGTGTCGAGATGATCCTCGCCGAGCTTCACCTTGCGAGTCTCCATCACCTGCACGTCGACATGCTCGGCCTCTTCCCACCGGCCCTGGTCCCGGTATGTCGATGCTAGGTTGGCCATACTCGACAGTGTGTCGAGATGATCCTCGCCGAGCTTCGTCTTGCGAGTCTTCATCACCTGCACAAAGAGCTGCTCGGCCTCTTCCCACCGGCCCTGGTTCCCATACGTCGATGCAAGGTTGGCCATGCTCTTCAGCGTGGAGGGATGATCCTCCCCGAGCTTCGTCTTGCTCGTCTCCATCACCTGCACAAAGAGCTGCTCGGCCTCTTCCCACCTCCCATCAAGCCAGTATGCTGTGGCCAACATGCTTGTGCTATCAATGACTTCTTCGTGTTCATCACCTAATAAAATCCTTCTTTGATATCTTGATTTTGATGCCATTTCTCTTGTATCCGTGATGTTACCGCTTTGCGATGCATACCATGCACCTCTATAAAGCAATGTAGCCCATTGTTGTAGACACTGAGGTGATGCTGGTCGCTGTGACATTGCGGATTTGACATGAGGAAAAAGTGCCCTGCACTTCACCCAGTTTTCGTATTCACCGGTGGGAAATTCGTCGCATAGGATGCTAATGAATCTATCCTTCCATCGGTCCATTTGTCCGTGAGATTTCAACCATGCGCGCGTAGTCAGTTGCACCAGCCGATGCATAGTAAATAAAGTGCTGTTCTCACTGATGGATATGAATGAGTAATTCCTTAATGTTGTAACATCATCTTCAAATCCGGGGTCTCCATCGGATTCAGATGACTCCCCATCACTGGAGCCGTCAAAGAGTTCTGGACCAGAGTTGCAGTTAGCCTCAGGCCGAAGCCGAATAAGGTTTTCTGGTATCCCTTGCCGGTCAAAAAAGCTCATGAATGAAAGTAACTCTGCTGCAGACGGATTTGTTTGGCGAAGATGATTGAAAGATATTTGCCACGTCACCAGAATTGAATTCTTTGCTTCCCAGTCCCGGGAGAGGCGACCTGCCTCTTTCTCCAGAAGTCTTGTCGCTTTACGGTCACTCCCTTCGAAGTCTGCTAGGTATTGGGATACCGAATAACGAGGCGCCCGGTTTCGAATATGGCTAGCGGCCTGTATGATCGCTAGCGGCATGAATTCCAACGCGTTCACTAATTGTAGACATTCTTGGCTTTCCTCTAGCTGGTTAAGCTTTCTTCGAAGAAGCTCCAGCGACTCAGCCTTTTCCATCGGTTCTACTTTTATAAGGTTCTCATGGTCGACCATTTTCAACGCAACCTCTCTGCTCCGACTCGTAATAATGATAGATCCATTTTGTCTTCGAGGAACATACTCCAAGAGTGGCTTTTTTGTTAAGCCGTTCGTTGGGCCGATCGTTGGATCTCCCTTCTTGCCTGCCGTCGGAAGCGAGCAAAGGAACTTATCGTCATCGACATTATCAAGAATACAAACCCATTTCCCTAACTTCTCATCCCGGAGCCTGTTCTCGACCAGTTTAAATATGTTAACTTTCGGATCCTGGCGACCGTGGATTTTGACCTGATCCGCTATGTCCCGGAAACTTTGCTCGAATCGAGCTTCGTTACTTGCATGGACCCAGAAAACCCATGTCGCTGGCGATATGGACCGGACCTGATAGGAGTATTCGATGGCAAGCTGTGATTTCCTTCGAGTTGTGAGCAAAAGCCTACGTTCTCGTCGCTCTACACTCACCCGACACCGCCGAGGCCCACCAACGCGACTCTCGATCCTCCCCCTGGCACCGAGATTTTGTCATGAATCTGATGGAGCAGCGTGTCGCGAGTGACAAATTCCGGATCGCGCGGGAATGGGACAGTTGATAGAGGGCTAGGCGGGGTTTCCGGTCGCTCTGGGGTCGGGCGGTGGTCATTATTAAGCCGACTTGCGACCGTGTCCAATTCCTGACTTACCCGGCGGCAAATGGATTTCAGCGTGGATCGAGCCGCTGCTGTGTCCAACCTGTAGTCCATGATTGTAGTCTCCAAATGATACTGATTCCATTATGAAATAAAGTGCCTTGTGTATGGATTATGGCAGGAATGCTTCTTGGACCCCACAAGCTGAAAGAGGGGCAAGTTCTCAGCCTCGTCATCATGTGACACAAGAGCACAAGCCAGGAACTTCCCCCCCACGGCTTACCGAATGACAATCTGTCGATCATATTTCGATATGGGGTGGGGCTGGCACTGTTCCTGGGCACGGATCGACCCGTTCCAGAAAGTCAGATCCAGGCAGCCCGCTGCAGTCTGCCATAAGCAGCCAAAAATTTCCAGATCAAATGCTTTAACCTCACCATCAGAAGAGACTTTTGCTTCCCAGTGACTTCAAGCGCATATTCTAAGAGCCAACCGGATTACAGCTTGTGATTGATACATTTGATTGAGAGATGATGCGCCGCTCTCAACTGCCTTCTTTTTGAGGGCCGCAGCTTGGAGAGGGACCCGAAAGCTCCCAGGAACACCGACTGTGCCAAGTCACGTGCATTTTCTAATAGATGGCATCCCCCAGACCTTTCACCCAAAATCTTTTCACCTGCTCCCTAAGCAGAGGGGTGAGTAAGGGTGAGCAAATGGTTCGGTTACAGTATCCTTCACATTCGGTGAGCGCCCGGCCATCTCTTCCGCCAAATCCCTCCTCCCCCAACCTGATTCTCCTACGGTCTCTCCGCAACATGGCACCAAGACTCCCCCTCTTAGAGCTTGAGATGATTCAAGATATGATGTTGAGCAATCACTAACTGCCTCACAAATGGCGAAAGCTGCTGAAGCAAGCGTTCAGTCATTAACATCAGCAACAACCTTCGCTGGTTAGATACCACATTGACAGGGCGAATCCCCATTGTTTGCCTTGTTTGCAGGATCAACGTTCTAGAAGCCTGCGAGGCCGTACAAGATTATTACAAATGCTATTTTCACACTGTCATTTACAATTGTATTGGAATACAGCCAAGAAAGGGGTTCTGGGATAGATTAACCGTAATAGGTATAGCGAGGTTTCAAGAGCAGGATCGGGAAAAAATCTCTGTGTGCAAGTGGTGAATCTGATTTCGATTCCCCCTGTATCTCCCGACCACTTGACATATTTCCATTATTTCCGAGATCGCCAAGGCTTGAGGCCGATATCCTTTGTTGGTTGGTTTACCCCATAAGATGCCTCTGCACCAACATACCTGGTCCTGATTGGGTCCAAAGTAACTCGGGCTGAGTAGGATTGGTCGATGCGACAGAGAACATTCCATCTTTTTTCGGACTCGCATGCTTTTTCAATCATACTAAATATCGTATTTTGCAGGGACCACAGGATTTCGTGGCCAGAACTGCGCGGATCATTTGGTGAGTCGGAGTTGTAAAGACGTTGCAGATCATGAGATGCGTTTTCTGCGAGATCTTGCAACAGCTTAAAAAGTGCGTAGCAGTCGCGGTAATAAGCATTCTCGACACGCTGCTGGCCTAACTCGCGCTCAAGTTGCGCAATTTCATCAATTGTCGCCATGACGTGACATACGAAGGGTTTGTGTCTCGGTCCATCGGTCCTATCTACTTATCTCGCAAAACCCTCTTCTAGCGTTGACGGTGAGGTGAAAACTGATCAGAAAACCTTCAAAATGATCAGACCGTTGATCTTCGATTTTCGTATAAAGTTGCGGTGACCACCGTGCCGCAGTCTACGGCTGCCACCATTTTTCGATCTTCTCTGAGAAAAAGCCGGATGCTAGCGTCAGCACCTCACTGGAATATAAAACTGCCAGCTCCCCCACGCTTTATCCATTCATTACACAGAAAACATCTCCTCCACGAAAACATGTTTTCCAATGGCCAGAATGTCCGCGACTGTGCCCTGGGGGCCTCGATAGGGATATTCGGCTTCTCATACTTTTTAATCTATGCGTTGCAATTTTTCATTTTCCACTTCCCTTCGACCCCCGGGGAAATCATTGTCGCCTTGTCCGTGACGGGATTTGGGATTGGGACTGCCCTTTGGTATTTGAGTCTCATCTATCACCACGTGATTCGTGTGTTCGAGTATGAGGATACCAAAGATGAGCATGATTCACCCCAGCTCGGTCGTCTTTTTCTTCTCTGGGTTGTCACACTTCCGACGATTCCATTCTTATTCTCAGGCCAGCCATTGCTACAAATTTGGTATATCTCGTCTTTGACGGGTATCACAGTGGGAAACTTACCTCGCTACCTGTTTCAAGGGCAGACTGATGACGATGACGCCCCTTTGACTCATTGCTCGCTCCATTTGGCATCTGTCAGCCTGGTTGCATTAATGCCGACTATCCATGCACTCGCGAAACCTATCTTCACACAATACCAATTGCAACTGGCGAATTCTTTTGGCGAATTGATGATTGGGGGTCTTCTTGGAAGAATTTTGTATCTTCTTCGGCCTCTGGAAAGAATGGGAGTTGCCCAGAACTGGCACCCGAGCCTGCATGGAATGCATCTGATTTGGACTTATACTCTCGTGTCATTCTCCAACGCGCTGCTGCAAGCAGCGATCCGCCATTGACACTGATGCTTGTTTTACGGTGGATATCTGGCTATCTTCTGGTCCGAGCTCACTCGAACACTGGAGCAACATTCTGTGACACTGCCCTCGCCCTGCCAGAGGGGAGTGCAATGCAATCCGTTCGATATTCAGGTTAGGTAGTCTTTCTTAAACTTCCTTTCCAAGAGAGCAAGACCTTTTTCAAATTCAAATATTAAATTAAACAGACACCCAACATGGCTCCCAACATGGCTTTTCATCTTTGTTCTGAGTGATTCCATACATTTCATTGTCAGCAATTACCGAAGACATACTGCCAAAGAGCAATGAAATAAATTGATAGATCGAGGCCTAGTAATCTATTCTACAAAGTGAATTTCTGTACCACTTAGGTGTCACAGACTCAAGCATAATATTAGATGAAAGCCTTGTTGGTGGCATGAAGACTTATAAACCAAAGTGCGATAGAAAGACTTGGACCTTGTTTTGACTGGCGGATCCCGTCCGGTGATCATGTGCAATCTAACATAATTTACGCATACTTAACCATTTTCTCTCCCTTGATCTAAGAAGAATGAAAGATTAAGCAGAGGGTGTCTATGAATTCCAACTTGACTGAAAATAGGCTCGGTCAAGTTCTCCTTGCCGGGCCGCTATGGCCGCGCATGTATAGTAAGCAGCTTTCTATCCCTTCACGGAGAGCTTCTTATATTACCATGGCGTTGAGCAAATTAAGTCCTAGTTGATACGCTCAAGCGAGCTCCCAGGATCTCTCTTTGAAAGCTCATTATTATTACAGAATCTCGACTTTGTCTCCATCTATGTGTACAAATTGGAAAGTATATCTCCATTAATTTGTTTGCGAAGAAACAAAGTCAAGTTTTCATCCTGTATTATGCCTTCCAAAGAACGGTTTCAATATGCAGCCTACTGAGAATCGTCTATGATAGTCAGACAAACCCTAATATGGCAATCAAGAGATAAAACTCTTTTGTGAATGTGCTTGTGTTACAATGCGTCCCGAAACTGGCGCAACCAGCTACACTCTTCAGTTTACTTTTCTGTGTCTTGGCACAAGAGATACTAGTCTATATTGGGAATTCTTCCGGAGTCTTCTGTAGTGACCGCTTGTATTTATTCGTTAGTAAAATACATAATATTTCCAGATGTGCTTTAGCATGTAAATTCAATACATCCGGCACCTATTTTCTTCTCCGGACAAACAAGTAATTCCCTCATCAAAGATTCAGCAATCTCTACTCACATGGTACGGTGGAAAAATATGGCTGGTCCCTACCGATAATAATGCCAGTCAGTTGAGTGCATTGTAGCATATATATAGGAGCCTAAAATTAGAAGCAGGGAGCCGTAGAAACTTGCACGTAGCGTCTCAAACGTTGCAAACAAAGCAACAGCCGAACTGGCGAGATGCCCCTACTTCCCCTTCTCTTCCTTGTCACTCCTCTTCTCTGACGGTTTCATTGTTCCCCGGGAGGCATAAGCGCAAACGCGTTACACTCACATTCGAAATTGGCTTCCATGTTTCACACAAACGAATTGTTTCAGGGGCCCAAAATCGAGACACTCTATGCCGAGTACAATTAGCGTAGAGGCAGGAGCTCGATCGCCAACTTTACAACGCAAGGTTGCTTCAAGACATTATTGTACCAGCTGTAAGTTGCAGGTACGCAAAGCATATAATCGCGAATTACGTGACAGTTGATAGACGAAAGTGCATTACAAAAGCAAGTTCGCCATGCTGAAAATTGAACAGTCTCGTGCGCGTCCGCCTTCATGATTGAGAAAGAACAGGATTATGTATTATCTAATCTAATCAGAACCAACATGAGCTATCCATAGTTTGATCGTGCCGTCTCTTCTTCGTTGATGACAAGGTGCATTGGAGCAAGGCAGACTAGCTGATCACGTCTGATGTCAAACATATATCGTGGAAAACGCCCTCAGATACTGCCAACATATACACATGATGATATCGATTCCTCTTGTATTCGTCTGATGAAAATAGAAAGCTAGACGTGCCACATCCACTATTGTTGTACCCGGGCATGCCGCGCTGAAGAAATCTTTTTTGGAACGCGGGAAATCCTTTTTGGAGCGCGCGAAATCTCTCCTGCCCCGAGGACTTTATCCAAACTCCCGCGATGAGAACGTAAAGCGTTAACCGTGCTTGGACCAGGTCGGCTAGGAACTCTAGAGACTGTTTCAGCGAGGATATCCAGAGAGGCTCCATTCGGGAACAGCCACCTGAATCTTTCGACATCATTTCTGTCGTAAGATTCTTGACAGAGCCTGTTAATACCACCTGGAACTTCTGTGTAAGATGCACCATGATGAGTCAACCAGCTTAATTGCCTTTGGTAATCGTTTGAACGAGCCGCACGCTGAACAAGGTCGCCGCACGGAACAAACTTCAGTGAAGCTCCACGTTGGACCAGAATATCCAGGCCCTGAGTCACACCATTTTTGCGATAGGCGTATGATAAAATGTGGCCTCGCGATATGTAATGGCATTTTCTTAGTTGGCATTTCTCATACCATTCTTCCAGCCTCTCACATTTAAGAGCCTTGAGATTCTCCAAGATGGGTATCAGAGTACCACAGCCGAATAACGACCACGTTCGACTACAAGTCTTGCGGAACTGTAAGAAATCACGCAAGTCAAGGTTCATCGCGATTAAGTCCAAGGTCTCTGGTGGAAGAGAGTGAAAGATGGCCATTATAGACCTGGTATGACCGATGGTGTCTATGGAATACCAGTGATTGAGAAATACTGACGGGATCTATCACGATTGAGTGTCGTGGGTTGCCGTTGACGTGTCGGGACTGAGCAAAAGTGAAAGACGCCTTGCAGGGGAAGCTTAGATATATAGATGACACATCTCATCACGTGATGACGTCCTTAGTTCCACTACTGTTTGATTTGTTTGCAAGGGTCAGCCGTTCTTCCAGTCATATCGCTGAGCTATAGGAATCAAATAAATAACTGCATCTGCTTGGTCCGCGGCATAATCCATGGTATGACCAAGACAATTCGAAATAGTGGGAGTGGGACCTACGTTCCCAGGGATGAGATAAAAACTAAATGTCCGTCATTGTTCGGGCGGCTGTCTAGGTTGGTAATCTAAGGATATTAACGTTAATGATCCTAGATGAGTATCAGTGGCTGGTAATTACAGTAAAATTGACGTATTGATCCTGTCAGATATTTTACTGTTCTCTACTAACGTGTACGGGTGACCTTATCAAGCCATATCGGGACTAAGTAGTTTTACCATTGCCTTAGCATTAGGGTTCGAGATCAATTCTTTGTGTAAAACATGGAAGCCAATTTCGAGTCTCAGTGTAGAACACCCAGCTATGAGAGTTGCACTACTGATGTTACCATGATACTGTTGTGGATACTATTTGAAATCGACCGACCGACCCGCACTTTGCAATTAGGACCAAGATATACTTTCTGACAGGTCTCGGACTGACTTCAACTGTATCGTATCCTTGCTTAGCCCGCTCTGGGCTAGGACGGCGACGATCCCCTGTGCCACATGGTAAGAAGAAGCAAAAATGATCAGCTGGGTGCTCGAGGTGAGCCTCTTGCGAATCGGAGGTCTTCAAAAACCAAGTGGGGCCGACTTCTTTGTTTGCTATCGTTGCACACCTGCGACATGGAACCTATGAGCCGCTCAATAGCAATTCCGCCACCAGGCGGGTTTCTTTGTTTGACAAACATTTCATCAGGATCAGGAAAGAAAACGACTCTATTATCAAAAGTCAAGACCATAAAATTCAGCAAGCCTCCCCTCCTAGCCGTTCCTAATCACTCTCCTTTTCGTTCATACTTTCATCTATTGATAACAACCGAAAATGCCAGAATTCAAGAGCTCTCGCACACTATTATCTGTCCCAGGAAATATTCCTATGCGAATAAAAGTCAGCCTGGATCAAGAGAAAAAGAGAAAGGTCTCTCTAACGTGTGGGGAGTGTCGAAAGAAGCGAGTCAAGGTTTGAACGCGACGCCAACTCTCCCAAGCATGTAGCTAAGGATTTTCAGTGTTCTGGAGAGAAACCCTGCACACAATGAACAGAAAAAGGTTGCGGCTGTGCTTTCGACCCTTGTTCCGATCGCCGACGCCGAAGCCATCTTCTTGAGTTGTCTCAGCTTAATCGAGTCCTTCAAAGCACTGTGGCTCAACTACGACATGGAAATTCCGACGGCATCAGGTCATTCTTACTAGCAATACCCAGCTTCCAAACGGAGCATGAAGCAATGCTATACCTCCCACACAGAAATGGTTAGAGCTGTGTTTGGAGATGGTCCCCTTGAGCACATTGTCGTGAGAGTGAATTAATATGTGTATGTAGTTTCTGACCGGCGCACGGAAGAAATTAAGGATACTAATTCAGTATTCAAGGCATTCAATCTTTCCCAGGGACTCTGGAAAGCTCTCCTAGGAAGTTGCCAGGCACCATTCTCATATATAAATTATCATTTTCCTTTTGTACTGGTAACAATTGTGTCTCAAGCATGATTTCCGAATATATTTTTCAGTCACTCCTCATAATTCCGCTCTTGTTCATATCGATCTTAAGGATATTATTTCTGTGGAATTTCAACACCAATTTTTCCAATCAAAAGATTCACTTGGCTTTGGGTTTCTCTAATGTGACTTTATCTGCAACTCTAGTATGCCTTTTCTGGAGCCATAGGCTGCCACTATGGCGTCAAATTTTTCTTGGGGTTGCTTCGACTCTCCCGTCGTCACATGAAGTAGGTCTAAACTCTCAGGACAAAGCTTACTATTGAGCTAATTTCCGCCAAGTTCCTCCGAGTCAACTGTCAGCAGCAGACCAACCCACTTGTACCGCAAGTTGCGGAACGGTTATTTCTTGTATGTTTCTTCATATCTACAACTCTGAAAATAATAAGTACATTTTTCGGAGCATTTCTTCTAGACAGTACTCACTATTTGATCCTTTTCTTAATTTTTTCTTGGGCATCACAGCTTGGTATTTGTGGCTAGGAAGGCTTGCGACGCAAACAAAGACACTTCTGCGCGGGATTATTGCTCATTTTTCCTGTTTATCTGTTCTATTGCTCGCTACTGCTATTCTAGGCACAGTGTCAGGGCTATGGAGCATAGCCATTGAGGTAAGAACTTCGAAAATGAGCCTCTTGAAACTAAACTGATGGATTGCAGATCCAGCTGATACTCAGTTCTGCGTGCGCAATTTCCTTGCATTTTTTTACTTCACGTGCTCCAATCCAATCGGACTGAAAGGCGACACTATGGAGTTAATCGAGTGAGACTTATTTCGAGAAAACTATGAAACTTTTGAACTGATAGTCTATGTACTTCTGAGTTGCGATTATGTGATAAGAAAACAAAATCCAGGTGGCCAGGAAGTTTTTCTCTTTTTTTTTTTTTTTTTTTTTTTTTTTTTGGCTGTAGCCAAGTTGAATGATTGAATTATTTACCTGTGGGCTCTACCATCCAGCAGGTTCTGTACTGATAAAGAATTCATCGAGCTATGCGTGAAGATTCTACTGTGTATCGTATGATCACACTTCAATGGTTTTTTATTTATTTTTTTCATTCCAACCCACAAACTATATAGCATCTTAAAAAAGCACAAAAATAACCCTTCGCGTGCATCTATGCCATCTTCTACCACAAGTTTTAAATTTGAGATTCCAAAAGTTTGGCTTGTCGGTGCGGCGTAGGGCGAAGTCGTTGCAGCCAAATGAGGCGATCGGTGCAGCTCTCTAGGGAGCCTCCCTTGCTTTTAATCTTCTTACCCGGGCGGCTTGAGCTGTAGGGGTTGACTGAGCTAGTCACTAGCGACACACTTGGTCCAAGCGCACTCTTCCGGAGCCTGATCCGAAGAATTGTCTTCGGCTGCTCGACGGATTTGAAGCCGATGACACTTCCATCAATTTTGCTGGCAGTGAAAGGCGATTTCTCCTTTGGATTGTATGCTCGCGAAGACATCAAATGAGCACGTCTTGAAAGAGCTGTGTCTGACTTGTTTCTGCCTCCAGTACGGCGAGACTGGCGAGTGTAAGGAGCCATTTTGGTGAAATAATGGAAATAATGGATGCGTAATCAGTCAAGTAAGCCCCAAGGATTTCAAAATGTACTTATACTCCTTTGGCAATGTCATTAGGCTAATGAAGTGCCAAACAACTGAAACATGAGGTAGAGATTCTCTCATATCGCGCTTCTTCCCTGCCTCATGTAATACTGGCACCTAATCTCAGGAATCTTGAATTTATTGATCTCAATATAAATGAGTCAGTTCTTGCTTGGCCTGGATTGACCGAAGATTTCCAGATGTGTTATTTCTGATGACGGCTCTTCCCAACTTTCCATACCTTGTTAGCAGTTGTTGTTCACGAGTGATTCTCAGGTTATTTCTCAATAACTACTGCGAAAAGGTAATCGACAATCTTCATCAACTGTGTTGGCAAATCGCTTGTATAAGGGGAGCGGCATTACTGGGGTTGCCTCACAATGCCCGTGGCCTCACGTGATGTCAAGAACGACATTGCTGAGGGCGTCTTCTTCCTACGAGAGTCAGTTGCTTGCCTCTGTGAGTAAGCTCATCACCTATCTCGCAGTCAAGCCTCATTTTTGCCCCTCTCACCTTCCATCTATATATAGAAATTACTACAGCACAAATGCAGACACTAACTCCCGACAAGGGAGCACGAACGGGCTCTCTCTGATGTCACGATGTGCATCGCAATAACAGGTGACCCGTTATGACCAAATCACGCTCTTCTTGCCTCTATTGACTATGTGAGGTCACCAATAAAGGCCTGAATATAATGAGAAGCTTGCGTCGCTTTCTTGACTTGAGTCCTAGGTTGGCGGTTGTAGCCGCTGGAATTTGGAAGTGCTACTAAATCAATTTCAGTAAAATATGAGAAAAGTGTAAATTTCGTTGCTACTTCAGTTCTTCGCTTTCAACATCACATGGAGGGTCCCGGTGTAATTTGATCTTCGGTGATATTGCTTGCAGATATATTCGCACTCTCCGCATATTCTATTTTCTTTCACAATTGAAGCTCTCTTTATTCCGACTTTTCGCCCTTTTTCTAATGTTGTTATGTTGTTCTACATAACCGCAAACTTGAGATGGCGGCTGAGAAACTCATATATCAGACTTTGCCGAAATTTGGGATAATGACAGCTCGAGGTCGCCCGAAAACCCCGGCCAGTCATCGAATTTTTGCTCCGAGTTATCGTCTGAGAGACTGGGTGGGGGTGAAATGACATCCACTGACTGGTGGCTATTATCTCGTGCCTCATGCAGCGAATCATTATACTGTAGCTGTGCCTGAGCCCCGCTCGATCTTTGAGGCACGTGTCGTACCTCACCCGACGTGGCATTTGAATGATTCAATCTCACGTTGGATGAACTCGTATCATCTTGGTGAGACTGAATTTTCATCTCTGAAGTGTCAAGGTAGATTGACTTGGAAAAAAAAGAACGGAAATCATTTAACACAGAGAACTCCAGTTTCAGCTTGATACTGTAAGCCACCGTCTTGAAGCTGACTTGGATGTAGTGGAGCTTGAATTCCGTGACGAGGAGCAAAATGTTCATGAGCACAACAATGATGTTGACACAAATTAAATTGACGAGCACTTTGCGGCCCCCAGATCTGTGTAGCTCACGGCTACTTTTCAACAACAAAACTGTGTGATATATGTAAATACTGCTGATGACGATATCTTGAATGCAGAAACCAGTCAACTGGATCCGATCAAAAGTTGCAGCAGGACGAGCGAAACCTATCACTCCGTTGCTGAGGCCGAAGAACAACACTGTCATTGGGACATGAAGAATGAAAGCGTTGACAATAATCATCCACAAGATCCATCGGACTTTACATGTGGTGGACGAAAAATAATGTAGTCGTGAATAGAGAACAACAGCTTGGCCAGTCACCATGGCATACCATCCAAGTACAAATGGGATTGATGTCGGCAGGTTGGAAGACTGGGAAATGAATCGAGCCATGGCCGGAAGAGCATGCACAAGGATTCCCCAGGAGGCGGCTTGCATACTCCAAAAATATAAACCACGATATTTTCTGAAGAAGTGGAATGTGAACAAGCCGGTTTCCAGTGCACCGTAGGCTCCGATGGAATACATTGACACTATTTGAATGATTCCAATGTTCTCCATGAGCAGAGCTCTCACTGCGGGAGGTAGGCTAGCAACTTTTGCATCCATATTGTAATAGGGTTGTGATTCTGTGGGAAGAAGATGGTCGTTCTGAGGCGTGGCAGGGTTCTGGCTTTAAGTGAATGGATATCCAGAAAACCAAGATAGGAGCAGGGGGTTATATCGTGATATCATAATGCCGGACGTTCCAGCGTCAAGACAGCTCTAGAACGATATAGACTCTACTAGTCCCGAACAATGGTTTGGTTTCCTGGGAGACAATGGGTCGACCGACTTTTGTTCAATATGTAAGTCAACAGCTACTGTAAATTCGCGCTTTCTACCCTATGATAAGTATCCAGGAGCCTATGAAAAGAGTTTCAGATACTCAGCTGAAGCATGTCTCATATTGAGTCAATTGGTAGAAGTAAGCATTATGGGGATAGAATGAGAGCAAGCGCAAGATTTTTATTGCTATCTAATACTTACAGCCCATAATGATCTCCATAGGTCTTATTTACACGTTTCATATATTTCTTCATCCTCCACAAGCGAGGGCCTAGCGAGGGCCTTTTTCTGTCAGTTCTCAGACTTGGTTCATATTAGCGAATATTCTCGAAGGTTCTCAAGGTATCAAATACAGTATTTTATAACTTCCAGTATCGCTCATACTATTCCGAAGAAAATCTCTTTGCTTTACACTTTTTCAACCACCACCCATGTGCTAAGATCTACGCAGTCGAAGTACTGAACAATAAAGCTTGTGTGGCCAAGGGTCCGGGAACCATGGTTCCAGCTGAAGGCAGAGCTCGGATATCAAATCTTGGCTTTCGTCAGGCTCCTCGATGTATGCTGAAAACAGCGAGCGGAGAGGTATTTTTGCAAATGTGGATAATTCTTCTGGCAATACTATAATTAACTTATTACGCAAAGAGAGCTCTCCAGTGGCCTAGAGTCGTGACTCAGTTGCGTGTCGATTTCCATCCAGTCACTGAATCAGCCTTCTAGTGAGCCACTGACATTAGACTAGATTCGGCGAGGGCTACCAGTGATTAATACTATTGAATGTACGGCACAATTTTACGAAGCATGCCTACAGCATAATCTACCCTGGAATAACGATCGGCGTATGTCCACTTTCCCCGGGAACTTAGTAGTCCGTGAGTCTTGTCAGACAGATCTACGCACTGTTTGGTGGTAGCGTTTTTATGGCTGATTGTTTAGACTTCAGGCTCTTTTTCCACGAAATTCCAAAGATTTCATGTTGTATCCATTAATCGGGATGTTACCCTGTGTATCACCCTCAATGAATGGATCGTGCCACGGCCATCCTGCATCCTATTTAGTCCACCTTGAAGTATGTGCAATAGCCTATTGGTCGTTCTGAGCAAACTTATCCTAGAATTGACACCGCAGTAAGCTAAAATTCAATGGGTGACTGCCCCTGTCGTTCCATTGTGCTTAGTGGGAAAGTCATCGTGAGGTTCTGGGCCCCTATGGACTGATCATCCATTGGCGGAGGATCCCTGTATGGTTGCTGAGGGAACTAGCCCTCTTTTTGCCCTCATTTCAACTTCCTTGGCCTGTCAAAATGTTGGCGACGCTTCCATGGTAGTTTGAGGGATTTAGTCATGCTATGTTGGATTTTTGTATGCAGTTCAAGGGCTGTCTCGAAACAGGCTCTGCATTGGTAAAGACTGCTAGTTAGTTGTAGAAAATAAAATCAATCTCTGAGTGCGGTTCCTTTATTGAGAACAATGAAGGCAGATATGGAGTGGGGACTGGATAGTAACTCATAGATCTAACATTTGTGCGGGTCTGTCGATCATGTAACTCCCCCACAGCCAAGGCAATCACTTCCCTTTCCTACGTCTCCACTTACAGCCCGCAGATCCTGGTGCGTATTGAATACTCATGATACTGATGTTAGTGCCATAAAAAGCATCGCAAGGGTCAATATTCTGCGTTTCGCGCTATTTCGCGCCTGCTTTCCTAGGCCCCACCCAGACCTTTATAACATGGCGTCCCACAAAGCCAGCAGTTATTGACATTTTCCTCCTTTCTACTCTCAATAAATTTTCAACGAAAAAAGATATACTAGCGATGGCAAACGATCCTAGACTTACCCGAAGACGTACCAAGCAACATGCCGGTACGCCGAAATCGCGTGCTGGTAAATCCAGAAACTCGTCGAACCGCTCGATCCGGTCGGAATCCTCGGGATCTGACATTGACTCTGGCTCGTTAAGCCCAGCCACGAGCAAGATGTCCAGCGTAAGTTAAACTCTGTCGCCTCAATTCCCGTTCCTGTCATATGCCACACCAATTCCTATCACCATGTGCTATTTGCGTCCATGATTGGCCTGATACTAATACCAATTAGAAACGATCCATGAAACTTTCTGTGAGGCGACATCGGAAGTCTTCCCATCGGGAGTGTTTCAAAGTTCTAGCCGATTATGAAGAGCAGGTTGAAAGAATTCTCGCCGAGAGAGAAGATGGCAGAACAGCTAGCTCCCGGCTCATTCAAGAGCTCCACACTGAGAAGGCTCGAGAGATGTCCAACGTACACAAAGCCAATGCCGAAAAGGACTCTGCAGTCGCTGAAGTTGAGCGGCTTAAGAAGGAGACTTCGCAGCTGCGGCAGCAGCTGGAGTCTACAAACACCACGTTGCAGGACCAGGTGGCATGGGACGATATACAGCCAATCTTACACCAGACACACGGAGAAATGATCTCCGCTGCGTCTCGTTTCGCGAATTTGATCGATAGTCTTCAGAACAAACGACTGGCATCCTTCTTGCCTAGCACCGAGGTGTTCCATGGCAATTGGGCCACCACCGCTGGTCCTTCGGAACCCACCGACCCTAGCGCGCTTCCCGGGTTTTCCGGATCAAGCAACCCGCCGCTGTTTGACCCACAAGCCCTAACCTCGACCAATGAGTATGGGTCATTGGTTTAAGATCGATCGACGATCTCCCGGGGGAGGATATCGTAACCATACAAGGAAGTCTTCGCATGTCCTTTCAGATTATCCATTCATTTGCTGCGGCCTCATTTCTACCATAGTATGAACGATATTCAGGTTGATTTTGTCAATAAACTCAAAGTGCGTCTTTTTTCACTACCGAATAGTGCCGATTGGAGGGCATTCTAAGTAGTACTTTTGTCCTACTTCAATTCCATGGCTCCGTAGCTTCATACGGTTCGGGCATGACCTTTCGTTTCCCGGGAAACCCTCTCCGTCCATCTCTCAGCTTCCCTGTCTTAAATTCTTTTTGCATGACACTATGAAGCATTCAATTAAACCACGCAAAGCTAGTAGACCGCGATTTAAGTTCCCACTTCAGTCTGATTGGAACGATCTAATCGTGGAACCAATATCTTTTTTCTCTCCGAATTTCGCGTCCCATTCCGAAAATAAATATTGTTCTAGAACGGGTCGCATTGTCAAGGATACAAATGAATGGGCTTGTGCGTGTTTTCAATTCTAGAACATTCCACGGTGAGACCTATAGGATTTTTATTTAACCAAAGCCCCATAACCGATCAAGATGCTACAGGGGGCGGTCCAATAATCGGAGGGATAAGGAATGATATCACGTCCGAGATCGGAGCAATTACACTTTATCGATTGCGAAAACATATCTAGACTCTGGCAAGCAGTAATTTGGGAATAGAGAGAACAATCACGCTACATTTCAAATTCGTCTAATAGTCATCGGGAATGAAGAAGTCTTCCCCCTAGTAGCCAGCCGAAAATGACGTCTTCCTCTTTGATGGCATGGTCGGCCACGGAAGATGAGTATCCCATAATCAAAGCGCCACAACCATTATACACATTCTGAAGACTTGGGACTTGATGGTTGCTCGAAAGGTACTACCTCACTATTGGCTGACCTGTTCTCGACACTGCAGACTTTTTCTGGACCATCGAATCTTTCATTCGAGTCTCCATGGTGGCGAACCGGCTCAGGGCATCTTCCAGATCATGCCGGATCGTCTCATTCCAAGCAACCTGTCGGTTAACAGAATCTGCTAAAGATCTGTAGAGTAAAAATCAGCATTGTTTTCACCCTCTTTATCGTATAGTGTACGACTGACTTCATTCGGCTATCCAGACTTGATCAACAAATTAGTAAAAAAACCACTATTTTCAGTCTCGGTACTCACTCTGATACACATTTCATTGCAATAATGCTATGTTGTGTGGACTCTTCGGGCTCGCCCTCTGACGCAGTCTTGGGGCGACTCATCTCATTCTCAGACTTCATCTCCCACGGTCGCCAATGGTAACCTTCCCGATTGTCGGCCTCAATTCCAACTTTTCTGCGTCCGATAGCTCCATTATTTTCGGAATACAACGCATGCCCGGCGGAATGATTCATTTTTGGTCTTTGGTTCCTGGCTTCGTTGCTCGATTCGGAAGACGACAGAGATAATGCACGTTTTAGTCTGCTTCGGAAGGTGTGCGGTCCATCGACAAGTGACAGTCTTCGACGAGAAGGCATATTTGGAGTTTGGATATTCCAACTTATTCTTATCTTTTTCGTTTGATCGGAGTTTTAAATAGAGGAAGAAAACTGAAAAGTTAGGGGAACGCTAAATACACGACTGAGCCCGGAGCGGACGGACGATCTGAGGTGGCGGAGAGATCCTGCCCCACTGGCCTTCATATCCGGAGATCTGATCGAATTAGCCTCCACCATTTTAGCCCCTAGCTGGCAACCCGTTTCCATTTATTCAATTGAAATTAATACAGTATATCTGCAACAATGGTGTCACGTAGACTTGACCAGTCTACAGTTCACTACTATTGACAAACAAATAATGTAGAGAAATGGGGCAGACGCTGATCAAGAAAGGAGCTAATCGCCATAGTATGAAAGCTGAATCTCAATGCTTAGTCGTGACGCCATGTGGCGTTATGAGCGAGGTATGGCTTTATGTTATTCAAAGACATTTTTCCAAGCTCTCAGCTGTTGCATTCGCTGTTTCGGTGAACTTTTCAGGAAATAAATAATTGCCTTCTAGTTGAGCATCGTTGGATAACATTAGAAACGCCGTAATTAATTGAGGACTGGAAGTTGCAAGACAGTACCACGGATCAGCTCAGTCAGACCATGTTACTCAATGGTTACATTGGCTTATCACTTCACCGGCAATTTCCAGGCATAACCAGTGATTCCCAGGAATCAGTCAACTAATTTTTGTAGGCTTGCCTCTAGAATCTGTCGCTTCGACAATCTTCTCAGCCAAAAGTTTAAAGCTCACCACGTCCACTTTCCGTACGTTTCAAATTCCTGCAGAAATCTCACAAGCCTTTTTTTATTCACCACCGCTCCTTTTTCCCCAAGATGTCTCAACACAACTCGCTAGGCTGGTCAGAATGGGAGGAAGATAATCTTCTCCCCTGGCTGCATGCACACCGAGCTCTGTCTTGGGAAGCTCGTGCTGCCGCTTATAATGAGCAATATGAGACTAACCGAACAGTCGAATCACTACGGGGGAAAAAATATCACATTCTTCGAAAACGCCGTCTCAATCGTGCCAAGGTGTCTAGGCAGCGCTCAGTTCCAAAACGTCAGAAACGTATTCGACGACTTGGGGGCGCCAGAAAGAGATTCCCAGCGTTCACAGACACCAAGGCTCAAAAGATCGACCACTGGCTTCAGAGAATTCCTTCACCAGAGTCCACCACTTCGGAGAACAGTTTCGCCATAGAAAAGTCACATTCCGGTAAGCAGGCATTTCTTCGTCGGCTACTCATGCTAATTTGTTCTGTCATTCAGTTTATACCACACCGGCTCCGCATGATCCTCAGCCGCAAGAATTTCAGTCCAGGTCTTGGCTTTGGGACTATGTACACCGTGTCTGTGGAACCAATGGGCTACGTCTTCACCGAGAGTAACAATCGGGGGGGGGGGGGCAATTGCGGCTGAATTTCGAAGTGACAGAATTATATGTACACAAAGATGCCTATCAGAGCAGCTTTGATGTGCCAGTTACTCGAGGCACAGCATTTATTAGTGTGTTCTTGCAGAATCTACTTGGTATGCGAGTTTATGAAACTCCTGCATAGTTTTCTGGTAGATATGTATTGTTGTTCGAATACACATTAGAGTACTATCCGAGCTCATTGTTTCTCTTCCATGCCTATGGGGGGATTTGAATCCGGACCAGGTGATTTAGTACTTCAATATTCACATGAGGCTTTTTAAGAAGCTAGGAATAGCCCCTCGAAAGCGTGTCAATTCTGAGTGAAACCCTTAACCCCTAAGAAAGGCGTGATTCCTCGAGATTTTTTTATTCATTCAAGCCAGAATACCTATAAGGTAGGGGTTAAAAATGAGTAACCTTGTCAGAATTCAAAGAGGCATTACCATTCGAAGACTGAAGAATTCCCCCAGGTCCATTTAGTAACAGAATGCCATTTTGACCCAGATAGCAACCGTGTTGGGATACCAGCCCTGATGAAGTTCTTCATACGTAGAAGAAAATGTTTCTTAACAAGCAACAAAAAAACTTTGGCCTTGTGTTTGAGTCCCTGGGTTAACCTCTGGGCTGTTTTAGAGATAGAGCTCTGTTTTTCTGGACATGTGTTGACCTCTTTGAGAGCCTAGACTATTTCCAGAGTTGTTACGTTACATGTACCTTAGAATGAAAACGTAATTACTTCCCTAACCATAGTCCATTGGGCTTTGTTCCATGGATCCTGAGGCCAAGAAATACACACGGCAGATAATGCTGACACATAAAATCTGAGCTCCCTCTAAATGGCATGATCTTAGATATATTCAATGTTTCCCATTTCTGCATCTCTGACAACACTCTGCTGTTGCTTCCCAAGATCGTTCTTTTGCTTCCTTAAGTGTCTCCCACTGCTATTCTATTATGAGTGACCAAGCCAATCACGTATGTAGTTACTAAATGAACAAATTGCACGCACATGTCGCTCGTGCGAACACGAATCACAACGAGGGCCGAGCAGAGAAGGGAGGAAATGGAGAGATTCCCTCTGGACAAAGGCTGCAAAACACCTTTCGCGTTCGAGACAGCGACATGGAGAGAATTAAGAAGCGTCGTCATGACGCAAAGCGCGACCGCAAGGTCCGATTCGAAGGGGTTCCGGAAAATGGATCTGTCGACGGCTCTTTACCCTGTCAGTCTGATTATTTTCATTCTTCGACTAATAGGTAAGTCACTACGTCTCAGAATATTATGAAAATTGTGTGTTTAGTGTCCCATATAAGATCTAACCAGTGTCTCTACAGTAGTGTGAGCAAAGCAACAAAGTCAGTACTCGTGGCCAGCCTCACCTCATATATCGTGAAAGTAGAAAGACGCTAATGGTTGACTCGAAAATTTGGATAGCAAATCCGACATGGGTTGTCCGGAAACCCTTGCTGGTGATGTGAGAATTCTAGCTCGACAGATTGGAACCCTAAAAAGGGAGATGAAGAAGATGAAGCAAGTGCTGGAGAATATACAGTGAACTTGACGCGGGAAGTCAAAGGTCACACTTATTTCCAAGTAATCTTAGTCATTGCATAGAGATTTTGATCGTTGACCAAAGTTTCCGAAACGTATACAACGCTTTTTGAACAGTATTTTGATGGCGTTGCTGGGCTCCCTCGATGTCAGAATTACCAGCCTCTGAGAGATGCAACGGCCTGGCATATATCAATGCACACGCGATTTCAATCGCAGTGGAAGAATGAATATGTATACATACTGTAGATTCAGGTACGCCAGATGTTGAGAAAAGAACAGATCAGCTTAGTACATATGTAGCGAAAGCGCTCTGGTCTTTTCTTTTAGCTTACCCTGGCTTTCAGTCCCTGGGTGCAGTCCCTGATTTTGTTTTAAAAAGCGTTTCAGAGCCTTCGATAATCACTAATTATTCAATTTTGAGAGGATTGCGAGGTGATTTACCGTAGCTGATTGACAGTGGAGACCAATGTTGGGCAGCGGCGGAGTCTCTATTGGCGCCCGACGAAATCATGTTCCGACGACGGACTCGGCGTCGACATCTCTTCATCGATGGTACCTCGGCCGGCTTGTGGGCGTGGGTACACGAAGTACCCTGGTCATCCTGTACAGGCAAGTGAAATAAAGATTTGGACGGCATGACGCGCTGCAGTGATTGCGAATCGGGGCGGAAAATGTGTCGGCTAGGCTGAGGGAAATCATTTTTTTCTCACGGGGCGAGAACAAAAATGTTGCAGGCGAAAAATTCTGCGGATGGGCAAGCGAGTTGCCAAGGCGAGTCTTCCATGGAATGGCTCTACATTTAGCTGCGTGAAACCGTTTCACATCGTTGAGCAATGTTGAGACCAATGATTCGTAAATCGATTGGCCACGGTGCGAGCGAATATTGGCAGACTTCTGGAGCCACAAGAAATTAAGCTGCCACGGCGAGTAGCCCATAGCATGCCACTTCGGTCTACACCTCATACAAAACTGCGCTAAAGGCCGTTTCATCTTTGTCACCAACGTTGATGAGGCAAATGATTTGTCACGCATCGTATCATGCCGACCACGGCTCCAGGTGGATCCAGCCACTCCACCCGCTCTCCACTCCAAACTCTTGAAATTTCTTATTTCAACGTTGATAAACCGCCTCAACACCCAGCGAAAATGCAGCCGCCCGTTACGAATGTCGAGTGGAAATCTCTGGGTCCGGTATAATGTACGCAAGTGGTCGCTGCCGGAAACCCTACTCAGAATGGCATAAAAGACTTTCTTTTCTCGCCGAGAAGAAAAGCAGGACTTTCCTCCTCACACTCTCGAGCCACTCGGGTGTTCTTCGCCGGACAAGCTAGATTCTATATTGAAATTTGGTTATTCTTCTTGACACTCGCAAGGGAGTAAAAAGTTAACAATGGCACGGCAGGAAGGGGAAGCCTCTGAATATCGCTGCAGCAAACTTTGGAGAGAGTGCAAAAAATTGAGCGATGGCCTGGAGGGAGAGACTCGACCTTTAGACCATACGGACTCTTCGAAATCTCCGGGATTTTCTAGTACGAAGACCTCGACAGAACATGGTCGCGCCCGGTCATCGGCTGAAAAGCCTGGGAGCAAACGCAAACGAAGGGTCCGTTTTGAGCTCCCTGAAAGAAAGCAGTCCCCGGAGTCAATCGAATTTGGGGTGAATGACCAGGCTCAATCTATCATCTCGAGGTGAGTGACTTTTCACGCTTTGCACTCCAGCACCAGGTTCTCGGAAAGCCATATCTCTAATTCAAAGAGCAGACAGAGCACAGGGAAGCACAAAGAAAAAAGACGGCCCACTAGACGACAGAGGTGAGTTTTGAAGCCTTTCCCATTACTTTGGGCTCGTACAAACCAGGACGATCTTTTAGCTGAAACAAAACATAGATCGATGTCAAGAAAGCGCAAGGAGGACCGTCGGCAAAACCTTTGTGATAGTTCTAATTTCAACACGCCACGCAAGTCCTGCATGATGCCGAAAGCCTCCTAGGAGGGACCTTAATGACCAGTTTTAGACGGGTCTAGCAATTTTTCAAACCCCTTGGAGCTACCGCAGCTCTTGTGGAGATCTATTCCCGTTTTTCGGTGTGATACGATCATCGGGCAATCCACCGGCACTAAATTACTTCGCCGGCGGGTATTGGGTCGCGACTTTTGATTTACGCTCCATGTAACTACTGATTTTTAAAACTCACGATCGTAATTCTTGTAAAATCTCTACCAGATTTGAATTATACTGTCAGGATGTACGAGATCGCCCGACACAATGTCCTGCACTTGACTGGGTTTGAATAAGAACATCCTGAAGTGTCACCGATTCGCTTCATCAGTCCAAATATGGATTCGAATCTCAGTGTCTTCCATTGCAGCGAAATCCGTGTTTGTATATCTCATTTTGTTGTTCGAATTCGAATTAGCAGGTCTTCTAGGGCTCAGCCTACCGGCCCGTAGATACCAAGATCAAAGAAGCTTGCAGCCGGAATTCGGCACTGTAGCATACAGTATTCAGGCCTATTCTTCCTCATCGAGAAGCTGGGGGAGAAAGATGGTTCAATAAGACGATAGTCCATCGCAATTGTTGCACCGACATAAGTGAGAAGCATGGAAAGCTCCTTAATACATCCGGAGACTCAATCAATCGGTCATTCTAACATGCGCATATGGGGATATTGGGCAAAGGGCGTGGGACAGGGTAGTAGACTGTGTCTCCTGTGTCCATATTTCACCATGCTAAACTTCAGGGCTGGAGCAGACTTACCCTGTCTTGGGCCAATAGTTGAATAATGCGGCGAGGCGCTCGTACTTGAATGATGCAGGCTCTGGGCAAGACTGCGATTTTTCCAGTCTTTCTCAGATGGAATTTTGGACAGGTTTTGAGTATGTATTAAAATACACTTTTTGAGAAGTTTCAGGGTCTCTGGGCACGCTCAGCATACGGCCAAAGGCTGCGGTAGAAGCCGTCCTGTGACAAAATGAAAGGTGCAATACCCGAGCGGACGTCTCATAAAGTAGTTCGAAGGATCCGATACGGTGCTTGAAAGGGAATTTAGGTCGTCGAAGATCCAAACATGGGTACAGGGTTTCCATGAATTCTATCAAAAGGCACTCCAGCCCCGATTTGGATCTACTCGTGACATTATTCCCCTAGCACTGAGCCAGGCGGCGTTCGAAAGCCCTGGAACAAATGGATTCTAGAAAACGTTGATCATAAGGGCCATCGTTTGCCTAGAACTCATTGATTGCAGAGATCTCAGATTCTGGCGGCAACGGGGCCTTGATCGGGCCTCGACGAAACCATATTTTGATATGTAACAGATTCGGCTTCAAAGTCTCTTCATCGATGGAACCTTCTCGACTCGTTTCTGGGTGCCAGCGCATGTGGCAGTCCGATCATCGTCCACTTGTTCCTGTAATAGAGATCTGGGTGACAAATTGTCTCGCAGTGGTTGTAACTCGCAACGGAATAGACAACAGTGAGGCTAACAGGGTGAATAGAGGCAGAGAGCAATATTCCGGCTTGAGGTAAAATCTTGCGGACAGGAATTTAGCGGGCAGGCAAGCGATTTGCCAAAGCGAGTTATTGATAAATCACCAGTTCAACCTACACCTTACGCCAACTGCGTTGAAGGCCGTTGAACCTAGGCCAATGAACGTTGAGGAGGCAAATAATTTGCCAGGCGTGCCCGGTCTTATCCAGTGGAACGAGCCACATCCTCGTCTGCTACCCCAAAACGCTTTACTATGCTTATTTCAATGTTGAAAAGAACGCCTCATCGCCTAGCAGAGACGTGCTCACGCGGCACAAACGCCGAATGTCAAACACTGATTCTGGCGATATGCGCGCAATTGGTGCCTCCACAATATCCAATGCAAACTTCGACCACCTTCACTCGCTCACTATCTAAAAAGCCATGTCTCGACGGCGTTGATGAGGGGTATGATTTGTCACGCATCGCATCATACCAACCACGGCTCCAGTTGGATCCATCCACTCCACCCGCCCTCCACTCTAAACTCTTGAAATTTCTTATTTCAACGTTGATCAACCGCCTCAACACCCAGCGAAATTAGGGTCGCCCGGTGCGAATTTGAAGTGAAAATTTTTGGGTCCGGCAAAATGTACGCAAGTGGTCGTTGCCGAAAACCCTACTCAGAATAGCATAAAAGACGCTCTTTTCCCGTCGAAAAGAAAAGCAGGACTTTCCTCCTCAGACTCCCGAACACTCGGGTGTTCTTCGCAGGATGAGATCTGCGTTGCCAAAAAGTCTTCGCGGAAAAGGCCCCGCGTTACCAAGTCTGCCTCGCAGGACGGGCGCTGCGTTACCAATAGAACTCCGCAGGAGGGTGCTGCGACACCAAGTTCTCCCTCACAGCCAATGAGCCCTGTGTTGTATAAATGTGCTCCGCGGGGACCTCCGCGACATCAAGAGCCTCCGCAGGGACATCTGCGATATCAAGAGCCTCCGCAGGGACATCTGCGATATCACGAGCCTCCGCAGGGACATCTGCGACATCAAGAGCCTCCGCAGGGACATCTGCGATATCAAGAGCCTCCGCAGGGACATCTGCGACATCACGAGCCTCCGCAGGGACATCTGCGACATCAAGAGCCTCCGCAGGGACATCTGCGACATCACGAGCCTCCGCAGGGACATCTGCGACATCAAGAGCCTCCGCAGGGACATCTGCGACATCACGAGCCTCCGCAGGGACATCTGCGATATCACGAGCCTCCGCAGGAGACCGCTGCGTCACCAAGTTCTCCGCAGGAGACCGCTGCGTCAACAA